CATCTGCGAGCACAACGCAAACCTGCGGTATCAGTGAGTCGACGACCAAGGGCAAGGCCGAGGACGGAGACGCCCAAAAGGACTACCAGAAGCACAACTAAGAGCAAAAAGGACAGCGAGAATGACGCCAAGTCGAAGAAACGCCCGACGCCGGAAGGGAGCGACAGCAAAGACCGCGCGCCTAAGGTTCAGAAGACAAAGACAAACGATGTCACTACGACGATGAAGGCCAAACCGCGCGCTAAGGCAAATACCAAGAAGAAGGTGGACAATGTTGCCCTAGCGAGCCCATACATTGACCTCACGGTATCGGACGATGAGGACGATGAGGACGATGAGGACGATATGCCGCTGATCACACGCTTCGCACGCAGAAAAGGCTTCTGCTCGCAGCTCAGACTTTCTTCGTTCAACAACAGCGCAAGCAATGAGGACGATGATGCTAAGCCCGCAGTCTCTGGCAATGAGGATCCGGTTCCGCCAATTCAGAACGTGTTGCAGAACAACTGGTCCTTTGCCAATATCAATAACAGAGCGAGCAACAATAGCGATTCGGAACTCACACCGCCAGGCGCTGTCTCTTTCCCTGCTTCTACTCCTACGCTACGCGGTGCCTCTTCAATTTCGTCGAGCAGCGCCGAGCTTCTCAAAGCTGAAACCAGCCGGGCGAACGATCTGGAAGAGGAGCTTGAACGCGTTAAGCGTGAACATTCCGACGAACTGAAAAGGCTTCGCGCCGAGTGGGAGGCGGAGAAATACACCGAGACCCTGCTTAATCGAGAGTTGAACCAAGATATTGCGGAGCTCAGGACGAACCAGCAAAAACTGGATCAGGAGCTGGCAAGCGCTAGAGAGGAGAACAGCAAGCTCAAGGCGAGACTTGAAGAAGCCGAGGGCAACGCTGGTGATCTGGAGACTGAGCGTGATGAGCTGCAAGAGGATTTGAACGCTGAGCGGAAGAAGAGCGGCACGGTCGACGACTTGCAAGCGGAGAACGCCGCTCTGAAAGCTGAGCGTGGTGAGCTTCAAGAGGAACTAGACACTGAGCGGAAGAAGAACTACACGCTCGCCGATTTGCAAGTGGAGAATGCAACTCTGAAGGCTGCTCTCAAGAAAGAACAGGAAGAGCACGAAGAGCTGATGAGGACTCTCGACGATACTAAGTATACGACCTCTGCCGCTGATACCGCCGCCGCCGCCGCCGCCGCCGAAGCAGCTTTAGAACAGGTCTCAACCCTCCAAGCCACCAACGCCGCGCTCACCAAAGAGCTCGAGTCCCTCAAAGAAGCCAAGCGCTCAACTCTCTCCCCGGCCCCATCCTCTTCCTGCGGCAGCTGCTCCACCGAAGATCAGCTGCGAGAAAACAACGTCCGCAAGATTTACCTCAAGGTTAAGAGGCGCTACGATCATCTGCAGTCTGTTGCCGTAAATCTTAACACTTGCACCCGCGGCATGGATCTTACTAGCTTCGGTGAGTTTGGGGCGTATTTGAAGCAGTTGAAGGTGGCGCTTGATGAGAGTAAGGAGGAGGCGAGGGAAAAGGGAAAAGCAAGCGCTGCAGTCCCAATCGAGGCTGGATGATAGGGTCCCGGATGGGTCTGGGGTGTGAGTGGTGAGACTTAACTTACCACGTGGTTTTCCACAGAGCGGTTTCGCACTGCAGTGTAAGTTTATTCCGCGCCTTGGGATGCCGCGTTTGGACGAAGGATAGACTCTGCCAGGGCGCGGTGGATTTCCCTCTTTCCTAGCTTATCTCATCATCTTGTCTATGTCTAGTCAGTTCTTGGATAGAGAAAGCCCTTCCACATCCTTCTCATTCTTCTTTTCACACTCATTTCCTCAAACTCCGACACTAAAAACCCAACATGGACACAGCCATGGCCTTTCTGTGTCTCTAAAATTCGTTCAAGAATTGCTCGATGGATTGGGCGGAGGGAAGACTAAAATCAACGAGGACCACCAGGTATGGAGAACCCTTTCTGAATGCTGTTGCTGCGTCATCATGGCTCTCTTTTCTTACCCGGAAGTCTGCAGTTCAGACGCATTCGACTCACAATCTCCTCGGCAGCACCCATGTCTGCGCCGACTGTCTCGAAAACATCCCCACGAGATGGCCATGCTCGGAACAAGGAGGACCAGAATTAGAAAACCCATGCTACTCCAACGGGAGCAGCGCAAGCCAGAAAGCTTGAGCAACTGGAAGCATGCGTCCCCTTCCTCGCACCTGGCGAAGTTACTATGTTCGCAATGTCTCCAGAAAGGCCAAGGATCTCCTACCATGTGTTGGGGAAGACTTTAAAACGCTTCTCATGCTCCTTCTTCCACGTGAACTTGCTATGTCGGCCCTGTCTCTAAAATCAGCAGAAAAAAGATCCTATGCCTTGGAGAAAAAGCAAAGACATCCAATTGTGAAGAGTACCCAGCGATAGAGTCGCGGAACTACAACAATGAAGACACAACGGACAATATCCGGCGCTTCCTCTCCCCGCTGGCTCAAAAAAAAAGATATTATCTGCAAAGCACGCCTGGGGTAGAAGAAGAGGGATCCAAAGCGCTCGGAATCCAACACATGGAGCAGAACGACTCCAAATCAGTGGAGTTGGCGATCATGTGTCTCCTCCCCTTTCTCCCTCCGCACGAACTTGCTATATTCCCACGATCGCGAAAGCAGCGCCGCAGGAGCACATGTCTTGGAGAAAGGGGTGCCAAAGACCATGAGCTTGTCACATAGAGCACAATGTATTCGAAACCACGTTCCCTCGACATTATGGGGAACTTGGAGTGAACACCCTGTCACCAAAAATTGCCTTATCACATCACATGTCGTGGAGAAGGAAGAGGGATCCAAGGGCCATCCGTATTTCGACATGACGGAGCAGTGCGCGCGCAGTCATAAATTCGCTCGACCTCGTCATAAAGAAGATGAGAGTATACTACATATACGGTACCAGCAAAAAAGAAGAAGCAGTGCGAACCCAAAAAGGAATCAAAGTCTACGATGCGTCTCCTTCCGCCCCTAGAAACTTATCGTGCTAGTGCTTGTTCCAAAGAGCTTGCTTCCCAACTCGATGGCTGAGCAGCAGAGATCCAAACAAACAACAGCAATTTCGATGGCTCGGGACCCCCGAGGTTAATGACCGCAGTGCGATGCGTACTTCTTTCCTCCTTTGGGCATCCTACAAGATCCAGCTGTCGCCAAAAGAGTGAAATGCCAGTTACATGTCTTGAGAAAGAGGAAGCGGCATCTAAACAAACATAACCGCACAAAATTGAGCCCAGTGCACCCAGAAGATCTCGGCTATCCAGACCATGTGCGTCTCCTCCTGCGAGCGAGGACTTGAAGCTATTCAGACACAGAGTCATGCGCTCTGGTGGGACCAAAACGCAAGTGTGAACCTGACATGCTTCGTGCCAACAGAACAAAAGTTTTGCCTAGCCAGTTTATGTGTCCTTTTTCCGTTCTGCAATAACGGGCTAGAAACCAGGTTTACGCTCAGACATTCCCCTTCTGCTCGAGAAGCTTAAAGAAATACACGAATATGTCTTGGACCGAAGAGCGAGAATTAAAACTCAAAGGCGCTCGAATAATGTGGACGCGACTTCTCAACGTTGTACACAGCATCCTACGGCTTTTATTTCTTCACCGGGGAGGCTACAGTAAACCCATCCCAAAATTCGGCACAGATGACTTCGGCTAAAACCCCGATAGTCCTGATTACATGGCCGCGAGAACAAAAATTCGAACACTTCAAGATGAATGTTTCCCCGCCGGAGGCTTAATCAGAAACTTAGTTCGACATCGTCCATGTTTTCGCGGTCTAGAATCTCAGTCTTGCGGAGGATATTTCCTAGCTACCTTGAGGGTCGAAATCTTGACCGAGGTAGGGTATGGGGGAAGAACCGAAACAAAATGAACATATACAAAGGGAGTCCGTTCGGATTGGGTGCATTAAGACTCTCCTGGACAGAAAGCGGAGTATTGCAAAATGGAAGTGCATGTGCCGATGCTTATTAGTCTGCAAATTATCGGCTTACCTTTGCATGGCCTGCATCTCTCGAGGGTGAGCACGATAAGCTACATGGTTCTTTCGCTGCGAGAGAAGTCCGGAAAGAAACAACTGTGCGAGGACTTCGATGGAGGAACGCTGCCTTTTTCTCCCCCTATTCCATAAGGCTTTTCTCTACGAGCTTCGGCGATTGTAACTAAAAGAAGAAACAGCGCTCTCCGATGGTGCCGGCTCCGGAAAGGCTTGCTTACTTCGTTTATGGCCTCCCTTTCTGGTGGAGCTGAAGCGCAGTCTAAAGCTAGAATCATTGTCGGCGATGTTTTCTGAGTTGGAAAGAGATCTCCCAACTTTCATTGCGGCACTGGCTGCCTTGGGATCGAACAAAAATACGAAGCGCCGATGGGAAGAAAAAACGGACCCCCGCAATGTCTATGAGCGGAGAGCGTGAGAGGGCTGGGCACCACGGAACTCTCTTGGACAGATGGGGACGGGTGCCCAAAGACTTCGGTCCATTTCCGAAATTTTTGCTGGTAGGAATGGCTCCGAAGTCCTTCGTTATGGCTATAAGACCTCTCCCAAAAATTTGGGGGTTGACTTTGTGGTTCATTGGGGAAGCGAGACCAAACAAATGGACATACATCAAATGAACGTAACCCAAGCGACTTCTAAGTTTCTTACTTCAAAATTCATGGCCGTGCTTCCCCTCCTGCCTCTCGAAAAAGAGAGCCCTGCCCCAGTACGTCCGCTTTGGGCTTTGGGATCTTAACGGCTTGCTCGAGTACTCGAAAGACAACCCCTATTTCCTTTCATGTTGGTACTCGGGGTCCAGAGCGAGGGTAGAAGACGGTGCAGTCGCTCGCAAATGCCTATTTCAGCTGCAAAAGTCGACATTGGCAGCTTTCAACGGAAGTGGGGTCCGAAAACTCCTCACAATTGTCGTATGGAAAGAGAGGACGCCGGAACTGAACAGACCAAATCTTCTTGGATAGGACCTCATTCCATCCCCAGGATTTTGGAAGTCGCACCAAAACCACCACAACGCGGTCCAATGTCCTGAGCTGCCAGCGGCGCGGCTGCCCAAAATACTATGCGTGCTTTCTCGGCCCTTCTCTTCTTCTTCCTGCCTTCGATAACTGCCTTGGTGGGCTGGTCAAGATATTCGTCTCACGGCCCTACTGTCTCCGAAACATCTCATATATCTGGACCATGAGCTTAGAAGGAAAGAAATGAAAATGAACGAAGTCAATCATATGGAGTAGCGAGGCAAAATATTCCACGTACTCCCGCACTATGCTTCTGCGGACCACCAAAATACCACAAATACCAGTGCCATGGAAATGCCTGGCCAAAAAAGATACTGCATTTCAACATGGCTGTAGTCTTCCCAAAGTCAGCGGACGCTTCCCCTTGCTCGAACGGAGAATGTCCACCTATAATAAATAGTCCAAGGCGCCTGCTACTTCCATGAGGCACACTATCCCCAAACATGGCTTTCTCTAAAACCGTCAAGAATGGAATTCGATAGGCAGGGGCTGTAGGGGCTGAAACGTACAGGTTAGAAAATACTGACTTGGAGGCTTATCACTTCTCTTAGAGCGTTCGAGATTGAAGGATTTTCGCCGGGGAGGATCAAAACCCAGCAAGCGGAAGCTCATGTCTCGTTCTGACAAGCAAGCTGGCGATACGGCATCATAAAGAGATGCCCAAAAACCCATGCTTCTCTCCGCCAAACCTTGAGCAGTATTAGTCCAAAATACACACATCTAAGCTCGAACGACTTTCTGCTCTTCCCATCCATAAAGAAACCGTGGATGCATACGTAGTGGAAGTGCTTCACCACCACCATCGAGTAGTGATATCGACACAATTCTCGTTGAAAGCCCGACCAGTCCGACCAGTAGATATGTAACTCCAGAGAAGGCCGATTCAGCCATTGCGGCGATGAATGCCTGTTTTAAAACGTCAGGAGTGCTCCGCATGTTGCATGCGGCCGACCCTTTTAGTCCTACGCGAAACTGGAGGTGGACTGCAGTGTCAAGGAGGGGAAGGCCAAAGCGGGTTTATATACCCTTTCGTCGACTGGAAAACGGAGGGTTGGAGACTCCGATATGTGGAACAAGGAAGGATTTAGAATCGCTGGGCATATGGTTTTTGACTGTGATTGCCGGGAAAGTAGAGTGCTACGGCCATTTCCAAGTGGTGTATAGCCCGCCGTTGATCTACCGTCTTGCTGTGCTGAACAATTGTAGCTTCTATCCATCGTCCGTAGAATACCGACACAGGCCATAGTAGTCTTGTGTTATGGTTTCTCTCCGGCCACGACATTTGGGAATTGATAATTTTAGACATGGCTCTTGCTGTTACCCTTTTTAGACTCCAAAGAGACCCTCCACATTTCTAGATGTGTTGATCCTTTTTAGTGGGAGAAGAAAAGGCGGTTGGAATGTACAGTACCAGGTCAAAAGTTCGGTTACAGCTCAACGCACGGGCTTCATCACCCACCATTTTCAACCCACCTTTTTGTAAATATTTATCGTACAATACTCTATATACTGAATTTTTTTTTGGCGGTTTCGATAATTTGGTGTTCAATACTTCGTTTGCCGCCCTCGGGCTTTACGGCAAGCCTCTAGTCGTCGCGGCATACTAAGTATGAGGGTCTTGATGAGCGCATTAGGTATTTTCCGCCACGACGCCTTCAGAGCTTCACAAAAGCCATCCCGCTCACTTTCTGCTGTACTGAAATTGGCGTACTGTGGATAATCGCGATGGAGTAGCTTTTTGAGAGCCCACCAGAGGTGTTCGATCGGGTTGAGGTCTGGTGAGTAGGGTGGCCATTCTGCCACCCAGATGCCATGCGACTCCAAGAACTCGCGAGCTTCGTAGGAGGTGTGTATACGAGCGTTATCCTGTACAAATATTTCCCCGAGCTTGTAATACGGTATAAGGCCTTCCTTGAGGGCTTCTAGATAACTCCAGGTGGTGTACCCATTGCGCGCGGAGGTGTTATCGCGTTCCATGATGATCAGGGGACTCCGTCGCGGGCGACCCCGATTATCGAGCCATATTGAACCCTATACCATCTGAGCCGGCCGACGCGATTTAGGGACCTCTGTAATCATCTCCGGCTTCCATTTTTCTTCTAGGTATCGAAAACACCACTCGGTGTTGTGGCCAGAAGTCTTCTGTACAGAGCACTCATCAGTGTGGATGAACAGAGAGGTGGTCGGGGTTTATATACATTTCCCTCGTCCGAAACACGCAGCCAGAGTGCATTCGACATCCCTAGGATAAGAGCAACGCGGAGCCTTGCGCGAGTCAGCATCGCGCCCGTGCGCTCTTTTTTGTTGGTGTGCAAAAGGGGGCTCATCGCCCATGGGTGGGCGAGGCGCGAGTCAAACCTCCATCTATCACCACATTACTCTACCTGACGACTTCAGGAAGAGGGAGAACTCCACATTGTCCATTGCGTGATCTTTTTAGTCTCAGATTCCAGCCATAAGACTCAAGAAGACTGGGATTTAGGCATCGTGATGCAAGACATGAATTTTAAGACCCACGGAGTCCATTCCGCATGCCGTCTTCGTCCCGGCATTTTTAGTGCCTGAAGTAGTCGAGGAGCGCGCAGTAAAGTGGAGAGGAGCAGGGAAGAGGAGGGGGATATATATACGCTTTGGCCCGGGCGGGGCGGGGCAGGACGGAGCTCGCTGTGCATAATGCCGTGACGGATGTCCAGGGATCGAACCTACAGGATGAAGTGACGCACGCCGCAATGTGAAAGAACATTTCCATTGCAAAACGACGCGGTGCCTTGCTACCCCAAGACGGCCCTGATCGAATGTACTAGTGTTATGCCGGCCCGAAGAGCCAGACATGCGCACTTCGCGGATAGGTTTTATTCTCTCCACCCTAGTTGGAATGATGTCTTAATGCCAACGAAGGTTTCTCCCCATACTGCGGTCCGGTTCATATTTTAGTGTAGGAGCAAGAGATGTGGAGTGAGTAAGGAAGCTGACACGAGAGACGAAGGGGCTTTTATACTCGAGGGCGGAAAGGTCGCAGACTGTGTTCTCGTCAGCAAATAGCACTCGGAAGCAAAACTGCACATGATTGGTGAGTGGCAAGCCGGAGAGAGTATCCATTTCGCACTGAGCGACTTATTAATCCGATAGCCATTTCGCTAGCTTTTCTTTGACGCCCAAAACCCCTGTGCGCCTAACCAACGCCGATTATACCCAGAAATTACACCAGATTTTGCTGCCGTATGAGCAAGCAAGAACGCAGACCAAGCAATTCCATATTCGCCGACGAGTGTCAGAAAGCATGACTGATTGCTGCGGAACGTCCGTTGGGAATCTCCACCTGCGCCTAGACGCCCGCTTCCTCCGGATCGACATTCAGGTTCCAATCGATCTCCGAACCCTTGCCATAGCGCTGCACCAACCACTCGTTCGCCTTCTTGAAGTGTCCGCAATCGAACTACTCGACGTCAGCTTCATGCACCACAACGCTGCAGCCTAGCACTTACAAAGCCCCTACTCGCACTAAGCGGACTGGGATGCACACTCCTCAGAATGAGGTGCTTCTCCTTATTTACATCCTTGACGCGCTGCGCCGCGGGGCTGCCCCAAGCCAAGAACACTACGCCTGTTGTGCGCACCTTCGCGACGGTGTCGATCACCTTCTGAGTCAGGAGCTCCCAGCCCTTGCCGGAGTGCGAGTTAGCTTCGCGGGCCCGGACAGTCAAGCACGTATTGAGGAGCAGGACGCCGCGGTCCGCCCATGGCGTCAGCAGACCGCCCTTATTGGGTGGAGCCTCGAAGTCGGGGTAGTCTTTCTTGAGGGCCTTGTAGATGTTCTGGAGGGATGGTGGGGCGTTAGTCGGTGGGCGGACGGAGAAGCAGAGCCCGTGGGCTTGATTGGGGCCGTGATAGGGATCTTGACCGGTGATGACGGCCTTGACGGTGTTGAGCGGCGTGTGACGCGACCTGCACGCTCATGGTCAGCAATTGGCGTGCACGAAGGCAGTATCTAGCTGTCATACCAAGAATACACGTCCTTCATGGGCGGGTACACTGTCTTCCCACTCGCTAGCTCTTTCTTCAAGAACCGCTTCAGCTCCAGAAACGTCGGGCTGGTCAGGACATCTTTGAGATGCGGCAGCCAGCTATCATGCAGCGTGTCGATCTCCAGCTTTAGCAGCTCCTTCTGCTCGTCGGTAAGCTTCGCCACCCACGCGTCTTTGTCGAACTTTGCGGCTGCATCTGCCTTCGGTTTGGGCGCGCCGAAGAACGACGTGATGCTCGCGTTAACCTTGGGCTTCTTTGCTGCGTCTGCGGCGACCTCTGCTGCCTTCCGCTTGAGACTCATGGTGGCGAGAGGCAATTGATTGGGGCAATTAGTTTGTTGAGGTGCGGAGAATGTTGCAATGGAGTGTGGAGGTGATGAGCGGAAGCTCCAGGCAGCGAGACGCGAGGTTGGGAGTCGCGTCTCAGGGTCCAATCGCAAGCCGCTAGATGATCCTAGCGTTAATTTCCCCACGTGAAACCGTGACGGAGGCGTGTCTCGCCTAACTTGGGAATGACGTAGCCGCATGCGGCCCTTGTCACCTCACACGTCGCCTGGCAGGGAAGCGTACAAGGCATAACAGCCTGGAATCTCGATAGAAGCCTCATAGCAAATCAGAGGCAGTAAAGCGGCTGATAGACATTGTGATGCCCGTTAAGAGTTGTTTGCCCAGCATCCCGCGACACGGTTGTGCCTGCTCCTCCAGGCAACATAACGTCAGAGCAAACCCGTAGGTGAGACGAGAAAGCATATAAAGGCCCTCTGTCTTTCAGACTGCGAGCTTCCTTCTTCATCACACACTCTGAACTTTCATCCAACTCAAAAAGACCAACTCAACAAAGCTACATCAAGCCCTTCATCATGTCCGCCACCAACAACCCAGCCAACTTTGCCAACCTCCCCAAGGACGAACTCCGCGAGATCGCGGCCAAGGGTGGTCATGCTTCTCATGGATCGAGCAACGCGGCAGCTGAGGTACGTCAACCCGTTTTCATCACCCTTGGTAAAGTCATCTTCAAGAGCTAACGTCCATTAGTCTCACCCCGACCGCAACCCAGACGGCACCTTCACCAAGGGCTCGGAGCTCGCCAAGGAGCTTGGATCTATCGGTGGTCACGTCGCTCAAGAGCATCAACACCAAAAGACCGAAGACGATGGCGTGAGTGCTTATACTACTTGACTCCCCGCCAGCGTGGCTGACGTCGTGCAGCGCAACCCCGATGGCACCTTCAAGCAGGGCAGCAAGTTGGCGCAGGAGCTGGGCGCTCAAGGTGGACACGCCGCCCATGAGAATTGAGCGGTGATTCTCTGCTCGGATCGGACTGAAAATATAGAGACAGGATTTCTTGGGCCGGTGCTAGTTTATGACTTGATGACCCTGCCCTGAATAGTTAATGGAATGGATCCATTGCCTATATGACATTCTCTTGAAGCTCCGTGGTTCTTGCCAGTCCTCCTCCATGTATCTGCTCAAGGCATTCCAGCGCACTTCAGCCAGTGCAGCATACCACCCAGAACACTGCCCTTGACGTTGCCACATCGCGTCCTCAGTAGGGTGTCCAAGAGGATGCCGCATTGAAGCGGGCAATATACCACCTTTGTCCGGTACTAATGAGCCACTGGCCTTAATAACGGATGAGTCCCTTTTCTTTCAGATGCATGCCAAGCTCCACCCTGAAGTCCTTCCGTTCGTAACTCGCCTCGTAACTCGACACAGCGAGGTCTTTATAGTCTTCAGACGTTAGAAAGAAGGCCTCAAAGCTGATTTTAGAACGATCCCAGGCTTGTAGGAACGAGAGAAGCCGCTCGTTTTCATTCTCGGGGAATAATTCTCGTCTGCGAAGGGCAGCTCTAAGAGTCTCATGTGCATACGGCTGAATGCGACGTAAATTGGTAAAGTAGTCGGACGCTTGGAAGATTTTGTTCAGCCAGCCATGGTTAATGGTATCGCACTTTCCAAGGTACAGTTTCAAACATCTTAGGCTCGGGGGGAGTTCTGCTGGAGGTTCGGAGAACTGCGAGCCCCGGAGACCGTCAGATACCTCATAAGCGAGTACCGAGTAAGGCGCCGAAAGGTGAGTAAGGTTCCTGAAATGCCTCAGATCGGGACCTCGCAGCGGCATCAGCCATCGGTCTTGGAAGCCATCATGTTGAATGTCCAAGGTGACTAACTTCTCTTGGAGCTGTGGGAGTAGAGACAGCAACCACTCGGGTCGTCGTGGAAAGCGCATAGGCAGAGGATGTGCAACATAGTTAAGGATGGCCTTCGCGACAGCCACATGGCGGAGTGTGTGCATGCCGAGGGTTATCTGGTTTAGATTCGTGGATATGGCGAAGAAAGCCAAGAGTGACACGGAAGGGAAATCCTCTGAATCTCGAACTCCGTCCTTCCACCGGCCCCTATAGGGTGAGTCCAATGTCTTATCCATGATGGCGCAGTAGGCCTTGACTTCTTCCCGAGGAGGATTCCGTTTCCTGTTATCCAATTGGTAAGGTGATATGAGCTGGATATGCGAGACAATTTTGGCGAGCTCGGGATACTGGAGCAAAAATCGGACGAGTCTCCAAAGGCGGGTGTGGGTGACGGCAATATTCCTGACTAACCCCTCTTGGCCAATGCTTCGGAGGCGTCTGCATGTCAAAGACAGATTCCGGAGATTTTGACTGAGGTTGCGCCTCAGAGTGAGAATCCTCCAATCCTTGATGTTCGCCTCCACCTCTTCTGCGCAGTTCTTGCCGTCAATGTTGAGAGCTATGTTGAGCAAGAGCTCGTCTGGCAGAGTGAGCAGCTTCGAGCCGGCGACAGGTATTCCGGAAGCCTGAGGCCCCTCAAGGACACTTTGTCGCTTGTGGTCGCGCATGTCGAAGACCGGACGTTTGGGGCAAGAAAGTCGAAAGCGGGTAGGGCGCACGCGTCCGTCAAGAATGTGGGTGGGGGAGTCGCTGCAGCAGGCCCTGCACAAGTTGTTGAGGAGCGAAGCGTACCAAAGGCAGCCGCGACCAGGAAAGCCAAAGCGCGAAGCCCTTCAGCAGCACTTCACTCTCACTTCTTCTCTCCTACTCACCAATTTTCGATCTAGTCAACCTTAGGTCGACCGCCACCATGACGGTCGGTGAGGATCTTATGAAGCTTCCAGACGAGATCCTGCTGGATATTGCACTCAGGTTTGCCGGCCGCAAGCGCAACAAATATTTGATGAACCTGGCTCTCGTCGACCGCCGTTTCCGTGCCATCGCACGCGAAGGCCTCGTTCGAATCGGCATTGTTACACTGTCTGGCCTCCCCCAGTACATTGAGCTGCTGGCGCAACATCCACACTGGGCCGGCCACATCACTCGTCTCGAGCTCGGAAAACACGACTGGACAACAGGATGGCTTGGACGCTGGAATATGGCTCGGTTGAGCGCTGAGGCACTCGCTGCATGCGACGACACCATCGACCGAACATGGCCGCTAGGCGAACGGGAGCGCTTAAAGCATGATCTTCGTTCTCACTGGGATTACACTGGCATCTGCCTCTGCATGCTCATTGGCATGTTGCCCAACGTGAAGGAGCTCTCTGTCGGGACCAGCTCTTTCCAGATGCAGTTTATGATGCGTCTTCTTAACATCCGATGTCATCTTCACCGGCGCGACGAGTCCGCAGAATCCCTGGGCTTCCAGCATGTTGCCAACCTCCTCGCAGAGAAGCTCCACGTCTTGAAAATATCTCGCGAATCCCCAACCGGGCTCCACGAGACGGAGAGCATGTTCGACACACAATCCCTCTCGAAGCTCAAGTTTCTATCCATCTCGGGAGAGAGTCTTACTCCGTCGCGAATAGCGATCACTAGCCGGCTCGTTAAATCAACACTATCTCCAAGTCTCGAACACTTGCGCATATTCTACGATTGGAAAACCTTCTCTTTAGGTTGGCTGAAGCAGCTGTATAATTCCAGAGAGTGCTTCAATGGTTTGCGAGTCGTCCAGTTGTACTTCAGGTGCACCTTTGAGATGTTCATGCAATATGTCGACGTCCCCGTGTTTAAGATTGAGTTTCTGTATTTCTTGGAAGCCTGGAGCAAGACGGCGGTCTCCTTCGAAACGTTTTTCGTCCTTCCTGGGCGGCCCGCGGAGGTGGAGGAGCCATCCAACTTCGGTAGACATTGCCTCTTTGCCCCCTTGGAATCCCTCCTAAGGCCACGGCCACCCACCGATGGATATCTGTTTGGTCGAGCAGCACAGCGCTCCAACAGGACAGAAGAGCAACGCGGGTTGTGCTAGTCGGCGGGGTCTAGCAAGACGGATACTGCTAAACTGCAGGCCGAAACGGTGCTGAACGAACGGATCAAAAGGCGTACTATAGTATGGCGTGCTTGGCTTAGAGCTACTGGTAGCGCATCAGTAACGAACATGTCAAGGGATTGGTGAATCAGGGCGACATATCTTTCTTCTTATGCGGCGTTCTTGGGCACAACCCATCATCAAAAGCAAAATGGTCGTTCTTTTCCATCGCAACGCATGAGACCCGCTGATGAGGATCCCAACAAGGAAAGACGATCTCGCCGCACTTGCCACGAGGCGTCAAAGATGTGTATTATTGACATCTGAGCGTTCATGCGCTTTCTCGCCTCAACCTCCTCTCCACTGCCTAGGTATCGCGCACGCTCTTGTCAGTCGTCCGGATCATCCTCCCGAAGCCGACCAGCTCGCGATGCCACGTCAGGCCAAGCTCCCACACCAGAGAGCGGGATCGCTAGGGATGCGGCGGGGATGCACGATCTACCGTCGCGCTCCAAAGGCATCGAAGACACGTCGAAGGCCAATCCCGCGGTTGGGCTGCGCTGGTCAGCAGCCACGCAGGCGGGACGCGGGCGCGCGGACGGCGGGTTGCGCCATCATTCGACAGCATGAAGGAGCCTGCGGCCGTCGCATTTCACACGCGCTGGCTGGAGGATTGCAGCGGGCGGTGAAACGCGCTGACATGCCGGCGGTTGAAAATCGAAGGCAATTTATTAGGCGAGGCGTGGTGCGGTGTCGCCCGATCAGGAAGGAGCTGCCCCCCGGCACCCGTGGCTTTGGTAACGCCCACTCGATTCCCACAGCGCTGGGTGGTTTTGCCTTCTCCACGAGCCCGACACAGGAACCTCGACATCTCGAGACTGGCCCGACGACATGTCTCTGACCATTCCTGTGCCCCCGCGCGACACCAGCCCGCCGTCGTCCGTCGAGGCAGTCAGCCCGCGCTCCATCATCGAGGCCGACGTACGTACGATGCAGTGCAGAGCGCAGCTCTCGCCGCCCGTCGAATCCAGCTAACCGCCGTCTTCATGTAGTCCGACCCCTCGGATGGACTGGAAAGCTGTGACACGTTGGTCTTCCCTGCCTGCCTGCGCTCCAATTGCCCCTGCTGACAACTCTCAGGAGCACCAAGTCAGTCAACCAGAGCATCTTCGACTTTGTACGCGAGAATGGCAGGACCTACCACCGCTACCAGGCCGGCTGTAAGATATACCAATGAGACACGTACCCTGCCAAATGACTGACGGACTCGTAGCGTATCCTTTTCCCAACGACCAGGTACTTCCCGCCCCAAGCCCGCTCCTGCGCCCGCCCGCGGACCTCCATCGCTGACCACTGCGCATGTAGTTTGAGATCGAGCGGATGGACCTACAATTCGAGATTCTGAAGGTGCTGTTCAAGGGACGCAATTTCTTCGCGCCACTAAAGGACCCACGCAAAATATTCGACATTGGCACAGGAACAGGCAAATGGGCGATAGAGATGGGTACGTGGCTATCACGCATCTGTGGAGCGACAGGCGCTGACAATCGCAGGCAATACGTTTCCAAAGGCCGAAGTAGGTCGCCATAAGACCCCCAACGCGCTTCTCTGACGTCTCTTCAGGTTACAGGAACAGATCTCTCACCCATCCAGCCCGAGTGGTAGGCATATCTGTGAAACACACAGTAACTTGACTGAACTAACTGTCGCAGGGTACCGAACAACGTCAAGTTCGTCATCGACGATGCCAACGAAGAAGACTGGATGCTAGATCCTATGGACTACATCCACACTCGCCTCCTGGCTGGCAGTTTCGAGGACTTTCGGGACGTCATCGCGAAATCGTTTCGCTACTTGAAGCCTGGTGGCTGGATGGAATCCCAGGAGATGATGACAACAGTTTATTGTGATGACGGAACAATGAGCCCAGATTTCGCTTTCGCAGAGTGGACGCAGACGCAAGACCAAGCTGCCATGAACCTCGGGAAGCCTCTTCGCATCGCAAACAAGCTGAAACGCTGGTACGAGCAAGCCGGGTTCGTGGATGTCCACGAGGAAGTATTCAAGCTGCCCATCAACTCGTGGCCGAAGGATCCGCAATTCAAGATGCTCGGCCGGTTCAATGAGACCAATCTTCTCGACGGGCTGCAAGCTTTCAGCCTTCAGCTGTTCCAGAGAGGCCTGAACTGGACCAAGGATGAGATCGAAGTCTACTTGGTCCATGTCCGAAAGGCGCTATCGGATCGGAATGTGCACGCCTACCACAAGATGTAAGTGGACCTTTACCACCCCATCTACGAGGCTCATGCTGACGGGGGAAGCTACGTGGTCTGGGGGAGAAAGCCAGAAGAAAACGAACTCGGTGTTCCAAGCCCGCCGTCTCAGCCTACGTCCTAACGAGTCGCCTCGCATAGTTTCTGATGTACACGCATAACGAATTTCCTTGCCTTCAGTCTTCAGCATTTCAGCGGTGCAAAAGCGGTTCATCGGCGGCTATTTCCGGAGTTTTCGTCATTCGCGCAACCTCGCACTTTCGAAGGACTTCTGGCATCGGTGGAGCTAGGCGTACTTTCTGTTCTTCGCATCCATGCATTAAGCACATCGGGGGCCTTTTGCTGTTTCCAAAAGCCGATTCTACAGTCGGACATCGTCGATTCTGTTGGATAATGGACCGAATTTGAGCGTTGGAGTACGAGCATGGTGTTCATTGAAGATTGGCACAAGCAATTGAATACGGAACGAGGTTTGGAACCCAGCAAATGTTATATCATGTTGCTCTTGGTTATTATTAGCCCATCCCGCTTTCCCCTTCCCCCATCTCCAGTCCCTAATACCCCACGCGGCTCCCTTGCTTCGACGTTCTGCAGGGACGAGCCCGCGACGGCGGCATCTTTAGGGCCTTGATTCACCCTGAAACGCACAGTTCCCGACAACCGGGACACCCGACTCTTACGAATTCGTATTTCAGCATACTTTCAGCACACATTCCTGCAGGGACACGTTTCTGACTGGAATGCAGGGCTTGCACGTGATCGAGCGATTGCCCAGCATCTCCGACACTCCGAATTGGTCAGGTCTTCTTATTGGTCGCTTCCGCGGGGCAGAGATAAGGGCCAAGCGATCATCCCGCGCAGGACGGGAGCTAATCCCAACACTGACGACGATGCATCCAGGCACGGAACGGCTTCTTTGAGCTCTTGGAAAATGTCAAGCTTCGGACTCCATATGGCCAAGAAATGAGGCACAGGTAAGAAAAGCCCTGGAAAGCTTCTCTCGACGCAGCAGTATTTCGGAACGTCTTGCGGGGTTTGCGATGCTGGAGCTGACGTTCACGGCTTGGCTGCCGTAGGATCTACCCGGGGAGAAGATAAGGATATAGCGGTCGACGAATGAAGGTGTCGACGACCGATAGGACTGCGAAGGCCTTCAGCATGCACAGTACGATGATGTAGGAGGATCGGGTAACATTTGGGATGGGCTTCGCCGCGGAAAAAGCGGTTCGTGAGCGTTTATATAGACCCAGGAGCCATCTGAATTTCTGCTACTGATAAGGCCCACAGAAACGTAGAAAGCGCCAGCGCTACTGGATGTGCAAGATAAGCGGATCAACAATCAGGCTGTTCGCTGGCCAATGGTTCCCTTGATGCCCTCGCCAGCTTTTCTTCTTCGGACGAGATGGCTATCCAAGCTCCCAGCGCATTCATGATTTCAGTTCACGATCTCTGATTGTCTGCATCTAGCTTGATGCCAACTCGCATCTTCTGAGCATCAAGACCGTCCAAGCAAGCCACCCGTTGCATCTCGACCCAGCCACCATGATATCGATGCTCCCATAGCCCTATCTGCAAGCATTCGCCTCGCGCTTGTACCGTTCTAGGGGCCGCCACAACCTCTCCAATGGCTCCCACACGCAGACCCCGGTCGATGTAGGGATCGCAGTATGGGACGGATCTTCCCCGCGGAATTCGCATGATCCCCTTGGCTATTTCATCGGAGATGCTTGACTTGCCGGCACACGTCAGTGGTCGCGTTTGGCGGAGTATTAATATCGACTTGTAAGTCGCACGGGCTGAGTTGTCTGTCTCTCGCTAGCTCTTTCACGACTTCAGAGGACTTTAAAACGCGGAGCGAGAGCTACGAGCTATTTGCATAGCTCAATCGCGGTCAAGATGGTCAATTTTTCGCTCCTCTGGGCGCACCCCGAGATCAACCCCATCAACAAGAAAGCGCGATCAATCCCGTTCCTCAATCCTGTCTCCGACCGCTATGGCCGCGTCTTCTTCTTCTCATGGTTCGGCTTCATGATAGCATTTTGGTCGTGGTATGGTGAGTGACATCAACCCGCATACTGCTTATCTCGCAGCATCCCTACACGCGCGCTTGCTAGGAAGATTGCTGATCCGGGGCATGCAGCCTTCCCGCCTCTCCTGGCGGATGTCATCGCGAAGGATATCCATATGCAGCAGTTCCAGGTTGCGAACTCTAACATTATCGCACTGACGGCTACGTAAGTTTTTCTTGCCAATGTAACCGTAGGGCCATGACTAACACGTTCACAGGCTAATCGTTCGTCTTGTCGCTGGTCCCGCCTGTGATCACTTCGGTCCAAGGAAGACCTTTGCTGGCTGCCTCCTTGCTGGTGCCGTTCCTACCTTTCTCGCCGGCGCCGTGTTCAATGCCTCTGGACTCTACGCTTTGCGCTTCTTCATCGGTATTCTCGGCGGCTCCTTCGTTCCCTGCCAGGTCTGGACGACCGGCTTCTTCGACAAGAATGTCGTCGGCACCGCGAACGCGCTGACAGGCGGCTTGGGCAATCTTGGCGGAGGTGTCACATACTTCGTCATGCCCGCCGTCTACAGCAGCCTCGTCCGTGACGGCCTCGCGACCCACAAGGCCTGGCGTGTCTCTTTCATCGTGCCCGGCATCCTGATCGTCTTCGTCGCTCTTTGCCTGCTCCTCCTCTGCGACGACACGCCTACCGGCAAGTGGAACGACCGGTTCGCTGCTGCAGAAGAAAACATACGCCGCCACTCGGTAACCGGCGTCGTTGACGTGCCCGGCACTGTTACAGATGTCCCAGGCAACATCACCGACGCGCCCATCCCCGTCGACAAGGAGCGCGAGCACTCCCTCGGCACCGCCTCCGACGAAGAGAAGCCCCACGGCTGGAAAGACAACGAGCACCAGACGACCGACCAAGAAATGCTCGACACAGCCCGCGGCGAAGTCATCCAGAAACCCTCGTTCAAAGAAGTCGCTTCCGTGATGATCAGCCCGCAGACCATCGTAACCGCCGCCTGCTACTTCTGCACCTTCGGCGCCGAGCTGGCCATCAACTCCATCCTAGGGAACTACTACATGAAGAACTTCCCGACGATGGGGCTCCAAAACACGGGTAACTGGGCCGCCATGTTCGGCCTCCTAAACGGCGTGACTCGGCCGCTCGGCGGGTACGTAAGCGACCTCGCATACCGCCGCACACACAGCGTCTGGGCCAAGAAGGCCGTCCTACACAGCTACGGCATCCTCACGGGCGTCTTCCTCATCGTCATCGGCGTGCTCGACTCCAAATCGCAAGCCACCATGTTCGGCCTCGTGGCCGGCATGGCCATCTTCCTCGAGGGTGGGAACGGCGCTGACTTCGGCCTCGTGCCGCACGTCCACCCTTATGCGAACGGCGTCGTGTCGGGCTTCACTGGCGCGGCGGGCAACTTCGGCGGTGTTGTCTTCGCTATCATCTTCCGGTATAATGGCAAGGACTATGGGAAGGTGTTTTGGATTATTGGCGTTATGACTATTGGGATTAATTTGGCTGTGGCGTGGATTAAGCCGATTCCGAAGGGGCAGGTTGGTGGGCGGTAGTCGGTGGGGAGAGGGGAGGCGTTAGAGGGCAATGAATGGATCATTCGGCATGTTGTACATGTATACATGATGGGTGGGTGCGGAAAACGGGCGCGGCGTTTTGTGTCTGAGATATCCAAGTTTTGTACTTTGACGTACTGGAGACTGTAACGAGCATTTATGATTGCATTTGTCTTGCTGCGGGTATATCCGATGACTATTTATCTCCATCACGACTTACCATGGCCGACTTGTCGCAGCCAACAGACCCGGTAATCCTGCATAAATTCTTCAACTTGCCAGCGCCAGAGGAATTGGCGGATAGGATATCCTCCTGTCGAAATGCGGAAGCATGGAAGAAGACTGTACGTTGCCCGATTCTCCCGCCTAGCCCGAAGCTTCGCCTTCTGGACCTAAACAATGACTGCCTCAACGTTATCGTCGACCTTGCCCATGACATTGGCAGAAATGCCGTAGAGGTGGGCTGAGGAGGGAACGCTTAAGCGAGTAGCGCTAAGCCGATTTTGTGATGCCGTACGAGCACCCTAAAGGCAGCCTTTAACCGTGCATGGCTGAGATATAGGCAGCGGAATCTTTCTTCTATTCCTTCATATGCAGCTATAGAAGGCGACTAGTGGCAGACTCACAGTTCTCGCTTTTGCCGCGAGATGTTCGAATCAAAGCGAGAATGGGCGTGACGTCATATGCTGATGGAATGCCGGAAGGGGACCGGAGTTGAGGAGCGCTGGAGACGATTATAAGCTGACCTTTGCATCGTGTGTGTTCTCTAGGACGCAATTCTTGTTCGGCTCATATCCTATCCTGAAGTTCTTCAGGCCATCATCCTTCACCATGGCTCAACCTCCTTCGGACTTCCCATGGCACCCAATCCCCTCCTCCTCTTCGGACTCGACATGCAAAGTGTACCTCCTCCAAGCGGGCGGCCTCGCCGTCCCGGAAGCCCTCACGCTCTTACCGGGTCCCAACGAGCCGAACGCCTCGCTTGACCCGAAGAACCCGGAACCCTACTCCAAGAAGTTCTACGCCCCGGACTACGTCTTCCTAATCAAGCACCTACCCACGGGCAACCACTACATCTTCGATCTCGGCATGCGGAAAGACCTGCACAACCTGCCTCCCAGCGTCGTTAAGGGCGTGCTGCCGGCGTTCGACTGCGAGCCGAAATCCCCAGCCGAGATTCTGAAAGAGCACGGGAGTCCAGAGCAGCAGCCTGAGCACGTCAAGGCAGTCATCTTCTCGCACATGCATTTCGACCACGTGGGCGACGGAGCGAAGGCTGGGTTCGCGAAAGCGGAGCTCTGGATCGGTCCGACGTGTTGCACCTATGCGCGGCCGGGGTATCCGGAGGATGAGAAGCATTCTGTGTTGAGTGAGGACTTACCTATGGATGGCAGTAGGAGGATTGTAGAAGCCTTCGTGTCAGATGCGCTTCTTGAGAAAGCGGGAGATAAGAGGGTGGGCAAGGTTGCACAGGCGAAGTCTGAGGGTTTATATAAAGCTGTTGAGCTAAGGGATCCCGGCGATAAGGGATGGATTGGGCTGGGGCCTTTCGACCGCGGCTTCGATGTCTTCAGCGACGGTGTGGCGTACATCATCGATGCCCCGGGACATGTGGCTGGGCATCAGATGATGCTTGTCCGCGTCAAGACGAACGCATCCGGCGATGATGATTTCGTGCTGTTGGCTGGCGATTCCTATCACCATCCCTCGCTATTGAAAGATCCGAGACTGACCGCGCGACCGCCGTATTCGAAGAGCTCGATGCATTCCGATCCCGAGGTTGCCATGGACACTATGGGCCGCGCGAAGACGATGTCAGAGAAGGTCAATATCTTGGTCGTGGGCGCTCATGACCCAAGTGTCGGGGAGGCGATTGCTCCAGGGCAGAAAGAGATCATGGGCCTCGTGGAGTTGAATGACTGGCGCCGGAATGGGTGGAAGAAGCCTCCCCAAGCATCTCTCTAGCAGGGAAACAATTCCACGCGTTTTCTCCTCGCCGTCTTCCACGTCTTTCTGCATGAACTCCTCTTCCCCTGTGCCCATGCCGCGGCTCGCCCAAACAACCACTCCACCAGGAACCCCTACAAGCTTGCGTAGCCTCAGGCTTCACCTCCCATCCGAATCACCCCAAAGCCACGTACCCTGAACCTCCACCTCTCCATGCACCACCCTTATCGCACAGCGCCGCCCATCCACGCAAGCCCAAACCCTTCTCCCGCCAAGCCGACGCAAGCTCCAGCAACCTGGAACACACGCACTTGGCTCGAAACACCCAAAGCTTGACCATCCTCGGCCGAGGGGTCCCTAACCCGCAAGGCTGACCCGAGAATACCGAGCCCCGCGGGCCCTGCTTGCTGTCGTTCCATGCACGAGCGGCATCCGGAACCATGGCGCCAAGAGGTGCGTCTCAAGAGCAGGCAGGGCAGTGGAATAGCCGCAGGATTTGCCGCGGCGACGGGCAGTGTTTTGAGTGGCTTGAAGCGTGCTTCGCAGTTGCGGCGGCGCATGAATGGGAGTGGCGTGATTGTTGCTTCCGCGGAGGACATCTGAGAAGTCTTGGGCGCTCAGGGCTGTTGCAGGCAAGACTTGTCGCTCATTTCTCAGTCTCCTAACACGTGGGACTTCCTGAGATATCAGGCCATCGGCGTTCTTGGGCGGCTCAAGTCACGTTTTGAATCTGCTTCAAATTTTTTTGAATATTCGTAGAGTGTCTACTACGGAAGTGGGTGGTTCTAAGGTATCGTGATGATGGGTCGATTCCGAAATCCCAGGAAAGCCGCTTGCAGCCTTCTTAAGATTAGGGAATGGAATGGGGGTACAGTACTAATGATGATAATACGCTGCAAAAACCGACGACAAGACACGTAGATCGAACAACAACACCACCAACCATGATGGGAGGATGGGGAAAATGGGGGATAGAGGTAGAAGTAATATGTACCGGGTGATAAGTGTCGAATTCGCTGTTTTCATCGTTCTTCCTTCGCGCAAAATGCAGAGTGAATCGCCTCCTCTAGATAGAATACTGAGACGCACTGAGTGCGCGACTAGAAGTTCTCCTTACCCCACACGAAGTTGAAGCCGGGCTCCGAGTACATGTTACACTTGATGTGGAGCGTGGAGCCGAGCACTTTGGGGCCGCAGAAGAAGACGCCTGCTTCGGCGGGCGCGTGGATCTTGCGGATCGACTTGAAGATCATGTCCCAGTTGGGGCGGCCGAAGTTGGTGGGGGCGCGCAGGCCGGTGATGGCATCTTGCTCGGCATTGGCGTCGTTGATCATGATGTTGGTTGCGTCGTCGGCCTTGATCTTGGCGGTAAGGTACTGGGAACTTCATTAGCTCTTCGTCCATCTTTATTGACAGGTTGGGTGGACTTACAGTGTGGATCTCAATGTGGTCCTCGAGATCCTGCGCCTCGATGGCCAACAGCAGCGACCTGAACCACTCGAACGAGCCGAAATCCCTGCAAATCCAGAAGAAGTAGACCTTTCGGAGTCGCGTTCTGCCCTGCGGGTAGTTCATCCGGTACCAGATGCTCTTGAGGATGGAAGCGAAGGGCGTCACGCCGATACCGGCGCCGACTAGCACAGCGATTTCGAACTTGAACACGTCCTCGGATGCGGATCCGAAGGGTCCGTCAATGTACACTCGCGGAAGGATCTGTCGAAGAGCGACTTCCTCGCCACTGTCCTTTCCACCTTTTTCGCCGCCAGCCTTCTTCTCCAGATTGCATCCCAGCGCCTTTGCAAATGATCTCGTGAAGTCTCCGACTATACGGATATGGACAGAGATGTAGTCCTCCTCAGGTGCGCTAGTGAGCGTGAACGGATGGTATTGCCAGATAGAGACCTCGGGGCAGCACAGAAAGATGTACTACGTTTGTTAGCAATTGTAGGAACCCGATGGCGACAAGGAAACGTACCTGACCGGCCTGGGTCTTGGTGTGCTCCTTCTTGATCTGCACCTCGACAACATTACTGGGATGCTGAATGACCTTGGAGATGTATGTCTTGTGCTTTCCACGGATTTCGCGGGCGACTCTCTCTCCCAGGTAGGCAAATCCACCATACATCCAGTATTCCCAGAAGACACCGATTCCGGCACAGAAGGGCGCGAAGTCGGGCTTGATCATGCAGAAGGCTCCGTGGATGGACCAGAAGATGAAGAAGATGACGAAAAGATGGTGCGTGTACCAGAATCGCTCGAACTGGGCTCGTCGCGGCTTCTCGGCCGCAGTGAGCGCCATCGCCATCAGCGCAATCAACATGATGTATCCCGTCCATCCGGGGCCCGTCAACAGATTTGCGGCGATGAATCCCTTCAAACCCAGGTTGTTGACTTGCGCGAATACCCACAGATTCCTCCAATGCGCAATCGTGTGCACCCACGAGAAGAAGACGATGGACCAACCGACGAGCTTGTGGAAGGTGATGTTCTTGTCGAAGGGGATGATGGTGTTCAAGGGCGTCCGCCGGGCCATGGAGATCAGGTTTCTGCAGACCGGGAAGAGGATGAAGGCGATGTCGACGTGCAGCGTTAACGCTGCGGAGCGCGCTATGGGGAATGTGAGGCCGAAGATTGCTCGGACGCCGATCGAGTTATCCTTCAGCCCGTAATGCATCATGCCGAAAACGAAGACGAAGACATGCAGGATGAAGAAAACGAAAACGAATCTGGAAAAGTTAGCATACCCGAATAAATGGCGGGGTTGCGAGGTCCTACAATCGCCGGTAACCCTCGTTGACCATCCATCTGTCAACCTTCTCCTTGAAGTAAAGCTGTCGCGGCCTCTCGTCCGACATCTCGCCGGACATGAGCATTCGAGTGAGCGGAGGCCATCTTGACCGCTCTCGGCCTGTGAGACTTGAGTAGGCCGACATGTTGTGGGATTAGGTGGAGTGCGGCGGGAAGGCCAGTATTAGATGTCGCCGATCTTCAGAGCCTGCTGAACGTGGCCAAAGTATACAAGAAAGAGTTCAAGGAATGACCAAAATCTGCACAGTGAGTGATTAGTATACGGGCGGTGGCGTTGAGAAAGCCATGGGTATGGCGAGGGTGGTGACGGTTGGAGAGACTTACTAGCAGGTGTGCCCGCACTGAAGAATAGAAGGTACAGGAGAGAGTACGACCGGTTAAAGAAGCACCGGCATGAAAACGGAGGCTCTCCAAAGGGGAAACAAAGACTATAAGCACATGCACGGCGGGAAGGGCTATCAGAGGAGCGGGGGGCAACAGTTAGGATATCATTGCAGCGCCATGTGGGTACGGGTCGAGGCCGCGTGGAGAAGGAATCAAAGCTTAAGGCAAGTAGCAAAATGGTAGCAGAGATCGAACCACCTTCGCGACAGGAGGAGATAGGCGGGCTAAGTGAGCGTATCGCAAGGGGGAGGTGCGGCGCCCAGAGTTCGAGCGGCCCAATGGGGAGCCAGAGGCGGCCCGAACAGGCCTAGCCAGTCCTCGTGAAACCCGACAAGAGATGGCATTTTTGCGCTGGACAGGCAAATGGCAGTGGACTTCGGCGCCGCGACGTCTGAGGGGTGTCGCAAGATGCTGGTTGAAACGTACGCGAGTTTCAGGGACCAGGGCCGGCGCCTGTACGGGGCTCGGCGGCCCTAACCGCTTCGAACATCAACCTCCACCGTCCTCTGACGTTTTCTCACACTTCGTACCACACGCCTCGCCCTCGCAACTTAAACAAGCCCGATGGCCGTGGCGCTCTCGGGGGCCGCGGACGACATGCTGCCTGACAACCATCGAACAGCGCCGCGCGGTCGCGATGCGACAGCCCTGAGGTGACCAACACCGAAACACAAGACGGATGCAGCTGGCGGCTTTTATCCTCGCACAGCTTGGTACCTGCGGCATTGCGCGCCCAAGAACACAGAGTTGCGCGTTGGATAGCTCAGTCCACGGGTAGAGCATTCACCTCCAGCTTGGCAGCGACCACGTGCTGGGAGTCGGCACAGGCAGCACTTTCATCCCGATCTGGGCTGTTCGGTCATTGTTTCAATTGTCGCATTTCCCAGCTATTCCTCGGCATTGCTTCTCCCTGTCTATTTCTAGTCCTATCAAACATCTGCAGTCTTGGAAGTCATGGCGGGCCAAGGAAACCGATCTGAAAAACGCCCGAGGAAACACGGCCAGTATCGTGAACTGCCTCAGAGCTCGCTCAGAGCATGAGATACCCGCCGCTTGCGGAGATGGTTTGTCCCGATACCCAGCGCGAACTCTCATCTGAGAGCCACGCCACAATCTGAGCAATGTCGTCACTGAAACGAAACTCAGTTAGCAAGGTTCTTCATGCACGACAGATCGATAGCAGACCACAAGCCCCTCCGTTGTTCCTAGATGTCGGCCGGGAAGACGTGGAGTTGGTGCCTCGGCCTTGCAAAGGGGTACGGGAGGTGGACTTACACTGTGCCACAGCGATGTTGGACAGGCGTCTCCTTCAGCTGCCGCTCTACGAACTCGCTGGGAACGTCACCCAGCATATCAGACTCCGTTGGACTGGGCCCAACAGCATTTACTGTGTGGCCGGCGTGCCCGAGGTCAGCTGCTAAGCCCCTCGTCAATCCCTCCACGGCGGCTTTAGACGCAGAATATATAGCCAAAGACTCGAATGCCTCCCGCGCGCCGACAGAAGACAAGTTGATGATCCTCCCCGGCGCTCTTAAGTACGGCACAACCGCCTTGGTCATTAACAAGGGTGCCCGAACGTTCACGTCGAAGATTGCGGCATAGTCGTCTGCTGTGGTCTCCGCGATGGTCTTCGCTGCTAGCACTCCTGCATTGTTTACTAGTATATCGATATTGTCGCCGAATGCTTCTCGCGTTGCCGCTACTATCTTGTCGGGAGCCTCGATCTGTCTGAGGTCCGCTTGGACGATGGTCGCCTCGCTACCGTTCTTCAGTGCCGCAATTCTCGACGCAACACCCTTGGCCGATGCCTCGCTCTTGGGAGAAGTGAAGACGATGGTAACCTGCAGGTAGCATCAGCCATTGTTGGGTTTGTCTGGGGATGCTCAACCTACTTTGGCACCCCTCCGCGCTAACTCAAACGCCAAGCCAGCGCCGATTCCACGAGAGGATCCAGTGACGATGGCTACTTTGCCTTGCAAAGGGAGTTGAGAAGTCATGGTTGAATGGCAGCGATCTGAGCTGAGGAAAGAGTTGGAAGGGATGGCAGCTGTGGTCGTAGTCGAAGACTAGCGCTGTTTTATACTGTTTAACATCATGGCTTTAGGAGTTACGACGGTTACAAGTTCGGAGAATAGAACGTCATCCGGCGTAGAATTACATTTTGGGGGAGACTAAGACATCTTTCCATAGCTCGATGCTTGCTGTTGCCTGGTAGATGGCCAATAAGTGTACCTGGAAGAGGTGTGAGGATTGCATGCTTGGCTCCGAAACGCCGTCGAACGCCCGAAGCTGGTCGGAATAGTCCCTAAGGAGGCTCGATCCACGTCCGTGAACAGCATTGTCACGCATGGCGGTGAATGACAAAGCTAGTCTACTTTATTCCAGTGCCCACGCTCAATCGCACGATATGGCTAGCAGTGAGCACGGTCGACTCCTCGGAGCTCGGCGGAGGTGTTCGCACGTGATCTGGTTCTAGCTTACATAACCATCGGGGTCTTTCCCGGCGACTAAGCAGTAGCGAAAATCCTTAGCCCGAGTTGAAGTTTCCGCACAGAGACGACTCTCACCGTCTTTTCCACATCATTCACCAAGTTCGTCGGACAGTTACCAGAGCGCTGTTGTAATCCCCCTTTCCCAGATACTTCTAACTGCACAGGTTCCGCTTCCACCTTCTCCCGTCATCTATCACCCTACCACACCTCGGCCCATCACTCGAGAGCCTTAGTTCGAACGAGCATTACTAAGTCGACCATGGCCGGAGTATCAGTGTTGAAAACAGCAAACGACACTGAGCGCAAGTCAGCCCGAGACTCACCCGAGAGGGGCACCAAACGGATAAGTGCGTTCCTCGCAGCCTGCTCTTCTACTCTACCCTGCCCCCAGCTCCACCCTCAACATGCAGACTGCTAAGATAGTGCTTCAACCCGCAGGGACACAATCGCTTCCTCCGCCGGACCTGCCCAAGCTCGTCGCCGAACAGCACGCCCCGATACCCAGCAGCGACAAGGATACGCAGCGGCTAATAGTCGTCCTGTGCAATGCGACGCTCGAGACGTACAAAGCGTCACACGGATCTGGCCGCGGCCCTGGAGGTAGAGAGGAGAAATACAACCTGCTGAACAGTGACGATCACATTGGCGTGATGCGGAAGATGGGTCGGGACATCAGCGAGGCACGGCCAGACATCACCCATCAGGTGCGTCCACCGGGAATCGGCTGCCGCTCACTGATTAACAGGATTTCGTAGTGCCTGCTGACCCTACTGGACTCGCCGATCAACAAAGCTGGCAAGCTTCAGATCTACATCCAGACCGCACGCAACGTACTCATCGAGGTGAGCCCGACCGTGCGAATTCCGCGGACATTCAAGCGGTTTGCTGGGCTCATGGTCCAGCTCCTCCACAGACATCAGATTCGTTCAACCACCTCCAACGAGAAGCTCATCCAGGTCATCAAGAATCCCATCACGGACCATTTGCCCCCCAACTGCCGGAAGGTCACGCTCAGTTTCGACTCCGAAGTGGTACGTGTACGCGACTATATCCAAGGCCTCAACAAGAATGAGAGCATCGCAGTGTTCATTGGAGCCATGGCCAAAGGCAACGACGATTTCGCGGATGCCATCAAGGACGACACCATTGCTATCAGCCAGTTCAACCTCAGCGCTAGCGTTGCATGCAGCAAGTTTTGTCACGCCGCAGAGGACGTATGGGGAGTCATCTAGCCGGCCCGATCAGACCTGGCCTATCCTCACAGGACACGCCGTTTGGCCGCCTATCGTCGATTCGAGCGAATCGGACATCCGGATTACGAGAGAGATTGAGGCACAGGAGTGCACTTTCTAGCGGGACGCGCATCTAGGCTTAGATCGCAACATCGACAGCCGATGCGGTTACTGCTTTTTGTTTTTGAGCGTCTGTCTGAGTTTTCTTTTACAACAAAACAATACTCGGCCTCAACGTCCAAAACCACCCTTCGATGAAGGGCCCTGCGGAGTAATCAACTTGCTCTGCGTCTCCTGTGTCTCCTTTCTTGGCTTGCTGCGCTGGATTTCGCGCGATGGAAGATTGTAGGTGTTTCATTGCGGTTGGTTCCACGAGCCGGCTACGACGCGCTCGTACTTGGAGCTTATCTGGATCCAGCTATGCAGATAGTATAATAGGTAGACCGCTCGGAGCAATATTCGGGGACATGCGGGCTCGACGACGTCAGCCTTCATATATCTGCGAATGAAAATTCTCGCGACCATCCCAACGATGACCCGCGACTTGTCATATCACGTATTCAACATACTGATTACGGCCCCCGGAGCAGCTCCAAGGCTCTCTACAAGACTAGTGCTTCTGCGCATGCGACAAAAGACCTACCTCCAAGGCTGTAGGCGGGAATGCCGCGGCCCGCCGCCTCAGAAGTGGAGAGAACCTCCCAAAAAGAAAAGGCGATTGCATACCCGAGACCCCTGAAGCTTGGCTGGGAGCGAAAGGCGGCAACTTATGAGGCGGACGCTAATTTGCATTGCTGAGGCTGTCCTCGGCTCTGGTCACTCCACGGAGCGCATGCCCTCATACTCTACTGCGTCAGTTTTGTTGCGTAGGCGTCACTCGATATATTGTGCGCGCAGCGCGGCGACAGGTGGCTTACCCAGATCACAAACTTTGCGGCTGCATGCTGCATGAGACAGCCAGATTGATCGCGCGAGCATTGTTCCGGTTGGAGGAGGTTGGAGTTGTGATGTGAGGCGAGAGCCGCACAGATGCCTTCGCGGACTCGGGCCGATGGGAGGCCCAATCCGCTTCATTCGCTTCTGCCACAACTTTAGCTGCATGCGTTGACATGTGGCAGCTCGAGGGCACGACTTAACCACGGCCTCCCGGACAGCCAACAAGATCAGTGGGGCGTGCTAGAGACGGCTTTCCCGCAACGGTATGGAACGCCCTGCTAATTGCTCACGATGGATGTAAACGCCCGTGCCGGATATGGGCGAGTTATAAACCCCAGGTCGTACCGTGACTGTTATTCCAACCCAACATCACGCCTTTCGTGTATCCAGACTACTCTGTGTCTTGCTGCGTATTCAATCATAGCATATTCTTAATCCTCCTTTATCTGCCGCACACATCTTCGTCCTCTCATTTCAGACCCGTTCACCGCCATCTCGGAAAATGCCAGTCTCTCACATCGGTCTTACCGTTTCCCACCTACCAACTTCCTGTTCATTCTTTCTGTCTGCTCTTCAGCCCCTCGGATATCGCTATATTGGACAACAAGGCAACCAGATTGGCCTTGGTATCCATGATGCCGACTTCTTCTTGTGCCAAGAAACGCCTGGGTAAGGGTCCCCATTGATCTTCAGGAGCACTTAGACTAACAAACGGCAGCGTAAAAGCCGGCGCCGCGCACATCGCCTTCACCGCTCCCAGTCGTACTGCCGTTCGAGACTTCTACACCGCCGCCCTGAACGCCGGAGGCCGTCCTAATGGCGCACCAGCCACTCGGAGCGATGAGGATGGTCACTTCAATGCTGCTATCCTCGACCTTGACGGCAACAGCATTGAAGTCGTGTTCAAAAATGGACCCGACCTCAGAGATGACGGGACCGTAATCGAGCATAGTAGAGTCATCACATGGCAGAGGAGTGTTTCGGAGAGCGTCCGTGACGACAGAAGTGTCGCCAGTGCTCGCACAACGCAGACCGCATCGAAGCAGGCTCTTGTCCCTGCAATTACCGAAGCTCTTTCGAAAGCTCCTTCTGTCGTCTCGAAAGCGCCGTCAGCAGCGGGCAGTATGAATAGAAGTGTATCCGCGCCAGTCGCAGTACCTCAGGTCCCTTCTTCAGACGCCGGCGACGGCGCAGCAAAGAAGATCATCGGTACCCTCCTCGGTGCCGCAGCCGGCGCAGCAGTTGCCTACGCCATGGTCAAGAGCGAGCAAGATAGCTCAAAGAAAGAGTCGGAATTCAACGCATTCCAGCAAGCCAAGGCCGCAGTAAAGCAGCTCGCGCAGGGCGCCGAACAACCCAAGCTATCCATGCAAGACCCACAGCCGATCTACGAAACACAACCTAAATCCATACACCGCAACATCAGCGACACCGACTCGCACTACTCGACTGCTCAACGTAGTGCGTATATCCAACGCGCGATCGAGGCTGCCCCGCTGAGCTACCACTCCCCGTCGTACACAACAGTCCCGCCTACCCAGGTAGGAGTACCCCGGGCCATTGAGTATGCCCCTGCATACTCTGTCGCACCGTCGCGGAGTCAGTTCACCGCTCACCGGTCGATGACCAGCCCGGAGCTGATGACGGCGGAGAAGGCGAGGAGTACCGTGTCGAGGGTGCAGAGCGTCGCTCCTAGTACGCTCATTTCGTCTTTCGTACCCGACCAGATCCCGCGGAGGAGTAGCGAGGGAAGCGTTGCATCGCATCGTTCCAGCAGGTCCAAAGCCAAGTCGTCGCATACGCACGCGTCGAGACATACATCGCATTCGAAACACAGTAGTAGTAGAAGTAGAGCGGCTTCCCCTCCTCCACCTTCGCAAGCGCCATCCAAGCCTGGATCAAAAGCACAATCTATTGTTGGCAGTATATTAGGTCGGGATACGAAGTCGAACGTGAGCAAGAAAGACGGCGACTTCATCGACGATCTGGAAATTGAGGAGATCGACGACGCGGATACGGTTGCGCCGAGCGACAGCATATCCAACGCAGGCTCCTCCTCGCGGCGTTCGCACCGCAGCCATCGAAGCAGCAAGCACTCTAGTTCCAGCTCGACCGCCAGCAAACACAGCAAATCCTCCCGCCATTCCCACTCATCCCGCAAATCGCACCGCTCCCGCCACTCAGACTACCACTCCGCCGACGAGGGAAACCCCCGCCTTCCCACCGTCATCTCCGAACCCTCGGACGCGAGTACCGTCAAGCCTGCGAGGTCGAAAGCGAGCGGTAGTGTGAGCAGGAAGGATAGCTTGATGCATGGACAGTACGATGGTATGTTTAGCGGGGACGTGCAGTATGGGGCGGGCACGGTGGCGAGTTTGCCGATAAGAGGCATTACGCCGAGTATGATTAATGGAGGGGAGGAGGCGAAGGGGAGGAGTATGCTTAGTTATGCGATGGGGCAGAAGTTGAGGCCTTTTGAGGGATAGTAAGAGTCAAGCGCAGTGCGAAGAGTTTTGGTCTGTTTCGGAGTTGTGGTCGAATGAGCCTGCATTGGGTGGGGGCCTTTGCGTTGCCTCCTGGTTGTTACGGTCCTGCGTTCGGCTCGCTTTGCATCTTTGGTCTTTTGGTCTCGATCGGCCTTCCTTCCTCCTTCGTCCCTGTTCAGAGATTCAGTTCGGTTACGGTCTTCCATCCATCGTCTTTGGTCTTTTTATCCATCCAATCATCCATCTTCGGCATCGCATTTTGGTTTTAGTCTTCCTTTTTTGCTTTGGTTCATACCTGTTTCCTTCCGTCGAAACAGCGCTGGACGATAGACGGCACATGGGATCCGTAAACTTAGACTACGCATATACTAATCTTCTGGCCTGTCCTTCGGGAAGTTTTTCATGCTTGGTTCTACTCATTTGGTCACTTGTTCTAATGTTTTTGTTGATGTTGCCTGGTGCGGTAGTAGTCTCAGGGACTGTGGCGTTCCTGTTCTGGAGTTTACTTGTAGAGGATGAGAGGTAGGTCTTAAGAAGCTAAGTTCCTTGCCGTTTAATTATATACAACTCTTGGAGACTATCCTTTGTGACAAATTCGTAAGCCTTCTAGGGGAGGAGTAGAGTACTAACCTTCCCAAGCTGTCTGACTAACCCTTCAATCCCAATCCCTGTCCTCTATGGCTCACAGTGAGCGCCCCTCATCTGATTCTCCACCCGCATCATACAACAATACAGCGCACTCACGCCTCCACACCCCTCACAAGGCAGACTCACTATGGTGCAGTACCCGGAGATGTAACGTTTGCGTTTGGAAGTTGATTTGGATTGAGGGCGTGAAAAGAGCCTTGTATCTGATAGGAAAAGGAGTATAAAGTTGGTAGAAGCTATTCACTTGACAGGATGTTAACCGTGCATTCAGTTGACTGGGCATGCAAGGATTGGTCACAGGACCTTAGACGCACCTTCCTTGTAAGCTTTATCCCAAAGACTGAGCGACCTTACTTCACAGGCTACCCCTTCAAACAGCATCGCGAGGAGCTCCTATTTTTTGAGTCACCGATCTGGGTGGTCAGTGCACCAATACTGGTGACTCAAAAAATACGAGCTCCTCGTAGTATCATCGGTTGGCGAGAACATGCACGACTGCGTTCACTACCTCCTGACGTCGGTGCATTCCCTATCCAGTTTGCTTCCGCGCCTTCTGTATTGAAGTTCTTAAGAACTATCGAAATTATTTCCCGAACAGCCAAGCGACCGAGACACCAGCGCCAACCGGCCCTCCACACCGTTGCGATATCGCCGACTCTGTGCACCAACCCAGCCCGCAGGAGCAAAAGCCCAAATCTACATATCGAAATGGCCTGTGAGAAGAATGTGCTTGTCCCGAAAGAGGAGGCCCACAGGTAAGTCCAGCCTCTTGAGTGGTCCTGTCTGCCTTAGACTTTCCCCTTCTCTGAATCCATGCACCTGCAGCTTCCCCCGCTAACGCGCGGCAGCTACCTACCAGATCCCATGATCAAGATACATGTTAGCGAAGGCGACGGATGCAAGACGTTTAACGTACACAAGACTCTTCTCACGTCTCGCTCGCGTTTCTTCGCGAACGCTTTGACGGACGGCACTAGTTGGCGTGAAGCAGAGGATGGAGCAGTCAGATTGCCAGAGGATGATCCCTCCATCTTCACCCTCTACCTCGAAATCCTCTATCACAACCGTATTCCGGTACGAGAGTCCGAAGCAAAAGCTGACCAAGCGGAATGCCAAAAAGACATCAAAGCTCTCCAGCAGGCAGCCTTTGATTCGACACTAAACCAGTACGAGACACTCGGGAAGCTGTATGTCTTATGCGATATGCTCCAGGACGACCGAGCGAGCAATCTTGTCATTTCCGCATTCGTGGAGATATCATCAACGCTAAACCCATACACCAAAAAAAACCACCACCCTGGAAGAGACCCCGTTGGCATCGTCTACCGCAATACGCCAGCGTCAGATCCACTTCGAAAATATCTTACCGAGCTCTATGTCTTTCACGCTGAGGAGCACTGGTTCTCCACTATGTCTGCGAATGACTATCCCGCGGAATTCTTGTTTGATGTCATGGCTGGCATGGCTAGAGCGCGCAGCAAGCCGAGCGCCGCGTCTAGACTCCGTGATGCCTCTAATTATCACCGTAAAATCGAGGGCGAGGAAGATAACGCCGGAAAGGACACTCTCTCCAACTCTGCCTGAAGTGGAAGAGCTACTTCTGGCACGCATCGAATAGGTACGTACAACTCCGCCTACAAGTTATCAACAATTACTGAAAGGAACCAATGAGACGCTGACTTACCCATTAGAAGGGCTAGCGTCGTGCTTATTCGCCGTCACAACCGCAATGCGTGATGGTATTGAAGACATAGAGCTCACCCCGGAGACATGACCGAAGCGGAAGACGTCTTTTCCGACAATGTCGGCGACTTCGAAAGCCTTCAGGCTGGAGTTGGGCAGCGCGCGGTATAGGTAATAAGTCGGTATAATTTGCCATCCAAGTAAATGAAAGATGGTCAAAATAGTGTTTCAGGTTTGCCGCCCCGTGAAGCGTGATTCGAGCTTCTGCCCGCTATTTCTTCTCCCGCATGTGAAGGGTTCTCACACGTACCGTACCTTTGCTCCAGCAAATTCATACTCCATGACCATGCGGAAAATGCCGTTTTAGCGACCCTCGAGAATTTCTACATCCTCTGTGAGACGCTCTGGCATATTGAGTCAAAGGACCTACTTTATATCAGCCTATCTCGAGGCCGCGGAGCATTTTAGCTGCTACCCGGAGGCTCATGGGATTTCTCAAATCTATGACGAGACCATAGAAAACGATCCAATAAGAGAACCTTTCATCCATCTGTACATTGTCCTAGGGGATGTCTACTAGACTCATCTGCTAAAAGGGAATATTCCGGTAGATTTCCTCTTTGATCTTGTTCAGGGCATGATGGAAGAGCGCAGCCGTCTCCGGGACGTCTTGAACTACATATTTCCAAGCCTCGGAGGGCAATGGTAGTGGTGGAGAATCCCCGCCTTTAGCGAGGAAAGAGTCGTAGAGGATGATGGCGCCTGAGGGCTTCGAGGCTCGCGTACGACGAGTTCATGCGGGGAGGAGGGGATACCTAGGGGCTTGTGAAGGCTAAGTGCAGCCGCAAAGCAAAAACGAGAGGCTTTAACATAGCTCTCACTCCAGATTCCCCTTTCTGCGATCGGGTCCTTATATGGCCGTTTCTGCGTGACAAAGATGGTTGTGCTTTTGGGGTCGGAGGACCTCCCGAATTGCGGGACACGGATCAGCCAATCAAGTGCCTGGGCTATATTTAGCCCTACCCCAGCTAATCTTTTGACGACCTCATCCTTCGCAGGGAATCCCGCGAGCTGACTTTACGCCCTTTTGTGTGTAGTTTTAATTATTTCAGTGGTCTTCGATAAAGCATGATGGAGGCAGACTTGCTCGTTGTTGGGGCTGGTACGTTATTTCTTTGAGTTACGTCCCAGCTTGGGCCACAACGCTTATTCCCCTCTTCTCGGTCATCAATCCCCAGTGATATCCCTCGTCCTCTGTACTGGGATCGAAAGCTGTCATCTTCTGGTTGCGATTGGCTTGCGAAGCTGGCACGGATGACGGAGGCATGAAGTGTTGGGACTGTCTCGTGCTTTGGCTGATCCGATAATGTCACGTTCTGATACCCACTTCAGGCCTCTACGGCATCACGTCCGCCGTGACGTATCACCGCCTGCACCCCACGGCACGCATCCTCGTCGCCGAAGCCGCGTCTTCGATTGGTGGGCCATGGGCACCACATCGGATCTTCCCAGGACTCAAGACCAACAACCTATGGGGCACATATCAGAACCCCGACTTCCCAATGGATGAAGCGAAGTTTGGCGTCAAGAAAGGCGAGCATGTGCCAGCTGAGAAAATGACAGAGTACCTGCGCGCTTTCGCCAAAGAGAATGGGATTTCGGATTGTGTGCGACTCAACACGAAGGTAGAAGTCGTGGAGCAGGTTGAAGGAGGTTGGAAGTTGCACTGCCGATCTACTGCTGCAGATGCAGATCTTGATGCAAAGCCATTTACGATCAGCACGGCGAAATTGATTCTTTCGACTGGCCTCACCAATGAGCCGTTTATGCCCCGATATCCGACCTCACCGAGCTTCACACCTACGGTTATCCACTCCAACGATTTCCCAGCCCACTTCTCCGACATCGTTAAGCCAGGCACGCATACCCTCGTCATCGGCGGCGGCAAATCTGCGTGGGATATTGCCTATGCATGCGCTACTCAACCCTCTTCATCCGCCACGATGCTCATTCGCCCATCAGGCAACGGGCCGGTTTGGATGTCTCCATCTCACGTTACGCCGCTGGGTCTGTGGCTCGAGAAGTTGGTGTTCACGCGCTTCTTTGGACTCATGTCGCCTTGTCCCTGGGCAGAATCCTCCGGCTTTGAGGGCTGGATGAGATGGTTTTTCCACGGTACCTGGTTGGGACGCAAAGTCATGAGCGCATTTTGGGGAATTCTAAGCGATGATGTGATCCAGCTGAATAAGTTGAACGAGCATCCCGAGATGAAGAAGCTGAGGCCTTGGAGGGACGCTTTTGAAGTCGGAAACGCACTCAGTATCCTGAACTATCCGACGAATTTCTTCGACTTGGTCAGAGACGGAAAGATCAAGATCGTAGTGGACGAAGTAGATAAGTTAGGCGAAGGCAAAGAGATCCTTTTGAAGAAAGGGCAAAAGTTGGAGGCCGATGCCGTGGTCTGCGCAACTGGATGGCAGCTCGGAGGAAGCCTGAAGTTCAAACCCGAAGGACTGGAGGAAGAGCTTGGTCTGCCGACGAAACGACATCCAGATATCGACGATATCGCGCTCGTCAAGAAAGCCGAGAACGAGCTGTATAATCGCTATCCCTTCCTCAAGACACGCGACACGAGCAGGGTACATCACCCCGATCCCGACCTTCGCCATACGCCAACCGCAGACCCGAATCAGCAGCCATATCGCCTCTACCGCTTTCTCGTTCCTCCATCCGATCTCGAACGGCGCTCTATCGGCTTCGCGGGCGCACTGATGTCGCTCGGAAATGCGTCATGCGCGTATCTGCAATCTCTCTGGCTGGCAGCCTACTTCGACGGCACACTTCCACTTCCTACTACTTCGCTAGACCAGCTGAAGTACGAAACATATCGCGACACGCAGTACTGCGCCGTGCGGAATGCGATGGGATATGGGAACAAGTTCCCTGATCTGGTATTCGATTCACTGCCTTATTTTGATGCACTGATGCGGGACCTGGGGTTTGAGGGGAAGAGAAAGGGGAAGCTGTTGGGGATGAGGAATTGGGGTGCGGAGTGCTTTAAGAGCTATGGACCGGAGGATTATACTGGGTTGGTGGAGGAGTGGGAGGAGAGGATGGGGGATAGAGCGGAGTGGAAGAAGAACGTCTGAATCTTAGATGTGAGTGGGCGTCATGATCTGTTGAAGCGCTGAATGACATGGGTTTCGGAAGCGTTTGTAATACTGTTCCTCCATTCTACAACTCCCATGATGCTTCCAATTTTGTCGGCTGAATATACTACGGAAGTAACCTAGCAGCCTTTTCCTGGTTTTCGTCGAAGTAGATGCAGTCCTATGGCGCAAGTGCCTCAGAGTCAGCCCCACGGCCCACGAACCTATCATGTCCCGCTTATTCCAGGTCGTGATATTTCCTTTTGTTCGCAAGGTCTGTGTCGCGTAGATGAGCGGATTTGTAAAACTCTTTGATGAGATCGGCCATGAACTCGGGATGCCAGTCTGGAGTGTCGAAGAAACGCGTGAGATCCCTTCCGACGTAGAGATCGACCATCAAGCGGCGAGCCAAAGATCCACTCGGTGTGCCGTCGTAGACGACCTTGATGGCCCTCGGATTGGGGAAGTAGCTAATGGTCACGTCTTGCTCGATCCTATCCACGAGCGTGTCCATGATCTTGTTCTTGGCCTTGGAATCCTGGAGCTTTTCTGCGAAGACGTACAGCTTGCAGAGTACGTAGCTTTCGGTTCCGAATTGGAGGGTGACAGGATCGCAGCAGTCATCGGCCTGCGCGCCGTTCTCGGCCTCTACCGCACTGCCCCCTATGTCCTCCTCATATACTTCTTTGAGCTTGTCCTCACTCAGGCTCTTCAGCGGCAGATCCTGACCATAGACAAGATATAGGTATAGGCTGAAGATGTCTGGCTCGTCCTCTGGGAGCTTGATCGACCGGTCGGCGCCTTCTTTCCACCAGTCCTTCAGAGCCGCCTTGAAGAATGCGGAGCGATTTGTGAGCAACGCCACCGGGACAAGATATTCTTTCCGCTCGTCATTCTGGCCGACCTGGACCTTGACTGTCTTGGTGAAGCTTATTGGTGTCAGTAGCTCGTGCGGTGTAGCGAAGAGGCGCGTAAACCCACTCGTAAGCCTTGTTCGGGTCAATCGCCTGAGCTGTGTCTGTAACCATGATAAGGAGATGACAAAAGCTCCAGGTTGTTGTTGGCTGGACGGTGAAGCGAGAAAGAGGAACCAGTCGGGATAGAAATCGCGGAGCTTCGCTACTTTTGTCCATTTTTGTCCATGAGTGAAAACGGGGGAATTTCGGCTGTCAGTAAGTCAAATTTCACAAACCAAGTCGACGCCTAAGCGCCTAAGTTCCGTCTTTCCCGCATAGCGAGTGTTTCGAATTACGACATCATCTAAGTGGGTCGGCTACCACGCGTAAGATCAAGACAACCAGTGTAAGCCTATTCATGTCAAGCCCCAATCATAGCCCCTAAGGCAGTTCGTCGATTCTAGCCTAGTGGTTTGAGCTCAAAGACAGATTCCAAAATACAGCATGGCCCGCTCGCCCATAACCATCTCCCTGGCACATGCGCTCAGTATCATGGTGTTGAGAGCGCCTTGCATGCTTAATGCGCGGTTGCCAACGGTGATATAGCCGTTCACACTATGCTCGCTTCCGCTTTTCGAACGATATCCATGCCTCCTCTTCCTGCTCCTTGTAATAGTCCGGTTGCCTGTAGGGATGGAAAGCGGAATCCTTCTCTCGAGGTATCTTTCGTATGTGGATTGCCTTGTACGCCACATCCCGAAGGAAATCTCCCGGCAGACTTCCATACTCGGAGCACTCCTCTTCTGCTTCCATAATGGCATATGCTCCACCATACCACACGTAGAGATCGACGAGGACTTCGCGACCGGGGCACATGGTCGGTGTATTGCGATACATAATGTTGATTGCGTGTGCGCAAGGAAGGCACGCATTGTCATTGACAGCGTCGTATTCACAACGAAATCTCGATAGGAGTGCTTTGGTCGTGGAGTTCTTGGCTTGGAGATCCTGGAGCTTTTCCGCGAGGACGTACAGCTGACAGAGCGCTACGTATTCATCCTCACAGACCCTAGGCGCTTTACAGACATCAATAAGCATATCCCATCGCGTCTCCATAATCGTGTCGTCTAACCCCGGAACGTGGCCAGCGTATACAAGCTGCTCATAGAGTTCGAAAGCGGTCGGGTCGTCCTCGGGTAGTTTCACGATCTTGTCTTCGGCCTCCTTCCAGCCCTTCTGCATCGCGTTCTTGAAGAATTTGGACCTTGTCGTGAGTACGCCCTCATGGATGACGAAGACTTGCTCTTTCTCGCCGACGAGAATCTTGAGCATGCTGGGCTGTAGTCTGACATTGAGCATTAGCTAAAGATGTAGTTCTGCCGGCCTCAAATACTTGCGCCAGTGCTTTCGACTTGGAGACGTAGGACTCCTTGGACTCCGCCCCATCGTTGTCGTCGTTGGCCATGGTTGAGTTTGGAGTCGTTGTTGCTTTGGCGAAGTACCTTGCCGAGACTTTATTTGGCGCTGGTGCGGGTGGGGAGGGCGGTGAAGGTGAATCGAATTGGGAAAGCGAGACTCACGTGATGAAAGGTCGTCGCGGGCTTGAACAACGAAATCACCTCTGTTGGTGCATCCCAGCATTTTAGAAATCGACTGACCTTTCACATCGTAGGTGACAAACGTTTGCCAACCGCAGTCGGACACCTTCATGGGTTCCACCAGAAGAGTATCAGTGACGAGGCGTACGTCCTTTCCCTAGCATATATAAGCCTTCAAGTCCCACACCATACCAGGCTCAGCTTCATGCAGGCTTCCGTGGGGCCAATCTCAGCCGCAGAGGTTTCTTGATCCCTCCCTTCGGACCGCTAGCGAAGAGTCAGCTCGCGCCTAGAATCCAACAAGGAATAGCAATCCTACCCGCTCCTGCTCATACCATTCTCTTCCCTCCTCGCTCCGTCCGTCGCAATATCTTCCAAATAACCCTCTACCTTAAAGCTATATTCCGGCCTTCCCGTCATCTCAAACATTAAACCTGCGCGCGAGAGCATACACGTACTCCGGCGGATACGCATTCTCACAGTTCTTCTTGACTTACTGCCGTGCCATGGAACGCGAACATGTCGACTAATAGCGCTCTTGCGGGACTGTGCCGCGGGGTCCCTTCGTAGATCATGGTGCCGACCGTGGATGAGGGGAGATACGCCCACCTGCGCATTCAACGGCGGACCATGGTAGAGCGTTTGCAAACTGATAGCGCACCGTGGAAATTACTCAACAATTTTTCTGTTCCAGGGTCAAAACTCGGGAGCAACTTTCCTCTACTCTTCTCGACTCTAATATACCTTACCTTGCTCTTCCTTTGTGCAGCAGCTCGAACCCGCAGCCATGGATCGCCGCAAAGAAATGCGCACCGATGCGTCCGCTGCATTACAGCTGTCCATCACTGAATCCCTCAGGAACCTCTACCTTGGAATTTTAGCGTACATCTTTGGGGACCAAGAGATGTCTAGCGTCAAGCCTGAAATACTCCTGAACCGAATGCTCTCCACGAAATCGGCCATCTCAACAACCTCTATCTGCACCGATAAGAATCAGTGGGCTCGCGATGGCATCGGAGAGAAAGTTTTCACGACAGTCGGGCAAGGACAGTGCGGTACCGTGTATGCACTTCGAGGGACCACGATGGTTATCAAGCTGCCAAACTCTCCTCAAAAATCAGACCAGCTATTCAACGATTTCCAGATTCACTCCGCAGTGAAAAATGCTTTCACCTCTCTGCCTGCAACGATGCGCACCAGCTACAATATCAACATCCCCGAGGTGAAAATGTGGGTGGATCCCGTGGCCTCCCATTTCTGGTCTGAACATGCGTCTATGTTCCCAGACACCGAGAATTCTGTCGATGTTCCAAATTATGGCCTAGTTACAGAACGTATCTTTCCGCTACCTCTCCCTGTCCGGTCTGCCATCGTGGATACATTCTGTCCGAAAGAGATCAAGAAACAGAAGGACAAGTTCCTCAAGATGCCGGAGAATAAGGATTGTCTCGTCCGACTTTATCTGGGTAGATATCGGAAGGACAGTCCCATGACCCCCGAAAATGTCCGGCTTCGTAACTTCCCACTGCATATCGACGAGATGCAGTACCTCAAGCTCGACGTTGAAATGTTCGCAAAGATGATAGCACAAGCACTAGCGGTTCTGCATTGGAAGGTTGGTGTGGACGCGAACGACATCGAATTTGTTCTTGGGAGCACCCCAGAGATAAGTCCGGCACCATCAGCTACAGAGATTCAGAATGCAGGAAAAGACACCTCGGCTGCCTACTATGTTTCGGACTTCAAACACCGGACGGTGTCAATGTGGCTTTTGGATTTCAACCTGTGTGCGAAGTTCAGCAAGGACCCTTCAGGCCTAAAGAAGATCGTGGACGGTTTCTGGTGGAACGATCCCTACTATCCTCGTCCTAGTGACAAGTTGTGGGACGTGTTCGTAGAGCACTACCTGGGGATCAGTTATGAGTTCAACAAGACTACTATGCCGAAGGCATTCATCGACGAGGTAGTTGAGGTTGGCAAGAAGCGTGCAGCGGGTGGCTTATTTGCATAGAAATGGCACGGCGAATACGTAGAGGCGGTATAGTTTCTCATATGCTTTGTCGATGGCAGGGACGACTTTGGCCTCTTCCTCGTTGGGAGGGAGGGAATCTGGAATTGCGGGGATTTTGCCTGTCTGGATCTGTTCGGTTTTTGTAGAATATATAGAAGAACTATGCCGTCTTGCCCCTCTTTCCAACACTTCAACGCGGCCTCGAAGAAGGGGGAACGGCGGATAAGTGCGTCATGGTGGACGAGGAAATCTTTCTGTTCCTGCCCTTGACCGACGGTGATAGTGATGATCTTGTCGAAGCTATTATGTCCTGTCAGCTCTGGAGTTCCCGCGCCTCAGACGTGGTAAACCTACCTCAACCGACTCGACTCGGTGATCAGAACGTCTTCGGAGTCGAGCATGACGTTCTTCCCTGACGAGGACCGTAGGTTGTTTTGAAGTGGAGAGTGAGGGAGTGGGCCATCCAAGAGAGTGGTTAACCGTGCGTTTATAAGTCAGGTTTACCGTGGCGCAGCCTTTCCAATCAAGCGCTCCTCTCCGCGACTGAGTCGATATGCTATTCACCTTCGCCTGCGCCCTTTCGCCAGCGATGACTCGTGTAAAGTTTGCGAAAGCGTCACCCTTCAGGCAGCCACGCTTTGTCGGTCGCAAGCTCTTTTCTGTATATAAGACAAACTTTTCTTCCTCATCGCACCGACACTAGGCAACCTCCGCTCGCCATCTCTTGCAACCGCCCTTCTTCTACCCTCGACTTCCCTTCATACCATCTAGAAAGGAACCTCGAGCATGTCTCCAAACACAACTGGCCGCGGCACGATCGTGATCTCGGACAAAGAGCTTGTGAAGTGAGTCTTTATCTGCAGCAATATTAATATAGCGCTAACTCCCCCGTGTCAGCTTCAGCAACGACCTCTTCAAAATCCTAGTCGGGCCTAAGGATGCACCGGAAGAGTTCCATCTCCACGCCTTCTACCTCACCAACCGCAGCGCCTTCTTCCGCGCCGCCATCAACGGAAACTGGAAAGAGAGCGCCGAGCGCACCATCAAGCTCCCCGCCGAAGAACCCCACGTCTTCCGACACTACCTCTCTCTGATATTCTTCAATAAATTGCCCATCAAGCCCGAAGTCGACGCTGGCTTGTTGATCGGCAACGCCATGGACACCGTCTACCGCCGCCTCTTCAATCTCTACATCCTCTGCGACCGCCTGCAAGACATCGCCGCTAAGAACGTCATAATAACTGCCTGCGTCGAGCAAGCCAACAGCAAACCCGGCAACGACGACTCCCACTTCTTCCCCGAGCCCGAGGAAATTAACATCATCTATGAGAACACGGCTGGCGACTGCGGAATGCGGCGGATGCTGGTTGATATGTGGGCATACACTCGCTGTGGAGTGGAGGGGAATGAAGCGGGAAGGTCTTTGAGGGGAGAGGAGCGGTTCAATCTGAGTTTCCTTTTTGAATTGGCGCGGAGGATGGCTAATCTGGTGGAGACGAAAGAGCTCGTGGACGTTAACTGGTGCGGATGTCTTCTTAGTGCCCCGAAGTATCTGGAGGGCGAGCCCGGTAAGGTGGAGAGCGAGGAGAATGATGTGGCTGCTGAGAGCGACGGATATAAAGCGGAAGCTGGTGCAGGTGCGTGATAGGTCTCTACGGGATTGCGGATGCAGGGCGGGTGTGGAGAAAAGACCACATTTTATCCTTCGGCCTTGTTAGAGGACAATGGGAATATGACGTATACAATGAGTAAGACAAAAGATTTGAACATACCACCGTGCCAACTTTGCCATCAAACAACTTCCCAGCCTTCAGTGTCCCGACTCCGTGCAGTCATTGGCGTGGTAGGGCTCAACATCGCGTCCACCCAACCCTCCTCTTCCTCCTCGGCTTCCACTTGAGTGTCACACTCCTCCCTTAAGTTTGGCTTCTTCCGCGACTTGGAAAGCACCCTCTGCACCTTTGACACCTTCCGCAGGTGCACTTCTGTTCGCACTTCCGGCTTCTGTGGCATATCCTCATCTTCTTCATCTTCCCACTCCCCTGCGTCGTCACCTTCCTGCACTTCTTCCCACACCGGTCCCGCATGTCTGCTGTGAACAGTGCCAGTCCAGCTTGTTGTGATACTCGTTCCTTCTCCCATTTCAACAACTTCTTCACCCCTCATAACCAACTCTTCTTCCGTCCCTTCAACATCTGTTCCAAATCCCAGACTTTCCAAGAACCCTTCCAAGTCCTCACACTCCTCCACATCCCCTTGCACCGGATCCCGCGCCACGCAGACACTCACAACCCCCTCCCTCAACAAAATTCCAAACATCCTTGCTGCCTCGCCCAATCTCTCATCCCACAGATTCAGACAGAGCGTCTCAAAAGACGGTAAGTAGTGCTGAGCGAAGTTGGCAAGGTTCGCATAAGCCAACACGACGTCCTTCGCACTACAATCTTCTTCATGCGGCTGCGCAATGAGCGAGAACATAGTAACGTGCTCGCGAGCGAAGTGCGAGAGTCGAGAAAAGAACGCCTGCGTGGCATACGCCTGGTACCTTCCGCGTGGACAAGGACCACTAAGAAACAGGAAGTTGCGCCCTCGATACAGCAGCGGCACCGCTTCCCGATACACCATCTTACACGTCGCCAGCACACTCGCATGCGGCCGTCGTCCCAACTCCTCTTGACTCGCCGGACGCAAGAAATTAATCGGGCCCGGATTCGCATACGACGCCGGCGAGAGAACCCACAGGTCCTCTCTACTGCTCTTGAACCGCACTTCGGGGCCGACGCATTTGTAGCGCACGTAGATGTGGTCTTCCGTGCGCACGTTGTGAGTGCGCGGGTGGTGTTCGCGGGGACAGCGGCAGAGGTCGATTTGCTGGATGCCGGCGAAGGTGGTATTGCTGGGGTGTTCGAGCCATGGCCATTCGAGGGTGTAGTTGATGGTTGTTACGTCGTCGTCGGGGTGGGGGGCGAGGAGGTGTGCGTATATGCGTTGACGGATGGAGGATGGGAGGGCCAGGAAGGGAGACGAAGAGGAGCGGGCTGAGGCCATGGAAGCCTGAAATAGATTGAAACCAGACGGAAGAACGGTAGAGTGGGTCGGAAGGACCAAAGAACAGGCAGCAGATATTGCTAACCTCGATGGAAACCCGATAGATCAAATGTCGCGAGATATGTACCGGAGATGTGAAGCAATCCGCGTCTCGTGTAACCGCTCAATTAAAGCAACAAACCTACACGTCATGCATACCGACCGCTCTTTCCAGGCACCAGAATACGTTATGAGTGACCAAAAGGGGTTATTGACGATTGCCTAGTTTCTAAATTAGGCGTTGGAATGCTTAGAAGCTGAGATGCGGGTAAGATGACTGCGCGCATGGGCGCGTGAGCCTTGAGCAGCCACGAAATGTGGCGCATGTGGCGGTGCGGTCGGGGCGATATAGGACAAATGCGATTGGTGGTCGGTGAGCGCGAGGCTGCTGCACAATAGCTGACTTGGTCTACTTCTCTTAAAGACAAACTCAAGACATTCCTGAGGTGCAAAAGTTACCGACTCTTCCACCTAACGCCCCCAACCCATCGAATCCACTTCCCAACCACCTCCCTCTTCTCCCCCTCCACGCCACCCTCACGAATCAACTCCATCAAATAGTACCCCTTCGCCAACTCCTCATTCCCCGCCAGCCGATGCACAAAGCTATGACAAGCCCTACAAAGCCACGCCACACTATTCAGCCTATCCTCCGTATGCCAGCCCCTCTTGCGCACCCTCTCATGCGTGCTCTTCGGGATCAAGTGGTGGTAGGTCAGCGGGATCCAGGAGCGACCGCAGAGCTCGCATTCAGCGGTACGCGTCGTGGACCAGATAGGTGGGGGCGAGGTGGCGGCGGAGATGTAGCTGGTGAGCAGGGGGGTGAAGAAGTTGTGCTGGTCTGTGGGGTCTGAGGTGGGTGGGAGGAGGGCGTAGCTTTCGAGGGAGTCGATTGCTAGTGGTGGGATGGTGTTGAGCGACTCTGTTGCGCATGGGGCGGATAGGGGCGTGGAGTAGCGTTCCTGGAGGTGCGGCGAGTCTTTGAACTTGGAGTAGCTGAGCGTTCGCACGGCATCTGGCAGGCTGGGGAAGATGATGCTCGAGAGGTACTGGACAATTATTCAGCAGGAGTGTTGTAAGCGCGGGAGGGGATCAGACATCGATGAACTCCCCCAAATCCTCGGCAGCGCTCTCCTCGCTCTCTCCGTCCGCTCCATCTGCCTTCCCATCCGCACCCATCTCTTCTAACCTGGTTTCGCCATTCTTCCCCCTCTTACTAGCCCTCTTCTTCTTGCTCTTTTTCTTCGGGTTCTCGACGGGTGCCGCTAAAGCTCTCAGAATCGGCTCACTCAGACAGTCCCTGAAAGTCTCGTAATTCGATTGCTCGTCCGGAGGGATCCGTTCGGCCATTACGTCATAATCTTAAGATGAAGGGAACGAAGCAGAGAGGGGGAAGTAGAGCAACTTGAGAGGCTTGGGATATAGCATCTAAACATCGTGGTCTTAAGGAGTATTTATGTGTTGTGTTGACGATGATGATGTCGTATAGTCCGCGGTGCGTGATTGGTGGGGGCGGGGCAAGGGCGTCGGGATGGCGCGAAGAAGGGCTGGGGCTGGAGATTCGAAGATTCCGGAATGCTTCTTTTGTTGATGCCTTGGGCTGAGCCATGGTTGACGGACGTCTTGTAAACGTAGGGCGTGCACAAAGGTATTACCAAGGGCGGTCCGAACACGAGCGTGACTCGAACGAATAGAAAGACGAATGGGAGAGTGAAGAAATAGAGAAGGGAAGCTGGCATGTATTACTCGTTCTATTCGCGTCTAGGCATCCAGCAAGCCATGCATGCCAGCCGTCCTCTGCCAGAGTATCTCGTAAAATCATGAAACTCGCCCATGCGCAAGCTATGCAAGAAGCAAGCACCATCCATATGCATCGGCCTCCTGTATACCATGTCCATCGGTGCTCCGCATCTTCCAGCGAGGAAGGAATATGCCATTAGGCCTTCTTCTTCCCACCCCGGCCACCCTTCTTCGCACCGCCCATAGCAGCCTCCCTCCGCTTATTCTCCTTCTCAATCTGCTCCGCCTTAGCCTTTTCCTGCTCGGCCCTCTCCTCAGCTTCAGCCTTCTTGCGCGCAGCCTCGGCCTCACGCCTCTCCCTCACGAGCTTCAAGCGCTCCAGATCCGCACGCGCCTCCTCCGTCTTGCCCTCCGCATGCAGCTTCTCGTACCGCTCCTTCGCTTGCTGAGCCTGGATGGCCTCACGCTCGCGTCGGCTCAGCTGGCTCAGATCCTGCTTTCCCTTGTCTTTGGTGTCGGGGGCCTTCGGGGCTTTGGCAGCCTGGCTGCGCGCTTTGGCCGTGTGGTTCGGATTCGCGGGCATATCCTCGTCATCGTCGTCCTCTTCTTCGGACTCGGAGGGAGGGAGGTCACCAGGCTCAGCGGCCTTGTTCTTCTGCTTCGCTATCGCGGCTTGCTTGCGGGCTTTTGCAGCGGCGCGGCGCTCCTCGCGGGTCATTTCCTGCTTGGGCTGGCCGTCGTCCTCGCTAGACTCTTCCTCAGAGGAGTCTTCTTCCTCTTCGGATTCCTCATCGACCTTCGGCTGCTCATCCTGTGCATTTGTGTTAGCGTTCTAAGCATTGCTTGTGATTGATAGGAACGTACACCCCACATGCCCACGACCTCGCCATCGGCATTCAGCGGTTGTAGATCCCTCGAAAAGTGTTTTCCGCCACCACGCTTCGGCTTGCTAAACTTGCCTCCGCGACCGCGTGCTGAAGACATCTTGTCTATTCGAAAGTATGTTCTACCCGTATAGAGCAGAGGAGGGGTTCGGTGGTGAGGTAGGCTCGAGGGCCTAAGTGGTGCTTCTGCGGTGAAATTCAGGCAGAGCGGTGAAGATTCTCTAGCGGACAGACGAGAGTATGAGTTTGTTTGAAGGCTCGTTGTCTATCTGTTGCTTGCGTGCTCGTCGCTGCGGGAGATTCGACTTGTCGTATCCGTGTCGTGGTCGTGGGATCGGAGTGCTGATCAGAGGGTACTCTTTGTCCTTTGCGTTTCCTGCTAAACGGTCAGCTCTGCACCGCACACACCTTCCTTCCCCTCCCGCTGTACTCACCCAGGTATCCACACCGTGAATCTACTCGCCAAAGCAGTAATAAGTGTGACTCCTCAAATCCGCACACTGCGTAGCGTAGCGAAGACAACAAATAGCCCCGCCCCAACCCCACCACCTGCGCCGCGAATTAACCCTTTCGCACTAAGCCCAATCCATCGTCCCGTCAATGCGCCGCTGACTAACGCCCGACATCTGAAAATCTCATTCGCTTCGCGCTGCTCGTGTTCTCTTCTACAATAAACTGAACTACCCCTTCATATTCACTCTGCTTTCTCCTGTCAATGAGGCTGCTGGAGGGGAAAGTGGAGGGCAGAATAATTCTCTTTTGATCGTCGGCTTACCCCCTTCTCTCTAGCACTCTGTGCGAATGGAGCGAAGGTAAATTTTTTTGACGGCACATTCCATCCGCTGCGTTTTGCACCTGTCTTTGCATATCGAGGCCCCTGGAGACTGCGAGCTATCCGAAGTTCTGGGTGTCCTGTAGAGTGCCTGCCCCGGTGTTGTCTGTTCTAATCGAACAATCTCCTTGTCTCAATGCTCTGTAGCGTTTGCGCAAGACTTCTTTATCTAATGTCACCGTTAATGGGTCAAGATATTGTTTTGCAAAGGTCAAACTGATGCCCCTCAAAACCATCATGCCATCACAATCGCGCAGCAGAAGACAGTTTATTTTATGTTTTCATTCGCAATGGCTCGCACTACCTAGATAGTGGGAAGTCCCGATCCAGACTGTTCACATCCGCCGCCCATCGCCGCTACTAAAGCCTTGAGTATCTCTCTCTTCCACAGAGCCAGAGAAAGGAAAGCAGCAGCAGGGAAAGAAGCAAAGCAATCATACCCAAGAACTTTTGAAGAGAGGGAAACGGGAAATGCAAGCCATCAGCCCAATGAGACCCTAGCCCTCGACCATCGCCGAACCATAGCATCCATAAACCCCACCGAACCCAGTCGTCATAGCCCTTGATGTCGTCCAAATTCCATCATCCATCGCATCCGCCGCAGTCGTTCCTTAGACGTACCACATGACCTCCTTGAGACCCATGACGTTGCTGATCGCCTGGAGCGGCGCAATCTCGACCTGGTTCTTGGAAGAGCCGGTAGATGAGCGCTGCTCAGCCTTGGCCTCCTTCTTGCCCGAAGAGACGGGAGTGTCGTTGACGTGGGCTCGGGAACGATCGGCAGCCAGGTGAGCATAGTACACGGCCGGGTGGAGTGAGACCGGGGTCGTCGAGCGAATATACTGATAGGAATGCTCGAAGATGAACTGTTGCAGCTCGGCGGCCTCCCAGTTGCCCTCGTTCAAGATGCACTGGTAGTGGATCGGTCGAGCGGTACCCTTGATAGCGACATGGGAGCAGAGGTAGAAGTCGAACTCGAAGGGGTGAGTGCAACCGGTCTCAACGAGGGTTCCAGGAAGGGGGTTCTTGTTGCGATCGCCCTGGTCGGGGAAGAAGCGGATGTGATGCCGCTTGCCGGCGATGACCACGGTGAACTTCGGCTCCTGCTTGCAGCCAATCTTCTTGAAGCACTCCTTCATGTCGCGCACCTCCTCTTCGAGCACGGCGGCGTACTGGCCTGGATGATTGTTAGCTACGGAAAACGCATCAATTGCTCGAGAACTAACCCTCAGAAACACCGTCCCTAATATAGAGGACACGCGCTGGAGGCAGGCCCTTGCCGACGCGCTGCATCCAGTTCTTGGCCATAGGTCCAAAGTGCTCGTCAATGTTGTTCGTAGTGACCATCTCCACACGATTGCCGTTGGTCTGGACATCGGCCCAGTACCTAGCGAAGAGAGAATCAGCTGAGACGGTGATGGCGGCGAACGAGGCAGCCTCGCCAGAGGCAGCACCAGGCGCAGGATGAGAGACGTCGGCACCGACGACCATGGTTGGAATGCTGCTGGATTTCGGCGCAATCTTGGGCAGTGTAGTGGACTTTGCAACGCAGGTAGCACCGCCGAGCTTGGCGTTAACCTTCATGCAGACATTGGAGATGTACTGCGGGGAAGAGCCCATGACGTGCTTCGACTGCAGGACCTGGGAGGCCACACCAAAGCGGATGTCGCAGGACTTCTTGATACGGCGATATACGTCGACGTTGCGGTCGTTGACGATGAAGATCATGAAGGATGGCCGCATCTGATATCGGTTGCCAGTAGCGTTGAAGGCCTTCGCGACCAGCTCACCTCCATCAGCGAGGTTGCCCGGGCCCATCCATGGCTTCTTGCCGAACTTTGGGTGCGACATGATCTGACCGCCGTGGCTCTCGTAGATCTTGACGAAGTTCTCGACGAAGTTCTCGACTTGAGGCTGTGCGACGGCGCCCCTACCCTGAATGACGCAGACGCCCCAAGCCTTGATGGGACGCTCATTGTTGGGCAGAGCGAACTTGCGTCCATCAAGCCGCCAACGGCCTTGCACCAAATCTTTCGGATCGACAGTGGCCTGGCGGCTGCCTTGGCCGAACTGAACGGACGGGGAAGGGAGGACGCGAGCCTTGACTTTGGTGGCATTCGGTGCGATCTTCAAGCCGTAGTGGCTGAGATAATCGTCCTTGTCCCAGTTGAGGAGTCGAACGCCATGCATGACAGCAGCCCATCGGTCCTTAGGGAGAGTAACGGCGAATTTGATCATGGCCGAGGTCTGAACGTCGCTCAGCTTGGTGTTGTAGCGCTGGTTGGGATCGATCTTCAGCCAGTCCATAGGGAGATAAACGGCGCCACCGCGAATCTTCTTCGTCATCTTGACCACGGGCAAGTTGGACGTGCAATTGAGACCGTACTTGGTCTGGAAGTACTTGTGAACGGAGATCTGGCGAAGTTGGGTGGGAGGGACTCCTGGGCGTCGATCATCGGGATCAGGGAACATGGCCTCGGTAGCATCCATGCCGACGAACTCGTCGATGGTCCACTGCGTCTCCTTCTCCTTGACGTGGAAGGCAGTGACACCAACCCGCTTGAAGCGTCGGAGGTCCTTCTTCAGCTGAGAGTGCTTCCAGTCGCGCTTGGCATCCCGGAAACGCTGTTGGAACTCTGGTCCTCATTAGTACTTTGTGATTCAAAGCAGGGGTGCAATACTCACGTGGTGGACCACAGTTGAAGACCTGACCGATGGCACGGGTCAGCTCCTGGGCGCGCCAGAAGGTGCCATTGGCGACATCGACGTTGACCGAGAGAGTCTTCTGGAACTTCTCGTTGAGAACCGGGCGGAGAGAGGCAAAGACACCCTTGAAAGCCTCGATGCCACCGCCGAGATCGAACCGCTGCTCGCCGCGCTGAAAGAACGACTTCTTGATCTGGGTGTACTTCTGGCTAGGACCCTCTCGCATGACATGGTCAAGGAAGTTGATGGTGTCGATGCAATCAGGCGACCAGGAAGCCTGGCCATCAAGGAAGGCACGGAGATGGTTGAAGTCAACCTGGCGAGTCCACTTGAGGAATATGGTGTGTTTGTTGCCCTTGCCAGAGCGGCCGCCATTCTGAGGCCTACCCTGTTCCTCGTCCAGGTCGACGGTGATGCGGGTCTCATCACGGTCGAGACGCTTTCCAGACCTGCGTATGTCAGTGAAAATTCAGCACGAAAGAAGAGCAAGGGACATACCAAGCAAGCTTGTTGCCGTCATAGACCCACAAGTTGGTCGGTTCACCGAGGGCGGCCTTGACAGCATTGGAGTGCCAGATCTTCTTGATCAGAACGCGCTTGGTCGCATCTGTGTCGCCACCCCAAGCAACCTAGACAAAGGTTAGAATGGCTGAATAAGAGTAGAAGCGAGCGAACTTACATCGTACTGGTGGACCACAGTGTTCGGAGCCTGGACGACATTGAATGTGTTTAGGGTGACGCTAATCTCCCTGCCGTTGCTGTTGAACTTGGCCGGACGCTGGGGAAGCGAATCCGGGATAGTGATCTTCCATGTGTTAGTATCGACGTCGAAGTTTCGAAATTGGTAGAGATCCTGAGGGACATGTGGGAAGGCCATGACTGATGAAGGAGGGGCTTTTTGTACAGATATGGTACAATGATAGGAATCGGAGACAAAGAATGAGGAAGAGTGTCGAATGAATGGTGTGATGTGGAAATGGAGAGAAGAAACTGGGGAGGGACTGCAGTCCTTATATACCCCGATAGGGAGGACGGAATAGGTGCGGCGCCATTGCGAGCGAAGTCGGAATGGCTGCGAGGCAGCAGCGTGGGGAGATGCATGGCGTTTGCAACGACATGCAGGATGCCGGCTGGGACGGGAAATGGCGTGCGGCATGACAGAGGAAAGATAAGGAACCGTTTGTACTTACACCACGAGCGGTATACCAGCCAGCTAGACCCAAGAACTCGGAGATGTTCTTGAGGTCCGTGACCTTGGAATACTCGGTGGGGACACGATGCGGGCCACTGATCAAGGGATCACGGTTCCCGTCGAGGCGAGGGATGGACTTTGGCGTAGACCGCTGAGTGGGATCACGCGAGGCAGAGGACGAGTCGCCGGATGAGCCGGAGCTCTTCTTCTCAGCCTGGGCGCGGCGTTTCGGTGGACCACCCATGTTGGCTTCTGGTATCCATGTCAGCGCTGAATTGGACGATCGTATCAGGCAATGCAGGCCGCGCGGGATATTGCAACCGAGTCGTTTGCTGCGGGCCCATGGATGTGCAGCAAAGACCCGGGTCCGCAGCGGAGAATAGGCATGATGTAAGGAGATGCCGATACCAGAGCGGCATCGCAACGGCAGAACGTACCTTGATTGCTTGACTAGAGCTTCTGAAGAGCTAGCTGGGCGGTCGGTGGCGAGGCGTCGCACCGTGGATTGAAGAAACTGGAAGGTCAGTAAGTCACCTCAAAAAGGTGAGCGAGCCACCTATGGGAAACTGGGAAAGCACAAGGGCAAAAAGGCAGGCGAGGGGAGGGTATGGGGTGCAGCAAAACCTGCCAAAGCAAGGTAAAGGCCGTATGGAGGCAGTGTTGTCGAAAGAGGTGAGGTGGAGAGGATATGTTGTGGAGGTTGAGGTGCAAAAGAGAAGCCGCGGGTGATGTGGGCAAAACAAAGCTCGGCAAGCTCATGCGATCACCGCGGTGACGGCGAGTTTGCAGAAAGCTCGGCTTGGCAAAACAAACGGACGGAAGGCGCGCGTCTCAAAGTGAAGTAGGAAGGTGCAAAACTTACGGTTAAGGGCGAGGAGCTTCCTGAGCTTCAGTGGTGGTGAGCAGCAGAGTTCAGCAGCGGTGTGGGGCTTGTCAAATGGAGCTGCTGAGCCGGCTGGAGTATCTGAGGTAGCTTGAGGTGTGTTGTCGAAGGCTTTGGACTCAAGCTAGAGTTGTTGTTGTGTGGTGTAGGAGAAGTGGTTGGCGGTGGGGAGGCGATACCTATATACCCAGTGGGCGGGGAGGCGGTCAGAGAGCGGCTGCCCTGCAAGCAGTCCGTACGGCTCTCTCTCAGCAGGGTGTGACGCAATCTCAGGGCAGAAACCGTGGTGTTTTACCCCGACTGATAGAGACACGTAAGAGAAGAAGACCAGATGAAGCGTGGCAACAGCGTTGAGAGCCAGTTCGGATGACAAGTGAGGGCAATGAGCAACCCTGCAAACGGAATGAGTGACCGGATGAGCTGCTGCGAAATTCTAGGTAAGAGAAAACCGAACGCAGGTTCGAATAGGAACCGTAGATTCCGCCTGTGCCCCGACCTCGGGATGCCCGGAAGTCGATAGATGCGGAGTGGATACCCCGTATAAGGAAGGCGCCATCCAGTCTACCATATCCAAATCTCCAATCCTCTAGCCTTGTTATGCAGCAGCCTCATCATGAGATGTTCACAGCTTGTACGTAGAGCTTCCGGCCACTGACTGCGCGTTCTCCCCAGCGTCTTTGCTCTGGCTCTGGCTCTTGCCCAATGTTCCCCATAAACTATCTCTTATATCCTCAACGTATATCGTGAGACCATAACCAAATCCCTTCCCCATCCGTAAACTAAGCATCCATAAAACGTACGTAGACGTGCCTGTTGGGCTCGAGGGCCATTCGCGCACTGCCACAGCAACGCTGTCAGACGAGATCTATCTCTTCATCCAGCATCATCCTGACACCCGAGGCACTTCAAAGCCCTAATCGCCAGCATATTTAACCAATGTGAAAGTCAACTGATGCAAAGGATGTTTCTCGAGGAACGACCGACGTTGAACTTTTAGGCTCGCTAAGGCACCTGGGCATGCTGACACACGCTATCCCGCTACAAGTATTTCACATGCATTGACATCCGTCACATTTCGGGTGGAACATTGTTCTCTAGGAAACCGGAGCGTTCAGACACAGTCTTTTTAAAGTGATTCACAGCTCTAATAGCTGTCTTCCGAGTGGAAGTCCTTTTAGATACTTTCGAGGCTATACTATACATGGGCATCCGCATCCGTTGTGCAGAATGTCTCGATCAAGGGAAATGAGCCAGAGCCAACGCCACGCTGTGAGTCCGGGTTCGCAATCCCTGATGAAAGACCTAGACCGCCCGATTTGAACAAAGGAAGAAAAGCCCACAGATGGGCATGCCAAAGTCATCATCCTGTACTCTCCTGATCACTGGAAGTAGGAGCTAGCAGGTCCTCGACCGGCTTTTGATCGCCAGTCATAGACCGGGCCGATATCCCATTCCGCGCATTGCACAGCTTGGCGGCCCTCAAGACCAACCTCCTCCTCCACCATATCGAGCCTGTATATTCTGCAACTGGGCTCCAATGTTGCCGGAAGGAGGCGCTGATGCCGGAGGCGCTGGGGCAGGCTGCAGCTTCTCGGGAAGCGGGAGAGTCAGGCTGCGAAGGAAAGAGACCACCTTCTCGGGGTTGAAGCGCATCTCATTGTAATACTTGGCGCTGGGAATGATATCGAGCATGAAGTTGACGCCCCATGGGAGGGGTGCTGGGCCGGTCGCCCTGGGTGTGTTCCCACCACTGATTCCTGCCAATGAGTTAGTCAATGTGCGGATGGCCTCCATAAGTGGCTTCACGTACCTTGGTTACGGCGCGCAGCGTCCAACCGACGGCCTGCAGCGCCCTTGAGTGGCGATTCACCCCGGACCAGCTTACGAGGTTGATTGAGCTCGCCATCATCTTCCAGTGGGCGCTTCGGTGAGTTCGTGGCTGGGAGCAGGTAGCCAAGGCGCGGGGAGTTGAGGAGAGCCGGAGAAGCGATACGTTCCTCCTTCATTTGCGCGGACACCTCAACGGTCGGCATCACGTTACCGGGCATCGCCGGCCGCATCTGGGTTCGAGGAGAAACAACCGGGAGCACCGTCGTAGGATCGAAGGTGGCGGACGAGAACCGGGAAGTGAATCGCTGGAGCTGATGGCCATCAGGGAACAACATGGCCATGCGCCGCTCCAGCCTGGTAATCTGAGCCAAGTCGCCAAACTGAGACTCGTAGTTGTGGAAGTAAACGAAGAGAGGTTTCGCTCGGTGGATTGTCTCCGGCTTCTGGGTGAGCCGGCTGACAATAGTCTCGAAGACGGCGCGGGCATTGGTTAAGTCGTTGAGCTCGACAAGATGCTTGATGTATTGCAATGCGAAGTTCTCATCATCGGGGAACAACCTCATGCCACGCTCGAAAATCCGACTCGCGGCCGGATCTTGGTAGCAACGGTGCTCGATGAGCGCGCTGGCAACGTACAAGTCGCTCAGCAGCTTGCCCTTCTTTCGTGCCTCGCTGAAGATGCCTCGGAAGCCAGGAATGATTGCGTTGGGCGCGCCCCTACCCTGCACCCGACGCAAGGCCTGCATCAAGGCAATCCAGGCATAAGACAGAGTCTTCTTGAGCGTGTGGATCTCAGCAGTCGCAGCCTTGCTGATGCCCTGCAGCTGAGCGTCGAGAGCCTCCTGCTTCTCTTGCTGTCGCTTCGCCGCTGCGCGGGCCTCGTCCTCATCGTCATCGTCTGAGCCCTTCTCCGATTTCGCTCGGGCGGCTTCCTCCGCAGCCTGCTGCGCGGCGAAGGCTTCTTTCGCTCGTGCAATGGCCTGCTCTTCGCGATTCTTGACTTTATTCGTAAGATCGTACAAGGCGTCAAGGACCTTGTCGAGCGACTCGCGGACTGCCTTGCCCTTCTTGATGACACCAGCCTCGCCATCCTCCCAGCCGGTGCTGAGCTCAACTTGGTGCGCTTTCTTGAAGGCTAGCAAGCAGCTCTCCGGGTTTGCTTCCAATCCGTTGTTGAGAAGCTCATCGCCTTCCTTCTGCATGCCGTTCTGGTAGCACCACTCAGCTGCTTCGTACCACAACTCAGGCCAGAAGCGGAGGGCCATTAAAGCGTTCTTGTAGAGATAGAGGACACGCTTATTGTAGAGAGCTTTGTCGTCGAGTTTGATCTCAAGGGGGTCGCTCTTCTCGTACTCAATCCACTTCTTCCACGCCTTAACCTGGTCCATGTACTCCTGGAAGCCCTCGAAGCCCTGGGCTGGTGGGAGCTTCGGAAGGGTGGTGCGGTTGACGTCTTTCGTAAGATTGCCGAGAAGATTGATAGCGCTTCGTGCGTTCACGTAGTAAGGTGATTTTTCTTGCAAATATTTGCGGCCCTACAAGAGAATTAGCACTGTCTCATGCTTGGCTGGATGGAGAAACACCTACAGTAGCTTTATTTAGACTCAGCTCAAACCTGTCATATTCACGCCAGAGCTCCATGGTCGCATTGGTTGGAACGGTAACCGCACGCTGATACACTTTTCGCATCGTGTCCATCTTCTGCATGTCTTGCCAGTTCTGTCCACCGAGGATGCCGGGGCCAGACTTGAGCAGCTCGATATAATCGATCCAGATTTTGCCCGCGTTGACGTCGATACCGATGTTCTCAAGCACGAACTCATAGACCTGAGTAATGACCTGGCGGGCTTGACCGGTCTGATCGGTAGTCAAGTTCTGGATACGCCGAATATAGTTGATGTACGACGACCAGAGGTCAACATAGGGACATTGCATGATCGAGCGCTGGAAGATGGCCTCGACGTGTTTGAAGTTGTCGAGCTGCGTCTCCATGTTCACGTACTCCACCCATTGCTCACCCTAGAAATGTCAGCATATGTCGATGGACAGAGAGGTGAGCCGCTTACAGCTGTCGGGAATACTTTGAAGAATCGGTCGAAGACAGCGCGGGCTTCGTCGTGCCTGTGCCGCCTACGGTGTTCCTCGATTAGACTCAACCACGCTTCGATGTCACCACGTGGATCCTCAGCAATTCGGTCTTCCAGGATGCCGACCCGGTCCTGCGGAAGACGAGGCTTCGGCAAAGAAGCAGACACGGGAGTAGCGGGAGCTTTAGACTGCCGCGCTGAAGCGTCTTTCAAGTGATCTGAAGCACCTGGTTTAGTAGCGTCTGGAGCGGGGGAAGCTCCATTGGGGACAGCAGCAGCACCAGTGGAAGCAGTGGCATGTGGAGCGACTGAAAGAAAAGGGACTTGAGCGGCACCCTGGTCCTGTGCACTACTATGTAACGGAATTTGGTCTTGTTGGGCAAGTGTATTGCTTGGTGTGAGAGTAGAAGATCGCTGCGGAGACTCTGAAACCCCAGAAGCATTCAGCAATGCAGAACCAGCCGAGGTCGGCTTCGCGACCGGCACCTTATCCTCATCGTCCTCGCTGCTCTCGTCGACAAACCCACCCTTGGTGCGCGGCTGCTTGGATGGCGTCGTCGCAGCAGCGGCATCCGCGGGCTGGGGTTTCGGGGCGCCTTCCGTCGCTGGAGGGGGGGTGTTCGAAGTGGACTCGGGCATCGACGCCGACTGATCGGACGGCGTGTGCGCAGGGTTCGCGAAAGCGCTATCCGGGTCGTACTCTTCCTCGTCGTCGGCAGGCGCAGAGTGCTCTGCGGGGTGAGAGTAGGCGGTGGCGGGGTCGTACTCTTGCTTCTGCGCCTCAAGGAAGGAGGCCATCTCGGCGTCTATGCCGGCCATGGTCGGGCCAGGCGAAAGGCGATCGGTTGAAGCTGCAGAATTAGGAGGCTCCTTCAGACAGCGCGGTTGGCAGCCGGCGTCGTAGGGAGGAAGGCGGAGGGGATGGCGGAGTAGCACCTACACAGACAAACGAATCTTGCGCGAGACAAGAGCGCTGGACAAGTTGGCCGTGAAGCTGCACTTGCGGAAACTGCGAGAGCGTCAGGGTCAGGCGATGTTGCGGCGGAAGCAGGTGGGCTTACGGGTCGTGCGCAGGCAGATCGGTCGCAGGTGGCTGCCTTTGTCTGCGCGGTTGGGGTGAAGAAAGGCAGGTTGAGGAAGCGCGGAGGCTTCTTTGTAGTCGAAAGCCCTGCAGCGGTTTGCGAAGTGAGAGTGAATTGGCCGCCGATTTCTCCGCAGGGCGGTCTTGGCGCGCGTGGCTGGTGTGGCTGATGCTCCGCAACGGCAACCGCGACTCGAGCTGCCATGTCACGGAGAGCACACTCTCGGTGTATTCGCATATACCCATTCACGCTCGATTTCAATGGCACCTTGACGCCAATAAATACGCTCACGGTTGTGCGACGCCGTTCCCTGAGACACTCTCTAAAGAACGATACCCAGGCACCCTTCGCAACCGCATCGTCTTACGAGCTCGAACTGGAGCATCCCAGCAGCCAGTCCTTACTCCTCACACATCCGCAGACATGAATCCGCACATCTCCCTACCGCGGCCGACAGGCGGCCCCTCAAACTTCGGCAGCACCACCCCCTCGAGACGAAACGAGATCCGAATGCCTCGCTTCTTCAAGCGGCTCTTCAAGTTCCCGCAGATGGACTTTGAAATGGCAGTCTGGGAGATGTATTCGCTGATGATCGCCCCGAAGAAAGTATTCAGATCGATATACTACCATGTAAGGCGCCCTCCATAGCCAGGACCATTCCTAGCTCAAGACGACCCTACAGAGCAGACACACTAACCTCTCCCCAGAAACAAACCTCAAAAACCTACCACCGCCCCGACCCCTCCTTCACCTACCTCCTCTCTTTCTTCCAGCTGCTCACCTCGCTCGCCTGGGGCTTCGCCTACGCCTCCAGCTTCTCGCTCACGCTGCGCATCACCCTGGTCTTCATCTTCGTGCACTTCCTGCTGCTCTCGCTGCTGACCGCAACGCTCTTCTACTTCTTCATCAAGCACCTGCTGGGGCCGAACTCGAAGCTCATACCGGGCCGGCGGCGGGGGCTGTACAATCTGGGCGGCGGCGAGGACGGCGGCGAGGGCAAGGAGGAGCTGGAGTTTGGGTATTGCTGGGATGTGGCGATCCGGGCGTTTGTGCCTGTGTGGGTGTTTTTGTACGTGGTGCAGTTTTTGTGCATGCCGCTTGTGGGGACGGACCATTGGTAAGTTGCTAGCGAGCGGGAGGGACAGCAGAGCGCCCTTCTTTTTGAGAAGGGCGACTGCGAGACCCCTTCCTTCCCCCCTCATACCGAAACCACTCTCGCTAACCCCGTCCGCCACTCCAGGATCTCCCTCGCCCTCGCCAACACCCTCTACCTCGCCGCCTTCAACTACTACTTCATAATCACCTTCCTGGGCTACAACGCCCTCCCCTTCCTGCACCACACGGAGCTGCTCCTCGCGCCTATCGCCGTAACAACGATACTCTGGTTTGTCAGCCTGTTTGGCCTGAATCTGAGCAAGCATCTGGCGCCCGTGTTTTTGGCAGGCGCGCAGTTGAGGAAGGGCGGGTGAAGAGGGGGGAAAGCGAAAACGGAAGGGAATCGGGGCATGCCGGGAAGGATGAGGATGAAGATAAGGGGGAATGTGTATGAATAGGGGTGTATATATGGAGTTCTATGGGCGCATCGAGGGTGTGGGTTTGGCGCATTTGGATTACTGGGATGGGCGCAAAAGGTGTCCGGTCGCTTCTTGGGAGATCTTTGTGGTTGCAGCATTTTAGCGATCATGTTGGCCGGCATAGCTTGAGGCTATGCTAATCAAAAAGCACCTAAGCACATTGACAAACCGAGCTTGTTGCGAACGTGCGACAGCGTAATTATACACTACAAATGTTGTATGTCTAAACCTCTCAAAAGGTATGTCCAGAGAAGTGGAGATCCGCCCTGATTACCTCCTCTACTTATACACCCATCTATCCTTCTATATGCAGACCAAGATATGCAGTCGGTATCTTACAAAGTCCTCTCCTCTGACTTCTCCTCATAGCACTGAATCTTATCACCAACACGGAAGTCCTCCCAGCCTTCAAACGCAATGCCGCACTCGGTATCCTTACGCATCTGGTCGACGTCCTTCTTCTGGTTCTTCAGCGAAGACAGGACACCTACATCACTAGTCAGCAACCACGCAACACACATTGCGAGCAAGACGCTTACCATCAAAAACCACCTCATCCTTCCGAAGCACTCTCGCCTTGGTTCCCTTCTCCACAAGACCGTTTCGCACCTTCGAACCAGCGACCCTCAGCTTCTTCTTCCCACCAATGCCAATCTCGAAAACCTGTGCTATCTCTGCTTCACCTGTAACCCTCTGGGTGATCTTAGGAGGCAGCTTCGCGGACAGGAGCGCCTTCACGTTCTCCACGACGCGATATATGATGTTCGAGTCGAGGATCTTGACGCCCTTCTCTTCTGCGAGCGCAGCGATATGGTTCGGAATGACCGTGTTGAAGTTGACAATATGGCCAGAAGCGTCTGCGGCATGCTGGACATCGAATTCGGACGGGCTGCCTACTCCGTGACGCAGGACGCGCGTACCCACTTCGGCAGTTCCAATAGCGGTTATGGAGTCAATGACGGCTTCAACGGACCCAGACACATCGCCCTTGACAATGAAAGGTACAATTTCAGGTCCAGTCTCCTTCTTCACCTCCTCCGGGAGGGTCTCGCCATTCGCCGCTGCTGCTACGGCCGCTTGTTCCGCCTCGCGGCGTTCAGCCTCCAGACGGCGCGACTCATTGATGGCTTCCATATCCTTAGCCATCTGCTCGCGCTCGATCTTCTCGATACGAATGTCGGAGACGGATTGCGCTTGCTGCTCGTCAGAGGCTTGGAGAACTTCATCGCCTGCAATGGGCTGCTCGCGCCAGCCGTCGGCTTCTACAGGCAAGCCCGGTCCGACTTCCTTGACCGTGACGCCAGCCTCGTTGCGCAAGCTGCGGACACGGGTCCAGGTTGTGCCAGCAACAAGAAGGTCACCAGTTCGCAGAGTGCCACTCCGAACCAACACTGTGGCTACTTTCCCGGACTTCTTGGTTGTACCTTCGAGAACCCAGCCCTCTACGTTGGCGCCGGGGTCGGCGCGGTGATCCAGAGTCTCTGAGAGTGTAGTTATAGCTTCTTCGAGATCAGGTATGCCCTGCCCGGTCTTGCCACTGACACACACGGCCTGAACATCGCCACCGAAGTCTTCGATTTCAATGCCGTGCCGCCCAAGATCTAGCTTTACCGAATCCGGATCAGCTTGCTGTTTGTCAATCTTGTTGATCGCAACAATCATTGGAACTCTAGCTGCTTGAGCATGCTTGATCGCCTCGACCGTCTGCGGCATAACAGAATCATCTGCCGCGACGACGAGCACAACAATGTCTGTTACGTTGGCACCGCGAGCGCGCATAGTTTCGAACGCGGCGTGGCCAGGCGTGTCGAGGAAGGTGATCTTCTTTCCAGAAGCCAGAGGTACGCTGAACGCACCAATATGTTGCGTGATGCCGCCAAATTCGGTTGCAGCGACACTGGTGGAGCGCATATAATCGAGAATCGTTGTCTTTCCGTGATCGACATGGCCCATGATGGTAACAACAGGAGGACGTGGGGGTAGTTGCGCGTACTCCTCGGGAGACAGAGCGGGGGCCGGATGCAGGTCGCCGTCATCTTCCTCAGTCTGAATGATGGGCTCGAAGTTGTACTCTTGCGCGATAAGGGCGGCATGCTCCGCGTTCAGAATGTGATCGTTCTGCACTTCTTCGAAGCCCAGTTCTTCAAGTTTTCGCACGAAGTCCTCTACTCGTACTTTCAAAAGCGAGGCAAGGTTGGTTACGCTGATGTATTCTGGCAGATAGACGGGTGCAGGCCCAGCCTTAGCTTCCTGCATCTTCTTCTTTGCTTCCTTGCGTTGCCGCTTGCGCTCCGCCTTATTCACGTATCGGTCGTCTTCTTCCTCCTCTTGCATGATGCGGTTGCGACCCCGTCGCTCGAAGCCTCCTCGTTGACGACGCTCTGGCTCTTCGTACCGATTGCGTGTCCCGACGGCCGCATCTTGCGCTATTCTGAGGCGATTCCTTCTCTTTTCGTATTCCTCAGCATTCCGCCGTCTCTCTTCCCTTTCCTCATAGGCTTGCTGGGCACTCTGTATACTAGAGCCTTCTTTCTGAATCCATGTTTCTGCGGCTTCGGATAGGGACCCGCCATTCTTGTAACTTTGTAGCTCGTCCTGTCGTCGAGGGAAACGCTGTGGTTGCCGGAGCACAGGCTTATTGGGGCATTCGAGGCTCAAATGATCTTCTCTGCCGCAATGCATGCATTTGGTTCGAACATTCGTGTCCCGTGATAGGCGAGCGTACGGTCTCGGAGGGTCCTGCTTGTTGATGGTCGAATTGTTGCCCAACAGCCTGTCTATCTCTGCTTGGTCAAGTCTGGAACCGGGCGCAGACCTCGGCGGTTGGCGTTCCCTAGGGCTCGCCATGGGAGGGGCACGGTCTGCTTGTGGCTCGTTTCTCCGCCGCAAGTGTCCTGAACCGAATGCTGGCATATTCCTAACTGGAGGTCTCGCGTCCATATTCACATTGTACCGAGATTCACGATATTGAATCTGTTGAGGTCCGTCTGTCGCACGAGGCACTTCAGAGTTCACCCTCCTTATGGGTGCAAATCGGTCATTGCTCTGATTACGTCCTGGTCCATCGAAGATGCCGCCTCGATTCGATCGCCCTCCCGGAAAAGGCTGCCTTTGTGCCTGCTGTTGTCGTGGTGGCGAGACATTTGGTTGCAGTGACGCTCTCATCCTCTCGGCCTGCGACATAGGTCTTCCCTGGGGTTGTTGCGGTGGAGCCGACGCCAGAAGTAGCCGTCGCATTCTCTCTGCCTGCGAGACCGGCTGTGCTGGAGCATCACCATCCTTGTATATCAATCCCTCGGGCGCATACTGCGGCGCTTTGCTCGACGAATTGAGATGTCTCCGCTGAGACAGAGCCGGAGACGCGACGGGAGCATCTGTTACGGAGAGTTGACGGGTGGCGCAAAAGATGCAGACGTCGCGGGTCGAGGATACCTAGCTTTACGTTAAAGGGGCGTCGTAAGATCAATTGACCCGAATATTTCTTACCCGTAGCACACGCGTGTTCCGCATGGCCGGTGATATGCTGCTGTGATGATATCCTGAGCTTCAAAAAGTCTTGAATGGTGCGAGATCTTTCGGCGGACCCCGGCTCCTTAGCGCGCACCGCCACTGTGGCTCTCCGTTCACCCACCGTCGAAGTCACGACTTCGCAAGACTAGTACTCTAGTCCTAGTGATGAAAGTTTAGCAGCCTCAAGAAATCAGGGGCTACGGCCGAGCTCGGGCGTCTTGTCGCACAGAGTAACACGCGAGTGACAGTAACTGCTCGGAAACGACTATCACAGTTCTCCGTCTCCAGAACAGCAGAGGTCAAACCTCTCCCACCAACGTCAGGAGTTTCTTCAAGCCCCACATCAAGTCACATTGCCCATTAACCAAACAGCAAGAATCAAGAGTCAAGACCCAAGTCAAGATGATTGATTGCCCTATATTGCCAGACGATGTCTGCCCCAAACCCCGTCTTCTCCGGATTAATCCTCCTCCCCCTTTATCCTGTCCGACAGCATGCGCTCTTCCATCATCCTCTCCTCAAACGCCTGCCAGGTAATCTTCCGCTTCTGAACTTGCTGCTTCGAGTACGATTCGTACTGGTGCTTGAGGCTTCGCTTCCGCAACAGGAAGAGAACGTAAAGGTAGCATATCGTAGGGGCGATGATGACGGGCGCGAGTAGTATGACAACCTCTCCCAGGGCGCGGAAAACGTCTTTCGGAGGGAGCGGCCAATTCGTCTGAGGAGGAGGCGCCCAGAAGAGACCGGCGGTGATTGTATTGACGGCTCGTTCTGCGTGGCGGGAAACGATGGTTCTATCGACACACTTTGAAAGACAGGCTTTGAGCCCGGGGGCTTCCATACTGCGGCTTCGTCAGTTCCGTGAATTATATGAACCCCGTTGTTGCTTACACGATGTTGCGCCAGAGCAGGTAAAGCCCTCAACCCGCCGCGTTAGGAAGATCGTAGATTCGATGCTGCGTGCGACAAGGGTGAGCGCTCAGGTAGGTGGAAGCAGGTGAGCAGCCGAAGATTCCTGGGTGGTAGTCGTGCCGACGAGCGAGATTTGGTAGATGAGTATACTGCACAGCTGGTGGCTCGCGCCATAGACGCGTGGGTGGTGGTCTGTATTCGAGTATATATCCGTTTGGATAAAGGAGCGTGGAGGTCACTAGGAAGAAAGGAGAGGAAAGTGACAATTTACAATGTGGTGGAAAGGGAAGACGATGCTTTGTATATTGTGCCGCGTGGAGAAGATCTAGACTCAGGAAGCAGAGATCGGTGACGTCGTCGCTGTCCGCTGAAGCACTGGGGATGCTGGGAAGGAGCGGTCAAGGACGTCAGTTGGGGGAAGGACCTTAGAGATCTAGATCACGAGCTGAGTATCCTCGCGCTACACCCAACGCCCTATGCTTTGCTCACAAACTCCTCAATCTTCGAGACCACCTCATGCAACCCTTTCACGATGACCGTCGGCTTCCCAGCCTCGCCTTCCACCAACCGATCCGCCCACCCCTTGCCCGCGCGATCGACCCAGCACGTCCTCATCCCCACCGAATTTGCACCTACGACATCAAACGGATTCCCACTGATCAACCAAACATCCTTCTCCTCTCCCTTCTCTGCCTTGCCGACCTCCCTACGCAAGTGGGAATACACCTCCGGATCCGGCTTGTAGCGCTTGACTGCTTCAACGAGGACGACTTTGCGGAAGAGGCTGGCGTGCGGTGATAAGTCAGGCGATTGGGAAAGCGAGGCATTGATCATGGGCGAGGTGCCATTGGAGAAGATAACGGCGTTGATGTGCGGGTTTGATTTGAGATGGTCGAAGACCGGCGGCACGTCCGGGAAGAGGTTCAGGGTGTTGTAAGCTTTCATGAGGTTCTCGGTGTCGCCGTCATTGAGAGATACGCCGGCGTCGGCGAGTGCGTTCTTGAGAGATTTCCGAGTCACGTCCGAGAAAGGCTCGTATTTCTCTAGCCGGTGTTATTGCTGTGATCGGAGATGTTTTACGGGGGACTCACGCATCGAATTCAACCGCCAGGTGTATTCCAACTGGTACTTCCGCCATTCTTGTGCTATGCTTCCGGCTTTCTCCTGGCCAAAATGTTCTGCGAGCTGTCTCGCGATGCTCTCGGTCGACAGGAGCGTGCCATAGACGTCAAAAGCGAGTATAATCTCCTTCTGGGAAGCCATTGCGGGTTTATGAAAGGTTAGAAGACGATAATTCTCTTAATTGTTGTCCCAAAGAATTATGTTAATGATGTTGGAGATTAACAATTCGGAATTATCGGTGGTACTGTTAGAATGACGATTGCGGGGAGCTGAGGCCTGCATCTATCCGATGCCCCACGCTCAGGTCACGGTTGCTTTTCCGTTACGAGTATGCACGAGCTATAGATGTGGATAGAGGACCAAGCCCACAGCAAGCTGATGGCGGAGACGCTTACTAATGCCCCTGATCAGCCCTTTAGGTATGTGCGACTTGCGACGTGGAGGCTAGGTCACATGCAGGTAGCAACATTTGGCATCAGATGCGCCGAGGTGTTCAGGAACCAGTCCCGAGGTACCTCAGTAGTAGCAGTGCCAAGTTTACAAAGGTGCATCTAAGCAGTAGAAAAGTCATGGAAGACATCATGAAGCATCAGCGTCCCCTGAACGAAGGATCTGGAGATCTTAGTGTAGCGTGCTCTCAATCGCAACATAAAGTTTGATGAACAGCGAACGACTGCCTAAAAGGGCAGGGCCCGCCGAACTGCTCCGAAGGTGCTTTTTGGAGTCGTGGGATTTCCCCTCTTAACTCGCATAGAGCCGGTAATTCGGACGCGCATGCTGGAGGTTTCTCGAAGCTATACGTGAATCTCAAGCATCTTAACGACCCAAAGACAGCATGAGTGATATGTAGGTAGCATTGACGGTGTTCAGTCGAGAGAAACACTAGGACAACCCCGCAATGCAAGTGATGGCGTAATCTTTGCAATCCAAGCGTCCCGTTGGTCTTGTTGCACGAGCTTGCGGAAGCATGTAACTCAAATCAAGTCCTTGGGCGCGTAGATTGAAACAACCATCAGCTGCCTAGACAGGTAAGTTGAAGCGTGAGAAGCTGACAGCCCTCCCGGGTCAGCTTCCGATTCCAAAGCGCTGCTGTTCCTCGAGCCTGGAACGAGGTTATGGAGTATAGGTGCTGACCTATCGTTCCTAGTTGCAAGCCCGCTCGCAACGCTCATTCGCTCTGCAACGCAGAGACAGCTGCATTCCTTATGCAACATTGCGGGAACATCCTGGGTCGGGTTTTAAAGTTTTCGCCTATCGACGCGCACAGAGGAGAGGTTATCGCCAGACGCATAGGGTGAGGTTAAGATCCGCTGTTATTGCGTTTTCGGTTCCAGCTTGCGACTTCAGCATGGCGAATGGGAGAGCGAACGGAAGAAATGTACGTTTGGGATAGAGGCGGCAACGTCTGAGGCGCGATATGCGACTCCGGAGGGTCATGCGGGGTACATACGTGGCAGGACCAAGAGGTGATGTGTGGGAAAATGCGAAAATGCGAATTAGCCGGATAGACGAAGGAAAGGGTGACGGCGAGAAGTGAAGATGGAGAATCAGACAGGGCTTTTGCAGGTAGTGCTCCCACAGCCTTCCATGCGTAACCACACGGTGATGGGAACGCTAATGCAGGCACCCACGACCGTCCCACTGCCGTATCCTCAGAGATAGCAAATGCCGTGCGAGCCTACCACATACCTGAAGAAATGAGAGGGGTCAGCAATTGCTAGCGAGGTGGCGAAGACAGAGGAGAAGACGTTTAGGCAAAGCAGGTCCCGGTAGTCGCCTGGTGTAGTACCCCAGGATTCGCTATGCTGTGCAACTCGGGGCAAACTGTAGCAACCCGGCTACCGCTACAAACCTCACAAACAGGACCGGGAATGAGGTGTCAGACGACATCCAGGTCGGATCTCGCCGGAGCCATGGCTGCTGCGTAGGACTGCCATCCCGTCATCCACCTTCCCCGGATCTGCTTGGTGGCATGGATTCGAAAAGCAAGACGAGAAAAAGAAAGAGAAGCGCATGCATAAGCCAAGCGCATTTCTCACAGATGGCGCTACTCGTCGCTGCAAGCGCTGCAGAGCGGATGCAAGTCCTCGCCGTCCCGCGAGCTGTCGACTGGTGGGATGCATGGCTCGAAACACCGTCTGCTGATGGAGTTTCGGACGATGTCACAATCCAAGTCGAGATAGGGAACCTCGGGACCGGCGACTGATATCTTGCTCAACGTCAATACGTGCCTGGGGCGTGCTTTTTGCAGATTGGATTTCCGCTTGCCCTATGAGGCCGGTCCCCTTTCTTGAGCCGGGAGCGCAGCTGGCCGTGGATTGGCTGGGGCCTTATATACCGGCGCGTTAACGCGGCGAGGGTGCAGCCAGCATCCGCTTTGGGCGCGCCGCGTTCCGCAGGAGGCCGACTCCAGGGCAATTCGATAGCGTGGCACGCCCGTCCCTGATCTCTCTCCGGGCCTGGGCTATCGAGGGAGCCCTGGAGGGGCGAACTTGTGATCAGAGCGGCGCTCAGGGGCAGGCCCGTCGCTGATTCGCTGCCGCCGCGCCGTCGTCGAGTTTCAAGAGGTTACACGAGGCCGCCTGGCCGCCTGCAGAAGCGCGCCTGGAAAGACGCGCAGGCAGCGCAGCTCATCAATTGGACCTGATGTCTGGGTCTGCTCGTCCTGCGCTTGAGTCGTGATCGCGGTGTCCGCCAGCGCGCCGTCGGGGCCCCCCTGCAGCCGTTTTGACGAGGTGCAACACCCCAAAAAAACTCCTGGTCGAGGCGGCTATAGCTCTTTTGCATTCTATATTACCAGCGCGTACGCCCACCGCACCCGTCAGTGACACCCCATCTCACGCGCCAGCATCTCCGTAATCACGTCTGGAGCGGTCCGCCGTCGCCCACAAAGTCCGCTGCAGCTGCCGGCGCAGCATCCATTTTCGCGACTTTGCCATGCACACCGCCGTTAGAGACCGCGACCCCTGAACCGAGTCGACCACGCTCCCACGACCACCACCGCCGGCCCGCAATTTCAACTTTCGACAGTGTTTCTGCACTGTGTCATGCCCCGCGGGCCGTTTGCACCCACCCTTCGCACCAAACAGGCCAGCAGCGCTGGTCTTTCTCTCTGTCCAAGGGCGCAGCTCGACGAGGAGGAACGCGCCGCCGCGCAGCAACCCGCTATTGATTCTGCAGCCATCCGCGACGCCCGCGGCTTCCTACACCGACGCATACGATAATCCCTTCCGATTGTCTGGGCACGAATCACCGCTCTGCAGCCTTTGTTCCCCGTACGCGCTGCGCCGGAGAATGCCAGCGCTCAGAAAGGCAGTACCGAGTCCATTCAATCCCGACGCCTGAACCTCAGACATCACACCAACAATGGCAGACTTTGGGAGCAGCTCTAGGGCCGACGCGCGCGAAGAGTCCCGGCCTACAACGCCGACAGGCTCCTCGAGGACGTACAAGGCAAACGGGGGCATGCCCTCGCTCGATACCCGCCCGACCCAGGACCAAACTTTCTTCGACGATGCCACGCCGGTCGACACCGCGCGGAACAGCGACGGCCAGCAGGAGACACTGAGAGACTCCCACGACCTATCCTTTGGCGACGGCACCCGGGACTCAGTCGTGGACAATATGCTGCTTTCGCTCGACCAGCTGCCGGCCCAGTTCAGCCACCCCGCTGCACTCTATTCTAATTTTGACCATGACAACTTCTTCTTAACAGATAATCATTACCCTCCTCCGCGACCTTCCCGGCACCGCGGCCATACATATGCCTCGTCGCAGTCTTCCGACTACGAATTGCACATCGATGATACTTCGTCGCGATACTCGAGCCACCATTCACGGGGACGGAGGAGTAATAGTAGTAATAATATTCCGACCACAATGAGCCGGAAAGGCAGTTTAAGGGCGCCTTGGTCCGGCGCGGGGTCCAAGCAAACACACGGCCTCCACGGCGACTTTCAGCAGACGGGGCACATGAGGAGCGGCGGGAAGAAGGGGAGCAAAGGAAGCGGCTCTTCGAGTATGGACTTTGGACACGCAGGAATCTTGGGAACCCACCGTTTGGGTTTTGGAAACCGCTCGGCCAGCTTTGACCACGGCAATGGGGCGTCAAGAACATCGCCGGTGAAGACAGAAGCTATTTTGGATAGGAGCAGACCTACTTACCAGAACTATCACCACGAGTACGACGCAGCCCCAGAACCCACCATCCCCGCCGGGCCCAGGAGAGTACAGCACGAACCTCCGCCCCAGTCCCCAATCGCCTACCCGCCACAGCCCTCATACGCTCCTCCGCAGGCTCCTGTACCCCGGCGAAAGGGTAGTGTTCGGTCGACGACGAGTTACAGAACATTGCGAAAGAACAAGAGCCAGCCTGAGCCGAACATGAGGGCCCAGGCGCAGGAATTTGTGAATGCCAGCAACATTCGGGACCTACCCCCGATTCCGACGTTCCAAGATCCACCGGCCCCATCGCCAACCGTGGCTACGCGGAAGCAAGCGTTCCATTCATCCTCTCCCGTTGCCACACCCAAGGAGAAGCCGGGCTTTTTCAGACGCGTATTCGGTGGTGGTCTCCCGAAGGCTCAAGTGCAATTGTCAAATTCGTCCACCAACTCGAACAGCTCGCGCATGGAGCCATCTCCTGCCTCTGCTGCGCAGCGCCCCACCGAGATCGATTCCATCTATTCCCCACGACCGCGGACCACTCCATCTGGTTCCAGCCACATTGCCACGCAGCTCAAACCTGCGCAGTCCAGAGCTCCACAGACCGCCAACTCCATGCACAACCAGAGCCAGCAGCCTCCGCCGCCGCCGCTAGCCAAGAAACACTCGTCCTTTTTTAGGCGGCGGAAGAAGTCTATTTCCGAGGCGACCAAACCTCCGGTCATGACGCTTGATTTCAAGGCTCCGTCTAAGCACGAGGTATTGCCTCCTCAGCCTAGTCCGGGCGTCAGTAGTCTACGCAAGGTTATGAACCCGTATTTGAACGACCTGGGTAGTCCCGGAGACAAGTACGACACTCGGGAGCACCAGGCCGCTGCCAATGGCCTGACGAACGGTGAGCGATCTAACGGGTTCTCGCCTGGGTACAAGCCGCATAAGGACGCAACCGTCCGCGCCATCAAGCCGGATTCCCGCGGTACGGATAACACGCCGCCCTCCTCGAGAGGCGAGCAAGTGAAAGCAGCGCACTTGGCAAGCACCGATAGCCCCAAACTAAAGTTGAAGATGAGGCATGGGAAGACAAATCTCGCTAGCATGCAGGAAGACACTTTCCTCGCAGACAGCAGCAGCTGCAACGAGGACCACAGCGGCCGCGCGACACCAGTAGGCGAGCGCAACGCGTTTGGCGGGATGGATGAAACGCGGCGGCCCAAGACATGCCCCACGTCATCTCCATCCGCCCACTCTGGGACCGAAGGCAGGAGCGGTCGCAGACCCAAGACCCGGGAGCAGCGGGCCGACCTGCTGAGTCCTCGCTCGGGCGACGCCAAAGCAGCGCCAACGGGCTCGCCGTCGCCGTCAGCCTCCGAAGTCGAGGACGACGGCTGGATTATCACGTCGCCCACCAAGAAAGAGCAGGCGTCGGTCAAGAAGAGCACGGGCAGGGCGAAGCGTGTCTGGCTGGAGCCCACGTCGTCGGAAGAGAAACTCGCGGGCGACGACGCCGAGGACCTCAAGCTTCCCCTGGAGGGCGCACACGCGTCGCAGAAACAGCTCGAAAAGGAGTCGCCCACGTCGGTGCAACCGCCCACGCCCTCCTCTTCTACAAATGAGGTATTCCACTCCGCTACGAGCCTTCCTATCTTGCAGGTCGAGGGCCGTGACTCGGACAACATGCCGGCCATCGTTGAGCATCGCCCTCAGCACGAAGAGCCTGTCGATGAAGACAGAGAGCGTGCGTTCCGCATCTTCAACAACGAGGACCCTGTGGTGCAGAAAGCCCAGGCCGCTGCCGTTCTGGGCGACGTCACGACGACGAGTATCCGAATGCGGAAGGCGTACATGGAGCTGTTCGACTGGACTGGCTTCAACATCCTCGCCGCCATGCGCGATCTTTGTGGCAAGCTTGTGCTCAAGGCAGAGACGCAGCAGGTCGACCGCATCCTCATGAGCCTGTCGGAGCGGTGGTGCGAATGCAACCCCAACCACGGCTTCAAGGCTCTCGGTACGTAGACTGGAACCATAAACTTGCTATTGCTAATGCAGCACAGATGTCGTGCACACCATCTGCTACTCGATTCTGCTGCTCAATACCGACCTGCACCTGGCTGACATTGATACGAGGATGACCCGCAGCCAGTTCGTCAAGAACACTCTCCCAACGGTCACCCGCGTGTGCAAGGATGCGGTTAAGGACGCAGCTGACGAGACCCTCCGGCCGCAGTCTACTCAGCTTAGGAGAGGCTCCCTTCCTTGGAATGACAAGTCCGAGCCCAATTCGCCTGCTGCTGAAAACACGACCTTCCCAGCAGATGCCGCAGAGGAACAACTCGAGGGCAGGAGGGCGCGAAGTCGCCTGTCCGTCAGACCGCCCATCCGAAGCGGGTCTGAAGGCGTGTTGTCCGACTCGGCCACCTCTGACGCAAATTTGCTGGTCTATGCTCCTTATAACGGCCCTGTGAAGGGATGGGAGTACCAGGTCGAGACCGTGCTGAAAGATTTCTATGACTCCATCCGGAAGCAACGTCTACCCCTTCACGGAGCGTCTTCGCTGCAGGTTCACGAGCAGCCATCCACGAATTCTCTCTCGGTCAGCGGCATGCTTCGGCGTACACCCAGTGTTCTGAGTAAAGCACCATCCGAGAACATGAGCTACCGCGGACGATCTCAGACCGACTTCCGGAGCATGGGCAAGAGCTGGAATTCCAAGGCGCGTTCACGCCCGCGAATGTACCCCACTTCGACCGTAGCGTCAAGCCGAACGAGCCTCGACGATGGATCCGTCTGGAGCCCCGCTGGCTCTAGCACTTGGAGCAGATACTCACATGGCAAGACTCAGACCTCCATGTCGATGGAGTCTTTAGGCTCGCATTTCGCCCACGGAGACTATCAGCAGGCCATCGGATTCGCTAATGCGCTCAGCCAAGCTATCATTCGGGAAGAGGGAATGACGATCGCCAGCGACGAAGAGTTTACGCGTGTTGCGCCACTGCTCGAGGATGAGAGCCTTGAGCTTGTCGGAGCACCGTGGGCAAAGGAGGGCATCCTCAAGCACAAGCATCATTTGGAGGCGCTTGACAAGAAGGCCAAAGACCGAACCTGGAACGAATGCTTCGCCGTCATCGAGAAAGGCTACATGCGGTTGTTCTCGTTCAGCATGAACTCCAAGTCTTTGCGTCACAAGAACAAATCCCGACCCTCCGCAGGAAGTGTTGTTGGTGGCGGCAACTGGATGGACAACGCCGAAGCCCTTGACAGCTTCCTTCTCCGGCAGACGATTGCTAGTGCGCTGCCCCCGCCCGGTTACTCGAAGTCTCGCCCACATGTGTGGGCATTGTCTCTCCCAACTGGTGCAGTCCACTTATTCCAGGTCGGCACTCCGGATATTGTCAAGGAGTTTGTCTCCACAGCCAACTACTGGTCTGCTAGGCTCTCCAAAGAGCCCTTGGTTGGCGGCGTCAGCAATATAGAATATGGCTGGGGAGACACCGTTATCAACACCGCTCTGATCCGACAAGACCCTCCTCCTTCACATTCACAGCAAGGACACGTCCCTCGTCCTAGTATGGCGAGCTCCCTCCGCAGCTCTGTCGACCATGCTACCGGCACTCCCAAGGCCCGCCTTCCTGGTGACAAGGTTAACCTCGCAGACTGGAGCCCGCCGACCTCGAGCATGATGGCGAGCAACTTGATGGAGGTGGACCAGCTCCGGGCCTTGACCGACTATGTCAAGAATGTGGAAGAGGAGCTCGCGCGCCACAACGAATTGAGGGCGCCAATGCTTATTGCATTCTCTCCGCGCCACCCGAACGCAGCGAAGGCCATGGCCAACTGGGAGCGCAAATCTTCATACCTTCTCCGAGAGATCGTAAAGTTCCGAACCTACATCGACTCGCTCACCGCGGCACAAATCTCGAAGGAGAGGATATACGCCGAGCGCGAAGCCACTGCAGAGAAAGACACTGATGCCAATGGTGTCACTGCCGGGTTTCCGCTGGCGACTGAAGTTGATGGTGCGAGCGAAGCCCCTACAGCTTCCGAGCCCATCGCTGCCTGATTTCCTCCTACTTCTTCACACATCTCCTTTTTTGCATACACTGACGATTGTTTTCGTTTTGGATAGGCTTGACACCTCTGCGGCGTACGATGCGGCGACTGAGGCTTCTTCACTCGTCGAAACCCATGCTGCGGGAACGGCCGCACTCGGTTGCTTGATATACCCGTTGTAATTCCTGATTCTTTTCTGCGGCACTCAGCACGTACATGATCTCCTTTCTCCTCGCTCCTCACGAGTTCGAGCCTTGGCCTGCCCGCCATGGCCATCTCTTTTGTTTCCGACCCAACACCATCAAGACGACGACACGCATTGTACGACGATACATTCAGACGGGCGTGCTATTTGGCCTTCAGCTTAATTTCCTTTTTATATCGAGACGGACTATGATGCATATGGCGGAAGGATCCAATTGCTATCCATAGGGATATTCTTCGCCTCAAGATTAGATGGTTGGTTGGGCTTGAGATTGGGATGGAAGCCCTGCATTTTACTTTAATGATATACCCAGCCTCGAAAGAGGAGTATTACCTTTTCAAGCACGGTCCGCGGCCTTCGTCTCAAGGTGCCTTTACGTTTGCTTTTGACTCGCTCGCCGGCTAAGGTGAGATCCGTCCAAAAGTTCCAAGGTTTATCTTGGTGCAGACCCACTCCCACGTGGAGGCGTTACTACTCCGGTCCAAGGTTCCAAAGCTATGCTGCTGCTTGGGGCGCAGGCAAAAATTTTCGTCTCACGTTGAGATAAATGCAGGTAATTCAGGTACGGGCTTACATACTCACCTTCTCAGTAGACTATATCAAGCGGTCAGCTAAACGGTCGCAGGAGGACTGTATATACAGATGCGGTCAAGATGCTGACCGCCAAGGGACCAAGGAAGTTGAGGCTGAACAATATACGATGCAATGCACTACTCCCGTCTCCTCTGATTGGCAGGATGTCGGGAGCATTTCAGAGACGCCGATTTACAGTCGCAGATGGTTGGTTTGGGTACTTGAGCGGAGGGAGCGTCTGGGGTTGAGCGATTGAGGCTCTGTTCGGCGAGTTCGGCGAGCTCGAGCGCGCCGTTGGGCGGGTACGACGTCCGCGGTCGTAGGTTGTTTGATGTCTAAACGATGCTACATGGAGCCGTCTATTTTCAGACCCAGCATAGAGAGAAGGAGAAGGTCAGAGATCGATCGTGCAGAGAGGCTCAGACGTGCTTGAGTTCATCGTCGACGCTGGACAAGGGCTCCGTACGCGGTATGCGATGGCACCTTACCATACAGCTCCCCTACACAGGACACGCCCAATCTCTCATTGGCGGTTCCGACTACCCTGCAGACATCATGACAGCAGCCAGCTCAACTGCAACATGCCAGGCCATTCAACGCCGACAGCATAGCATTCGACAGCACCCCACGTCCTCCTATCAAATCGCCGTCGTTCGGTCTTGACCGTTCGCTTGCGCTGCCCGACGCAAGCCACCGAAACCCACTGCGTCGGGCTGGAACAAAGCCCTGCCCCGCCCGTGCTGCGCGCGTGGGAATGGTGCACGGGAAAGAAGAAAAGCGCGGACGGAAAGGGAAAGCTGTGTCTAGTTCGACGACATGGAGGGACGGAAGGGGCACGGGATTGGTGGATGAGGGCGTGCTGGGGGAGAGACATTGGTCGCTGGACATGCACTACCCTGGGTAGCTGATCGAGAGCTGCATTAGCACTACATGAAGCTTTACCGCATCTTTGTCTGGGTGAAGCAGCCATGCGGTACAGTATGTATGCAGTACCGTCTAGGGAAAGAGTTTGGGGTTCAGTCGGCATCGTGGACCTCCTGGGTAGTTCTAGTGCGCCCTCGGGCTCGCCGCCCCGAGCTTAGCTCCCTTGCGCCCAATCTCTCTTTACCGCTTCGAGGCTTTGCGGGCCGGCGAATCAGCGCTGCGAAAGGGCACAAGAGCAGTCACATGGAGGTCAGTGTCGTGCATAAGCGGACTTGTCAAGCCTCGTCGTGGCGGGTATGCGGATGGGGAGACTGCGGGTTGTACACGTATTCGTGGTGGAAATTGGGGCACTGTGTTGGAGGGTGGAAGTGGCTGCGCAGGATTGGCAAAAGCAATGAGAATGGTTCGAGGTGGAGGTATAGACTCGACGACGGCGCCATGGGAAACGCACTTTCACCGTCGTTCGACGCCGTCGCCGCAGAAGAAAGAAGTAAGAAGCAGAGGACGCGTCCCGAACGCCGGCGAGTTTACGCAGTACACTGGCACACTGGCTCCGCTTTCGCACCCCTGAACCGAACACCGGCAACATCACATCCTATTTCCTTATTCAACTCCCTGTTCCCTTATCCGCAGGTGATCGTCGCTCATCCTTCCTCAAGCGTCGCATTCACGGCCAGACTCACGGTTACACCTCGTTCGTTCGTTCGCTGCGCTTGGACCCGGCGTCTGCTTTCTCAGCCCTGCAGACCCCGCCGCCAGGGAAAACCTCGAGCGTCCGTCCGTCAGCCGCACTTTTATACTCCGCAGACACCTACCTCTGCTGTCCTCCATCTTACTGCGCGACCTTTTTCCCGGACGAGGATCGACAAAGCTACATTCCCTGGACCACTTCAGCCATAGATCTACATCGGCCGTCCCGACCTCGGCTTCGATCAGCGCACGACAACAACACCACCACATCCATACACACCTACACACCTACACACGACCACACAACCATGTCCTACTACCCTGGACAGCAGTATCAGCAGAACTACGGCGCCCCGCCTCAACAGCAGAACTATGGCCCGCCGCAGGGCTACCCTCCGCCGCAGAACTATGGCGCTCCGTGAGTTGCAACTGCGATGGGATGATTCTTTGAGCGCTGCTGACGGGTGCCGCGCAGACCTCCACAACAGTACGGATATCAACCTCCGCCGTCGCCGCAGCCGCCATACAACCCCGGATACGGACAGACTCCGCCGCCGCAGCAGTATGGGTACCATCAGGTGCGTTTGCAGCGTTGAATTGAAGCGCGATTCGGAATCACTCGGGCTGACGCGTGAATAGACCCCGCCACCTCAGCAGTATGGCTACGGAGGTCCGCCACCAAACCAAGGACCGTCTCCCGTGCCTCCGCAGCAGTATCCTCGACCCGGTATGACAGCACGCTCTGTGAGAAGTGAATTTAGCTGACGTGCGTCTAGGCATGATGCCCACAGCCAACAGTAACCAGTGGACACACGGCAACCACAGCGCGCCGCCACCTCCGCCCACGGCTCCGCAGAACTTCGGTCACGGCGCGCCTCAAGGCTACTCGTTCCAGTACTCGGCATGCAATGGCCGTCGGAAAGCGCTCCTCATTGGTATTAACTACTTCGGCCAGCGGGGCCAGCTCCGCGGCTGCATCAACGATGTCAAGAACATGAGCACGTATTTGAACAGCCACTTTGGGTATAAGCGCGAGGATATGGTGACTTTGACCGACGACCAGCACAATCCGCTGAGCCAGCCGACGAAGGCGAATATTCTGAGGGCGATGCATTGGCTGGTGAAGGATGCGCGACCGAACGATTCGCTGTTCTTCCACTATTCAGGTACGTCAAACACTGGAAGACGCGTCATATGCCGCAGCAGCTCACAGCATAATAGGACATGGCGGCCAAACGAAAGATCTCGACGGCGACGAAGACGACGGCTACGACGAGGTCATCTACCCCGTTGACTTCCGCACCGCAGGCCACATTGTCGACGACGAAATGCACCGCATCCTCGTGTCGCCCCTCCAACCGGGTGTTCGACTAACTGCCATCTTCGATTCCTGCCACTCTGGATCCGCGCTCGATCTCCCATACATCTACTCTACACAAGGTGTGCTCAAGGAGCCGAATCTGGCGAAGGAGGCTGGTCAAGGCTTGTTGGGTATTGTTTCGAGCTACGCGCGCAAGGATATCGGTGGCATGATTTCAACTGCGAGCGGATTGTTCAAGAAGGTGACGCAGGGCGACGAAGTGTACAAGAAGAATCTGCGGACGAAGACCAGCCCCGCAGACGTTATCATGTGGAGTGGATCGAAGGATACGCAGACCTCAGCCGACGCTTCCATCCAGGGTGAGGCAACGGGAGCCATGTCCTGGGCTTTCATCAATGCCCTGAAGAAGAACCCGAACCAGAGCTACGTCCAGCTCCTGAACAGCATCCGTGATGAGCTGGAGGGCAAGTACAGCCAGAAGCCACAGCTGAGCTGCAGCCACCCTTTGAGTAAGCCATTCCTCTCGGTCCTCGGCGAATAATGCCAAAGCGAATGCTAATATTGCAACAGACACCGACATCCTCTACGTCATGTAAATACGTACATATACATGTGACTCGGGAAGAGGGGTAGATTTCACGGCCGCTGAACGTTTTTCGATTGATACCACGCGCGCATTACGGGTTGGGTCTAATGGGGATTCTGGATACCAAGACCTATGAAAAGATTGGGTATTCTTGACGGCTGCTGACGAACCAAGTGCGCGCTTGAAAGAAGCTGTACTACTTCGATTGTAAATATTATGGGGAGCGTTTTTGATGCTGTTTGATACTTTCATGGGCGGCGTTTTGATTCTGACGCTTGGTGTTGGCGAATTGAATTTGGATACCAAGAAAGAAATCAGATATTCTGTCACGCTCGGGATGAGACGAGTGATTTGCAACAAGCATCCCAGTGCCGCCCGCATGTGTTCTGGGGTTTCTTGGGATGATGCCATGACTGCTCTGTACGAGGCAATCGAGTTTTGAAGTCCTTCTAGTGGCTATAAGTATTCACGGTTCATTAGCAAGCTATGTCTTGCGAGCGTTTATTGCCTAGACACTCCTCAACCAGAAACCGGCGATGCTCGGCGGGTGTTGAGGATTGAGAGTGGAGACGTCGGAGGAAACACCAATCAGCACAGACCAAGGTGATCGACGCTGGGTTCTTTTCCGCGCAAAAGGTCAGTCAGCACCATGGCCGCCTTGTTGATTGCGGGATGCGCCAGCGATGAGCTTGTGTCTTCTTCCAGAGCTTCCGGTGCGCCATTAAAATTCTTGATCCGCCGAGCCCCATATCATTACACCTACTACCTCATCTCCACCATTCCTCCTCCTCCATCATCATTCTATTCATCTTGAAATCCGGCCAGACACAATTGACTGCGTCCGGAACCCCGCGGAAACACCTCTAGACCCTCGAAGCACTCTCATAACACAACAGGAGCACCTCGTCATCGCCGTGCAATGGTGGGGCAAGCATAAAGCTCCACCAGCTCTTCCTCCGAATCCCAATCCGACTGTAGGCCCCGCTTGCCGCCCACCTCGCCCACCATGCCTCTCCTCGATCTGCGCGAACTCGTCCAGTTCGAACCCTCCGCCGACAACACCACCGAGACGATAATAAACGGCGTCCGCTTTAATCTGACTGCGCTCGAACATTTCAACTACACGCTATACAGCAATAAGACAATCTCCAACAACTCGAAATGCTACCTCATCTTCGACAACTTCAGACCACACATGTTCAGCAATGGCTCTTGGGTCAACGCAACGACATGCTACATTCCATACTACGGGATAAGAACGAGGGGCGCGACGAGTATTGCGTTCGGCGTGCTCTTTGGCGTGAGTATAATGTTTACGCTGATGAATTTGAGGAAGCATGGGAGGCTGCATCTGAGAGAGGATAAGCGGTTTAGGGTTGTGGGGAGAAGATGGCAGTGGTATTGGATGCTCTTCGTGGCGGCTTGTGGCATGATTAGCACGCTGACGGGCGTGGATGTGGATCGGTATTATTTGCAGCAGATTCCGATTATCCTGCAGGGCTTCTTCTTCATGTTGATGATCCCTGGGGCGTTGGCGATGGTGTGGGAGGGCACGAGGCATTGGTAGGTATTCTCTCGTATTTGGGACTATGGGAGGCTAACCATTGCAGGGGCTCGTGGCAAGAGAGACAAATTGTCGACGCGGATCCATATGGCATGCCACAGGACGACAGGCGGGCCAAGGTTGAATTCTGGCTCCCGTTGGTCTTCTACCTCTTCGCATGGCTCAACTTCTTCATGGTCATTCCTCGATCGTGGACGCCGATTCAGAAACAGAATACCCCGGAACAGATACAAGACATGGCTAGGCCCGCAGCGACAAACATACGAGGAAAGGTGGGAGCGATATTCGCAGCCTGCGCATGGTTCGTCATCGTCTACTCTCTTCATCACTCCCTGCGGCACTACAAACCCCGGGAACGGGGCTTTTTCAACAAGATCAACGCCTTCTGCCGCGATTGCCCCACCAAACTCTTCATCAACATCATCCTCCTCGCCATCCGCATAGCGTACGGCATCGCCTCCGCCTGGTTCTGGGATCTCACCATCCTCAATGACGACGTGACTGTCGGTTGGCCCTTTGGTCTCGGCTACGGGCCCATCCTGCTCATCATCATCGTCTTCGAAATCGCGGGCTTGGTCGACGAGAACGAAGACAAGATCCTTATCCAACAGCGCATCGCACGTGGCCGCATCCACGACGCCGAGCTGAACATCACCAAGAAACCTTCCTGGTGGTCCCGCAACATCGGGGATAGATTTGCAAGCGATGAGTCCAGATTACGGAATATGACGACCGAGGTTGGCGGCGGGAGACCGACAACGCGGAACATTAGCCAGACGATTGAGATGGGAAATATGAATATTAGGAATAGGAGCCGGAGCCGGCCGCCTGAGGATCCGTTTAGAGATGAGAGTCCACCCGCTGGGAGGGGAGAAGGAATAGGTGCGTTGAGGGCGCCCCTGGGGCCTAGTAGGTTGAATAGCGATGCAGCGAGTACCCGGACTGGGGATACAGCATTGACGGGGCAGACGTTGACGCCCCAGGGTACGAATTTGGAGGCGGTGCCGCAGCAGAGGATTAGGAGTATGTTGGATGTGTAGGATATATGGGGAAGAGCGGGGCGGTAGGGAGAAGAGGTGGGGGAATGGGTTTCGCATGTGGGATCGGTATGGTACTTTGTTGTACAACAGTATGCGGCTTGGAATGTAGAGTGGTGTTTGGATCGGGTTGGATGACTGCATTTATGGATACGGTATGATATGACGTTACTTACTTGAATGAATATTACTCTAAGATACAGTCATAGCGATGCGCTCAGACGCAGCACATGATGCGGCAAAGGCGTCTGAGTCAAACGGGCGGGAGCTCAAGCCAGTAGGTGCGACAACGGCACCAACAAAAGAATCAAGCATACAAGCCCAGAAACCCAGACCCAAGAACAACACACTCTCCAAACCAGATACACCATGCACGGCCTCTCAGCGAATTCCTTTCGTCTCCTCATGCGCCTGGTCTTCCTGGATCCGCACCACATCCCTGAGAAGCTCATAGTCCATCTACCCGACTACGAGGTAGCTAGGGATGAGCTCGTCAAGTCTGCGCTCGTCAAGCGGAAGGCAGAACCCGAGGAGGGTCTCGCCATGCAAGAGCCGGCCCAAGACGCGCTGCGTGGCGGGCTGCTGCCGATGGAATGGCGCAGGGCTCTCGTGGGCGTTGTCGGGCTGCTTCTGAATGTGTGGTCGTTTACCACGTTCGAGACGAGGAATCAGCCCGCGAGGTGGAAGGTGTATGAGATGTGTGTGCCGCATGCGGCGAGGTTGAGGGAGATTGTGAGTCCGGAGAAGGCCCCGTGTCCATCGGAATGCCCGGCGGATATCGTGTTTGACATGGCGAGGATTTTTGATGACGCTGCTTGGTACGTTTGTTTTTCGTTTCTCTCGCTGCTCCCATGCGATTCTTCCGAGCAGAGAGGAGCAGAAAAAGCTGATATTGACTGCCCAAGGTACTCGGCCGAACGAGCTTCATCGCCCGAAGAAACGGCTGCTTTTGCCCGTGCCACCTGGACTATCGTAGACACCATGCGCACAACCGATTTGCTCGAGGGTGAGCGGAAACTGTCGCCCTGAGGTCCTCCGCGCAACTCAACATCGCTATCGCCGCACAGGCCCAACACGACGGCGCCACTGCGCTTGAACATGCCAACCTCGCGCTCGGAATAGTCATCGATCGCGTATTCAAACAATGGGACATCGCCAGAGACTCGCTAGCTCTGGCTATCTGCTACAACAACCTGGGCATCGCGTACAGTCTGCTCAACGATATCCCCGCATCGCTGGACGCATGGGAGATGGCGTATGCGGGCTTTGGCGAGCGAGAAGGAAGGGTGCTGGATTGCACGTGGCCGGCGGCCAGTCTGGCGCTTGTGTATGCGCAGCGGGGCGAACCGGAGAAGGGGGCAAAGTTCCTCGATCCGGTTTTCGACGAACTTCTCGACAGACGAGGGTGCGATGACAGGACTACTTCGGAGTGAGTAGAGTTGCGCATGACGCTGCGGACTAGATCAATAAATGACTGACTCTTGCTTGCTAGGACGGGTGTGATCCTCCGGGCTAGGGGCCACTTGCGCGTGGCAGAGGAGAATGTCGCAGAGGCCCTAGGCTTCCATGAATTGGCTCTCGCGAACCTGCGCGTTACATTAGGCAACTCGCATTACCAGACGGCGGACTGCATGTACAACCTCGCGCAAGATCTTCTGCATTTCCGCCGCTACGAGGAAGCAAGGTACGTTCGCCTCGTGTGCAGTTCAGCCCGACTTTTCTGTTCTCTTTCTAACGGCCCCCGTAGCAAATTGCTGGACGAAGCTATAGAGGCGTATGGCGATATTCCGCGGTACCGACCCACTGCTGCGCGGGCGCTTTGGAGAAAGGGCAGGCTGCTACGTGAGACTAGAAGGCATCTGGAGGCGGAGGGCTTCTTGAGGGAGGCGATGAGGGTGCGGAGGGAGATTGTGCCTGAGGACGAGAGGGGAGAGGGGGAGCTTAAGGAGGAGGATTGGGATGCATTGGTGGATTACTATTCGAGATGAGGGATGGGGTAGGGTTGGAGGTAGGTATCTGGTTTTGGGGCTTCGTCGAGGGTTTGCATGTGCTGCATGTACTTCTTGGTAATTGATCAGTTTGGGGGTTTTCATTAAAAGTCTGCTCCTCTTAAATAGGATTCTTCCTTTTTGATAATGTTGTTGTGTTGGGGTGAGGTGTGGAAAGCTTCGAGGAGTCATGCCAGAGCGTGATGGTCACGATCACGTGAGCGGTGTCGAGGTCGGTCCGCCAGCCACGGGCTAAACGATTGGCCGTCTTTTCTTTTGGCAGCTGAACGACGATGATGTAAAGCGGTCCCGCAATGTCTTGGGGTGGTCTCTCGCTCACGCTACAATGACAAGTCTCCTAGGGCTATCGAACGTGTAGGTGCACAACGCAAGACTGTGCCTGCGGCGTGATTCAGCAATCGTGAGGGGGCCCTTCCGCGTTCAGATGGTGGGTTTATCGGACTGCGCCAGCGACCAATCAGAAGCGTCTGCTGATTGCGGGCCGGAGATCTTTCTAGGCGCGCAATGCAGCTCTCCACATCTCACGACAATTTGGCCCGTGACGCTGATAGCTACCTTACCTTACCTCCCGCCTGGCAAGCATCGTCCCCTGCACTTACAGCAGCTCAGCGAAGATACATTCAATTCTGTACACACCCTCACTGCCACGAACATCCAGAGTATTGAGCAAACTTCTTCCCCGCCGCTACCCTATTCATCCACCGCACCCCGCATCGCACCGCCGCGATGGTCGACAACAACCAAGCGGACAACAACAGCAATCCTACCCCAAAGAAAGTAGACATACCCCCGCCGCTGCACCCAATTGCCAATGCCTCGTCGCCGCGGTCCCCGCCGTCGGCTCTCAAGATGTCGTCCAGCCCGCACTCAGGCCACCGTGCGAGCTTTGCAGAGAACATGCGCGGCATGCCCGTCTCCCCTCGCGCCTCGCGGCAGCCGTCGCTCAGCCAGCAGGCGCTGCAAGATCTGCTGAACAATCCGCCGACAAAGGGTGGAGACCCGAAGTTTATGGGACGCGATTGGAAGACGGTCGGCGTGAGCGAGATCGTGGAGGAGGGGCAGGTGCGGTTTGTGGAGTATGATACTAGCGTAGAGGAGGCCACCAACGTGAGTATGCGATGGGAGAGGGTGTAGGACTGTGGGCTGACTGGGATACAGATACTCGTTCAAACGGGCGCCCCGAACGTTGTGCTACTCCGCGAGAATAAGGAGTCAAGGACTGCGACCGGAACCTTCGACTACAGCGACCTCAACGCATACCTCCTCCTCGTCGTTGGCCTCGCACACCCGGAGGAGGGGGACATAGCATCCTTCGACGAGCTGGCGAAGAAGGGCCGCGAAGGAAAGCCGATCCCCCTGAAAGACGTGAAAGACCTGGGGAAGAAGGAGCCGCTGATTACGCTACCTGCTTCAGCAGACCTGACGAGAGCTATGGAAGTGTTTGGCAGCGGAGTGCATCGCTTGCTGGTGACGGAGGAGAACACGACGAGTGTGATGGGTGTGCTCACCCAGTTGAGACTGGTGAAGTTCTTCTGGGAGAACAGGCATAACTTTCCGGCTGTGGATCAGCTGTATCCGCAGCTGATCAAGGATCTGAATATTGGGACGCCCTCAGTGGTTGCTATCAAGTAAGCCACCAACGGTACTCTACAAACGGCAGTGCTAATGACATGACACAGCGGCGACAAGCCTCTAGCTACGGCCCTCGAGCTCATGAACAACGAGGGCATAACCTCGCTCCCGGTTCTCGATACTGGCAACAATGTAATCGGTAACATCTCGCACGTCGACGTCCGAGTAAGCTATCCTGTACCTCCCCTCACATGTGCTTTCCGCTAATTTCCCCTAGCTCCTCACAAAATCTACATCTCTCCCCCTCCTCCGCTCTTCATGCATCCACTTCATATCTGTGATCCTTTCCGAGCGTGGGGTTCACGACGGCAAAGACTCGTTCCCCGTCTTCCACGTAACCCCATTCTCGACCCTCGCCCACACCGTCGCCAAACTCGTCGCCACCCGCTCGCACCGCATGTGGGTAGTTGACACCCCTTCTCCAGCTTCCTCGGGCCCACCAACGCCTGCTTCGCAACCCGCTTCTATCCTGGTCCCTCCGTCGCCGGTCACGCCTCTTCCGTCCACTGGACCAGCGGACATGGCTTCGACGTCCCCATCGCACCTCACCGGAGCGGCTGCGCCAGCAATTTCCGCATCTGCAATCCCAGGTGCTAGTCTCTCCGGCAGATTAAGCGGCGTCATTAGTCTCACGGACATTCTCAACCTATTCGCCCGAGCAAGCGGGCTCAACCCACACGACCCAGACGAAGCGCGCCGCGCGCGGAGGCGTAGCAGCAGTTCGAGCATGCGACGCAGCATGGACAGCAGCCGGAGCGAGAGCACGGGTCGTTTCTCGGGTCGAAGGCCTAGTGTGACCGAGCGGGATCCGAGGGGCTTGGGGATTACGAGGGGAAGACCGGGAGGCAATTAGGGACTACGTCCTGGGGAAGAACATGGGTTCGGGAGCGAGATGGCTTGATTCGGGGACAAACGTGCGAGTGACGGGAGGAGGGAAAGAGGAAGGGGGGCTATTGTAGAGGAACTGTGGCTTTCTTTGGCGTTTATTTCATGGGTGGTTATAAGTATTCACAGGCGCGGCGTTGGAGGGCGTTTCGTTCATGCCGATTTCTCGATTGAGGCTCTTTCGAGAGTCTACATTGGCTCGGGACACACTAAAAGTCCGGCGAGCCAGGCATTGTTCTCCTACATTTTCTCATTGCGGTAATTTTTTGACAGAGTTATGGTTCCTATCAATTGATAGACCGCTGGAAAAGCGATCCATTTTAGATTCATCCTTCCTTTCCGCATCCTCCCTTGCATCTGATCATTCCACCCCACTGAGCCCCACGATTGCATTGAGCGCCTTCTTTGCCTTTTCCGGAGTCGTGACACGTCCAGAAACAGCCGGAGGAGGTGCGAAGAGGAGCGCCGTCATCAACGCAGCTTGCGCCACTGGGTCTCGGAGGGACTGCACTAGCTGCACCATCTCGCTACCAGAGTGAATGACGAGAAAGTTGGCAATCTCTGGTGAAGTCGGGTCCCCTGGGGAGCGCTAGCCGTTCGTCGATATAGCTCGCTGTTTCTTTCTTGCTCCTGGGTCTGAGGAACTCCCACCCCCAGGAGCAAGGATGCTGCTCTAGCGGAGCTTGGGGGATTAGGTGACGCCAGGTGGGCGTAGAGGGTGTAAGGAGGGAGTCACGACGGGGGCCTGTGGGCCAATGGCGGCGGGGCCGGCTTGAGGTGCCTTTCGCGACCGTCGCTTCTTCTTCTCAGCTTCCTTGCAAGGGCTGTACTTGTAATCCGGGTACGTGCGTTGATACTCTTCTTTCGCGTCCCTATGTCTTGGCCTCATCTGGCGTCGAGTCATTCCAAGCGATGTCCTTGGTGATAAAATAGCGTATTTGAGTGCCTTTCCTGAAGAAATCCTGAGCCAAATTGGTTGACGACATGGCGATGTCACTTCAGGTTATTTGATCCTGTACACCAGTGCCGGGGCGCTGTGGGGGAGCGTGACGCCTTTGCGCCTTCTCTTCCGTCCTCGGTAGCCCTCATTCGTCGAACGTGTCTGGAAGCTCCTCTTCATATTGCACATTCCTGTCCCACTCTTCAAGCTTCCCGTAAGGGCTCCTCAGAAAAGCATTCAACTCATGCAGGAACAGCCGAGCATTTTCCCTCCCCAGGAAATCCTTCAGCAACTCTTCAGCATGCCCATTGCTCGCCTTCAGATCCACCTTTTTCAGAATCGCGACGATGTAGGAGAGCAGAAACTCGGCATTGCTGCTCGTCGTGACGCCATCAGATGGGCCACCTTCCGGATCCGTGTGCAGGAAAGTGAAGACGCGCAGCTCTCTGCGTATCCACATTCTTGCCCGTGATTGAAGCTCCGGGGAACTCGCCACCATCTCGGGTGCTATGTCCCAGTAGCCCGAGAATGCGTTGCTGCCAACGTGCAACGAGTACAGCTTGTGGCGGTAGACATGGCGGCGTCGGAGGACGGCTGTGTCGGGCTGAGGCTGCTCGTACGGACGACGACTTGTTCGAGGTCTTCGTGCAACGCTGTAACGAGGGTATGGTAACGAGGATCGAGCGGAGGAGGCATTGCGGCGTGGATGGGTCCGGGGAACGGCGTAGCTTTTGAAGTCGGTGGGTGATTGCCAGTCGTAGTGCACCGCCTTCACTTCTGTTTTACCTTAACTTTACCGTTAACCACGGATGCACACATCCAAAGTGAGCAAAAAAGTGAAAAAGAACCTACACAACGGGCAGGTGGATCGCTGCTGTAACCAGCTCACCAGGCATATAAAGTCGAAGGTGGAATGGCTGCATGGCACCGTGGTAGCCCTCTCCGTAATAGTGGAAAGGCAGATGACGCAGGACTCGCCGGGCTCATCATTGCTCGCGGTTGCTATTGCGTCCATGCGCTGATAGAGAAAAATTGGAGGATCAGGTCGTTCCGAGATTTTCGGAAGTGATGTGATGCGGCGAAGTGCACGGGCCCACAAGGTTTTCGGTCGCGACTTTCAGAACCTCGTCCTCTTTCCCCCTCCATTATCCCAGCCGGCACCGTCATTGTAGGATGACAGGACTACCGCTCCTTTCACTCTGACCACGCGCGTTCTAATCCCGCACTTTTATCCGCCTTGTATGCTTCTCGGCGCCGCAAAGCGATTCTCACCAGTATCTGTCCTCAGCAAGCTACCCGCCATGCTCGCAACGTCGACGAGGCCTGCGCCGAATGCAGGTTCGAATGGCAAGCCCGCCTACCATACGGTAACCGCTTTGAAGAGGTGGTCCTGCGATGACAAGGACCTGCCCGCCGCGTCCGATATCAAAGCGATCCATGTGTACGACTTTGACAATACCCGTATGTACCCACAAATCTTCTGGCAATGCAATTTCTGACCAGCGTTCCAGTATTTGCAAGCCCGCTTCCGAACAAGCAGATATGGAATGGCTCGACGGTCGGCCAACTGGCATCGCCCGATGTCTTCGTAAACGGAGGCTGGTGGCACGATTCGAGCATACTCGCCGCAACCGGTGATGGCGCAGTCAAGGAAGAGCCCCGAGCGTGGAGAGGGTGGTGGAACGAGAGCATCGTCACGCTGGTCGAGCTCACGATGCAGCAGAAAGATGCGCTCAATGTGCTGCTCACCGGCCGGTCAGAGTCTGGTTTCGCCGACCTCATCAAGCGCATAGTAAAGAGCAAGAAGCTCCACTTCGATATGGTTTGCCTGAAGCCAACCATTGGCCCGGCCGGCCAGAAGTTCAGGTCGACCATGGAGTTCAAGCAAGAGCTTCTGAAAGAGATCGTCTACACATACAAGGACGCAGAGGAGATACGGGTCTATGAGGATCGGGTGAAGCAGTACGTTTCCTATATCGGCGTTATCGATCCGGCTATTGACAAGATGCAGCACTAAAGGCTTCCGTGACTTCTTCTTCCAGTTCAACAAGGACCTGATGTCAGGCGCAATTCAACCGGCGCGAAAACCCATCGTCACAGAAGTCGTCCAGGTTGCAGAGAACGCCACGCAGCTCAACCCAGTGTCCGAGATCGCGGAGATCCAGCGCATGATCAACTCCCACAACCTGCAGGTTAAGGCCGGTAGTGCCCCGCCTGGAACACCGCCGTACCAGATCAAGAAGACTGTCTTCTACACTGGATATATGATACCGAGCGCTATGACGGAGAAGCTGGTCTCGCTCGTAAAGCTGCCTCAAGGCACACCCGAAGGCGACATTCGGTACCTTGCTAACAGCATACTGATCACGCCCAAGCCGTGCCCGAAGAGCATCCTTGACAAGGTAGGTGGCATTGGCGCTAAGGTTATCTGGAAAGTGACAGGAGTATCATGCTTTGAGAATAAGCTGTGGGCGGCTCGTGTTGAGCCCGTCCCGCGCTCAGCGAAGTATTACTCTGAGAATCCGATACCAACCGTCGTATTAGCGATCCGCAAAGGTGGAAGGCCGGCGGAAGCGGCCCGCATTCAGAACTGGCATCCGGTACCGGAAGAGGAGTCTTACATGTTCGAGAGCGTCGTCGGCGAGAAAGTCGTGTTGCGTATCGAGGAAGAACAGGCCGACGAGAGCGAGTGGGAGAGCTACTTCCCGAACAAAACATATCACAAGCGAACACGAGAAGAAGAACCAGGGAATGGATATGCGAGGGACTCCAGGCCGCACTACCCGCGTGGTACTGACGATAGGCGCCCGAATGCTTACCGAGGTGGCAATCGAGATCGCGGTCGGGGTGGTCACCGCAATCCATCGTATGGCTCCAGAGGCGGGAGGGGTGGCGCTGGATATCGTGGAGACCGAGGCGGAGGTCCCCGAGGACGAGGTCGTGGGGGCCCATCGCAGTACAGAAGTCTTGACGACGTGGACAGGAGCTACGGTCAGCCAAACTACGACGATCCAGATCGCTATTATTGAGCATCTTCTTGTGGAATGTTTCCATACGATTTTAGGAGTATACGGTGGGCTGAGTAAGGTCAGAAGATACTGTTGACTTTCTATCAGCCTGGAGCATTGCCCGGTTAGGCAGGAGGAATGCTCTCGGTGTGTGTTTGATATAAGCATGCAGAGTAGCATTTGTGCAGAATCAGATACCCAAGCCTCTTTTCAAGCATACACTTCGTTCCTCCCCATCTTAGGTACAGGCCTATGTCCTCTTGATGGTTTAGACACCTTGGGATTTGCATCTTGCAGCGCTGTACGCGAAACAAGCCGTGAAACGCGCCATACCCGGAACGGCAAAGTGCCCATATCGATAGCCGCAGGGACCGCGCATCGTCGCCTCGTCCCACGTGCCCCGAACCTCAACTCCCCGGCCACGGCATCTGACTGGATCGCAGCACCCTGACAGGCACCGATCCTCATCATGCCCATCATGTCTCACACATTGCGGTGTCCCCGTCGCCGCATGATCTCTCTCGCCATGCCGCCTGACGCTGCGCCCTGAGTGGCTCAGCGCTTTGTCCTTTCATCTGTACGTTTATCTAGCCGGCGGTACCTGCGGACGCGTCTTCGGTGGCTGGTCTATCCACCTCCCGCTTTGAGTACACAGTACCGAGCAGTATTACGAGCAGCCACCTCGCGGTCGAATCAGGAAAGCGAGCAGGGTCAACGTGCGATTAAGACTTGCCGCGGCCGGTAGGAGATCGCCCCCGCAAAGCTTGTCCAACGGAAGTCCGACGTCTGAATACCTGCTGGTTGGAGCTTAGCAGAGGCGAGCGTGCATTTCGCAGTGCTGGGTATGGCGGTTCTAGGGGAGTCTTGGGCGGAGGGTATAAGAGACGGGGTTCTAAATGGAGCTCCTGCTATCTCTGTTTCCTCGGTCTCCTCCGCGGTGGATACAATGGCTTCGACTCTTCCCTCTGTCAGAACGCTCTCGAAGCTTGCGCTGGGTGGCGCGCAGGTGCTGCTTGGTGGTGGGCAGAGAGTGCTGGGTGGAACGCCGGAGACGTGCTCGAATCCGCAGTTGAGCTGTCATAACACGACGGCTGTGCAGGATTTGTGCTGTTTTAATGCGCCGGGTGGGCAGCTGCTGCAGACGCAGTTTTGGGATACAGACCCGGCGACGGGGCCTGACGATAGCTGGACTATTCATGGACTATGGTGCGTTCACCCCACTCCCGCACTCTGCTCCAGATGTGCTAATCGGTATTTGGACAGGCCCGACCACTGCGATGGCACCTTCGACTCAAACTGCGACTCCTCGCGCGCCTACACGAACATCTCCGCCATCATCCAGAAGTTTGGCAAGACCGACCTGCTGAGCTACATGCAGACGTACTGGAAGGACTACCAGGGTGAGGACGAGACCTTCTGGGAGCATGAGTGGGGAAAGCACGGAACCTGCATTTCTACGCTGAACCCGGAGTGCTATTCAGATCATACGGCGACGGAGGAGGTAGTGGATTTCTTCCAGAAGACGGTGGATCTGTTTAAGAGCCTACCGAGCTACGAGGTACGTCTCTCCCAGAGATATAGATCGACAGTACTCAGGGACAAAGGCGGCTAATACAATGGCAGTGGCTTTCAGCAGCGGGCATCACTCCCTCCACCTCAAAGACCTACACTACACAGCAAATCCAAGATGCCATCGCTGCAAAGCGTCCTGGCGTCACCGTGACCCTGGGCTGCTCTTCCGGCGCCCTGAACGAGATCTGGTACCACTACGACGTCCGAGGTTCCGTTCAAACAGGCGAGTTCGTCCCCGCGAACCCCGATGGCACCAAGTCAACCTGCCCCTCCACCGGAATCAAATACCTCCCCAAGAACGGCGGTAGCAGCCCCACCTCTGCACCTACGACAACAGTAGGCGGGCCCGCGCCGACCGGCACCAGCACCCCTGGCACCCCCTTCAGCGGCAAAGGCTACCTCAACGTCAACGTCAGCGGCTCCAAGAAGGGATGCATCATCTCAGGAGGCACGTGGTACACGACCGGCACCTGCGCCAGCTTTACAGCTGCGTCCTCGGGCAGCGGATTCACGCTCACTTCGTCGAAGGGCAAGTGCGGTGTCGTTTCGGGCGTGTTCACGTGCGGAAGCAGCGTTAGCACTGCCACGGCTTTCACGAGTAGCAGTGGCAAGTTAGCGGCGGGCGGCAATGCGGCGTGGAGCGCGGACGCGGTGGCCAGTGGAAGTACCCAGGAGAAGGTGTATGCTGGAGGGGACCATGGGACGGCGTTGGAGATCGTGTGGCAGGCCTTGTAAGAGTAGTTCTTCTAAAAGGCATAGAAGCCAACAAGTAGAGAATCATTTCCAGCATTTTGAGGAATTAGGACCCATCTGCCCCACAGGCAGCAGGGCAACGTGACCGCTCTAAATGTTGAACTCGTTAAAATTCGTTCTCGTTGAGATTCTTGGCTTGTTGAGATATATTTCCTGGAAGCCTACTTCATCGCGGTAGTGATGGGTTAGGCGGAAACGAGGGAACCATGGCATGGATGAGGAGTTGGGATGAAGAACGACATGTATAAACCCCCGTTCGCACCCGTTCTTCCTGTTTTCTTTTTCCTCACTATTCTCCACTTGCTTTTTGCGAGCTGCTAAAAGTCCTCATATTCATTTGCATGGAGACTGCTCTTCCAAAAGCAATGGCAATTCCCGGAGATGCTTTGGCCTTCGGATGTCCGAAAACCCGTCGTCGCTAATAATGGAACAATCTGGACCGAAAGCGCCGAACGCACGATATTATGGAGTACGTCGAGCTAGTAACCCCGCGATTGCATTGCTCAAAACAGGTCACCGTATTCGACTATGGACAGGGACTTCCATGGGTTGAGCATTGCAGTCCAGAAACCACTGAGCCATGTTCCCATGTTGGCGGGCAGAGGAGGCGCCGAACCTCGGAACGAAGCATTGGCGTCTATAAATCGACTTCCCGGCTTCTGTTCTCCCTTCTTTACTTGCACGCTTGAACAGGCTTGACATGCACTGAAAGAGCGTAAGACATGCATAGAGTCCGTTCCTCGAAAACCACTCGACGACACTTGCGATGCGCCGGCTCTGGGCTTTCCGAAAGATCGTGGCTCGACCATACCATGAGCACTGTGGGAGAATCAGTACAACATGGCATGTATGCGGTCAGCGAGCGGCGCCCGTCCGCAACGAGTTTGCTCGAAGTCTGATTATTTAAAGACTATGGAGTCCGCAAGTCGTGCGGTCTGGTTCGCAGTTCAAGAAAGCGCTGCTGAAGCACATCATGAGCGAGCAGAAGAAGAGGTGGTGATCAGATAGGCAGAGATATAAATTGTCGCATTCTGTCTGTGTTGGCCTTCCTTTCTCACACTTCCCGCTTGCTGGATGAAGCCTAAAACCCAATCTCACTCCTCAGCATGGGGGGCCTTCCTCTAAAAACAACCACAACAAACTCACAGATGCGGAGCGGAGCATTCAAAGGCTGCCGCAAAGTTCCCATGGCTGCTCAGCCTCGAAAAGGACAATACACCGCAGTTCTTGCCTTCGCCGGGCACCGAATTCCCCGAAGAGCTTGTGCATGAGCGTTGACGGCCAAAAGCGAGAGGATTGACGAAATGGAGTTAGTTGTGGGAAGCTTTGGATCTTTACTCCGCTGTATGTTAGGAGAAGAAGAGAAGGGACGAGAAGTTCAGATGGAACTTGCGTATGGAAGCGTGTGTTTCCGCACGTTCTACTCTTCCCCCTTCACATTTCTTCCTCTGGGTAGCGAGGACTAAAATGCTACGGCGCGAATGGATGGAGATTCTCTTCCGAAAAGCTGCCAAGCCTGACCCATGGGTCGCCTGCCCTGAACGACCGAAGAGATGCAGGGCTCTGTCTACGGCGAGTCTCGACAAGAAGGCGGTCCGTTCCAGAATCATTCCGCGCGACGGACAAAAAGAATTTCCGAAATTACGTATTCGGAGAACAGCAACCGGGGAGAGTAATACCGCATGGAGTTCGGCTGGAGGAACAAATCTGGACCGGATTGACGACATGCCCGAGAGGCCGAGAGTGGGAGCAACGAAAAATGAGATGCGGAATGGGTATATAACCATGCTTGCTCCTAGTCTTCTTTTCCTTCTCCACACTCCTATTCCCCCAGTCTTGAGCTCTAAACATGAGCGCCATCGCATCGCATGGCGCGCGTCTCTCAAAAATCCCAGAGCACTATATCTGATGTGCTGAGCTTCGGCTGCCAAAAACATACGTCGAATCTGCCACAGAACGTGAAAATGGAGAGGCCCAGACAGCGGGAGGCCGAAACGGGCAATATGATGCGGGCATGGAGCGAGTGTGGAGGTCGGGAGAATTACAAGAATCAGAGCGAGAAAGATGATATGGAGATAGACGAATGAAAAGTCTGGGTCGACATGAGGAGTATATCGACCGCTCCAAGTCTGGCTCCTTCTCTTCCTCTTCACACCTTGGCACTAGCTCGACGGGAGTCCAAAAAAAGAATTGAGCCCGTCGCAATGGATGCCGCTCCAACGTAAAGAGGCACAATCACCATTTGATGTCTCTCGTGCGTTCTTTCGGGCTCGAAAACGATCCTTGAGAGCAGTACATGGATCGGCGACGAGTCGAAAGTACAGATTTCAAACACCATGGAGCCTGCGCCGAGAAACTGGTTCTCGGCCGTTCATGGAGAGAAAGTGGCCTCTGAAAATCTTCCTATTATAAAGCTATCAAGTTACTGGGCCATGAGCGCTCACAGACTCGAACCTACCGTTACATTGTCTTACGTGGTGGAGAAAATACCACTTTCAACGAATGGTTCCTCTACCTCTACGATTTCGCTCGGGCAGCCATGAATGACATGGAGTGCCGTGAGGGAACCGTCCCGCTTCATACTCTACCTCATGCTTGTGGGTACGTGGGAAATACGATGGCTCTATGAAATGTCGTTCGGCGCTGGCGCTTCTCCTGAACTTGTATCACATTACGGATATATAAATTCCTCCTCTTCCAACCCGTGCTTTCTCTTTCCACGCATCCAGGAGAGTGTGATAGGGGACTAAAGATCAGAGTCTGGACTTCCATAGAGACTAGACCTCTAAAAGCTACATTCTACAAATCCATGCTCTCTCCGTTTCCCCAGCCCTCAACAACGTGCTAGGGGTGCAATGGACGAGGCATTCAGATCAAAAGGATCGGGACGTCGAAGTTGTGAAGAAGAAGGAGCGATTGTGATCATTGTCCGCCCATATGTACCAACAATTCACCAACCTCAACGATGCGGTCGCGACACTGAACGATTCGACCACGAAGCTCGCCGAAACCACAAATGCGATTCAAGATCGACAAGAAGACTTCGAACAAGAGCTATAAAGAGGAAGGAGTGGTTGCAATCGAGTAAGACGCAACATGCAGATATGTGGAGAGAGATAGAAATGGGAGAGGTACATGGCACGCTGTTGGAGCGGAGGAATCTAAACACCCCCGCGGCCAAGGCTTTCTCGAGGAAGCCGTCACGACTTTGCTCGCAGCAGCGTGCCAATATTGGGCCAAGCGGACTACAGGCTGGAGCATGGATACATACACCGCTCTTGCAGAGCTCTCTTTTCCGCTCTTCACATTCCCTGCGCCCATCATGAAAGCTCTAAAAACAACGAATTCAACATGCTAAGCGCCCTCTTGCATCAACACACATCAAACACCTTATGTCTCCCCCGGCAGAAAACATGCCAAAGCAAGCTGTTATGGAAGCGTCTGGTCTCCGGGGCCTCTCAATGTCACCTCGTGGTATCCTTTCTTCAGCTCCACAAGATTCCCTTCCGCATGGCGATGTGGTGGAGGGGGTGAATTGAAAAGCCAATGCCTCCAAACTATAGTGTCTGCTTAGGGAATTAGAAGTGCCTAGGTCGAATGAACACGCGAGCGAAGGAGCGGGTGAACCCGATTCACGAAACCACTCGACGTGGACATAATGCCTTGCTCGGGTTCAAAGCCCCTAAACGCCCAAAATAATACATTATGGACAGATGTAGATCAAAGCGTAAACCGAAGAGACCAATGGGGTTGATGTAACAAGGAATCGAAGGAATAAGGTGGATTGCATGCGGAGACGGCTAAAAGTTGCTCGATGAAGACTTTATGGCTTGCTTATGCAAAACGAAAACGCATAACTCTGGCCTGATGTCGGAAGGAAGAAGAGCAAAGGGAGTTACCAGGAGGATACTGGATGCGAGAAGACGAGCGTAGAGTCCGGATGGATGTTTGGATATATAAATCTATATAAATCTCTCTTCAGTCGGCCACAGCTTTCTCTTCTTCACTGATTCTGCTGCGCTCCTTGTTGGCACCAAAAAGAAGGACAAATTAGGCCATGGGCGGCCTTCTCTAAAATGAGAATGCGAGGCTGGCCTACATTCTCTTTGGGGGAACAATTGCCGTAGGGAAGAGGGGCGGTATAAAAGCTGAGAGAAATCAATCGAGTAATCATCAATGATGGAGCCAATAGAGTACTTCAAAAGATCACATAGGGGGTAATAGGGAGGGATGTAGGAAAGGAAATAACAGCATGGAAGCTACGAGGAACGGAAATTCTACTCACAAGAATCTCACCGACCCCGGCTCCCTAGACTGCAATTTAAGCCCCAAAGAACGGAACCCCAGCACACTACACCACCTTACATTTGGTTCCATCCAATAAGTTGTTAACATTAAGATAGTCAGCATCCTGGACATTCGCTGCAGCCTTCATGAATCCTCTGGTGTGCCTTTTTGCATATTCATTCACTAGGAGCGCGCTTTAAAAAGGGTGTGTATCTGCGTCGTAGCGCCGATAATCTATCAAAAGGGAGCGGGCGGGCTACATTGCGCGGTTTCTGACAGTGCTCAGCTCCATTCAACAACGTCCTCGATCAGGTCGAGTTCGTCATGACTCTCGACCTCCTTGCGCGCGTCCTCGCTCAATTTCAGCGCGCCCCATGCTAGGATGTTGCCCGCATCATCTTCAAGCTCATTGATGAATTGTCGCTCTTCTTCTGGGACCAAAGAGGTCAGAAAGTCCCGAATCGCTTGTGTGTTCTTCCCCGGCTCTTTTGCGTATGCGCCATATTTTATGGGTTTATCGCGGCGGCGAAGGTGGGGGGGAACTGGCGAGACTTCTCGTATACCATGATATGCCCTGAGCTGGTCTGCTGTATTTTCACTCAACATAACACTCCACGATCTGACGTCCCCGGCACGCCTGTTCTGGGTGACTTCTCTATCAATTGACACGGCTTTCAGATGAGCCTCGGCTTCGGTCACTTCGGCAACGTTATTGTAGTCTGTTGGAAAGACACGGTATTCTTGTCGAAGCTCACGTGGAGCTGGATGAACCGAATGAGAGGCTTCGTCTGCTGAAATGCTAGTAGGATCTCTGGGATGACCGTTAGATAATGAGATTGGAGATATCGCATACGAAAGGAAGAGGAGGGAAACAAGACACATTGTGGACTCAATCCACCATAGAAGGAGAGTAGGCTGGATGATAGCAAAATAGTAGAATGAGTATCCTGTAACAATCTGGGTTCCCATCGGAGCGCCTGAGCCTGCTTTATATCCCATCCCCGTCCGAACACATAGAGATTACCAACGATAACCAATCTGAACACGTAGAGGCATCGCGGGTGCCTCGTGAGGGAGTGCTAGAATGTCATGGCTCCTTCGTTGACTCGAAATGGCAAAGGGACTACATGAAATTGGTCCGGAATAAGACACGGGGATGGCGGAAGGATGAGCTCGAAAGCGTGTCCTCAGGTAGGAATGTAGGAACGGGAAGAGCGAACAGCGTTTGTGGAAAATCCCGTGAATCATGGGGGAAAACTTGGCTTACTTGGTGTCTCCTGGCCCTGAGGGACTCTTCTGACGTTCTGAATTCATGCTCGTCGGCACTTAATCATATGCACGTGCTCGATGACCTTGAATGGAGTGTAAAAGGAATGTTGAGTGGCAGGTCGTTAGGGAGGGAGGGAGCCTTGGAGGAAGAAGGAATTGGTTTCGACCATGGTGGCGAGCTGCTTCGCCGCTTCCAACCTTGGAAGGTTATCGATAAGCAACCACATGTCCATCTATCTAGGCGTGCATTAGGAAACCGGAAGAACAAGGACAGATTTCCCAAGCGGCTCCTGAAGAGAGGTTAACCACTGTGATTGGGAGGCATGTTGCGTTTTCCATGCTGCGGGTCACTCCGTCTCGACTAGCTCTACGAGTCGCTTTTCCGAGGTGCCTCCGCAACTGGTCGGGGGGCCTCATATATTATGAGCAAGCCGCGGAATATCAGGACATCCTGATATTTGACGCGATGGTTGTCAAACAGTTCTGGACACAAAGCAGAGAGGGAACTAAACTATTTAAAAGGCTCTCTACTTTCTATGACACCGCCGCCTCACCTTGATACCGTCCTCATTGATCGGCTGTCTGAGGGCGCCGTCTTATTGAGCTACAAAAGACCCAGAGTCTCAAATGCGTTCACGCCGCAGCAGTGCAACGACTTACGAGAAGCTTTGATTTGGGCGAGAGATGAGTCTGCTGTGCGGGTTATTGTTGTGAGTATAACCCCCCAGTATAGCAAGTAGTCATCGACTAATGCCGCAGTCAATACGGAAAAGCGCAAGTACTACTGCCCGGGTGGCCGTGATGGCCGCTCCCCCAGAGAATGTGTCCTGAAGAGTCTCAGGCCGAGTACTGGGCGGCTTGGACCTACTCTGCGCGCACCCAGACGACTTCTTCCAAATACCTTTTATGCCGCTGGGCCCCGTCCCTGAAGGATGTTCCTCATACAACTTTCTAAAGCAGATGGGCAAGACACAAGCCAATATCCTCCTCGCCGGCGAGCGCCTGTGCGCGCAGGAAGCGTATGTGGGAAGGCTGATCACGACGGAGGTGCAAGCGCCAACGGTCGAGGAGTCTCTCGTGAAGATTGGAGGATATAGCGCCGAGGTATTGCAGATGGCGAAGCAGCTGACGATGGATGCGATGCATGATGTCGAGGCGAGGAAGAGGGCTGATGTCTTGGTGATTTTCGAGGGAGGAGATGCAGGCTAATCTGCGGGCATTTTGGGGCGCAGAAGGAGAAATCGAGGATGTAAATATATGCAGCTCGCACTCTGAAAGCAGGACAGGCTTGTAATGGTTGCGAAATAGCGAGCGATAGATAGTTGGTAGAGGAGAGTGAACGTCGGTGCGGCTTCCGTTCCGCGGCCGCTTAGAGCCGGCAGTAGCCTTATTCGGCAACCTCTTTTAGAAGACCACCATCACGAACCTCTACCACGCCATCAGCACCAACTCCAACTTCTGTGACTCACCAAATCCTTTATCTTGAGACTTGGCAGTTTGATTTACGTGTATCGAAAATGGAACTGGCCGAAGGCGCACCCGCACACGGAACTGTGGCGCATCTGCTCCCTCAGACGTACAAGCGCTTGGTCTCGGAGTGGCTCGAGGAGGACACTCCAAGTTTCGACTACGGCGGGTTTGTGGTAGGGGAAGAGATATCAGAGGCAAAATTGCTCGGAAAGAGTGAAGTCAGTCTGGATTTCCTTACAACTCTTCATCTACTGACGTGAACAGGGTATAGTAGCTGGGATTCCATTCTTCGATGAGGTCTTTCGGCAGCTGGACTGCACGTACGTTGCGAAGTCATGGCACGCTGACCAATAAAAGCGGATTGTTGACTTCTTTTAGTGTTGAATGGCATGTAAAGGAGGGCGAACAGTTTCAGCCCATCAAGCACTGTGCCACCGTGCGAGGTCCTGTGCGCCAACTACTGCTTGGGGAACGGGTGGCTCTAAACACGCTTGCACGGTGCTCCGGAATCGCTACAAAATCAAACCGGCTGCTCAAGCTTCTGCGAAAAGCCGGATATCCAAATATACTTGCCGGAACCCGCAAGACAACGCCCGGATTCCGGCTGGTCGAAAAGTACGGCATGCTCGTTGGCGGGGTTGATGCCCATCGAGTGGATCTCTCCGCAATGACTATGCTCAAGGACAACCACATCGTCGCGGCCGGGAGCATCACCAATGCCGTCCGAGCTGCAAAGTCAGCAGGAGGCTTCGCCATTAAAGTCGAAGTGGAATGTCAGAGCTTCGAAGAGGCGGATGAAGCCATTGCCGCTGGTGCGGACATCGTCATGCTCGACAACTTCACCCCGGACGGCGTCAAGATAGCAGCTGCAGAACTAAAGGACAAGTGGGGAAGGGGCACAGGAGACCGCAAGGCCTTCTTAGTTGAGGTTAGCGGAGGCCTAACAGAAGACAACGTGGAAGCATATGTCTGCCCCGACGTCGACATTGTGAGCACGAGCAGCATTCATCAGGGCGTTAAGCATGTCGACTTCTCGCTCAAGATTGTGCCGAAAGGCAAAGAGACGAAGCAGGACAGTGGTGAAAGCTTGGATGTCTAAGATGAAGAATACAAGTGTACAATAGCTCAAGCCTCCCCATCGCGGAGCTCGGAGACGAAGTCGGAGCGACCTTTCCGACCTTTTCCGATTGCCAATGGTCCTAAAACTAGTTAGCGCGAATTAGATAAGCAATCATGGGACTCAGCTTTTAGCAACATTTCGTTCTTTCTTTGGACCTCAGCTCCTAATTGCTGACTATTCTCCAAAAGCACTCAAGATCTCTGATTGCCGTACTATTCTCTTGACGCTGGGCTCGTGTTAGTCAACAGTCTCATACTTCCTCGTGGCGCGCGACCAGATATCCAGGGCGACTTTGACCGTCGACATGGATCCTGCAGAACCGAAACCCATCAATCGCGTCGCTCTGGCTTGTGTTCAATGCCGCAGTCGGCATGTCAGGTGTGATGCGACTCAACCGGCCTGCAATCGCTGCAAAAGAGATGGCAAAGAATGCAATTACCAGAAATCTCGACGAGGAGGCCTAGACAAAGCAGCCTTGGCGCGACGACGTTTGAAGCTACAGGAAGAAGCTGCAGAAAGAGCACGGCAGAATGGCGGCAGTACTGGCCAACAGTCTTCCCTGGGGTCCCCCGATAGTAGCGACCGAGATATCTTCATTGACCATAACGCCCCGGATATGAACCTTTATGATATCAATATGGTCGAATCGCGCCTGGCTGCTTCAAGCGGGATGGTCTTTCAGGTCAGCGGGGACAGACTGCTCGATCTTTATTACGAGAACTTCCATCCTGCGTTCCCAATTACTTTGCCTCTTCATTACTTCAACCAAAGGAAAGTAATCGAGAACCATGGCATGGAGAACTTGTTACTCGTCCTACAATGGATCGGATCCATCTATGCTCCCTGGACCTCATGCGAGCCCTACTACGAAGCGGCACGTCAAGCATTAAGTTCATCAGCACTGCCCAGGGCACCTTGGAGCATCCAGGCGCTTTTACTCTTCTCCGTAGCACAACACCATCGCGATATGAGACCCGAATCTCGTCAGACCGCGGACGTCGCAATCGAGCTTGCATTGGAACTACAAATGAACAGCAAAGAATTTGCACGGGCGTACGGCGAAGCAAATCCAGTGCTCGAGGAATCCTGGAGGAGAACATACTATTTTCTTACTCTTTTGGACCAGCATCTTGCCGTCGTGGTAAACAGTCCTGTTTTTGCGCTTCGCGATATTCCCAACCATGTCGATCTGCCCTGCGACGATGAGTACTTTGAAAGCGGACAAATCCCATCTACCACGACGTGGCAAGAATACGAAATGAGAGAATTCGCCGACATCGAAGTCGTGTACTCCTCAATTGTCTATTTGACCGACATTTCCAGGGTCGTCGCATACATCATGCGGTCGTTCACGCAGACTGGAACGTTCGACGACACTCTGATATCCGCTGTGGACGCGAAGGTGGCGGCCTGGCAGTCGCTACTTCCTGCCTGCAAGAAAGATCCTATGAGACAGAACGGCACAGTCGACGAGGTTATTTTTATGGCGCATATGATGGCTGCAGTGTAAGCCTTGACTCGTAGTCCGGTGTCATTCATTACTGACCGCAGCAGCGTCATCATGACTTCCCATCGTCCATTCTCGTCACTTGCATACAGCATTGAGGAGCTGTCGACCGAGAGCTTCGTCTCGCCGGTCCCATTTATCGAACCTTTGAAGCAAGGACGAGGCACGCACACAGCGCGATCACTAAAGGCGATTGACATTCAGACACGACTGCTTGCCATCCCATGCGCTGTCGAACGCCACAACGTCTTCACCATGTGCATCGCTGCATCACTGGCGACAGCGCAGATATCAGCCTGCAACATCCTCCTCGAAGACCACGCCTTATCGATAGCACGCGACCGTGTGAGGCTAAGCATAGGGTACCTGAACGCGATGGGAAGTCTATGGCCTCTGGCCAAGAAGATGGCGAAAGAGGTCCGGTTCGTCGCTCGCCGCACACTGGCCAGTCTCCCAAGCAATGTGACTGTGGAGGCAAACCCGGCAGCTGAGACTGAGATACCGCGCGATGAAGTGATCTGGCCGATCAATCCATCGGCGCAGATCGACATCTACAGCGGCATAACCCTTCCGTGGGATCAGTCTATGCTGAATTATTCCTCTTCGTCTGCTTCGAGCATCTCTTGAAGGGGACCGATAAGATCAGTGCCGAAATCATTGCACTCTAGCGGAAAGATGACACAAGGCTTGGTTCTGGTTCCACGATACCCTCCACTCTTGAGTGCGGCACACACTGCAGGTTGAAGATCGTTAGGGATGGCTTTCCAGAGCCGACCAGAATACTGGAACGGAGTACGGCAAGGGTGCTACTGTAGCTGCCGTGCAACCTGCAGCGGCGTGTCCGATAATAAATAAGCAGTGACACTTGGATAACATCCGCACCACAGCCTCCACCCACATACTTAACGCCGTCACATCAAACCTACGATTGGACGCAGAATCCATACACGTTCCGACCGCCTTACTACAAACCCCATCCTTGTGGCGACTCAGACGACCCCCAACATTGGCGTAACGCATTTAATTCTCGGCATCAGCAGCGTTATCTTCTGTGGTCCCATCGCTGCGTATCTGCACGGATGAGCCACTAACGTCATCCCGAAGGAGGACTAGTCGCGTTTCCTATTGGTCCAGCCCCGCAGTGGATCAACGTTTTGCACGCGAGCAGGGGTGAGTTCGCTCTTGCCTCTTTTCACTCCCGTCATCGGTGCCGCACGTTAAAGCCATGCGGTCCGCGCGTTTGCCTCTCACGTCGATCTCAGCAGCGTGACGGACCCGGAAGCTGGGTTTTAAAACGTGCGGGTCGAGCATCGAAGTGTGACGCGACTTGTGGTCCAATTTCCGCCTGTTCTCGGCCGCGCGGGAGTGACGGGCATTTTCGACATAAGAACAAGAGATAGCTTTGTACCAGCACTTCAGCACTAGAGCACGATTCGGACAGAGTCCTACGACAAGATGAGCGACTCCGATAAAGAGTTTGGTCCTGCGCGGGCCGAGGACCCCTCGAAGTACGCCGATGAAGAGATCGAGGGCCAGCTAGAAGAGGTGGATCCCGTCGCGGAAACCAAGCTGGTGCGAAAGCTGGACATCTTCCTCATTCCCGTCGTCATGCTGCTGTACCTCCTGAGTTTCCTTGACCGGTGAGTCGGTTTTCTTTGCCCTCCACTCGCAGGCCATTGCACGAAGAGCCTCTTAAGCTTTGAATACGAACACGCCACCACGCCGACAAACTTCAACAAGCTTCGACAAGCTTCTAACGTCCGCCTCAGAGTCAACATCGGCAATGCCCGTCTCTACGGGCTGGAAGAGAACCTCAGCCTCAACGCCAATCAATGGCAAGTCGCCATCTCCATCCTCTTCGTTACTTACATTCTCTCCGAGGTCCCTTCCAACCTCGTCCTCAAGAAACTGCGCCCTTCCCGCTGGATCGCGTTTATCACGACCGCATGGGGCATCGTCGCCACGCTCACCGGCGTCGTGCAGAACTACGCCGGGCTTATCGTGTGCCGGCTTATGCTCGGCGCAGTCGAAGGAGGCTTGTTCCCGGGTATGGCCATTTACCTCACCTTCTTCTACACGAAGCGCGAACTCGCGCTGCGCATCGGCTATCTTTTCGTCTCGGCCGCGCTTGCAGGCGCTTGTGGCGGGCTGCTAGCTTTCGGAATCGGGCACATGGACGGTGTGGCCGGCCAGCGCGGATGGCGCTGGATCATGATCATCGAGGGTCTGCCAACCTTCGTCCTTGGAATCGCCACATGGTTTATCCTCCCCGACCACCCTGAGCACGCGTACTTCCTCAACGAGAAGGAGAAGCGCCTCGCAGCCTCCAGACTCGCGCGGCAAACGGGATACACGGCTAAGGCCGCCGAATTCCACTGGAACGATGTCCGGAAGTGCGTCAAAGACTGGAAGGTCTGGGCGTTCTGCTTTGCCCAGTTTGGTGTCGATACCATGCTCTACGGCTACTCCACCTTCCTTCCCACCATCATCAAAGGCATCCAGCCCAAGGCCTCAGCCGCACTCGTCCAGGTCTATACGATTCCGTGCTACGCTCTAGGCGCGATCACGTATCTCATCGTAGCTCGCATTTCGGACCACCAGCAGAGGCGCGGACTCTACGCGGTGATATTCGGCCTCGTCAGTATTGTGGGCTACGCGGTGCTGATGAGCGACGTGAGCTCTGGAGCGCATTACGCGGGCTGCTTTTTGGTAGCCATGGGTCTCTACGTTAACGTCGGTCTACCGCTCGCGTGGCTGCCAACGAATAGCCCGCGCTACGGGAAGCGTACCACAGCGACCGGGTTGCAGCTCTCGATCGGGAATTGTGCCGGTATCATGTCCAGTTGGGTAAGTATAACCATGCATATCTAGGCATGTACGTCTACTGACTACGGCTAGTTGTATCCCGCCAAGGAAGGTCCGCGATTTGTTAAAGGTCACGGTGTGACATTGGCCATGGTGGCATTTGCGAGCGCCGTGTACGCCTTCATGTCGGTGTACTTCGCGAGGGTCAACGCAGGGCGAGCGAAGGGGCTGGAGGACCACAAAGTGGAGGGTATGAGCGATGAAGAGATTGCTGAGCTGGGCGATGATAGCCCGCGGTTCGTGTATACTATCTGAGCGCAGGAGTATACTGCTCGTCTTCATTCAGTACGACGTTGCACGAGCGAATGGAAGGTTAGTCTGAACGAGAAAGATCAATGATCAGTAGTTGGTTCTCGTTTCGTACGTCTGCTGGCCTCGCAATATGCCTGGAGCCTCGCTACTGCTTCCTACCGATATTGCACATAGGACAGACATCGTACCAGGTGGCGTTGCTTGCTCCACACTCAGGACGGGTCCAAGTGTCGCCAGGCGAACCTGGAGCTCCATACCAGCCGCCCACATCATCACACCCTCCCTCTTTGCTGCTCTCATCTAGAAGCTTATCCATGAATTCCCCATTCTTCATCTCCTCCGCCGCCGCGGCATCCAAGGATCGCAGTGTCCCGGCACATGGGGCAGAAGTCAGGCGTCAAGCTAGAACATGAGCCCCCGCAATTCGCACACACCTGCGAACCAGAGTGCGGATCTCCCGCTGGCAAGGTCGTGCTCGTGCGGTGCTTGGGAGGTTCGCTGCACAACTGGGTCAGCACTTAGCTAGTCGTCTCATGGGTAGGTAGGCTCTCGCGGTGGGGAATTCTCCGGCACTAAGCCCAAAACCACCAGAAATGCGAGAACCTGGAAAACCTCACCAAATATCGTACTTTCAACATTTCTGGAGGTCTCGCGATAGTTTATATAGCTTTTTGAAGCTGTAGGGTTTAGTGGAGAGCTCTATATACATGATTTTCTTGGTGTAGCAACTCCTAGAGAGCCGGGAGGGCTCAGTACTTTGTAGCCTTGCCCTTGAGCCTTCGACAGTCCTACAATCGCGCTGGATAGCTGTTAATTGACTTGTTTATCTTCTCCTCCTTCAACTGCTCCCAGCACCAGTAAAAGCGCTCGCAGCCTTCCTGTATAGTTTCAACTCTGCGGGCTGTAAATCAATCGCGGAGAGGCTTCGTCCAGGTCTCTATTACAGAAAGATCTGGAGAACTTGGGGCAGCGATTAACTAATCCATGCCGTTCTTGCCCATCCACTTAAGGACGTCTCCAGCTTTGTGAGCAGAGTCGCAATCTATATATAGAATAAGCTCCTTGCCTAGTATAGCGTCGCGTAGGTGAGGTAGGACTGTTAGGAAAGTTCGAGCGTTTATCTTGCCGTTGGAGTTTCCCGCGTCGTAGGGTATACACCATGCGAAGTTGTAGCCTATTACTGTAAATATATAGAACCATTTCTTCTTGACTGGGTCCTTTCTGGCGTCCTTTTGGTACTGTATATTATCCTCCCTGTATCGGTTGTCGGTTCCTGGAAACCTCTTGACATTTTTGACATGCCTAGGGCTAGTCGCCCAGTGGAGCTCATCGCACCAAATAACGCAGCGCCAATCAACTCCATGAGGTCGGATAACTAATTGAGCGATACACCAGCGTACTCTAGCTCTCTGTATATGCTCCGGGTGGTCCTCTTTGATAGCTGCTTTGTGGCTTTTCATCCCGGTGAGTTCTGTCACCCTCTGCTGTATTGTCTGCCTTGTCCACTCCTTCTTGCCCGGTGGTGGATTTACGCCCGCGCGAAAAGCTAGGTCTACCCATAGGTCTCCCTTTTCTTTAAATGGAGCGTTATCAATATATGTAGCGATAGCGTTGACGTCGGAGTTCGTGAGTTCTCGTAGGTTGCCGCGGGTGTTAGGTTCGTCGGAATTCTGGAGTCGGCGCGCGCGCTTTAAGCTTAATATATCAGTGGACGTGGATTCGGGTACTTTAAAAACTTCTCTGATTTCTGAGAGGTTACAGGGGATGCCCTTTACCTCACAAAAATACAGCGTTGAAAGTACTGCAGAGCGTTGTGGAGTTTCGAGTTGAGCTTGCTGGTGCGACAGGTATTCGTCGGTGGCCAGGACGGGCGGAGGCGTTAAAAATCGGCGCTTTTTTCGCCTCTGCGACATCGTCAGATAGCTAGAGAATATCCAAAATCGCTAAAAACAGCTGCAAAAGTAGTATATATTGATGTATCGGCGCTGTGTTGTGGTGTTGTTGACAGCCAGGGGCAAGGTCCTTAGTGCCGGAGTTCACCCCACCGCGAGAGGTAGGTACTCACGAGCCCAGAAGGCACTCGATCGCGCCAGGGATGCCTGGAAAGCTAACTAATGTACATGGAATCTCCTCGGCGAACTCCCGAGATCAGTCCAAGACACGAAGATGTTCAAGAAGGGCAACGAGGTATGAAAGCTCAATGATCGCGCAAGGCTGAGCACTGTAGCAGAGCAAGCCCGCTTTACGCCATCAGCTGAGGTAAACTATAAGACTCTATCTCTCTCTCTCCCTACCAGCAATGCTAGACCTCTGGAAAGGCGTGCGGTTCGGTAAGCGCAGTAAGATTGCAAAGCCAGAAGGGGGAAAGGTAATGGGGAGACTGGAAAGGGAGAGGATGGAGATGCAGAAGGCTCTGAGGCTCCGTCTTATCTGTAGGCGGGGTAGACGCATGAGACTGATACGTATCCTCCCAAGCCCCTTCCCCTCTCGCCGTACCTGGTGCAGGCAAGGCTGAGAACTGAGAAGTGACTTTGTAGAGCGGCTGCCTCGCTGTCCTCATTGGCTTGCTGTATGAGAGCCATAACATCTGCGTATACAACGACAGTCGCTTTCAGAAACCGCGAGAGAGGAGACAGATCATGCCTATGTAGTAGATTTGTGGAATTAAGTGTTGATGGCCTGATGTTTTGTCTATCCTATTTGAGCGCGAGGCTCATGGGGGTCGTCTTCGACACGAGAGCACCTGGATTCAGGCAGGCTAATCGACACCAGGATGAAGTATCAGGATAATATAGTCTCTAATATCCTCTGTTTCCTCCTTTACGTCTTCTTCCTTCGCCTCAGCCCCCCATGAAGTATGCTGTAAGTGCCACAGTCTTCCATCCCTCGGCCTTGCTTGTTACAGACGCCTACCCAAATCCCGAAGGTGGCTGTTCCGGTCCTGAATGGATTCGATCAGTTGCATGCTGTGCTCTGGCATCTATTACAACTTAAAGCCTCTGTTGCACATAGGGCACTTGTCATACTGCGCGCTAATTTTACTCATGCATGCAGGGCAGATCCAGGGATCATCGTCCACCCATGGCTGATGTACGTTTGTGCTCTTTTTTTCCAGCCGATCTGATCTCTTTGCCCCCGCTGCGGACCCTTTAGATGGGAATGGACTTCGCAGTTTGCATTTGTCGCATCGATGCCGGCAGTTGGAGCAGAAGCTGTGCCAGCGGGTGTGAGGCCCTGACTTGCATTGGCAACAGTACCATACTCCTTTACCTGAAGTGGTTTTCTTATACTTGCTTCCCGAGGCTTGAGGAGGCGCTGACTCATTGGGCGTCGATGTAGGATCCGCATTGGTCGGAGGTTGTTGCCATTCGGATCGCGTTGAACTGGTAAAGTCATTGATCCATTGAGGGCTGGAGGTGGTTGAGTTTGTGGGTAAATCTTGGCGTGCGGTATCGCCCGAAGCCATTTCTTCAATTGGGCATTTCTTCCGCTCAATAGGCTGAAGCGTGTGTGAACTTCGAGGACGGGTAGGGGACCATTTGTCAGGATTCGGAGAGCGTGGTTGAGCCGATCCGGTATTAGTCACGGTACTCTTCGTAAGTTTCGCTGAGAGCCTAATGCAAATCCTGAGGCTGCAGTGGTGAGCACTTTGCCAGTTGCTATGAGACCCAGCGCAGCCTTTCCTTTGCTCTTTCCACGGTCTCTACTGCTTTGGGCCACTGATTGTGCTTGGCGGTTGTTTATGAGCCCTTGGAGGGCCGTCTGTATGTTATCGAGGCGCAATTGTTGGGTCCGTAGGACCTCTGCCAGGGCTCTGTTGGACGTAGTCGGAGACTGTAGCTTTTCTTCAATGGACTTAACTGTTGATGCGGTCTCTTCCGTCATGATGAGTATAGAATCGATCGCTTTCTTCTCCAGTGGGCGAGACGAAACGGCGGAATTAGCCTCCTTCATCAGGCCAGCAACTTCGCTGTGCTGTTGGTCGATAGATCGCTGTAGTGATCCCAGAGTCTCCAGCTGCTGAGCTTGAGTCGTTGTCTGGATAGCAACATCTTGGCCAAGCTCATGGAAACGGTGCTGAATTGTGCTAGAGATATCGGCGAGACGGAGCTCGTCGACGATTTGTTGGCATTTCTCGTTGAGTGCTCGAATCGATTTTCTATGTCTGAAATTAAACAAGTCATCTTGCGCAAGCTCGAGTCAAGACGTACATTAATTCCAGCGACAGGAACGACTCGATCATCTGCAATGGCCCCAGAATATCTGCCTTGGTCTTTCTCACAATATCATCCACGTCCTTCAAAGCCCATTGCATCTTCCGCGGTGCCTGCTTGATCTTCGATCTTGTTGAGTTGACGCCCAGGCTCTTTGCGTACTTCTCCATGTAACTGGATTCTATTTTCTTCCATGGAGTTTGGAGGAGCTTCAATTGGTGCTCGATAAGCTCGCGGTATGGTGACTCCGGATTGTCCTCAATATGCTTCTCCAGGTATTTGAACGTGACTGCAACTTGGGAGAGAAAGGCTATGGTCTCGGCATAGTGGTCTTTGGCGCCTCCGGCGTCCTGCAGTGCCCTCCGTATCTTGTCTGCGGCCTTGATAGCGTCGACGATACAGCCAGCAGACCAGCCGAAGTCGACCATCGTGTGATAAGAGGGAAACGCGGTCGGTGTGTTCAATGATTTCGAGAGCGGTTTTAGAAGAGAAGGTCAACATGCAAACAAAAGGAAAAGCTGGTCGACGCTCCGTAATGAAGGCGGTGCCACACATGAACAAGGCTGAGAGTTGAAGGCTGAGAGCGCGAACCGCCTGGAGTCTGCCTTGTGACCTCATTGGCTGTGTGCGCGCCACAACGTATTCGTACAGGTCGGAAATTTCGTTCAGCAAAAAAAAGAGGGAAGAATGCGAGTAATGTGTTCGGGAATGAAGGAAAACCGGCGGCGTCATCATATCTTATGGGAGGCAAGTGCTGCACAGATTCGCACCTTCTCGAAATGACTAGCGGCCACACGAGTGGTCGAGTCTGATACCCAATATATGAGGTTATAAGCAAGGCCAGTATACATAAACCGAAAAGCTACCAAATCTGCTCCACTTCAATGATCCTGAATGTCTTCACATTACGTTCCAACCCTGGATCCATTGATGTGCACCCAGCCCCGAAGAGTGTGCAATACTAGTATGAGATGCTGGTTCGTAACTCATGAATTCGGCCGTCGCAAGAAAGAAATGGGAAACAGTCATACTGATGCGTCGTGATGACGGTCGAAGGCAGGAGCCGGCGGGTCGTTCATCTAGTCGCCTCGCAGCCTTAGGAACGCAAGAGACACCCCAAGCCTCACTTCTTCAAATCGGCCTCAGCCTGAAACCCATGTACCGCCAAAGCTGCTCCAGGACCACACTTGCAGCTACCCACTTCCAGCTCCTCAGCCCTCTATAATCCTCCCACCCCTCCGTGTCTAGCGCCACCTTAAAGCATGCAATCGCCCTCGGGAGTGCCTCATCCTCTTCATCCTTCAGTCCATCGCCCGACAAAATGCGTCTAGCGATAGCTGAAACATCGCGATTGAACCGCTCTGAGACTTCTATGTTTGCTTCGCGGATATACCGGGTGGAGGCGCGCTCTTTCTTGCCTAGGATATTGCCGCTGAAAACTTCGAGCTCCGTGAGGGGCTTGCCGCGGTGTGGGCGCATGGAGTCCATGATTTCGAGGATGTTTTCCTCGTAGCTGGTGTGAGGGTTAGTGGGTATGGCATATAATGATGAGGGGCCATGAATGTACGTACTACTCTCGCAGGCCTTCGGCGAACTGGCGGTGATGCTCCCATTGGAAGAGCCGGGTTTCCCTGTCGACGTACCGCTCGAGCTTCTGGATCAAACTCTCATGGCCCATGGAGTTGCGAGATGCTTCGAAGTCGTTTTTCATGCGGGAGAAGAAGTTGGTTTCGTCGATCTTGCGATATAGGATGCCGAGGATCTTCTGGCTCCTGTAGTACCGTATGGTGAACTTTTCTGGATCAAGGACGCTCACGCTGTCAGGATCGTCGATATCGTCCGCGTCTTCCTCCTCGAGTTCGGTAGCCCCCATCTTGTTGATCACCAGGCCGGGCCCATTGGCCATGAAGTCAGGTCTATTGCGGTCTGCTCCCTTCGGAGCCTGATTCATGTCCACAGGCTTTCCAGACTTGCTGAAATCCACGGCGTCCGACGCAAGCTTTGCGAGCAAGATACAATCGCTGTGCATCGTCCCCTGCTGTTCAATATCCGCCCTGATCTTGTGCTTATTTGAGATCTGCCCTAGCCGATCTGAGTTCATGTACTCGATGAAGAACTCCACGATATCATCAACCTTCACGGGCCTTCCGAGGTCTTTTGCTGGAGTCGGTGGATAGTCAGATGGTACCATAGTCTGGGGCGGTATCAAGCGCTCATCACAGATGATATGGAAGAGGTCGCCATCCAGGTCGCCGCCTCCCAGTTGGCTTGGAAGATCGCGTGCTCCTTGTTGGCTAAAAACAACGCAGTTGTATAGCGCGTGTAATGGGGAACCCCTTGATACGCTTACCGCTTTGACGACTTGAACGTCTCCCGGATGGAGAGCAGGTGCCCGTGTAACGACGACGCGGTCACCTAGGAGCACATTGCGCTTCCAGTGGCCGTTCTCATCTTGAATGCCGGTTGCAACGTATACTTCGCCTTCTTTCAGTTCATTTGTCTCGTCCATGATACCGTATAGTAGGTAGCCCTCGTGCACGGGAATCCGCGCGCGATATTTCAGATCCCTGAGGCTAGACATGGCGACGACTTCAACAATATCTGTAAGAAACTTGTCGTTCTGAAAAGAAAGACCGATTTCGTGCATGAGCGTGAATAGCACGGGAACCTTGGCTGCGACACCGGAGCGGGAGTATTCTAAATTCCTTATTAGCTAAAAGCCTTTGTCGTACAATACATTATCCCAATCAAGCTCGAGAAATGCGATAATGCCAATCTGATACGGACATAGACTGGTAATGATCAACATGAACATGAAGGCTACTCACCGAGAAAGCTGGCCGCGTTCAGTGGGTGTTTAACGATCAGCTCTAGCGCTTTGAGCGCATCTTGCTGAACGCTGATGAAGTTCTCCCGAGGCACACCTAGGTCCTCAAGTATCTTGATGAACTGCTGATTGAGATACATTCCCAGCGGCTTGTAGGCCGCGCCGCATATCTCAAGGTCCTTCCAAGTCTCACGGGCGTGGTACTTCGTCATGCTCTTTCGGATAAGCAACTGCTTGCCGCGCAGGGATGTGTCGAGCGAAACGACTCCTTTAGCGCCCCTGTATCGGATCTGTAGAATAGTAGGCCTGAGCTGCCGACGCTCAGGTGGAAGGCTACTCCAAACCTTCTCTAGCAACTCCTGGGATATCATACCACAACCATCAGAAAAGCAACGCCCGTTCCTCTCGACGTCGGGCTCGGTCTCCGTCACGTAGACGTCTTTCGGGATTGGTATCGCGAAGATGGTGTCGGAGAAGGCTTGCCCTATACGAGCGGCGCACTTTGCGCTACAATGTATGTGGCTGAAGTCCCCCATATCTTCGATGATGTTCTTCGAGCAGAGGGGTTCGCCATTGTAATAGAAAGGCGCCATAAACCAGGCAGTATGGTAGTGAAGCGAGGAATGGGAAAAGCCAAGGAACGTATAGCGCCGTCCAGCAATCATTATGCCTTCCCGAAGAACTTTGCGGAAACGGTCGTAAACAGCCTCCTGCGAAGCTCGTGGGTCATGCAGGACAGACAAGCCGTCCTCGTCCGCGAAGAAGACCCTCAGGAAATAGTCACTTCTTTCAGAGTACTTACGAAGCACTCGGTTCGAGACACTCAGCTCCGGGCCTCTGAGGAGCAGACCCGTTGGCGTGACCGTGGCTTTGTATGTCAAGGTCAGATGATGGTGCTTTTTCTGCTTAGAGGACAAATCTTCCGCCGTAGCCTCGTACCGCTTGATGTCCTTTATGTTCTGGTGGAGGGTTTGAACAATATGGGCCACGCCCAACTCTCGTGCTTCAATATCTGGAGCAGGCGTGGGGATCTGGTAGCTAAGCTTGCGAACTGCACGAGCGGTAATCTCGGGCCCATACCGCTGAGAAAGTGTCTGCACGTAGGGTATGACTTGAAACATGGTGGTGGGAATGATGGTCCCCTCTAGCACCAAGGCAAGAAGCTGGAACCGGACAGCAAAGGTAAAGTACGCGGTGCTTTCGGGTTCCGAGAGTGCTTGCTCAACTCGCTCGTATTCCTTTTCGATAGTCTCTGTGGGTCTCGACGGTACCGTGGTCCTCCAGCACTGTGATTGGGGGATCGCTGATGACTTTTTGACGTGATTCCACGCGCGTTGGGCGGAAGCGGTGTCCGGGAGCGTGACCCTATACACCATGCAGAGGGCTGCGTTCTTGTCGTACGTATGCATGAGCGAACATTGGCGTTGCATACGCTTGCCCGCAGGATTCAGTGAGAGTGTGTCCAATAATGGCATAGGCGTCGTCACGGTGCCAGGCTCCCGTCCAGAATACAGGTGAAGATCGTTGGTGCTGACGATGCGATAGATCTTCGGCGGAGACTTCAGCGTGAGCGTTATCGTGCCTCGGGTGCCATTCTCGTATGAAGGGATAGCGTGTTCGATGATAGCGTACGGGATATCGATTCTGCAATGCCAATGCCATTCTTGATGTTCGGCTGCTGCCAGATAAATGACAAGCACCGACTTTCCAAAGGTAACCGCTCCCTCCCGAACATCTTTGTATTTCGAGTCGAAAACGAGCTTGCCTAAATGATCGTATTCCCACACTCCATTTTGGAAACTAATGAATGGGAAGATCGGTGAAGAAGGCTGCGACGACACCGCGGCTAATGCTTGTTTGATGCGCTTTGCCCGCAGTGTTCGTTCTCTTTCCCGTAAAGCATTGAGCTTGACCATGTCAGGCTGCCCCTTATTCCTGCTCTTTTGACAGCGCAGCTGTGTGCTCCTGAAGACGAGAGGAGTGAGAGGGATCGGACCGCCGTGTTTGAGGAGGAACTTCTGAGCATTGCCCGCATCGGCTATGGTGATGATTGCCCATCGATTCCCGACTTTCTTGAAAATTTCGAAGGCGAGGACATCTTTTGTCGAGAAACAGTTAGCAGCGTTCCGGAAACAATGATCGGGATGCATTCAATGAGAAGACAAATCAGCGGAAGAGGTGGTGCCCATTATGTCGAAACCGTCACCGTCAGCAGCCTTGACAAGATTGACGATGCGTCAGAAGAAGTCCTAGAAACCCGGCTTCGTATGGGATTTGTACAGGAACTGCAGAAACCTTCTGTTTGTAGCCTGGTCTCACCTACCGAATCGCGAGAGTATGTCTCTCAAGAACAACCTCAGCTCGGTGTGATTCGAGTTGAGCGGGATGCTGTCAACGAAGATATCCATTGCGGTCAACCAACGCCCCAGCGGAGACGCATGAGGGTCAAGAAGGTATCAAAGTACACCGCGAGCCGGAAAAGAGCGAAAACAGTGGAGGAGAGTGAAGTTGGCTGCGGAGTTATACCAGGCTGTCGAAAACGGCAAGTGGGACCACCTAGGCAGCCTGTGGCCGCGCTTCCGCGTTCTCACGTGCTCTGACAGGGGTCACATCGCCTTCACTTTCTTAGAGAGCAGTGCATTGACGGCAGATTTCACTGCTCGGGAAGAGCAATACAAAAGTGGGGGGGATTGCGGTTGAGCGACATGGCGTCGACCTTGCGCAGTAGTCAAGCCCACACTCATGGTCAGTATCACGGTTCTATGGTTTCTAACTTCCTTCCCGCCCTTCCATAGCTTCCCACGAGCTAGAATACATGCACGATGCTCAATCATATCCTACACACCTCCATTCCCTCAATCCTTCTTCTCCGCCTCCCTCTTCTCCAATATCTGATCCACAATACCGAACTCCAGCGCCTCCTTTGCATCCATAAAATAGTCCCTCTCCATCAACCTCTCAATCTCATCCAAACTCCTCTCCTTGGTCAAATGCCGCTGATAAATCCTATTCAGCTGATCCCGCACCCTCAGTATCTCCTTCGCATGATCCGCAATATCGCTCGCCTTCCCGCTATACCCTCCACTCGGTTGATGAATCATAACCCGCGAGTGCGGCAGGATAAATCTGTTTCCAGGAGCGCCTCCGCAGAGGAGTAATGAGCCCATTGACGCGGCCTGCCCCATGCAGATGGTGGTTACCGGGCAGCGAATGTAGTTCATGGTATCGTAGATGGCCATGCCCGCGGTGACGGAGCCGCCCGGCGAGTTTATGTAGAGCGAGATGGGCTTTTCGGGGTTGTCGGCTTCGAGGAAGAGCAGCTGGGCGGTTATGGTGGCGGACATGGGGTCGTCGACTTCGCCGTTGAGGCAGACGATGCGCTCGGCGAGGAGGCGCGAGAAGATGTCGGACGTTTTCCAGCCTCCAGCCTACCCAGTTAGCTTATTCGTCTTCTTCGAAGGGTGCTCTGAAGGGAGACGTACCACTGTCTCAGTCACATAGGGCATTGGCATCCATGCTCTCGGTACGGTGGGTTGCGCCTGCTGTGTGGAATTGGACGGTGTAGATAATCGCGACGAGAACGAGCGGGTTCCATATCTACATGAAGCTGCAGAGATAACGGGCCTCGCGGCCCTTCGTAATATATTAGCCATGATGCCTATCGAGAAGAGCATATTGGAGCTCTCCAAGCTCTAACATCGAAGCTCCGATGCCAAGCCGCTAATAATTCCGCAAACTCGCGCGATTCGGAACGCATTCAAGAAACCTCCACAAGCACCTCTCCACCTGATGCCAGGCAGACCAATCCAGCGCCTGAGACCATGCTTCAGCCTCGCTAAACACTTCAGCCGGCGACAAGCCCGCTCCTACGCCGCCAAAGTCCTCACGGGCGAAGACCTAGGACCCATCCATCACGATGAACACCACAGCTTCCGCGTCCTTAAGGACGGCTCGCACCTCCCTATCCCCCCCGTCCTCGACCCCATAGCTCTCTCCGAGCGCTCCCGCTGGGAACAGACGAAGCAAAAGCCAGACGTGAACAAGTTCACACCCTTCCAGAAGAAGCTATGGGAGAATCCCTACGGTACCGTCTCCCCTTCCCCTCTAGTGGAGTGACACCGAATACTAACAACCATAACCTAGCGCACGCCCTAGCCTCCCCCATCCGCCAATGCCGCGCCACCCAATCCCTCCTCCCCTCCTCCCTCCTCATCTCCCTCCACCCGCGCCCCCACCCCACTACCTCCGACCCCTGGCTCCTCCCCGTCAACCTGACAACATCAACGCACCACCTGGGCCCACCTGTCCGCTTCCTCTGCCACTCGTACGTAGCAAGCTACCTCGGCAAGAAGAAGAACTGGGACAAGGCGCTCTACCCGCGCTTCATCGAGAAGCTGGGCAAAAGGGCAGTAGGCAAGATAGTGTGGCGGGAAGACATGCCGATGTTGATTCTAGAGCTGATGAGGAAGAGGGCGCGGGAGAAGTTGCGGTGGCATTTTGGGCACAGCGGGCAGCTGGTGCCGTGTGAGAATCCGAGGGGGGAGGATATTGACGCGTTGGAGGACGTGTCTTGCGTTTTGTACCTGGGCTCTCTGAAGATGCGCGCGGACGAGATACAAGTCGAGGCGAGGGGCATCGTCAATGATGTCGAGAAGTGGGTTGCGTACTACATCAAAGGCTTCCCCGCGCTGCTCGATCCGCACAAAAAGCCAGACGTAACACACTCCTCGCCTGCGTGGTACACGGACCCGGTAGTCCCGCGTTTGCAGCCGCGAGCAAGATTCCCTCCGTTGGAGTTCAAGACGACGACGTGGCGGGGAAGAAAAGTCGCGGTGTACAGCTTATATGACTTGCTTGGGGAGGAGAGGATGAAGGAATTGCTTGAGGGAACGAGGTTTGAAAGGGAGAGGTGCCTGGTGATGAAGAGAGGGAGGCATAACGTGCCCGTTGAGATACTGCTTATGCAGTTGCAGGCTTATTTGGCTACACCTGGGCCGTGAACATTCGAGCGAGCAGAGGGCTAGACGCATAATCGGAGAGTCTGGGGTCAGACTTCAATGTTCATATTCCACATAAGAATGTATATATGCAAGCTGAGCTGAAAAGCCATACAAATCGCAATGCTTGCTGAATGCCCGGTGCAACCTATACATCCAACCTGCCCCATGTTGCAAACGCCGTAAAACGCCGCGAGAACTCCTATGCCAAACGCAAAGCGGCGTCGTCCTATCCACATCCTCATAAGTTTCCCTCGCCCCCGCTTATCTTAGAAGACCAGCGGCAGACCCCGAGCGGCTCGCTAAGCCGCCTTTTTGTACTTCTCCCTCAACTCATCAATCTCCCTCTGAAACCTCTCCATATCATCCAAGATGTTGCTCGGACTGCTCTTCACCTCCTCTAGATTATACGTCCGCGGTTCCTCCACCTCTCCTTTGGGCGAATACAGCACCGGTTCGCTCTCTGCTGCCGGCGCATACTCATACTTCAGAGAGCTCTCGCTGGCTACGCTCGTCCGCCTCTTGCTGTCGATGCTGTTGCGTTTGTACTCGGTACTAATTCGCCGGCTTTCAGTTGGAGAGGATGGATGGAATGAAGGACGTTCTTTGTCGAGGCTTGAGCGGCCGGATTGGCGGCGCCGAGGGGGCGGAGGAGGAGGTGGCATGGTTGCGCTTTCGTTGGAGACGGAGCGGGTGGTGTTGCGTGTTGAGTTTATGGAGGATGTGCGTGCCAGGCCTGGGCCAGGCGAAGGTGGCTCGGAGGAGTAAGTTGTTCGGCGGGAGGAGGGCGGATTGGGAGATGTGACGGTGGGTCGGCGTGCGGTTGCTGTTGCTGTTGCGGTAGAAGAAAGTTCGGTTGAGGATGAATTGGCGCTCGATGTGCTGATTGTTGATAGTGCTGCACCGTGGCGTCTTGTAGGGGGTGGAGGAGGCGGTGCTTTCTGAGATGATGGGGATGAGGCGGGTTCACTGGTAAATCCGGGACTGAGAATTGGGAACTCGGTAGAGTGTTGAGATGACATTGTTAGTGACGAGTTGCTTCTTGATCTGTTTCCCATTGTTGAACTGCGGAGCTGGCTTTGCCGGCGGGCGAGGGGAACTGGTGGGGGTACTCTCTTCTGTGCGGGAACGGCATCGGATAAGCTCGATGTTTCGCTAGCTCCTGTGTCTGGTATAGATGGGAGATGGTGAGTGATATCTTGAGAAATAATATGAGCAGGCGGCGAGACAATAGGAGGCGTTGGCGGAAGCGGCTTGTTCAAATCCGAATTCGTCCTATTCCTCGACGCAGGGGGCGAAGCCATAGGGTCCGTAACAGAAAAACTCTCGAACGAAACCGTCTGTGGTGTCCTGGACGAAACCAGCCTGCCATGGCGATGCTTCGGCGCAGGCGGGGGCTTCTTCTTTTCCCGCTTGATCTCTCCCATAAGACTAATTCTCTCGTCGTCTGATGCCGCCATTTCGTACGATGTCCGCGGCGACTCGGTGTGCGGTTCTTGTACAGGCTCGAATATGGATTGTCGAGACACGGATGAGGTGTCTGTGCTGCTGCTGCTTTCGAAGACGGAAGCGCTGATGGGATTGGGGGCAGTTGCTCCCTGCGGTGGTGGCCCGGAACTTCGCGGACTTGGTATGCCGGTCAGTAATAGGTTCTTGAAGCCTTCTACGTCTAATGATGCTTTAGTAGGTCCTGGGGTTGTCCTTTCCGTGGCTGTCCGATCTATGATAATTCATATCAGCATGCGCACCAACTGGCCGTCAACTCCGAGCTGCTATGCCGCATATTCCCGCCTCTTTTAGCACCCCAGTGTAAACATGACAGAATAACCCACGATAAACGCACCTCGATTCTGGCCCCTCAGCTCCGCGCTTCCCTTCTCTTGCGGCTCAATAGAAGCCAGCGTCTTCGAAAACGGATTCGCCGGAGCACCACCAGGCGAGTGCACAGCCTCAGGCTGCCCGGGATTCCTTCTAGAGCCTCCCGTCATCATTTTCGAATCCGTCCCTGCACTCCCACTATCCTGCCCAAGTTGTTCGTCCAATGCGAGATCCTCAAAGTTGTCAGAGAAGCCGGCCGGAGACATGGGAGGCGGCGAGCCCGCATGGCCACCGAGGTTTATAGGCTGCAGCAGGGCGTCATCCGCATCGTGGAGTGCCGGATGCGGCGGCGAGGTCGCAGTGGGCGATTCTATGCGGACGGATTTCTTTGTCTTTGCGGGAAGCGCGGACGCGGCGTGGTCGGGCACTGTGCAACTATTATTCTTGATTCTTTTACCACCAAGAATGCAAGCTTAGCGGAAAAGGTATACCAGAGTCGCTTTCGCGCTCATCGCGGGCGTGAGGTCTGCTGCTGCTGCTATCGGCATTGATAAAGCTGGTGGGCGGAACAGATGCGGGAGCGGCGGGGTGTTTCTGGACGAGGGAAGCGCGGAAAGGATTCCCGGACATGATCGAGGACTAGAAACAATGCATTGTTCTATGTACATGAGAAGGGCTCGTGAGAGCGGCAGGCGGGTGTTGGGCGGAACCCTTCAGTGTGGTGTTGTTGCTGATGGGCGGCGGCTGTGAAGATCATCGCCGAGATGCTCGGAGCAGATCTGGGGACTGACAGCGAAGAGGTGCCCCCACCACGGCGCCAGCCTTGGCTCCAAAACTTGCTCCTCTACATTCACGAACGCCTTCACGTAACATGCTCAGGAACGCTAGCATGCCTTGCCTATCTTGACTCCGCCTGCCTTACGGAACATGTGGCTAGCTGTGAACGATGCCGAGTCTCGTACCACTGCTGTGCCTCTTTTCCCACTGGGGGCCAGGGCAAGCATCTCATTTTGAACACTCGCCGGGTACTCAATCGATGTAAACATGCCATCCGCTCTCTCGGCCGAACCATTTCCGCGCCAATTGCCCACCGCTCTCTGTGGGCTGACTGAACGCAACCTTGGCCTTCTCGACAGTCATGCCGTACAAAAAGTCGGACCTCGCGGAATCCAGCAGCCCCGTCGCGATGCCATGTTTCCGATGCAAGTTGGACGTCCATATGCGCGAAACGCCCAGAATAGCCGGTTCGGGTGTGTTACTGATAGAAATGGAAGAGCTGTGGGACTTAGCAGGGAGCTGACCGGCACGCTCAGACGCGTCATCCTGGTCCAGCACTGTAAATGCCTCCTGAATCCTTTCCGTCAAACACGCTCCCACGCACTTGGTGCCCCGGATGTATAGGTAGGCCTTAAACCTGTCGCTAGCCGAGTATTCCCCATTTCCTTTTGAGGGTTGCTGCGCCCCGTCCCCCTGTACTTGCGTGTTCCCCGCTATTGGATTGCGTACCTGACTCCACAATGTCTCGTCTGGTATGGGAACCGCTCCTAGCTCCGTATTGACGACCTTTAGCACCTCACTAGTCTTGTTGCGCATTGCAAGCGTATCCCTCTTGCTGATGACTGCGACGAAGCTCCTGTCTCCACCGGACCAGACTTGATTTTGCTTGAGCTTTTCGACCAACGCCCGGGTGATGTCCACGCCGCCAACGTTCATCGCGTGGAACTTCCGATGCAGCGCCGCATCGTCGGCGTGCGACGGAATATACTCCATGCCGCAGACCTTGCACGTTTTCGTAAGCTCAACCACAAGGTCGAGCTGCATCTGGACCAAGCGCTTCTTCTTCGGACGTTGTTTGGGCGGGCTCGGGACATTGTGGCTTCGTTCAGAGAGCGGCTCCTTTGCAGGGCATCCGGATTTGGGTTCTCTCTTCAGGAAAGAGAACAGTGGGCGTCTCCTTTGGGGAGGAGGTGAACAGGTCTGAGCTGGAGAGGACGGAGGAGTAGATCGAAGCGGCTCATCTGAGAATATCGCGATAGGTTCTTTGGGACTAGATGACGGAAGCCCCGAAGAATCGTCTGCGGGTATGGAGACTCTGGGAGGAGAAGAAGGCGCGACATCCTCGGTATCTTTCGTCTCAATGGCCGCAACTGTTGTCTCGACGCGTCTGCGTTTCGCTGGAGGCTCCTCATCGAATAGCGAATGTTTTCTCTGTCGCGAATAAGTCCTGATGACCCTCCTACATTGCAATTAGCTTAGAAAACAAACGCGACCGTAAAGACACACCTTGCACCCAGGGATGACATCTTTGAAGGGTTAGAAGCAGGGAACGAATAAAAGTCGACGATGTTGAAGCTTTGAAGATCGACGCGACGCGCCTCGCGACGTATCGCGATGTATCGCGATGTATCGATAAGCGCACAGGCCACATACCTCGGGCTACACCAGAGTCATCGTTCACCTTCGAGAAGCTTGCGTAGCAGAGATACAGCCTTCTATCGGCATAAACGGATACTTGAAACGGAGGCTCTCCATTATAGATTGAAGGTCTGGGCTGGTATGTTCATATCTGATTGGACGGGGCATCTTTCTGGGGCAGCCTTGGACAACTGTGAGTAATACGATCAGCCTCATCAGGCAAACTTAGTCACAAATGGAAGGTGCTCTGCAACACAACCAGCTGCTGTGCTCGTATTCCGCGTAACCTGGCATTGAGTCAATCCGAACTACTCTAGGATGACTGGTGTATGACTCAGAAGATTCTGCAGTATATGACCCGGACAGATTCACCTTGATCCCTCAAGGCAATCAACTTCTGTACTCACCACCCCGAGGCGTGACAAACACGACATCTTTCCTCAAGAAAAAGATCCAACGACATACCATCACATCACCATGGCCGTTCAACCAACACCCGCACACCCCGCGACCATGGAAGCCCAGCTCCAAAACACCGCCGTCACGGCTGACTCCCCGCTTCCCTCGCCCATCATCACCACGCCGCGCCTAATAATCCGCGCCATGCATCCCCAAGACGACATCTCCATGCAAGCCGCCGCCGCCCCGGCCAGCATAACGAAATACATGACCCTCAACTTCGCGCACCCCTATACGCTCCAACACGCGCGAGACTGGATATCCCTCCACCTCGCTCCCCGGCCCAATGCCTTCGTCCTATGCCTGCCCAGCGACCCTAGCAGCGTAATCGGCGGCATCGGGCTAAAGCCCGGGTCGGATGTGCAATCCCACGCCGCGGAGATGGGGTACTGGATCGCGGAGCCGTACTGGGGACAGGGGCTGATGAGCGAGGCGCTGGAAGCCATGACGGAGTGGAGTTTGAGTGAGTGGGAGGGCGAAGGGGGTAGGAAGTTGAGCAGGCTGTCGGCATCAGTTTTCGAGGGGAACACGGGGAGTATGAAGTGTCTGGAGAAATGTGGGTATAGGAAGGAGGGCGTGCTGAGGGGCCATGTGGAGAAGCATGGGAAGACGATGGATTTGCATGTTTTTGGTTTGACGAAGGGGGATTGGGAGGAGCGGAAGAAGGGTAAGCAATATGGGAAGAACTAACATAGAGCGTGAGGAACAAACTCGCTGGGTTGGTGACCGAAAGGCGAAGGCAATGAGTAAAAGTTGGCAAGTTTCTTTTAGACGGATAGAAGGATATATTCATATGATTTCTTGTTTATATCAGCCCAAGCCTCTTCATAGTACTCACATGCGCATCTCCATGGCCACCATAAGCTATCAGCGTCTTCTTAGAATGCAAGATGAGATCTCCTCTCCAAACCCAGAATATGTGCTCGATTTTTCTCGCCACATCTTCGCCCTCCACCGGAGCCACCATTTGGCAGACCCAGGTCAAGCGTCGTGCGCCGACAAAGCGGTTTTCAGACAAAGGCCGCGTAACGCACACGCGAACCACGGCCTTCGTAAACAGCGGGCCGATATCAAGTTTGTTGTAGCGCAGGTATTTGTACAAATAGTAGATGGAGCGCCAACTCTGGCAGTGGCTTCTGGTGCGGTCAATGGAGTACTGGTGGGCGAACTGGTGAATAAGCTCCACACGCAGCTGTAATGGTATGTCGGCCATTGTCTTTCGGTAGGCCAAAGGTACGATGTGAGCATCATTGGCGCGATCGAGGATATGCTGGAATTGCCGACGAGCTTGTAAAGCCTCTAGCTCTTCCCCTTGCGCGCGTACCCGAGCCCCAAGTCCTGCGATTAGTTGCTGAAGCTCTTGACAAGCGTGAAGCGCCAGAGCTCTGTGTTGACGTTCTTGTTCAGTCGAAGTGCTCGTGTTACGTACTTCGCCCAGGACTTGCGCCATATAAGCTTCAAGGCAGGCAGTCTGGGATAGTGCCGAGCCTCTTCTTTCAACCAGTCTAAGCAGGTCCAGCGCCAACTGAAGTCCCTTGCGCCGATGGAGGAGGGGAAGTATCAGCTCGAGAACTCCATGGTTCGGTAACGACGCTTCCTCCAGTTGAAGGATTAGGCGCGCCAGCATCTCATTGAGAGGAAGCCCCGTAGCGTGCTGCTTCAGCAGACCGGGCGCATACGATGTAATGAATTCACTTGCGCGTTCCGAAGAGACATTGGCGAACGAGCTATGGCCAGCTAAGCTGTATAGCAAGGCGGTAACGAGTGCATGGGGCGGAACCACGGCGCGGCAAGGATTTAGGAACTGCAGTGCCAGGTCCTTGAACGCCAAGTCCGAGAGTGACACATGTCCGACCACGTTGGTGGCCTTATCATCCAAGCTGTAGAGGAGTTTCAACCACGTCTCGAGACACTCGAGTTTTCTAGGGCTTACACTCGAGCCCGGTGTTCTCTGTTTTGACTTCAGGAGCCGAGAGGACAGAACAGTAGTCCAGAAGCGGAAGGGCGTCAGCGGGATATATCCCAGCAATTCGAGCCCCGAAGGAATTAATTCCGGATTTTTCGTGCAGGCGGTGACCAATGAGATAATTTGATCCACGGAATTTTTGGGGTCTTCCACAATTGGCGTCAGATGCTTCCGAAGTCTCACGTCGGAGATCTTCTTGCACATTTCGCGCATCAATTCGCCGGTGGATGCATCGACGGCTTCCACTCGTGTCCAAGCAGAGTCCCAGAGTCCTCGTATGAGAAGACGCAAGCTAGAATCTTGACTGTGCCCGTTCGATGTTGGGGCGCTTCGAGCTGCGTCCGCTAGTTTCTGGTACATCCGATTGATCCCCCGGATCCGGTGTGGTGTGGTCGCTGTCATCTCTTCCAGGCCCTTCAAGAACTCTAATCCTTCAAACGAGTAGATGGGAGGTAGGGGAACATGTGGGTCGGAGAGACTAGCTATGACGTGGCCTGCGGACCATTGCTCTCCCTTGAGGTATTTCAGCACTAAGAGGCTGAAATGTCCAGCACTATCATTGGCAGGACAGGATGATCGAAGGATCTCCTGTAATCGATTACAGCGGGCGTTTTCCGGGAGTGTGCTCGCAGTGGTAATCTGCTCAACAAACTTTGCAAAACATCCGTCGATGTCAGCTTTGTCGAGCGTCTGCCTTATATGTCGCTCCGCGGGCGCCTGCTCATTCTCAAGCTGACTTTGCGGCGTGGATTGTGGTGCATCCATTAGAGCGAAGGATCCTCGTGGGATGCTAGCTCTGGGGCGTCCGGGGGACTTGGGCGGCATGCGGGACGGACTAGAAACTGACAATGTCGGGACATTTTCCACGGCTGTCTCTATCAGCAGTGCTCAATGAGCATTTACAGAGTCACTGTTGCACATACGCAGGCTCAATGGATCCGTCTTCTGTAGAGATGGCGGCTCATATCTCCAGCTCGGTTCTCCTCTCCCAGGGAAGCCAAACAAGGCCCCGAAGCTGAATATGGGAGGCGGTACTACGCCCGCAGGATAGAAGCCCGCCTGGGCAGTCATTCTCCTCTTTGCCGCCCTCCTCCTGGCTTCCAATGGCCCCGGGACATGACTGCCATGTCTCTTTTGATGCGGGCAATCGGCGCGGAAAAAGCGGTGCACGGCGCGCGAAAGAAGGTCGTCAGAGATCCAGATGTGCGGCAGAGAAGTCGACTGGAGCGAATGCGCTGCTCGGCGGCAGGCGACAGGCGGGCGTCGCATCAAGCGTCGTGGGCATAGGACGGGTGCTCGAACAGCCTTGGAGCTGCTTGGAGTGCAGGACGAGCTGTCCCGATGCAGTGGGCTTAGTCACTAGCGCCCACACGTGGCTGGTGTTGAGGCGGGCACCACGGCTCGGGGCAGCACAATGGCGAAACGTCAAGCGCTCCTGACAGCTGTCCAGCGACCTGCATTTCAGCTGTCGCATCTCGATACCACTTCGCTCCTCTGCAGCAATCCTGGAACACGAGGGCATCGCATTCAGAATGCGATGGCACAGCGGACACAGTACTGTGGGAACGCACGTGAAGTGGCTCGGTCGCTCCCCGGGGCCTTCAATCTCCACCTCCTGGCCCAACAGATGGCGAGGCCCCACAGCAGCTGATAAGAAATCTCCAGCCGTGGCCGTACAGTACCTAGGTATGCAGCAGCAGCATTCGCGACTATAAGACGCTGCACGTCATCAATAAAGTCTCTGGCGCGCTCACGCAACGTCAGCGACGTGCGGCCGAAAACAGCGCTCGCCGAACGCTTTTGGAAGCTTCGGCGGGCGCCAGCGGTTGGCTGGGCTTGCTGGCTAACCCCCTCTGCGCGCTGGGTGGGTGAAACAAGCGGCTGCAACGGTGGAGGGAAAGGCCTTGTCACCCGCCGGCTCGTCGCCAGGCACCGCGCGGCGCTGATTCGCCCGCCGCTCGAGCCACGCAGCCCCCCCAGCGCGCCCACGTAGCCCTCCGGGTTGCGTCGTGATGTCTCAAGCCCGCTAGAAGGGCTCTTTTCTGCCGCGACGGACTTGTCGGCTGCTGCGCGGTCTGCAGCGCCATATTAGCAGCGGCACAGCACGCAATCAGGATAGAGCGTGCCCAAATTGACCCAAGCGTGCGGGATTGGGTTGGACTGGCGTTGCCCGGACTCGCTCACACCAGCGCCAGCTTGTCCGTGGGCCCGTGCACGCCTTCATTTCACCTCCCGGCTCGGCCGCCCGCTCGTGTCCCTGAAGGCTTCACGCTCCTTTCGCTCGCAGGCCCACAAGTCAGCCCACGCTCGTCTTCACCACCTCCACCAGTCCTGTCTCTACGACATCACGCTCATTGCTGCTGCCCGCTTGCCTGCATCCCAACACTCGCTCTCGACACCACCGCCTGCAGATACATTCCTTTTTCTGCTGCGAGGAGAACAATAAGGGGTCACAATACGAAACACTGCATTCCAGGGCCTCGCATCCCGCGATCCCGACGCGAAGCGTTTCGAATCGGCAGTTGAGGGCATCGTTGAGCGAGTCCTCTTCTGAACCAGCGTCGAAGCCTTCGACGGGCTGCATTCACCACAATCTTCACCTCTCGATTGCCAGCATACCCACCTCACCGCGAAGCAAACGCCCGCCGGAGCCATCCGCCCGCTGACACCAGCACCCGGCTACAGCGTCAACCAGTGTGTCGCTTACGACGGCACTTCATGCGTTTGCCTGCCATTGTTTAGACCAAGGGTACGATTCCTGGGTCGCAGTGAATGACAGGAAGCGTCTCGCTAACACACGCTCGACAGTCCAATTCTGCCGGTCTAGACGACGGGACACCACATCGCCTTCCGCAACCAATTACCTCCTCTCACATCTCACCCACAATGCCCTCCATCAGGCTCGCGTCTGCTGTCGCGGCGGCCGCGCTGTTCGCCATGGCATCTGCCCAGGACGCAACGTCGTCGAGCGTCCTGTTCATCCCAACGCCAACCAAAACCGTCGCTGCCAGCGCCATGGAGACAATGGGATGCTTCTCCACCGGCGTTCCACTCGAGGACCACGGTAAAGGATATTTCACGAGTCCTGGGTCGTGTCAGCAAATCTGCCTGGGACTGGATAAGAATGTGCTCGGTCTGTCCGATGGCGACCACTGCTGGTGCGGAGATGCATTCCCACCGGAGAACTCACAGGTCGATAACTCGACTTGCTCTACGACATGTGCCGGAACTAGCGAAGAAATCTGTAAGTTGCAACACATTGCTCAGTTGCTGCTTGCTAACCCCATGCCACAGGTGGAGGAGACGGCGCGTTATGGGTCATGACGACTGGGAACACGCGTAATAAGGTCAACTACTTCGACCCCGCGAAACTAAGCTCCTCGGCTACACCATCATCGAAGGCGACTGCCGCGCCGACGGCGGGAGGGGCCAACACCGTCGTCGTCACCTCGACCGACGTTCCATCAGACACTGCCAAAAGCAGTAGTCCCAACAAGGCCGGCATCGCTGCCGGGGTCGTGGTCGGTGTCGTAGCGCTTGCTGCCATCATTGGCGGCGTCTTCTTCTATCTGCGCCAGAAGAGGAGACGGGAGGTCGAGGAGGAGTACCGTCGTCAGGCGGCCGTCAACTCGTTCGTCTCGGGCGGCAAGCTACACACCAGCAACTCGTCCATGACGGACTCGCGCCTGGATCCCGACTTTCTCGCCAGGAGGCAGAGCAATGGCAGCATTGCAGACAACGAGGACTATTCGAGACGGATATTGAAGGTTCGTTGACATGACCTTTGGTGTGTCGACGTGCAGCTAACAGGCGCTAGGTTACCAATGCATGAACGCGCTAGTGATGGCAACTGGCACGGCCATCGACACATCCTCCTTCCTGCCGTTCTCTCACGATCGCATTCGACGAATACCCCGATAGCGCTTTCCATCCTCGCCTAATCTACTCACCTCTTGTCACGTGCAGTCACGCTTGACGAGAACATCTACGTACTCTGCTGGCGTTGCTTCCGAGTACCGGTCCGAGCCGTTGATTTGATCTTGGAAGGGGTTTCTACGGCGGACCATAAGAAGTCTTCTCCTGTGTTATATATCTCTGGGTAAATTCGGCGTTTAGGGGAATAAACGGGTACCACTTGATCACTCAACGGGCGCGCGCGGGCATCACAGGTCACTCATTCTCTTTTGTCATTCCTTTACAGATTTCCTGGACACGGTGGGCTAGCCTTGTTTCTACCGCAGGGTGACGCGTGCAGTCCTACCAGTCCCTCTTGTACTACACTCCGTGCTCTGTCCCGCCGGCCTGAACTCCCCGACCTCTCCTCTACTCTACCCCCGTCCTAAATACTCTATAATCTCTTTACCACCTCTCTCATACTCCCTCCCCAATCTTGCATCAGCTACGGACTGCCTGTTGGCTGGGTGCGGTCTTCGTGCAAAAGCGGACATTTCCCTCATCTTGTTACATAGCCTTTTCTCATAGCGGAATGACGAACATCGGTACTACTACTCTCGCTCACTCGGGGCGCCTTGTCCCAGAAGGCGCTGCCACGTCATCTTCCACAAGTTTCACCATCACAGTAACCTCAACTCAACCCAACACTAGAATATACCAACTCAGCGTGCTCAGCTATTCAGGCTCCCCAAACGCAACTTCGCCCAGTAGTTACCCATTATTTGTTTGACGCCATCCGCACTCGAGTATCGATGCTCGCCCCCCCAGATCCGGCTAACGATCTTCAGCCACCACCCCTTGCCGCCGTCTTCCCGCTCCGCATTGCTAAACGTCCAAATCTCCGGTTCAGGCGGCCAATCAGCGGCGGCGCTGCGTGGGGCTATCAAACATTTTTCGTCGGCGAGGCTGTCGGTGTTTCGTGTGGCGGGAATGGCGGGTGCGGGTTCTAAATCTGGGGACTGGTTGCGGAGGCTGCGGTTGCGCGGCTTTTTGGGGGGTGAAGAGGGGGAGGGGGAGGGTGCGAGGAGGGGTGCGAGGTTGTAGGGGAGGAATGTGGAGGATGTTGAGAGGATGTTGGGAGGTCTATGTGGATGGGAGGGGAGGGGAGGGGAGGTGGGTATGTGTTCCAGTAGTTAGGTAGTTCGGAGTGACGTTGTCGGTAGGCTGCCGCGAGGTGGGTGACGCTTTGGAGTTCTTGTGTTGCAGGTCGATGATTCTGGATGGGGAAGGCCACCTGCATGCGTATAGATGTTACTTAGAGATCTAAGCGGCAAGATCAAGATATCCAGCAGATAGAGCGAGTGGGTCCGCTCACAGGCTCAACATCATTCGTACTGCATATGTACTGGGTATGTTCAATCAATGACTTTTCCAACAGGCCCCCGAGTGTCATGGCATTTGCAGCCAGTCTCTTCTCAAGATCCCCAGCCACCTCAGTCCGACTGGTATGCTGTGACGCTCCGCTCCCATCCCGCAAGAAGGCGAAGCAAACAGTGCCTGTCATGTAGGCGGGTAAGCGACCGGGTGTGAGCCCAACGAACTGGTGGTCTTTCGAACCACATTTTGGACTCCGCCAGCTTCCCGACACAGCGCTACTTGAGCCTCAACTGGGCCGAATCGGGGAGAGAGCGGAAACAGACCGTGAATGGATCACAGTGCGTCCGGGAAGTGAAAAAAAGCGCTTAGCCCCTCCCATGCCAAACCCTCACTGTCAAGATTCACACGCCCCAATCGCCACCCGCGGGCGTCTTCCCGCTCAAACCTCAATGACGTCTCCTCTTCCCCGGATGCAACCCTCTGGCACCCTCAGCCTGCGATCTCCACCGCACGCGCACTCGTGGGAAACACAGATCCCCGCGCATGAAACCTGCTGCCCGGCATCTGCACCTCAGGCATTATTGCAAACAGCAAACACGCGGGACTATGCCTCAGATCCAAGGACCGGTGTTTTGGAGCCCGCGTTTCCTGCATGCACACGGTACGAGGGCATGAAGCCGTTGGGTAAATGCGTGGTGTGTGGAAGTTTCAGGGGGGATGTGGGGTAGTGATTGGCGGGGGATCTTCAGGGTTGGGTGGAATGGTGGGATGTCATTGGTGAGTTATTAACTACCGTAATTGCTTGTACCTCGTTAGCCGTGAGGATACGCGCTGTGTGGACGTAGGAAGCTGAATAAATGATGAGAAGTGGAGGGTAGCATCGTGTTGACAGAGCTCTGGAGCTTGACGACATCGGGACCTCTTGACGCTAACACGGATCTAGCATCTTGTAGGCGGAAAATTACTTATTCTAAAGGCTAAATGCATGTGAATATCTTTTCGTGTTTCCTACTGCCGCTTCTACAGCTAATACTTTTACCCTGGTCAAGAAAAGTGATTGAAAAAGGGATTCCTAAGTCTGCTCTATCATGTACTCGAACTAACGCTTCGTCCGAACTTTGCAAAAAAAAATAGATAAAGAACATCAAAAAGAAAACGAACAGGAAATAAGAAAGCAGAAACGAGGATATTGACCAACCACCGGCACAACCAGCAGCCCTCCATTGGAGTGATAGTTTGAGAAGTTAGAGGGTATTTATACACCCAAATATTGAGTGGATAAAAACAGCGAAGCCATCAACTCATGCATGGGCGTCTGTGTACGGTCGACGGCGAAGGCTCCAGGCAGTTCTGGTCACTAGATGCCTCGGGAGGCATGTCTACCTCTCATTCCGCGTGCGAAGAGTCCGCATACACTTCACACCAATGCGCCGGCCTTGCCGTTATTTGATCACCGTTTGTTCACTGTGTAATCCCTGTGATAAACTTCCACATCGCCACCGCCGCAACCGCCACAACCACCAGTAAACCCCCAATAACAGCAGCACCGTACCCCAGAATCCTCAGTCCCAATCCCACATCCTTCACCATCCCAACCAGAAAGCTCGACACAAGCAGGCCCCAAGCCACAAAGCTCCAGAGCCAAATGTTCCACCGAATAAAGGGATATATCCACATGCGGAACGCAGTATTGCTCTTGGACCTGACCAGTTGCTCTGCCAGCCGCGCGTACACCTTCAGCAGAACGACGATGATGAGGACGATAGTGCCCAGGAGGACAATAATGCCGCAGAAGTCGTACAGGAGGAAGTGGAGGTGTGCGAGGCGGGATTGCATGCTGAGGAGGCTGGAGGCGAGGGAGAGCGGGAGGAAGACGCTGGCCAGGAGACCGAGAAGCCAGACGCTGAGCGACTCGTTGAAGCTGCGGAGGAGTTCAAAGAGGCGGAGGTGGCTTTCTAGGCGGGTAGAAAGGCGGGTGGAGCTTTTAGTAAGATCTGCGAATGTTGCACGGGTCTCGGTGGCGAGGTATTTGAACTCTTGTTGGCTTCCGAGGCTTATCTGGAGAAGCTCGAGCAAAGATTCCGTGGCAGAGGTGAGGTCCGAGATGCAATCTTGGAGTTGCTCATAGAAGTACGCGTCCCGGATGATTTCCTGGAGTGAGGAGTTTGTGATTATGGTGCGGCGCGGATCTGTGACCCTTTCCCGGAAGAGAGCGTAGAACAGGTGGACGGTGTCGAGAAAGTTAGAAAGGTGTTCTAGATCACACTGGCAGAAGGCCAGAAGTACTAATTGTATTAGGGTAGTCTGCTGGGAGCCCAGCCTCTTTGTCATACTTCTGATGGGGTCCGCTGCCAGAGTCCTCCTGAGGGAAGCACAGAAAAGCGAAAGGCGAGTATAGACGCCTTCTGAGGATGGGCGCAGTGGCATCTCTGCATTGTTGGGGAGGTTGCGGAAAAAGTCCGCGAGTGCAATCATCTCGGATAGGCTTGAGATGAAGACTGCCCAGAGTTAGTAGAAGAGACATCTAGCCTGTGTGATACGTACTTACTCAGAATGCGACCGTGGGCATCGGTGGCCACACGCACCGACTTAGAGAATCTCATCAAATTCGCCGAAAAGAACAGGGATGAAGCCTGGCGAAAGGAATGGTCCGTCGTCGTGGCTGACATGCCGTACGAAGTCGAAAGCCATGCCAGCGAGCCCGTCTTGTTATTCCATTGCGACCTCAGCCTAGCGAACGAAGGCGAGCCCACGTCAGTGTGATAGTCCTCAGCGAACCGATCCGACAACAACTGCGAGACATGCTCTTTAAAACTTGGCTTATATCCAATGTTTTCCCCGACGTAGAATCTGTATCTTCCGGGCTCTTGGGGGGATAGTTTCTCCAGTTCTGCCTCTAGTGTCTCTGCCGGGTTTGAAGCCCCATTGAGGTCAATTAAGACTTTGGGGTCGGTGTCTTCCGCCAAATATATGTCGAATACTTGTAGAAAATAGTCCCCGCGGGAAAGTATCTGCACCCAGCCGTCCGTTGGGCTTAGGCCACCTACAACGGATGCGAAGGCAAGTACGGTTCCAAACACGTCCATGCTCCTATGCCCATCGACATTTGGTCCGCGTAACTTTGCACCCGGCAAGTGCGAATAGTGGTATTCCGGCTGATCCTCAAGTGGTTGGGAGCAATGTCAGGCTGCCGCTCGAGTTGATAGCTTTGCTGAATCAGCATTCGTCCGCTTGCATGATTGGTGGGGTGAAGCGCAACGGGGTGCCCGCAAGTAGGTGAGCATATTTCATCAATGTACCTTTCGCATGGTCAGAAACCGTATCCGTTCATATATCATAAATTGTTAAACATCTAATACATGAAATTCAGGAAGCATCCAAGCGTAAGCTATCCAGAAAGCCATCAGCCAATCAGCTCGTCAGCGCCTCCTACCCTCTCTCCATACTGTGTCGAAGAACTTAGTACCGCTCAATCAAAAAGACTCTGCTCCCTGCGTCACCCATATCCTTCAGCATCTTCTGCTCGCTCTCCTTCATGAGCAAGAAGTCCTTTACTAATCCCTCCGCCAGCGCCTCATTCAACTGCCCATCCTGTCTCAAAGCCTCCATCGCCTCTTCATAGTTCGCCGGCATCTTTTGCGTAATTCCATACGCTGCTCTATCCTCCTCATCCAGCTGCGAGGGATTACGTGGAACATCCTTTTCCGGGAACTCTGTCACCTCAGCCTTAAGTCCAAGTAGGCCTGCAGCGCATACGGCACCCAGGGCGAGGTACATGTTCGCGAGCCCATCTAGACATCGAACTTCCCATCGCCCGTTCTTGACGCGGCGGAGTGGCGTCTCTCGGTTTTGCGTGCCCCAAGCAACCCATGTACCACCTGTCCAATGGTCGTCTACGACGCGGCCGTAGCTTACGGCTTCAGGCATGCTAAAGGCGCAGATAGCGGGAAGATGTCGAAGCACCCCGCCAACGAAGAATTGGAGATCTTTATCTGGCGGGTCCGTAGATATGTGTGCGTGAGCGGCAGTTCCAATACCCGGCAATGGCATAGGATGTAATGTAGCGCGCAAGTCATGCGTAGCTGCTATTTGCGCGATGACTTGCCTAGCCTGGATTAGAGTATCGATGGCGATCAGAGGCGGCTGAGGCGGAAGCACAAATTCGTATTGACCATCTCCAGACTCAGCATGAAACTGCTGGACTTCGATCCCGACCTCTGATAGACAAGTCGCCATCTCGGCCAGAAGTGGGAGTTGAAGCCATTGCTCCGGCGTCAATGTGCCCCAGGCATGCGTTTTTGTCATCGGCGTGTATGGCTCTTCATTGTTTGAATGGTCCACTTTGAGGAATGTGACTTCGATCTCAAAGCCACAGAGCAGGCTGATGCCGTGATTGTACTTCACATCGTTAGAGAGGATCTCCAAGTTCGACCGGGGGCATTCGCGAATCGGGAGGCCCTCTTCGTCACGCCAGAAGCACAGAACCGTTGCCGAAGGAAGAGGGTCTTTCCTGTGGGTACGACGGAGAGAGCGGAGATCCGGCTCCACGTATATCTGCCCCACGGGATTAACGACGGGCGTGATACCATCGTTTTGAAGTGTCCCAGTGTTTCCCTGGGAGATTCCAATTCTGTGTCCGGCCCGGATCATGCGTTCAAATTCTTTGATCGGTACCACTCTCGCTCGAATAGTGGCCATGTAATCCAGCCATTGGACGTACACGAACTTTACTTCGGAATTCTCCTTCATGAAATTGTCAAAGAGCTGGACATTGTAGTGTTGGGGTTCTTTGGGCGGAGGTGGAAAGGCAGGAATTGGATGTGGAGAAGTAGGCACCACTTGCGGAGAAGCAGTAGTTGGCAGTGGAGGAATGAACACTGGCGGTTGAGCTCCCGACACTGACCTATGTCGGGTTACACGTTAGCGTGTAATCTAATTGCGGAGTGAAGGAGCTTTTGAGCTGGGCATGCAATGATGCAAACGGACACCTACCTACCTGGGTGGAGGAGGAACTGACGAAGGCGAAAGTGGCGGCTCCGACGGCGGCCTAGGATGATATGCCAATGTCCTTGGCGCTTCGGCTGGCGGGTCGGTGAATACGGCATCGTAGCGTAGATCGTAGAGCGTGTTGGAGTTATTGAAGAGAATGTCTTTGGTCATCGCAATTGCTTGATGAGGTGTTATATCCTCCTTCTCGATGTACTCAACGAGCAGCTAGGCCTATTAGCTGAAATGGTAGTAAGGAGGGGAAGAATTTTGTACCTCTAGCCAGACCTCTCTAAACTGCTTATTTGCCAGCCAGAAGGTTTCCGGAAACCAGTGACCATCGGTCGAGTAGAGCAACTTGCAACCCGGAACCAGCTCCATACTCTGACGAAGGATGGCCTTCTGCCCATCTCTGCTGACCATCGGGAACACCAGGCCCACGTCTAGGTAGACGTGCTTATAGACAGTAGCAAGGTATCCGGCCTCCCGTGTATAAGGGTACGCTGAGTGGAGTAGCACAAAGGGAACTCTTGAGTAGTTCTCAATCAAAGGCTGTAGGTACGCGGGGTTGGACTGCAGAAGGCTAATATCGTTGTCACCAAGTCCAGTGTGCAGCTGGAGCGGCTTAGCCAATGCATCAGTATGTTGAAGCCTTTCGGAGAGGATCTCAAGGGTCCGCAAGACGAGGTAATCGTTCAATGGCTTCCGTTCAATCCGAAACCTGCGTTTCCGGATGCAGCGGTCCACATAGCGTTCAAAAGGGTGCCCGACGTCCCTCGCGGCTTGCTCATAATCTGGCTCAATGTCCAGTCCGGTACGGTAGCAGATGATCGTTTTGAAGCCGGCAACGTCGGGGTCCTGAATTGCTTCCTGGATCTCCCTTTCAAACTCCTCGGTAAAGGTGACCCAAGTGTCGGTCAAGTAGCTTGCCTCGTCGAGATCGGTCTCTGTGGCATCTTGCAGGATACTTTCCATCAATCGTTCAGCAACAGTCTCGATACGTACGATGCGCCTGCTGGGCGCTTTGGTAAGCCGATCATGCCAATGGTACGGATAGACTCTCTCGTGCGGGGCCAGTCCATCGTCAATCAGAAGTGCATGCACCCCCTCGAAACTCTTCTGAATGATTTTCTCGGGATTCGTCCTCAGCCACTCGATTCTTTGAGAGAGGATTTCTTCCCAGTCAGCATCGTCAGCTGCTTCATAAAGTTGCCGGAGCTGGCGAGCCGCCCTGAGATGAGAGAGCGACTTGAAAGTGTCTCTCAACGCTCGTCCCTGGGCTTCGGAGGTAATAGACTCGAAAGGTATCGTGTCGAGGTAGGCCGGTAGGATCAGGTTGTGCGCATGGCTGTCGATGATTGGAAAGTTGTTCACTACATAGCGTAGCTGCTCGATGGTAGGCTTAGGGAGAGGCGCTGATGGCTCCATCCTGAAACCACGAATGCCCAGAACCAACCGTAGGGCTGCGTTAGCATGCAATGGGAGATCCCTTGTCTGGAGAGAACAGTAGATCCAATATTCACCTGTGCGTTGTCAGTAGTCGAGATCTCAGATGTCTGAAAGGAATCGTGACCGGACTACAACATCACCTGTCGAGGCCGAACGCTCTGAGAGAATATACGGCGCCACGAGTAAGGGGGCAAAATTATCTGGAGGTAGTCACGCAAGAGGATGCCTACCGAAGGGGATCTTTCTTGTGAGAGTTTTGACGCGTTTGCGAGAGAGTAAGCGCAAAGCCAATGACGTCGAATCTAAGACAAGTCGCGGAAGAGCCGGTGTAGCAGAGTTGAGATCACAGAAGACGGGCGCTAACCACATGCGCTACCATCGACAACGCATCTTTGGAGGTTTCAGAGAATCAAAGTGTATCGCAGCTCATGACCGAGTGATGAGATGATATGTCCGGGCTCCAATGAAGCCTGAGGTCAGGCGGATAATCGCCAGCTGCACCAGCCTAACCCTTTTGAGCCGCCGGTCTTGAACCACCAACGTGACGGCGGCGAATCTCACTACAAAACCTTCTTGCCCCAGAACTTTGACTCAACCTCATGCCCAGATAACACGAAGTCGAAGCTTCACGCGCATTCCGCTTCGCTCGATTCTCGCCCATTTGCCGGCTTTCCCCACGAATGACTAACCCTCATCCTTGTCCAGCTGCCAGCGTTGACATCACGCCACTTTTCAGCTACCCGCACAGTGCCTATCAGTGGGCATCAAAATGCCATCTAGATCATCTATTCCGAACATTTTGCTGCCTCAGTCTCAGTCATGCGACATTATCAGTAGCCGCGCCCCGTATAGCTAGCCTATGGCATCTGGTACATTTCGGAACTGCGTCACCTGTTCGGAAAGAGGCTGGGCGCCTTCGGAATATGTCGTACGATGGACGCTGGGGCACTGCACAAACGCACATCACAGCCAAGGATATAAGAAGGAGCGTTGGGCGAAATTGCCCCTCATTGTGATTGTCAACTTCCCTTCAAATACTTGAAGCTTCAATTGCTCGTCACCCACCCCGAAGTCCTTCGACTCGTTACCACAGCACCCCACATCCACAGCTACTACCACACCGATTGGCATACAAGCTACCCCACCATGAGAACCCGTACGTAGCAGCCCCGCGAGAGCCGGGGTACGACGAGCAGACCGTCTCTGCCTGCCGTAGTAGATTTCTTGAACAGCCATTCAAGTGGTCTTTTGAGAAACTCTGCAAGGTAGATGCTAGAGTGCTTCAGTACCCAATACTTTCTTCGACCATCTGCTAACCCGGTCGCGTCTCCAGACAACATCCTCATCGTCGGCGCCAACCGCGGACTCGGCGAGGCCCTTGCTCTCCAGTACAAGCACGAAGGCAAGAACGTCTATGCGACAGCCCGCCACACGGCACCCCTCGCCACCCATGGCATCCACTGGATCCCCAACATCGACATCACGCGCGAGAATGCCGGCCGCCTCATTGCTATGCAGTATGACTCCGAGAGCATCGACCTGCTTATCATCTGCGCGGGCTACTTTGCTAAGGAGAAGCTCGACGACCTCGACTACGATCGCCAGGTGACCATGTACAAGACGACTGCGATTGGACCAACGTTCCTCATCCAGCACCTCATCAACCACAACCTGCTCAAGAAGGATAGTCGCGTCGTGCTCGTAGGCGGCGAGAGCGGCAGCATTGCGTTGCGGCACAAGGTCGAGGGCGGCGGCAACTACGGCGGTCACGGGAGCAAGGCGGCCCTCAACATGGTCGGAAAGCTGCTAAGCATTGACCTGGAGAAGAAGGGTATCGCCGTTGCAGTCGTACATACGGGATACCTACGGAAGCAGAACAAGGATGGTTTCTTCGAATCGGGAGGCCCAGATGGTGCGTATATATTCCCCTACATCCTATGCTTGGATAAGAAAGCTAACGTGCACCAGCCGTCAAGCCCGACGAAGCAGCCCATCACCTCCGCGACTGGATCTCTACCTTCGATATGAGCAAGACCGGCCAATTCTGGTCTGTCCGGGGCGCCGCTGGCATCCGATCCGCCGAGCACGTGCTTGGGCAGAAGCACGAGGAAGATCTCTCGGCGCCCATGCAGCTACCATGGTAGATTGCCTACTTGAATTCATCGCAGCGGTTGACCAGACACATCTGGGCGCGCGGCATGGGCGGCATTTGCAGGCGTTATCGGGAACAGAATATATGGGTTGACGAAGTCACGACGTGGATACCACCCGCAGCAGTAGGATATCCAAGGCTGAAGCATGGCATAGAGTAGTGGATTTAATGAGCATTATGTACTATTCGATAGAGTCTCGACTGGGTATCCACGTCTTGAGCGTACATAGTCCTTACGGGAGAAACAAAAAGCCATTGTCATCGTCGTGGTCTCTAGTATGGAGGCCTGCATCATCGCGTTGTTAGGCATAAGTCCCTAGCGTGCACTGCCATTTTCGACCAACGCACTCATTCCTATTTCCTCTTCAAAAGAAAGCTTAGGCCGGCATTTTACGTGCGGAAAGGGCCTACGTTGCACTGTCATGCCTTCCCGCCTTGCGCTTACCCACCACACGTTTACATCCCCGACCCACGCCCCAACGACTGGGAATCGCCGCACGGCACAATTCTCCCGGACGCACCAGTGAGGCACACACAGTGCCACACCCGACATTACCTCAGGAATTCCGGGGTGCCGGGCCTGGGGCTGCAAAGTGCAAGACTCGTCGCGCCTCACGGGCAAGCAAGACATATAGATAGATAGTATAGAACGCCGACGAACCAATCAATTCATCTCAGTGTACAGCAATAGCCAAATTGTACAGCGAGAATACTAAATAAATGGAAAACACACCGGGGATATCCAACTACTTGGCTTGGCTTGAATTAAGGCAACCAAAGATCCAACTGCTCCGTCCATGCTATGCAAAAGCTCGACTCAACCGTAGTCGCTAAATGCTCACAACAAGATCATCGCCACACCCGACGCGGCCGCGCCGAGAATATACACACCAAGACCCAGCACGCCGAACTGCACCTGCGGGATAGTGATGCCGGGAGCAGCGCCCGTGCTACCGGTAGCGCCGGCTCCAGGAGCGGCAGTGACGGTACCAGTTCCGTCCTCTCCGGCCTGAGCGAGGAGCGTCGAGCAGCTAGCAGCCGTGGTCGAGGCAGCAGCCTTGATAGTTGCAGAGCCCTTGAAGCCGCAGGCATCGGACGCCTTGTTCTGTCCTACATAATAGGCGTTGAGGGCGAAGGCAAGCTGCTCCTTGGGGGCGCACATGCCGTACGCACCATACGGGCCGACGGTCATGTTCCTGTTGATACCGGCGCAGTACTTGCCCTCTTCGAAGCCGCAGAGAGTGCCGAAGAGGTCGCCGTAGTCGTCCTCGTCGATGCTGTCCTTGACCGTGCAGCCGAGGGTGTCCATCATGCAGCTGCACGCCTGGGCATTGGCGACCGGTGGCAGAGGAGTAGCTTCGGCGCCCCAGTCGCTGCCGACCGAGGGGCAGGAAGCAGCAGCCGTGTTGGTGGGGTTGTAAGAGTTCATCTGGACACCACTGGGCGTAGCCTTGGCGATCTCGCTGGAGAGGTTGTCGAAGTCATCGTTCGGCGTGACTTTGCCGTTGTTGACGGACACAAGACCTGATAAGATTAGCACCATGACTATCTTATAAAAGGGGACGGACAGCTTACCAAACTCGTTCGCTTCCTCGAAGTACATGTAAACAATACCACCGGACCAGACAGGCGTCATCTGCTTGCCGTACAGGGCGCCGACTTCAGTGAACAAGCGGGGGCGGGGAGTGTTGCAGCCGTACTCGGCGAAGAAGACGGGGACATTGTAGCTCTCAAACTCCTTGGTGCGGACGTCGAAGCCGGATTCGGTGAACGAAGAGTCACCACACCACGAGTAGATATTGTAGCCCCAGAAGTCGATAGCATCCTCGCGATTTCCGCAGTCGAAGTAGGCGGCGAGGTCCTCGCGGATGTCGGCATCGTCGTTGGTGGCATATCCAACACCAATCGTGCGGTAGTTCTTCGACTTGATGTAGGCCTTCATGTCTCGCACGGCCGATTTGACGAAGGCGCTGGCAAAGGTGTTGTTCTTGGCGTTCGAGACCTCGTTACCGGCGAAGAAACCGAGCGTGTTGGTATACTTAGCCATAACATCGACGACCTTGGTGTATCGCTAGGGAGACAGCTGTTAGCATATACTCTAAACGTGTAGTGGGTATGGGAGAGCATCAGTCGGCAGCGACCTGGAGGGGCCCTAGACGGCCCGCCTTGGAGGCATTCAACACATGAAGACAAACTGGCATACCTCATAGAGCGGAGTGTTCCATTCAGGGTTATCGCGATTGATGGACAAGCCAGGCTCCGACAAATCGGCGACGACATAAATGCCCGCATCTGCCAGCGCATTCATACACTCGTCGTGGTCTTCATCTGGATTGATAGCGTATACACGGATCGTGTTTGTCTTCAGCTCCGATAGAAATTCGATGTCGCGCTTGCAGGCGGTGGTGTCGGTGAGGGGGTCAGAGTACTTGATGGACGTATCCGTCTGCGAGGTGTTCGAATTGATATCCTGCTGATAAGCCACACCCCTCATGAAGAATTGCGTGCCATTGGTCTTGTAGAAGAACTTGGAGCCCTTGATAACAATAGGGTCGACGTCGGCCTGGGCGCCCAGGGCGAATAGGGCCGTCGCGGCGGCTGCGATTGATAACTTCATATCGATATGTACGTTATGATTCCTGCCAGAGAAACCACAGGGCCGAGGGGTCTCAGCAGTTTGCGACTGGGAGCTCGGCGCGGTCAGTCGACTAAGGAGCGTTGGAAGGCGCGCAAGGGAGCGTGACGTAGGAAGGAGCGTGCAGAGTGCAAAAACAGTTATTAAGATGACTATGTAGAGAGTGACGGGCCTAAAACAGAAGAGAGCAGCAAGGAAACAGGCATGAAGCAGCCTGGGCGAAAGAGCGTGGTGATGTGAAGCTCTCCCGCCCAGGCGACTCCGGCTCAAACAGCTCTGAAAAGTCTCGGCGGATATTCAGGGGTCCAACTCCGCTGTTCCAAAACGCGCTAGCGCACCGCAATCCGCTGCAGCTCATCGTCGTTGATCGGACAGTCCGCTGGCCAGGCCATCGCGATGAGTGCGAGGAGGCCTTCAGATACTTTTGCGTACCTACTGTGTAGTTCAACTGCCTACACTCCACAATGAGCTTCACTAGACCGCCTCATGCGCCCGCGCGGCACCAGTCTCACGCATGCGTACCTTTCCCCTTTTGTGGGCTTCCAATTTGCATTGCGTCGAAAGCAGATCCTTTTGCTGCTAAAATTAACTCTTCTGGAACCCCCTCCGGACTTTAGGAGGTGTCACGCTTTTTTGAGTTGGCGTACGGTACCTGCAGCTGTGAGACTCCAAACGGCTGCCGCACACGGGCCGTTGAAGCAGAGCTGTAGCGCAGAAGAGGCTGACCGAATGGCTCCAAAGCCTACTCCGCAGTACTTAGCTATCACGAAGAGCTGCCCATCGTCGTCAGGACTTGTACCTCCTATTGTTACCCATCAGCTCAGGACTAATAGGCACCCTGAAACTTGGGCCCTCCTATGCCCTATTGCTTGCCTCGGGCTCGCCAAAGGGAAGCGCAGGAACACTGCTTACTCTATCCAATCCTCTTCGGCCGGAGGGATCTTTTAAGATCCGAGATGAAAATCGCAAGCAATAGTACCGAGTAAGCACTATCACTATCTCTACGGTCGAATTTTAAAGGTGGGTTGGCATGTGCTAGCCTAAAGACTTACGCTCTAGTTCGTGGACACCGGCAGAGCTCGGCTTTCTACAGAGCGGAAAAGGCCGTCTGGCAGTCTGCCGCAAGCCATCTGCTTCTGGGAGGATTCGTGGCTGTGGCTGCTTGAAGCAACGCGACCAAGCACGCTTAACCCTCTTGGCCAGCCTGCTACGCGGCGGCGTGGGTGGGAAGGCGGCGATATGAGGAAACAGGACATTCTAATATTACCGCCAGACCAGGGCCCATGCTCTTTTTCAATGCTGGCACGAACCGCAATTTCGTCATTTGAGATAGCGTTAGACGCCTTCATTTATCGAGGCTGCATCATTCAGGGGCAGCTGTCTGGAGACGGTGGACAGACGGCGCGCCGGCGATTGGCTGCGCCTGTTGAGCCGGTGTTCCCGCTGCTCTCAACAATTGAGGCTCCTCGAGCGGAAGCCCCCTTCAGCCCCGTCTGCCCATGACAGCCAAACCGTTGGCAAGGGTGAGGCCCTGAGCGGGCGCCACCGTGCCTCGCAGCCATCTCCGATAAGCTATCCTATCGCTATCGATGACGGGCCATGGGACGGGCAAGTTGGCACGTCCAATCTCGTCTGGTCGGCCAACGAAAGATCCGGGCAGGACCTTGCCTGTTTGCGCTGGCTTCGGTTTGATCGCCGCGGGCCTTTCGCCGCTCAATCGGCCACCTGCCACTCGACTTGGGAGCTGCCGGCTTTCGTGACGTGCTCCAGTATGCGCGGGCGATGGCGGCCGGCGGCAGCGCTGCACGCGGGCTATATCTAACCACGCCGCCGCCGAGAGGGATCCACTGCTAAAGTTGTACGTGCTTCTCCTGGGAACGCGGATGCAGGTTACGCTGGGAGTCGGGCGGGGATGTACACGAGCGGCGTGATATTTTTACACCGGCGGATCACTGCTGGCTTCAGATGCCGCTACCGCGTCGCGTACGAGGCGGAGCGGCGAGGAATGCAGACAGCACAACTGAATGATGCGGAAGTGAATTGCCCATGATGGCGGCGAGCGTATGGTAGAGCAGGTGGCGACAGTATCCCTGAGGTCCCTCGCGGCGACTGGCTGCGAGGCAGCGGATCCCGGTAAGCGCACTGGCAGAGGGGCGAGGTACTTGCTGCGAAAGGAGCGTGAGGGCTTGGCAAATCCAGAAATCAGGGGTTAATTCTCATAACCTGCTCCACGCCCGCCGCCTCTCCCATTCTTCTCTTCCCAACCCCTCCGGCCTCCCCTCCGCCTTTCCTTTCCTTTCCGTCAATCGTTATTCTGCCCGGGTGCCTGTGGTGGTGACTTTCGCCGTCCGCCAGCCGAGAGGAGAACCGCCAGCAAGCTCGCTAGATCGCAGCTACTGCCGCGCGTCGTCCAGCCAACTTGGCAGAGCAACAGCAAGCTGCATCTCCTCGTCCCCCACCGGACCTTCACTCGCTCTGCAAACACCCTCTGCGATTGTGCAAGCACGAGCAGCGCAGCCTGTGCACCGCCGCTCGTCCGTCGCCGTGGTAAATAGCGGGCGCTGTTTCGCCAAATTCCTCGACACTCGCTCTCACCCGACACGCTCGTTCGCCCTCCAAACAACCCGCAGCACTTATCCACCTTAATTCCGACGCCGCCAGGGCAAGATTAATTCGACTCCGGCTGTTCCTAATGCGCATTGTTTGAGGTACGCGACACCCGACCGCTCGCGTTTCAGCCCGAGCCCGTGCCGCTTCCTTGAGATAAGGTTTTGTTGACAGCTCAACACAGGTTCTACATCGCACTCTAATTGCTCCTCAAGATGTCCGGACATCCGCAAGGAGGCCAGTACGACGATGGCTACGGCCATCAGGGCCAGGACTCGTACTATCACGATGATCAGTACGGCCAATACCACGACGACCAGCGTGGGGCCTACCACGACAACCAGCAGGGCGATGCTTACTACGACGAATCGTACGTTCGCATGACGCCGCATCGGCTGCATCAATCGCTGACATACCCGCAGAGCCTATTATGATGGCCAGCAGGGCCACTATCAACAGAACGGCTATTATGACGATCGCGGCCAGCAGGGTTACCAGGACGAGTATTACAACGATCAATATTATGACCAGGGAGGAGCCCAAGGCGGATATGCTCAGGATGGCTATGGGTTTGTTTCACCCACATTGCTCTCTCCCAGGCGGTGGCTAACACGATATGTGCAGCGCGAGGCCTAGACGCCGCGGCCACGACTCTGAGGAGGACTCCGAGACCTTCAGCGACTTCACGATGCGCTCTGACATGGCTCGTGCCACCGATATGGACTACTACGGTCGTGGAGACGAGAGGTATAACAGCTATGGTGAAGGGATGAACCGCGGATACCGTCCTCCGTCGTCACAAATCTCGTACGGCGGTAACCGTTCGTCTGGCGCCTCGACCCCCATCTACGGCATGGACTACACCAACGCTCTTCCCGCTGGACAGCGCTCGCGGGAGCCCTATCCCGCGTGGACCTCTGATGCCCAAATCCCCTGCACAAAGGAGGAGATTGAAGACATCTTCCTGGAGCTGACCGCCAAATTCGGCTTTCAGCGGGACAGCATGAGGAACATGTACGACCACTTCATGACTCTACTCGATTCGCGAGCCTCTCGCATGTCGCCAAACCAGGCTCTTCTATCTCTACATGCCGACTACATCGGTGGCGAGAATGCCAACTACCGCAGGTGGTACTTCGCCGCTCATCTCGATTTGGATGATGCCGTTGGGTTCGCCAATATGAAACTCGGCAAGGCCAACCGGAGGACGCGCAAGGCCCGGAAAGCCGCCAAGAAGAAGGCATCCCAGAACCCCGACAACGAACAGGAGACGCTGGAGGCTTACGAGGGCGACAATAGCCTTGAAGCGGCCGAATACCGATGGAAAACGCGCATGAACCGCATGTCGCAGCAGGACCGTGTCCGCCAGATCGCCTTGTACTTGCTGTGCTGGGGTGAGGCCAACCAGGTTCGCTTTATGCCTGAATGTCTCTGCTTTATTTTCAAGTGTGCAGACGACTTCCTCAACTCGCCAGCGGGTCAGGTCCAGACTGATCCCGTGGAGGAGTTTACCTATCTCAACCAAGTCATCACTCCGCTTTACCAGTTCTGCCGAGACCAGGGCTACGAAATCCAGGACGGCAAGTACGTCCGCCGCGAGCGTGATCACGCTTCAATTATCGGCTATGACGATATCAACCAGCTTTTCTGGTATCCCGAGGGTCTCGAGCGGATTGTGATGGAAGACAAATCGCGCATGGTCGATCTACCACCCGCTGAGCGATATGCAAAGCTCAAGGATGTCCTGTGGAAAAAGGTGTTCTTCAAGACCTACTACGAGCGACGATCGTGGTTCCACATGCTTGTCAACTTCAACCGCATCTGGATCATTCACGTAACGGTTTTCTGGTTTTACACAGCGTACAATTCGAAGCCCATCTACACTAAAGGGTATCAGCAACAGCTAGATAACCAGCCTGAGAGGGCTGCCACACTGTCCGCTGTCGCTCTAGGTGGCACCATTGCTTCGCTTATCCAGATTTTCGCAACGCTGGCCGAATGGGCATACGTACCTCGGAAATGGGCTGGCGCTCAGCATTTGACCAAGCGCCTACTCTTCCTCCTTGCCGTCTTCGCAGTCAACGTCGCTCCCAGTGTCTACATCTTTGTCATGGACAAGCGGACGGGTCAGATCCCGCTCATCCTGGGTGTGGTCCAGTTCATCATCGCCCTTTTTACCTTCATGTTCTTCTCGGTCATGCCTTTGGGTGGTCTATTCGGAAGCTATTTGACGCGCAACTCGCGTCAGTACGTCGCCAGCCAGACCTTCACCGCTAGCTATCCTCGTCTCAAGGGAAACGACATGTGGATGTCCTACGGCTTGTGGGTCATGGTCTTCGCCGCCAAGATGTCCGAATCCTACTTCTTCCTGACCTTGTCGATAAAGGATCCCATCCGCATCCTTTCCCATATGAAGAAGCCAGACTGCCTTGGAGACGCCATCTTGGGCAATATTCTGTGCCAGTACCAGCCTCGGATCCTACTTGGTCTGATGTACTTCACCGATTTGGTTCTCTTCTTCTTGGACACGTACCTGTGGTACATTATCCTGAACATGGTATTCTCGGTATCTCGGTCTTTCTATCTCGGTATCTCCATCTGGACCCCGTGGCGCAACATTTTCTCTCGCCTGCCGAAGCGTATCTACTCCAAGGTCCTGGCTACTACGGATATGGAAATCAAGTACAAGCCCAAGGTGCTCATCTCCCAGATCTGGAATGCCATCGTCATCTCGATGTACCGCGAGCACCTCCTCGCTATCGACCACGTGCAGAAGCTGCTATACCACCAGGTGCCATCTGAGCAGGAGGGCAAGCGCACACTGCGCGCTCCGACTTTCTTCGTCTCTCAAGAGGATCATTCTTTCAAGACCGAGTTCTTCCCGGCCCAGAGCGAAGCCGAGCGCCGTATCTCGTTCTTCGCTCAGTCTCTTTCCACTCCGATCCCCGAGCCTCTGCCCGTCGACAACATGCCTACCTTCACCGTTTTGATCCCTCACTACAGCGAGAAGATCTTGCTTTCGCTTCGTGAGATCATTCGCGAGGACGAGCCTTACTCCCGCGTCACCCTACTGGAGTACCTCAAGCAGCTCCATCCGCACGAATGGGATTGCTTCGTTAAGGACACCAAGATCCTCGCGGACGAGACGTCGCAGTACAATGGTGACTATGAAAAGTCGGAGAAAGACACTGCCAAGAGCAAGATCGATGATCTGCCGTTCTACTGCATTGGTTTCAAGTCCGCCGCTCCTGAGTACACGCTCCGCACTCGTATCTGGGCTTCGCTCCGATCTCAGACTCTGTATCGCACCATTTCCGGGTTCATGAACTACAGCCGTGCCATTAAGCTGCTGTACCGTGTGGAAAACCCTGAAGTCGTTCAGATGTTTGGCGGCAACTCTGACAAGCTTGAGCGTGAGTTGGAGCGCATGGCTAGGCGAAAGTACAAAATTTGTGTCTCCATGCAACGTTACGCCAAATTCTCGAAGGAAGAGCGTGAGAACACCGAGTTCTTGCTCCGAGCTTATCCCGATCTACAGATTGCGTACCTGGATGAAGAGCCGCCGCTAAATGAAGGCGAGGAGCCTCGCATCTACTCCGCTTTGATTGATGGTCACTCCGAGCTCATGGACAACGGCATGCGTCGACCCAAATTCCGCATCCAGCTCTCCGGGAACCCTATCCTCGGTGACGGCAAATCGGACAACCAGAACCACTGCATCATCTTCTACCGTGGCGAGTACATTCAGCTTATCGACGCTAACCAGGACAACTACCTGGAAGAATGTCTCAAGATCCGCAGTGTTTTGGCTGAGTTTGAGGAGATGACTACTGACAACGTTTCTCCCTACACGCCCGGCATTCCGAGCCCGAACTTTAACCCTGTGGCGATTCTCGGAGCTCGTGAATACATCTTCTCTGAGAACATCGGTATCCTAGGTGACGTCGCAGCCGGAAAGGAACAGACGTTCGGTACCATGTTCGCTCGTACTCTGGCTCAAATCGGTGGCAAGCTCCACTATGGCCATCCTGACTTCCTGAACGGTATCTTCATGACTACTCGTGGAGGTGTGTCCAAGGCGCAAAAGGGTCTCCATCTCAACGAGGATATCTACGCTGGTATGAACGCCCTCCTCCGTGGCGGCAGGATAAAGCACTGCGAGTACTATCAATGCGGCAAAGGTCGTGATCTTGGTTTCGGTTCCATTCTCAACTTCACCACCAAGATCGGTACCGGAATGGGCGAGCAGATGCTGTCCCGCGAATACTACTACCTCGGTACCCAACTGCCTTTGGATCGGTTCCTGTCTTTCTACTACGCCCACCCTGGTTTCCACATCAACAACTTGTTCATCATGTTGTCCGTCCAGTGCTTCATGTTCGTCCTCCTGAACCTCGGAGCTTTAAGACACGAGACTATTCTCTGCCGGTACAACAAGGACACCCCGATCACTGATCCGCAGTGGCCCAATGGTTGTGCGAACCTCGTTCCTGTCTTCGACTGGGTATCACGCTGCATCGTCTCCATCTTCATCGTCTTCTTCATCGCCTTCGTACCCTTGGTGGTTCAGGAGCTGACGGAGCGTGGATTCTGGCGCGCAGCAACGCGTCTGGCAAAGCACTTCTCATCCGGTTCTCCGCTCTTCGAGGTCTTCGTCTGCCAGATCTATGCCAACGCCCTTCACACTGACCTGGCCTTCGGCGGAGCTAGGTATATCGGTACTGGACGTGGCTTTGCTACTGCGCGCATTCCTTTTGGCATTCTCTACTCACGTTTCGCTGGACCTTCGATCTACATCGGTGCTCGTTCTCTAATGATGCTCCTCTTCGCGACCATGACTGTCTGGGGTCCGTGGCTGATCTATTTCTGGGCGTCTCTGCTCGCTCTCTGCGTCTGTCCATTCCTCTTCAACCCGCACCAATTCTCATGGGATGACTTCTTCATTGACTACAGAGAGTACCTTCGCTGGCTCTCTCGCGGAAACACTCGCTCCCACAGCGCGTCTTGGATTGGTTACTGCCGTTTGTCACGAACACGCATCACTGGTTACAAGCGCAAGGCTCTGGGCGACCCGTCGTCCAAGCTCTCCGGCGATGTACCACGAGCCCGATTTGGCAATATCTTCTTCAGCGAAATTGTTGGACCACTCGTCTTGGTTGCCATCACGCTCATCCCATACCTTTTCATCAATGCTCAGACTGGTGTTAGCAAAGCCGAGCAAGACGGAAACGTAACCCCCAAGAAGACTGGCTCCCTCGTCCGCGTCGCTCTTATTGCCTTTGGCCCTATTGCCGTCAACGCCGGTGTCCTCGCAGGCCTCTTCGCCATGGCCTGCTGCGCTGGTCCCCTTCTCAGCATGTGCTGCAAGAAGTTCGGAGCGGTGCTGGCTGCGGTTGCCCACGCCATCGCTGTCGTCATGCTGATGGCTTTCTTCGTAGTTATGATGTTCCTGGAGGGTTTCAGCTTTGTCAAGGCCCTTTCAGGTATGATTGCTGTGGTCGCCATCCAGCGATTTGTCTACAAGCTCATCACCTCTCTTGCTCTTACTCGTGAGTTCAAGGCCGACACCGCCAACATCGCCTGGTGGACCGGAAAGTGGTACACTATGGGCTGGCATACCATCTCTCAGCCCGGGCGTGAGTTCCTCTGCAAGATCACTGAGCTTGGGATGTTCGCTGCCGACTTCCTTCTGGGACACTTCATCCTCTTCCTGATGCTTCCGGTCCTGCTGGTCCCTTACGTCGACAAATTCCACTCTGTCATGCTATTCTGGCTCCGCCCAAGGTACGTTGACGCTCACTTTATCAATCGTTCAGACTTATGCTAACTTTTACAGTCGCCAAATTCGTCCTCCAATCTACTCATTGAAGCAGACCAAGCTGCGAAAGCGACGAGTCATCCGCTACGCCATCCTCTACTTCATCATCTTCGTGGTCTTTGTTGCCTTGATCGCTGGACCGGTGGTTGCTGGGAGATTCATGAAGATCAACTTCACTATCCCCATGGATCTTCTCCAGCCGACTGGACTTAACAACAATGATACCACCACCGAGGTCACTGGTACGTGTCTTCAGGGCGCATGTCCAGGCCCTGGTGGCGGCGATGCAGCGTCGACTGGGACCATAGAGCGATTCGCTCGTATTATGGCGTTTTAAAAGTTGAAGCGATTGCAGAGTGGCAGCGATCAGCGAGTCGTTTTGGACCTTGCATTGTAAAACATGGCGCAAGCATGAGCATGGAGACGGGTGTCTCATAATGATTGTAATATCCTGGCTGGCCGTCGACTGGTGCATCTCGTTTGTTTCTTTGGTGTTGGGATGGGACTAGATGCTCTTCGGCTTGCTCTCTCTCTCTCTCTCTCTCTCTCTCTCATTTCTCTCTTTTCCGCCTACAGCGCGGCTGCACATACACTACGACTCCGGTTTGGTTGGTGGTTCGGGCGGCGAATATGTTAGATAGTGATTGCATTGCACTAAATATAGGGAACTTAATGCAATGATTGTACCATTTCAGATTTTGGAGCTGGCATAGTGTGATTTTCGGATAATTACGTGATATCCTCCCGGCCGCCTGCAAGCCTGTAAGACTTCAATAGCTCATTTCGCAAAGGGATCCCATCCTAAGAAACACGTGAGGCGGTGAAATTAAGCGGCACGTGCGACGCGACTCTTCCGAGCCCTTTCCGCAGAACCCCGTCGCATTTACATCGCATCATCCCAAAATTGTTTACAAGCCACACCCTCCTTCCTCCCCAACGCTGGCCGCTGATACTCACAATGGATCTTCACGAAGCGCAAAGCACGCTCGTGCGCGTGTTCAACGACGCAAATGCGCAATTTCACAAAATGCCTGGTTCCGCGATCATCCTGCGATACATCAAGTCGAGCTACCAAAACGACCCCGTGCGGAGCGCGATCGAGCTTTTCTTGTTCCTGTTTGCGGTGCGGTATATGTTGAGCCCGAGTTATAGCCAGCAGAAGAAGGTTAAGCTTACAGAGGAGGTACGTTTGCGCTGGGTGGCCGCAGAATGGGGGATAGGGGTGCGGTGCTAATAGCATGGGCTAATCTAGGAAATCGATGAATTGGTGGATGACTGGACACCCGAGCCGCTGGTAGCAGCGCCTACGCAATTGGAAGAACTGGAGAACGAGAAGAGACCAGTTATTGTTGGGTAGGGGGCCTCTAGTGAAGGACTACTAGAAGCGGTGGTGCTGATGCGCGTATAGGCCTACGGGACCCAAGTCAAAGCTCTCGAACGGACGAACGGTAACGAACCTCGCTTCCTACAACTTCTACAACTTCGTCGCGAACGAGATACTCAAGGAGAAAGCTATACAAACACTGCGGACATATGGCGTGGGTCCTTGCGGACCGCCCGGCTTCTACGGCACCCAGGACGTGCATATGAAGACGGAGGCTGATGTCGCTGCCCATTTGGGAAGCGCCGCTTGTATTGTCTACGCGCAGTCCTTCTCCACGATATCGAGCGTTATCCCGTCGTTCTTAAAGCGTGGGGATATCATTGTTGCGGACAAGGCGGTCAATTTTGCGGTGCGCAAGGGCATACAGATATCGAGGAGTACAGTGAGGTGGTACGAGCATAATGATATGGAGGATTTGGAGCGTGTGCTGCAGAAGGTTACGAAGGAGCAGGCGAAAAAGCCGCTTACGAGGCGATTTATTATCACCGAGGGCATGTTTGAAAACATGGGGGATGTGGTGGATTTGCCGAAGCTCGTATGTTTCTTGCAAGCCCCTTGAGGTTCTGCGGAAGCGCTGATGGCTACAGGTTGAGCTCAAACTCCGCTACAAGTTCCGCATCATCCTCGACGAAACCTGGTCCTACGGCGTCCTCGGGAGAACCGGTGGCGGCGTCACGGAAGCACAGAATGTGGATGCTAAGGAAGTCGACATGATCATCGGCAGCCTGTCAGGCCCGCTCTGCGCCGCTGGAGGCTTCTGCGCGGGAAGCGAGGAGGTCGTCGAGCACCAGCGTATCTCCTCTGCGTCGTACACCTACTCTGCCGCTCTTCCAGCTCTCCTATCCACAACAGCCAGCGAGACGATATGCATGCTCCAAGAACAACCAGAGATCCTTACTGCGCTGCGAGAAAACGTCAAGGCTATGCGGGCACAGTTGGATCCGAGGAGTGACTGGATCAAATGCACGAGCGCGCCTGAGAACCCGATTCTGATTCTTGTGTTTAAGCCGGAGGTTGTGGCGAGTAAGAATCTCAGCATCCAGGAGCAGAGTCAGTTGATGCAGGATGTGGTTGACGAGGTAAGATTTCCGCAGCTGTGGGCTTAGCGGGAATGGATGCTAATGGGAAGCAGTGCCTTGCCAATGGCGTTCTCATCACCAGAGTAAGAACCTACCCACACGGCGTGGGCTTCAATGCGCGCGATCAGGGATGGCAGCCTACGCCTGGGCTGAAGGTCTGCGTTACTTCTGGTCTTACGAAGAAAGAGACGGAAAAGGCGGGTATTGTTGTTCGACATGCTGTCACCAAGATCATTTCGAGGAGGAAGTAGGGACTCTCTGGGGATCCTGCGACCACGGAAACTTGTATGAGTACTGCATCGGCGGCGTTCTGGGGCATTAGGAAGTCTTAGTCGCTTTTCCTTGTACAGAGAGATACTCTACCATATGTAGATACACCTGCCGTAATGCATAATACCGATATCGCCAAGACGATATCCAGCTTCGATTTCTCGAATACGATATTATTGCCACAGGTCATGTGTTCGAGAGTGTACCCAGGTAATTGCGTCGTCACGCAGGAAATAATTCTTGCATCCATGCTGGTTCCTGAAGCCCAGCCACTCCCCTGCCACCCGAGGGACGCCGCGGAACATGGATGCCGCCCAAACAACAACGGCCCTCACACCACGCCGCAGCCCTCTCTGTCCGTGTCCAGATCACCACGCTCTCTTTGCGATCTTCAATAATCTCTTCGCGTTCATTTTGCCGCGCGAAAGCTTTGCACAATACACCTCCGAGTCCTCTGCAAGCAACCAAACAGCCCCGCGACGTCGGAACTGCGCGACACACGTCATTCGCTTGCGCCTGACCATCCGCTGCGCATCACGTACTGAGGGAACAGTGGTTGGAGACTGATCGTGGAACGCGCGACAAGAGAGGGAAGGGACTCGAGCATATTTGAGGTTCAAGAGTAAAGAGTGGGGAGGACAGTGAGGCAAGAAGAGCCATTGAGCGGCGGCGTAAGGCTAGAGTCGCTGCGATTCGGGCACGTCTTCGCGACATAGCTGCATCAGAAGGGGCACGGGCTACGGAGACTCTTTGCATCGCGGAGTAGTGACCCAGCAATTGCGATTGTGCGCGGGAAAACCTCTATACCGCCAATTGAGCCTCGAGCGTACGGAAGCCCCGGAGCTCCCCGTCCCACCATCAGAGCATACACAAGAAAAGGGCGATTGAGAGGAAGACAGAATGGCGCGCACAGTCGTAGGCTCAGCGGTAGTAGTGCGCGAGAAGTACTACTGGCCAGACGCGCAGCTCAACGTCTGGACGATTGTAATGCTGGCCACGGCGGGAACCATATTAGGCGTCTTTGCGCAGTTTATGATGATCCAGAGTCAGATGAGATTGGGGACGCCTTGGTGAGTTGTCCCTATCTCCGTTGTCCTTTCTCCTTTCCACGCCGCTTGATCCTGCAACTTTATTCAGTCAAGACATCGCTAACACACCTCCCACAGGATAATGCCCTACGGCGTAACTGTCGGCGCCCTGACCATCATCTGCATCCTCATCATGCTGATCCTGATTGCGCAACGGCGGCTGCTCCCCGGCGTCATGATGCTAGCCAGCTTCATCCTCTTCGTCCTCTTCGTCACCGGCATCATCGGCACCGCGCTGCAACTCTTCTCCGGCCCGAATATAAACCAGCTGTGTCAAACGTATGTGAACAATCAGAGACCGCGTGACCAAAACGTGATTACGTTGGCGTGGTTGCAGCAGCAGAACATCTGTAAGTGCGAATTCTCCTTGGAGGCTTGATAAGGGGGGAAAGAGAGGATTATGGAAAGCGAGGATTGAATTGAGCTAATTGAGATGCAGGTCAATGCTGGGACGCAGTCTTCGCCTTCTGGATCATCGGGAGCGTCTTTTTCGTCTGGATGATGGTCATGGCCAGCCAAGTCAACCAAAACCAGTACGACTAGCCACAGCCGTCTCCTCTTGTTCTCTCCTCTCCAACCCCTATTCGACCACACTCGACACCGAAACCACAATCCATATTTCTTGTATATTCCTACTGACGCAGGTATTGAAGTAACGAGGAGAACCGGCGGTAAGGCACCCGGGGAGCGGTTGGAGCAGCATAGGCGTTTTGGGCGAATGACTTCTTGCGATTTCGAGATACCGATGCATGATGGATAGGTGTTTTCTTAGGCAGATATGTGGGATGTTATTATCATAATGGGATGGGATGGGTGTCGCATCTGGGCATTCGGCGGCGAGGATATCGAAGCATTTGGCTTCTCCTGGCCTCCCACGTTTAGAGGAGATATAGTGCGCTCTACAAAGCGGATAGGAGCGGAAAATTCAACTATATCAACCGAGCTCCTTTCCTCGCGACCCAGATCCCCATAATTCCATCTCCAAGACCCCTACCATCCAATCCGTCTAGCGCAGCAATTCCGACCTTTCCGACCGCCACGGCCAATTCACAGACTACGCGCCCACTCCGTAGTCATCGTCATCGGCGCCACGCCACGCTACACCTACATACAATACTCCTTGTACTCGCCCACGCACAGAGCTCACCAACCTAACCTAACGGCTGTGGCGGGCACCATTATTCGTGGACGCCTACTCCCTACCCGCTGCCGCCATGCAAAATTTCCAATTTCCGTTATCAGGATCTGGCTTTTCGCATGCATGCGCTTTTCGGCGGGGCGGTTCGGTTCGCTGCCATGGAAATCACTGCGCAAAAGATTCAAGATTGTGATATCTGGGCAAAGCTTGTACTGTAAGCGAAGTGTGATGCGGTGGTTCCTCGGCGCGCTCCGGTGTGCCGTTTGATACATGATATGTGCACAACAGCACTCTGCATCCACCTGTGCGTTTGTGTTGCTGGGGAAGGAAGGTGAGAACTATTTTTTACAGAGTACTGTGGGTGGGAGATGTACGGAGTACTAAAGGCGCTATAGGGGGTTGCTTCTACTTGGACTCTGGGTAATAGTCACGCAAGGGAGGTATACAGGTTTCCTCTTTTCCTAAGGAAACTATCCAACAAACAAGAAAATAACCGCAAAAGAAGATTCCAACCGGCAACACGCGGCCGACCTTTTGCACAGCATCATCGCTTGCATGGTTAGTTGCACCAGCCTCCTCCTCGGATCTCGATCGCCCAGCCACCATTATCCCGCTAGTCCCAAACGCCCCAATGCCCCGTATCCACGCCGTATAATACCAGCTTACCCGGCCGTTCCGTACACGCCAAAACGGCAAGCGGCCCCGATTAATTAGCTGCGCGAACCTGACACGAAACTTGGTTTGCAGCGCGCCCAAGCGCGCGTCGCACCGTGCCCCTCAGCATCTGCGGCGCATGATTCGTCGCTCTATGCTGCGGGTCGTGAGGAGCTGAGAGAGAGGGGCTGGCTGGCTCTGTAGGGCTTATGACTCCGCTGTGCATATAGCAGCACCTGTATTTCGCAATTGAGGGTGCGTCGGCTGACGATGGAGGATGGACGACGCGGAAGAGAGGCGCAACTGGATGGAACGGTCCGCAGCGAAGTATTCAGCCGAGCAGCTGTCGGGCGGAGGCGAAGCTCACGCTCAACCGTGGGAGAAACAAATGACAGCAGCACGCCCGCATTTTGTTCGGTTAAAGTGCGTGCCTTGCGGCGAGGATCTGGTTCGCATTCGTTTGGTGCGCTTCGTAAACCCACCAGTGGGCGTCGCCGAGCGAGAGGCCATTCCGTGCATCGACGGCCCCGAAGTGTGGCGTTGGATTGATTCGCTTTCCGTAGGCGCGCACGTAAAGAGGCCTCGTGGTCTTCAGCAATTAGCGAACTACGACATGAAAGAAGCTGTAGAAACAGGATTCTGAGATGCAGGATGTTCTAATAATGCTGCGATAATGATGCTTGGATTTCGCTTGATGGACCGCAGCCGAGGCCGCGGAGGTGTCGCTAAACTATACTACCTACGTAGATACTACTTGCTCTGTGTCATGATGCTAATTAGAGCAAACATGCTAGACAGCGAATAAGACGAAGGAAAACCTACAGTACATTGGATAAGAGATACATTGGATGGAGGGGTATGGCGGAAGAGGGTAACACAAGCGCTTGCTGTGTCACTAGCTCGCTATGCCGCCCAGGGGTAGATAATTGTATGAGAAATGTCCATGGAGCCGCCCGTGGTATCATCTTTACCAAAAGATAGCGCGCTGGGGTGTTTAGGCGGTGCAGATCGGGCTGTGAGAGATAGGTGACAGGTGCGAATAAGGGCCCCAGCGTGGTGCGGCGACAGTATCCGCATGCGTCCAAGGAAACGAGAAACATCCAACAGGAAAAGGACATCCGAATAACGCCGGGCTTTTAAGGACAGTAAGAAGCGGAATTGGTGTAGCGTAGGCACCTGAGATCCAACAACACTTTTCTGTGAATACAATTGAAATGTATTCAGTGTCATTTCGGGGTCATTAGTCGTTCCTCGTGGGACATCGCGAGGCTGTTCGTAGAGCTTTGGCGCCATCGTATATATTGCGTTCAAGAGACAAGCTCGCCGCCCAGTTCCATGCCGAGCCCCTCGACCTTGCCGATTCTGGCACGGTCCACGCCGATGCGGGGACTATCGCTTGTGGGAGGAAGGAGGGTATCAAAGTTCAATCGGCGTCGGGCCTCGCGGGCGGCAGCAGGCGTCCTTGCCGTTGCTGGTGTACGGTTCCACGGGCCGCCTACCTGTGCTGGGCTGGGAGACATGTTGAGGAACTCGGCGAAGTTGAGGTTGGCGGAGGGCGTCTGCAGCCCGAAGCCCGGGAATGGTGCTCCACCGCCTCCAGGGGTGGACATCATGGAGGACGGCAGAGGTGTAGATTTCGGCGGAGGTGTGGAGGGAGCGATGATGCGGGGTTTCGATGACCCGCGATGGGCCGGTGATGGAGAAGTAGCTAGATACATGAGCAGATTGGCATCTTCGTCTCCCTTATGTCCCTCTCGGGCCGCTCCGACAGCAGTGAAGCCGTTCTGACGAAGACGAGCGGAACGGGCAACAGCTGGAGGCGGTGTGCGAGGTGCTCGTGGCGGGGAGGAGCGAACATGTGAGTTATTGAGCTGGAAAGAGGTTATAGGAAGGTCTTCGTCGTCATCTTCGGAAAGAAGGGGTGATCGAGGGTCGTCGGGGACGGTGGAGGCTTCAGAGACGAAAGACAGGCTGTGGTTGTGGGAGCGTCCGAAGCGAGCATGTCTGCTGTGGTATACGGGCGACGATTCGGGCAGTTGGAAGCTGTTTTTCCATGAGGTTGCGGACGTAGTCGAAGTCCTCACCTTGGTGCGGGTGTGATTGCTCGTTCCGGGGTACTTGTTAAAGGATTGGGCATAGCGCGGCCTCTTGCCCTGGCTATGGCTGCTGCCAGACCGGCTGCCAGACCGCTTGACATCGTCGGAGAATATGGGCGCGGCGAGCGGGGAGGAGTCGAGCACGCCACTCTGATAGAAGCGCTCAGACACGCTGGAAGCATCCGACATGGTCTCATTGCTGGAGCCCGGCCGCTTTCGCTTGAGCTCCATGTCCACCCGCGGCTCCAGATTGTCGAGACTGAGATCTTGCCAGCCATGCTTGATCTTGACATTGGCCAAAGCGAGGCGGTTCTGCAGCGTCCGGGTCATCTAGAGAGGCAACATTAGTATGCAATGCCCCAAGGGGGCGGCGGGCAAGCAGATACCTTTGAGACCTGGGCTCTTCGCAGGACCTTGTTCGCAACCTCGGCGGGCTGGTCGATGCGCTCGGTGGAGGTCATTGTGGGCGGGGTTACAGAGAGGAAGCTCGCAGTGCAGAGGAGAGGTAGAGGGACTCTCGCAGGTGTTTCACGGCGGTTGAAGGTCGCACCAGCTGAACGCAGAGAAGAATGCGGACCGTGCCCGGGAGGGAAGGGAATAGCTGGCAAAGCTTCCGGTGCACAGGCTCCCTATCTTACGGGGATGGCAGGCTTGGTGTCGGCACCGCACGGCAGGTTAATAGTGGCAGCAGATAATACTTTAGTGAGCTGTCTCGCCGCTCGCCGGGCACTGGAGCCTTGCGAGATTGCTTTTGAGGATTCGGCAAAGCAAGGCACAAGCAGGGGTGGAGTGGCGAGCTGGGGCTGCGTACGGTAACGTATTCTGACAGCGCGACGATACGGGCGGTACCAAACGTCAGAAGCGCACCTGCAACCTTGGAAAGGCCGGCGGAACATCTCCGGAGCACTCCAGGGCTCCTATCTACCGCCACAACCTTGATTGGGCCGCCGCCGACATGGCATTTGCGATTGCCGTCGAGGCGCCGCGACGGACCGGCCACGATGCAGGTGTTGGGGGACGCATGCTACGGAAAAGGGTACAGCCTGTGGCTCGGTGGCAGCTTGCCGGGGCTTGTACAGACCTAGGTATAAACGTGCAAGGCGCGTAGAGACATTTATCTTGCACGCATGCGGACCAAGAGGCCGGCCTTGCCGGGGTGAGATTGCACCAGTTCGAGCTGCCACACAGCTGCCAAAGCATTCCTCGCAGGCTCGCACTCTCCTGTCCGGAGCAGCGGTATGATAGCCCTTGGACGACAGACTACATCACGAGCAGCATGAATAATAGCGAAAGAAAGCGTGCCCTCTCCGGCTCCCCCCTCGCAAACAATCCATGGATGCCATGCAATCGTCGGTGCGCCTCATGCGGCGCTAGCGCGTGGCTTGGCAATCGTCATTGTTTCATTCACGCGGAAGGCTCGACGAAGAATTGTGCGACTCCAAGTTTCAACCGCCTGTCCGTTCGTTGTCAATCCCTCTCTTCACATCCATATTCTGCGTGCGAGAAAGCGAGCTGTCGCCGTCGACCCCAGAGGCAATCTCCGACCCGATTGCTGTCCCGAGCTCGATGATCAGCGGCTTGCAGCACCTTGCATGCTACTGATAGATATCGCCCGCCTTGGTCCTGCTCCGCGACCAACTTCAACACCACACACCTTGGAACGACCCGTCGACACGCCCGACCGCAGTCACTCCACTCTCGTTTTTCTGTCGTCGGCCTCTCCTGATTTCACTCGTTTGCTTTTGCCGCCTCGATTCATCGCCATTATCGCACTCGGGGGACCTGCTAACTCATTTCTCCGCCAGCTGTATTACGCGTCATACTCTCCAGCTTGCACAAGCCCCCCCAATCGTCCTGCGCCACCGCTGGCCTTTCCTATGAGTCCGTAGATTGTTCTGACATCTTCGGCCCGCAGCAGCATCGGTGATGCCTTCCTTTCTCAGCAACCTGCGCAGAAAGAGTCGGGCGAGCATCAAAACAGACGAAAAGCAGGGCCCATCGTACAGCAATGGCCACGCGAGCGGGCAGAATGGCAACGGCGTGTCGCGGCGCAAGTCGTCGTCAACTCTGAATTCATCAGCGGTTGGATCATCATCGACGTCGACCACCACGCCAACTACCTCCACCACTGAAGAAGGTGCAGCGCAGACAAACGGCCTCAAGGACGGAGTCCCGCCTCTTCCAACGCCTCGACCGCAGCGCCCCGGCATCAATCCGACTAAGCGGTACAGTCTGAACGTGAGCAAACGGAGCCTTCCTCCCCACGGACTGTTGCTAAGGTCGACACAGGGCGGCATGACATCCTCCATGTCGAGCGGTTCCTATCCATCAGCCAACCCCTCCTCGCTACTCGCACCACGCGTCCTCTCTGTGACGGATAACTCTTGGGTAGGCCATTTGCTCGCCCTTGCGGCGGGGATTTCTCCGGATTCAAGGGCTCGCCGTACAGACAACATTGCTCGTACAGCTGACTGCACGTGCTATTGTGCGCACCTGCGAAGGCCTCCATGGTGGCCGTTACGCGCGTGGTCACATCCGGAGGATTCCCCACCGTGAGAGCTCGTCTGTCCAAGACCTTATCACTGACGATAACAGGTACACCAACAGATACTGCTGGTACACGGCCGGGTTGGCGAATCCGCTCACCGGCCGCTGGACGGCACCGTAACCGTTAACCACCACCAAGGCCGCTTCCCACCCACAGCTTGGCCCGTAAGCGATTCGCACTTCAAGGCTCTTGTTCATCTAGAGCCGGGATGCAATCGTCTACGTTTAGATTTCAACTCGCCGAAGGTATCCACGAGTAACTCCTCCATTCCAGCGCATGCGTCCTTCATCACCGTCAACTATCTTCCCTTGACAAATGCGCCGCCGCTGCAGCTAGCAATTATCCTCGGGAGCGATTCGCCGGCGACATATGATGCAATGCCGGATCGCATGCAGCGAGAGGGGAATGGACTGGAGCTTGCCACCAAGAAGTTTCGAATGGCAGCGTATCTTTGGCAAGCCTTCACAGGCGAACAGATGCAACGACACGGTAAGTCGATCTCGGGTACACGCTTGGTGGGGACCTCCCCCTTGCTGAGACATCTGCTAATTGTACCGCCACCTTTGCAGGGTTTGGCCGTCGATGCTTTCGGTTCGAAGAGTCGTGGGAGCCCGGGACGTTGAGCTTCCAGGACTGGGGAGCCGGACAATTCCGGAACCAGGCGAAAATACACATTATACGATCGAACAAGACTGTCGAAGAAATTAGAGACCTAGATCGTGCTCAGCAGTATGAGAAAGGGACAAAGAAGGGCGAACTCTTTGGAATTGCCTCCGAAGCAGTGAAGAGCTATTTCCAGATGCAGCCGGGACAGAAGCGATACGTCTCTTGCTTGTTCCTCGATACCCACTGGGATCCTAAAGAAAAGACGATCCGCGGCCATGCGGCTTTGGGTGGTGGCGATGGAGAGCTGCAGCTTGCAATCTTTGGGTCTCATGCTCTGCAGAGTTATCCTTCTAGCATCGAAGAAGTGTGGCAGGCTTTCCAAGACTGCACCCGGACGGATACGGCTTTTATTGCTAATGATTGTAATGAATCGGGGAGCAACTGGGAGGCCGCCAATATTGGTATCGGGGCTCATCTACACGAGACCGGCCATTTGTTCGGCTGTCCTCACCAAGAGTCCGGTGTCATGTTGCGCGACTACGTTAACCTCAACCGGACATTTACTTCTCGCGAACCCTATTCGACGCGCACAAAGTCGCCCGGCCAACGCCTCGTCAAGCAAGAGGATGAATGCATGTGGCACCGACTTGATGCCCTACGCTTCCGATTCCATCCATGCTTCCGAATACCGATCGACAACAACGTTATAGCAGACGGTAGCGTGCAAGTTTGGACGGTTGACAGCGGTCAAGGCGGTGTGATTGCAACGTCAAAGTCGGGCATTGCTTGGGTGGAGCTTTACACCGAGGGTGACGATGTCTGCCACTATTGGCGGGAGTGGCCCGAATTTGAGAACCAATACCCACGACAGGTCGCATTGGCTGAGTCCGAACTTAGAGGGCTTCTGCCCAAGGAGAAGCGCAACTCTCGCCTAAAACTCGAGGTGTTCTCCGCCGGTGGTGGGAAGCATGTGGTTGAAGACTTCGCGCAGCTTGCGAACCAAAAGCTCGCACGCGTCAAACTGCCCGATGGACGATGGGGCTACCGCGGCAGCAAGCTAGGCTATTCGCAAATGGAAGGCTCGAAGCCGCAGGAGATCATTCTCGAAAGCGCCCACATCCAGACGAAACTGCTCGTCGCAATCAAGGTGTATCACGGACTAGCCGTAGACGGTCTCGAATTCATTTATGAGGATTCCACGAGCCAATTGTTTGGCAGGAGAGGTGGAAAGCCCGGTGGCACCGAATTCGCGCTTGATACGCGGAGAGGCGAGCTCTTGATGGGCTTCGCGCTGCGAGCCGGGCTTTGGATTGACGGTTTGCAAATTTTGACGACCTTGGGACGCAAGAGCGAGTGGTTTGGAAACTCACATGGCGGTAGCGGGTATGTGTCGTGGTACTATTAATCTGTGCGTCCGACTAACGTTTTCAGGCACACACTCATCCCCCCTCGTGGTTATACTATCGGCGGCATATCTGGATCTTGTGCTCAATGGCTCGATGGCTTCTCATTGATCATCACGAGGTAAAAGCGATCCGGACCTACACATTTCCTACGACGACCGAATCCTTTCGCCACACATATCATCTACCGGCGCGCATACGAATTAGGAGCATAGCATCTGGCGCCAGCTTGGCGCCCCATCATGTCCGGCTTATCCGCCGGCGCACTCCGGCTAATCCAGCTAATATTGTGGATGAATTTCCCGACCGTTTAGGTCCGCTCATTGCCTTGTCCGGGGTGTCACCTCAGCCCGTGCAACATCGCTGTTTCCCTACTAGAAGTTGGCATCGGGTAATAGGAGCATGGGCTTTCGGGTGGCGGAACGGAGGCATGCATACATACACCGAGCAAGCATGGGCTCAGGGGAGAAGGAAAGTGAATAATGGGCGGGTGTCTGGTCTTGAGCACTTTCTGTAACAGTACCAGTTGAATAGAAGCCTAATGCAGGACATAATGATCATTGAAGACCTTCCTCTATAGCGAGGCCAAAGAACTGGTCCCTTTCACGAAGAGTCATGTTGACCGTCTATCACGGGTCATATGGCAACGTGTCTCAATTCTCACTTTGGAAAGGGCACTTCTAGAATATTTTAACATTTAAAGATCAGAGGCATGTTAATAATCCAAGTCGTTTAGTGATAATAGCTAGCAAGGGTCCTCACGGCTGCCCAAGCCTTCGGTGTTCCTATTGGTCTCAGGAGACAGATCCATTGCCCTAGGGGGCATCCAAAGAGTCTTGTCTTCTTGTGTGCTCGTAACCATCGTGATGCTCTATTACCAAATATAGGGGGTGTCGCTTTTCCAAAAACAGGGGAAAGTTACGCTTCTCACGCGCAAAAATGTATCTATCCTATCCCATCATCATTCCTCATCACATGCCTCCACTCCTACGCCTCTTACCACCAGTTCCTCCCTTCTCTCCCGCCCTAAGGCTTCGGTATCTTAATAGACTTACTGACCATCAAACACCCATGCAGCACGAACATGCCTACAGCGGGATGCACCTCCAACACGCTCCCTCCCATCCACACACCCAGCGGCACGCCCTCGCCCGCAAGCGTCCACCCCTTCCACACCCAGAACCACATCACGTTTGCGAGCGCTAGCGAGGTCGGGATCGGTGTGCCCTCGAAGTATTTGGATTTCCCCGAGTCGTCTTTGGGCAGCATGGCGACGGTGACGTTGAAGCGCGCAAGCCGCGTCAGGCCGCAGAGGACGAAGAAGGACAGCAGGAGGTGGTCGAGCGGCGTGCGCATGCCGAGGGAGAAGGCGGCGCAGGCGGGTCCGACGCCGAAGGATATCTGCAACGGACGAACGCATCTGCGTTAGCATTTTACCCGTTTCTTATCACGTCGAGGGAGAGGTGGGGAGCGGAACGGCGCTTACCAAGTCAGCCAGCGAGTCCAGCTCCTGGCCCATCAGACTAGCCTTCTTCCTCCACCGCGCGACCTTGCCGTCCATGAAGTCGAAAAATAGACCGAGCGGGATGAAGCCCAGCGCGAGATAAAGGTTCAGGTACTCGGAGGGGTCGTCTTGGGTGCAGTAGCGCAGGGAGGAGAAGACGGACATGACGCCGCAGAAGCCTGTTCGCATGTCCAATCAGTATAGGGCTCTTCTTTATCCGGGGCGCAATGGGGGGAAGAGTACCGTTCATCGCGGTGATGAAATCCGCCAAGTGCAGGGCGCGCACGAGGGAGAAGTGGCCGGCTTCTGAGGAGAGGAGGCGGGCTTGTTTGTCTTGCGCTGTTCGAAAAGGTTAGCTCCAGGATCTTTTGGTTAGATGCGGTATACGCACTCAGATCTTTCGGCGGAGGAGCAGCGTCCTTGCTCTCCGGGGGTGCGCCGTTTCTTCTCGACATTGTCGCTGTGATCTTCAAAGGCGGTGAGGGGCTTTCGGTATCGTTGCGCAGGGGAAGAACTCTGAAATAGTCGGGGCGATGAGTGTGAGTGAGGAGGGGAGTAGTAGGTAAGGGAGCTGTGTTTATACAGCTGCTGCGTCAGTGTTACGGGAAGCTGCTGCGCGACGTATGTGATGTGCGCCGGCAGCCCCATTCAAGGTTTCTCGCCAAACGTCATCAGCGCTCAGCCACACCCGCCCACATCGCGCACCTGACTCCGCCAAGATTTCGTCGCTTTATGTGAGCTCGGGAATTCGGAAGCGGCAGTTGGTTAGCCCTGTGGGAGGCATGTCTCGATTGAATGCGTACTGTGTTTGTTTGCGTCAGAGACATGAAGATGCACTGTGATGCTGGGGAGCCTGGCGGATTCACTACGACATAGAGAACCTACTTCGGCTTTCTGCTCTGGTGGATATGAGCTAGAGCCAGCTGCATAAGTAGAAAATCTGCTACAAGAGAGCTCAATGCGATGCACTCGTAGCGCAGTTGATTGGTTCTAAGTTCATACAGCGGCATGCGTCCCACCAGCTCTCCAGCTATTTCACGCCGCCCGGCAGATTGCGCCATATTTCGGACAGTTCTGATCGGGAAACCTGCAAACTCCTGAACGCCAACGGTGATACTGGTATCGGTAGGGAGCTCGCTCGCGCCAAACCCGGAAGAAGGAAAAGGTCGCTCGTCTTAGTCCAGGACAAAGGGTGATCCTCAGTGCGTAAGACCTGCTCAGTACCGTCCTCGTCCGCTGAAGCCCCCGCGTGATCCGCCTCGTGAGAAGCCGCCACTGCCGCCACGACCTCCACCAAATCCTCTTGAGCCACCTCGTCCGCCACGGTCTCCTCCTCTCGAGGAGAACCCACCACCGCGAGGGCCTCCTCGGCCACGAGGCGCACCTCGTCCGCCTCGCATTCCTCCGCGACCTGCTCCAGCGGGCTTCTTGACCTTCGAACCTGGCGGGGGTTTGGGCTTCGGCAGGAACCTGAAGACGTCAGCATCGGCATGCTTCAATGTGAGTAGTAGATAGCCCTACCTATCCAGCGGTAGCAGCTTGTCGCCGCCAATGTAGAACTTGTCGCCCACTTTGAATGACTTCGCCTGTATGCCCTCCTGCGGTTTTATCGTGAAGTAGACTTGGTTGAGCGGTCCGAGGATCTCGTCGACTTTTCCAACGGGCGTCTACGCCGGCATTAGCCTCAAAATGACGTCCCTGAATGATCTAAAAGAGGTCCGTACCTTGTTCTCGAGATATATCGGCGCATTGAAGTAAGGAATCTTCGGGTTTATCGACTCGCAGAACATTTCGCCCTCGACGTCGTGGACAAATGTGCCCATTTCTACGTGCCCCGTTAGCAAAACATCGACAAACGTCAACCTGACTGCCACACCAAGGACTTGAGCTGGAGGTCCGAAAGAGGGCGCTGTTCCGCCGCGACCTATCGAGCAATTAGCTTTGCACGTTAAGCTTCCCATCCGCAGCCCTACCCACCTCCACGGGGAGTGAAATTTGCGCCGCCTCGTCCAAAGCCGCCACCTCCTCGGCCGCCTCGGGGTGTTCCGCGAAACGACATGGTGAATATCGGGGCAGGGTGCAGTCAATCGTCGCAGAAGCTTGAGCCGTCGCACTTGCAGTCTGAAGAAAGAGAAAATCGAAAATGAACGGCCAATCGGCAGTACGTTTCTCCGACCGAGCCAGGAACGGCAACTGCACCCCACCATCGCACGGCGACCCCGCCAAGACCGAAGCATTGGAGGTGGTCTAAATTGTGACTCGAACCCAATGCTCACATAATTCGTCGAAGTGCCTCTGAGCTGCCGACCCCGAGTCACTTCAATTGCTATTTCGAGGTATGTGAATTGGACTCATACAACGTTTCGTCAGAGGTCTTGGCGCAAACATTGACTCAGACGCAGCTACATATACAGCAACGCGAGGGGCTTCCGACTCGACCTCTACACCAACAAATCATGGCGGAAGCAGTCAAGGAAGCCGTTGAAGGTGTAAAGAACCTCGCCGTCTCCGGCGAACAGAAACCCAAAAAGGAGAAGAAAAAGAAGACCGCCGAAGGTGCCGATGGCCGACCACTAGAGCTTAGTCCTCCGGCAGCATACGTCGACCACCGAATTAAGATATTGTAGGTTGGGTCTGTCAGCTTGGCGCTCGTGACATGCTAACACACCTCCAGCGAGAAGCTAAAGGCGAAGTACGATGAGGAAGTCGCCCAAAAGCCCCGCGGTACGAACCTACCCCTCCGAGTCGACAAGTGTCCTTCCGCTAACCCGCGCTTTGCATATAGAGAAAATAGAGATCACTCTTGAGGATGGAAAGATCATAATCGGAGAGTCCTGGGTCACGAGCCCGGCCGATATCGCACGTGGAATTAGCAAGAGCCTCTTCGAACGCACTGTCATTGCGCGTCTTGACAAGGGAACGGACGGAGAGACGCTGTGGGACCTCGAGCGCCCGCTTGAGAAGAGCTGCCGTCTGGAGCTCTTGCCGTTCGATCATCCCGAGGGCAAGAAGGTCTTCTGGCATTCAAGCGCCCATATCCTTGGAGAGGCTTCGGAGCGTAGATTTGGTTGCGACCTCTGTATCGGCCCGCCAATTGAGGATGGCTTTTACTATGAGGTGCGTTCATCGCCCTTTGCTAGCATACGTCGCTAACAGTGTGCCAGATGGCCCTGCCCGAGAAAGCCGCGGTTGAGCAATCAGACTACAAGCCCCTCGAGAGCATCGTCAGCAGCATCGTCAAGGAGAAGCAGGTCTTTCAGCGATTGAGTCTCTCCAAAGATGACCTGTAAGCCATTACAGCAGCATGCACGCAGACAATTGCTGACCTTTTTAGGCTTGAGATGTTCAAGTCAAATCCGTACAAGCAACATATCATCAAGGACAAAATCCCGGACGGCACATATACCACGGTATACCGTAACGGTCCCCTCATCGATCTCTGCCGAGGACCCCACGTACCACACACAGGACGGATAAAGCAGTTCAAGGTCATGAAGAATTCCGCATCTTACTTCCTCGGCGACGCCAATAACGACAGCCTGCAGCGCATCTACGGTGTTTCCTTCCCAGATAAGGACCAGATGCAAGCGCATCTCAAGTATCTTGAAGAGGCCGCGAAGCGAGATCACCGAAAGATTGGCAAAGACCAGGAACTGTTCTTCTTCCACGGTACGTGTCTCAGCCAAAACTACCTAGGATGTTGTTGCAAGCCATCCAAGGTAGCTTAGGCATCATTTACCCCAAGCCTACTCTTCCTTTATCCTCACATCCTACAGACTTCAAAAGATGCTAATGTACTGCTCACAGAGTGGAGTCCCGGCTCGTGCTTCTTTTTGCCTCATGGCATGATCATCTACAATACGCTAATGGCGTTTTTACGGCAAGAGTGAGTCGATAGATCACAACTATCGTCTCGTCTGTTCGCTGACTCTGCTTCTTGCAGATATTGGAAGCGCGGATATCAGGAGGTTGGATCGCCGAATATGTATAACAGCGCGCTTTGGAAAGTCTCCGGCCATTGCAAGTCCCCCACTCTCTTGCTAAGACCCTTACTAATACCATTATCATCTAGGGCAGCACTACCACGAGGACATGTTTACTTTCGATGTCGAAAAGGAGAAGTGGGCATTGAAGCCCATGAATTGCCCTGGTCACTGCCTGATCTTTAGGCACCGCGAGCGAAGCTATCGTGAACTCCCGATCCGAATGGCAGACTTCGGAATCCTGCATCGTAACGAAGCATCTGGCGCTCTCACAGGTTTGACGCGAGTTCGCCGCTTCCAGCAGGATGACACGCACATCTTCTGTACGGAAGACCAGATCGCGGAGGAGATTTCAGGACTATTTGATTTCCTGAGGGAAGTGTACGGCAAGTTCGGCTTCACGTTCAAGTTGAAGCTCAGCACGCGACCAGAGGGCTTCCTCGGAGAGGTTGAGACGTGGGACAAGGCTGAAGCGAAATTGACGGAGGCCTTGGACCAGTTCACAGCTGAGGGTGGCGGCCAGTGGGAGCTGAACCCTGGTGATGGCGCTTTCTACGGCCCCAAGATCGACATCACCATCTCCGACGCTCTGAAGCGGGAATTCCAGTGCGCTACGATTCAACTTGACTTCCAGCTGCCGCAGCGATTTGAGCTCGAGTACATGACGTCCGAGGTGCGGCCTAAAGAGGAGAAGGGCGAAAAGGCAAAGGAGAAGGAGCACAAGGATATGGTCAAAGAGATGGCTGAACATGAAGCCGAAGTCTTGAAGAAGCCGGTAGCCCCGACACCCGGGTATGCCAGGCCGGTAATGATCCATCGTGCGATCTACGGTTCCTTCGAGCGCTTCATCGCGTAAGTTCTCCTCTTTCTTCAGACCGACCCTTAGCAATGCTAACAGAAACTATAGTATCCTCACAGAGCACTTCGCCGGTCGCTGGCCCTTCTGGATTTCTCCTCGACAAGTCATGGTCATCCCCGTCATGCCAGGTGTCAATGACTACGTCAAGGAAGTCCAGGCGCGACTCCGCTCGGAGGGGCTTCACGCCGACATCGACATCAGCGGCAATACGATGCAGAAGAAGATCCGCACGGCCCAGCTGCAGCTATACAACTTCATCTTTGTTGTCGGTGCCGAGGAGCGAGAGACCAAGAGTGTCAACCTTCGAAATCGGGACGACCAAGCTACGCAGCAGCGAGGTGAGGTCATTCCGCTTGACGAGGCGGTTAAGCAGCTGGTGCAGCTTAGAGATGAGAGGCGGCTGGAGAATAAGTTCTGAGCGGGTTTCCAGGATGGCGTTACAAGGCATTGGGCATGATCTGATGATAGCATAGGGGATGTGTTGCGGATGGCTCTTCGTAGTTGTGCTTCTGTAGACTAGCGTTCGTTCTACGGCGCTGCAAAAGGATTGTTTGACAAGATTAGGAAGCGTTCGTACGGAATGTTTTCAAAAGCAATCATCACATTTTCATGTCCCACGGGGTCTATGTAGCTATCCAGACTGATCTAGGCTTCTTCTTTGGTCTCGACAAAGGCAAACACCTTCGCCACGTCCATGGAGCGGTAACCAGCAAGTTCGGCGTTCTCGACAAACTTCCGGATCTCCTTCTCATCCCCGTCACTAAGCTGGACACCTAAAGCAGCCCAGTTCTCCTCCAGATACTTGATCTTCTTCGTCCCAGGGATCGGAATGACATCCTCGCCCTGCTTAAGCGTCCACGCAAGCGCTAACTGCGCCGCCGTACACCCTTTCCCCTCCGCCATCGCTTTGAACTGCCCCATGAGCTTCGCATTCGCATCGATGTTGTCTTCGCTGAACCAGGGAAAGTGCTGTCCGCGCAGATCGTCGGCGCCGCTGACGGATTCGCGCGTCATGAAGGTGCCGGTGAGCAGGCCGCGGCCGAGCGGCGAGGAGCACACGGTGGCGATGCCGAGTTTGCGGCATGCTTGCAGGAGGGGAGGGCCATGTGGGGGACCTTCGATCTCGCGAACGAAGGGCGAGTACTCCATTTGTACGGCTGCGACGGGGGCGATTTTCACGGCGCGCTGGAGCGTGGTTGGGGATACTTCGCAGAGGCCGATGCGCTTGATCTTGCCTTCCCTGAAAGCGAGGGGTTAGATGGCTGGGAAGGGACAAGGATGGGGGAGCAGGGGAGCTTACGCTTGGAGTTCGGCCATTGCACGCATGGTTTCTTCGATGGGGGTTTGGGGGTTCACGCGATGGGCGTAATCTGTAAAGTCTCTGTCAGAGTCATTCAAAAAAAGTAGAGGGTGCGATAGCATATCCCGAACTCCCCCTTTTCAGAGTACGTACACAAGTCGATGCAGTCCACGCCCAGCCTCTCGAGACTCTTCTCGCAGGCTTGACGGCAGTAGGATGCTGAGCTGTCGATGCCTTTGAATTGCACGCCGTTCATTTGGATGCCGAACTTGGAGGCAAGAAAGATCTCGTCTCTCTTCCCGGTCCGTTTGAACCATTTGCCGATGAGCTCTTCGTTGTCAAGGTAGGCGCTATGGTAGATTAGTATCGTTCCTGCTTGCTTTTTCGGGGAAGCAGTGTATGAAACTTACTCGGCGGTATCCCAGAACGTAGCTCCGAGTTCGTAGGCGCGGTCGAGGACCTTGAAGCGCTCTTCGTCGCTTGGAGGCGTGCCGTAGGCTCCCGAGAGCCCCATGAGGCCGAAGCCCATTGCTGGGACCGAGGGACCATTTTGTCCAAGCTGGCGGAGAGAAACGGGTTTGGGAGACATGGTACTTGTCTCAAGATGGAAGGTATGCTGATGGAGCGAGGTTGAAGAGGTTTCGAGCAGAATGTCTCGAAGAAAGCAGATGACCTTGGGATGGGACTGAGGAGCGATCCATGACTCTTATACGTCCTACTCTTTCTTTAGAACGCGCCTCTTCCTACTTTTCAGGACTCTGTCTGATGAGCTGCGCAATGGAGCGCAGTAGTAAGACACCCGTCGGGTATGCTCCTGCGCGCTATGAGAACAGTGTCTAACCACCATATAGGATCTCCGAACAGCCCAATAATATACGCAGGCTATGGCTTTGTTGGCTTTCTACAAACTTTTACAGTGGACGTTTGGAACGGAAGGGAGCAAAGGACGTAAGGATTGTAGATGCTCGAAGATCTCCGTTCTGAGCAAGCGTCGCGAGGGGATGCTAGCGAGACCTAGAAACTCCGAGCAGGCCAATGGAGGAGAGGTATTTTGCAGGGCCATCAGCTCTGTAGTGCGTAGCCTCAGCAGCTATGTTCTAGCTCAACGGAGCTCCGATGTTCCGTGGGCGTTCCGCGGGTTCCGCAGGTCAGTAGACCGTGAACTTCATAGTGAGAACCATCCAGTACTCGGCTCATGGAACAAGAGCATTCAGGACTATCTCGTTCTTACATCCTTCACAGATCGTACGAAGAAACATTGGGTGGCCTTCAAAGTTCACCAGCGGAGTGATTTCGGAGCTATCGGACTTAGCAACTCAGTAATCCTCCGCTCAGCCACCTCAAGCACTCGACGCTTCATTCCCACCAAAATCGATGATGTAGCCCCACACATTTGCGTAGTCATGGGAGAAGAGGCACTGGTCCCCAAGCGACGCAGGACCTGTGTGAAAACCGGATGCCGCACATGCAAGTGAGTAACCTCATAGGCACGGACAGCTCGGAGACTCTGGAAGCTCATTCGCCAGGCAGAATCCGCAAAGTCAAATGCGATGAAGGACGCCCAGCCTGTCGGCGATGCGTCTCTACGGGCCGAGTGTGCGATGGGTATGGCGTCTGGGGCGGCGGGGGAAATTACTACGGCAGTCGGCAGCCAAAGACCGTTTCGAAGAACGACAAGAGCTTTTCCCCTAGACCACATACATCTATGGCGGTTCTTGTAGGGACGAGCAAAGAGAGACTCTACTTCGAGTGGTTCACGTGCCGCACTGCGAAGAAGCTACCGGGCGCCTTTGTGCTGCGCTTTTGGGACACACTGCTTTTCCAAGCGTGCGTAACGGAGCCGGCGGTATTGCATGCTGTGCTGACGTTGAGCGCTATACACAAGAGTGATGGATCGCGCGCCAGTGCGACTGCTCCCGACGAGCAGGAGCAGTTTATGCTGCAGCACTACACCAGGGCAATCCGCGACTTGCAGCCCCATTTCTCAGTCAAGGCTAGGGCATCTGTTCGGATTGCTCTAATCGCCTGCTTCGTCTTTACTTGTCTGGAGTTCCTTCGCGGGCGCTTTGAGACGGCGAAGGCGCACCTTCAGAACGGGCTCAGAGTGCTCAAGGAATCGCAAATGCCGTGCAGTGGAGAAGACTCAGTTCTTGTCTTGAAACCCTCGGACGACCCCATCGACGACTGGATCGCAGAAGCCTTTTCCAGACTACACGTCCACGTGGAACTCTTCAAACAGACATATGTCCACACATCCTTCATCATCCGGCCTCCGCTCTCGGAATCTCCAGTCTCCAGCTTCGTCTCCCTCAACCAAGCCTGGCAGAACCTCGAGTCCCTATTCCACCAGATCTTCCACCTAACGGAACGGCTGCGCCAGCAACGCTCTCTCTCTCCCACCCACCCTAATCTAGCGCTCCTCGCACACCAGCAATACATCCAAGCCTCACTCAGCCACCGGCAATCCATATACAAGGCCTCCGAAGCTCGTCTCCAGGCAAATCAAGATCCCCGCGGTCTTTCCTGCCGCCTGCTCTACGTATACCACACCATGGCTGGCATTATGGCTGGCACTTGTCTACGGCCAGCAGATGACGAGTGTTTCTACGACGCTTACCTTAAAGGCTTCCTCTCGATCCTGCACCAATCAATCGAGATGTGGAAATCCGGCTCGAGCACGTCACTCCAAGAGCGACCCCCAGGCGGTGCAAGTATGCATATGTCGAAGTCGCTTGCGGACATCGGATGGATAGCTCCGCTGTATTACACAGCGATCAAATGCAGGGTGCTGAGGATTCGGCTGCATGCGATTCGGTTGATCGAGAGTGCGAGTCATAGGGAGGGGATGTGGGATTCTAGGATTGCAAGCTGTGTTGCGAGGAAGGTATTGTGCATTGAGGAAGGGGAGTTGTGTCAGGGTGCTGCTGCTGACTTGGAGGACGACCAAGTTGAGCTTGGCAGCCCTCCGCGGCTGAGCGATTGCGAAGTGTCGAGTTTGCCGGAAGAGAATAGAGTTTGCGAGCTTAGAGTGGTATTGGACGACGGAGTGGTGGATAGTGTATTGGTGGAGTACAGACATGGATGGAGTGCTGCAGAGTGGAAGCAAATTCACGTGGCGCTCGGAAATAATAGGTAATCCACGTAGACGTTGTTCAGCTAAATCGAAATGAACCCCTTCCCTAGTCTTTGGTGTCTCTCCTCAAGACTTTTCTACGTGTGCATAATGCTTGGGAGAGTATTTCACGCTGTTCGAGATGATGCTTTCTATCAAATCAGAACCGGGAATCACTTGCCCATGTTGGAATTTGAGAATAATTACTATACCGTCCATCCCTGCGTAGCGAGACACCCCTTGTGAACGGGCTAGATCTACTTAACAGTTGAACTACCCGCACGACCACTTGTGGCCTGCAGTTGCACTTACCTATCACCCTATTAATTAGAAAATCCACCAATGAACCCCCAAAGCCTCGATAATAGCGACGGCGAACCCGCAGAATCTTCATCCGCCTCTGGCCCTACCTCTGACCTCAGCTCTGGCCCAGCTCCAACTCCACTATCCTCCAAAGGATAGAAATTCTTCATCAACGACCTCCACCGCTCCTCCATCCGGACGTAACCTCTTGCAAATTGAAACAAATCACCAGCCACACACGCCTGGTGGAGTGCCAGTGGATTCGCGGTCTTCAGAACCGCTCCGTAAATTTCCATCAGTATACAGGTTTCCTCAAAAGTGCGGCAGTTGATAAACCCATAGTCAACGTTGACCGACGGAATGGGCGGATGCTCCATCGGCTCGCCGATCTCAAGAAACTGCTTCAGGTCCCATACGGAGGGGCGGGGGCCGGCCGGCGGCACGGACAAAAAGCCCTCCAGGAACGGCAGCCTGGATCGTAGTTCCTTCAGCCCCTTCGAATCCATGAGCTGGATAAGTGTTCCCGCTTCGTATGCTTTCCAAAATTGCGTGAACGTGGCAGGCTGAACGACACCCCTTCGACGGTTATGGAACTCGTAGAAGAAACTTCCGTCGCTTTCGGTGAGAAGGAGCTGGTAGAGATCTACAAGCATGCTTTCTTCGCCCTGGCCGCGGCAGGTTACAAATCCGAAAGAGTACCAGTTTGTTTCAACCGGATTAGGAGTAATCCGGAGTAACGTTTCCGCCAACAAGGCGTAACTAGCTCCCCTGGCTTCTGGCTTTAGTTCCCTAGCCGTCTTGTCGCGATCCTCGATATCCAGGTATGGCTTGGCTTTGTCGTAGAAGGTCGCTATCATCTTTTGCTGCGCTTCGTCTTTGGTCATAGGGCGCTCTAGGACATAGAGATTCTTCAGAAGCCAGGGAAAGTATTGCCCACGGCAATTCTCCGGAATGGCGTAATAGAACTCCTTGATCTTATCGACCAGGATGCCCCCAACACGCCACTCATGTATGTCCTCCGGTGAGAACTTGCCGGAAAGATAGAGGCCTCCATAGACCCCCAGAAGGTTACTCCTGTCCCCGCCAGAGAGGACGTTGTTAAACCCGAAATCTTCAAGAACATCCTCATCTTGAGGCATGAGATCCTTTGCCAATGACTCCCAGAGATAATCAGCTGAAGTGAGTGGGCGTTTAGAGCACGTGAACAAATGACGTCCGGATCTTTTCTCCTGGCACGAATCGCTGCAGAAGTAGCCTTTGCTGCAAATGTTGCACCTTCTCGTCGTAGGCCTCATACATATATCGCAGTCCCACTCCGGCTCATCTCCTTCTGGAGTTGAATAGGTGAGCCTGGTTGGACTCGCTGTGTCCTCCGTTTGCCTTTTTGACCCTTAGCACAAATATCTCGGTGAGAGTAAGTAAAAATAAGCTAATGATATCCGAAACTCGCTCACCTTCTGAACATTTCTGCAACTCTGTCGCGTTCTGCTTTCATTCTGAGCCGGTCAATCTGCAACTGTCTCTGTGAGCGCTCCTCCTGCCGACCACCTAAAATGCTGCTTCCTCCGATAACCGAAGTTCGTTCGTGCGGAATATAGCCCTCGACTGAGGCCTTCAATTTCTTCTTGACCTCCTTTTGCACTAATATAAGAGCCTTTGCTGTCCGATCGGCCTGACCAGGCAGAAGTCGACCCACACTTGGCACGGTCCATGGTTTGAAGAGGCGTCCATGGCACCCTCTTGTCGTGAACCGCCCATACGACTGAATAAAGCGATTGCACATGAAGCAGCAGAGCTTGCTACATCCGAAATACGGGAACAACCCCGACGTGGATGCTTCATTGGTATTCAGAGACATCAGCATTTGAACCTCGGCGTGTACGTGCGGCTTTTGCTTTTGCCGTTTTGCGAACTCGCGTTCAATCTTAGCGACAGTCCAATTCTGGCCTAAGACGGCCTTCGTTGTAGCAGGACCCAGATCAAGTTGGAGGAGACCGAAGGTCTGGTTCAAATTGAGCGGCTTCTGAGACGGGTTTGCAGGCGCCAGGGGCCGCGGGACCAGGATGATTGTGACGTGTTCGAAGCTTGGGAGCGTGAGAGCAATGTCTTTGAAATTGTGGAATGCGACTCGGAGCCGGGCGAGTAGGCAGATATCCAACCACAAGCTCTTCGATCTGGAAGTCGCGCTTGGAGAGCTGTAGAGTGCCTCCTCCATGTTTCTTGTCCGACGCAGGTTGTATGATGCGATAACAAGCCTCATGTGCTTTTCAAGGGTGCTTGTACCGTTGATGTTACGATCAAAGAGAAGAGTCCGTAGGGCTGATAGGGTAGCATCAGAGGCTGAACTGTTTTCTGGCGTGTTTGTATCATTCCTCCTGCGCACAGCGTCGTAAGCTTTGAAGCTTACCCTCAAGTTAGGAATATAGCTGTGTTCAATCCGGTTCTGATGATACGAGACCATATCTTCCCATAGAAGAGTCTCAGATTGATTGGCTGGACAAGAAGTATGAGTTCAGTTTGCAGAAATAAGCAGTCACACGGGACGTACCACTGTTGCAAGATAACGAACCCAGCACCTCTCCCAATTTATCAAACGCAGGCTTATCCACCTCCGAGAAGCCTTCATTACGAGCAATCCAGATGACGACATTGCCTTCCGCCTCCTTCATGGCGGAGCAAGCAACTGCGGTCCCGCCCTTCTTGTTAGCCGCGAATTCAGCTAAACAATCAAGAAACTTTCGTTTAAGCCTCCCATGCCCCGAATCTGATATTTGATCAGCCAATCTAGTATCCATGCTAGGCGTGGCCCCATCTTCATTGCCATCGGGTTCCCAGTCTTCTTCGAGCACCGTATCAGATATCGAAGAAGGCTCAGCCTGGCCGCCATTTCGAAGCGAGAGGAGGTTCGCAAGAGAGTGAAAATGGGACCAGTCTAGGCCTGGGTAGTTCCAGTCGAAGCTCTCACTCATTGTGGGGATTAGAGTTTATCCATAAGTCCAATGCTATGTGATGAGCGATGGTGCGGGGAAGGTTGTGGCACATTCCTCAGTGCAGCTCGCTAACGTTAATTTACATGGTTGTGATTACGTGGACCGTGCAGGGCAGTGTGCAAGCAGACACGAAGGCTAACTATAACTTACTACGCTCTTGTGGGGGGCTCTTAAGGTTAGATACTACCCTTCTAACGTCCGTCCCTGGGTCGAGAGACGCACCTCGTCGCGAGACAATTTCACGATCGGACCTCCGGAGTCTTTCCTCTGCAAGTTTATCAAGCTATGGTTGATTTATTACGATTCTATAGTCATTTGTCCCTTATGGAAGACCCTTCTGATGAGGATCACCGCGGTGTTGGTTATGCTGTTAATCGCTTCGTTCACGCCGTTAATCGCCCGTTTAGCTACACCCCCTTGCTTAATCGCGACTGCTTGAATCTGTCGAGATTTCGGAGGACTAGGAGGAAAGCCCAACTAAAGAAGATTGTATCCCTAAGCTTCAAAGAGCAAATCGACCTAAAGAGTATATATGCCGGGAGTTTCGCCGAGCGGAAGAGGAGACCCTTGGAAGGCTCCCGATGTGGCGGGATGTGCTAGTGTACCTTTGCATACCGTAGCTTGCGGGTGCTTATATATCACTGTATCTTATTGTACTGAAATTGACGCTCTACCTACCTCGTACTAGCCTCTAAGAATAGAAGTTGTCACCTGTCCTTCGTTCCCCGGCACTGCCCCGCGCTACCTGGAACACTTACTGAGCATTCTAGGATGGCAGGTTGACGAAAGCGGGTGATGCAACTCTCCTACAGCTCGAAACTACGACTAAACCACCCGAGATGGGTGTCGACTGCGGCTTTGATATCTACCCTCCTCTGGAGCGCACGAAGGCAAACCAGGAGCAGTACGAGCTCTTCCTGCGCGAGGTGCTCATCGCGTACGGGCCGCGGGACGGCGATGACGCAGACCGGGGTGGCAGTGGTGACGGCGGCAGCGTCGTGCGTGTGAACGCCGAGTCCGAGGAATCGTATATCGAATTCGTGGTTGGCGAACATCCACACTTACCGCGCCGGTGCGAGCACTTCCTGCGGTTCAGCTCCAAGATCAGCGGCAGGTCACTCGCTGGGCCGTACATACGAGGAGTGTACAAGATTGCGGAGCAGTGGCTAGGGGACCGCGTTTACTTTTGGCATGAGATGAACGAGTTTGGCCCGTATATTCGCCATTCCGGCTGCTATAATTGGAATGAGATTCACGCGGCGCGGAGGAAAATAGGGCAGCACAAACAGCAGGCAGAGGAGCGGGAGCAGGAAGAAACAAAGATACAGGACGAGGTGCAGCAAGATGGTGATGGGACGGATAGGATGGCTGACGTTCCAGCTAGCCGCGACGGACTATACACTATCAAACCCGTCACGGGCAAAGGATTAGGCTTCATCGCCACTTCTAAGATCTCTAAGGGTACACGCATACTGCTGGAGGTGCCACTCTTCAAAACGCCAGGTTCCACCAAAGACATCGGTTCCGCAGAGATCATCGTCTTACGAGAAGTTAAGAGCCTCACGAAAGACCAGCAGCGAGCCTTCTTCGCGTTGCAGAATGTCCAAGGACGTAAGTGCACCCCCGTGCTAGGCATCGTTATAACGAATATGTTGCCGCTCGGCGGCAGCAACAGCGGCGGGCTGTTCCTCGAAGCGGCACGCATCAACCACTCGTGCCAACCCAACGCGCAGCACACATGGAACAACGATCTCGGCCATCTGACCGTACACGCCCTGCGCGACATCGAGGCTGACCGTGAGATCACCATCTCGTACATGAGCGGCGTCTCGCCGGGCTACGTGGAGCGCCAGCGCTACCTGATGAATGCGTTCTCCTTTGCCTGTGCGTGCGAGCTCTGCTCCCTGCCGCTGCTTGCACGCGCCGGTAGTGATTATAACCTAGACCAAATCCGGTCTATCGATGAGGATGAAGGTGCTGCCACCGACTTGGACCAGGTCCTCGAGCGCCCTGCCAAGTCTTTCAGCCAGGTGCATCGGTTATTCGAGTTGCTAGAAGAGGAGGGCATCTGTGACATAAGGTTTGCGCGGGCGTGCTTCAATGCCTTCCAGATCGCAGCCGTGGTCGGGGACAAGGCCCGAGCCAAGGTCTTTGCGGAGAGAGCGTACGCCGCTCGTAAGGTGCTTGCGGGTGATGACAACCCAACAACGATCGAGTTCAAGCATCTCGCTAAGCAACCTGTGGACTACCACCTGTATGGTAAGAGGATGGAATGCTATGACGATAGCTGGGAGGCTCCTCGGGGGATATGCGGAGAGGAACTTGAGAACTGGCTCTGGAATACAGATGGGTGGTCGAGATACAGTTTCTCTTGATGACTGTGAAGGCGGGGAGACTGGGAAAATTGGCTCTGCACAGTGTTAGGTGCTTCCTATCACCTTGAACAGTGATAGCACAGAAATCTCCACATCCACAGGGGAGCTCTTATGACAAATAGTGGCAGCGCAGGCAATTCCAGCGGGAGTTCCGTGTGTGGCTAGGTCGGAGCAGTTGTAGATGCAAAGCAGTGAGCTAGCTTCCCGTTGGGCTCTCCTGCCTGCACAGAGCTCAGTATACTAGGTGATGTCCGTTCGAGGGCTGGAAAGGCTGATAAAGCTAGCCTACAGCGCGGAGGAGCAGCGCGCTCGTGCAGAGGACGGTGGCGGGATCGACGACGGCGTGGAGGGTGTCAGCATGGTGACTCTCGTTCGTCGCATACGATTAGGAGTCGCAGGCTGGGTAGACTGCGCGCGTAGTTGGAGACGCTCTACATCGACTGTGGTGGCCATCGTCGCTGTCCTGTGCGCTGGCAGCCATTGCCATCAGACAAGCCACAGGCTCAATAGCCACGGGCACTAACTTACTTGGCGCCTAGTTTATATAAGATTCAATACATTGTACTGGGGACCCTTGAACGTTTTGATTAGAGGTACCAATTAAGTAGCAACATCGCAATTACTACTTCGCATCGTAGTAAGATTCGCAAACCCAGATTCAACCGTTCTGTAAGTTTAAAAAGCGAAAAGAGCTTAATAGTAGTATACGTGTATGTGTATGTAATACTCAACAAGACCGCCCAGGTCGGATATATGCTAATATGCTAATGCTTCGCTCTCAGCGAAGCTACAATGTATGCCATACTCCGTCATGATGCTTGATCAAACAAAGAGATTTTATGCTAGATGCCAGACAAAGAACTCCGACAACAAAAGGGTATATGCAAGTATATGCCAGAAAATCACAGCGAAGTCAAAACGCGCGCCCCAAGCCTCGGCCAGCTCATCCAGATAAGCCCGGCCAGCCTACCACTTGTACCGTCGCCCACGCTGCCTAGGGTTAACCGGCAGCCTGCCAACCTCCCGCTTCTTCGCAGCCGGGCTCCCCTCTGCATCCGCATCCGTATACCACTTCAGCGCCGCAATCTCCCAGTACGACTGTTCAAAGGCCTCCGGGTTATTCTGCACATACTCCTCGCACGTCGCCGCGCCCGTTGTAGCCTTGCAGCTCTGGTCCCAGATCTCGCCCGCCCAGTCGCCGCAGAACGCCGTGTTGAAGATAATCTTCATGGAGTCGAAGCGCTGGGTAAAGTCGCAGCCCGAGCCTTGGAACTTGGCGAGCGGCGTGCCGAAGGTGGAGGGGTCGAGGGTTTGGGTGGCGTTGGTGGAGTTGCTGGAAGAGGAGGAGAAGGTGGAGGCGTAGGTCGAGCTGTTGCGCGGGAAGAACCAGACGCTGATGGATTGCGCGGTCCACTCCATGGCGTACACGCCACCGCCGGCGCTGTTGAAGTCTGTGCCGTAGGTGGGGAGGCCGCCGCCGGCGGTGGCGGGGGGTGCTTTGATGGAGCAGCCGACGTTCTTGTCTTGATCGGGTGCCGCGACGTCGCAGTTGGACGTTTCCATAGTGCCCATGAAGGCCGACTGAGCGTCTGCTTGGCCCATCGCGGGCGTGGTAGCGTTGTCAACCGCGCAGCCAGCGGAGGTGTGCAGCGTGACGGCGTTAGCATCGTAGTCGTTGACTCCCTCAAGAATGTCGACTTCGCCGGCGTTTGGCCACTGACTCTGTCCATCGGACCCGACGCCGAGCATCCAGAAAGCCGGCCAGGAGCCACATGTGCTCGCAGGCATATGATGAATATCTGCGATGAGGAGGCCTTGGTTAAATGTCTTGTTGCTTTCGGCGCGGACGGAGGCGCGGCCATTCGCGTCCTGGCTCTGGAAGTCCACACCGAGATAGACGGACTGCGTGTCCTCCAGATAGCCGATGTATTGGCTCTTGATAGCCGACTGCAGATCCTGGTACTGCACGAAGCCGTTCGTAGGATCCGGTCCGGAATAGAAGTCGAAGGCGTTGAAGAAGTTCTTGTACGAAAGATCGTCGGTGAGCGTGTAATGCGCAGCGCCGGCGTCGAAGAGCATGGGGACGGTGGCCAGCACCGCCGAAACAAGAGATGTTGGACGCATGACGACGATGGGTAGACTGTGTGTGCCCCGCAGAAGCAGAAGTGTCGAAGGCAGGAATAGAAATCGAGGATAGAAATGACTGGTGTTTGCGAAGAATATGCAGGAGAAGAGAGCGTTCGGAAGAGAGTTATAACATGGAAGGAGAAGGGGAAGAAGAAGCTACACAGAAGAGGCCCATGTACGAGAACAAAGCACAATAGTCGACGATTATTGTTCAATGTGCGCAGACTTCCTTTATTCAAGCCTCGCGTACAATAGCACAATGCATGTTTGTTGGGCATAGCCGACCGCGCGAAGGGCGGTGTGCTAGTGAAGGCCAACGGTTAAGGTCTAGGTGAAGATACATGGATAACACGCGCAGCCTTGAGTTACTCCTGTAAGAGTGAAGAAACGCGTGTAAGGCTTCTGTGGTGTGGAGGCTCTGTGGGGATGTTTCTTGTTTAGAAGCCGGCCTTGTTTCGCGAAACGACTGGACGCGAATTAGCGCGCGGTTTCACCTAGTAGTGGGCGACCACTTACCTGGCACTACCCAACGCACCACCCTGACTGACAGCTCAGTTGAAATATCTCGTGAAGACGAAACGCTGCGGCGCACAAAAGAAGCAACTTTCAGAAGGCTCAAAATCTCATCATTAGGCTCCACCTGGCACTCCGCGACGTCTACCATACATGGATTGGACGACGAAATCAAAAGCAGTAGAATAGTAACTCCAAATCCCTAAGGTATATATCGAACCCCGGCCCATGCAGCACATCCAAACGGGCCCATATGCATATGTGACATGATAACGCCATATGCGAGTCCGACCTCATTGAACATCATATAACAGGGCTGGAGATGTGAAGATGGCGACATGTGTAACTGGTTAGCAGGTTGTCGACCGTGTATCGTGGATCTATGCGCGCGGACAATTTTGCTGCTTGAAATCGACAATAGAAGGCGTGGCGCAAGTCTATCGAAGCTTGCCATGTTCCTTAGCCTCCCTGACCTGATCGAAGACCTGCAATACGTTAGAGGCTGATACCCGTGGGATTCAAGCTTGGCTTACCTTCAACATCTTCCTGCGCGCGCCAAGGGCGTTGACCCCGCGCTTCTCCAAGCCCTCGTCGTCCAGCTCGACGAGCTCCTGCCATTTCAGGTCTTTGAGGTTATCGGTGTACTTGTGCAGTCGGAGACTCCTAAGCCAGCTTGGGATGTCGTTGAGAAGGCTGGGATCAGTCGGATCCTCCGGAGGCTTTGAGCTTCCGCGTCGGCCTCGGGGAGATCTGCCGCGATTGATCTCGGAATGGTCGGAGATGTAGCCTGGATGGCCGTCACCAACACCGATGCCGAATTGGCTGAGGTTTAATCCAGCCAAGCCGTTGTTAACGAGCGGGGAGGTTCCGTAATCGGCTGTCAAGAATCCGTTGTTCTGCGGCGAGGTGAAGTTCATGGCTCCCAAGCCCCCGCCCTGCATAGCGAGGCCAGGGGAGTTGGGGCGAGAACGACGTCCCTGCATAGCAGCAAGCTGCTGCGCCTGGAGGGCCGCCGCTTGCTGCGGGGTCAGAACCTGACCCAGCTCGTTGGTCATGACGAAGTTGGTATTCCCAACCCCAGGAAGACCTGGGGACAAGGGAGCATTTCCAGCTCCTTGGCCCTCGGTAGACCTAGCGCGACGGTACTTGCGGACATCATCCAGTTGGATACGGTTATTGACGGTAGAAAGAGCAGCCAGTTTCATGGCTGTAGCATTGGCAACCATGTCAGCCTGGGTCTGGCTCTGGTTGAAGTTGCCCATCATAGGGGTGCTCAATTGTGACGCCCAGCTGCCTCCGGCAGCATAAGATGGCGACAACATAGGCATGTTCGCATTCTGTTCTGGCGCATTGAGTGTAGTCGTCTGCACGTTTCCGCCGTCGCCAGAAAGCGGCAGACGTGGAGAGCGAAGTCCTGCAGATGGGGGCGGTTGGGAGAACTGGCCCATGGGCTGGTGCTGGCCAGATGACTTCGGGCGCTGCTGGCCTTCGCCCCACGGGGATGCCGGGACGGTATTCTCCTTCTTATCTTCCGGCGCCGAGATCGTAGGCGCGGCCAAGGAGCTGCGGTCGCCCACAAGGCTGGTGCGGTTCGAGGCGGGGGCCAAGCCGGTGATGTCAGTGAACTCAGCCTTCTGCTTAGCGATGGCGGCGGCGGCATCGGGGAACATGCGGTTGATGGTGGAAGGGTCCAAGCCGGAGTTGCGCTTCGCACTGGGGGATGGTGGAGGGCGGCCGATCCCCATCGAGTTGCGGTTCTCGCCGGTGCTGAGCTTGCTCATGGCGTCACTCAGTTTCTGCGTCATCGGATCTACACCTGTTAGCACCTCCACAAGCACCTCTGGAGGCACTGACGACTCACCCTTCTCTCCGAAATTGGCCGGAGACAGCACGCCGGACATAGGGAGGCTCTTCGACATCTGCTGCAGGACCTGGATGAAGAACCTGATCTGCACCTGGGTCGTCTGCTGGAGCAGGGCGTACAGGGCGGCGGTCCTCTCGGCCTCGCTGAGCACGCGGAACCACTGCTCGATGGCGCTGAGCTCATCCTTGAAGTCCTGGTCGAGGGTGGCTGTCGCCATCTCCTCGAGCGTCACCTCGTACTGGTCGATGTCTGCCAGCCATTGCTGAGCGGCGCGCTCCATCTCGTCCGGGTTGCCCGAGTTCGTGCTATTGCGGCCAAAGTAGACCTCGGACGCGGGGCGAATGCCGCGGTTGGCAAGCGGGGAGGAGAAGCCGCCCATGTCGGCGGATGCTCGCAGATGGTGGCCGGCGCCGATGGTGTTGCGCGAGTTGGGCGGGCGCAGCGAGCTGGAGCCTTCGGGGGTGCTGTTTCGGTTCGCGGCGATGTTGGACATGGTGTCGGTTATACTTGTCTCTCGAAGGCTTGCGTGGCCGAAATTGATTCTGGCGAAGAAGTCAGTGGCCGGTGTCTCAGAAGCGGCTAGGCGGAAAGGGGCGGGCGCCACGCACAGTAAACTGGCAGATGGTGCGAATCTTGTCTGTGTATGCGTGCGATCGAGGTCTCCTGCAGTCCCGCTGGCCTCAAAGGAGCTCGATTGCGAGGTGGGTCAGGGGACGGGCGGCGCGCAGGCTGAGGTGCAGCAGGCGATAGATACCGGAAAGCAGCACGGGGAGGCACGGCAATAAGAAGGGGAGCCCGTAAAATACCAAAGTACAACGAAGGAAAGGAAGAGGGGCAGGGGAAGAGGAAGAGGAGAGACGTGCTGGCTCACTGAGGAGGTGAAGGTGAAGAGAGAAGGCGAAGAAGGTGACCTGCAGGTCTCGAAAGGCCGTTGGTGTTCGGCTCGCCCAATGGCCGTGCTAGCCTTGGGGATCCCTGCAGCCCGCCGTCGCCCGGTGAATGCGCACCCAGCCCTGTGCTCGTAGGCGCTCGTGTTCAGCTCTGACAGCGCCGCACGCAGCAGCACAGCACAGCATTGAGATGATGAATGATCCCATGTCACATAGTGTACGCGGAGCCGCTGGAAGTCGCCGCCACCTAGACCACGCGTTGCCATAGCCTGCCTCGGGCACATTGACACCGGGAGCGTTTCGGCCTTGCTCTTCACGCGTCGCCAGGCAGCAATCGCCCACGATCCCTCGTGTGCAAGATCAGTTAGACGCGAGCATGCGTCCTCCAGCGAACGAAGCCTGCGGACCGCGCTCTTCCTGTGACACTCGACGCTGGGGTTGCATCAGAAGACGAACACGTCGCGCATGAAGACCTCTCCGGCACAATTACTCTGTGTTTCTCCGCTGTTTGACGTCTGCCTTCTCTCCGCATTCGTTGTTTTGAACCAGCGTTTCTATTACAGGAGCATCGCCCAAAGGCGATTTGGTGGCCGACTGCGTTGTACAACTCTCAGGAAGGCCCGGCTCAGGCATTCACGCGCTGCCGGCAAAAATCTCCTATTACTCGAGTCCTTGCAAACGCGCTATAAAACATGCGCCGGCAGTCCCATTGACATTGTATAACCCCGAGGCCTTCAACTTTCCATAATGGCATGACCGGCAAGTCAGCACATCACCTTATCTGCCCTAGGATCGACCCGACCATGACAGCCGCCTCGCGCTCCCAGCTCCCCGCAACGGCCGCTTTACCCTTGCCCGATGGCGCCCCCGGCAACTGTGATCCTCGATTAACGCATTCGCGAACGGCATCGCGTACCCTGTCCTTGTTCGTGCGCAAAGTCCTTGCGGAAACCCCGCCGCGGTGCATTATTTCCTGGACCCTTGGCGAGAGATTTGATGCGAGCGACCTCCAGAAATATGAAGGTAGCGATGAGGTGTCGAGAGACTGAAGAAGCGGTTGCAGAAAATTCGGTGCTATCCTTGTTTCTGCAGAATCTTCCCCGAGTAGCGGATGCGACGGAGGCCTGACCGTTTCAAGTAGGGACTCTAAAGCGACGATGTTCTGACAACGGGCCGACACCTCCAACAGGGTTCGCTCCAAGGTTGGTAACTGACTTAATGACCGGGAGAGAGATGCCAAGGAGGATTTCAATTGCGTTTGTAGGTATTCTTGCAAAGCATTGAGTAACAGGGTCGGTTGGAAGTTCCTGATCGTGGTAGTAGGGGAGGTGGGCGAAAGAAGGTAGAGCGTCACGAGCGCCGAAGTCGTTCGTGACTTGGTAAACTCAGCTTCCGAGAATGTCGATGCTGATGACTGGCCTGACGAAGTGAGCAGGGAAGACATGGAGAACTCCTTAACCACCTGCTGCGCTCTCGACGAAATGCTTCTCTCTCCGGGGTTTACCAGCTCATTCTTCAACGTGTGGACGACGCTGACTTTATCCAGCCCCTCTCCCTCCTCTCCAGGCTTTGTTGCTGTGAAGATCTGCCGCAGTGACAACAGCGTGTCCGCAGACCGCACCATTGCCCTGTGGTCTTCCTTCTTTGCGCTACCGACGCCTCCCAACTCTGACATTCGCATCTCAAGCTGTCTCCCAAGCATGAGGCACCGTGCCACAGCTCTCCCAATCTTGACGGTTTGGCACAGTCTCTCTGCCGTCAAACGAACTTGCTCTGCGACCTCATAGCGCTCAATGACCTCCTTCTCCAGCGTCTTGTACGATTCGGTCAAGCTTGCAACCTGACCCTCCACTTCCTGCAGCATCCTTCCGCTGGACTCGGCATGATCTCTTGTGTGTTCGAGCAACGGTAGCGCGGATTTCGTCGTAAGCGTGTCGATATGTGTGTCAATTTCTTGAACATCGAAGAGGACGCGAGAGAGGGGTGTTGAGAGATCTAGCGGCGTATCAGAGGGGTTGTTAGTCGCGAGGACGAGCGTGTTCGCGAATGAGGTCGCGGAGAAGTCAGGGTCCAGGAATGCCTCATAGTCAATATACGACGGCTCGCTGTCCGACATGTTGAAGCTATAGGTCGATTGATGTCGTGTCGTGCAGTCGTCAACAACGAATCTTGGCGCGCCAGGGTCCATTCCTTATCGCTATCTTAGCGCCTCGCTTAGCCTCATCGACAAGCTCCCCGCTCCGGCATCACAAGCTTTCCATTCCTCACCCTTCAACAATCCCTCGCGCTCAATTGCCTTCCCGAGCCACTCAAGATGCCGACCTCAATGCCATGCCCCTCCATACGCATACCCGTCGAGCTCCTCACCCAGTCCTCCTTCTCTCAATTCGGCACCGTCATCGAGAACCCCGCCCACTCCCCGCTCTCGCGCTCGCAACGCAGTCCACCTCCAAAAGCCACGTCCGCAAACCAGGGCTCCGCCCTCAAATTTCTGGATGTAACGCACCTCTCCAACCTCTACAATCTCGCTCCAAGCAAGAAGTCAGCAAAAGCAGTAATGAACATGTTCGTCTGCGCGCCTCGGGACCTACGACCGCACGAACCAAGCGAGAGCATGCCGAGTAGCTGGGGAGACCTAGACTTCGACGAAGACGACTACGGAAACATGGATAGAGAGCTGTTCGATGTACAGATACTGGAAAGACATCCCTTCACCACACAGACATTCATCCCAATGGGACTTTCTGGCAACGAGAGACATACACAGTACCTCGTCATCGTAGCACCAACACTCCCAGCTTCTGGGTCGAGGAGACACGTCGACCGTGCTCCACCCTATCCAACGCCGAACGTCAAAAAACAGAAGTCGATCAAGGACCTCTTTGCCAAGGCGAGACCGTCGCCTTTCACGAACGAAGCTGCGCCGCCTCCACCCCAATTCACGCGTCTGCATCCCTCAGCGCGCCCGAAAGGCCCCGGCCTCCCGGACTTAAAGAACATCCGCGCTTTCGTGGCCACGGGAAACCAGGCCGTTACATACGGAGCCGGGACATGGCACGCGCCGATGGTGGTGATCGGTGAACGACCCATTGATTTCGTCGTGGTCCAATTCGCGAACGGCGTCGGCATTGAAGACTGCCAGGAGATCACGCTAGTACCGGACAAGAACGCCGAAGAAGGCGTGGTCGTAATGATAGATTCCGATAATTCAGGCAGGGTACAAGTCAAGGCTGGCGTTGGGTCGGTAAACGCAAAACTATGATGAGTCTTGTCATGGTCTCCCCCGACGTTTTTATTGTATTGTCATAACGTTCTTGTACATTGCGCTTTGCACGAACATTTTGCATAATCATAATACCTGTTTCGATCAACATCACTGCCACGCTGAGACGATACAAACAATATACTCTTACAGTCGACTGCTTCCACGCCCTCCACATCATCACAATTTCAAGCCTTCAAGCGCAACCTCCACTTCATCGACTTCCTTCTCCACAACACCCTCCTTCTTCCCCTTGCTCTCCCTATACTCCCTCGCCACAGCCTCCATAACCCTCCCCATCTGCGTATCCAGCCCCTTTCCCTCCATCTCCTTCTTCCCCTTGCTCTCCCTATACTCCCTCGCCACAGCCTCCATAACCCTCCCCATCTGCGTATCCAGCCCTTTTCCCTCCATCTCCTTCTTCACTCTCGCAAAGTTCGCCTTAACAAAGACCTGGTACTCGCTCTTCTCCTTCTTCCCATCCTTGCCCAGCGGCGCGGCGCGGGGAACGGGTTTCGTCTGCACAAGCCTGCCCTTGCATCGCCCGCAGCTATGCCGCGTAGGGTCCACGGATTTGCTGTGCCGCTTGAATTCGTAGCCGCACACTGCGCACTCCCATATGTACTTGTACTCGATCTTGTAGCTGTGCTTCGTCGTGACCTCAATGCCCTTGTGCGCAAACGCCCGCGTTACTTTGGCGCCCCAGGCCTTGAACTCGGCACCGTGCGGATTATTCCGCACCTCGCTGATCATGAACGTCGTCAGGTGGCAGTACTCGTGCGCAAGCACATTATACAGCCTCTCCTCATCATCAATCACCTTCTCCGCGAGTTCGATACTGCAGTGGTGCCGGATCTCGATGCGCAGGTCGCTGGGGAGTGGACCGGTGCGCAGCCGGATTTGCTCGCGGCGCCAGTTGGCACGGCCGGCAGTTGTTTTGAGTGTCTTGGACCAGATTAGTTTTATGCCGCCTGTAGATTGGGAGAGCGAGGCAATCCGGCCGTTTGTGATGGTGTTGTCGAGTTCGGCGACGAAGGCCTCGGCCATGGCGTGTTTGCGAGTAGCGAAGTCTTTGCGTTGGGCGCGGACGTGCGCTACGGAAGGAGAGGAGGAGCCCGACGAGCCTTTCTTGGTTGGGCTCTGGGGCTTCTTCTTCCGAGGTGATGTTGTCGGAGATGGGAATGGAGCATCGCTATCGCTATCCGAGAGCGTGATGGCGTTCACTTGCTCTTCAAGTGTTTTGAAGAGCTTTTGTTTTCGTGGAGAGAGCAGGGGCTTAGAAGGCGAGTGCTTGTCGTTCCATTCATTGACTACTTCGGGGTTCCAGAATGCGTCAATGCTTGGTCGGAGATCAGGAGCGTGGGGTATGCGTGGGTTCTTCTTCGAGGGAGAGACAAGCTTGGAAGGGCTGGGTAGTTGGGGAGGAGTGCTGGGACGGGACACCGGAGGTGCTTTTCGTGGCGAGCGATGTTTGGTGGGAGTGGGAGAGCTGCGCCTTGTTAGTCTTGTCCTTATCTTCCTTGTTTTGGAAAGAGGCGTACAAGTGGAGCATGGCCGCAACGTCGGCCGATGCTGAGCTAGTCGGACGACACGACGCAGCGAAGGAAGCGGTACGAACCCGCGTTGGCGGTGGAAGAACGAAAGAGGCTGGCGGCTCGGGCGAGCTCGTCAAGTCAATGACCTCCTGAGCCCAGTTCGAGATCGTGCTATGACCCTTTCGAAAGGGAAGTCTTAGAGATGTGAGGGGCGGTGGCATCTCCGTCGAAGGCTTTGGTACGGCTTCCTGCGCCGAAGTATTACGGCTCCTACTCTTGATAGCCACTTGCTCATTCTCATCTTCATCTTCCTCAGTGTCTGATACCATCCGTCGCGCTGGTCGTTGAAGCCGCCTCATCCTCACAGCGACCACCGGCTCCTCGTCCTCATCAGTCTCTTCCTCTTCAACCTCCCTAATATTCTCCTCGTTACCCTTCTCATCTCCACACATTATACTCTTCTCCACCTCCTCAATGCCCTCATCCAGCACCGTCTCCTGCTCCACCTCTACCCCAAGCTCGATCTTTCTCCCCTTCCCCTGCTTTCTCGCGACGCTCTTCGCCAAAGTTTTCGAATAGAAATAGCTTAACTGGCTATTGCGCTCCCTCTCGCTCCGCCTCCCCCTTCTATCCGGCGTCGCCAAGCTCTCATTGCTCAGCTTCCGCAACAGTCGACTGTTGCTCGCAACCGGGCGTAGCACGCGCTGCTTTCTAACCGGCGAGTCGCTCGCCGGTGCTTTCGGTACGAGGAAGGAGTCTCCGGGATCTTGCGAGGATGTGTAGCGCAGTTCGCGATTCGAGGGCGATTCGCGAATCGTCTTGCGCGGGCTTGCTCGAGTGGGTTTTGACGTGGTTGTCGGTGGTATGAATATGGGCGGCTCTGCAGCACTAGGCTTGCGTAGACGAGCCATTGTGACAAAGGAGTAGCGATATCGAACTGTGTTGACGCAATTCGTCCAAGAATATGGTGGAGCGGTCGAGCCTTGAAGGTTAGGGTGTTTGTTGAATTGTCGGTTGCGGGGCAACGGCCTAGCGCGGTATCACGTGCCGAGACTGACTTAACCTTGGAAACATCTGATTACATCACGGCAGAATGCCTACGTAGTAGGTGATATTTACCACCATGATCGACAACAATCAGGAATTCCGAATGCGATTGCTATTAGAGACCTGTAGTGATACGTCTAATCCTACATGCATTCGAGCCTGGGCTACATTTCCGAGGGTCTTCAAAATGACAGTCCGAAGATAAAGCAAACTCCGTAGGGGGAAGTATATCGCACATCGATGATAACCGAGAAGTACAGTACGCTTTCCGATCTCCTTTCATTAAAGGTGCAGTCTGGTAGGCATGATTCGGAGACCACTGACCCCAAAGATAGTCCTGTACGGCCTCCCCTCGTCACTCAGATAAGAAAAATGGCGGACTTCCATAGCCTCCTCGAGTGAAATCAAGATACCGTCGTCGTCGCCATACTCATCCATGGCAGCCGCGAGAGCCTGCTCGAACCATGGCTTGGCCCTGTCCCAGCCCTTGTGGTTCTGATAAACCAAGCCGATAGATATCAACATCCATATCGTTCGCTCATCATGGCTGCCAAAGACTTCCGTGGCTTTCTCTTCGCACTTCTGGAACATCAACCTGTCATGATCCATGTAATCGGCCTTCACGAACGCTGCCGCGACCTCTAGCGCCGCTTCTATCACTTTCAGGCTTTTAAACCTCTCGCGTGTCGGAAGGCTCCATGGGTATTGGCTCATAATGTTGTCGAAGGCTTGTCGGGCGGATACGAAGCGATGGTAATTGAAGTGAACCTTGCCTTGGGTCTGGTAAAGCTTTAAGAGTTCGGCCCAAGCTTGCAGATGCTGAATGGGCGTCTTCTGGATGTCGTATCCACAGTTGATAATCTTCAAGAGGACCTGCTCTACTGCTTCGTCCTTCGCCGTCGCATGGTTCCGAGTGACACTTATCGCGTAATCGAGCTGGACAAGGTCGGCGTTGTTGGAAATGGAATCCATGCAGTCTACGAGTGTCGTGTTCTGCGAATTGGTCGGCTTGGTCGCTCGCGCAGAGCTCACCCGTGGGGTTTTGCGACGTTTCCGTCCTCGCGTGGTTGAGGAGTACGCGTTACCTTCCGCTAGGCTTTTTGCACGGGCAAGGAAAGCTAGAGCATCATCATCCCTGTTCCAGCCGTGCAAGAGCTCCACAATGTGGGAAAGGTGCTGTTGAGTCTGCCTATGTTCGATACCCAGTTCATCGACATATTCCCGGCAGCTTTTCTCGATGACACTGTAGGCGTCCGCAATCCGGTCGTGCTCGACGTAGAATGTGGCGAGGGTATAAACGACTTTGCTGGTTTCCTCATGCGTCCGACCTAGCAGGTGTGCATATGCTCTACCAGCAGCCGTCAGCATTCCCTCGGCGGTATCAGCATCGCCCTGGCGGACATGGTGCTGCGCGTTCAGGAACAGATTGTAGATATCGGCCCGCGTTTTACCCTCCCAAGTGAGCGGAAGGGGGTGCTGATCTGCCTCAGCATCGGATTCCCATTCGTCCTCCGAAGCAGAGGAGATGGAGACTACTTCCATGGCATCGCTAGGGCCATCATGAGGTATGTGAGCCGCCTCGGGAGATGTAGGGTCGATTGAGGCAGGCGTCTGATAGATAACGCCGTTCGGAGTTGGCAGGTCTAGGCTTTGTGAGCATACCGTCAAGGTATCGTAAGCTTCGTGACTCACCCATCACTTCTGGTAACGCCTTTTTAGCTCTCTTCACTGTCGCTTCAGCTCTTTCCCTTGTCCAGCACATTCCCCCAAACTCAAAAACGGTATCCTTGTAGGGAGGCGCCCTCTTCCGCTCCTTGGCTTTCGCCACCATGAACTGCGCCGTTTCCGCGGGCAAGTTCTTCTGCCAGCCCCACGACCTGAACTTGTCCTTGTACTGCTTTGGCCTGACAAGGTCAGTGATTCCACCAGATAAAGAGACGGCGGTTGGCATACGTTGCATTGAAGGACTTGTCCCGAGCCATCTTTTGCCTGATTTCCTCGAGCGTCTTGTTCTCGTCCAGATATAGCCGCTTCAAGTCGGCTTTGTGCATATCCCAGTCCAAGTCTCTGTGTCTTGAGCGCTGCCGTTGGCCCTCTGTAATACGAGGTTGAGTAGTAGCCGGGACTTGAGCGGGTTGGGTGTGCGTCGTAGCCATAGCAAGAGACGGCGTTGCTGAAGCGTGCGCTTCGAAGCTAGAAGCTGGGAAGGAAGCATTTTCTTCATTGTAGGTGTTATCGAAAGAGGTTTGGCTAGTCCAACCATAGTGATCGGCGGGAGTGAGGAAGGGATAGTCCATTTGCTAGACTCGCGCTATAATAGCAGACAGTAGAAGCCTGTGGACGGTTTCCGAAAGCCTGAGCGCCCTGGCTTATATGTCATGCGTGCGGCGAGGCTGAAAATTCGGCCAGCCTCCCCTACGCCCGTGAGCGGAGCAAAGGTTCACAAAAAGACTGAAAGGTACCACGCCATCACCGCATGGGCAAGGCAGTTCCCAAGGGGCTCTTCACAAAGGGACCAGCTGCCTGTAACCATCCGGAGCTAGGCACCCACTTCTACTTGTTTCATGAGTAGTGAGGTGGCCCCGGCGGCAGCATAGCAGCGCTCCACTGGAGGCAAATGTGTGGGGGAACGATAAAGTACGCAAAAGTTCTTCGCTCTCAGCTGCGCCTACGTGCACGCCATTCCGAAAGCCGCCCAACCACAAAAGTTCAGCCATGGTTCGAAAGTACGCACAAGGTCGTCGAATCAGCAGTGTCGAGGCTTCTCAGCACCTGGTATGCGCTCGGGCAGCTGCACAACGGCCGCCAGCAATGCACGAATGCACAGGCTGGCGGCTGACGCGAGCAGCCCGATCACGATACTCCGCACTCGGCTGACAACCAGCCTCCTCGTCCAATACCAAGAATACGCCAACGCGGGAGACGTTAACTGGTGTTCGCTCTACACAACGCACCATACACGTTTGCCTAGCGTAATAAGGCGACGTTTGACATGGGTCACGATATGTCCATGGCCACGACTCGTCAAAAGTCCTCAGAAAGTACGCTCGTACCTTGACGCGGACCTGTAGCGCTGTCGCTGCTCGGGGAAGGTCTGTCTAACGGGCTCTCGAATTTCCTGGAGGAAGTCAGAGCATGGTTAGGCCTTCTGAAATGCAGATCGGATCAAAGTACCCAAAAGAACTCCCAAGATTAGAACTGTGCTTCAGTCTACCTAGGTATATATATACACGCTATGGAACGAGCAAACTGTGCTTCAAGTTCCATCCCATCTAACTCTCAACAACTCGAAACGAACGGCGGGCTTCTTTCAATACAGAATTCTACCAAACGCCAACGTTTCCGCTAGGGAAGAGTCCCCTCGCATTCATCCGCCATGACCAACCCGCAAGATCACAACGCGGAGAAGAACAACTTACCCAAGACAACGGCCTCCGAGCACGTCAGTCACGCCATTTCCTATATGAAGACATTCTGGAATACTGACAATAGCACCAATTGCAGGACTCGAACGAACTATCTTCATCATCACCAAACAAAGGGGATGCAGTCGTGTATGATGAGGTACGACGTGACTGGATAGGTGACGGGACGGGAGTGGATGCAGCAGTTACTCGAGGCGCAGAACATGCCTATTCTGGCATGTTGCAAATGTGGCTGCAGGACAGTATGAGGGATCAGCCTTACAATAATATTGGGGCGGTGGGCCGGTCGGAGGCCGTTGCCGATGCGGCCATGCATCCTAAGAACACGTCAGCTGGATCGAGTGCAGCCGCCACAGCTCATACAAGCCGCAAGCGGAACTTCTAAGCGATGTGGAAAGGCTGAGTGAGTAGTGAGGCAGGCGCGTTTCTTCCTCGTTGCCTTACGTCGGATCATTCGTGTTGCCTTCTTTCGATATACATATACAAGCCGTATGCATCCAGAATCCCTTTGCAAATTCGTGTCTATTCTTTCAGTCAGTTTCATTCGCACACCACTTACTACTCATTGCGATTCGTCATCCCTGCTATACATACGACATGGCAAATCCCCAAAACATCAACACGCGCAAGGCAGGTGTTCAGACGAAGCGCTTCGCTAAAGCTAGTTCGAGAGTCAGGTTCAGCTCATCGACCCCGCGGAAGTCGGCTGTACCAAAGAAGCACAACGCCAAAACAAGAGCGAGCCCTGATGCTCAGGAGTGTGAGAGTGATTCTGTGGTGGAAGAGAAGAGCCAGACTGGGGAAGTGGAGTCTCAGTTCGACGATGAAGAAGTGCCATCCGCCGATGACGATCCTTTTGAATATGTTGGTCCAGCAACTTTAGACCAAACTCGTGGCACACTCTGCGAGCTCCACAGCTACGATTCCCGCCACAATTCCAAAGGGGATCAGGTCACCCTGCGAACTGGTACAAAGTATGCACTGGAGGACGACGAAGAAAAGAGTTCCGAAGCAGCCCTCGTATTCACCCGGAACTTCTACTCCGGGCTGCAGATATGCACCCACTTAGAAATTAGGTCGCCATTCATCAAAACAGCCTTAAGGGAAGTCATCGGTTCGTACCCTGGAATCGGCATAGATTCGGAGAGGAGTGTTATTCTTTACGGCAAACCTGAGTGCCTCTTTCATTATCGCCAGGAGCTGGAGGACTATGCAATGGCGCACGACGACCCTCGGATGAAAGAGCATGTCCTCTTCTGCCTCAGGTACATGAGGAAAGCTCTGCGAAATGAAATCTCCGCGTACGACAGCACAATGCTTGGGAATAGAAGCGTTCCCGGTCTAGACTTCCCGAACCTCTGGATGGCGTTCAAACCCGGTACCATGATTTACGTCAAACCGAAAGAGCATTCCGAATCCATTCGCAAATGCGTGCGCATTGACAAGATGAAAGATGATGGTGAAAGCAAATTGAGATGGGAAGTCGAGCTTGACCGAATCGAATGTGATGGGAAGGTCTTCGGTTACACGAGGGCTTGCTTCAACATCCTGCACTATGCAGGCTACAAGGCCTTGACAGAGCTGCCCGTATTTCCGTTGCAGTTTCACAAAGAGGAAGAGTCAGTCAGAGAACACTTGGTAGCCAGAGGAAGAAAGTATGCGGCCCTGCGCGGGACCCACTACCGGATGTATGATGGGACTGCCCACATTTCATCAGCGCCCGAGTCCAGTGATAATGGAAAGGAAGAGTATCTGGTACCTAACCCTACTAGCAAAGTACTACTAAAGTCGAGCTGACATGTATAGGCGCACCACAGAATCATGATTGACGCCCAGGAGTACTACCGAACGTGGAAACGGCCCATTTTCGAACCTGATTCCGTCATCGATACGGAATCCGATGAGCCAGCAGAACTGAGCGAAGACCAGCTTCTTGTATGCTACTATCGAGTTCCGGCATTATCTCTCGTTACTAAGCGATGGGGCATGGTCGACGTACAACAAATCGAGGACATCAATTTCCATTCCGATACGTTTGCGAAGTTGGTGCTGCTCCAAGAGAAGAAGGAAATAATCGCCGCACTCGTCAGGAGCTGGGAGAAAGGCGCCGAGGGCTTCGATGACTTGATCAAGGGGAAAGGAAAGGGCCTCATTTTCTTGCTACATGGCCCACCAGGTGTGGGGAAGACATTTACAGCGGGTTAAGCCCCCCTTTTGTGGTTTTAACGCGGAGAATGGACAGCTAATACATTGCAGAAAGTATTGCAGAGCTCACGCAGCGTCCATTGTATACCGTTGGCTCCGGGGAGTTGGGTCTCTTCCGCGGTACTACAGAAGCACAGCTATCTGCTGCACTGAACCTGGCCACAAAGTGGGGCGCAGTAGTGCTGATAGATGAAATGGACGTCTTCATGGCGGAAAGGGGAGAGAACCTTCCTCGGAACGAACTAGTCTCAGGTTCGAATGCCCGGTCCTCAAAACAAAGCCCCATCGTCAAAACGAAGCCCTAGCTAACCGCAACACTTCCCCCCCCCCCGGGGCGCCCCAACCCACCACCACTTTCAAAACGGAGCTCCAGCTAACCCTCACCCCTCTAGTCCTCCTCCGCGTCCTCGAATACTTCGAAGGCATCCTCTTCCTCACAACAAACCGCGTCGAAACAATCGATCCAGCCTTCAAATCGCGCATCCACCTATCCATCGCCTATCCCCACCTGTCGACCAACTCGAAACGCGACCTATGGAAGACCTTCGTCCAGCAAGGTTCCGAACAGCAACAGCAACAGCCAGCGTGGCTCAATGACGGCTTCCTCAACCGCATCGCCTCGCTCGACATGAACGGCCGCCAAATCAAGAACACAGTCCGCGTAGCCCACGCTCTAGCGCAGGGCCAAGGTCGCGCGATCCTCCCGGAAGACATCTTCTCCGCAGCGCGATGTATGTCGTCTTTCGACGAAGACTTCAGAGACCAGCGGGTATGGGGTTGGAAAGCCTGGAGGACTTCAGGGCGTCTACATTGGGCATTTGCCGCGTCAGTCTTCCGCAGCCTATATGGCTCTCTTTTTGAGAATAAGGCGCTGTGCTGGATTGGGAGGATGATGCGGCGATACAAGAGCGAATAGGACTCGCGGAGTGGCACAGTCATGGAAAATGTCAATGAAATGCATGCTAAATACCGTAAAACGTACAAGCCAGACCCAACCTTATTTGAGCCCGGATGATATCAAAGGAAAGCTCTGCCAATTCTACCTGGCCCTCTTCTGGCGACCCGCCACCTTGCAAAAGTTCAATTTCCTCCCCTCCAACATCCATAGCCTCATCCACAGTAGCCATTGCATATGCGTCTGGAGTCCTTGCCTTCCTTCTATCTACATCCCCAGACATTTGTCTTATCGATGCTGTAGTTGCGGGCGTTTATTTGTTCTTCTTAGCCATGGTGTTGAGAGCGCTGCCGTTCTTGAACCACTCAATCTGGCCCTCGTTGAATGTGTGCGAGAGCTTAACGTCGAAGGGCTTGCCACCATCGGCGGGATGGACGCGGAGGGTCATGGGCTTACCGACGGCAAGCTCAGTGCACATGAGGTCGACCTTGTCATTTGGACCAATCTTGTCGTAATCGGCAGGGTCACTAAAAGTTAGAGGAAGCATACCCTGCTTCTTCAGGTTGGTCTCGTGCTGTGCTGGGTCAGCTCACGCTCCTTTTACCATCAGATCAGAACAACTTACAATACGGGCGAAAGAGCGGGTGATGATAGCAAGACCGCCTAGATGCCTCGGCTCCAAGGCAGCGTGCTCACGCGAGCTACCCTCGCCGTAGTTCCAGTCACCAATGACAACCCACTTAATACCGTTCTTCTTGTAGTCACGAGCGACCGCTGGGACAGCGTCGTACTCGCCAGTCATGAAGTTCTTGATCTTGTTGGCTTCGCCGTTATCAGCGTTGATAGCACCGATAAGCATGTTGTTCGAGATGTTGTCAAGATGCCCACGGTACTTCAACCAGGGGCCGGCCATAGAGATGTGATCGGTGGTAGTCTTGCCCTGGGCCTTGATGAGAATAGGAAGGTCCATCGCATCCTTGCCGTCCCAAGCTTCGAATGGCTGAAGGATCTGGAGACGGTCCGAGGTGGGGGAAACGGCGACAGACACAGAGGCGCGGTCCTCGGGAGGAGCCTGGTAGGTGTCCTGTCCGGGGTCATAGCCGTTGGCAGGCAGGCCCTCTCCGGTCGGTGGCTTGAGCTTGAACTCCTTGCCGTCCTTGTCCTTGAGAGTGTCCTCAAGGGGATTAAAGGATAAGGTGCCCGCGATGGTCATAGCCACAACCAAGTCCGGAGAGGTGACGAAGGAATGAGTAGCCGGATTGGCATCATTACGGCCGGTGAAGTTTCGGTTGTAGGACGAGATGATAGAGTTGGGCTCGCCCTTCTTCACATCCCGACGATCCCACTGGCCTAGCCATGAGTTAGCAAAGGCACCAGACCTATACCGTGGAAAGCCACCAACGACTATCCATAATCCTTTGGAGGCCCTCAGGCCACACGATACACAGACCAATCCGGGAAGGAGTGTTCAATGAAAGACGAAAGCGCAAATGAACGAGGAGAACGCATTCTTACCGATACAAGGACCGCAGGCGTTGGCAAGGACCAAGCCTCCGAACTCCTCAAAGGTCTTCAGCTGGCCGTCTCTCTCAATAGTCGCTCTAATCTGCTCGGAACCGGGAGTGACGGTGAAGAGAGATTTGGCCTTGATACCGTGGGACATGGCATCCTCGGCAATGGAAGCGGCGCGGCTCATATCCTCATACGAGGAATTCGTGCAAGAACCGATAAGGCCGACCTTGAGCTCTTCTGGCCACTTATTGGCCTTGACAGCCTCCTTGAACTTGCTGATGGGTGTAGCAAGATCGGGAGTGAAGGGACCGTTGATGTGGGGCTCGAGCTCCGAGAGGTTGAGCTCGATAAGCTCGTCGTACTCTGCACCCTCGTCCTCGTGGAGCTCCGCGGCGTACTCGCGAGCGAAGTCGCCGATCGCTTGCCTCTTAGTGGCCTTGAGATAGTCGTACATGCGGTCGTTGAAGGGGAACAGGGAGGTGGTGGCACCGATCTCGGCACTGCGAAGGTAGCGGTTAGCAGACGTCTCAGACTAAAGAGGAAAGTCCACTCAAGCAAGTCTCAGGCCATTATCCGTTGAAGGCCCTTAGGAGTAGCTTTCCGCAGTTGAAAGCTGAGACATGCAGGAGTGTACCACGAGGAAAGTCCACTCAAGCAAGGCTCGGGCCATTATCCGCTGAAGGCCTTTAGGAGTAGCTTTCCGCAGTTGAAAGCTGACACATGCAGGAGTGTACCACGACCTACTCACCCCATATTGCATATCGTTCCCATGCCCGTGCACGACAGAGCGGCGGTGCCAGGACCGTGGTATTCAACAATGGCACCGGTTCCACCCTTGACAGTGAGAATTCCAGCGACCTTGAGAATAATGTCTGGAACCTAAGTTAGCTTCCTGTAGCTCAACCGACAATTCCCGCTTGTCCCGCAGTCGCAGAGCTCGGCGGTCGGAGCTCTGCGGCTAGCTGGAGACGCTCGGATAAGGAAATACACACCCTTGGGAGCGGTCCAACCAGACATCTCGCCTGTCAGCTTAACACCAATAACCTTGGGAGCCTTCAATTCCCAAGGAAGGCCAGCCATGACGTCGACGGCATCAGCACCACCGACGCCGATGGCAGCCATACCGAGACCACCGGCATTGGGAGTGTGAGAGTCGGTACCAATCATCAGACCACCGGGAAACGCATAGTTCTCAAGGACGATCTGGTGGATAATACCAGAGCCCGGCCTCCAGAAACCAATGTTGTACTTGGCGCAAGAGGTCGACAGAAAGTCGTAAACCTCTTTGTTGATTTCGTTGGCGCGGGCCAGATCCTTCGCGCCACCCATCTGTGCCTCGATAAGATGGTCGCAGTGCACAGTGGTCGGCGTGGCCACCGAGGGCATGCCTGCAGACATGAACTGCAGGATGGCCATCTGGGCGGTGGCATCCTGGCAAGCTACGCGGTCAGGCCGGAGCTTGAGATAGCTCTTGCCGCGCTCAATCTCCTGGTTGTGGGGGTCGTCCAGATGGGAGTAGAGGATCTTCTCGGCGAAGGTGAGGGGGCGGTTGAGGCGCTTGCGCACGATGCTGAGGTTCTCGCTCATCTTCTGGTAGTTGATGTAGTGGCCCTTCTCCCAGTTGGTCATCTCGACCTTCTTGGAGAGCGGCGCGTCGCTGACGGTCGCCAATTGCCGCCGCTGGGCCAGGCTCTGGCCGATGCGGCCGAGCCTCGAGAACTTCTGCATGGTGGGTGAGGGCGGCGAGGATGGAGTGGGGAGGGAGAGTGATGGAGGAGGAGGATGAAAAGAACGTCAGAAGCTGGCACAACCTGGCCGATAACTAATGGGCTCAGCTGATTGGCCGCCGTTCCGATCGCACGGGTGCGAGCTACCTCGGCGTCAAAACAAAAGCAGAACGGCAGTGCTTTCCCGTCGTCCGCGTTTCACGTGCAGGGGCGTGAAAAAGCCGCAATTGCAGAGGCCGGTGCTGGATACGCAAGCCGGTGCGCTGGAGGGAGCATATGAGGCGACGGACGAGCGCCGTGAGCGCTGCTGGTGTTCGTAGCGATGGCGTCACACGGCATCCCAGAGCTCGACCCCGCGGCGCCTCGATTCCTTTTGGGAGAGCTCCAAGCCGGATGATTGGCACGAGATAACCGGCGCACAGGAGCCGTCAGACACAGAATTGCTTTCGCGCACTAAAGACCACACGTCGCGCGCCGCTCGCAGGTCTGCAGACCAGCTCGTCGCCGCCGTCCTGATAGCGCCAAGGCCCAGCTCGAAATCCCCGAAAAATTCTTTCGACCTGCAGACAGCTTCGCACCGCCGCACCGCCGCACGTCCCGCCAGCCGAGAGTCGCCCACGAATCCCCAGACGGCCATACCCGACTGCGAACCGCATCCGCATCCGCGGCCGAACCGCCATGCCTGCCATACGCGGCGACAGGTCCAAGAAGAAGACGCGGCGGCACACGCGCGACCTCGACCAGATCCACGCCGACCTGCACGATGAGAAGCATCTCGCCCAGCACAAGGACGCGAAGGCGATAGAGGACCTGCCGGGGCTCGGCCAGTGGTACTGCACCGAGTGCGCAAAGTGGTTCGAGAGCGAGGCCAACTATGGCGCACATCAGAAGGGGAAGGTGCACAAGCGGAGGTAGGAAGGCGCGGTGACGCTCGAGGAAGGCACGACTGACGCTCACGCAGGGTCAAGCAGCTCCGCGACGAGCCATACTCCCAGAAGGAGGCAGAGGCAGCAGTGGGCCTGGGGACCGACAATGGGAAGCGGACGACAACGCTAATGGAGGTTGACGATGCCGCCGCGGCGAGTTGAGGTGCTCGATGGAGTCGGCAAGAAGCATTTCGTGGCGTATGTCTGGCATAAAATTCGTAGCAGGGAGCCCAGGGGGCACAGCTCAGGGTATACAGGATGCATGCCGCCGCGAAGGTGTGCTGCCTGCGTTTTGCTGCCTCTGCCTACATCCGCATCTGCATTGCAAGGCGTTCAAAATTTAGAAAGGTACCACATAGAGGGCAAAGAAGACCTTCAAGGACACCCCGAGCAAATCAGCATTGCTTGAGAATTACCACTACATCTCGTCCAATGTTTCAGAATATCCGTGTTGTGAATTAGGTACCCATATAGCTTGATGCCTGAGTCTGCCTGGTCGCTACCTACGAAACTTGACCACCAAAGACCTTTCACGACGCACATATAAACTGCGACCCAACACCCCAAACATGCCCCTCCGATAACAAGCCCCACACTCATCAGCGACAACAACTTGTAACTCCACAGGCAAGCCACCATGTCATTCAAAAAGACCGAACTCTTCGGCGGCGCCATTACCGTCGACCTGCCCGCCGGATTCGGTGACACGAGGTTCGTACCGTCTCTTCCGCACCTAGCCTACAACGCTCCTTTACTAACTAACCCCGGAAAGCCAAATCCGCCAAGTCCCCGACCATCAAGAAGTCTACCTCGACACGAACGGGTACACCAGCGTGGTCTTCGAGGTCCTGGAATACGTCGACAAGCAGACGGACGAGGAGGCGCTGCAGTACCACTTTGCCGACCTAGTTGACGGGACGGGCGATGCGTCGAACATCCGGGATCAAGGAACAGCCGCTATGGCGAAGATACCGTAAGTTCATCCAACTCGTTCCTCTTCTACATGCCTGCTCGGGTATTTCTCGGTCTTTGCGCAATCACATGCCCTCGACATTCACATCTTGGCGGACCTGCCCCACCCCAACCCCTACTAACCCACGCTCACAGAAACAAACCCATACACACCCTCACCTTCATCCAGACCCCTCCGCCGCCCACGCGCCCCAACCGCAAGCAACCCGACTTCGTCTCCATCCACCTTCTCCTCCTGCGCCTCAAGGAGCAGGCAACGGACCTCATGATCACGGTCAACGTCCCGCACTATCCGGGCGAGTACACGAAAGTAGGGCCGGCCGAGGCGACGCAGTTGATGAAGGATGGCGAGACGGTGAAGAGCAGGATTCTGGAGAGCTTTGAGATTAAGGATTGGGGCCTTTTCCATGGCTAGATGGTAAGAGCTAGGCGGGTTTAGAGGGGCTTAGATGAAGAGATAGGACTGGACTGGTGGCTGGGGAAAGGATAGATGACTCCATTCCGGAGTGACCTTTGATATTGAAAGAATTTCCATACAATTCCGCCCCTATTTGCCTTTTCTTCGGTCGTGCATTCCGTCTTTTCTGCTTCCGCGCTCTCTATAGCTGCTTAGTCACGTCTTTTCTTCACTATATAAGCTGCCCTGCACTCCAGTTCTGACCTTTCTCTTACCCCACACATGAAGATCTGTTCCTTTAAAGAGCTAAAGAGCTAGCATTATGGCTTCCCTTCCTGCGGATCTCTAAATCATCACTAAGGAAGTCTATGAGCGGGCTCCTTCCAGTCGGAAAACTACATCGAATAGAGTGCATCCGCCAAAGTATAGCCGCGTTGAGTTCACGGCTTGTTCCCGCTTGTGGATCAAAATCGGAGGTGGAACTACTTGATGAGGCTCTCGAGAGTGCAAAGACGCAGTGCTAGAACCCATGTGCTTTCTGCGGTCCTTCTACTCCGTCTGAGAAACCGGGAGTTCCAAAAGCCATTCATCAAGCTATTCATGGTGCAATCCTTGACCTGCAACGATATATACCCCTGCAAATTGGCCCAGAAGCGGCAAATACGAGATCTTCTTTAGCGACTCACTTCTCTTCCGAGACACGCCACGGCTGTTTCCTTCTTCCCTACATAATCGGCAACTTGTCCTTCTCCCTGGCTTCTTTTTCTTCTTCCACATCCAACTCCTGCAGTCCTCTAAAAGAAGAACGGTCCGCGGTACGAGCTTTCTGGTGTCGTTCTCTCTAAAGCGGACGTTCAACATATCCCATGGAGGGTTGTTTTCCGGACCCGCACCCCAACCGCTTCTACTAAAAGCGTGGCGAGCGTGAGTCATGGCCTGTTTCCCCCTGCGCTCTTCCCAATCTGCTCCGAATCCCTCCATGGAAACCTTCGCGCCTGAAGGATCATACGCAGGCCGGCATGAGTTCCCCTCCTAAAGCTCGAATCCACTCCACCACCCGGAAGCTTGAAGACTTTAGGCTCCTAATACATGGAAGACCTTCCCTCCAAAAAGTCCTCCAGGAACTCGATATGATCCCCCGGCGAGGGCAAGTGCCGCTACAGCCTTGCATCCTTCTCGATGATGCCTCGCGTGGCGACTTGAGCGTCGTATCAAGCCTAGTCTCCCTCATTCGGGCCTATAAACTCTCCTTCCGGTTCTCCCTCTAGAAGCTCGCTATCCGCATCCGTGGTTTGCATATCGCTCCAAAAAAAAAAATCTCGATCTCGGCATGTGTTCTTCCGCGCGGCGCTCCAAAGACAGTCCACACGCCGACACATGCGGATTCCTCCTCCGAACCCAAAACAAGTGCAGATAGGAGACCGTCCAGCTATAAAATCCAAAGCATGACTTTTATGGCTTGCTGCGGCTTCTGCTCCACAAGCGGCTCGTCATCTTCGACAAGTGAGCTCAGTTCGGACGCCAAAGTCGACGCATGCAATGCCCATGGAAGGACCTCTAAAACCCCAATCTCACGAAGCATGGACGCGTAAAACCCAGACGCGACATACACATGGGGAGTTCTGGGCACCGAAGTGCCTTGCGCTTTTGTATCTGGCCGCGAGGAGACTCTAATGCGGAATAGATGCGTCTTCCTCTGCAATGAAATCACGAACGTACCCGGAAATGGTGAGGTCTTCTGTGCGCACCTGTTTTAGAGATGCCCCAAAAAGGATTCGGAGTGCGATCCAATGTGTGCTTCCGCTGGGCCTTTCCAATAACCACATTCGATCATTTCATGCGCAACTTCCCTGCCCTGCCCGACGCAGAGGAGAGCGCACAGGCACTGATTAAAAAGCGATAGTGCATGAGAACATGGCAGCTTCCGCGTCTCGACCCCAAAAAGTACCCACTCCGCTAAGATGCGGATCTCCGCCGTCTGAGCCCAAAGCCCGGATTAGCGACAAGCATAGCCTCTGGTTCCAAACCCGCGATCACTTCTAGACTGCACAAGACTTCTTCAAAATCATGCGGCAGCAGCCCATGGAGATTTTTCTGCTTCACTAAAATCGTGTAACAGTACACCTTATGTGCTTGTAGAGCATGTGGTAGAGTGTTACACGGTGTGGCTCCGTCCTCTGAGCCAGACCATGCTCGCGTCAATGAGGATCGCTGCGCCCAACCCAACCCGACAACAAGCGTCCGCACCACTATAAAAAGCCTTCTTCCGACGGCCTTCTCTCTTCTTTCCTTACTTATCACCTCCTCCCTTTCTCTAAAAGCTCTTCGTGACGCCTTGGATGCGCGGCTCGTCTGCTCCGCTAAAAACTCTGGCTGTTCTAGCGATGTGGTTCGCCGGGGAGCCGAGAAAAAGGCCATGGGCACGGTGACTCAAAGAAACCACAAGCAGGGTCGATGTTTGCCTTCCAGCGGTGCAGGCTAAAAGAACATTGCGGCCGAACATGTGGACTTCGCCCGAAATCAAAATGATGTTGAAGGCGCTCATGGTTTTTGCTTACGCGCCTGGACTCCGGAAACTATGGGCCCACAGAACGCATGAGAGGGCTTCTGGACCCAAAATATCCGGTCAGTTCTGGAATCTGTACGCCTCATATCACACGGCCCGATCTTTGGGCCGTAGGCGCATTTAGTACCGACAACGCGCGTGACTCTAGGAGGCTGAATGACAGCGACATTACTATAAAAGCCCACTTCCGTAGCCGCCTCCATTCCTCTCCTCTATCCTTCCTGCTTCTTGTTTCTCTAAAAAAAACCCTAAGAACGAGACGGATGTGCGGGTCCTCCAGTTCTCTAAAGTGTCAGTCCTTCGACAGTATGTTCAGTCTGTTCCCAGAGACAGACTGAATGGAAAAGCGGACAGATGAGAGCGATGTTCAACTCCAAAATTCTGGTGAACTCTATACGCATGTCCGCCTCCGCGTTCTGCTCTACAAAGCGAATGGACGGTGCAGAATGGCGTTGGGAGGAACCAGAAGTCTCCTCCGAAACAATGCATGGACTTGGGAGGGAGCTCGCAGTCCAAAGAGCTGGAAAATCGCAAATCTATTGTTGGACTTTTCATGCGAGTCGCTCGGACTAAGCCATAGAGTGTCTGATGTATGAAACCGGGGCATTTGGATATCGATGCAATATATACATGCAGATGTGGATGTGAAAGAAGCCCCAAGCCATGCTTGCAAACCATATCCCAATGAACTAAAGAGCGACAACTACCCTGTTCATGTTCGCAGACAAAACAACACTACCTGCTGTTTATAGCAAAGCCGCTGCCTGAGAAGGACTTACACTAAATCGCGCGCTGCGGTGCCTTAAATCCAGCCGCTGAATGCTATCCTCAAAACAAAGGTCGCGTACACCATCCAAGGAGACTTGATCGCTTCATCAAGCGAATTACGGATTTTATTTGGAAAATATGGCTAGCGTGTAGGGGAGCATTGAGTAGCGCGCTCGTTTGCGTTGGCGACCCTGTGCGTGGTCGTCGGGGTGAGGGAGTTGGTCTGAGGACTAGGACTGTCTCTGATTGAATGGATGCTTGGCCACCTTCCCCTATGCGTCGAACCCCTTCCATCCTTCCAACATTCTGGAATTGGTAGCTCGAGCCGTGGCTGGGTCTAAGTATAGGGGTTCTCACAGCACGTAGGACGGCTTGAGGTCTTCAAATTCGCTTGCTACGGAGAGATATAGTCGGTACTAGAAGGCCTGGCCAGTATGAAGTACCTGCAAGGCTAGACCGGTGTGGTCCGAACCTTTGGTGGAGGAGCCAACGATTGGCCCAAGGGCTCTCAGTATCTGGAGAGCGGCGATAGGTCGATGTACCCGAAGCACTCGTCACCTGGAGGAAGCGAATCGTGCCCAAAGCTCATTTGCTGCCAAATCTTCCACGATGAATGCGGATGCGTTCGGTCAGCGGTCAACTTACACATGAAGCAGTAATCAAAATCCGGGCACTCTTCGCAATTGAAAGCAGGACCATAGATGGAATGATCCTGCGCTAAGAGATTGCAACCGTCGCATACACGGGCCGAACATAGTGGCATTGAGGGCCTTTCCTCCGTCCGGGTTTCTCTCAGGTTCTGCTTTTGCGCGTGCTGATCTGAGAGAAGGGGATGCAGGGGCTTTCCTTCTGGTGAAACAAGATGGTGGTTTCCATAAACAACAGCAATGTCATAAAGCGTCCAATCCCACTCGGGTTGTGCAGTGGTGATTGTAGTCGGCTGAAAGCCGGCCTGAACCAGCAGGTCAAGAGCTTCTGGCGTATTTTTCCTGCAAGCCAAATGAAGTGGCGACCAGCCACCTGGCTCTGAAGGACGTCGTTGCCACTTCGATAGGAGCATTTTCAATCTTTCTGTTGTGCTTGCTTCCGCGGCGTAGTGGATCGCAGTCCAACCTTTCGCATCCTTCGTATTGATATCCATCCCAAGGTTGAGCAGATACTCCAAGGCTTCCAGTGTCCCAACATTAGCGGCAAAATGGAGAGCGGTCCTCCCTTCGTGATCAGTCCACAAGTAGTCCGCTTTCCACTTTCCGACCAGGAAGCGCAGCATCGAAATTCCCCAGGCCGCTGCACCTATAGGGCTCCCTAGTACACTATTACGAATGCTGAGCTTTGCTCCACTGCGGAGGAGCAGGTCTGCTAACTCTGCGTGACCGCCGAGAAGGGCCTGTTGCAGGCATCCGCCTTTGTTCGGATCCGCACCAGATTCTATGAGGAGCCTGGCAATTGTATACGCTCCTTGGCGGGCAGCTGAGCATAGCGGCAGGCAACCAAGTTGCCCAAGGGAAGCATCAGCACCAGCAGCAATGAGGATCTTGACCAGCTCTTCCCTTTTGTTTCGACATTGCATACCGGCATATAGTGCGGTATAGGATCTACCACCGCAGGCATTCACATTGGCGCCATGAGCGAGAAGTAGGTTGACTATGTCGACCCTTTCCCGACTCACTGCCGCCTGTAAAGCATTTCCGAAATACCCCGATTGAACATTGACGTCCGAACCTCGAGAAAGTAGTAACTCAACGCTAGAGAGGCTTCCACTGTACACAGCGACGGTAAGAGCGGTGCCGTACACTCCTCCCTCGGCATTGATGTCTGCGCCATGATTCAACATGGCATCGATGAGGTCAGGGCTACCAATCAGGGCCGAGTAATACAATAGCACACTCGGGCCGCTTTTCTTCGGCGATTCTGTATAAAAGCCGTCCGGTACGATACTGGCGAGCCAGGCCCAATCTAGGAAATGGGAGCGTTGGCCCACGAAGAGTTCGCGAGCGAGCGACAAGACTGTGGAATCTTCTCTACAACGTTTGAAATGTTCAGACCAGAAATCAGCAGCGTATTTTACGAGGTGATCTATGTCGCTTGTTGCAGTAGCTTCGTTCCGGGAACGGTACGGCCGGCTTCGCAGATACACGAGGCATGTCTTCGCAAGGTATACATCGGCCGTGCTTACGGTCATGTAGAATGATCTTTCGTTGCTGTCCAGTATGCGCTTCGAGATTAAATATTCCTTGACGGAGTAATGTGAAAGCTTGAGGACGCCACTGGTGTCACTGGCCCTGGTCACTAAGCTCCCACAGATCGCTAATATGTCTTCAGGGTCCTGGAGCCTTTGTGTGGCATCATATTCAAGAGTTTCCAAGTCCACGGCCAAGGCTTCAACTAACTCTTCCACCGTTGGGGGCCGAAATGCAAAGCAAAGCCATGAGAGGATCTTCATTGCATCTCGTGCCTGTTCCGGCTCGATGCTTCCGAGTATGCGAGAATATGTTTCGTCCAACGTAGCTGGAAGGGAGGATAGGGTTGCTTGCAAGGACTTAAGCGTTCGGCACCTTTTAAGCCCATCGAGCTGCAAGGTGGCCAAACGGAACATATCTCCCGCCCGCGTTGTGATAACCGACGTGATATTAGCCTGAATGGTATCTGGCCATTTCTTTAGCCAGCGCTCCTTCTGCATCCTCCGGCTGACATATTGACGAATATCATCGTTGACTCGCGCACCTTCTAGCTGCAACTGCTCGCTTCCCATCCGGAGAAAGCTCTCTTCAATGTCTTTCTCCCGTCGGCTTGTTGCTAAGATGTGAAAATTATCCAATCTCCATTCTTGCATGTCTTCCAAGGTCTCGAGAAGATCGGCTCTTTCCGCACATTCGTCTAGTGCATCGATGACTAGATACGTCTGTTCTGCGTGCTCCAGCGTTTTTTGCAAGGTCCCTAGCAAGGTCCTGATGTTCGGTTGCTGAAAGCCACCATGATGCTGTTCGAACAGTGCTTGTATCGAGTCGGGGACGGCGCGTCGTTGTATCACAATCTGCGCGAGTAGCGAACGGAGCAAAATACCGATAACGCTTGTGTCTCGGGCGGCAAAGTCGAAAAAGAAGTAAAGAAGGAGGCGGCCATCTTCCAAGCGACACCATCCGCCTAGGTCCTCGATGATGGAAGAGCACAGGACTGTTTTCCCCGAGCCAGGGATCCCGCATAACCATAACATCGACCTTGGTGTAGCCTTCCACTGAGCGAAACACTTATTGTTTAGAAACCAGTCACCGGTCTTTGCGCTTCGAAGGCGTTGCGCATCATTACATGCAGACGTGGGGTACGGTGGCCCCAGCCATTCGACAATGGATCGCCGCTGTTGCTCTTTGGTGAGTCAGGATCGTGGTGCTCTGGAAAGGCTCAACGCGTTTGCTTACCCTGTTTCGCATCTTCCATAGCCGAACGGATAGACAAAGAATCTGTACGAGACTGGAGGAGTAGGACTCTGGGGCTTCTCAGCTTCGCGACCCAGGCCAAAGCTACACGGGTTTGCCTTACGTTTGATCCAAAGTCAGAGACAGTTGGAGGGTCTCCTTAGCCCGTGAAAGCCGTTTCAACCGGAGCTCCATGTCTTTCTCTTTCAGAATCCAGGCAATTGTTTTGGTTCCGAACCTAAGTTTAGGGGACTCTAATTTTACTAGCTCTGCCTCCAGGTACTCTAACTCCGTTTGACATTGAGAAAAGGCCTTCTTGCTGCCGCTGATTCTCGCGTCGGGGGTGGAGGGGCTATTGGGTTCGGTTTCGTCCTGCGGAAGTCGGGCTAACCTTTGAAGTACGTCGCGAACCGAGTCGACAGCGTCGATAATCTGATCCAATTCTTTCCTTACAGTGCTTGGATGGAGGTCCAGGCAGAAAGTGATCACTTTGTTAGCCAACGGAAGCAATGCGAGAGCGGCCGCGGCGATACTGAAAGGTTCCGCCATAGGCTTGCCTCTATCCTGGAAAATGTACGGACTGGCCAATTTTTAGAAGGAAGAAATTTCTGAGTTCCAATAGGGTCGGACCCTGTTTATGTAGTCGCGAAGGTTCCTCCCCTTACACGCAAGGCTGACGGGCTGCATCCCGTGTACGCCTTGTGTGAGGGACTTCTGCAAAAGCGAGCGGGATCTGCCGCGCTCGTTGGGTGGCTCCAAAGTGCTGCTCAATCATGGCCAATAGGGCGAGGGAGTGGCTCTTCGATGTTGCTTGTTCCGTTCCTCGGATTTCCAATTTCCCCCGCCTCATCCGGCTAGTGGTTGATGGAAGGCTGAACGGACCTTTTGCAGCCTTCTCTTATATGTGAACAGCAGGTCCCGCTGTGGAAATCTTTAACGAGGTAAGCCTGTCGCTGTGGGCCGAGAACCCACGGGATTTCTTGGCTTGCGGCCCTAATGGCGTGAGGCCTCTTAACGTCTTTGGCTCAACATAGGTCTAGCCTGACGTCTGGAATTGAATCTTCCCAAAACATGCTTCATTACACGTGGCGCGCTTGTGGCGAAGCCGCGCCCAAAGCATTTGAAGCATAACGGAAATCGCCTGAATGGCGTTTCATAGGAATTTGTTGAAGGTGGGTAAAGTAAGGGCTCGAGGAATGGATGAAGTGCGGGCCAGACCACGCGTAGCTGTTGAATAAAGAGCGGAGGAAGCGCGTCGACAAGATGCCTCGGATATCTGGGACACGACACGCGCAAGACAGCAAGAAGACATGTTGGTAAGTCGATGGACGTCGACGTTGAGGCGGAGGAGACGAAGTTTGACCGTTGACTGACTGTTCGTTCCTGAGTTTAGGGTGCACGTGCCTCCTTGGGTCTTCTCCTCACCCTCCTTGTCTTCGCGCCCGTCGCCTTTGCACAACAACCCTATCGACAGTCATGTTGGTGGTGCTGGAAGATTGAGAAACAGCTGGACAAGCTGCAGCAGCAGATCAACAAGCTTACTGCTCTCTGGGTACGTTTTCGTCGTCATATTGCGCGAAGTTTCTAGGCTCTGCGAGTTCGAACATGAGTTCCACCTCTTCAGCCTCCGGGGCTCAGAGAACGTTGGCCTGGATTGTGTACGATACTACGGGTCTCCTGTACCGCAGTGACTGGGGCGATGTGGTGTCTTAGTCGCATCTTTCAGCTACGGCGCACCCGTCCGTTCGTATAATCAGCACTGCCTCAACCCCGCGTGCGAATAGGCTCGCTTCCACTGCCACGTTGCCTGTACGGCAAACACGGTCTGTTCATTGAATCGGGCGTGCCAACTCCGAGCTTGAGCGACTGTTACCCGTTCTCACGCGTCGCTGGTTGGGCAGTGATCCGCAAAGTGCGGTGACGTAGCGCCGTGTGGCTGTGGTGGCTCAAGCTTCCAACTTCCACCACCGCCACCCCTCACGGCAACACCGCTCCAGCTGTTTATGCGGCGAGCTAATTTTGTATTATTGAGCTTGCAGTATTTACTAAGTACCTTTCAGTTCCCTAATATTTCAGACCACGAGAGGCCGCTACCAGGTAGCTACGAATCGACCTCGACCCGATATTCGAAGACCTTCGGTAGCCCTGGCGTAAGCATCACTCCTGTCACACCACTTAGGCTTCGTGTCTATTATCATCACTTCTCAAAGGCGCTTACCTTTCGCCTAGGTGCTCACCGACTTGCCTTATTATACCCCAACCAAAGATTCAGAACTCCCAGTGCCAACAGCAACAATGGGTGGCGGCGAAGGATACCGATCTGTTGCGTACTTCGTCAACTGGGTAAGTCATACCATGTCATGTGACATCCAGTGCGTCTTCTAATTTGACATAGGGAATCTACGGTAGAAAGTACTTCCCACAGACGATTCCGGCGGACAAGGTACGTACATCGCGGGGCACACATCCGCGTGTCTTCGTCTTCATTCTACGCTGCTACCCTTTGATGACTTCAAGGAGTGAAGCCATGCTAGACTTTCGACTTTCTTCCCTTCGATCAAGGCACAGTTAACGTGTATCCCTAGTTAACGCACGTGCTATACGCGTTTGGCGATAACCGCGAGGATGGAGAAGTGGTCATGACCGATCCATGGTCTGACGTCCAGATCCACTACGAGGGCGACTCATGGAATGATCAGGGGAACAACCTTTATGGAAATCTCAAGCAGCTCAATGTCTTGAAAAAGAAGAACCGTAACATGAAGGTTCTTTTGTCTATCGGTGGCTGGACCTACACCAACGTGCAGAAGCACTTCGACGGTCCCGCATCTACGCCTCAGGGGCGCAAGAAAGTAAGACTCAGACTTCACCTCGCACTTGTCGATAAGCCATGACTAACTCATTAGTTCGCCAATACCTGCGTTCAGCACATCAAGAATTTGGGATTCGACGGTATTGACCTCGACTGGGAGTATCCTCAGAATCCAGAGCAGGGACAGCACCTGCTGTTACTGCTTCAGGAGATCCGTTCTGCTATGGATGCGTATGCCGATAAGCTTGCCTCAGAAAGCGATTCCAGGCCGCACTTCGTGCTCTCCATTGCAGCCCCTGCTGGTGAGCAGAACTACAAGAACCTGCCACTGGGAGCCTTAGCTCGCGTGCTCGACTTCATCAACCTGATGGTGAGTTCCCCGAGCTAGTTTGCACTCGCGGCCAATGCTAACATGCTCCAAAGTGTTACGACTTCACGGGTTCATGGGAGACCAACAGCGGCCATCAAGCCAATCTCTACCACTCAGCTTCCTGCCCGACCTGCACACCCTTCAACATCAACTCCGTCATCGACGTCTACATCAGCCAGGGCGTGCCTTCCGACAAAATCGTCATGGGCATGCCCCTGTATGGGCGCTCCTTTGCGAACACGACCGGAATCGGCAAGCCGTTCCAGGGCGTCGGCGAAGGCTCCTGGGAACAGGGCGTGTGGGACTTCAAAGCGCTTCCGCAACCAGGCGCTCAGGAGCACCTCGACGAGGAAGCCGGCGCAAGCTACTCGTACGACAACAACACCAAATCCTTCGTAACCTACGACACGCTACCCATGGCACTGCGCAAAGCGCACTACATCAAGCAGAAGCATCTTGGTGGGGCAATGTGGTGGGAGCTTTCAGGCGACAGGCAGGACAACGGCAGCATCATTACCAACGTACGTATTCCCAAACAGCCTACCACTACTGCTTTGTTTCTTCTTTCACGATTGCCCGCCACCCCCCCTGCTAGTCTAGCGCGGCGGGGTCGTTGTGTTTCTGTGCTACGCAGTCAAACATTCGTTCAAACCTAGCTAACTTTCTTTGCCCCCTCACAGGTCGTCAAGGAGCTTGGAGGCTACGATTGCGGCAAGTTGGAGCGCAGCCAGAATTGCATCCACTACCCGGACTCGCAGTACGACAACATGCGCGCAGGCTTCCCAAACAACTAATTCCCACCCGCGCGCGAAAGAAACTGCGCCGCCCCCCGCCAATAACAACACCCTAACTGTCGCTTTCCTACAATTTCGGTTTACGACTCGAGCGCTTTGGGCTCCCACCGCATCCACACGGCACATGACGATGCGGTATAGCTTAGGATATAACGCGTTTGATATAGTTTCATAGCCAGGGTCCCCCCCGGAACAAAATGACAATCCCTGTTCTTACGGCTCGCCTACGCTTGCTGGACCCATGTATACCGATTGCGCAGGGCCCCGGACACTTTGCTGTGTCACCACTACGAAAATGGACGTTCGAGTTTTGAATCGGCGTGCATTCAGGGCTTTGCACCTATCTTGAAACATCAGGCAGCAACGCAACCAAATGTGCTCGCGGCAAAGCAATTGCGAGTTGAGTGAGTGTGTTCCTGAGGCGGCTTGTGAGTTGCGAGTGTTTCTTGCCGTCGTACAAGGACGCTATACCGGTTCTGGTCCGAGGGCTTGCTAGCTAGAGACCATTGCGTCGTTCTTCCTTATGCCTCGGGCGGACTATTATTTTTCTCCTAGATGAAAATAGTTGGGTGTGGTAGGATTTTGCGCCTCTCGGCTGCACTGCGGTGATAGCCGCCCCCATATCAAGCGCAGGATATTCACTGCGAGTCAAGAGCATAGCGAAAGCGGCTGCGCCAATATATTGCCCCCCATACTGATCAGCGAAAGCCTCTCCCACCTGACAGACGGCTTGACACCTTACTAGCTCGCCGCAATATATTTGGAAACCTAAATGCTCTGATAGTTTGCAATAATGCACCGCGAAACTTCCGAATTGTATTTCCGCAAGCGTAGGATGGCGGTGGCACGTGGTCCGGTTCGTATAGGGAAAGAGCAGTACATAGGTACCCAAGAGCTTTTTTGGAGATCCGGGTGACGCAACTTGCAGCGGCAATGCATGCAGCATCGATGCGCGCTGCACGATGCGATTGTCGATGTTTGTGATTCCACCTGCATGTAAATGCGGCTTTCAGGTACGTACCGTTAGAAAAGCATCCAGGTACTTCGGATGCCGGTCTATAGAATGTTCTCCCGCATCGCTAGGGCGTCTGCCGCCTTTCTGGAAGACGTTGATAGATCGAAGAATTGCAAACTGAGATCGCGAGCTAGATTTGGATATGAATTTGATTTCGTGAGGCTGTAGAATTGTCGTCAAAAGTACGTGGAGTCCGAGCGCATGAAGAACCGGGTTGTTGCTGTCAAAGCGACCTTATATGTACACACCCCGGCGCTATAATGGAGACAAAAACGCCAATCACGTGCACCGGAGAGGTCCTTCAGGCGCAATGCAATAAGAAGATCGCACTAAGGGAGTGAACCCAAATGCGAGTCCAAGCCAGTCCATTGCTGTCATCGTTTTCGAATAGTGTCAGGTGCACGGTTCTCGGTAGGAGGGAGCAGCCGCTGATATGCATCTTCGCCGGCGAGAACGGCTTCCCTGTGCTCGAGGAAGGTCTTGATGCGCTCGTTCCGATCGCCCGTCATGGTGGCGCGCTTCGACCGCGCGAGCTCCACGCTGGCTTCCCTGTGCATTTTGTCGCGGTGCTCCATGACGGTGCTGGAGAGCATGTTTGCTCGCGTGCCCTGCATGACGCCTCCCAGCGTTACCAGGGCGAATACGAGAGAGACAAAGGCGAAGTTCGACATGTACATGTCTCTCGGGTCCTCGCCATTCTCACGCTGGTACCACCGCTCCCAGTCTTCCCAGGTAGCGTTGTGAGCCGGGTCGTGACCAGGTGGCCAGTGTCGCTGCTCTGGCGCCCATGCGTATGGCGAATGGTGCGGATGATGCGACGGGCTTTGGTGGTGGCCGGCCCATCCGTGGCCCCACGCATCGTATGCTCTCCGCTTTGCGTCGTCGGAGAGGATGGTGTGGGCGGCGACGAGGAGGCGGTACCGCTCGAGGCGCACGGCGTGAGGCAGGTGGGCGACCGGCGACGATGGGCTGCATCGGTCGGGGTGGTACAGCTTTACGAGCGAGTAGAAGCGGTGTTTCGTGTAGGCCTCGCCGCGGCCGCAGCTGAGGATCTGGTAGGGCGTCGGCGTCCTGTGGGGATGGATTGGGGCGGGCCAGCCGAGGTCTGGCTCATCGCAATGCGCAGACGACGAGGCATGCTGGGCGTAGCTGCGCGTCTGCGTCTGGTGCGGAGACTGGAGGTGTGAGAGCGGATGGCGGCATGACGTCGTACAGCCGTGGGCGGGCGCCAGGGAGGGGCTACAGCAGAGGGAGGGCTGGCTGGCACAGGACCAAAGCAGAACGGAGGGCTTCTTGGACAGCATTATCGCGCAATTGCTGCCCGCGCCGCAGGACCATGCTTTCGCGGCGGCGGCGGTGGGGTGTCGTGTGGACGGCGGCGCTCCAGGGCGCGGAGGAGGTCGCATGAGGATCATCGCCGGGTGGGCACGGGAACGCCGGCGCCCTGAGCCACTGCCACTGCCACTGCCACTGCACGCACCCGACGCCCGACACCCGCACCCGACAACCCCGACACTGGGCTAGGCCGCCTGCAGCACGTCAAGGTCGCGGCGGCGGACCAGCTCTCCTCCCCAAAGTCAGTTTCGCCGCGCTGTCGACGCCCGCCGTGTCAGTGCCAGCCACCGGCCCAGCGCGACGCCTGCCCTGCCGTCCCCCAGCCGCTGGGAGCGGCCAGAGTGGGGGCGGGCGCAATGCGAGCAGTCGTTCTCGTTACCTTTAGGGTTTGATCTGCTGCCCAGGGGCACCTCTTCGGTTCTGCCTGCCGTGGGCTCTCGACTCGAGCCTCTGGTTTTGGAAATTGCATGAAATGCGCACCTGAAGCAAACTATATCACCTGCTCACGTGGAGCCTGCCGTCGCCGCGCCCAGGTGGCTCTCCAGATAAGCTTGAGCGGCCTATAAGTCTACCATTATTCCCTCAATCCTGCTTTCCAGTTATTACGGTCCCTCCTTGCGCGTCCTTTCTCTTCTTGACTCTCCTTCCGCCTCTTTGTTCTCCATTTCACGCCCTTTCCATGTTGGCCATGGAGCGCAGCCACGATCGCGACATGAGAGACCGCGAGAGAGAGCTGGCTGACTCAGTCGAGCGCCGCCGCCGGAGCGAAGCAGAGCCTCTTGCAGGGCTCTTCAACCTCACGCGGGAGATGGAGGGGCCCGAGGAGGAGCAGTTCGACGTGGACCTGACCATCATGGACTTCCTCGCCTACAAGGCCATCGACCTGGTCTTCGAGTGGAGATCAAGCTCCAACCCATACGAATCCGACCTCCCCGGCGCTCTAGTTACCATGACTGCGGGTATGTCCGATTCTCAAACAGCCACATGACCTCTCGAAACCCAGAGACTTGACTTCTTTTGCTGACCGAATCGCGCAGAGTGGAGAACCTTCCTCAAACACAGACACGGCGGTCGCCGTCTCAACACGCAAGCCGCATTCCGCTCGCGACTACTGCAGTTTGTTCTGCTCTTCAGTCACCGGCTGAACCACGACAAAACCTGGACCACTGAAGAGTCGTTAAACGAGATCCGTGCGCTGAATAAGAAACGCGGCTCTTATTGGCAGCAGTATACCGCACACGCCCCTGCGCTCCGCCAGCCGTTTGACACATTGAGCGAATTCCCTCTCTCGGATGGCGCACTTGCCGAGAACCGGCACGAGCTTGCGTGCGCTCTAGGCATGCCCCAAGACAAGCGCAGGTGGGTTACCGACGTGGAAGGCACTCCGTCGCTGCACTGTCTGCTACCCCTCTTCGTCGAACTCACTGCTGCGAGGGTCGACCTGGGCGACTGGGTGCCCACGGAAGGATGGCTGGACCTAGTGGGGCAGTTCATGCTTCAGGCCGTGCTAGAGGAGTATCTCCGCAACGGTGCCTATGGCGAGGAGTACTTCAACACAATATTTGCTTTCGGTTGTCCTGGCACCGATCGACGGCCCGACGACGGCGCAGATATCCAATCGATGCGCACCCTCTTTTGCGTCGAGGGCAGCCCGCGCGAGCAGATCCACGGCTGGTCAAGAACAAAGCGACGGTACATCGACGAGGTAAGCTAATCGATACCCGCTTTTCTGACTTATCATCACTAACTCAAAGCAGCTTCTCCCGCATGAAGGGTCGCCCACTTCCTTCCTCCAGGCAATGGAACGTGCCCAGCGGCGCTTCTCGTATACAGATTTCGAGGACAGCATGCTTTCATTCCTGAAGTATCTCCATGACGGCCTTGTCAAGCCCGATCTTGTTCAGGTCGAAGAGGGACGTATCACTATTCACGGCAATGAACTTCCCGAGGCCGATTCAAGAGAGATGATTCGGCGAATGGGCCTGCAGTAGATGCGGCACAGCACATTCTTGGATACCCTCGATGTACATTTCAAAGAGAATAAGGTTGCAGTCCGTCCATCTTCATTGGTTCGCTTTGGTCTGGTTGCTATACCGCATGGCTCCCCCAGTCGCGGTGAGTATGTGTGTTTGGAATGCCTTTCTTCCCTTGTCTCATGTGTTGGCCGCCTGATTGGTTGGCATTCTTCTTCGGTTCTGATTATACTTCCCGCTTCTTTGTCTGTTTCGTGCCGCGATGGCCACTTCCTTTGAAATCTCCCATTCTATCTTTGAGGGCTTTGCGCCACCTGCTTCCGTATTCAGCGGACGCCATTGCACGACTACATGCGCCCTGTACCATATACCCAGTTATGCGATCTTCATTGAACGGCTTCCCGCTGGCATGCGACAGATGCTGCAAGTGGTCATGCGTTTTCAAGTATTTGTTATTCCTCCCACACCGATCGCCCTTCAGCTCCCGCCCAATAGCCCGCGTTACACCAGATCCACCCACACCCTCCGCCAGATCCGGGGCTACCTGCAGAATCGATCTCTAGTATTTCTGCAGAATCGGTTCCATAAGCCAGGTATGGCACATCCCTCATGGCATCGCTGGGATGGACTATGGCTGATGTCGTACAGGCCTTTGAAGCACTTCAGCTATCGCGAACCATAAACCGATATCGGCCTAGAGTCGGACTCTTTCACCGAACTTCTCCATCTTTGCTCGTATTCCACGTGGAATGTGGAGCGGCACAGCACAAAGAGAGAAGGAATGATCTGGTCTTTCCACGCCACTGCCAATTAGAGCTCAGCTCCCCGGAAAGCGCGATGGGGAGCAAACGAAGAATGGTAATCGCGGCACGGACGCCGCGAGCGCCGCCTTCACCTTCACCGGGAAGCGATATATAAATTTCTGCGTCGTCCTGGACTTCTAGTCTTCCACCTTGCACCCAGTCGCACTCGCAACGACTCTGCGGAACGGCCTTCAAGAATCTCGACAAGTCTCTTCTTGCTCTGCCTCTTCCATACCCTCTGAGGTGTCTGCGAGCTTCGATTTGAGACCTCGACACAATGCGTGTGTCCTTCCTCGGCCTGATCGTGCCCTTCGTGGCCTTCCTCTCCGTCCTGGTCGGAGCGGGTGCGCATGACAAACCGCCAGCGGTCATCCTGGTGCCAGGTACGTAGCTTTGAGTGCTATACGGCGAAGGCCTTCACGAGGATCTGTCCAGGGCTTGCTAACACAACATCACAGGCGCCTTCCACCGGCCCAATGTCTACTACAAAGCCATGCAGATCCTGAGGCGAGACCGGTACCGCGACCTGTTCACCATCCACCTGCCCTCGCTTGGAACCCTCGAAGGCCGCCAGGCCGACGTCAACGTCGTCCGCTCCTTTCTTTCACAGCAGCTCAACAAGGGCAAGGACGTCCTCCTTGTGGGCAACAGCTATGGCGGCACCGTCATCGGCGAAGCGGTGAAGGACTTCATCTCCTTCTCCAGCGTCTCAACTACCCCTACCCCGCCTGGTAAGGGCCGTATCCTCGGGCTCATCTTCCTCTCGGGCTACATACCCTACATCACCGAGGTCACGCAGCCGCAGACACGCCCGGACATCAAGACCGTCTCACCTTCCTTCTTCCGCTTCAACGAGACCGGAAGGGTGTTCTGGGACAACGATCTGGAGAACTACCCCCCGAGCAAAACCTTCTACAACCTGCTGTCGGCCAAGGACGCGCAGTTCTGGTCTAGCAGACTCGACTTCTCGGCCTTCGCAGCGCTCAACGCGACCGCGACATATATCCCTTACACGGGCGACTTCAAGTGCGTGTATGCCGTCGGCCTGCAGGATAATTCGATCCCGCCGGCGTTCGCGTATACATTCATCAACCAGGTACGTACAGTTCCTCGAAGTCCTTCATGTCAGCTTTCTTCTTTTCCACGGTGCAATCGTATGCTAACAGACACGCTCTAGCCTGGTGCAAACTTCACGGTCGAGACGCTGAACAGCGACCACATTTCGCCGCTGAGTGTGCCGTACGACGTTGCTGGGCTGATCAAGAAATATTCGGAGTAGTGTGTTGTTGTAATGACACATATGGGCGGTTGGTTAGAGGGGGCTTCAGCATAGGCCTTCTTTCGGTACGTTCGGCGTGCGGCGTGGGTTGCTGTGAGGGCTCATGTGATAATGGTGATGACCTCTAAGATCAGCTAGATATAGCAGCGTTCCTACCTAGATCAGGATGTTAGCTTAATGGCAGATGCGACCCTGTGCGCAACATAATCGTCCCCACACCTCTCACTGCTCTCTATCTCTCGCTTGGTTCTTTCTATTCTCTCCCCCTTCCCCCGTACGCTTCTATCGATCTTTCCTAATATTCTGCATCTCTGCGTGCATGAGCCGCTTCTGCGCATCGCGTGTAAGTGAACGCTTACATTGTTGATAATGCCACCGATGCGCAGCCCTAGAACTTGCCTTGGCTACGTCATCTCTAGAAATGTACTAACCTCAATTGGATATCTCGCTAACACCCTAGCGTGTGATCTGACACTCAGCCTCCATCCCGACATGAACTCGACGTCTGCACTTTGCGAAAAAAACTGCCTTCTTCTTCGCCGAGGAGGGTAGGAAGGGGCGCTTCAGTGCTCAGACAAACTCGTTCCCGGTGGGGGAGCTCCCAACCCCTTGACCGCTCATCTCCTCCGGATCCGCTGGCGCCTCAATGCACAGTCTTCCTCACCGGCACTACCGCCCCTTTGAGTAAGACCACCCACCCTTGCTCTTGAAGCCGATTGTACGAGCGTGCAACCGCTCAGCTCTCTTCTCTCCTCCATGGATCCTCTAAGCATCGCCGCAGCGACCGCTGGCCTCCTCAGCCTCGTTATTCAACTCGCCGGCTTAAGTACCAAATATGGGAGCGATAGTCCCAGGAAGGCACAGATCTACAATCTGATTTTCGAACTGAATACTCTGAAGGATGTTCTCCAGCGCCTGCAGGAGTTTCTGGAGAGCGAGGATACAGCTCCCATGTTCACACGTGTCTCAGTCCTGATCTCGACAAATACAACATGTGGAACCAGGCTCCAGGAGCTGCTATCTAAGCTTCAGAAAGCAGCACTACGGACCAACAAGATCAAAAGAGCAGCAGATAATTTCATGTGGCCGTTGACCGAGAAGGAGAATCGAGAAGCTATCGAGGATATTCAGCGATATATTCAAGTTTTCAACTTCGCTTTGACTGTTGAGGGTTGCACCTTACTCTCGAAATCATCCAAAGAGGTGGCAAATACTCTGCAAGAACAGACACTGAAGCTCGAGGAGATTAAGAAGCTCACCAGTGCGCTTCCTGATCTCCATATCCAGATTGGGATGTCTCTGGGTCAGATCTTGCAGATCCGGACCCTAGTGCAAGCACTACCAGATCTTTCGGCGGAGATATCTTCAATATCGCGAGATATGACGGAGTTAAAAATTGCCGCGAGCAATCAAGAGCGTCGGCATGAGGAAGAGGAGCGGCGCATGATACTATCTTGGCTGTCGCCACTTTCCTATGAAGCCAGACAGCAACAGCTGCTCGACCGCCATCAAGCAGGCACTGGAAGCTGGCTCCTTGAGCACGAGAAGTTTCAGAGATGGAGGACTACCAAGGGATCCGTCTTATGGTGCTCCGGCATTCCCGGCGCCGGCAAGACATTTATGGCCTGCGTTGTGATCAACGCTCTTCGGGAACCCGATAACTCTCTAAGCACCCAACCTGTGGCTTTCATCTATGCCGACCACAAAGAACGCCTCCAGCAAGGTCTAACAAATCTCCTCTCTTCGATAATACGCCAATTGGCATGGCAAAATGCCGCGATCCTGGACGTTATAGTTCCGAAGTACAGGGAGCACACGTCACCCGCTTCGCCCGCCAGTCCTTCTCCGCTAACTCTCGCGGAGTACCGAGAAATTCTGCAAGATATTCCGAAATGTGCGAATAGAGTGTTCATTGTCATCGACGCTCTCGATGAGATCCCCGATGCTGAAGAAGAGGGTATCGATTGCCGGTTTGAATTGCTAGACACACTGGCGCAGCTAGATTGTGCTTCGCTTTTCTGCACATCGCGACCCCATATCAACGGGTCGCTGTACTTCACAAGCTTCTCCGAAGTAGTTATCGAGGCGACAGATGCCGATCTACGCGCCTTCCTAGAGGCAAAATTAAACCGTTCGAGGAGACTCAGCGGCTTTCTGTCAAAAGATAAACCACTTGGAGATGAGATTGTTCAGACTATCACAAGAAAAGCCTCCGGGATGTTCTTGCTCGCTCGACTTCAGATAGAGCAGATCATGACTGCTCTATCGATTCGGCAGGTCCGGTCTATCCTCGATAAACTATCTAGCCGGCTTTCCGACATGTACGAAATGACGATCGAAAGAATACAGAGTCAGTCCGATGTTGAGGCCGCGTTGGGGATGCGCGCTGTATCGTGGGTCGCCAGCATAAAACGGCCACTAAGCGTCTCTGAATTTATCCACGCCATGTCTGTAGAGGAAAATGATCGGTCGTTGCCTGACAGCAGTCTAATGGACATACACGCTATACTAGGAGCTAGTGGGGGCCTTTTACAACTTCGACCTGCCTCTATGGCAGATGATTTGTCCGTAGACCCTTTCCTCAAGAGGGTCTTTCAGCGGGAAGAGGTCGTAGGCTTCGGTCATTACACAATGCAAGAGTTCATGGACACCGCTATATCCCCCGCCACGAGCCATTGCGACATCGCGAACACCAGCCTTACGTATCTTTGCCTCAGCGTATTTCAAACACGGCACGGCTCCGCCCACACTGTTGACTATCTATATCCGTTTCTAGCCTATGCAGCACCATTCTGGCCTGCACACGCCGCTGCTGCTGGAGATGGGCTTAGATTCGACCTCGTCAAGGAGCTGATATCTCAATCCGGGTTAGTCAACAATTGGCTCCAATTTGCTTTGGGCGAACGGTTTCGCCGAGGTCATGCTCCTATTCCTGCGGGGTTCGCCGCCGCAGCTGTCGCTATGCATGGAGCATCGAATGTGCTCCAATTCATGCTTGATGACGGCCTACCGATCAACGTCAAGTTCCATGAGGGCATTAGCCCATTTGGTGTCACCTTACTCAGCGGCCAATTGAATTGCCTGGAACTGCTCTTCTCGCGTGGTTTCACGAATGACCCGGAATTGAATCGCGCCTGGGTCTTGGCGACTTTTGAAGACTGTCGTGTTCGCGGAGCAATGAGCCTCTTTGAGTTTTTTCTGGGACAAAATTTGGAGACCGTTCGCAGCTCCGACCATATGACTCTTGAAGATGGTCAGACAGAACCATCACCGAGAGTTTTACATCCTCCACTAATCAGCAGGGTCATTGAGCATGGCTTACTCTTGATGGCGAAGGAATTGTTGAACAAGGGTTGGGATCCTAAGTTGGTTTATCTCACTGGGGGAGAGGGCCTGACGTCACGTGGGTCGCCAAAATGGACCAGCTTGTTGCACGATTCCATCCGGTCCCATGGACTAGGCATACTTCGACTCCTTATCGCAGCTGGGGCCGATGTCAATCAGACGCCATCCGGGGCGTACACGCCTCTTGTATCTGCAATTCTAGAGAGGTGCGAAGACATGGTCGAGGAGCTGCTCAAGGCTGGCGCGAACATCCATCCACCGAACGATCCGCTCGATCGGCCTGGTAACGAACCGTTCATGCTCGCTCTCCAACGTCGCGCATCTGGTATTTTCGCTAAGCTTCTCCATCACGGTGCTCTGGCGAAAGACTTCAGAGGGGAGAGGAACACAGTCCTTCGCGCAGCCCTGGACGGAAAGGACGAACGCATTATCCGGACCCTTATTCCCCGCTTCTTCAACGGCCAGCTTTCAAAAGAGGAGTTTACGCTCGGCCTCACAACCTTGCTTGATCGTGGTAGACTGGGCTCCGCTGCGGCCATTCTTCGGTCGCAATGCAAGAGTAAAGATGATGTGTCCTCCAAGGGTGCGGAAGGTCTGATAGGGGCAGCAATACGGGCGCAAATGCCTAGCTTTCCCGCTCCTCTAATTGAGATCGTCTTGGGCTCAGGCAAACGCGACTCCTGGATCCAAGAACTCGTCCAATCAGAAAATGTCTCAGTGTTGGAAGAGCTGTCCAATGCTGGCTTGGATATTGATCTCCCCCAACCTCACAAGAGCCACTCGTGAAGGCGTTTAAAGCTATCGACTCTGCAATTCCTACTGAACTAGGAGTTGGGTCAGCTTTGCCCGATGCTCCATTTTCTCCATAATGGAATTTGGTTCTTAGTTTCCAGCGACTTGCATGAAGGCACATCGATTCCGTATTGCGCTCGCATGGGAAAAGTTGGGTGCCTCAGGCACGTCAATGCCCCTGATCATGAGTGAGGAACGACTGGCGAGTATGGCTCTACTATCTGATCAACAAAAGCCCCCTTACTTAGAACGCCTCTGAGACTCCCGGCCTCCTCCTCTCAATCGCCAACACCATATCCACAAACCGCCTCCCCAAAGGCTCCTTCTTCCTCGCACTCAACAGCGCCGCACTCTTCAACACATTCTTAATCTGCCTCCCGTTCAACTCAACAACCGCCAGCTCATCCAAATCCTTCTCGCTCCACTCTTGCGGCACATCCAGCCCCTTCAAGAAGTTCTCCCAAATACACCTCCTCGCCTGGCTTGTCAGCTCCGGATACGCCATGCTGACGTGGATCCGTGACTGGAACGCCGCGTCGATGTTATCGATGCGGTTTGTCGTCAGGAAAAGGATCCCCTCGTAGTACTCCAGCACACGCAAGAAGATGGAAACAAGCTTGTTGCGCTCGAGATCGTGAGTGCTGCGCGCTTCGAGGAAGACATCGCATTCGTCGATCAACAGCACCGCCCGCCACTTCGCTATCATCTCTAGGATGTTCGTCAACTTCGTTTCGACCTGGTCCGGGTTGATTCCGAGGTCGCCAGCCGACATCATGTAAAGCGGAGCGCCCATGTGCTCGGCCACTGACTCCGCGGTCAGCGTCTTTCCCACGCCGGGAGGCCCGGATAGGAGGGTGATGTGGCCCCGCCCTTTGCCGGAGATTACGTCGTCAAAGACGGTGCTGTGCGAGGCTTGGGATTCGGCGAAGGAGAGGATGAGCTCTTTCTGGTCTTCGGGAAGCACCAGGGATTTGAAGGCGTTCTCGTCGAACTTGATGTCCCGGATCAGATCGAGGTAGAAGAGCAGCCACTGCTTCTTCTTGAGAGAGTAGCCGCGGACACGTGGGCTGCAGATGAGTTGGTGCTGCTCAGTGAGCCGCAGCCTCTTGGTCCCTGCCTGCCTGCCAAAGATGTACTTTTCATCATCGTCTTCGCTCTCGATGCTGAACGGCTTGCCCGCGCACTCAGGCGCCGGGGCGCCTTCCTTTGCCTCCAGCGGCTCGATATATCCCACATAGCGCGGCGAAAACCTCCGGAAAGTATCCGAGTCTACAATGATACGCCCAGTGCAGTTCGTTGGGGCCTCCTTACCCTCCTTATCCCACGTTATCGCCATGCCCGAGTACTCTTTATAATGGCATCCAGCCAACTCTTCAAACTTCATCCCTCTCTTCACCAGCATCTCTTCAGCCTTCTCCTGCTGCGGATGGACCCGCATCGGGAACGCAGCCAACCCCAAAATCCGCGTCGTGCCGAGGAACTCCCATAGATTAATCCGTTCTACCGAGCGTCCGAAATGGTTGCCGTTCCAGTCGATCATCTCAGCAGTGAGCTGGTACGCCATCCCGCACTGCGTCTTGACATACTTCCCGTTCCTCAGTTTGAGCGCTGAGGCCGCGCCGTTATGCGACGCGGAATAAATGACATCGCCCGGCTGGAAGATGGTCCACACGTGCTCGAATGTGACGACGCCCTTATCCACATAGTCCTCGAGCGTCTTAATAACGTCTCTGAGCTCGGCGCGCAGCACGTCGTACAGCAGGTCCACATGCTCCCTCGTAACGTCATCAACATCGCCCCTCTCGCGAAACGCAACGAGCCTGTCCCACCGATGCACAAACGGCTCGAACGGCGCCTCGAACTCCAACCGCTTCAGCGAGCAGCAGATCCCCGGATACCCGTCGAGCACGTGTTCGTCCAGGACCTGCTTCAGCCGCGGCGACTGGATGATCAGCGAGTGGATCTCGTACTTCTTGCGGGAGTCGTTGGCTTTCTGCACGCGCGTGATGAGCGCGTGCTGCGCCGTCTGCGCGTTCTCGGCGGCGTCAGCGACGTCGGTGGGTTCGTGGTCCAGCCAGGTCCACTTCTTGTCCTTGTCTTTGGGGCCCTGGTAGAGCGTCGTGCTGGTCGGGAGGGAGCCTTCGGGGGCGTAGCATTGGGCGCTGTTGGTGCTGTTGCCGTTAATGGCTTTGGGGGTTTTGTCTTTGACGGCCATTGCGGGTAGGTAGGCTGGAGTGAGTCAAGCACAGTTGCGTAGATGGCTTAACCAGAAATAGAGAATGGGATAAGGTGGGCTGGGTTGGGAAGGCCGGTTACCAATACGAATGGTGCCGTCTTTATACCTTACTCTCCTCCTAGGCATCAACATCCATCTGACTCTCCCTGCGACAATCGCATTCCCACACCCCCGTCGAGTTACCCTAAGGCGCGCTATCCTCCCCATCTTACGCTCCACAAATCCAGGCAACAATGTGGCGATGCGCTCGTTCGCCGCACAGAGTACACCTACGAAGAAAAGTCCGGTATAGCTGCTGCGCAAAAGTGCACAAGTAACACGCTGTATTCAAAACCATCTCATTTCCGCCCGCCGTCGTTGCGAGTGTGGAACGTTGTTTGCGGCTATGACTGCTGCGCCACAACCCGCCAATAAATCCCGGTGAGGCTGTGCAGAGCTCCGACATCGTGACTCCTGCTATCAATGGTTAGCTGTGCGCGGAGGATTGCGCTAGTGACTCCTTGCACCTTAAAAGGCTGGAGATGTGTAACAGGGACCCAGCGAGCGCAGCCTTGCGGAAACGAATGGCAGAGCTTGAGGCCTTGTAGCATGCTTCAGGGGCGCTGACTCATGAAAGCGGATGCAGAAACCAGCCTTTTCGGCGCACCGAGACCGGCGGCATGCTTCGAGTCCGCTCGAATGCAATAACTAGCCTGCTTACAGGATTAGCGTGACCGACATGACGGAATTCAAGAAGCCGGGAACGTCCCATCAAGACGAGAAAGCTTGTTCGACAGCGAAGAATATGATTTTCATGTTTGTTGTCTTCTATCAGCGATGTCCAACTTTCCCCTCTTCACCCATTCTCATTCAACATCAAGATTCTAGATGCAAGGCTTCCCGGATAAAGGTCAGAACCGTCGGCGTATGATATTGTTGCATCGTCCGAAGATCAGACATAACACGGGGGCCAGGAAATGCAAAACATCCAGATCGCTGGAGGACACAAACCAACACGAGAAAGCGATTACTCCGTGAAGCCCAAGAAAGCCAACTCTTTGCGGATCGAGTCCTCAGTGCCAATTTTCTTGACTTGCGTGTCTTCCAGCTTCTCCCCACCCGCCTGCCTCATCTTCAGATCGTCAATCGCGCGGATCTTCTTCAGCAAGCTCCTGATCTTCTTATCCTTGGGATCCCCACCACCGGGGCTCGTGACCGTGAGATCCGGCGCAGGACCTTGGTTCTCAGTCTTGATCGGAGCAGGAGGTGGGGCTGGCTGAGCGGCCCGCTGTTGCTGAGGGCCAGAGCCAGCGCGGCGGTGGTGCTGCTGGTTTAGGTTGGCCCGGTAGTTGCCGTCTTCGAAGCCAGAGCCATGGCGGCGGTGCGGGCTGTTACCGTAGTTGCGGTGCTGGCTAGGACTCCGTTCACCTTGACCGCCAATACCATTCTTGCTCCGACTGCGTTGGTGGTTCCGACCATCGCGGCCATCGCGACCATCGCGTCGCTCGGGACTCCGACCTGCGCTTGTCGGTCCTGAGGGCGGGGTGATCCCTTCAGCAGCCAGAGTCGCAGCCTTTTCCGCCGCCTCCCTCGCCTTCTTGGCTTCTCGCTTCTTCTTGTTCTTCAGCGCCGCCTTTGATAGTTCGCCGTCGCCTTCTCCGGTGCCGGTCAAACTGACACCGCCACCGGGGGCTGCACCTGGTGGCAGAGGCTCGGCAAGCTCCGCACCTGGCACCTCACGGCGGCGAGGCTTTCCGAAGCCGTTCGAAAACGAGGCGGTTGTAGACGAGATTCCGGTATTGGTGTATGCAGCGCCTCCCTCATCTTCTCGCTTGAACAGCAGAGGTGTGGTGGTACCGCGTGCGCCGGGGGGACGGTATGCGCCAGCGGGTTTAGAGGGAGTCTTGATTTTGCTCAGATACTCGAGAGCCGAGGGATGTGGAGTGGGTATCGGATGGAGAGGATCATCCAGAGGATGTTGAAGCGTCGATTGAGGGCGCCAAATGACATGGTACAGCTCCGCCATCTCCTCATTGTACATAAGGCCGCCGCCAACGTGCCAGATACGTATTCCATTATCCACACGAAGGCGCGGGCTCGTGGTCGCCGTAAGAATATGTTTGCCATCCGGGCTCCACGCGCAGTGGGTGCAGTTTGCTGCTTGTATGGTGCAGATTTTCTCGTAGTTCTTCTCCAAGTCGTAAACGTCCATGTGGCCAGCCAAATTTCCAAAGCCAGCGACAAGAACGAAGTGGCCGTGTGGGGAGAAAAGAATAGTGTTTCGCGGGCCGAGATCAAAGTTGTGCTGTGCAACAGCGCGCGCATTGAAGATGGTGGTCTTGGCAGGCATATAACCGTAAACGACGCCGAATTCTTTCGAGTTCGGCGACCACGTCACATCGTGGATTGGTCCTTCTTTATCTGGTTCATGTTAGCAATGTACGCACATCGCGTCGTAGTACTGACCGAGCTGAATACGCGAATCGAAGGAGCCGTTGGCGCTCAGAATATACATGTTGGTCTCGCCATAGTAGCTCTTGTTCGTCTTGTCGACCTCGGTTTGAGCGAGCACGATCAGGCTCGTTCCCAGCTCGTTCCACTTGAGCTGCACTTTATCTCCCTTGTAGAAGGTTTTCTGCGACACGGGAGCGGCGAACTGGGGTACCTGGAAGACCTTGACTGCGGCGGGCATCCCCTGGAATCACTGTTAGCTCTGAACCCTCTGCTCCTCACTTGCAGACTTGCCTTGCGCTCCGGGACAAAAACAGCAACTGAATGGTTCTTGCCGGGGGACACCGCAAAGTCGGTCACGCCCTCCACGCGGAGCTTGTTCCAGACCGTCTTCAAGTCGCCAGACTGGTAAAACTGCACCTCGTTTGTCACAACGCGGGCGCAAAACTTCTCGTCTGCCGTATACTGCAGATTCCAGCCAGTCTGAGACTTTTGCACGTATTCGCCGACCACTGTCCGCTCCTGTCCATTCTCGGCCTCTGCATCCTCGGGCACAGTCCTCCACACCTTGAGGTTCTTGGTAGCATTTCCTTCGTCGTCCTTGGCGGGGCGCTGCCAGGTGATGATGTAGGTCCCCAGCGGCGAGAATCCGAGCTCGAAGACGTTGGGCGTGGGGAGCGTGGTGATGATGTAGCCGACTGACGCATCGATGACCGAAACCCTGAAGCGCGTGCGTGTCAGACAATGCTGAGTGGGCCTTCCAAGGGGTCGCTTACTGTTCGGGGGATGCCCACGCAAAGTACCTGCTGTCAGGGGAGTAACAGCAGCAGCGAAGGTTGCCTTCGGGCCTGGAGCACGAATGAGCGCCAAATCCCGGCGGAATGTAGGCACCTATCTTACCGTTCAAATCCCGGGAGAGACTCATATACCGGGTCGGTGTTGAAGACGCCGATGCCCTTGGAGGTGCGGTCTACGTGCAGCCGTTAGCATCAGGCCACGAGATTTGGCATTTTCCGACATACAAGCCAGCTGTGTAGGTTCCGCCATGACTAGTCAAAGCCACAGAAGAGGTTCAGCGGGTGGAAGGGCAGGATGCTGCTGGAGGAGAGCCTGGTGCGGGTTGCGTCGCTGCTGTGTTGGCGGTGTGGAACGGCCAAGGGAGCGAACACGCCGAGAAGTGACGTATTCCGTGCTTTGTGCTTGCAGAGCAGACGTCGAGGCGCACGCAGCAGTGACGGGGCGCGGGGAACCGAGGACACACGACGCACGAGAATTGGAGGGAGGACCGTGTGAAGAGCGGAGCTGGCGTGAAATTCACACTCAGCCCTCGACTAAACTTCGCGCCGGGCGGGCAGACGCTAGCGCGCTCGGCCCGTCATGATCGCCGCGTCACGTGTACGGCGGGCATCCTTGGAAACCGGCCCTGGAGAATCTTTGCCTGGAATGGCAAGATGGGCGCGACATCCCTCTCCGCGGTGACGATGGAACTACGCAATTGGCCAGGGCGCGCTTGCCCGCCACCACGAGTCGGCCCTCTGGACAGCAATAATCACTGGAAGATGAGCCGTGCGTGCCTGAAAACACTGCAGGTGGGCGTGGGTTCGCGTGCTCCGCAAAATGGCCGCCTCCCCTGAAGCTGTACGAGAACGCGACCTGCAGAGGTACATGTCGCTTCAACACCAGCCGGAACGAGCCCTAACTGTTCGTCTGCAGGTTCCTCCAGCCATGGCTGGACGCGCAGAGCCTGGCCTATACCACCCTCACCTACAGAGGCTACCAGCCGCGAAGCTCCCGCGACAAAGCCCTCACTGCCTTCGCCCAGCTTGCCGCTCTGCGCTTAGATGTCCGCCGGGCCATGGTCTCGCTCATAGACTCGAGTCGCCAGTACGTCCTTGCCGAAGCCACCAGGACCCTTTCGCTGTTCACTCAGAGCGCTGAGCGCGCGGAGGATGAGATATGGCTCGGCAATACCATCATAGCGAAAGCGGAGGCCATGTGTCACCATACCTTCGGCTCTACCTATTCGGCTCCGGAAGAGGACGGGGACACATATCTGGCAGACGCCCTGGTCATCCCGGACTGTCGCGACGACCCTCGCGTCTCAGCATTCGACTATGTTACGAGCGAGCCTGGTGTGCGCTTCTACGCAAGCGTTCCTATTATCACCAAGGCAGGACACAACATAGGGGTTTACGCCGTGTCTGACGATAAGCCTCGCCACGGTCTGAGTGCTTCCGAGGTCAGGTTCATGCAGGATGTCGCCGCCGCCGTTATGGAACACCTGGAGCTGGCAAAGGACAGTGACGACCGCAACAAAGGGGAACGCATGGTCCGCGGTCTTACTGAGTTTATCGAGCGGTCTTCGAGGCAGGAAGCTCGCGGCACTGGCAACCGGCCCACGACAATGGAGAAGCAAACCGAGAACGCTCGGCTTCAGGCAATTGCAGACGAGGTCCACGCTGGCGGAATGGCGCCCACCACGAGGCAGCCACAGCGCAAACACGAGACGGAACAGGAATCGGATTCCGCACAGATGTTCCAACGCGCCGCACGCATTATACGCCAGTCCACGCGCGCAGATGGAGTTGTCTTCTTTGACACGTCGGCCGCGCGTATCAGTCATCATGTCCTTGAGGCTTCCAGTGCAACAGCGAGCAGCGATGAGAATTCGTATTCTTCGACAACTGGCTCTACAAGGCGGAGACGGGATAAAGGTGGTACGCCATCAACCAACGGAACCAGTACCGCCACTGAAGGATCTGGGAGCAGTCTGGGCATTTTGTCAGATGATGATAGCAAATGCTGTCCGGTGGTTGGGCTATCCCTGCATTTCGATGCCGCAACTGTCTGCGAGGAAGACTTTTCTTTTACGGAAGCGTCCATGGATCGCTATATTCGTCGATACCCCTATGGTAAATTCTTCAATTTCGATGCTGAAGGAATAGGAATCGCTTCGAGCGACGAACCGTCGGAGAGATCTGAACCAGAGCATTCAGAGAAACTCGTTACATCGAATGGAGCACCGCGAAGACCGAGGAAAAGAAAAGAGCGATTCATCCCAACCGAGTTTCTGAAGGTTCTTGCCAACGTCAGAAGTCTTATTTTTCTACCGCTCTGGGACCCAGCATCAGAGAGATGGGTGGCTGGCGGCTTCATCTGGACCATGGCCACTGGACGGCTGATGAGCCCTGAGAATGAGCTTCCCTATTTGAAGGCGTTCGGCAATACTATTACGAGCGAAATTGCGCGCATGAATGCCCAAAAGTCCGACCGCGCTAAAAGTACCTTTATCGCCTCAATATCGCACGAGCTGCGCTCTCCGCTGCATGGCATTCTAGGCTCCGTCGAATTCTTGCGCGATACAGTGTCCTCTGCCTATCAACAGACGCTTGTCTCGTCAATCGAAACCTGCGGCAAGACATTATTGGATACGATAGATCACGTGCTCGACTATGCGAAGATCAATAAACTGCGAAATGCAGGCACCCGTCGAAAGCAGCGCGGTGGAGGGCGCAAGCTCCCTGCCGGTACGTGATCCCCGGAGCGATTTGTCAGACTTGCGTCCTTTTGTTCGTGGGGAGGCTTTCAACGGCGTTCCTTTTGCCGGTTCGTACATTATGACTCTGCTGACGATGACCCCTTTAGATAACTCCATCCTTGGCGTTACCACTGTCTTCAATCTGGCACAGCTTGTAGAAGAGGTCTGCGATACGGTCTGCGCAGGACACACGTTCCGCAAAACGCACGATATATACAATATTGCCTTCCATGATCAAGGCAGTCGATCGAGAGCCAATAGCTCGAGAGATGAGAATGCCAGGTCCTCTGACCCCTTGTCTACCGATCAAACCAAAGACCGAGTGGTGGTGACGTTGAATGTCGCCCCCTTTCTTCATTGGATCGTTCGGTCTCAACCGGGGGCTCTACGAAGAGTTGTGATGTATGTATGCACTGCTTTGATTGCTATGCTCAGTCTCGGGATCCCCCGCCCTTCCATCCTTGAGGCGCCAGCCGTAGGTCCTTTGCGATACTGCGCTGAACTGGCTCAACAAATTTCTACCCTCCGCATGGGGACCCTACTAACTTTGGCTCTAGGAATCTTCTAGGTAATGCATTGAAGTACACGGAAACCGGATTTATCACGGTCTCGCTCCTGCAGGATCAGGAGAGCAGAAACGATCCGCATGCGGTCGAGTTCACCTTAATCGTTGAAGACTCCGGCAAGGGCATGTCCACCGAGTTCCAGCAGACCAAGCTGTTCGCACCCTTCAGCCAAGAAGACCCTTTCGCAAACGGGACCGGCCTCGGACTCAGTATTGTGAAGCAAATCGTCGAATCTCTGAAAGGCGAAGTAGGCGTCCAGAGTACTGTGAATGTTGGTACGAAGGTCGTAGTGTCCCTGAAGCTTCCAACGGGAGCAGTGGAGCACGCCCGAACGAGTCAGACATTGACTGAGTCTCCGAAGGAGCTGAAGGGCATGACTACTAGCATTATTTTCCCCTCAGACAGTCTGGGCGGAGTTGGTGAAAAGTTGCGCGAGTCTATGGTCATGAGCTGCGTAGGCTTTTACATGGAGACTTCCGAAGAGCTGGATTTGGCTACTTTCCAGCCCGACTTCCTGCTCACGGAGCCGATTTCACTCATGCAAATCATAGAAAGACAAGCAGCAAACAACTCGGACGGGCCTGCTCTCGCTGTAATCTGCGTCTGTACCGACCCCGCGGAGAAGACTGCAGTGGAATCGCGAATCCGACAATATTCAAAACTTGGCTGGGTTGTTGAGGTGGTTGCGCAACCGTAAGTGAACCGCATCTTATAAAGAAGGCAGGAGCTGATCGTGCTAGATGTGGCCCACGAAAATTAGCCAAGATTCTCCTAGACGGAAAAGAGCGCGCGTCACACAAAGTCGAGAGTATACAGGTCAGCACAGAATCTGGGCGTGGTACAGCGGACGATCAGCAACCTCCTAGTGAACCAAAGGTCCCAGTTCGACGTAGTATGAGTGACATGGTCCGAGGAAGCAGCACCATACCTCGCACCGTCGCCGGGCCTCATTCACCTCTGATATCGGCCACCATGCCCGTCGCATCAACCGGTCTGCCACCCCTCGCCGAATCAGACATACTGGACACACCAGCGAGCGAAGGACCCAGCGAGTACTTCACACCCCGCGTTCTCCTCGTCGACGACAATGCCATCAACCTCAAGCTCCTCGTAGTCTTCGCGGGGCGCCAAAATCTCCGCTTCGAAGAAGCCACGAACGGCCTGGAAGCGTTTGAGAAATACAAGAGTGAAGCGCTGGCGTCCAGCCCGCCGTCCAAACCCTTCGACTTCGTGCTCCTGGACCTTTCTATGCCTGTTATGGGCGGCCTGGAGTCGACGCGCAAGATAAGGCAGTTCGAGGACGAGCATAACATCCAGCGCAGCCATATTGTGGCGCTGACGGGCCTAGGGAGCGCGCAAGACCAGCAGGATGCAGTGGATGCCGGCGTCGATATGTATCTCGTTAAGCCGGTCAAGTTTGCGGATCTCAAGCGGTTGTTTGGGAGTAGGTGATTATACATACGGTCAGCAGGGGGTATACATACGGACTTAGGCTTCGGTTTCATGGGCTCGATGATGATTGCTAGGACGCACTTTAGATTAACGAGGTATGCACTATTGAGCTTGAGGGTGGGGATGGCAGCCCTTGATGGTGCACAGCGTTATTGCGCAAGTTCCATTGAAACCGTGAGCTTGATGGCTACTCCTGTTCTTCCTCTCTGCTCTCGTCTTGTTAGCTTACATAAGCACCATCATCAAACTACTCTGAATCAACAAACAAACACACACCCTTGCATACTCCCCGTGCTCCTCCTCCCTTCTCTAGCAACAATGCATGCCTACGGGTCTTAGACACTAGCAGCGCGTCCCTACCCCAAATTCCCTATCCGCAAGTGCTGCAGCCACTACAGAGCGGCCAATCCCCGCTATCCTCATCACAAGCTCGTGCTCGCCTTCTGGCACTAGAGTAAAGTGACCATCTTATATTCATCTTCAGTAGCATTGGAATCTCGCGCTTGCTCCCCTTTCCGGCTCTTCCGGGAGGTCCAGAACACGGTTTCCACAGCGAACAGACGATAGGTAATTTCCGCTATACGATGTGCGCCGACTACAAGGTGCACACATGGGTTGCCCGCGCGCCCGCGCTCGGTGGAGGTGATGGTTCAGCAAAATTGATTGACAATGGCGTTCTGAGATAGCTCTCAGCTCTCTGACTCAGCGGCGGAGCCTGCGGGTTCTGGGGCGTATGAATCGTGTTAGAAACATACCAATCTGCGCAGGATGCAGGCAGGGTGTGTCCACATTTTGCTCCTGCGCCTACGAATCGCCATGCCTCGCTGGGTATACATCCGAAGCTGTGAGCCAGTTTTCAGAGCCTAGTGAAGTACGGAACAGCCAGCCTGGAGACCCTCAACACACTATAGATTTATAAGTCAGCGCCCCTAAAGTGTGCTACTATGCCTCCGGCTCCGCCGTTCAATGATGAACTAGAAGACTCGCCTCCACCTTGAGCAAGAAGAGTCTGAGGATGTTGAACGAAATTGGTAACAAGACCATGCTTACTGCTGCACGATACAGTCCTAGGACGAAGGAAATCTACTCGAAACGCAACTTGCATACGGACCCAAACCTGCCGAAAGAAATACAGCGGCGACCGCGGTAGATAGGCGGCAATGAACGCTCGCGCGGTATTGGCAGCCGAGAAGGAGGATCTCAACCCGCGTGTCGCTTCGTGTATTCTCGCAGCCATTCCGTAATATCCTCATACCCGTATAGCGCGCCAACCTCAACAGCGTAGTAGGTCAGCATGGCCCCGTGCTTGGCAAGCATCTTGGCGGCATCCAGTTTGCCAGCTCTTGCAGCCCAATACAACGCCGTTCGCCCAAAATTGTCGACGCACTCGGTATCCACGCCCTGACTCAGCAAATACTCCAGCATATCCAAGTTCCCCCTTTCCGCCGCCAAGGACAGCGTGGTCCGATTCGTGGCGTCCGCAACCTTAACACCGTCCGGAAACTCATTCACGAGACTCCGTACAATGAGTAAGTCATTCTCTAATACCGCTTCCAGAATATTTTCTCTAAGCGAGCGTTCTCGGTCTGCTGACGAAGCGCAGAGGATGGCGAGGCGGTGCGGGCGATAGCTCGGCTCGACTAATTCAACGAAGGGAAGGAGTTGCGAGACTGATGCGCCTTCGTCTAGGAGAAAGCTCAATAGGGACGCCTTATTCCATTCACTAAGGCCTTCTAGGAGTACTTCTGGGGCGATATTGCACATCGCTGCTGCACCGCTTAATGTCTTGTCCGGAGAAGCGCGAGAGGGAGACGATTGGCCTAGTGATGCCAGAACTAGCCGTGCGTCGTTCAGCGATCCATCCACAGCCAAGTTGCGCGCTAGCATCGCTTTCCAATCATCGTCGTAGCCGATAAGACTGCAACCGTTATCCACTAAGGTAGTTAAAACGTCGTCATACCGGAAGCGGGAGTTCTCCGCGTAGATATCAAGAGGCGACTTGCCGTCGCGATCCCGAATGTCGATGTCAGTGCCACTTCGAAGTAGGGTGCGTAAGTTTTCGAGCATGCTGACCCTCCCATATGCAGACTCCACGAGGGCGTGAAGTGGAGTCTTCCCGTCGTGGTCGGGCATGTTTACCGTCCTGCATCTTTCGATGATAAAGTCGAGTATTGCAGTGGGCTGGTAAACGGCATAATGCAGCGCGCTTCTTCCTTTCCGATCTCGAACCTCCACGTCTGCCCCTTTCTCTACCAGGGCTTTGATTGCACTCAACAGATCGATATCCCCATGGTTCCCTTGTAGAAGCTGGCAAAGCGAGTCATCCTGAACATCGATGCGACCACAGGCGTCCAATACTGCAAGAAAGCGCTTGTCCTTCCATTTTGCGGCGAGGCTGAGAGCTGTATTTCGAGCCGAATCAAACTCGCCAGGGTCCAGTCCCCATCTGAGTAAGGTATTGATTATCGCAAGCTCCGTGGACTGCCCTGTCTCGAACCACGAAGGCTGCCGCATCTTCGTCTGTAGGGCTACATGAAGCAGATTACCGCCACTGCTTGGTCTGCTCCTGCGAGTGCTCGGATCGCTGAAGACGGAGATGACCTCAAGTCTCTGGGCCCTGAGACATTCCAATTGTTTCCCAGCCAGAATTAGGTCCAAGGCAGTGAAACCATCTTCATCGCGCAGTGTGGGATCAATGCCAAGGTCGATCAATTTGACTGCTGTAGAGGCCTTGCCCCACACACAGGCGTAATGAAGGGCGCTCCAACGTTGACGAGCAAGGAGGTTGATATCCACACCCAAGCCACCCACTAAGAGATCCAGGACTTTATGGGAGCCAGTTTTCGCAGCGATATGAATCGGGTGCAAACCATCGCTGTTGTAAACATCGTCGAAGCTTTTTAGTGTCATAGGAGCCAAGAACTCGACGCAAGGAGCTCGATCTTTGCTGGTGGCGGTGTGGAGAAGAGGAAGGAGCCGTGATCTGCTCCGATGTAAAGTATCAATATCGTTATCCTGGAGTAACCACTTCAAAGTTTCAACACGGCCACGGCTTGCGGCATCGAAGAGAGCTGCATCCTCACCCCACCTGTTCAACAACAGTTGAACAAGCGCCCTGTTACCGGTACTTATCGCAATGTCGATAGGCGTCATATCATTCAGGTCAGGAATGTGGACTTCTGCACCTGCGTTGAGCAGATACTCCGTTGCAGAATAATGTCCGTACCATACCGCAGTATGTAACACGGTGTTCCATTTTTGGAAAACCTCGTCTCGGGGGTCGAATGACTGCATTTGACGCGCATGGATGTTTGCCTTCCCAATATTGTATAACAAGTCGAGGATGTCCACTATGCCTGTGCTGGCGGCAACATCCAATGCTGTGTTCCCAAATTGATCCCGACTATCAGGACTGACGCCAGACGCAAGCAGTGACCGGATTTCTGGTTCAAGGCCCAGAGTTGTTGCGAAATGGAGCGCTGGTTGCAGTCCATACGCCTGCCCCGGATCTCGAATTATCCAAAAGCTAGCAATCCAGGCAGATCCGACTTCCGAATGCAAGAAGGCGGCGAATGACCGATGAAAGGCGATATTTGAATGTTCAACCAGCCTGGCATGCTCCGGCAGGTTTTCAATACAGTATTTCAGCGCAGGCATTTCCAGGCTTGTTGTATCATTGCCAATGGGGCCTGGGACTTTTGAGACTGGTAGTCTTCTCCGGCCAATTATTGACATTTGGGAGGAAGTAAACTTATGGGCACTAGCTGATGGCGTCCTGTGCCACGGTACGTGTAGTGTACGGAGGTCGTATGGGTCGTAACGCTCTCTAAAGGAAGGCAGTTCCCTGTGCAAGTCGTCAAGACGCACCGCCTCAGTCATAGCATCGTTCTTCCTAGCAATTGTCCAGAATATCATCTCATCTTGGTTGAGCGATACTCTTGCTAGCCAGTCCCTTTCGTCCCTGATCTCCGAGGTTAGGGAATAGTAGAGACAACACCGGTTCGCGAGCGTCCGGTTTGCTAAGCTGTGTAGAGCGGCTGTCGTTGATGGTGGCCGAGTCGAGCTTGTGAACGTGTTCGTTATCCACGGCGGTGGCCCTGAGGTAGATGCGTTTCCGCTTGTTCGCTCTGCGCGGAGGAGAAATTCTCTCGCTGAGTGATGGATTATGGAAACAAATGGCGATTCTTCCGTTCTGGAGATCCTGAAGAAAGATCCTAGCAGCTCAGCCACCCCTTCTGCACCAAGCAGGTCGACGCTTGTGTTAAGCTCAAGGTCCTGAGATGTGTCCACTGTGCTATCCAAGGCAACAGCGGAGGAAAGTTCTTTAACGCTCAAGGGTCGAGTCGCAAAGACTACCCACAGAAGAACTGTGGCGACCAGCTGTCGGTGGGTCTCTTTGACATTATCTAAGCATTGTCTGTAAGCGGCCATCAGATCATCTGGGAATCGGTCCAACGTCTCCATGATGTTCTTCCGTGTAAGATGGGCCTTCTCCAGTGATCGAATTGCCATGAAAGGGAGCAGATACATGCCCTGGGACCTCTGAGAGAGATCCTCAGTGATCACGCCGGCTAATTGTGGGCAGTGACGCTTTCTGCATAGCTCGTCCACTTTCTGCTTCACTGCGATATGGATGGCGTCCTCATGCTGACTTTGGTCGTCCAAATCAAGGCCGATCGTGGTAGGGACCTTTGCTGATAGACTGAGCGAAGCCGGACCTTGCCGATTCAAGAAGAGTGCTTTGACCCCTGCTTGAGAGTGGCGCGTGGTTAACAACGTAAACGAATCAATGATTTTCTCCGCGCTTTCGTCGCACTGGTCCAGTGCGTCGATGATATAGACAGCAGGGTGCTTGAACTCCCGAAGAAGCCGCTCAAAGGTCTGCTTCAATCGGGCTTCCGTCCAGACGTTTGTGGAAAACCCCGGGGATAGCCGCCTAGATAGTGTCGAGTGGGCGGAGACCCTGGAGAATAGGGTAGGATCTTCAGTGAGAATTTGATAAATGAGTGCGGCCCATGCTGTGATCGTGATTAGCAATTGCCTGGCGCGAAGAAAAGCGATCCCAAACATCGCGGCGCTTTTGTCTGTACTCAACCCGTTGAACGCCATGATGAGTGGCTTTCAAGAGTCAAACTCAGACATGCTGCTATGTGCACCGCGGCAGACGTACCTGCGGATGCGGACCGGCTGCTGGTGTGGTTCTTGAATGCGAAATAGAATGGACGATGGACCAGGAGTTCTTGCATTCCAGAGTTGAAAAGAAACGCTGCTAAGACTGATTTGCCACTCCCTCGCTTTCCGAGGATACTCAAGACGTGAGAATCTTTCGAAGTCAGCCACTTAGTGAAGAGAGTATGGGAGAGAACCCAATCAGTCGTTCCGGGGCAGGGGTCTTCGATCTCTTCAAGTGATTCTAGAGTGCATTAGTGACAGTAGGAGAGGGGGTAGGTAACATTTCAACAAGTTCTAGTTTGTCCTATGCCTTTAAGGCATTTAGGGAGAGCTTTGAAAAGCTAGAACGAGAACATGCTAGCATGTGTTCCGCATCATACGCACCGTATATATTCGAAACAGGCAAACTGTTGAGTAGACTGAGCTGGTCTACTGTTAATGCTCTGCATCGTGCGTTAGCACAATTCATGGAATTAAATGGGTCTGAAGTGACCTACGTACGCGGGTTCTCTTCTCGCGGAATAAGCCTCCTGACAGCTTTCCAAGCAGCTTCGAACCTCTCATCTTCAGGGCCCGAGAATTTACAGATCTGTTCGTGATCTCCCTCCATAGGAAGCGCTTCTTCTTGCGTAATATTCATGGTAGCTGAGTCCCTCGTGACAATCTCCCCCATATTAGTCTATGCCTAGAGCCTAGGGAGAGGAGCTTACAGTGACGAAACGCTTGGATTTGTTCTCCTCGTAGAAGCTCTTCACGCTATATCGCGAGACAATCTTCACAAAATCCTCGGAAATGTCACTGAGTGCTTTGCTGTTGGTCTTGAGGTCGTCAAGGAGCTTCTTTGGAGGGCTCATGAACATGAGCTTTGCAATGCCGGAAAGCATGGCGCTCCAGTTTGCGAGGTTTGATCCGCGATGCGGAGTGCCCATAAAGACCTTGATCTCGTCAGCACAGGGCTTCCGTAAATTCATGGCAGCTCATACGATGCCCTTGGTGTTCTGCGAGATAGCAGAGTACTCTTCATCTATCGAGGCATTCAGCAGTGCCTTCTTGACCACAATGCCCCCTAGACTGTGGCAAATGAAGATCAAAGGTCGATTGAGCTCCTTGTAAGCTATTGTTAGCATTCTGCTTCGAGCTCCACATGCCATCAACGGGCCGGTGTACTCACATCTGGTTCCTCCCGCTTGTCTCTGAGACTGGTGAGCAGCTTGGTTGCATGCTCTCTGATGCCGTTAGTCGAGTAGTTAAGCGCCAGATCGGCGTTATAGCCGAACGTCATAACCCTGACCATCGGGAGCTTTAGCGGGAGGAGATCTTGGGGCCAGAAGCAACCATTCTGCGTCCAAGTTGTGGTGCGACTGCCGTTTAGGCCATGGACCATGACAATGCTGGAGCGTTCGGATTAATGGGTCGAATTGCGGCTTGTGCCTGGAGAGCTTACTCAACCGTAGGCGGGCCATGCCGGATTGTCCACTCCGGCGCGGGAGGGTCGAGAATGATCAAACCTCGTCCAGACATGCCGTAGGTCTGATCTCTGGATGAAAGTTATGCTGATGTGGGCTTGCGCTTCGACGGAAATCGAGAAGAGAAGTCAGGGGCAGTTCAGCTGAGACATTCTTTCAGCTCGAAACCCCGCTTGGCAAAAAAACGCCACGAATGCGAAGGGCAGCCAATGAATGTGGCAGTGTCGCCGTAGCAATGAAGAAGCAATAACATTTCTCTCCCCTCATGCACCTCGTTGCATTATAGACCGGCACACCGGAAGTCCGAGGAGATCAATGTTCATGGCGACAGTCATCGTGGGCTCTCACGGAGAGTGGGAGGTGGGCGACGAGCTGAGAGTGGAGTCTCTCCTGCATGTTCAACAAGATATCGCTCGGTGCGAGATTAGCTGGGTAGACGTGACGACACTCACGTAGTTGCGGGTGATGATTTGAGGGGAAAGGTGATGGGCGGCACAGGGTGGGGCATCCCAAAGAGGGAAAGTGCCACCAGCACGCTAACGCGCGGTCACGTTGCGTCGCGACAAATCGCTACTCAGGCATCATCACGGCATCCATCGGTGCCAGGTGCTCACTGCCGTATATCTTGTCAGCGCTCATTATTTGCGCATCAGACAAATATCAACATGTTCGGAAACTTTGTTGCGACAGACGAAGCTGCGAGGACTGGGGGCCGAATCCTCCACATCTGGCGAGACCTAAGCCCCATACGGCGCGGGTCCTGAATGCCATATCAGCTCGTGCCCTCCCCAGGCAACCATCTCGATACTCCTACACCGAGTGCAACGGCAAGAATGCTCTTTAAAGTCGCCAATGTTATCACCGGCGCTGGCTCCGAAGCCGCAAAACAGGATGAAGGAGCCTCGCTCACCTCGGTCCTCGAGACGCCCACCCTCCGCGTTGAGCTCGCTTTGCTCGTGCTGCTATGCACCGATGCCATGCGAAGCGACTTGATTGCGACCTTCGATCCAGATAAGACACACGAGACCGCCTCCCCGACCTCCGCTGTCCCTTTGTCCCCGAAACCAGCGAATCCGCAGCGAGACCTCATAAGCTTCAATGAGCTCCAAGATGAGACAGCAATGGCGCGAGAGAGAGCGAGGAGAGCTAGACAAAAGGAGGTGGAGTCGACACATATGCAGGGACTGCGGAGAAGCGCTCTCACCTTTTTCGACAAATGGCGAGCCGGCGTCATGCACCGTATCTGTGACGTGCTCTGTGTGAGGGGCGACGTGGTACGACAGGCGAAGACCAAGAGGAAGCAGATGCTAGAGGAGGCAGAAAGGCAGAAGCAAGGCAATTCATTGCTGATTGACTTTGAGGGAGATCCGTTTCGCAGCGAGGCATACGCGGGTAGCAGAAGGATGAAGCACGGGCATTACAATGTTATCGAGAACAAGCTCATGGCCTTCGACGATCAGAAGAGGGTCCTAATCTTGCATTGCCTTCTCCTGCTGCTTTTGAGCTTGGAGCACTATCCGGCGCATTCGCGTGTCCTGCTACTACACCTGGCGAGCAGCCTAGAGCTCGAAGAGGATCTCCTTGCCGACCACGAAAAGTCGGTAGCCCAAGGACTTCTTGCGACAGCCGCTTCCCAGATGGATGCCGAGGAATCTGCGAAGAAGCAAGCGTCCAACGACGCTACGGCGCGGAAATGGAAAGTTGGCCTTGCCGCCGTGGGTGGCGCAGTACTCATCGGCGTTACTGGAGGCCTTGCTGCTCCTTTGCTCGCGGCGGGCATTGGCACGGTGATGGGAGGACTGGGCCTTGGTGTCGTCTCAACATACCTGGGAGCTCTAGCTGGTAGCTCTGTTCTTGTAGGGTCATTGTTCGGTGCTTACGGCGCCAAGATGACGGGACGAATCATGGAACAATATGCAAAAGAAGTGCAAGACTTTGAGTTCATCCCGGTCCAAGGTTAGCTCCCTCAGATCCCTCCAAAATTGCCTGGCTCACATGCTCTGCAGACCCCGAGCGGCCATCAGTACAACGAGATCACGAATGGGCTGAAGACGAAGACGCTCGAGATCCTAGAAAGCGCGAGCAACACAGACTACGGGTCTCAATAGGCATCAGCGGCTGGCTCAGCTCACCTTCTGACGTCAATAAACCCTGGGAAGTGATCGATGCCTCTTCTACCGAACCGTTCGCTCTTCGCTTTGAGCTAGATGCTATGCTCCGCCTCGGAAACTCCCTCAACGATGTCCTTTTCAGTTACGCTTGGGATGGGGTGACGTACACTCTTGTCAGCCGGACTCTCCTCGGCGCACTGTACGCTGGTCTGTGGCCCCTCGGTCTCGTCAAGGTCGCAAGCGTCCTGGACAACCCATTCAGTATTGCCCTTGCTCGAGCCGATAAGGCGGGAAAGGTTCTTGCTCACGCCCTCATCGATGGTGTACAAGGAAAGCGCCCCGTGACGCTGATGGGATACTCAATCGGAGCGCGTGTGATTTACGCTTGTCTCGTCGAGCTCGCTGAACAACACGCGTTCGGTCTGGTCGAATCTGCTGTGCTTATGGGTGCGCCGGTGCCTTCCGACAGCAAATCCTGGAGGCAAATTCGTTCTGTGGTTGCTGCACGCGTGGCCAACGTATATAGCACAGACGACTACATCTTAGGCTTTCTCTACCGATCCACGAAGCTCGAGTTTGGGGTTGCTGGGCTACAAGAGGTCAAGGACGTCCACAGCATCGAAAACGCGGATATGAGCAAGCTTGTGACAGGTCATGACAGGTACCGCTACCTCGTCGGCGCTATCTTGACGAAGATCGGCTTCGGCGACGTTGATTTCAATAGAGTAGCCGAGCAAGAGCGAGCACTGGAGGTGGCTGAGAGGAAGAAGCAGCAGGTCAGGGAACATGTGAGGAAGCACAAGAAGGAGAATCATCAGCCTGATCCCTCTGCTCAGGGCGCGACGGAAATGATCGTTGTGCAGGGCAGGTCGAACCATTTGGTGGACGTCTCTGACCTACCTCCTGCGACCCAAGTTCAGCCGCCCAGTGAACCACCGCCCCTCCGACGGCCGATGATGGTCATGCAACAAAGGTCGGGACAACAGCCGGCAATTCAGCAGCGAACGGCAATGCCAACATCCTCGCCTATCACTCGACAAGCACCTCCGGGCGCAGCATCTGAAGAGATGGACCCACTCTCCGGTGCCATCAAGACCAACGACCGTCGTACTTCGGCTACGACTAGACAATCTACGTTTCCCGTCGCTTCTATCTCGCAGCAACGTCAGATTCCGTCAAACGTTGCCCCAACGCCAACCACGCCTCCCCAACGCACCAACTTCACCGAGTCTGCATCCTCCTCCTCCTCAGAAAACTACAAGATCACCATGCGCGATCTGGACGCTCAGAAATTCTCACCGCCATTAGAAGAGATGCTGAAACACCCGAGAACCACTACGCCAGCAGTCTCTGCTCCAGATGAAGCGGGGAAGCGGGTACCCACCGTCGCGGTCAGCGAGGTGTCAGCCGACGAGCATGGTGAAAGTGACGATGAGATCAGCAGCGAGTTTGGAGAGTTGAGCATGGTAGATCCGGTGCCTTTGGATGATAATGATTATGGTTTGATGTGATGTTTGGACAGGCGTCTTAGCGAGTGTGTTACATCGCGGTGGTGCTGTATGATATGATGCCCTTTCATTCCCGTCATAATATGATCTCTCCTGCAACCATACCGTCCCTTTCTTCAAGCCTCAGTCGTGTCGTCCCTCTACCGCGTCTCATTCTCCGCGGGTCGTCGAACTTTGGGTTTTCATCTGCTCGGTGGGACAGTGATCGTCGAAAGAGCATGGGAGTTCGTGGATCTATGAAGCGCGGAGCAAAGAGGGGCGAAGGTGGAAAGACCTAATTCACCCAAGCGGTAAAGGTAAAGGACGTTACAAAGAGCCTTTTCAAAAGGGGATGCGTGAACAGGTGGATGTAACCAACGGTGGGGCAAGGCATGGCGCAAAAACGGGGTGAAGGAAGACGGAGGGCTGTGGCTATGGGGGATTTGAGGAGCCGAAGGGTTGGGCAAGGGAGCGAAGAGGGGGGGTAGAGAGGAGCGCACCGCATCACATCACATCACATTCACAAAAAGAGAAGCAAAGACATGTCGGACAGCAGCACGTCTTACCCAGGTCAGACAGGTAACCAAAGCAGCACGTACCAGCGGACTGATACACGCCATACCCCGACCTGAGCGCCTTAACGCCCTTTCATTCTTCCTGCAGTAAAGTAACCCAACACTCGCACAACCAGCCCAGTTCAACCAAGAACCAACTAGCCGGATAGCACATCGCAAGCCTCAAGGGCGGATAGCCATGCCAAGGCATCGAAGGGAGGTGAAAAGGTCTGGTGTGCGAGGTTCTTGCCATGGGGAAGGCATAGATGTGTTGGGGACCGGTAAGGAACCGGGGGTGGCAGGTTTGTACCACGGCTGCTACATCGACTTAACCCGCAGGTCAGGATTCGCAGACTGGGTGAGGAGAGAAGGAGAAAGACGGTGGGAGGGGTGGGAGAGGGGTTTATATAGTGGGGGCAAGGCCCGCTAGCCCGCTAGCGAGTAAGATCATGTGACGTGGTGAAGGTGAAGATGGCGTGAGCAAGTAGGGGGTAAAGAGAGGAGTGGAGGTATGTGCTAGTGATTGGACAGGTGTCATGAGCGCTAGTCGGATGGCGGTCATGCTGGTGGTGAAGGTGAAGGTGATGGTAGTACGAACCGAGCGGTGGGCTCCGCGACTTCAGGTATAAAACATCCTTCCGCGATACCCTCGGTCAGACCGATACCCTCGAGAACGACGCTACAAACATGAAGGGATCTAACGTACTCCGAGCGTCCAAGGACAGCATGATGAGGTGCGTGTTCCGTGCGCACGATTTGTGGGTGGTGCTGACTACTAGCAGATTCGATCCGTCCACCTTCCTTACGGTTCGCGTTGGGGAAGCGCCCAATGACGAGAACTTCTTGCTACACGAAGGTATCATCTGTTCCCGATCGGAGTTCTTTCGCCGAGCCATGAACGGAAACTGGATCGAGAAGGAGGAGCGACTCGTCAAGTTACCAAGAGACAAGCCAGAGCTCTTCAGCATCTACGTCAACCTAGTGTACACAAATAAACTGACCACGACACCCAAGACTTCAGCCGGAAAGGCACCGAGCGTAGCTGCAATCGGACAGGAATATCAGACTATGTGTGAGCTCTACGTTCTATGCGAGAAGCTGCAGGACACTTCGGCCAAGGACGCTACCGTAACGGCTATCCTTTCCATGATTCACGTCAGACACAATAGGGGAGGATACCGCGGGCCTCCGCCGCGTGCAGTGCGGACTATCTATGAGGGCACCACCAGCAATAGCCCAGCCAGGCGTCTTATGGTGGATTTGTGGACTTCAGTCACTGCTTCCACTTTGGCCAAAGTAGCTGGCTCTCTTCCGCACGAGTTCATTGTCGATATCGCCACTACTTTGCTTAATGAACGGACCGAAGGAAAACAGAACACTGCGAAGAATTCCAATGGCACTAAGTATCTAGAGAGCATGCAGGAAGGCAACAGTACCGGGTATTAAGCCTGGGCTAATGTCAGACACTATGAAGAATTTGACACGAGAGACTGGACGCTTCATGGTCAGGAGGATGAGGGTTAAGGGCGGACGCTTAGGTATGCCAATAGCGTACAAAACAGCAAACGACCCTTCTTGCTTTCATGATAACCGTCTCCAGCTTAGTCTTTTACTTCTCTCCAAGACATCTCACAGCCTAGAGCTCTTTCGGTGCCTTTCTATGAACTCATGGCGGTCCTCATCAAACATACCCAGTGCCTTTCACTTCAGGCCACTTTTAAGTTTTCCTTTCAAAACGCGCTAGCAAAACCTTCTTTTCCCTCGATCTCCCTCCCCCGCCTCGCATACACGAGCTTTTAGCAGTGAATCCTTCTCACACCATTTCTACACGATAACGTCGCTTTTTTCGTTGGCGACAGCCGTACAAACGCATCCGCCGCGATACGATTCAACAGACGCTTCCGCTCGCACAACAGAATGGCCAACCCAAAAGTCTTGGTCGCAGAGGATGAAACCACGAGGGAAGCAAGTCATATGGCGTATTATGCAGCGGTTAGCTAACAGGGAGCAGCTATCTTGGCAGTCCCTGCGTCCAAATTCGAGTGGGCGACGGCAACCGCGGGAAGATGTTCGGAGCCCACAAGGATAAGATTATTGGTCGTTCCGAGTTCTTCGCTAGAGCCCTAAACGGATCATGGAAAGAGTCTGACGACAACCTTGTCAACTTACCGGAAGATAAGCCTCACGTTTTCGAGCTCTACTTGCAGCTGCTCTACAAGAATGTAGTCCCTGTTAGGAATGCAATTAGCCTATATGCCGAAAACCACAAGAGCAACGACACCGTCTCCGGAGACGTCCAAGACGCCGATATTTCAGAGCAGTCGACAGACGCAGAACAAGGAAAGACCAAGAAGTCGGCGGAAGCTTTGACCCAGGAAGTTTGGGACAACGCCATTCTTGAATGGAATGCTTTGATCCCCCTTTACATTCTCTGCGAGAAGCTTCAGGATCGGTAGTCTAAAAACCTTGTGGTCACGGCGGTAGTGGTAAACTATTTGCCTATGATGGGCATCATCGAGAAAGTCTATGACGGAACACCGGTGGGCAATCTCATGAGGAAGCTCCTCGTTGACCTGTACGCCTTCGATGGTGACCCGTAATGGGTGCGACAATTTCCATGCAGGCACACCATCCACGAGTTCCTGTACGACCTCTCGATTCGTCTGATGGAGGAGAGGAAAATCCCAGGGAAGAAGTTGGTGGATGCGGATTATCATGAGAAATAGGAGGACGAGCAGCACGGAGCTATAAAGGGTGAAGTTGCGGACAAGGAGGAGCAGTCATGCTCAGTCTAGATGCTGGAGGACGATGTGAGTACTCTCCTTTATTCACGAAGCTTCGACCGTTAATTAGCAGAATGAGGGGCATTGTGTCTCGAACAAGGAGAAAACTGGAGATGGGCTGCAACCCCAGCAATGCCATAAGGGGAGCGGAATGGACTCGAAGAATCTATAGCTCACGAGGCAGTGGCATAGGGATGAGGGATGAGAGGCCACGGTGTCGCCATAGCGCCTCAGGCGCACTGGGCGATGCACCTGGATGCTGGCTATGCGTGCAATATATCGCGTTGTTTCCAAAGATCGGGTTCTCGCCGTAGTCGTATCTCCGGGTTGTGAGGTCAAACTGTGATCTCATTAAAGATGACCGTTGCCCTCGCTTCTACATGTGCCAAGACAGTTGCGGGCTGACTAAGCTGGAAAAATATAATTCCCGCAGTTCAGAAAATTATGTTCTTGGACGCACCATTAACCTCGACCACGAGCATCAAAGTCATGGCTTTAGTCGGCACTCTACTCTTCTGCACCGATTGCGGAAACCTGTTGGACAGGGAACCCCCCAACTTAAAGAAAATCACGTGCAAGGTCTGCCAATGCAACAATTCGAGTAAGTTCATATGTTTAACCCTATAAATATACGTCGCTAATAATGTTACAGACAGGTGGCCTTTGACAACCCAAACGAGTTCCAGACCTGACGCCTTTCCATCAACTCTCCAGCGAAAGCATCACGGAAAAATCCAGACAGTCGACCCAAACGATGCGGATTCTTGGCCAAAAACATCTCAAACTTGTCCTCGTTGTGATAATCCCGAAATGTACTTCAGAGAAATGCAACTTCGCGGGGCGGATGAGGGGTCTACCATTTTTTATCGCTGCACTAAATGCGACTACATGTAAGAAGCATCCAAAACTTTCCGTGTATGGTAATCTAAGTTAACATTGCAGGTCTCGAACCGATAATTAATTAGCCCATGAACCATAGATGCAAGCAACGGTTTCGCCAGAAATTGATACACTTCATAAAGCCGTCAAGAAGGGCTGTTAGATAGAAACCAAAAATTCGCGCCGGCGAGGCCCGTGACGTCAAAACCTATCCAAATGTGATTCGGCAAAAGGACGAAAGGCCTAAGAGTACCTCTTTCTCAAAGGTTTAACGGTTGAGTTTAGTTATGGATTTCAGCATATTCTACTTCTTTGTGTTGGCAAGTCTAATAATCGGTTTGTACCCCATCAATGTCGATATTGCACATGTGAAAGTGTCCTTCAGTCTGTGTAGCCCTTTCATACTGTACCTCTTTCTAGCATAACGCTCTAAGAAAAAACAGAAAAGATGCATTTGCTCCATGCACAATTCGACAGAAGAATCTTGGTCACCATTTTAGTCGCTTGCGCTCAGGGGCAAATACCAGTCATTACAAGCACTCAGTAAGCTCCCGATTCAGAAAAATGCTTTAGGCCAAAAGTATGAGATGCGTACGAGAGTTCTTTTCCATTGCCCTGTTCACTGAATTCCCGCACTCGAGAAAAGCGCATTATCTTGGGGTAAAGAGGCGCATGCCTTCTATCACACGACTTGGGAAGATTAGTGCGCTAGGATAATATCGCCTGCGGACTTTAGAATATAGCGTCTTTTTTGCTAGTACTGTATATCTAGTATGCTCGCATCTTCTTTATGACGAAGTCGAGGGAATTGATGACTGCGCTAGGATAATAGGAGTCTGAGAAGCCTTGGGTCAACTGACATTTCAGAAGTCCCACGGAATCAAGGCCTTTATTATCATTTGGAAGTATATGTGCCTTAGCGGAATGAAAAACAAATGTTATTAGTAGACTACGCAATGACATGCTATCAGGCTTCAACTTCCTACACGCAGACATCATAGGAAATACCACTATCTCCATATTGTAGAATACTTGCATAGCTCTCAGAGCTAGGTCAATTCAATAATTCAACAACAACAACAACAACAACCACTATCTCACAACCACTATCTCCAGTCCTGAAACAGTTGACCTTCATAAGGATGAGAAGGCAATAGTCAGCAGATGAAGCTGCAAGGCGACTACTTGGCGGGTATTAGCGATGAGGCCATCAATGCATTAGAGGAGACACGACTTACGAGCTAGCTTGCGTTCGAGGAGTTCCTCCCGTTCAAGACTTCGTAGCTGCGTTCGCTTTGCAAGCACAACAGACGTCCGCGACCTGAACGTTTTGGTCCCCAAACGCATGTGGCTTTGTAGTTCCGTATTCCTCACAGAGTGTCATTGTCTTAGCCGTGTTGGTATGGCCGCACCTAAAAACGAGGGTCTGAATGCCACACATGCTAGATGGGATCAATGCTTAGGACTAGCAATCTGCTGTAGTTGGGTCACTTACACCTCTTTGACTACACTTGGTAGGAAGATATCAGTGAAGTCTTCGAAATATTGATGCTGTTTATATGACTTTTATGTGGCCGGACAGAGGGATTTTTATACTCGAAGAGCTAAGCATGTTATTCTCTTAAGCACAAACTTGAGTCCCCTGCTTGTAGGTGCGCCTATTGTAGTGTTCCACGAAAGGTTCTGCACCGGATTCACACTAGATGAGATCAGTTCATTGGAGTTGCCGCGCGACTCGTCAGGCTCTTTTGGACACAGCAGACCCGGCAACGCTTGGAGGATAGCTAACCATTTTGCTCGGATTGAAGGAGATTCTAAATTTTAGTCACACTTGTGAATCTGTTCGGAAAGCCGGTGAAACTAATCAGATCGGTTACAGCTGCAATCCTTGTTGATTGATTTTTTCTCGTTTTAAGTCACCAACCTATAGAGGTTATGCTGACTACAATCCTTGTTAAAGATGGTTCTTTGATTGGCCCATGCAGAGGGCAAACGCGCGCAACATAAGTGATGGCTATTACTGCCGCGCACAACTGAATCTGGATCCAATGAACGTTGTTGAGAAGCGCTGTAGTGGGGTCGGTTCCTCGGTTCACGGGTGCAGACTCATCCCGACGTCTGCGATCTGTTTTATCCATCTTCAGCTCTGATGGACGCGCTTGCAACACCACCGCCGGCTCCACCCGCCTAGGTGGATTTCTCGGACGTTGCTGGTCTTGAAGGGTGTTATGGCGTTTGCACTCGATTATCCTCTCAAGAACTCGTTCCGGGAAATTCGTGCAAGGGAACAGTCTCGAATTCAGCACTGCATTGAGTTTTAAATTTCATTGGTCTACTCAGTGACTTCACCCAGGTCTAGAGGTTTATCACCACACGATGAGTATCCCAGGATTTCTAGGATCCATGTTCCTCGTTCCGCAATCGAATAGCGGAGTCGTTGTTCTTACGAACGCGACGCCCAAACTGGACGCTACCGATCTATCCACTCAGTGTTTACTTGGAGTTCTCTTGGGTGAACCCCGCCCAAATCTCGTTCGCATGGCAGAGATGGGCCCGAAGATGACCCAGGTACGTTGTATCTCAGTACACAAACCGTTATATCTCTAGCGGTGTTCAAAAAGCCGTTCTTGAGAGCTTCAACAAGCGTGGACCTAAGACGGGCGTGAATGTTACCATAAGACAAGTGCTAATGTGTACCGCCACGTTTGCAGGCTATCTACCGGCACATCACGACCTCTTTAGAGCAAGGTCAGACGTCGATACGACCTTCTCTACCACTTCACATGTACGCCGGTGTCTATTGGAACTCGGCTCCAAACTTCTTTCTTCAGATCACGGAGACACAAGGGGGGTTGCGCATCATTGCACTACGGTTCGCCGATCCCTAAATTGGGGGTAATTCTGACCGTAGTGTGTCCAGGGAAACGCGCGGGTCTTTTACGATGTATCTCCTTATGATGAGGACACATTCTACTGGCCGGTCAACCGGGAGAGGGAATTGTGCGACAAAGCTATGTGGCCACAACTTCTTCCCGCTTTCCATACCGTCACGTTCTGTGTGAATGATGACAGTGTTGATTGCTTGAGGTGGCACCACGACCCCATGGATGGGCCTGAAGTCTTTATGAAGGCCACGACAAGGAGTAGCAAGATTTTCGAATCTTCTTGCGGCGCGGAGATAGCAATAAAATAGTACGGGCAGAGTCGGTCAACCGGAGCAGCCTTTGAAAGCTTGCGATACGCCAACCCTCACGGAGAGGCTCGGCAACCTAACCACTGCCGATTTTGGCATGCGGAAATTTTCATTCTATTGCATTTGTATGCGTTCAACCTGGACTACCGGGTCTGCCGAGCTACAATCTCGCCGTGGTGAGCGTCGCTCCTCCGTCAATCACAACTGCGGCCCCATTCATGTAGGTCGCCGCGGGACTGCATATGTGGATAATAGTATCGGCAATCTCATCTACACTTGCCAGACGATGAGACGGGATTCGTTCAGCGAGTCGCTGCCTGAAATTAGACACCCGTTCCATAGCCGAAGCCAACAAGGGAGTATCAGTGCCACCGGGAAGAACAGCATTCACCCGGATGAGGTCCTTCGCGAGGTCTAATGCCGCCACTTTGGTAGCACCAAGGACACCATGTTTGGCTGTCACATACGCCAGGTTCCCAGGATTAGCCATGATGGAATTGACCGATGCGAGGTTGACTATCGAGCCGCGGCCGAGGACTTTCTCTGGATGGCGAATTGCACGCCGGGTCTCGGGCGCGAACTCAAGGGGCTCCTGGGATTGCATAGCTTTAGAGACTACCTTCATACAGTAGATGGTACCATAGAGATTGACCCGGATCACGCGGTCGAGGTGCTCCATATTCAGGTCCGATACTGGGAAGCCGGACCTACTTATGATCTAGTCGCAGGTCAATCCAGAGCGAGGAGAAAATCGGGGTTTGACTCACGCCCACACAGTTCACGAAATAGTCGATCCGACCTCCAAGTCCATTTACAGCTGTGTCGACCATGTTTTGCACGCTGGCCTCATCTGCTACATCCACCTTGATGCTAAAGCTGTGGTAGGCGGGGTTGGTAGCATATGTTTTGCTCTCCTCGGATGTGTTTCGGGCGCCTTCCTCGTTGATGTCTGCGATAGCGACGGCCTTGCACCCAGCTTCGGCGAATGCAAAAGCCGTTTCCTGTCCGATTCCGCTCCCTCCCTGTCTGATATATCAGCTGGATAGATTTAGATGGAACAGAGTCAGACTTACACCAGCAATGAGCGCTACGCCGCTAAGAGTCATGGCGTTTTCAGCAGTGGTGTTTGCCTTCCAACACTTCCTTTGGGAATATCCGGCGCTCACTGCCAAGTCAAATAATGCCCTGCAAGTTTTCTTCGTGAACTAAATGTTTCAACTTTGAAGGAGGCTTGTGCCATCTGGTGGTGTTGTTATAGCCGAACGACGCCGCACGCGCCGTGCCACACTCCTACGTATGCACCACAATAACCTATCGCATGCGGCCTAGCCCCACATCCGTGCATCTGAAGTTGCCTGAAACCCAGAGCTGAGACAGCCTTGTTCCCGTGCGCGCTTCTGCGAAACATGCGCCCGATTTCTCGACGGCGGTCTGCAAACTTATATATCGACGAGTAGTATGCATCGGGTTCTTGAATAACTCTTCGCAATGTCTTCTTCCTTCTTCGGCAGTAGCGCTAGCTCGTCAAATACAAACAGCCGCGTCTTCCCCACACAGGCTCTAAAGTACGTTTCTTAATCTCCAGCAATTCATCGAACGCGACTAACCTCAGGTATTCCGCAGCCTAGCCGGGCCAGTCCTTCGCGTATGCGTAGGAACCTCGCCGAATGACGAGTCCTTCTTCGTCCACCAGAAGCTGCTCGTCTCGCGATCCGAGTTCTTCGCCCGCGCCATGAATGGAAAATGGCGCGAATCCGACGAGGGCGTCGTCCCTCTCCCGGACGACCAACCCGAAATTTTCTCCCTCTACGCCAACCTGCTCTACACAGACCGGCTGGCAACACGACAGACAGATCCCGAGAAGAAGGCAGACGAGTTCACGCTCCTAGCTCGACTCTATGTGCTCGCGGAGAAGCTCCAGGACGTCAAAGCGAAGAACGACATCATCGACGCTATGCTTGCGAAATCACGAGCGGAAGGACTTGTTTCTACCAAGCCACCTCTAACTATGGACGCGGTTGCGGCTCTGTATGAAGGTACGCCTGAAGGCAGCCAAGCACGCAAGCTATTTGTTGATTTCTTCGCCCAACATGGCCTGGCGAGTTGGCTCGGAGAGAAAGAGGACGTTCGATTCGACTTCTTGTATGATGTTTCCGTCCGCTTGCTACAGATCCGGACGAAAGGAACGATACCGATGACTACTGCAAACTGCCCACTTGCCATGTACCACGAGGGGGAAGACAGGGTTGAGGGGAAAGCGGCCACCGCATCGACACTAGTGCCAACGTGGAAGAAGAAGCATCAATTTTGAGGATTCATAATTTTCAATGCGAGTCACTACGCGGCGCGTCAGGGAAGCTACGCGGCTTATTTATATTCTTCTGTGTCCAAGTATAGCGAGCCTGAGCGGAAGGAGCAGCATCGCTGAATCTTTGCCCCAATCTTCATGAATTTGTCGTGCTCATGCAGCCTTCAAGCACTCCACAAGCGCGCTCCAGCCTTCCCTACACCAAGGTGCAAGCACAATGGCCCTCTGCGCATCTTTTACATCGCCTGTTCCCGCGAAAGCATTAGCGAGCCCCTCCGTATCGAGCGTACCAACAGGAGCAACACTCCTCCTCGCCGTCTCCTTAGCCATAGTCGCCGCGAAGGCGTCTCCGCCGGTAGCGTCCGCCAGTTCTGTCCAGCCGGTATGCTTCCATGGTGCGAGCATAACACCCCGCCTAGCCTCGTCCAATTCCTGCTCTTCACCGCCGATGGAGCAGGATATCGCCTCCAAGACCTTCTCAACACGGGCCAAGTGCTCGGGAGTGAGGCCCTTGTCTGTACGCAAAGACTCGAGATCTTCTCTCACTGCTTCCATTGTATCTACATCCTCGTCTATCATCGCCATGGCACCCAAAAGCGTGACAACGCCGACGTGTCGGCCATGCTTTTCGACAGCGGCGAAGAGTTGCTCTCGCGCGACATCCTTTTCGTTTTCGCCGCCCTTAGCCCATAGGACCTCAGCGAGAAGACATATGATGTCCGGATTTGAGCCCGTGGCTTCAAGCGAGGTTCGAAAGTAAGGAATAGCGGCGTCAAGGTCGCCACGGAAGTAATGTGCCAACCCAGCTGTAAGCCTTGCTGAGAGTCTGGTCTTGGAGAGTGCGTCGGGAGACATTATGGACTTGTTCGATTCGGCATCGAAGTCGGAGAGTGATTCCAATGCAGTCTCCGCTTCCTCAGCGGCAGAGTCATTAGAGCCGCTTGCGAGGAGGTTCCTAGCGAGATCGTTCTTCCCCTGGGCATATCGCGCTAGCGCAGAAAGCGACTCTGCAGTCTCGTATTCCTGCTCCGCGGCTTCGCATATCGCCATTAGCGCACTAATCGCTGCATCATGACTGCCTATTCGCTCGAGGAACAGTGCGGCTAGATGCTTGTGTGGGATATCGTAGGGAGCCTGAAAGCTCAGCTGATGAAGAGCAAACAGTGGCTGGACGAGGTTTGTAATGTTGTTTGAGGCTGAAGGCGACGAGACCAGGAAGTCAAATGTGGAGACGGCGTATTGCCGCTTGGTTAGCAAAGGCGAAGAATCCGAAAGCTCAAAGGCATGTGTGAAGTGCGACAGTGCCTCGTTGGTGTCGCCGAAAAGTAGGGCGATGATGCCTTCGCCCACCCATGCTAAAGCGTAGTCTGGGTCGGTAGACTGGGCCCGGGAGAACGCCTGATGCGCGAGCTCCTGATCGTTCTGGAGTAGATAGAGCGTGGCGAGGTTTGTCCATGCGCGGACGCTACGTTCGTTGAGATGCAGAGAGCGGACGAACGCATGTTGAGCGACCTTTGGACTCAGAGTGGTTGTGATGACTCCAAGCGAATTCCAAAACTCAGCATTGCCTGCTTCCAGTTCGATAGCCCTCTTGAAGCATTTCATAGCCGCTCGTAGGAACGTAGTAAGCTTCTGACCCTGCTCCCCTTCCTGCTCCAGACACACATGAGCGCGGTACTCTGTCCACCCCAAATTGTACCAGGCAACCGCTTGCGCGTGAACATCGCCCGCGCAGCTTGCTATTGCCCGCTTCTGGCTAAGGATCGACGCTTGTAGCACTCTCGATAAGAGAGGGCTTTCGTTGGAAGTGAGCAAAGTAAGCTCATCTGAGCCGATGCCATCAATGTCTTTGTGAGCGTCATAGTCAAGCTCGACGTCGGATTTGCTGCTCAAAAGGTCCCCCACCATTGTCGTGGGAAACTGGTCCAGCTTCCCTTGGACCCAGGTGAACAAACCGCATGCATCGCCGACAGCCTTCCAAAGATTAAAGGCGTCCGGCTTGTAATCTGTGATCGTAGTTGCAACCTCAACCGCTCTGATCGCACTATCGGCTGCTTCACCGAAGAAGCCAGTTTCGATACAACGCCATCCCTTCTCCACAAGCGTCTGCACGAGCGCGATTGAGACGCCAAATTCTTGGGATCTCTCACTCAAAACTTCCTCATACCCTCTGATAGACTCGTCGAACTCGCTCAGCTCTCGATGGACGTTTGCTAGCATGTACTTTGTGAACCAGCCCGCGCCATCCATCTTCTTCATGTCCACGCCGTCGGCAGGGCTCTCGGCATAGTTGAAAGCTTTTGCAGCGGAAATATATCGTCCGGAGTTGTGATAGCTCTCACCAAGGCCAATGTACGAGTGATAGTCGTCCGGGCTGATGCGGAGAGCTGACAAGAACGACACAATGCTTTTCTGGTATTCTTGCTTGTTCATTTGAACTACGCCCAGCGCGGAAAAGGGCCAACTCACTCCCTTCTTCTTGGATCCTGGAGCTACGCGAATCTTTCCAGAATCGACAACTCGTTGAGACACCACTTCGACAATATCCCATTCGCCTTGGTTTGCGAATAGTCGAGCAAGGCGTTCCGCTGCAACAATCTCGGAAGGCGATAGCTCGAAGGCTTTCTGAAAACATTGTCTGGCTCGTTTCTTGTCCTTGTTGTAGTCTTCGTAGAAGATACCAAGCTTCGTATATGGCGGCGCGTAGTTCGGGTTGGCTTTAATTGCAGCAAGGAACCTGGTGTAGGCTCCTTGTCGGTCCCGCCGGGCTGCTTTCGTAGTGTCTAGCTCCCAGATGCAGGCGCCAATACGGTACAGGGTCTGCGCTCGAAGTTCTCTGCCTCGTTGCGTTGAAGCGTCCATTTGGGGATACTCCAGATACTCCTGTAGTCTTGCTAATCCGGCCGCATAATCGCCGCTGAGCGCCTGGCACCACGCAGTCTCGGCGCCAATACGTCCATTGGAGGGATCCTGCTTCAGTGCCTGTTCAAGGAATTCAACAGCTTCCGCGTACTCTTCCTCTTCTTCAAGAATGAGACCGATGCCAATCAATGCTGAAGTGAATTGGGGTTTGCGCTTTAGAATGGATTGAAATATCTCCTTCGCCTCAGGATGATTCCTTGGCGTTTGGTAGTACACGAGGGCCGTAGCAAGGGTGCTGCTTAGTGCGTCCCGAACCCTAGGGCTGATGAGCATTTGCCCAAGTAGACTTGAAATGAGTTAATATCACCTTTGGAAGGGCAAATCCGTCTTCTTCGACGCCGCAGCGGCGAGCTTCAGGCCCTTTCGGGTCGTCTCGACTGCGCTCTCGTATTCTTCCAACGAGAGGTAGTAGTCTCCAAGCAAGCAATGGGCTAGTGGAGAGTCCTTCGCTTCTAGGATGCCTTCCTGTGACGGCATCAGCGAGTTCGTATTCGAGACCCGGGATAGCACGGAGGGCAAAGCCTCTTCCAGAAATCCGGAGATCAGGAAGGTCATGCTAGCCATGGCTTCCGAAGGAATGCCTGTCCGAGACCGGAATGAATGAACATACAGTCATCATCACCAAACAGTCTTCCTGAGAAAGCGGCACATCCTCGTTCAGAGAGACGCCGCCCTCACTCAGATCCGGAGCATCTGTCTCCTCTGAAAGCGGATATTTCGAGATTCCGCTGCTCAAATACCCGGTCAACACCTTCGATAGGCCCTCATTCGGAAATAGCTCAACATATTGTCGCAATGTTTGGATATCCAAATCGAGCAAGTCGTGTGCGCTGTCTGCTCGTGACGCCATCGTGGCAGGACGGCTTCAAATGGCGGGCAATTAGGCAACGCGGGGTCCTTCGAAGTCTGTAAACTGGAACAAAAGCAGCGTATAAGAAGCGTCATCCGACGACAAAGGAGGGGCGGCGAAAAGCAGGCGCGGAGCAAGGAAGGCGAAGGTCGTGTTTGTGTTTCTAGTAGGGCTGAACTAGGCTCTTTCGGCGCTAGCGCGGGGCCCTCACTGCTTCCTTCCACGCCCCACCCCGAAGCCTCGTACCTTTCACTCAGCGCTCAATGGCGTATTCATAACCCGAATCGTGCTCCTCATCAGCGCGAGCAATCGTACCAAATCATTCTGCATCCCATCATGTCCACCAAATCCTGGCTCAAGGCCGCGAAATCGGCAATCGATTCGAAGAATTGGGATGAAGCAGTCGAGCAAGCAAATGCGGTGCTGGAGAAAGACCCTCAAAATTACTTCGCGAAGCTATTTCTAGGACGCGCAAACGATGGACTGGGCAGGTACGGAGAGGCGGCGAAAGCGTATAATGACGCGACGAAGATAAAACCGAATGATCCTCAGGTGTGGTTGGGTCTGAGGGGTTTGTATGAGAAGCAAGGTCCGTCGAAAGTAGATGAGAATACCCAGGTCGGATTGAAGCTGGCTGAGATATATGCGGCAGCGTATGCTTACCCAGATCACATACTTCGAAACGTAGCTAATTGACGCAGCGACGACGCCCACAAATCCCAGACCGCCATCGATAAGCTTGTTGACCATGCCCGGCGACATGGCACAAAGCTGCAATACGCGCGCGCGCTCTCCACTCAGCTCCCAACTTCCCCGATATACTCGTATCTAGAAGGCCGCCTCCCCAATCCCTCAGCGACCTATATCCGCATAGCCGAGATCTACGAAGCGGACGAGGCGCAGACGATCAAGCGGCAAATCGACGAGCGGAAGACGCGCCTCGGTGCGACGATCGAAGGGACCACAAATCAAGTGAAGAACGAGGTCTACAGCGCGAGTCCGTTGGAGGGGCTATACCAAGACATTATTGACTGGACGAACGACGACGATCTAAGGAGAACGTATGAGGAGAAGCTGCTGCAGCGGGCATATGATACACTGTTGGTGCTACCGACGGGAAAGAAGGCAGAGAAGAGAGAGAAGGTGATGAAGCTGGCACATGATATGGTTATAATCCGGCATCCATTCTTGCTCGCATGGCAGATCGAGCTCGAGTGGAGATCGGGACTGGAAGTCGAGGCCTATTAATATGGGATGGCGGATTTAAGGCATCATCACGGGCGTTACTAGCATATTGTGGGTTGGATTTCGGGCATAGAAGGGTTGGGCATCGAAACGGGCTCATTGCCACCATTTTTAGCGAAGATATCCAAGGTGCCCTTTCAGGCTTAAAAGTGTTTGGAACCCTTCATACCAAAGCCTGATATGCCATCGTCAACTCCGTGAACGCCACCTATGCTAACTGCTGACTACTCATGGATTCGCAGCACTAACAACTCTCCTCTTCTCCTCAGCCGAATAGATACTCTCGCCCTGCTTCAGAGCATTGATCAACATCGGTAAGCTGCTGGCCTTGAAGTCATTCGCCTCGCGCACTTTGTCGAGATCGTCCGCTAGCTCTGCCGTCACCTTCCGAAGGTAAATAGACGTGAAATCTTCTGCTTCGTTGGGCGTGGACTTCAACTTCGCGCTCGAAACAGCCGGCGGTGGAGAAGTTCCGTCCTCGGCCGTGGAAGCGTTGCCTTCCTCTTGAGCTGGAGTGGTTTTTGAAGGTTTCACTTTCTTCGGGGATGTGGAAGAGATTTCTTCGGTGGCGGTCGAGGCACCCTAGGTCTAGGTCAATCCAAAGGCGTAGACCTTAACCGGGATTCTCGTCATACATTTTCCCCTACATGCACTGGCTTCCGATTCTTCTGCTTGACACCGCTATCACTTTCGGAAGACGAAACTTCCACTGTGAAATTAGCCCATAATTAAGATTCTTCCAGAGGAAGCTTACCCTCGGTTCTTGATTTGCGCTTCTTGGAACGCTTGAGCTTTTCGGCGCCATTTGGTACTTTCGACGCTGCCATGGCGCGGTGTTCGAGGAGGATGGAGAAAGTTAAAGAGGATGAGTATGTCTTATCTTATCACCACGTGATAGCTCGATTGGGCTAGGGCTTGACTCACCCAGACACAACCACTTTTTAACTCTTCCTCTAATAATATGCGAACTCACATTGCATCGCCATTATCCCTCTGAGATCCCGAGCGAAGTAGTGCCGGGCATGGGTTGCACTCCCACACGGCTGACCCAAGGCCACCAGGCGTTAAGACGATGCTCAGCCCCGAGCAAATCCCTCCAATATAGATTCTTCCCGAGATCCTAGGATGCTACCATTGCTACAGTCGTCAACAGCATACACCCCGTTTACAGCGCCGTTTTAATGAGCCCCAAGAGTAAAACAATCCGGCTTATCGAAATCCTACCTGGATCCCCAGACGTCGAGATATCCTGCCAACCGCTCAGCACTGGGCTGGGGATCGACGGAATACTAAGCCGTGTCATACACACGGGGCGAGCCGAGACTGGCTAAGACCATTCTACTTGGCGACCGCCCGTTCCTCGTGCACAAAAATATATGGAGCTTTTTGTGTTATGTATCAAATGAGAGTGGAGGGCCAGCAAGGCCTCCTATGGATCGACGCAATTTGTATCTATCTCGATCGATCCTAAACTAAATACTATAGCTACTCAAAGGCAATTATGGCAAGTGCTTCCAATACGCTCTTGCAAGAATGAGTATGCTAATGCTTTGCGAGACTTCCACAACTGAATGTACCATGAATTGCTTTTTGTTGTTACTAACTAGCGCTTTCAGCAAGGCTGAAACCCTAGTCGCGGGGCCAGATGCGTTACCTTCAGAACGCAGCCACTCGAAGGGTAGGAATAGCCGCTAGAAAACACAAGCTGAACACTTTTCGCTTGCTCTTGGTAACTCATTGTTGCGCCCCCGCGTTAATGGCTTGCTAAGACTCACCGAGCCGCTTCATCCTATTTATATTAATTGACGACAAAAGGGCTCATAGCTTGTCATTCTATGTCTCTTCCGACTACAGTCATGAATCAACCTCTAGCAATGATCGGCGGAGACACTCTACCAGTTCTAGTCGCTATTGTATGTGCATCGGCCGCACTACTTAGTCTGCCTCCTCCTTCCATCAATCCTTGGATAGGAGTTGTAGCAAGAAACTGTATGAGAACAGTCTTAGTCTTCACCATTCATTCTAATCATGGGTCTTCATAGTTGCTTGGCTGAGGGTAGTCACTCGTTACCATCTGTGGGTAGCGGTTTTATTGAGTGGTATTTATACCTTTCTGGGCAAGCATGACAATGGTACTCTAGAATTTCGTATGTCTTTCGGATGAATGGTATTGCTAATATCCTATTAGAAGATTATCCGATACTCCTGTTTCTCCTGATGCTCGGCGGTTACGAATGGCTTTTCATTGCCTGCTGGGCAGTCTTGGATCAGCAATATCGGAGTTACCAGAAACAAAGGTACTTAGATCAGGGAATGGACCCAAGAAGAGCGGAGCAGCTATGCTTTGAAGAGTCGCGCGAAGAGAAATCTGAACTCTTCGTATCTCAGTCGTGGTTTGACATAGTGGGCTTTATCACCGCGTCAAACGATGTCCTGCGAACACGACATGGGCGTTACCCCTGGCTTTGGGATTTTATGCCAGCATCAAGTGGAGATCAATCCGTCGGGAAACGGCCAACAAACTTTGAAAATGCCCGAAATCAATTCGATCTGCATCCTGGGATATTCATCGAGCGCCTCGAGGCATTCGCCAAGGATCTCTCCATCCAGAACATGTCTCACGCCATGATAAACTACGTATCAGATGAAGAAAATGATTTCAAGAGACTCGAGTGTTGGTATCGCCTCCAGAGCCATATATCAAAACTGATGGAGGATCCATACGATCGAACAAACCTCGCCAAGAATACCGGGGCTCATAGAACCCCCAGATTGAGCGACGCGTACAGTTTCTTGCAGTCACGAGGAACGAGAGGTGGCCCGGACTCTGAGGCAGCGAGCCAGGCTTCCAAATTCTTGGACAGGTACTTGGCAAATGGCCGGCTTTATGAAGAAAGAAGTAAGTTTCTAATATTTTGGAGACCGTTGAGTGGAGACTGGTATGCTTACAATTTTCTCTCATAGCCGCCCAACTCTCGCATTTGGAACGGCTTAGACGCCTAGAGGGCGTATTACGCGAGTTCGCAAATTCAAAGGGCAACAAGCGATCGGGGGTCGCAGCCACTGTCAAACAAATATCGAACCACCTCAAGAGCATCACGCAAACCGAAACACCATTTTTGGCAGTGTTCCACCAATTCCAGTACAACGTGTGTGACTTTATAGCAACAGTCACCGGAGAAGGCAAAGTCGATTATACACGCGCTTTCAGTAAGCTTCGGGACGCCGCTGCCCACAGACAACAGCAATGGGAGGCCCTGTACAACACCATCGAGAAACTACGCTCCGAAATCACGCGGAAGCAGCAAATTATCACTTGTTTGGGTTATCGGCATGTCCTTGAAATGCTATCGGATAAGGATTCAGTGCTAGCTCAATTCACTTTTTCCGGAGATCCTCCATCCAGTGCGACTGCTATTTGGAAAGTCACGTGGCAGCTCGCTGGAAAAGGAGCTCTTCGCCATGGTTACGGAATATGTTCAGCGGGGTACTCCCGGAACGACTGGCACGAGCCTGACGGCTCCCGCTGCCTCTTCACAAAAAAAGCTTCTTCGCTCATTACTCCAGCATGACTTCAATTTTGTGGCGGAGAGGAAACACAAAACAATTATGAAGAACACCGGGGCTATCTCTGTACTCAGCAGTACTCTTGCATCATCGACCACCTCCGGAGCGGCCGGTACTTCCGCACTAATTGCTCCCTCTGGGCTGAGCAGTACTGCTACATCCAAGACGGCCTTCGGGAAGAGCACTGCTACCGGGTCCGGTACCGTCACGATTCCCACTTCTGCCTACACCACGCTCTTGCAAACTCTAGGATTTAAATATGAGAATTGGCAAGCCTACCAACGCGGACTGGGATTGTACGGCGAGTTGAGTAATACTATCCACACATACGGCAAACAATACGAAGTCGACGAGAGCAACTGGGCCAGATCGGATTGGCTTATACTAAGCTGGCTTACCCCAACTGCATTTACTGCGACCGGAGAGGCGGACTGGAGTCTAGCTCGGAAGGACCGGAACCTTCCCTAGATAAATATTGTGACTGTCTGGAAAGGCAGACTGACTGAGCTTGGTGAAAGTGCGCCCTCGAGGAATGAATTCTTTTACGGAATGTTTTTCCAGGCCTGGAGACCACGGGGTGTTCAAGTGACTCCCAACCACGCACACTGCTCGCGGATAGGGAAGTTTGGGCGGGTGATTCAATGTTCAACACATCCTCTGAGATGACTAACAGGTTGAAGGTTCTCGCCGGATATGATCCTGAGGGGTGCTGGAGGCCTTTCCACTTCATGCTGGTTCTTGTTCATTACGTAGTGATTGCTACGAGCCCCTCACAGGTAAATACCTTATTTCGCCCCTAGCTGGGCATCCTTCTTCGGGACACATCTTTCTCCAATCAGCATTTCGGGTCAATGAGACTAGTGAAGCTTTTGGTCATCCGAGTAATGAGCACTCCTAATAGAATGCTCACCCTACTTCCATTGCCTACGAAATGCATGGTTGCGCGTCGCCAATGTATGGTATTGCCATGACTAGGCTTTTCCTATCAATAGCCGTCCGAATGACCCCGTCGACTTAAACCTATCAGGCCGTTTCCACTCCTTTCACCAGCCGATTGATCTGTGCTCAGGGCTCTTGTAATGAGCGGCAACATAGTACGTTCTTCGGCCACTCGACGTTCATTCCGTTTCACAGTAACACTTCCCCCTTTGGCGTTGCAGTGACCAGAGACAGTCGCCAGTTGATTTCCGCATGCCCGTATGTTAATTGCTCTCTCCCCCTTTGAAGAGCGCTGGCACACACACACTCCCACACCAAGACCGGCGCTATTCAACCATGCATTTCTCGTCAATTTTTGCGGCTTTCCTCTTGGTGAGTATCTGTCTCGCCAATATGGTATCTTCCTTTCCGTACAAGCTGGAGAAGATATACGATGCAAGCAACTTCTTCAGCTCATTCGACTTCGAAGACGTGAGTTGACTCCGTCCCCTCAGCGCCCTCCAATTCAGTAATCCTAACCATAACACCATAGAAACCCGACATCTACACCCACGGCTTCGCCCGCTACATCTCCAAGAATGCCGCCACGTCGTCTCATCTCGCGAAGGTCGTAGATGGAAAAGTGTACCTAGGCGTGGACAACACGACCACCTGTGACGCGAAAGATGCCCAGAATGGTCGACGTAGCATCCGCTTGCACAGCAAGGAAACTTTCGATAATGGCCTCCTAGTAGCAGACTTCGCCCACCTTCCCGCAAATGCTTGCGGCGTGTGGCCCGCTTTGTAAGTGCTGTTCCCCCAGCCCAGCCCTCAGCCATTACTAACGAATCGCAGCTGGGTCCTACAAGATGGCGAATCTTACTCTGAAATCGACATCGTTGAAGGCATATCTCTCAACTCCGCCAATGAAGTCTCCCTCTTCACTTCAACTTCTCCGTGCACCATGGAGGCCCGCGCTTCTACAGGCACGGACGTGAAGGCGCAATGCCATTACTCAGAAAGCCAAATGAACGGCAGTCCAGACGGCTGTGGTGCCACTGCAGCAGAGGGCTCTTTTGGCGCCGAGTTCAATAAGAAGGGCGGCGGTATCTTCGCGCTTTTGCTCGAACCCGACATCGGCATCAGAGTATGGCATTTTGAGCGGAGTAAGATCCCTATTGAGCTATGTGCCTACAACAGTTATGCTGCAGTAAATCCGGGCAGCTGGGGAACACCAGTGTTGAATTTTGGCCCGGGGAACTGCAATATCAAGGAAGCGTTCCGGAAGCTCCAGATTGTAAGTAGTACTTACGATTCTACCCCAGCAGAGTTATAGGCAGGGGCTAATCACAAGCAGATCATCAATATCACCTTCTGTGGGGAGTATGCAGGCGACGAAGCCTGGGACGGTGATGGTAACGGCAGTTGTGCGGAAAAGACGGGGTATGATAGGTGCGAGGAGTATGTGGCGGAAAATCCAGATGCGTTTCGTGATGCGTATTTCCTCATCAACTCTATCCACTTATTTAAGCGGAGATAAGAATGGAAGGACGGCTTACGGACTGTTCGCCTGCTGCGCCGGCGTGGTGGTGGGAATCGGGTAAGAAATCCGAATTCATCCTTTTCGGTCAGCGAGCACAAACGCTTAAAGTGCTATAATTGGATTGCTCCAAGCCTATCTCTACACTGTCCACCATGCGGGTATATCTTCATTCAAAGGACCTCCACTAGAAATGCAATCGCCCCTAAAAATATTTTTCACCCAGCGTGAAGCTATTCAGTTTCCCGAAAGTAGGATATCGAACATTCGCCGCCTAGCTCGCCTCTCCGAAGTCGGTATGCCCCGTTTCCTCTGCATGCTGCATGGCACCACGCTCACCTGCGCCCTTCCAGCCACAAGTGTTGCACTTGATGTCGAATTTCTGGGTATCGGTGTAATAGTGCTTCTTTTTAAGGGCTGCACACAGCTCCCTGGCTGCCTCTAGGATTGTATCGTCAGACGCGTCGAAGAGCTTGATATCGTTATCCGTATCGTATGTGGGACTGCCCTCAGGCACAAATGCAATTGTGTCGTAGTGGATCCCCGAGTATACAAGTATACATCGCTTTGGTCGCCCTTCGTTGAATCGGTCGACGCGCAAATCTTGAACGTTGATACTGCAAATTTCGATATCGAATTCTTGGGACAGGATACTAAGCTCGATTCCGCCGCCCCAGGAGTCCGAATATGATATCCACTGGCAGTATTCATCCGGTTTCCGCTGCAGGATCGCCTCATTGTATCGCTCCGGGTCCGCCTGTATAGCTTGTGCAACTAGCGATCGTAGCTCGGTCATGGAATCGAGCGAGTCCGAAAGTACAGCGCTGCCGAGTGCTCTGAACATACACGAGTTGTCATCCGGCATGACACGGAGAACTATGGTGCCCGCTCTTGAAGGAACCGGGACCTCAGGTGTATCCTTCAGCGCCTCGTTCTGCTTTCTCTGTAGCGAGAGTGGTGCGGACTTCGGTTGTTCGGGTTGCTGAGCCTGGACTTCTTCACTGGGATCCCCGGTGGCTTGCGCGATTACGATCAGCTGTGATCCGTTGAGCTTGAGGTCAGTGTCTGAGAGCAACGTAGGCAATCCGTAGAGGGCGGGGTCGAGGGGTTGCGGCGGGAAGCCCCATTTTAGCTCGAATAGAGGCAGATCCGTGACGTCTGAGATCGAGGAAAGTAGGTCGGAGACAGCGGCGTCGTCCTGCAGCGTTATCGTATGCATGCCATTCGGCGCTCGAAGTCGTATTCTGATCGGCATGGTGTGAGATGCTGCTGGCGATGGAACGGCCGAGGAGTGATTCAGTAGATTCTTTGGATATTAAGAGACCCTTTTGGCAGCTAGTCGGAAACTGGGGAAAGCGCGGACAACGCGGACAACTGGCGGTGGGTTGCGACCGGGGCAGCGGCGGCGAACTGATGACGTGGGGCGATCGGAACGAAGATTTGGGGGTCTCTTGTAGGAAAGTAGATATATATGTCGCAGGGGAAGGAGAAAAGTCAGCCGCAGATAAGGGAGCCTGAAGGCCCTCAGAGTACTAAGAACAGTGGCGCTGATGTTTGCAAGTGAGCGTTGTTTGTAATGGGCAGATGTGGCACGAGTGAAAGTTCCGGAATCTGCATGCCGAGGGCGGAAAGCGTATCCCTGCGGCGATCCGGGCGCGGAATATAGTTTTGCCGTAGTAGAGAGGCACGGACCCAGGGACCGCGCGACCTCTGCAATTCACTGCAGACGCGCATTGTGGTCGCCAACGACAAGCTCGCGCATCGCCCACACCCACGCCCTGCGAAGCTGCGCGAACAGCAACACTCAACATGACGTCCGTACGCGCTCCAAGCTCGACGCCTGTGCCGACGACGGAGACGGCCGACCCGCCCGCGACCGATGGCGCACCGTCGACCGTCACGGAGGAGCAATGGAAGGGCATGGCGACGGTGCTGGCAAATGTGTACTCATACAGGACCGAAGAGTGAGTAGTGCGCAATGGATGCGCGTGGCGGGTTTGCCGAGTGCTGATGGAACATCACAGTGGCTACGACCCCACGAAGCTCTTCCAGCGCAAAGTCAACAAGCGATCCCTCCCCGACTACTACGAAGTCATCAAAGAGCCCATGGCGCTGAGCGAAATAAAGCGCAAGGTTGCGCAGCAGGAGTACAAGACGTTCGCCGAGTTCGTACGCGACTTTGCCCTCATCTCTCACAACGCGCAGGTCTACAATAGGCAGGACTCGCAGGCCTATGTAGATGCGCTTGAGGTCAAGAGGGTATTACAGCAGGAGCTACAGAAGCTAGTCAATGAGAAGGTTGTCCCCGAGGAGGCCACAGCCCTGCCATACCTCGGCGAGATCCCCGAGCAGGACCCGCTACTTCCCGAAGAGGAGGAAGAAGAGGAAGAGGAAGACGACGAAGAAGAGGACGAGGAGCTCGAAGAGGAGGACGATGAGGATGAAAGCAAGCGGAGGAAACGGCGTGGGCCTCGATCGACAGCTGCAATCACAAAGCGCGAGTCCGGCACGAAGAAAGACGAGGCCAAAGAGGACCCAGAGTCCAGGAAGAAGCGAGGGCGCCCTCCGCGGGTTGACACACCTATGGAAGCTAGAATCAAGGCTATCATGAAAGCCATTAGGAAGCCGCGGAATCAGCAGAACAAGCTCATGGTTGGCGCCTTCGAACGCGTCCCCGACAAGGCCGTAATGCCCGAGTACCACGCTGAGATTAAGAGTCCTATGGCCATGGACATTCTTAAGCGGAAGCTCAAGCGAAAGAAGTACAACTCGGTCGACCACTTCATGCAGGATGTTGAGCTGATGTTTGAGAACGCGAAGCAATACAACGAGGAAGACAGCCAGATCTATAAGGATGCTGTCCATCTCCAGAAAGAAGCTCGAAGAGTTGCAAAGATCGAGAAGGACAAGCCGGACACTGATTATGTCATGGAAGAGGGCCGCATACCTATGCCGAATGGTATCCTTCACAATGGCGAGCTGTGGAAGGTCGGAGACTGGGTACACATACAGAACGCGAATGACCTTACCAAACCAATCGTTGCTCAGATCTACCGGACATGGCAGGACTCGGAAGGCGCCAAATGGGTGAACGCCTGCTGGTACTATCGGCCCGAGCAGACAGTCCATCGCTTTGACCGGCATTTCTTGGAGAACGAGGTGGTCAAAACAGGCCAATATCGCGATCATCCTATCGACGAGGTCGTAGACCGCTGTTTTGTCATGTTCGTCACGAGATATAACAAGGGCCGACCTCGAGACTTCCCGCCTGACAAGGAGATTTACGTGTGCGAAGCGCGGTATAACGAAGAGAACCACAAGCTGAACAAGATCAAGACCTGGGCGAGCTGCTTGCCAGACGAAGTCCGCGACAAGGACTATGTAATGGATCTATTCGACGCGCCGCGGAAGCTCAAGAAGGTTCCCAGTCCGATCGCTTATCTCCTCAAGGACGAGCAGAAGGAGACGGATGATCTACCAAAGCCTGAGTGGGGTGCTGAAAATGCTCCGCCCAAGATAGGAGCGGTTCACCGCCGCCCGCGCGATCCGAAGGTATGTTTCACCTTAATACCTTTTACCCACGTCTATTAAGAAACAAACGCTAATATTTTCCACCAGGACTCTCCACCGCCAGAACCAACTCCATCCCCTCCTCCACCGCCGCCACCCGCACCAGCCATGCCTACTCCGACTATTCCTACGCCACAGGCAAATGGTTATCCCGGCGATGCGCAGAGGAGCTACTCACTCGCGCAAGCACCCACAGCGTCGCCTATGCCAGCCCCAACGCCTCAACAGCATCACATGCAATCGGCATACACTCCAACTCATCCGACACACTACCACACCCACTCACAGTCGCCTGCTCCACACGTCTCTCACCAGCCTGTCGCCCATGCTCCGAGCTATCAACCGATCACCCCGCATCTACCTTTCTCCACACCGCAACCTTCTGCCGTCGCGCCACAGTACGCCACACCACGAGCTGCACCGGCTTATCAGCAGCCTCTCATTCATCAAGCACCCGTTGGATACAAAGCACCGCAGCCAGTTGAGGTGTACATCCTGAGCGATCATGCGAATGCGTCAATTCCACCGGACATTCGCGATCAGTTCCAGCGGGACGAGCAAGGCCGCGTCCTCTTCTTCACCGCCCCGCCTGTCAATAGCTCCAGAATCGTACAAAAGGAAGGCAGCTCTCTGGGCCACTCCGCAAAGTACCTCGCAGCTAAGACCAAGCGTGATGCTGAGATAATGAGGAAGCGAAAAGCGGATGAAGCTCAGGCTGCGGAGCGTGAGGAGGCAGCTAAGAAGGCGCGGAAAGAAGCCGAGGAGAAGCTCAAGAAGGATATCGCAGAGGCCCAAGTCAAGGCAATCCATGCGCTCGAGGATCGGCTCACGATGGCTACGGCAAGGGATATTCAGATGCTCATGAATGGTGAAGAGAACAAGGATGCCGTCATGAAGAGCCTGGATCAGCTGGTGGCGGCGCAGAAGGCAAATATAGCGAAGAATCAGGAGCGGTATGCGAGGGCACAGCAGCAGAAGAATGGATGGATACCGGTCACAGGCATGACGGCGATGTTGGAAGAAAAGATCTGAGCGATGTCTTTGCATAGTGTACTGTAGGATTGCGTCTTCCACGTTAAGGTCTTCGGAGATGGATATTGTCGTAGGCATGAGCGTCCGGCAAGGGAAACCTTGGAATTTCGCACTCTCTTCAGATCCACAAGCAGAAGGTACAGGCCACCAAATGCGAATACGATTATCTGCGACCCAATCTTGATGTGAGCTATTCATTCTAAGGCACCTGCGTCCCGTCTAACTGACCAATCGGAGCACTCAGAAAGCCGATGATGAACCTCGGCAGCTATCCCAGCTCCAAGCATTCCACGACTCCACCAAGACAAATCATCCAATCCAAAGCGGAGAGGTTTGTCGCTGGTCCGGCCGAGGCCAATTCGTTTCCGAAGCCATCATGTAGTCTTTAGCGTCTCTTTCATCTTTCTTCCATTCTTCACCCTCCAAGTCCTCCAGCAGCTCTGAACTCCATCCAACCCCTCCTCCCGTTCGCCCACAGCTCCGTCCCGCTTCACTTCGCTCCACCATGCCCCACGCCTCTCTAAGCCGCGAAAGCGTCGCCGCCCACGACAAACCCGACGATCTCTGGTGCATAATCGACCACAAAGTCTACGACCTCAGCGACTTCGTCGACGCGCACCCAGGCGGCTCCGTCGTCCTCGAGCAGGTTGCGGGCACCGACGCCACAACCGCCTTCTACAACCTGCACCGGCAGGAAGTCCTCGAGAAATACTCCTCGCTATGCATCGGCACGCTCGAAGGCGAGAAGCCCGAGGTCGTCGTAACGAAAGCCGGGGAGCTGAGCACGGTGCCCTACGCGGAGCCGCTGTGGCTACGTCCGCAGTTCAATAGCCCGTATTTCAAGGATAGTCACCGCAAGCTGCAGAAGAAAGTGAGGGAGTTTGTGGATACGTATGTCACGCCGGAGGCGCAGGAGAAGGAGAAGAATGGGGAGTATATCAGCCAGGAGCTTATTGATCGGATGGCGGAGAATGATATGCTTGCTATGCGGCTTGGGCCAGGGAAACATCTGCATGGGAAGAATTTGATGGGGGTGGTTAAGGGCGAGGAGTTCGATTATCTGCATGATCTCGTGCAGGCGCAAGAATTCGTCCGGGCCAACGCCAGAGGGTTCCAGGATGGGAATATGGCGGGCATGATGATTAGCTTGACCGCTGTGCTGCAGTGGATGGGCAACGAACAACTCAAGCAGAAGGTTGCGAAGGAAGTGCTTAGTGGCAAGAAGAAAATGTGTCTTGCTATCACGGAGGCGTTTGCCGGGAGCGATGTCGCGGACTGCGGACGACGGCGACGAAGACACCGGATGGGAAGCATTATATCGTGAGGGGGACTAAGAAGTGGATCACAAACGGCATGTTTTGCGACTACTTCGTCACAGGCTGCAGAACGGACAAGGGGTTCTCTGTCCTGATGGTCGAAAGAGACGACAACGTTGAGACCAAGCTCATCAAGACGTCGTACTCCACCGCCGCGGGTACTGCATTCGTGGAGTTCAACGATGTGAAGGTTCCAGTGGAGAATCTGCTAGGCGAGGAACATAAGGGGTTTATTGTCATCAGTAAGTTTTGCGTAACTGTGCCGGAGGTGAACAGGATGAATATGCTGATGACTGACAGTGTCAAATTTCAATCACGAGCGCTTCATGATGTGCTGCGCCGTGATCCGGCAATCCCGCACCGTCGTCGAAGAATGCCTCAAGTGGTGCAATCAGCGCATTGTCTTTGGCAAGCCGCTCATTGACCAGCCGGCTATACGGCAGAAGTACGTCCCCTATTTTCTTTCAGCTCCATGTTACGTTGTTCCCCGCCGTTTCATTGTGTCACGTATGCTGTACTGATACCGTGACACCCGTCCGTTGTGTACTACCAGTCTTCCCAGATCTGGACTGTTCCCTGGCTAACGGTTTTGTGGAATAGACTTGCGAAAATGATATCCCTGGTGGAAGCGAATCAGGCGTGGTTGGAATCGATTGCGTACCAGATGTCGCATATGAGCTATGCGCAACAGAGCAAGCATCTGGGCGGACCCATCGGTCTGCTAAAATCGTACTCTACCCGGAGTGCGCACGAGATTGCGGATGAAGCGGTCAACATCTTTGGAGGAAGAGGACTCACCCAGAGCGGGATGGGCAAGGTGGTCGAGATGTTCCACAGGACGTATAAGTTTGATGCGATTCTCGGTGGAACGGAGGAGATTCTGGCTGATTTAGGGGTCAGGCAAGCGATGAAACAAATGCCGAAAGCGATGTTGTAGTGGGAGTGAGATAGGAAGGAAGGGTGTATGATAGGAGACGATAGGGAGAGAGTAACATGATTGTGGTGCTGCTTACAAAAGGTAAGAAGGGAGATGCTACGATAGTCGAACTATAAAGCCAATACAGGCCATATTCGGACGTGTTACAGTCCAGATAGCCTTTCCTAACCGTTGCGTACTACCACTCTGTCAAACCCTTCTAGAACCGTTTCCAACACCAGGAGCTTCCGACTACCAGAAATTGCAGGACGTCTTCCTAATCAGGCTGTCCCTGCCTCGTACAAATCGACGCTGTGTTACTCCCGTCAAGGAACGCCCCAGCGAAAGGCATACACCTCGCCCACAACCGATAGTCGCATAAACAAACACTATCATGCGCCCCCTTTCCCTACCGCACCAATCACACCGTCTCGCCTCGGGCGTCCCGCCTCATTCGGAAGCGTCCTGGCGCCTGCCGTCCACGTGTTACATACATACAGCAGCCTACGCGGGCCCTGTCCTCGCGGGCGGCTGTCGTGCATGAAGCCTGCATCTAGATTGGATGGCATGCAGAGCGTTGCGCGAGCTGAGTTTGCGATCGCGTATGCGGCAGCGATACGTGTCACTTGGAGCGATGGGCATGTGGTGTGCGAGGCTGTACGTTTACATGTACTTGGCAGTGTGCTGTGTTTGAGATGGGTAGTGAAAGGGAGGGAGAGTTGGGACTGCGAACCATGTCTCTCGTTCCTGCGTCGTCGGCTGCCTACAGTACGCGCCGATGCAGGGTACCTAGCCTAGGTGATCCATGGACGGATGGAAAGCCCTCGAAGCCAGCGCGGTTAGTCAGACGCTGCTGCTGCTGCTTCGGCGAGGCGAGGCACACGACTCTTCGGGGCCTCGAGCCTCCATGCGTTCGCAGCGGCTCTAGCGGCTTCGCCTGACTCTTGCAGCGGCGCGCCTGGGATCTGGGTCTTGTGGACTGCCGAGTCCTTCGCTCTCTTTATAAGACGGCGACGCCGCGGCCTTGCGTCACCTTTACTTTGTCGACCGCATTCACTCCACCTCACGCACGCTCCCGCCGCCGACCTCTGTACAAAGACTTCTTCTTCACGCCATCAGCTGCCGCCCGGCCCCTATAAGTTTTCGATTGCCGCCGTGACAGCGCGAGCCACGCAGCTTTATCTCCGTTATCTGGCCACCTTCCTCCCAACAGCCTAGCGAACGACCTGCTTCTCAACGCCAACACCCAGCGCCACACCTTTCGTCATCACCACAACCGCAACCGCGACTTCACCTCACCTCTGCATACACGCACCCTCGCAAACATGATGCGCCGCGCAGACAGCTTCAGCAGCATCAGCTCGACCAGCTCGTCGGAGGAGGAGACGATGCAGGTCTTCGTCAAGAACGTTTCCGGCACCAGCAGTACGTACCCGAGCGTTCCGATTGTCGGAACCAGCCTTGACACAAGGGCACCCCGACAACCCCAAAGCCCAACAGCAGCACCGGCAAGCAATAGCTGACAATATGACACAGCAATACCCCTCACGCTCCCTGCAAACACGTCAATATCCACGCTCCGCACCCTCCTCGCCCTCCGCCACAACCTCCTCCCCTCAGACCTGCGCCTCGTGCACGCCGGCAAGCACCTCAGCTCGCCCTCGACGACGCTGACCGACTATGCCATCCCGCCCAACGCCACCCTGCACATGGCGCTCCCCTTGCGCGGCGGCATGCCGCCCAAGAAGATCCGCTGCTCGTTCAAGGACTGCAAGGATGCTGCGCAGCGCATAGTCGGGGACTGCGGCTTCTGCTCTGGCCACTTCTGCGGCAAGCACCGGTTGTTGGAGGATCATAAGTGCGAGGGGCTGGAGGATTGCAAGAAGGAGTCGCACGAGCGGAATGCGGAGCGGTTGAATAGTGAGAGGACGGTTGCTATCAGGGGCGTCTGATGCAGACTAACGGAAACGTGCGTCTAGGCGTCAAGACAAAGACCTGATAGCGAGGAGGAGGAGGAGGTGGAGCGTGGATGCGTGGCTGGCGAGTGTCGCGGAGGTACTCTGCTGCCAGCGTCGATAGGAGGTTCTTTCAGCGTCTGTGTTTTTCTGCGCGTTAGAACGCGTCCTGCGGGTTTTCCTTCATGCGGGCGCCGGCGGGGCTTTCGGTTCAGCGTCTCCTCTAGAGGCAGTAATACTCTGCTCTTCTTCTTGCTTCCTTCGATTCAGCAACTGGAGCATGGTGTCCTCGAATGGCGGGTCTGGTTATTAGTCGCTAGGCCTACGAATTATATATTCTTGACACTCACCGTCCGCATGCGCGTGGTAGTTCTGCAGTGACTGCGTTGCTCCAGCCTCAGGGGGTTCCTCTCAGCCGCTTCGTCATATTTAGAGCGATACGCGCCGCTTCCGAATCTTCTAAGTCTCACAAACACTGCAAAGTCGCCGTATCGACGTGAGTTGATAGATGAGAATAGGCAAGTAAGTGACCGGCGGACCGGTCCGCTTCCGCTCCGCCACGGTATGTACAGGCGGAGAGGGATGTGTGCCCTTCCGCAAAAGTGGCGTGATGGTGGTGAGATGCATGCAGCTCGATAAATCGTTTCCGCTCCGCTCCACTCCACTCCACTCCACCCCCGTTGTCGCTGTCTTGATGGCTTTCTCGGCGTGTTTACGTTGCTGCCTCGGATGGGTCTTAATGTCGTTCTGCCTGCCCCGTTGGGGCCTTCGGTTCTGCAACGCAGGGCGCTGGCATTATAACGATTGGCTTGGCGGCGAGCGAAGGGAGGATTAAAAGCGTGGTGCTGAAAAGATATAGTCGAAGGATAAGGTAGATAGGGAATAGTAGCGAAGCGGTGCGAAGAAAGTGATGGAGGACAGAAGAAGCCTGCCGGAAGATATCGGCCCGGCGTCGAAGCCACGGGGTTGGAGGTGTACGGGAGGGCTTCGATTCCTAGGTACTTTTTCTTCGCACATCTTGTCCTTCCCTCTGATACCTTCCCCCCTATTTTCTCGCCTAGCCATGCATTCTCGGCTTTCCACTAGGTCACATGCCCAATCCAAGCACCCACTACGAAACATTGTTTTTGGGCCCCGCATGCAGTTTATATGAGCTCGTTGCTGCCCGATATCAGATCTGGTACTTACCCTTTCCCTCTGCCAAGATACCGAAGAGTCAGAAGCCGCCCAAATTGCCAAGTCCGCTGGAGAAAAGGGGAGGCAGAGCGGTCGCTGGTACGGTGTGTCGAAGCCGATGGTCATGTGTTCTAATTGACACTGATACATGACGTCGGGTACTTGTTGTTGTGCACGCTGCGGACGCTCTGAGCTACGTAGACGATGTCATCTTCGACTTCAACTAACGAAGGCCCGATAGACGAAAGATCTGCGAAGCAGGAGTGTGATCCAGAGCTAGATCTAAGGCCCTGGATCGCCGTAGACTAGTTGGGCCGGTGCTTGGAAGAAGGTTGCGTCTCAAATAGGGATGGTGAGGGCTGAAGATCTGCGCAAGGATTGTCCAAGCCTCAACACCAGATCCTTCGCACAGATCGTCTCCCTCCCACCTTGACTCCCACTGAACCGCCGCGCATTCCACGCAATTCGCCCAGCTTCTTCGCCGTCACTGCGCCGCCGCCTGCGCGTTACCAGTACGAGCCAGCAGCGATGTGCCTGCACGGTCTGAGCCGGGGCGGTCGCCGACAGCTGTGATCCGGATCGAAGGGTCGATGGCTGCATCTGCGTGACACCCGGTCGTTTTCCATCGGTTTTCCACAACGGCGTTTCTCTCGGCTCTCACTAACATCGTCATGCTACAGATGTTTGGTCTTCAAAGATGCATCCAGGACCCTATCAAACGGAGCAGAAACGCATCCGCTGGACGTGGGACAGAAGAGATTGTGCCAAGCCGCTTATTCTTGGACCCAGATTCCCCTATCTTGGACAGTGGGTCAAATGCATCAGCGGTTGAGGCTGTGCTAAGATAACGAAGCAAGCAACAGTCCCAGAGGTTGCGACGCCCAGCTGGCTCGCGGCACCTTGGAGTAACCCGATTGTTGCTCTCTAGAGCCGCCAAGTCCCTCCCATTTGTTTCATTCAACCTCTTGTGGACGATCTTCAAGCTTCTAACCTCATCTAAGCTCTCTACATCTTTTTGACCATCTTGGTGGCATCCAGAGAAAATTTGCGGGCTGTGTTCATTTCTTACGCGTCGGTACCTCCTCTATTCTTTCACCTTTCTCAAGATTGTGCCCAGAAGCATACCCGGCCTTGCCATGGCCCTCAGCGGTTGTACGGTCCGCAATCTGGCTGCATTCCGGCTACAGAGGAGTGGCACAGCGGCGAGTGATGAGCGCATGGGTGGGGAGGCTAAGGCGGAATGTACACTCATGGGCTTGGCCCGTGGAACCCTCAACGAAGTAAATCACACATCCTCGCCCAATCGGTCCCCGAGCTCGCGACTCCCGCTGGTACATGCCAAGAATCTCCGATTGAGCGTCCCGCTCCGCTAATCCACCTTTCCGACGCCTTACGCCTGCGGCTTTCAAGATCGAGAGGCACCAACCTCACCGGTGTGACAGAGTCCGCAGCGTACTCGCAGAACCTACCCCGTCAAAGGTCAGCATTTCCTCACGTGCGTCTACGGCTGGAGCACCCTGATGACTGCATTGTCATCGTGCTAGCTCGCTGCCTCCCACGGTTGCAAAGATGGGAAGGAATTGTGGGGCCTCGCGGACGGTGAGGTCGCCACGATAAAGCAAACATAACCAAGTGGACTTACCGCAGGCGCAAAAGGATGTTGGTCCGATGCATATACCGTGGGAGGTCTCGCAAGTGCTAAGGCGGGATAGACGTTGCGGGCACATTTCCAGTTCACCATCGTTTCCGCATCGGGCCAATGCAAGCTGCCCTACCTTGGGCTATCTCTGCCTTGGCGGTCACTAGCGGAAGCCCCAGCGCGGCAGCAAACACCGCCCTGAGACTGGCGGAGTCGAGGATTCCGCATTGGCTGTGGAGCCTCTCGTCTTGGCTCTCCTTGGGCCTGTTTCCTTGCGTTGCTTGTGAGCCCACCGTATCTAACTCGCCTTTCACGGCCGGTTTGACTACCACGTCACCATGAGGGATGCCAGCCACCCACGGACACCACGGGGGGCGAGCTTACGCGCGTGCTTGCGGAGAGCGGGACCCGCAGGAAAGACATCTATCAATTCATATGCGTACCTTGGGTGCCCCAGATGCAAGCCCCCATTTGAGCACATTGCTCACAGTACTTATACCCCGAGAACCCCCCTGGGGCATTGTTGTGTCAGCCCCTTCATCAGCGCGCCTAGTTGAGCGCTCCCCCTCCAAACGCTTCCGTGTTGAGCACGCTTGCCCTCATCGCACGTCAGGAGCCGCCGGTCGTGACTTCCCTCTACCAGCAAATCGACGACTGATCCGGTTAGCGCAACCAAACATTCGCCATGGCCGCTCGCATCTTCGACGACAAGGACAGCCAAAAGGACGACACCGTCGGCCTGCCAATGTCCAACACCGCCACCGAGACCGCTTCTATGCGAGATGTCTCTATCGCCTCCTCCCGCTCCTCTGCCATCGACGAGCCGAAATGGCCTCGCACGTGGCGCGCGTACGCCTGCTGGCTCGGCTGCTTCTTCCTCATGTTCAACTCGTGGGGATTGGTGAACGCCTATGGTACATTTTCGTCGTACTATGTTGGCCATTCCCTGCGAGACGTTGACCAACTCCAGCTGAACCTGATCGGCTCGACACAGTCATTCCTCGTTCTGCTGTTCTCAGCACCAGTCGGACGACTGCTGGATGCCGGCCATTTCCGATACGTCATTGGCACTGGCGCCTTCCTCGTGCCCTTTGGCATGTTTATGCTGTCTATTGCACACCCTACCACCGAGGACTCCCCTGCCAACTTCTCTCATATCTGGGTCACTCAGGGCTTTGTTGTTGGCCTGGGTATGGCTTGCTACTTTGTCACGAGCTCTCAAGGTAAGCATTACAGTCTCCCGATAATGATGGATTTCTGATAGATTACAGTCGCTGCGACGTGGTTCCCAAACCACAAGTCCCTCGCCGTCGGCGTTGTCGCTTGCGGTGCCAGTGTCGCCGGAGTGGTGTATCCGACCATGACCAGATATCTCGTTGACGCCATGGGCTTCAACAACGCGGTCCGTCTGGTTGCTACGCTCGTCGCAATTACATCCGCCTACTCGCTCATCTTTTCGACGCCCAATCCTGCCCACGCTCACCCTAAGCCGCAGAGCTATCGTAAGCTCAAGACCTGGATCGACACGGAAGCCTTCGGCAACAAATCCTTCTGCTGGTTCACTGCCGCAGTCACATTCCTTTTCTTCGGCTTCTATCCCGTTTTCTTTAATCTTGAGGAGGTACGTACACTGATATCATCCTACCATTTCTCTATCGTTGCTAACTCGTTCGCAGTGGGCGGCAGTCTCCGGCTATGGGACTCGCGACGGAACACGCGTACCCGTGAAAATCGTTTCCTCCACAAACAACCCTCTCCAGACCTTTTGGCTCCTCACCATCATGAATGGCGCCTCCACCATCGGACGTCTCACCTTCTCCGCTTTTGGCGACAAAACAGGTGCCCTCAACATGCACATCGGCTCGCAGATCATCTCTTCCCTGCTTGTCCTCATCCTCTGGGTCCTCGCTGGCTCAACCACGGCCGCCATCGCCTTCTGCGTCCTCTTCGGCATGACTTCAGGTGCGGTCATCGGTTTGCCTCCGGCATCCATGGGCAACATCCTCAACTGCACATACAATACCCCGGAAACCAAAGCTATCGGCCATTCCAAACTCGGACAGTGGACCGGCATGATGTACAGCGTCGCCGCCGTACCCGCCCTCGCTGGCCCCGTGATTGCAGGGCATCTCGTCACCGTCTATTCCAACTACATCACTGTGCAAGCTTGGTCCGGCGCGAACCTCATGGTTTCGGCAGCATGCATGCTAGTCGCGAGATGGTACTTGCCATGCTGTGACGGCGAGCGCGTGGGCACCAAGATTGCGAAGCTGATGGGCAAGCATGTCGAGGCATCAGAAGAGAAAGTGAAGGAAAGAGAGGGTGGGAACGAGAGCGATACTGATGTCGAGTTCGCTAACGTTACCTCCCAGGCAACGACGTGTGTGCCTAGCCGTTTCGTCTCCCGACAAACGTCTGATGAGAAGGTGGATGCACTGCGACGTGGTGCCGTCCTCGGCTCTGATCGGAACGTCTGAGAGCACACAGCGCGGGTGGAAATTTTTACCGTGCAAGGGGAACGTTCGGGCGGCGATGGTCAAGGGTGTTGGGGACAAGACACGGCGTGGCACAGTGCGTTTCTGGCATTTCCTTGCCGTTTCTTTTTCTTTTCAACATTCTACTGCTTCAAAAGGTCTCCCTTTTCATTTCACTGCTACTTGCGACAAACCGCATCTCTAGGGCATCTAATAGCGCGACATGGCTTGGAGAGTTGTAGGAGGATTAGATAGTAGACGCATGGTGCTCCCCTGTTTGCTGGGTCGAGCATCCATCTACGACCGACACGATTAGACAAAATGAAAACAATAGCTGCTTCGGACGTCTCTCTCTCGATATACAGCCTCTCTGCGATATTCACACTGCAAATCAAGATTCGCATTCTTTGTTTTTCTCTTAGCACTACTACCAGAACATTCGATCGGCAGTTCTGCAGCAGCACTGTTAAATGACATGTAGGACATAGATGTTTGTGGGGCTATAACAGAGCCACATATAGCACGTAGTCCGCAGTGCTACTCGTTTACATTTCCCATACATGCTCGGCACGTGCTCGGCGACAGGGGCCCAACGTCCATGTCTTGCTCTATGTGCGAGAGCCTCAACGATCCATGACCATAACACGAATAAGATCATGGCCATAACACAAACAGGATCATGGTACTTTTCCGCCCAGCAACGGCAGTTCGAGCGAAGGGAAAGGTAAGCATACCTCACCATCCACGCTTCCTTCAGCTCGACGGGCCTTGGTTGTCTTGGGACGTACTTGGCTGAGGCTGAGTGCTTGCATATGTATGCTGCCTTGTCCGTTTCGGTTCGGCATATCTTGCGGGCTTATTGGAATATCCCCGTGTCAGGAGGCCGATGTACCGAGCTGTCGGGAAGGGCCATGGTCGGAAGGGCTAGATGGGAGGCCATGGAGATGCGGGAAAGGTTCCGTCTTGGGCGACACGCCGAGTTGGATGCGGGTGCAGCTACACGGCAGTACGGACACATGCTGTGAGACAGGTCATGCTGCACGTTCCAGTCCGCGGGCGAGAAACAAATCTCCCATGTCGAATTCCGGCAAGATCGTCACGGGCTGTTCTGGATAGACAGGGTCGAGTCATACGTGGTGAAATCCTGTCCATTTCGTCTTCTCGCACACCGTGATCTGGTTTCTGATTCCGCGGAACGGTTAGCGATGGACTCTTAGCTTCTGTTAAGTCAGGCCGTCGTTTCTTGACATGTGTTATTATCACATCTATAGCCCATAGTGCGTGTGCGGTGTCTGGATGCCAAGGTCAAAAATGGAAGCTAAGTTGCGGGGTCGGTCCGCTGAAACGTGCATATACGGAGCGGCTCTAGTTGCTACCACTGTTAGCGGCGGTAGAGGCGTGTGCGAAAGTTTAGCCAGGCCTAGCGTACCGCATATTGAGAATCTTGGGTCCAGGGTTGAAGAAATTGGAGAATTGAAGCACTATCAGCTGGCCTCGTGAGAACCCGCAGGAGTCGAGATCCATGTGCTTTGTTGAGCTCGAGCTTCCGGATTCGCCATGTGCGATGACGACAGTGGGTCCGGATGCCGTATATGAAGCCTGCGCGTCTCGCTGTATGTATGCCTGCCCAAATTCGAAAGAGACTCGCCGAGGAAGGAGGTGTGCTTACTATGCTGCACGTCGGTATTGCTAATCTAAGACTTCCTGGAATTCTGTAAAGTGGCCTGATAATACCAAAACGCTAGACAAGACGGAGAATTCAGCTAAATCTCGTCTATCTCGGAGATCTGCGGAGGATTTGCAGCCAAATCGAACATTCGGGAAAGTGGTCTGATTTTACCGTCGATATGGACACAAGACGGAGCTTGGGAATTCGTTTCGAAACAAGAAGTACGAGAGTCGCCGCGACTGCTTATCCGTCTCGGCCAATAGTCTGGGCGCAGCAATATACGTTCTTGACCTCGGTGTCGCACTGCATCCACAGGTGTCGCAGGTAGAACTGATCAACGGCAGTTGTGATGGAGCGAAATAATCTGGGGAGGAGTTAGGGAGAAGCTCGGTCGTCGGGAAAGTGGACTGACAATTCCGGATGACTGTGTATGCTGTCCCGGCTCGAGGCAACCTGCCATGTGCTCCGTGTGAAGGTTGGGAACGTATTGCGGGGTGCATGCATCGTTCTGCGATCTCACTTCGTGACGTGCTGGAGCAGTAACTGATCGCTCCATCAGATGTGAGAGTATCAGCGCGAGGGTCCTTCAAAGCTGGCCATTCAGCCGACGAGATGTCTTTGTGCTCCTAGGTGTAGACGAAGTCTTCGGCCACAGCTGTATAAGCACCATGATGGCTTTGTCACACTTCCCGGGCTACAAGCAGACAAAGCCAAAAAGAGCTGCCGAATCAAGCCCGTACTCGGTAGTGAGGAAAGAAGTGAGAGTCCGACGGGGTGAAAAGAAGGCGTGCGGCTGAAGGGATGCTAAGGTTGCCACGGCAGTTGTAGAATACCATGCTCTTCCTTCCATAATCCCGCCTTCTATTGAAGCTGGGCGGGATCGCTCCGCTTTCCGCTCGTATTTCGGAACAGGAAACGCCAAGGAGGCCCTGGAAAATTGAGCTTGCGTAGATGAAATGTCGTGTATGTACCTAGGCCGGGTGAACACGGGGAGCCGCTCGGTCAAAGGACGTCTCCAAGGTAAGCTGTGTGTGTCGCGTTCTCTTGCACCTCTTGCTTCAGCCATCGATGCTTGGTGCGGCCTTGGTGGCAGCTAGCACATGATCGCCCCTTGAGTGATAAGGGGGTCGACGGGTTAGCGTTCCTGTGTTTCCCGCAGTCCTTCAAGACACTGAACTCCCATTGAGCGGCTCTACTCCCTCGGGCATAAGACTGAACGAAGCTGACTGCGCACCATCAGCAAGCGCATGGGGAGTAGCGAATCTATCGCACTTTGTGCCCGTTTAGCGTCACACTTGTCCTCCGTTAGATAAAGACCCAGACTCGCCCGAGCCGGGACAAGTCGGCTTCTCTGTTGCTAGCATTCCTGCCAATGTCTTGGGTCTTGCCTGGGATGGCGGTGATGGTTCCCTGCAGCGGAAGCCAAGGCAAAGGGCGGAGCGCCGCCGGCGTTGTCGCGGCGCGTTATTTCGGCGCGGGGGTGCACGCGCGGCAATGGCGTACTGGGCCCAAGATCTTCATGATAAGGCTCCGTGGAAGGCTGTGCAGGAGGAAGACGGGAGTTGGCATAATCAGCGAGAAATGTTGACATTCGTCAGCACTCGTGAAGTGGGAAGGAGATGTGACGTACCTTCCCCTACGCATCTGGGCGGGCTTGGCGCTTTCACGCTGAGGATCGTCGAATCCTCCCATCGCTAGCAAAGTTTCAGCTCGACAGCGCAATCCCGGCGGTCTCGATGCTAGGGTGCGAGAGGCCGGAGAGAAAACTCCCCATCTTGGGCTTTCGATCTGCTTTCCATATTCACGACTAGCAGTCCCAATCGACCGGTCCACGCCAAGAGGAAGGTCCCGCTGAGCAGATTCCAAGGCATGCAGAACAACAGCCATTATAGACACGTCAATTAAATCCTACCCAGTAGATGCAGAAGATTCAAGGCATCGCGGCCCCCCTTTGGCGAATCGGGTTCTCTAGTCATCGCCGAACAGCACCCCGTCGCTTTCTACGACCCAAGACCACTGTCTTCTGTTCCAGCACGCCAAGCTACTACACTGGAAAGTCAGCTGCTGCGGTAGTTCTTTCTTGCTCGTGGAGGAATGGCTTGAGTGAATACTATGTGGCAGGTGAAGCTGGAAGTTGAAGGCTTCAGGAAAAGAGATAGCATTCGGCCGATGTGAGCAGTATGCTGATGAAGCAATCGCATTATATGGAAATGGAGGGAAGCACAGAGACATGAGAACAAGCATCCGACCAACAGAACGCTCCACTCGTCCAAAAACTCCGACCATGCAAATACAAGTACAGCTGAAAGAATCCGGATGACCTCGCTTGAAAAATTCGAAGTGATATTAAGAAAGCACCCTGCCAAGACCCCTGCTAAATCGCGAGGATCCAAGTAACCGCCATAACGCGCGGGCAAGACACGGTCGGAACGGATCGAGCGCTGACTCCAACACCTAATCGTGTCATTGTACTAGCTCTCTCCCTCGGCTAGGCGTCTGAACCCCAGCTGGCGCAGTATGACTGGCCACCTCGAGAACGCTCGTAGCGCTTTCTCCGCCTCCGTCTACGCTCATTCCAAGCATCCGTCGCGCAAGCTCTTTCTGACCGTTTCCTATGGCGTGTTCGATGGGTGACTGCGTGGCACTTCCATGGCCGTTCGTCTCCGACGCGTCATTCGCATCCGTCGCTAGTGGCTGCAACCATTCCACGGCCGTGCAACGGTTTACAAGACGCTTCGTTGTTTCGTCGACGGGTGCAAAATGGTTGCCGCTGGTGACAAGAAGATGCAAAAGCCGGACAATGTCCTCGCGTTTGTAATGTGGAGGTTTGCTGATCTGACTATTCGTCAAGATAGGATAGAGGACCCGGAGGTACGTGTGTCGCAAGGCGTTGGCCGCGGGAGAATCCGAGGGTAGGTCGATTAGATTACGAAGAATGACGTCGACGAGGACATGGAGGTCGTTGGTGTAGAAGTATTCCGCAGTTTGGGTATTTCCGAAAATAAGATAGAGCGCCTTGAGGATTAAGAGCTGAAGCGAAGTCTCGGACTCTCGGTTCAGGAGAAGAATCAAATTACAGCCGAAGGTCTTATACGTCATGCCATGCGTAGACAGCGCCTTGATTACTCGGTTCGTGATGCTCGCGCGGCCGTCATGCTGTTGAGTCGTGGAAGCTACCAGGTATTGCTCGTTCAGGACCAGCTGTATCCGTCAGCACCAGATGTAACGCGCAGTCGGCATACATACCAGAACTCGAATCACAGGGTAGTGGTATGGGTCGTCAGCGTCGTCCGAGACGCCTTCAATGATCTCTAAAAGATACAGAACAAACGCATCGTTTATGGCCACTGCAATATCCGTCAGCACCCGGACCCTATCATTGACGCATGAACCCCATTATAGCAAGATGTTAACATACTGAAGTCCTCCCATCTCAGCCGCTGTATACGCGAGGACTCGTACATAAGCTCGAGAAGCATTTGATGCAGCCGGGTATCCTCCTGCACGCTCGGCGATTGTACCAGCTCAACCAGCCGGGGAAAGACGCCCTCTTCGTTCATCATCTCGAATGTGGCATCGTTTCCGCTGTTTCGGCCGTCGAAAAGGAGGAATGCCGCGACCATGTGGAGCGTGGGGTTATCGTCCTCCTATCCACGAATTAGCCCTTCCTTGCGTACCCTGATATGCAGAAGCGACGTCGTCTACCTGTAGAAGACAGTATATTATCTGGCGCCGCACGTATTCCTTGTGGGCGTTGAATAATTCCCCCTGGATTAGTCGGAAGACGCATTCTGCAACGCTGTAGTCCGTCTGGAGGTACTCGGCTAGCGACGGTCAACAATTGTGCAAATGTAGGTAGAGGGACAGAGAAGAAGCACATTTGTAGTTGGTGGTGACGTTGAGGTATGAGCGCAGGGCGTTGTCTATTCTCTCGTGCTCCTGGCAGCGCGTCGAGACGATGTCGTCGAGCTCTGTTTGGCGCATTAGCGTGACGGCGGCGGCGGCGGGACGACAGTGTGCTGACCATCCCAGAACTGCTGCTCATTCTCGAGGTTGTACGATACCTCAAACGCCATGTTGAGGTCGCGGATTAGCCACCAAACTCATCCTCTCCAGCGGTGCGAGCTAAAGCCTTGCGGGGAAGTCGCGCGGCGATTGATGGCGGTGGTGTCGTCCTGGTGATTCGGAACGGCCGCCGCCGGAAATTTCTCGGCCCGGTTACGGCTGCGTCACTGCCCCTCTTTAGGCTTAGCTGGCTGCTTATGCACGCCCTCTCAGGAGTCTTTAGGCTTGATGGCTACAAAGATTGTCACCGTTGATGCCGGAGTGTACTTGCGCATTTCTCATTCCTATCCTGACCGTAACGTGCACGTTGCAGACGCCCTGCGCCCGCCACTGTGCCGAGCAACATCCGATGGCCTGATCGAGCTGCCTTCAAGCCCTCACCAAGCCCACTTTGACCCCGTTCCCGCTTTCCATATTCAGCTTCAGACTCTCCACGTATTCCATCACGGGATCACGGTTCTGGACCTCTTTGAACTCCAACGCCATCCTCACCACCGTGTACGCCACCCAGAAGAGCGCCAGCTGCTGTGCTGGGCAATGTCTCGCCCCGCCTCCAAACGGCACATAGTCCCAATTCGGCCGGATCTCCTTCCACCTCTCGGGCCGAAACGCCTCCACGTCCGGGCCGTAGACGGAAGGATTGCGGTGCATCGTGAAGTAGCTCATTGAGACTGTGTCGCCGGGCTTGACGAGAATGGGAGACGAGCCATCCGGTCCACCTCCGTACGGCAACATAGTCTGAGCAAGACAGCCGCGTGACTGATTCGGAACAGGTGGGTAGATCCTGAGAGCTGACTTCTGTTAGCTGCAACATGGAAAGTGGGGGAGGTGCCAGGCCTACCCTCGTTGATGGAATGCTGCACATATCTGAAGCTCTTCAAGCGTTCGAAGGTGAGGTCTTCCTTCGTCACCCCCGCAACCTCCTCCCTAATCTTCTGCCAAGCTTCCGGGTGACGAGCTAGGCAAAAGAAGACGTTCGACAGAGCAACGGCCGGTGTATCCCGACCAGCAAAGAAGACATTCAGTAGCTGACTGCACAGCGCTTCTCTATCAGTTGTTTCCTTGGCCATCTCATAAACAAGGATGTATTTGCGCTGATCCTCGTCGGGATTCTTCTCGCGTCGCGCCAGGGCTCTGTCAACGTGTCGCTGCGTATAGGACCTGATCAGTTTGCACGACTCCCAGAACTTGTGGTCGCGGAGCACAAAGCTCATCTTCCCCATCAGAACTCTAGCGCCAACGCCTTTTTGGGCGTAGCTGAATGAATCCAGGAAGGTCTTTGAGTCGATGGGACAGTCGTTCATCAGGAGACTGCGCATAGACTCGCCAAAGATGAATTCCGAGCTCGAATCTAGAATCTGTCGGGCCAACATCAATATCAGATGGGTCAATAGGGCACTGGTACTTACGAGTCGATCAAACAACTCCTTCAAGTCCACGGTGTCGTCGTTATTTGGCAACAAGGCGAGGAATCTCCCGACGTGCCTGTCAAACATTTCGGGATCGTTGATTTGGCTGCGTGTAAAGGTAGGTCGAATCATGTCCCGGCCGTGGCGCCATACTTCGCCATCGGACGTGATGATACCCTTCCCGGTCATAGGCACCTGCGCCAACTCCCTTACCGGACCCACGCCGAACTTCTCATGCTCGGTGGCCAGAATGAATTGGATGTTGCGAGCATCGACGGTGGAGACGACTCTTCGACCGAACGGCCAGGACTCAAACGTTCGACCGTACTTCTGGTACTGGGAATATATCGTCTTGATTCGCCGGTTCTCTTTCGCCGCCCGCATACTGTCCCGAACGGTGTCGATGCCGAATACTGGGTCTTTGGCAGGAAGGCGCGGAGGTGCGGCGCATCCATAGCGCTTGGAGGCTCTGGCAGCGCCAATCCGGCGTTTGGTAGGTGGCACAACGATGAGGAGCACCAGAGCAAGAGCGAGCGCTCCAGCGATTGCTCCAAGACTGGCCATGGCCAGAAGTGAGGCGTGTGCCGCTTTCGAAGGTCGATTACTGGAGGCTGAGCAGTGTCTTGGAGCAGCTGCGGCGGCACTTAGAGTTCGGAGGCGCTGACACGGCTGCAGGGCCCGTTCGAAGAGGAAAAGAAGGTCCTCCGCTGCGTACCGACTGGACGGTCGCCTAATTTACCCGCCAAGCCCCGCCTTCACGGTTCCTTCCTTATCTGTGGGGTTGCAGCTCCCCGGGACGACGCCCCTTAGTCAGTGTCAACGCCTCGTCACATGGCCACGAAGTCTCCGCACGTTGGAAACCTGATCACAGCATCACGGCGGCGCCGTCACTTTCATCTAACAGCATGGATTCGCTTTCATCATAACTTTTGTACACGCCTGGGGCACCGGTGCAGACTTCAAAATCTGCACCCCGGTAACCAGCGGGCGGGTGTGGAAGATACCAGGCTTACCAGACGGACACCCCCTCCAATCATCCAGTCCCTCAAGGCTCCTCTCTCAACCTATAGATTCCATCGGGCTCCGTAGCTTCGGCCTTTGTCCCATCCTTCCCATAGAATTCGAGGCCCGCAGTTGTCACGAACGCCGGCGTCTCTGCATCACCCTCCCTAAGGTTCCGCACGCTGTCCGTCGACTGCTCTGTGTTGAGACCCTTTTGACTACGGTTTGCCGAGTTGCTCGGAGACTTCTTGCCCATCGAGTGTAGAGAGAGTGCAGATCTCATCGAGCCCACGACCGACTCCGGCGACCAGCCATGGAAGAGCGGACGCAAACTTGGCAAGCATGCGCAGACTACGGCAATGCAAGTCTCCGGGATCGTCCAGTACATGGTCGGTGCTTCGTCGTCTATGCCGCTTTGTCAGCATCGGGCATGGTGTAGAGGCTTGCAACACTCACGAGCAATCTGATGGTGTTTGTTGATCGTCTTAATGACGTTCCAGAACTCGTAGCATTTGCCGATGGCAACAGCCAACACGCTGCATACAGGTCAGAAAATGGTCCTCACAGTGGCCTAGGGGAAGCACTTACAGGGCGCCCATGCCGAAAATGCCCAGAACTGCAACCTTCTCTCTTCGGCTGATCTTCAACTTGAGGATCTGCGGCCATGGAATCAAGAGCATGCAAACATCAATGATGATAGAGGCGACGGCGTAGACTTTGATGGGGTTCAGCTGAACGCAGCGCCGGCCCTTCTGGCCATGGGCCGCCTTCCAGAAATCTGAAATTGGGATGCAGCTGAAGATGAAGAGTATGGTATATGCGACCGTCCAGAAGCCATTGAGCACGTACAGGACCCATACAGAGATGTTGAATGAGCGGCCCACGAAGATGCGATTGTAGAAGAGGAGGATGGCGTAACGCGTCACTCCGATGGATAAGGTCGAGATGATCTTGTTGGCATAGATGCACTGCCAGTACCGTCAGCCTCGATGGCGCTGCTTGATTGCTTATGCTTACCTTTTGAAATGTTTCGAAATCCGGATTCACAATAGGAAAGCCGGTATCATCGAGCGGCAACCATCGTCCCAGATTGCCATTAGTCGCAGCTATTCAGCCTCGTCAGCCAACGCCTGCATGAGGCGCAAGAAGGATCGCTCACCAATGAGCATTACAATCGCATTTGCAACCGCCAACGCCTGCAGGACTTTAGCATGCGCGTCTTATTCAGAGAGACCTCGACTTACCAGCGAAGGTAAAAGCATCCAGTCATCGATTCGCAACGACATCCTCTTCTTTCGCCTCGCCCAGAATCGGGCGACAACAGCCGCAATGGCAAGCAGTGGAAAGGTCACTCCTAGTGCGACCGGAGTCGCGACGGGCGTTCTGTATCCCATGGCGGCGTTCAATTGACAGCCACAAACTGCAAAATGCTCAGCGAAGAGAAGCACACCTGCGGCGAGGACTTAAAAGAGGCGCGAGATTACGAACTCCGGCGGCATGCGGGCCATCTCGACTTTCCAGAAGCTCCCTGTGCGAACCACGAAACCCTATTCGGCACGGAGCTTTACACGAAAGGACGAAAATGCGACCCTGCGCAAACGCGGCGCCGAACACGAGGCGACCCCAGACTACAGCTGATAGGATACATCGGCCTGGCCGCGGTTGTCCAACAGCCCCATTAATAGTCATGCGAATCAGCATCCCGGCTTCATTTCTTACTTGCATTGCGCCTGGGGCGCAGATAAGCTCTGCGCCCAGTGGCGCCACTCCACGCGGGTGAGGGCCCGTCCCGGGCTTATTTCCAGTCGATCAACTTCCTACCCTCCCTGTGAACCATATAGCGCATTTGACTGTGCAGCGCTTCACGACACTTTATCTGCTTTGACTTAATCAACTGGGCTGAGTCAGATCCTGAACGACAGACGAACCAGCAAGTTCCGTGGTATCCGCGACTTTGTACAACTCCACAACATCACCTTGGATACGATTGGCAAGTGAAACAAGCTGTGCCTCTGGATCGGCATTTAGTTGGAATGCGGCTTTATCCAATGGGATTTAGCCTCAGTCCAAACGCTGTCCCGGCAATCCGGTATGGAGGGGCGGCGTAGCAGGGTTACCGGTAAACGAGAACGGGAAGGTGTCACGATGTGCTTCGAATAGGCAAGGAGTGTCGAATCTCGCTTCTTTAGGCAATCAGGCAGACTCATGTGATAGATTGTGTTTGGTGTTGATTGGAGCCAAAAGCATGGGAGTTCATCTATGGGTGAGCAGTCGCAGTCCTTAACGCTGGGATATACTCGGGATCGGTAGAGAGGTTGCGCGAGGACAAGCGGTAAGTTATCCTACCCTCAACTTAGCTTGAACGGCACCTGGAGGCTGCTTCTTTGGCTTGAAAACTTCAAGCGTACCGAAGGCGTGAAGTCTTGCGCGTGAAGACGCACCATGGATACACGCAAGGATGAAGCAGTACCATTTCTCTCTCCCGAAGAGGATACCACTCCTTCCAACAAGTCAAAGCGCACATTTACAACACGAAGCTGCTTGGTCCATCTGCTGGTCTGCTGCACTTACATCGCTGCCGTAACCCTGTTCGCATTCTCAAGAACACCATACAAAGTATGCTTGGAGAAAAGCACGGAAGCAGGCAACCTGGACCTTTATTGTAAGGACCTTATTTCGTGCTCCACCTAACCAAGTCTTTCTAACATGCTTCCCAGCACCAGCGCGTGAAGCCATCCGCTACCACCTCGACATCATCGACCTCGACGCGGGCCACTTCGAATTCTCCCCCAACCCTTTCGTTGGCGACCCGCGACCCGAGCTTGATGAAGCATGGGATGAACTCCTCCAGAACATCCATATTCGGGTGACGCCCACGGAGTTTTCGGCCTTGAAACCGCAGCTTAATCGGAGTTCGTTGAGATTGTCGGATGGAGATTATATCATAAGACTGGGAGTATATCATGAGCTGCACTGCTTGAAGTGGATACGGAAATGGATTCATCGGGACCATTATTGGGCGGACCTTGAGGGCGCCGCCTTAGATGAGAGGAAGTGGCATATAGGTACGCAATCTTCCCTTAAGTCAAGCGTAGACAGGAAAACCAAGAATGCACAACCGGGATTAACAGGGGACTAGAACATTGCCTCGAGCACTTCCGCCTCCGAACGATAGCAACAGCTTCCCTCTCCCCCGCAACCTTGCACTTCGGTTCGCAAAACGGCGCCCGCACTCTCGAAGTCAACGGCCGCCACATGGTCAAAGCAGTTGATTGGGACAAGCTCCAAGCCTGGACTTCGGAGCGGAAAGTCGATCTCGCTGCCATCGATTGGTCGACATTGCTGCCAGAATAATCGCCGAAAGCGATTAGAGGCTTCTGTTCTATCCTAAGTCTGGTAACTATCACAAGATACCAACATTCGTCCCGCTCTTCCACCGTCCCGCCCACTTCCGCAACTCTGTCCAATCCCGACACACCCGCTCACTACCCCACCCTGTCACACCGCCCAACTCCGCATTCACAGGCTCGAGATTCGAATCCGCAGCGCACATTATGCTTTGTCGCAGGTAATCGAAACAGTGGCGCGCATGGGGGGTTTTCAGGTGCTCTTTCATGTGCTCGTCGTCTTCGGAGGTGGTGGTGTTCGAGTAGTAAGATAACCAGAGCATGTTAAGACAGTGTAGTTGATGGAAGGCGGAGATCGCGGAAGGGGAGGGGGAGAGGCGAGGATGAGAGACGAAGCCAGAGCCTTCTGTGTGGAACGTCAGTTGTTTCCAAGAGTAGGGAGAGATGGGGAGGGCTTACGGGGCAACAAGCCGTTCCATGCTGCTTTCGTTTCGGGGGATGGCGCTATGGTGAAGGTGCTGTTGTATTTAAAGGACGTGGTGATGGAGTGCAAGGAGACTTTAGATCGTCGGTCAGTCCCGGATTACTGATTCAGACAAAGGGTAGGGTGATAGAAGTACGTACTTTTCCCCAGCGAAGAGGGCTGAATGTGTCCGTGAATGAAGTACCCCAAGGCAAAACACATTATACCCCAGACCCAAAGCGCTGCTACAATAGTCGCAACTCTGTATCTCTTCTTTGTGGCCGCGGGAGAGGCATACTCTTCCTCTCGTAAGGAGGAGTATGCGTACTCTCTCGAAGTGGGGGACATGTCTTCGTCGGGGGTAGAGTGCGCCCGAAGTGCTTCACAGGATAGAACAACTTCACTGCGCTGAAGCCTGAAGCCTGAAGCTGACCTTAGGATGCAATTGCCACCAGCTAGCTACCTGCAACCGCCGACCCTCCGATCACTAAAACGTTTCGTTTCAAAACACAATTATCCGCCGATCCTCCGCATCCAGGCTATCGAAGATCGCGACTATTTTTGGGGGCGATTGTTGCCTTTTACATAGCGCACCAATAACAGGACATGAAACATACAAGTTCTACCAGTCGCATCGCGACACCAGAGCCGTTACCCTTGCCCTACTGCTACCGGGGTGGTAAGCAACGGCCTCATCTTGATCCGGCTCGCTCTCAGTGGCTGCGCGCTCGTACAATTCCCCGATAAGGCAATATGTATTACATGAAAGCACTATATCGTCGGACAGCGATGCCTTTCTGCTGGCACAGCACAGCTGAGCGCGTACTGTAACTCATCACATTCGTTGCGGGGATATGGTTGGCTCCATGTTGCTCTAACTGTTTGGGGCACGCAACTCAAGGGATGTGAGATGTGACGGCACTTCTTCTTGTGCAGCTGCTGGGTTTGTGGTCGGTCGGTATCAAGCAGGAACATACCCAGTTATAGAAGCACATCATTGCCCCGCAACGTATATATCCTGGAAGAGAAAGAGAGAAAGTCCCGTAATAGCAGCAGATCGCTGCCCTACGAGTGGATACCCCTGGACGCGAATATACAATGGAGCATTTTCCGAGGCTGAGTGCTCTCGCCATGGTAGTACATGCAAGATAGCCCCATCGAGCTATCCAGCTCACCGCACCGCGCCGCTGGGGCAGACGGAGCCCCTCCGAATCGAGGTAGGGATGTGCTGGGCGGGTACGCAGACGTGTGACCGACGTAGTTCGGGGGAGACATGCAACGTGATATGGGCGGTCGGTCGACGAGAGCGATTCGCAGCGGCACTGACTGAGACATAAGGCGCACTTCGATATTGTATTGTTCTGCCTTGCCTTGAGGATGTAGTTTCCGCTTCTAGACTGCCGGGTCAGCTTGACTCCGTGGAGTTAGAACATCATCTATATTGCTGCTGGGTTGAGAACTGAACACTTAAGCTCGGTCCTTTCCCCATAGCCAGCCCCATCTCCACCTAACCTACTCCCGACTGCACTGCATCGTCCCGCTCCCGCAGACGCCACTTCAAGCCAACCGAGCAGCGCTACCGCCAACTACCGACAGTCAGCAAACATGACATACAAGCTTCTCACCACGCTGGCTTTCTTCCTCACACTCTCGCCTACTTTGGCCCTTCCAACGCAACAAGCCAGCGCCGCAAAGCGCGAAGCAGCCGATGCCACAGCGGCCGACGAGCTCATAACCTGGGCCTACGACCGGACCACCAACACGCAGGAGAAGAAGAGGGAAGCCGCTGACGCTACTTCCGCCGGTAAGCCGCCACCCTTAAAAAGGAAATGCGGAGCATTAGGGCTAATAGGAAGAGCAGATGAGCTCATAACCTGGACATACAACCATAACACGAATACGCAGGAGAAGCGCGAAGCTGAAGCTGCGGAGGACGTCTCAGCCGACGAGCTTGTGACGTGGTTGTATGGACAGAACACGAATAACCAGGGCCAGACTTGAAGGGAGAGGTATGAAGCGTTGGTGACTGGTATGCGAAAGCTCGTGCGGAGTTGAAGGTAATCGTGTGGGGCGTTCTAGTTCAGGTTGGGTTCGGTTCGATACTATGGCACCTGGAGTCGTGGAGCAGGCGCGTTCTCTGGTGGATCGTTGGTTAACTAGGGCATTAGCAGACTTTCAAGTGAATAACGCTTTTTAAAGCAATATAAAGAAGAGAGTGGCTCCGGATCCAAAGAATAGATTGAACGCTACTGCACCCTGTTGTGTAGGAGCCGCTCCACGCGGAAGCTGCTATTCCATGAGTATGTATGAATGCACCAAGTATGATAGGGAAACGCCTAGAAATGCCTCTAGAAGCCCGCCTAATACGCCTCCCCTTCCAATGAACTCCATACCCGCGAAAGAGATAATTAAAAGCCGAAACCGCCAGGGAATTGGAAGCCGCCACCACCCTGCTGGAACTTGAACCCTCCGCCGGGGAAGCCGCCACCGCCTCCACCGGACCTGAAGTAGAACTGCTGGCCACCGTGTGAACCAAACGGCGAGCCTTGGAAGGGATTGCCTTGCTGTTCTGGGTTGTTGGGATCGTCACCGTTGTCGAAGCGCTGCTTGAGTTCGGGGTCTGAGAGGACTTCGTAGGCTTCGTTGATAGTAGTCATATTCTTCTGTGCGTCTTCGGGGGTGAGGTTGTTGGCGGAAGCCTTGTCGGGATGGTACAGCTTAGACAGCTTGCGGTATGCCTTCTTGATCTGGCGCTCGTCGGCGTCGCGGTCCACGCCAAGTACCTTGTAGTAGTCCTTTTGCTTGGATCGTTTGAGAAGGGTGTGTGCCTTCTGGAGGAGCTCCTGTATCTTCTGGTGCTGGTGGTGCTCCTTTGCCGTCTCGAGTGTGCGGATCGCGGCCTCGAATTCGTCGGAGTCGATTTGTCGCTGGGCTTGACTGAGGAGGGCGTGCAGAGAGTTGGGATTTAGCTGGAGAGCTTCGGTACAGTAGGGGGTGCCCTTCTTCAAGTTGTTCATCTAGGAGTGTGTCAATCCATTGTAGTTAAGGCAGGTATTGGCACTTCTCTTACCTCGTAATAAGCCTCGCAAGTCATCTCGACCAATGTCCTGTAGAGTCCTTGCGGCGAGTTCTTATAGATGTAGCCCTTCTTCACGTAGTCTTCGAAATCCTCCTTGACCTCTTTCAGAAGCCCGGGTTCCTCTTCGCCGCGATCGATCAGTAGCTTGACCCCAGTGGCAAACTGCCGCCTCTCAAAGAATTGTCGAACCTTCTTCAGGTCCTTTTCGAGATTCTTCTCCCGTCTCCTAAGCTTCATGCATGCCTTCGAATCAGGATCCGACTGCAGACACTGCGCGATGTGCTTGAGGCCCTTGTCCGTTTCGCCGAGCGAGTAGAAAGCCATGGCTGAGCTCTGGAGATGTGGTTCGATGTCGCCCGTGTTGATCTGCAGAAGGTGCTGCAGGTCGCTGATGCCCTCGACAACTTCACCCTTCTCGAAGCGACACCTGGCCCTCATCTTCCGGATGTCGTATGCCGCGCCTGCGACCATGATGGCGACACCTGCTTGGCTGATGCACGAGTCCCAGTCACCCTTCTCGGCAGCCTCCTTAGCCAGAAAAGCTGCACCTTGCGCTTCTTCAAGCTGCGCGATATCCTCTTTCTTGCCCGCCGCCTCGTAGTCTTTCCGGGCGGCCGCCCATTCGGCCTTTCTGGCTCTCAGCTTCGCCCTTTGCACCAGTGCGCCCTCAAACCCAGGCCGCAGCTCGAGGACTTTATCGAAATCATGTTGCGCCTTGTCCGTCCTTCCGAGCGAGAGGTATGCCGCGCCGCGCCTGAAGAAGGTGAGGTAATTCTTAGGATCGCGGGAGATGGCGACGTCGAAGTATGTGAGTGCTTCTTGCGCATTTCCAGTAGCGAGTTTCACGCCGGCGTCTTTTATGAGCTGCGCTACGGGCGTATCTGCGGGAATATCTGAAGGGGCGAGCGCATGGGCAAGGGAGCTCGTGGAGAGCAGCCCGAGGGCGAGCGATGAGAGCCTGAGGATCATCGTAGAGTTTTAAAAGTGGTGAATGAGTGACGTTGGTGAGTTGTTAGAAGCGTAGGAGAGGGGGTGAGGGCGTCCTAAGGCATGGAAGGCGCGGGGTGGGTGGTTTATATGAGGCTCATGAAAGAGTCAAGTTGAAAGTTGTCCTTTCACCATCCGATCACCGCTTCCCGTATTGGTTCATGCAGGGTGGCCCGTGCCCGATCCACCGCGCCGCAGACCCCGGCTTCGTGATGACGCCGCGTGCGAGGCTGCTTCCTCCAACGACTACTAAACTTGGCCCTATTCCCTGCGCTCTGCGCTCTTTTGCCTCCTCGGCCCCCCTTTCTTCGTCCATCTTCCTCTCCTCTTCAGGCACATGGCGCCCCTTCGACTACGCATAGATGGACGCATCTTTCGCGACAGCGAGAACCGAGAGGTAACTCTCCACGGCATCAACTGTGCCGCTGACGCCAAATTACCCGCGACTCCCGAGTTGCCCTCTCACGTTGCGGACAACTTCTTCGACGGCGATAATGTATCCTTCGTTAACCGGCCTTTCTCTGTTGACGATGCTGCTACACATTTCGCGCGGTTACGGAGTTGGGGGTACAACACAATAAGATACATCTTCACCTGGGAGGCAATAGAACATGCAGGCCCTGGGATATACGACGAGGAGTGGATACAGCACACAATCTCGGTTTTGCGGAAAGCGAAAGAGTTTGGCTTCTACATTTTTATGGATCCACACCAAGATGTTGTATGTAGGCTTTCAATCAATGCATCGCGTTTGGCCCTTCTGATCTCCCCTGCAGTGGTCGCGATTCTCCGGCGGTTCAGGAGCGCCCATGTGGACTCTCTATGCGTGCGGGCTAGATCCCACTTGTTTCGATGTCACAGAAGCTGCTCTCGTCCAGAACGTATACCCCGAGCCGGACAAATTCCCAAAGATGATATGGGCGACCAACTACACGCGAATGGCCTGCCAGGTCATATTCACCCTCTTCTTCGGTGGCAAAGACTTCGCTCCTAAAGCCATAATCGACGGGAAGAATATTCAAGATTACCTGCAGGACCATTTCATCGCTGCATGCGAGCACCTGGCGAAGCGCATCCACCAAGCCGGCGACCTCGAATACGATCCAATAGTGGGATGGGAGAGCATCAACGAGCCCAATCGCGGCTTGATCAGCTATCAGGACATCAGCGTGATTCCGACAGAGCAGAAGCTACAAAAGGGGACCTCTCCCACTGCTTGGCAGGCCATCCTTACCGGATCAGGTAGAGCTTGCGAGGTGGATACATGGGAGTTTGGGGGTATGGGGCCATACAAGTCGGGTTCGGCACTGATAGATCCCGAGGGAAAGACGGCATGGCTTTCTGAAGACTATGATGATTCGCAGTATGGCTGGAAACGAGATCCGGGGTGGCGGTTGGGCGAGTGCATATGGGCGCAACATGGGGTCTGGGATCCCTCCACCGACACCCTCTTGAGGAAAGACTACTTCGGCAAAGACCCTAAGAATGGAGCGACCATCGACTACGAGTACTTCACAAACCATTATTACATGCAGTACTATCGGAAGCACAGCAAGATGGTCAAGTCGATATTTCCCGACTCCTTGATGTTTTTCCAGCCGCCGGTCTTAGAGATTCCGCCGTCGATAAAGGGGACTGAAGATGACGATCCAAACATAGTTTTCTCGCCGCATTTCTACGACGGCATCACTCTATTAACCAAGAAATGGTGAGGTCGACGGGCGCATTAGAGAGTCCTACGCTTACGTATTTTAGGAATCGTGTATGGAATATCGATGTTTTTGGCGTTCTGCGGGGGAAGTATCTCACCCCAGCATTTGCTATTAAAATCGGAGAGACTGCGATTCGGAACTGCTTCGCGCATCAGCTGGCTGCAATACGGCAAGAAGGCTCGGACTACATGGGCGTCCATCCCTGCGTCTTCACTGAGATCGGGATACCGTATGACATGGACGACAAGTATGCATACAAGACGGGCGATTACAGCAGTCAGATCGCAGCCATGGACGCCAATCACTTCGCGCTGGAAGAGAGTAAGGCGAATGGCTATGCTCTATGGACATATGTCGTAACCGTATGTTCCTTCGGGCAACGTCTTTCAAGGGGGCGCTAATGGAATCTAGAACAACCACTACTGGGGTGATCAGTGGAATGGCGAGGATCTGTCAATCTATTCATCCGACGACAAGCCTCTACCTGCAGGAACATTCTCCCCCGCTGAATCGCGCGTCTCGCTTGACACGAGCTCGCCGTCGTACTCGCGAGCCCAGTCTACGGAGACGTTGAGCGTAAACCCGGGAAATCTAAGAAAGACACTCTCGGTAGACCGCATGAGCTCGAAATCAGGCGGGAGCGACGTGCGGGGTCTCCGCGCCGCAGAGGCGTTCGTGCGGCCCACGCCAGTTGCGACGCACGGCAATGTGTCCTCGTTCGGCTTCGACCTTCGGAACTGCTCGTTCAGGCTTGCTTTATCGGCGCCGAGCTCGACACGCGAAGACGCACCGACTATCGTCTATCTGCCAGAATTCCACTTCCCATCGGGCCAGACCAGCGCCGAGGTCAGCGGTGGGAAATGGACGATCAGCTCCGAGGAGACCAATGGCGCCGCGCGGCAGATGCTCCGGTGGTGGCACGCCGAAGGAGAGCAGACGATGACGGTCAAGGGCGCTGTGCGCAAGCAAGGGGCGGCATTGGGCGTGGAGGAGGACGAGGGCTACCTGCAGCAGTGCCGTGATGTAGGGCTGAGGAGGTGGTGGTGGTGAGGCGTTGGGCAGGGCGGCAGGGCGGCATGGCTGCGCTGGGGGAGCAGGTCACGCACGGTGACGTAGTGTCGTTCGATTATCAGGTCACGCCCGCAGTCAGCATTTATGGCGCACATTTGTTTGGCGGGGGAGGAAATGGGAGCGCGCGCGCCAGAAGAAACATGTCGTGGGCGCTGGAAGCACGGCAGCAGCTGTAATGAGGGAGTACAGTCTGCAGATAGAAACGGAGATGCCGATCCGGCGCCCGCCAATGGCACCAGAGTCCAGACAACTGACACCTGACTTCGCGCCGCGTTGGGACGCGCGCTCGCACGGTTCCAAGGCTCGAGCGCAGCCTGGCACCCGTGCACAGTACCTGCGTGCCGTCAAGCGCGCCTGCGCTGCCCTTCTCTCGTGACTGGTGACTCCACTGCATTTCGCGCCTTTCACCGTCCGCGCTGCACCCCGTCTGCATCACCGGCCCCGGCTATGTCTGCCACAGGCGCGCTCTACACCGACTTGCGGACACGGCGCGCAGAAGCGCTACAACCACTCACCCTTCGAACCTGAGGTACACGCCCCCAAGTGCCCCCAAGTGCCCCCAAGTGCGAACCCTTGCGGCTCATCAAGCCCGCTCCCACCACGCCGACTCCACCGTAACCCTTATTGACGCCTCCCGCCACAGCCTCGTCTCACAGGGTCCAGCAGAGCCGCCTGCGCGATGGACGCTGGGGCAGCCAGACCCCCGCATTTCGCCCTCTCCAACGGCCGCCCTGGCGGCACTGCGCACGCCGACCCCGCTTCCGGCCACCTCTCGCAGGTGCTGCAGGCGCTGCAGGCCATCTACAGTCCCGCCTCGAGCAACGACAACCGCCGCGAGGCCACCGAGTACCTCGAGCACGCAAAACGGCACCCCGAAGCCCCCGAGCACGGCCACCAGCTGGCCCTCGACCGCGCGCAGCCGGCCCAGCTCCGCCACTATGGCCTCACCATGCTGGAGTACGCGATCCGGTACGGCTGGGAGGACTTCACCGTCGAGCAGGGCGACGCGCTGCGGAACTACGTGGTCGAGCTCGCGCAGAACATCGCCGCGGAGGACCCTGTCTATCTGCGCAACAAGGTGGCACAGCTGTGGACCGAGATTGCAAAGCGCTCGTGGGGGGCCGAGTGGATGGACATGGACCGCCAGCTGGTGGAGCTGTGGCAGACGTCGCTGCACCACCAGGCCGTCGTGCTGTATGTGCTCGAGACGCTGTCCGAAGAAGTTTTCAACCGCGAGGACACGACCGCTGGCCTGCGCGGCAGCGACCTGGGCCGGGCATGCGTCGAGATTTTCACGCCCGCCGCCGTGCTGAACGAGCACCTGCCTGCTCGGGACAAAAATCTGGATGTGCGCTGTGGTGACGAGGGCTGGCTGCGGAGGCTGTGCGACAACCTCACCTGGTGTCTGTCGCAGGACTATCAGAACCAGGAGGCCGTGCGACTGTGCGCCGTGAAGACCATGAACGCCCTCCGAGCCGCCATGACCTGGGTCATCCCGAAAGCCATTGCCGCCGTGCAGGTCATCGAGCACGTGTGCAAGGCTCTGGCCGTACCCGTGGTGGAGCTGCAATTGGTACCGTCCCAACCGGCTTGCATACGCCCTTCATGCTAACGCCGTGACTTTAGGCCTCCGTTGATGTGCTGCAGTCGATATACAGCCGACACCATCTCCACGATGAAGAGTTCGTAGAGCTGGTCTGCCCAATGTTCACTCCCGGCAGTGTTTCCCTCCTGCGAGAGGTCTACAGCTGGACCCTTTCGGACATGAACATTCATAATCTGAATGAGCAGAAGTACACGCTTTGCAAAAAGCTCGCAGAGGTACGATCTGGTTGTACTTTGGCCCCTTGAGTCTGACTAATGGGCACAGCTGGCCAATAGCCTTGGGCTATTCATTGAACAGAAACCACAGCACATTCCAGAGGGAAGCGACCTCCCCGGCATATTCCAGCTACTCTACGACCTCCTCCGGAACCCGAGCCTCGTCGTCTCCATCCCAGTCCTGCACTGCTGGACCAAGCTTCTGCGGTCCCGCGTCGTTCGCGATTCGGATGTCGTCACGCAAATGGTTGGTGGTCTGCTCGAGACATGCTGCGCGCGATTGATCCGCTACGAGACGTTTCCTGAAGATTCAGAAGACGTCACCCTGCTTTTTCTGAACGAAGACATCGACACGGTTCCGGAGAGACACGCGTTTCTGGGTAACTACCGGAGATTCTGCGCCGATGTCATCGAAGTTCTTGTACGACGGACGCCTGTTGAAGCGATGGAACACATCCTCTCCCAAGCGACGAACATGTTTCATAACCTATACAATGAACAACCCCCATTTCAGCGTACTCCATTCTCCATCCTGATAGTCGACCGGTAGTGCTAATCTCTGACAGCGCAAAACTTCACCAAACATTCGCCGCCTGTTCTCCACGTTGACGCTCAGGTTACCATCATCGATGCTGCCCTGAAAGGCTATCTGAAATGGCTCTCTACACATGGCGAAGAACCACAGGAAGACGTACGTATCACCGCTGCGACACCGTTCAACGGCTAATACGACGCAGGAGCGAAAACGCAACACCTTGGAAGAGTCCTTTGAGCAATGGGGCCGGCAACTGCTCCAGGCTCGATTTGAAGTAAGATAACCAACAATTCTCTCTTTGCCTCGCTTACACCCATTAGGACCCTGAGATCGCAAAGAAGGTCATCCAGCTCATGTCGACGTTCTCTACGAAAGCGCTCCCCGATCGCCCTGCCTTTGCCCTCGCATTTCTTGAATACATGCTCACGATCAGGCTTACGGACAACCCTGATTTGCCTCAGTACTCAGATGCTGTCAAAGACCTGGAACGCATCTGCAGCCTTGAGATGCAAAAGTTGGCAATGAAGTTCCCTGACGATTTCATGGTAAGGACACGATGTCGAATGAGAAGTGCGTGCTCGCTAATCTCTCTAGAATGTATACGATAGCTTGGAGCGGAAAGTTAACGAAATGATTGCCGATCCTAGGACTGACGAGCGCCAACGAATGGCATACTCCGCTTTCCTATTCATCATCATGTAGGTTCGATCCGCCTTCGTCATTTTGATTGGCTAATCTGATGATCTGATATAGTCATCGCTGTACCACGTTGGATCGCGCAACCCAGGAGAACCGCATGAGACAAATGCTGAACCAGGTCAAGGAGGCCTGGCGCACGGACGAACTCACGAAATCTATCTCCTCCTTCCATTTATTCTGCGCGACTCTCGGAATGGATCGCCTGCCAGATTTCCTCTCGGCGAACAATTTCCGTGGCGTGCATGACTGGTCTGAGCAACCTTTGAACAATGACGGCCAGGCCATGCAAGCTGCCATTCTCGAGCGCTCTCAGGTACTGCATCCATCGCTCCTCGATATCCTTCCGCTAACAGCGCCTAGCACCTACCACTCCGCCTCACTAAGACTCTTCTCGCTGCTTCTACAGAGAAGCTGCGTGACGGCTCGACCGCATACGAAACTGCTGCGGTGTTATGGGCAGAGGCAATCCCCGTCATTCTGCCGAACCTTCTCCAGCTTGTTAGGTATGTATGACCTAACATTTTGGCACACGTTTACTGATTTTCTTCTAGTCATGCACAAGCGTTCAATGACTTGGACACCAATTGGTCCCACCTTCCACTAGAGCTACAGCAGGTCATTCGCCGAGTATTGACTGACCGATTCTGGCAAGCTGGCATCTCTACTGAGAGTCGAGACGATTTCTTTGCCCGTGTGAGCGGATCGAAATCAACGTACGAAGGCTTCGCATCTACTGTGCGTGGCACCGTCCGGCAGATCCGTGAGAGCTCGTACTACATCCTGTACTCACTCACACGGTTCCGAGATTTCTTCTACGGCATCTCCGACCTTCCTGGACCTCTCAGCCAAGCCTTGTTTGGTCATGCGCATGCATTAACGGCCCACCACTTGTCCGTTTTGCTTACAGTTTCCACGCATCTCATTGAAGGTTGCCCTGCGCAACTACGACCGCAATTTCTGCCGGCAATGATACAAGGCTTGTTCCGAGAACTGAACCGGAAGATCTCAACGGAATGGGACGATGTCAGCCGCCAAATTGCAAACGCAGGGGAGAACGACAACTTGACAGACGAGATGAAGACAGAGAGCATACTCCGCCAACTCACATACTCCTCTGTCTCGCTTGTCGCTGTCCTGCTGGATTCACGGCAGGGTAAGTACAAACTCGCTCCGATTGGAGACACTAGCAAGGGTGGCGCTCCAGTTGTTTTGTCAAGGAGTAGTGTCTTCACATATCTATCATCTTCTGAGCTATGCTAATGCAGACGCAGAATTCGCCCGCCAAGACGAGTACACGCGTAAAGACGGCCCTCCAATGTGCGACTTCATCCTCAATTCTCCCGAAGCGCTTGAGCCAATCTTGCTCTTCTGCAACTCTTGCATACGCGTCCGCGATACTCGGTCTGTTGTGACTATCGTTCGCGTCCTGCGCACTCTACTCCCCCGCTTCAAGGACAAGTCCCCAATCAGGGGCTATTTCTGCGATGACATCCTCAAGAGTGCAATCACCAGTCTACATGAGCCTTATTTCGTGGACTGCCAGAAGGACCTAGCCTCACTCATCGCCGGCATCATCCACCTCGACGAGGACATTCCGCGCGGCATCATCTTGAGTCTACCGGGCATGGGCGACCAGTACCGCGTCGATCGCCGGTTATCGAAACTTCGAGGCGCGAACCGGAATGATGAGCGGATGCAGCGCTCAATTGTGCTAGATCTGCTGTCTAGTGTCCGTGGCGTGAGCATCCATGAACAGGGCAAGATCGAGCGACCGAAGCCGAAGAAGAAGACTGCTTTCGAGGAGCAGTATATGAGCGTCGATCAACCGCCGACGATTGTGAGGGGGAACTCGCCGGGCTTGGCGGGTGTCGCTGATATGTTTGGAGACGCGTGAGCGCCGCCCTGATATCAAATGGTATCTCAACGACGACCTTTCTTATGGAGTTCTCAAAAGTACTCACTTCCTCCGCGAGGACGATCTTTACGCCGAAGTCTTTCACACGCACCTTCATGCTAGGTTGAACTCATGGACTGGAGTTATATCCCAAACAGAGGCACCTGTCGCCAAATTGTGCTCCGCCGCGGCGTTCCTGAAGCGATCGGTTTTCCAAAATGCATAGCGCTGTGTCTGATTCCCCATGGGTGCGGGTAGACGTCTGGTATGGACGACCTTCAATGGCTTTCTGCGGTATTCTCGCCTTCGTTTTATGCATATCTCCTGTTCCTTACTATATCAATATCCTAAATTTTCTTTTCTTTTCAGATGGATCGAAAGGAGATAGATAAAATGATTGCGCGAGCATACAGTAGGCGCTTGCTTTGAATTTGAGCATTCAGTAGGAGCGAACAGTAATGCCACTGCATATGCAACTCGGTTTCCAGACTTGAGCTATACTATGAGCGCGTATCTTGCTTACTGAAAGATCGTAGGTCATGGCAGCCTACCTCTGGGGCACCGCACGAGATGAGTCTCGTGCTGTGCCATGGAGGTACAGTAGCGCTGATGTCAGCAGGTTGATGTACTGTCAGTGATATGCCCCGCTCATCGTAAATTCCGAAGCCCCTCATTGGTGCAACCAGGGGCTTGATTAATCAATCGTTGCTTTCCTTGAGCAGACCGCTTGGTCACTCTTACTTCACACTCCCTAATATCACTTTCTTGTCTTCTCTTCTTCTTTCGATACCTGGCACCAGCAGTTTCATTCCCGGAATTGAAATTCGAGGGGAAATGGCTTCACGAAACGACACAAGCTCACCGATTCCGATCGTCGATTTTGGAAAGTTCTTGCATGGGAGTGAGCAAGAGAAGGAAAACGTGGTAAAAGAGATTGATGATGCGTTTCGGAATGTGGGGTTTGTGTATTTGAAGAATCATGGTGTGGCGAAGGAGATGGTTGAGGAGTGCTTTGAATGGGTAAGCATATCCATATATCTATCTTTTCTCTGTTCGGATGCCTAACAGCGGTTGAGACCACCTAACTAACGTACGTGAGTGTAGAGCAAGAAATTCTTCGCCCTCCCTTTGGAGTCTAAAATGCTCGCTCCGCATCCACCGGGCGGCTCGCACCATAGAGGCTATTCGGCCCCAGGAGTTGAGAAAGTGAGCCAGCATAAGTATGATGCTGATGAGATTTCCAAACTCCGCGAAGTACGCCCACGCTCCCCTATCCCGCCCCAACGTCCCTTCAATCCACCAACTCACACCCACACACAGATCCCCGACCTCAAAGAATCCTACGAGTCCGGCAACCCAACCGACCAAACCCAACCCAACATCTGGCTCCCGGAATCCAAACTCCCCGGCTTCCGCACCTTCCTGGAGTCCTACTTCGCCGTCTGCGCCGCCCTCGTGCATCGCATCCTCGACGCGCTCAGCGCCGCGCTGCAAGTCCCCGAGCCCGGATTATCCCCCACGCACGAGAAGAGCCTGTTCCAGCTGCGCCTGCTGCATTACCCCGCCGAAGACGACGCAGAGCCGCTGCGCGCGCACAAGCGCAGCAGGATAACCGCACACTCCGACTTCGGCTCCCTCACGCTGCTGTTCCAGGACAGCGTCGGCGGGCTGGAAGTCGAAGACCCCAATGCGCCGGGCCAGTTCCGCCCTGCGCCGCCGATTCAAGACGCCGTGCTCGTTAACATCGGGGACTTGATGGCGCGCTGGAGCAATGATCGCTGGCGGTCTACGGTTCATCGCGTCGGTCTTCCGCCTGACGTTCCTGCTACTGAAAAGCCTTTTTCGGGGCCGGGCCTCGGTGTGAATACTGAGGGCCAGCGGATGCCGAAAGTGGCTGAGGCTGAGAAGATAGTGCCGGATAGATACTCGATTCCTTTTTTTGCGGTACCAGATATGGATACTGTGATTGATGCGCTGCCGGGATGTTGGGATGAAGAGAGTAATCCGAAAAAGTACGAGCCGGTTACGGCGTGGGGGTATGTGCAGATGCGGATGGCTGCTTTGTATGATTCATGAGTGGTCATCCAGGGCAGAAGGGAGGCGCACAGAAAGGAATGACAAACTCTAGACGAGGGGTGGAGGACAAGAGTTTTCTTCAAGTCATGAATCAATTCTCCTATATATTGCAATGCAACGACAACGCCGCGTTTGATGCATTAATATGCATACCATCCCTAGCCCGTACAGAGTCTACTAACACATGATCTCGAATCGCGCTAATCTCCTCCTGAATCTTAAATATCCAATTCGTATCTACACCTACCCACGTAGACCCCTATTCATCGTCGCCCACCATAGCCTCCCTCTCCCTACACACCACACATCCTCTCCCCACCGCACTCCGAATAACATGTGCGTGCGCCACCTTCGCGCCCACACTTCTACTCCATCTTCCCCCGCCCTCAAATGCATCATCCGCTAACCTTTGCTGCAGTGTTGCAGCTACACTAGCGCTCGCGCTCGTCTTCGGTAGTAGACAGGATAGATGGAAGACATGTCCGCACGCGAAGCCCACGAGAGTGTCTCTGCTGAGTGGGATAGGACCATCGACGATTTCCTCTTCCTCGGAGGTCGGCAGTGTAAAGGGACGGCGGCAGCCCGTACAGTGTCCCGGTGGCGCTTCTCCTTCGGGTACTTCTAGGGGCGCTGGGTCAACCTGAGGCCCCGGTGCTGTTGAAGTAGCAGCCGTAGTAGTATCGTCTTGGACTTTCGCGGCTGTTGGTGCATCCACACCTTTTGTCTGGATATCCACTTTCTTCTTCCCTGCCTCATCCTTCAGCGCACCAGGCATCTTCTGCGTCAAACCCTCCACCTCGTCATCGCACGAAATGACCTCAAACTTGACCCCTTGCTTCTGCCCTGCACGAAGTGTGTCCATGCCCACGGCAACCTCGCCTCGCAATACCTTGGCAACACCTTCGGATATAGAGTACTGGATCTCATACTCTCTTACCATCTTCCTTATCCCATCTCTTAGGCCCTCTATTTCGAGGCCCTCGGGTATGCGGCGGACAAGCTCAATTGGGTTTATCGCTGTGCCGACTTCTTCGAGCAGGCCGCGGATGAAGTGCGGTTTGTCCATTGAGTACTCGAGGAGGTCATTCCATAGGTCTGGGTCGTCTTGTTCCTTAGCGAAAGAGATTGCGAAGCTAACGTCGGAGAGCTTTTCAATGATGAGGTACAGCGCACGCTTCGTTTGGCCAGTTTTGGAGAGTATGTGACTGGAGTGGTATCAATATCGAATCTGTAGCGTAAGAGGGGGCACATACACTAGTTCTGGGATGTACTCCCGCCTCTCCATAAGAGCAGCGGCCTTTCCAAGGTCGTAGCTTTGCGACTCCCGCAATAGTTTCATTAGCAAGGGACGGTCATATTCCGCAAACAGCTCGACCATGAGATCGGCGAACTCCTCGGCCATCATCTTTCCATCATCGGCAAGACGATCTGCCTTCACCCGCTCGTTTGCAGTCTCTCCCTTGCGTTTGTGAGTTTCCGGCTTGCTTAGCGATCTCAGGTAGAAGAACAGGAACGGCTGGAATGAGTCTCCCTTTGCCTGTAGCTGGGACACAACGTCGTTTGCGGGCACCGTACCCCGACACGCCTCGTCGACGAGAACACTTATAGCTTCCGATGAGGCGTCTTCCAATTCGGATAATGAAGCGGACTCCGTCTGCTCTTTTGAAACCCGGAGCAAGATAAATCCTGGAATGTCGTCTCGTACAGCCTCCACTAGGTGAAATTCTCGTATGAGATCCATAGCAGCATCGGCATTCTGGAGGCGAATATAACAGCGCAATGCCTCTCGTTGACGACTACTGGCAAGGTACAGCTTAGCTAGCGCATCTTGAAGTATCCGCCAATCTCGGCCCTGCTCGTCGCCTTCAACGGACTCCTCGGTCACGTCACCCGCGGATAGTTTGCTCTTGATGGCCTCGATGAGGCTGTTGATGTCGAAAAGCTCGGGATCCCAATCTTCAAGAAGGTGCTTGAAGCGAATTCGGTCGTAGATGATATAATGGCCAAGCACGACTTCATATACCATGGAGGGCAGCGGTGGTTGCATTTGCTTCGTAGGGATGTACGGCGCGATTTCATCGAAGTGTTTACTTTGGGCGAATTTCCACACCCAATGTTCCCATCGCTGAGACGTGCCTAGAACACGTCCAGCGACCTTGCCGGCCTGTTTCCAGTCGCCGGCGCTCACGAGCTGCTGCACCCAAAGGTCTCCTATGCGTCTTTTCTCCTTTTCAACCGCCGAATGCTGGTTCGCTTTGGTAGCGGAGATGGTTGTCTGAGACTCGTTCTCATCGGCGAAGAACTCTTGTAAGCTTCCTTGCTTCTTTGACGGTGTACTTGTCGGGGAGGCTTCAGGGGCGGTCTGAGAAGTGGATGTGGCGATCTCAGGATGATCTTCAAGAAGCTCCCATGCGTCCTTGTAATTTTCGTGCTCGAGCTCCCAATTGAAGTGGTCCGTCAGATCGCGCTTGACAGCTAAAACGCAGTCGTACGGACTTTGGATGAATACTTTGAGCCCGGGACCGGCGGCGTTTGGATGGATCAGCAGGTGTCTCTTGCCAGGTATGGATGTCGAGGCATTGCCGGCACCAGTGGAAGATACCGTAGGTGCGGCTTTTAGATCGCCACTGCTTGGCAGGCTAACCGCGCTCGCTCCAGAGCTGAAGAGTCGAGCTGCGCTGAGACTGACGTCCCAGATTCCACCACCGATGGCTTCAAGGGCGCTTCTTTGTGCAGGGGTCATCGTTTTCGGATGTGGTACGTACAAGGTGCTAAGATGATAGTCGGCAGCCGAGAGACTCTCGAACCTGCTGACCGTTAAAGAGTCCACCTCAACCTCATCTGAGGTTGCTGCGTCAATTAGCTTGAGCTCCGGCTGAAGCCCATTCGTCCGTCTGTGCATGCCACGCTTCGGAGTAGTGTCGACAGGAGTAATAGGGTTGTCGTCATCGTCGCGTATCCGGTATGCGAGAACTAGAAGTAAAGAAGGGGTATAAAGCGAAATGCCAGAAACAATGCAATCATCAAACCGTAGGCTATCCTTTGGTCAGTAGATGAGATTCCATATGGGAAGACAGACGCACAAATGAATAATCTCAGCGCTGCCCACTGATCGCTCGCCAACATCTTTGCCCACCCCAGCGCCGCCTGGGTCGACATGGACTATCCATGCGGCGTCTCCCCAACCAATTACCAGTTTCTCAATCTGCCTTTTCTTCTGAGAAACGTTGGAGGGCTTGTCCGAGCGTTGGTGTGGTAGAGTCACGTCAGTCTTTTCGGTGGCATGGCTGCCATTGAGGCTGATCACAGTGTCTTCGTCTGACTCAAGCCATTGATCGTTGACCCACTCGATGCGCGCTTTCCACACACCAGCCATCTCTTCCCAAGCGCGGCGATTCGGCTTTTCGATGAAGCCTATTCTTTTCCACGCGGACTCGGAGTCGGCGCCTTCTAGATGGACGTTCGTTCGCATAATGCGGATTCCGTGCTCGTTTACCCAAGCCACGAACTTGCCAGATAGAGACCATTTGATAGTGCTGATGATGCCATCGCCTGAATGCAGGACGGTGTCCCGGCCAGTGTTGCCTCCCAGCCCAATTGCGCCAAGCCATCCTTGGGCCGTCTGGGCCGCATGGCTGGTGTTCGCATTTGACCGTACTCCTGCCTGGCCGCCAACAGTGAGTATTAACTCGCCGGCTAGGCCCCCGGAAAGGTATGACCGATCAGACTTGTACTCTGGCGAAAGAGCTACGGCTTGAACGGGACGAGCAAAGTTCCGGAGGGTGACATCCTTGGGATCTACCAGAGATGATACACAGACATGACCATCTATTGAAGACGAAGCAATATATATCTGATTTGAGGGCGTTGCGGGAACGGGTGGTTGGCGCGGCGTGCGGGGAGACGATGGGTGGCCGCCCGCTGCTGGTGCCTGCTTCGACGGGGTGTCTGGTCGCTCTGCGGCTCCACTGGGCGAGTTCATTGGGTGAGCAGGCAGTGCGGGCGGATATGGCGACACGGATAGGGCGGTCACTGAGGCCGACGGATGCGCATTGTAGTTTCGGAGGGGTTGGAATAATGGGACTGTCAGAACGTGCTGCTAGAGTTAGACGTTGTGATGAAGCCCAGGAGCTCGGGACAGACTCACAATATTGCCATTATGCGTGCCTACAATCTACCTAGAACTCAGCATGTGCTCTGCGACAGGTGATAGCTCGGAGCCTGGAGGCATGCGCCATACCATTTTGTCTCCCGCAACCATGAATGTGCTTGTCGCGTCGCCGTTCCTGTACACCGGAGCTAGACTCCCCGTCAGACGCGTGTACTTGAGCTTCGGCTCCTCGTCCGCGTCCTCCTCCTCGTCGTCGTCCTCCTCGGAGTGCTGCTCGGCGTGGTTCTTGCCATTGCCCACGGCGCGCTGAAGGTGTGACGCATCGGGGGCGGCGACGCCAGCCTCGTCTTCGTTCGATGCCGCAGCCATGCTGGATGCATGAGCTGCGGAGTGCGTAGTGAGCGCCTGCGAAGCTCCGGCGTGGTCGAGGTATGAAGCTCGGTGGTGATGCTCTTGCCGGCCCACGTCCAATGAATGATGTAGCGCCAAGGCCGAGGGCTCGGAAGCGTGCATGAGCTCCCGCCGCGTTTTCTGCAGCGCCTGACTCTTGACCCGCGCAATTGCTCAGAGCACGATGCCCACACCCTGGTGTAGCTGGCGATGACTCTTCTCCGGCCCAATGCACTGAGTGGCTTAACAAGGTGCCTTGCTCCCCCAGCCCGCGCGTCCCTACAACGGAGCTCATCCCACGGCCGACTGCCGCCAGCGCCATGGCACCATTCTCCTCGACCGTTCACTGCAACCGGAGCGGCATACAAAAAGGTTGACTTCACGCAGAAGCCGGACCAGCCCGCCGAGACAAAACCCAAGGAGGAAGCAGCGACGGACGCGCAGGAACGGAAAGGGCCGAGGAAAAACGCCGGCAAGACGTCGTCTCTACGGAGAGTAGCTGTCGAAGCGCAGAGATCCAGAGGCTTTGTAAAGGGACGAGGTGGCATGCGCTTCGTGGATCCGGACGCCGACACAAAGGTATGAGCCGGGCATATACAGGGCAAAGGACATTGTTTGACCATGGAACCAGACGGTCACAGCCTACTGCGCTGCCGAAACGTATAACATCTCATCTGCCGCACGCCTCGTCAAAGCCCAGGGGTATGAGCTGGATCCTTTTCAAACAGGGCTCTACCCACAGGTCATTCATGTACAGACCAGGGAACGACCATCCGAGGTCAAGGACTTTCAGCAAGGAGATATATTCGTCTTCCCTTCCGGAACTGTGGTCACATGGAATGTACGGGAAAGAGAAGCATTGAACCTAGTCAACCGCGTCCTTCCACCAGCCGCCGAAGGCTCGCACTTAGACCTGTTGGAAACGGAGGATCTGGATTACCTAGAAGATCCTACCAAGGAGACCAGTGAGGTGGTTGGAGACACGATAGTCTTGGGCACGAAGGCTGAAGCTCAAACCCCCGATACGTCCAGAGAAGCCACGGCCGATGAAACCGAGCAGCGTCACGAAGTCGACACAGTACTCGCCAAGATCGCGTTCTCCTCGGGTCTAGCTCGCTCGACAAAGCTCGCTGTCTTGGAAAGCCTGCTCAGCGCTTATCAGCACTCCACCCGCCAGATCCCCACCATGCTGGCGAAGGGCGAGAACATACCCCTCGGACGGAAGAATCTACCCTTCACGCGCTCCTTCATACTCCGCAAGACCGGCGAGCTGCTGAACATCCGTGCCCAACTCAACCTCTATTCCGAACTTACGGACTCCTTGCCAGATATCTTTTGGGATAGCCGGCACGAGCTAGGGCTAGGACAGTACTATGACCAAGTAGGCCGTGCGCTAGATGTGGGCGTCCGGATTAAGGTCTTGAATGAGAAGATTGGATTCGCGCAAGAGATAGCAAGCGTTCTGCGAGAGTCGCTCAGCGAGAAACATGGCCTTCGGCTTGAATGGGCCATCATTGCCCTAATCGCCGTGGAGGTGGTACTGGAGTTCTATCGTCATTGGAAAGACTCGGAGGAGCGGAAGGATCCGCTAAGCACCGAATCCTTACTTCGGCATTATCTACTGAGGCCCGTTGATGAGAAGAAATAGAGTTATAGATATGTTGGATACCCCACTCAATACAGGTTTCGTAGCGAGCATACTTTTGCCATTTCAGTTCGCTGTTTTTCTCACCGTCTTCCTTTCCTGACTCAGGGAGCGCGTCTCCGTGCAGCTTCAGATGCCTGGTGTAGTGGATAGATACTTCAGGAATCATATCATTGCATGACCCTACTGCTTCGATCATGAGTGACGCGCACTGTTTCGTTCCCGCGGTCTGATGTTGACGTGCCCGATCTCAGCATCCATCCGTATGTGCGGACCTTTGCAAATATGTTTGCACTTTCTCTCTAATGCTATAAAGATGAGCCTGACATCCGCTCACACTCGTTATATAGGCCCAGTCGCGTACAGAGAATACGTAGGTGGTGTTTTTGCGTCCCGCTTCGCATACGGAAAAGGGCCAAAAATTCCAAAATAATATCACACCTCATCCAATCAGACATCACCCCGACCTCAAGGTTCCCAAAAATGCCACCGCCCCAACCAACCATCTGCCCCTGACTAGCCCCTGAAAATTTTGCAACCACAGAACAATACGAAGCCTTTCTACCCCACTTACAGCCCCACATCAGCCCCTCCATTTCCACGGCTTTTCTGGTGCCCTATTGCTCCGTTCGCGCCGCCATTTTGCAGTGGTATATATAATAAACTAGCCATCAACAACTCATAAATCAAAGCAAGCCAACAGAAGCGTGAGCTTCTATCGTCTCGTTGGTGTAGTTGGTTATCACGTGGGTCTCACAGCTATCATACTATGACTGAGCAAAGCTTCAGAAATTCCAAGGCCGCCAGTTGACCATTGCTATCTTTTTTGCGATGTTTTTTGCCTCTGCATGCCCCGATTAGTGAATGCTTGTCACAGAGATGCATCTAGGACACCATCCACCATGGATGCATGGTGCTATCTTGCTCTTCTTTTGCTTGTGCACACAAGGGTGGAGCATCTACTATGCGCTTAGGGAAGGGGGTTCAGCTTCCAGAAATTTGATACAACTTGTCTACAATATTCATACATAATCCGCTCAAAAGACTTTTGCACTTCACCCCTATGCAACACTCCAAGACGCCGTGCCAAAATCTTAAACCAACGATGCGCGCGAACGGACTACTCAAATTCATCTAAACTCCTGTCCAAAATGCCCGTCCTCCACAACACTACGGCCCCAGTCTTTGACCGCCTTCAGGACTCCTCGGCATAGTTCCCAGCGGCACCGCACTAGGTAACACGCCATACCGCCCATACGTCTTCTGATCCACGCTCACATAATGCGGCAATCTCCCGAGTAGATTTAGCTTGGTCTCCAACCAGCGCAATATCTTCTCGTGCGGGACGAGGAATTTCATCCAGCCAGTTGCCCAGAGGTAGCCGATTGCGGCGCCGCAGAGGTGCCCAATCAGAGAGACGCGTGGGATTAGGAACGAGGTTAGGAGAATGAGGAGGAGCGGGGTGCACCAGGTCGGGATTTTGTAGGGGCCGATGCTAGGATCTATTAGAGCCCGATCCGACTTTTGAAGTAAGCAAGAGGGATGTACCTAAAGTTGGGGTTTGTTTTATGGGTCTTCATGGCTTCCGCTGAGAGCAGCAGGAACACCCATACACTGATGTACGTTAGCGTAAGCCTTCTACACTTGTTGTCTGGGTAATGCCACCCACCTCGAGCCCATAACCGTGGTATTACTCCTCAGCACGACCTTCTCTAGCAGGAGGTACAAGCCGCCTGGTAACAGACCGAAAGCTACCCCCTTGTCAACTTGTACACTTCAAGTATGTTCTGGACCGCTGCTTACGTCCGGTGAACAGCGACAGCGTGACTATGGTCCCAAACTCGGCTTCAAAGCGCTCGAGGAGCGGCGTCAGGGCGAAGACGTCGAACAGCATATGCAGAAAGTTGAGATGCATTACGGGGAAGAGGTTGAGACGGTGCACTGCGCAAATAGTAATGTTAGCTCAGGATGCCATATAGAAGTGAGTCGCATGCATAGACCCTTTCCCGAGCTTCCTAAAGAGTTTAACAGCTGTCTGCGGCGCTGATCTGAACCGGTGCATTCGCAGAATAAGCTCTCCTCCTCTCTCCCAGAACCCCGAAACTCCCATGGTCTTTCCGTTCCAGACTTGACTCTTATCGCCTAAGAAACATGCACATACTCTGCGTCAAATCCATCTTATCCGGCGTCAGCGCCGCAACCTCCCTCAACCACGGAAACGGAATCGTAGCGACCCATAACCCGATAATCGCCGCAACCAGCAACCTCGTGCACAGCGGCAGGCGGAAGATATACGAACGTAGCCGCAAAGGATTGAACTGCGGATATGAGGGCATCGTGACACCAAAGAGGGAGAGAAAAGGAGGAGTGGTGGCCTCGAGGCGGCTGCGCGTCGCGCTGATCGCGAAGTTGAGGGCCCGGGCCCGGACGTCTGGGGTCGGAGGTGACGCTAACGACGATCGCGGCAGGGACGGCAGAGCCGCAACACTACAAGACTACCACGACAACTTGGTGAGGGGAGGGCAGAATGGCGCTGTTGGGCGAGTAGCTCTTTGACGAGATTTCGGAGGGTGCTAACAGTGCGCAGCTACGATATTGGCGCTCCGCAGAGATGCCCGCATCCTCAAGCTACCGCCCTACCTGTCCGCGCTCTGCATCATTGTCGGCGTAGCATGGCTGCTCGTCCTGCCGCTCAACGAATACTCGCGCAATACATATGTCTCTGAAAATGCGCTACTACCGGGACAGGTGCACACGTATTTTACGGGGAGCGAGCATAATATCTTCAGGGCTTATAGACATGAGGTGGCTTTGTTGGTGGATAGCTCCGTGGAAGAGTACGTATGCAGCAGCAACGGGTGAGGAGAGCATTCGGGCTAATGGAGACATAGGAGGACCCAGAAGCTAGGTGATCTCTTGCGGGCAAGTAACCTCAAGGTAGCGACTCAGAATTACGAATACCACGCCGCAGGCCGCAACATCTCCAACAAAAATGTCTACGCGATCCTCCAAGGCCCCCGCGCCGACGCTACCGAAGCTGTCGTCCTCGTCGCAGCATGGAAGAACATGGACGGCGAAGTCAACTACTCCGGCGTCGCCTTAGTCCTCGCCCTCGCCCGCTACTTCAAGCGCTGGAGTCTCTGGAGCAAGGACATCATATTCCTCATCTCAGGCGATAGCACGAGCGGACCGCAGGCTTGGGTCGATGCATACCATGATCAGCATGACCCAAGACATGTGGAGAATCTGAAAATCAAGAGCGGAGCGCTGCAGGGCGCGGTGGCCGTGGATTACCCTGCTGGTCCTTGGGGTCATCGGTATGACAAGTTGCATATTGTGTACGATGGGGTCAATGGGCAGCTTCCTAACCTCGACCTCTTCAACACCGCCGTGTCGATAGCGTCAGGCCAGATGGGTATTGGATGCACACTCCAGCGCATGTGGAAGCACGACGACAGCTACCAGGAGCGACTACGAACCATGCTCCGAGGCATGCTCTCCCAGGGCCTAGGCCACGCCACCGGACCGCATAGCGCCTTCATTCCTTACCACGTCGACGCTATCACGCTGGTCACGGTGGGCGATGGATGGCACGATGAGATGAGCCTGGGACGCACCGTGGAGAGCCTATTTAGGAGTTTGAATAATCTGCTCGAGCACCTGCATCAGAGTTTCTTCTTCTACCTGCTGCTGCAGGCGAACCGCTTCGTCAGTATTGGGACGTATCTCCCTAGCGCCATGCTGATAGCGGCGAACTTCAGCATTACAGCTATTGCACTGTGGGTGCAAAGTGGACGACCAGCCACGCCTTCTGCGAATCCGATAGCCACCGAACCATCGTCTTCGGCCTCAAAATCCGAGAAAAATAAGGGGAAGGAAGCGGAAAAGTCGAAAGACGAAAAGAAGCCTTCGATGACGGTCGCCGAAAAAGACGGTGCAATAGCCTTGTTCCCAACAAAGGACTTAGAAATCACCGAACGCGCCCTCTTCCTCCCCCTAATCTTCGTGCTTACAACACACTTCCTGGGCCTCCTCCCACTCTACGTCTTCAACAACACTCCCGAACCCTACCTCGCCCATACATTCCTCGCAGTCTCCAACATCACCTCTGTCCTCCCTCTTGGCGCCGCGTACCTCCTGCGCCAGTTCAAACGCCCCACGGCTCAGGAAATGACGCTTATACAGTGCTTCAGTGTATTGTTTTTGGGCATGTTTCTGTCTGCGCTGGCGACGCTCAACTTCTCCCTAGCCTTTATTATTGGCATCTTATCCTGCCCTTTGTCTTTCGTGCGGACGTCGAAGAATAAGATTCTCGGCACGGTTATGTACGCTGTCCTAGCGTTGCTAAACCCGGTCATGGTCATCCAAGCTGCGACGTGGTTCTTTGGACACGGCGTGGTGGAGATCCTGGTCAAAGCGGCGGAGGGATGGCATGTCTGGGGCCTATGGACGCAAGTTGTGGTCTGGCTTGTTTGGTGGCCAGCGTGGTTTGCCGGCAGCGTGGTCGTTGCCGGTGGGCTCTTTGCATGACCATGTGCCTGGATGAAAGCTATAGATTGGGCTTCGCGAAGTTGTATTGTATGACACCTCGTAGAGCTTTATGAGCATTGAAGACATCGAGGCTACCAGAATACAGAAAGGTGCCCATTTTGACTTCTTATGGGACTCTGAAGCGTTACAGGAGCATAGCTCTCCTAGCTATATTTAAAGTTGATAGGGTCTTGAATCCCTGCAAAGGCACGCGTCTCTCTTCGCAGACCAGGGACATTTCACGTGAGCGGGTGGAGTTAGCATACAATTAAGGCCTTCATAAATTTCGTATTCCGTCCGCCTGGCCTTCTATAGTGTGTGTAGCCGGCCGTGCTAGACTCTATGATTACATCTTGACGGCTATGGCTATGGCTCGCATCTGTTCGCTAGCCCCCATAGCGCCTACCATCAACGGGACGCGCTGAGCGAGTCCTTCGCTAACTCTTTTCCTCCGCTGCAATAGAGAGACACTGCTCACGCGGCCCAGACATCCTTTCCAACCCCCTCAATCCAGTTCCCAAGCTGGTTGACACTCGCATCCCATTCCCTCAACCGCGTTCGCATACTCTCGATTTGCTTCATATCCAGCACCTTGGGCTGCACCCAGTTGATCCGCGCGATCTCTGCGACCTGATCGATGGTACCGCGTAACAGGCCCAAACTCAGCGCCTTCATGATGAGATGCTCAATCTCGTTCGGCTGCACCTTGGTCTCCTCCGAAATCGTCTGGAAAGTCATCGCGCGATCGTGCGGTGGCCGGCGGAACACGGTCTCTGTGAGCGCAGATAGCGAGATCTTCTGATAGAGGAAGGTCTGATGTTCCTTGAGGAGGGGCACCTTCGAGATGTTGCCTGCGAGGACGTCGTAGGCGATGAGGTCGCCACGGTTGAAGGCGAAAAGAAGATCACGCAGCCAGGCGTGCGGTGTGTTGACGAGCGAGTCGAGGATAGGGTGGAGTAGCAGCTCACCGAAGTTGTAGATAGAGTCGGAGACGAGGGCGGCGATGCTGAGGTCGTAAGCGCGGGCTTGACGCTCACGGAGGTCGAGGTCGGCCAGGTCGATGCAGGCGAGGAAGAGGAGCGCGTTCTTGTAGTAGGCGGCGAACTCGTGCTTGGCCTGGGAACCTTCAATACTGCGAACTAAGTAGGGTGGAGAAGGTTATGGTACCTTGTAGTATTCCGCGCTTGCCCGGTAGAAGGACGCATGCACAACCGTCTCTACCGAATCAAAGCCCTCGAGTATCTGCTCACACTCGTCCAGCTTCTTCCGCGCTCCGTCATAGTCTGATAACCGCAACTGGATGCTTGCTACGGCGACTGTGGCGTAGACATAGGCGTCTTGCGAGGCGGGCTTGTTGACCCTCTTCGCCAAGTCGTCGACGAACTTGAGGCGCTCTTTCTCATCTGCAACAGTCAGCCTGAAGCGCTTAGCCACCTTTACTGTTAAGAAGCCTACCTCTATACTGAGTCGCGGCATTCAGGCCCAGCGTCACGAGCTTGAGCTGGTTGATCTTGTTGGCGAAGCTCTTAATAAAGGTCTCGAAGAGCGGTATCCGCTGCTTTGCGCTCTCTGGGTGCTCGAAGTACTCGATCAGCTTATCCGTCAGCTCGTGCCATAGCTTTCGCTCCCAGTAGTCCTCGAAGTGGATGAAGTATTCCTGCAGCTCCTCCGGTGCCTGGTCGCGCAGGTCGCCGAGCAGGTTCGGAATCGTGTCTGTGTCCATGGCCATGGTTGCGGTTGGCGCCTACAATGTGATTGCTGCTTGGAGACGTCCGCGTCCAGGTTGGAGAGGCTGATAGAGCGCGGAGTAAGAGGTGAGGCAGTGTATGTAATTCACAGCGGCGGGATGTTCAGAGCTTCGGCCATCGCTCTTGGCAGATCTTCGGCTAATCTAGCTCCGCCGTCCCGACGTCGCTTCAAGCTTCACGGGCTACATGCCACCTCCTGCCAGCCATTGAACGCCGCAACCATGGCCTCGCCACTCCGCTGTGCTCGCCCTGGGGCGGCATTGACGGCCCAGTTACCCTCCTCGATGCGCGTGTCCAACCTCCCCGCGATTTGCCGGCGTTATCTAAATCAGGATGTTCGCATAACGAGGACCGGGAAGCCTATTCTGACCGTGTCGGGCGGGAGGTATGTTCATTGAGGACTTGAAATTGCGTAATAGGGCTGATTGGAGCTACAGATCTTCCCTTGGGGGTACTTCACTTCCCCGCTCCGCCGAACGAAAACCCCCGCTCACGATTCTAATACAGGTTACACCGCGACCGTCTTTGGAGCCACTGGTTTCTTGGGAAGATACATCGTGAACCGGCTAGGTATGTGGCAGCGACGGCAGAAGGGAAAACTTGCGCTGATGGCTCCTTGAATAGCTCGATCGGGATGCACGGTAGTCGTTCCATTCCGGGAAGAGATGGCGAAGCGCCATCTCAAGGTTGCTGGTGACCTGGGAAGAGTCGTATTCTTGGTACGGCGAGGTGTAGAAAACGATGGATAGTCTGGTTCTGACCTGCGCAGGAATTCGATCTTCGCAACACCGCATCCATTGAGGAGAGCGTTCGGCATTCCGACATCGTCTACAACTTGATCGGGCGTGATTACCCGACAAAGTGCGTCTCCTATTAGCTTTTGCATCACCGTGATTTTGACGATTTCAGGAACTTTGATCTGGAGGACGTGCACGAGGAGGGCACAGAGCGCATCGCTGAAGCCGTAGCGAAATACGACATCGACCGCTACGTCCACGTTTCATCGCACAGCGCGAGCCTCGATTCGGCCTCAGAATTCTACCGGACCAAGGCCAAGGGTGAGCAAGTAGCCCGCAACATTTACCCCGAAACCACCATTGTCCGTCCGGCGCCCATGTTCGGCTTTGAGGACCGCCTGCTTAATAGGCTTGCCAACCCCTCCAACGTCATCACCACCAACTGGATGCAAGAAAGTTTCTGGCCCGTCCACGCGATTGATGTTGGCATGGCGTTGGAGAGAATGCTGCACGATGATACGACAGCCGCCGAGACCTTCGAGCTCTACGGTCCGACCAACTACACCATGGCCGAGATCAACGAGCTGGTTAGCAAGGAAATTATGAAGCAGAGGCGCCATATCAATATTCCGAAACGGTTAGCGGTTCCCCTAGCGAAATACCTAAACAAATTCCTGTGGTGGACGACGATTTCTCCCGACCAAATTGAGAGGGAGTTCATCGACCAGACGTTCGATCCAAATGCGAAGACATTCAAGGACTTGGACATTGAGCCTGTGGATCTTCGGAGCATGACGTATGAGTATCTGGTAGGTTCCTGCGAAGTGCCTTTCAGAGGAATGGTAGCTGACTATGAGTGCAGAAAGGATACCGTAGCGCCCAGTACTACGATCTGCCGCCCATGACCGAGCGCGAGAAGCGGGAGGAAAAGAAATACTTGCATGTCATTGATGACCAGTAGAGGCGCACGGGGACTAAAGCGGAAGAAAGCTGTGTATATATTTCCCCACATGTATTGCAGCCAAGCGGATCTGTAGAATCCAAGTCTTTTCTTTTGTGCGATGCGTCTTTGTTGCTTGTGTGTCTTACTGCCCGGAGTAAGTATTGCTTCGGTTCGAACATGAAAGGTAAGCCTCCGCGCTGGTTCATGGAATTTAAAATTAACATAACTAATAGTGTCAGGAGTAGCGGGTGGCACCACCCTTGTCCTACAGCAAGGTACATAATAGTCAGCCACGAACTCACGGTTCTTGATAAGGTTATCCAACCTAACCCAGTCCGGCTCCGCTTGCCAGGCCCAGAAGTCCACCATTAACTTGCGCGCCGGCGAGCTGCTTCCGGTGCCCTTGTACAGTATGCATATAGCCCTGTTGCTCGGCCAATGGCGCTCGTTGTTGATGAAGACTTCCAGGACTGCGTTTTGGAATTTCGAGTCCATAAGTTTCTCTCCGAGGACATAGCATTGAGCTAAGAGTTCGTCATTGATTGCTTCCTCGTCTTGGCCATCGCTCCGGGCATGAGTGTATGTCTCAAGAGGGACTTGCTTGGTGTATAGCCACTGTAGGTAGGCTTTGAAAACAGTGGGCTCTTCATCGGATAAGTCCACGGGTCGTGGCTCTTCACCCATCCACTCCATTTTTACGGCCACCTGAAGGAAGTTTGAGCTGCCGCAAAGGACTCCTTTGTGAACGTGGAATATTCTCCCTTCCGTTGTACTGGACGTATTAGGCGAGAGCTGCCTTCCGACTTTGACGGCGATGATATCGCTAGTGACACTACGAGCGTTAGCGCGAAATTGCTTTAAAGGGGACAACTCGGCGACGTACTCTAGGAGGTCCGCGGAGAGTTTGCAAGTCTTTGGGATGAAGACGGGTTCCGGCGACGAAGAGGGATGTGTCATGTTGGGCCAGTTGCGTGGATCGGCTCACCACGTTACGATAGTTGTGGTCAACGGTCTGCCAGCAGGGCACCGAAAGCAATTTATAGGCATTAGGGGCTCGTTAGAGCGGGTGTCAGGTGAATGCCTCGACCTTGTTACAGAGTAATGACTGGAAAGAGGGACTTGTCTACTTAGAATAAAGCGAGTTTCACCAAATCCATTATACCATGCTTTCTTATTGACATCAATCCGAAGTTCTCTCAGAAGTGCTAGATCTAGTATGATCTTTCTCGCTGGTGCGGCTATGTTCTAGGAACAGTATACGGCCCCAGACCCGAGCCCATGGCTTGAACACCAGGACTTTCCGCTGCTCAAGCAAACCCTTGAGAAGGCTATGCTTCGCTTTGCTCCAAACAATGATATAGATGAACAGACAGTGTACTAGAGGTCCGCCTAATATCTCCATATATAGAATCTCGACATCACCACGGGCGGGAGCAGTGGGAACCTTCGCGTAGTATCCTGTCATGGCGTCGAAGTCTGCTTGCTAGAAGAATGGATCCTTTATATGGTGGCTAGAGACGTACGCAATCGCAAAATGCAAACCCTAGTTATTTAGACTTTGAGAGACTTCTCTTGATTGTGTTCCCGTATAACTAGCCTAAGTAGGTACGTATCAAACTCCTCGCGTGGTGTGTCAATCTCTGTCGGCCTACCATCTTTCTCGCTCGCCACCTTCTTCTAGAAGAACTTCGACTCTGACGACAGAGGATGCCTGTCCGACCGTAGAACGTCATTTCGGCAACTTTGCTCTCTATTATTCTCGGCGTAAACCCGCATCATCAGCTCTGCAAGCAATGCGTACAATTGTATTTCCGCGCAACTTATTCATGAAACTCATCTATTACTTTTGCGTGCAGCTCTCACGCACGCTTTTTGGGTGGTGGCATCTTTACAGACCATGTGCGTCTTCTAGGAAACAATGGCGAGTGTTCGCAAAGGTCGAAGCGGATAGAAGTTGTATTGCGGCAATCAAGGCGTGTATCTCGGGCCTGGCCTGTTTGAGAGTGAATGACGCGAACCAGGGATTGCTCTATTCCGAAAACAGGTGGCGCCTCAACGGTTGCATTCGACCTTCCGCTTCACGCTTCAAAGACGTCGCACAAAAAATTGCTCAAGCTTTATGAAAACCCTTATCCAGGTTCCCTTCTCAGGAACACGAGTGATGTTGAGGGCTACCAAGACGGGCTACGTCAAGTATGTGAGTATCCCATTCAGATCATCTGATTCCCATAGTCCCAGCGCTGCGTCTCAAGGCCCAATACAGAACCGCTCAGTCTGAGCTATGATGCGCATACTGCCCATTCTTTGGACCTCCTCGTACTTCTTTTTTCTAGTGCGTTATGAAGTTTCCGTTTCACGATCTCGAACCTCGATGACGTGATAAGTTTCCGGGCTCTTGATCCATGGTCTAGCTTTTGGGTCCGGTGCCGCACGTTGCCTGAGCAAGGCGGGCACCAGAGCGGCCACAAAGTCCGTATGTATGTCCTCGCAAAGATCGTCATGCTCCGCAACCCAGCTCTCGTTTCCCGCCCAAGTCCAGAAGTCCACCAGAACTTTTCGCGCCGGAGATGACTTAGTCGTTCCTTGGAAGATTATTCGAGTGAATCCAGAGCTTGGGTACAGATCTTCTCGCATTGCACGGTCAAGAATCGCGTCCATCACAGCGTTCTGGAACGCCACATCCATCAACTTCTCCCCCAGGACATAGCATCGAGCCAGGTGCAAGCCGTCAATCTGCTGCTTTTCCTCGCCACTCTTTATCTCCCCTTCGTTGTCGGAATCGGAGCTGACGTGGGTCCCTACAGCAACCTTCTTGGTGTACAGCCATTGCATGTAGGCCTTGAATACGGCGGGATCCACGTCGGTCAATTGGACAAGCTTCGGACTCGGGCCCGTCCACTCCGGCTTGGAGGCCGCTCGGAAGAACTCGGAACGCTTGTTGACGACCTTCTCATGGACGTAGAACGTTTCTTCCTTGACGAACTCGGAGAGCAGGGCAGATCCAACGATGACGGTGATGGTCTCGCCGGTTAGACTATACGGTCAATAACGTGTGCAAATGTCGGTGAGTGACTCACTCAGGGAGGTCATCCGTATGTGCGCTATTCGTGGGTAATCTTGGGCGCTTCGTTGGCGGAAAGCCTGCCATTGGGATGTTGCTGGACGAGGAATTGGCACAGGCCTCAAACGCGTCCTTAGACTTGCGGGAGGTAGCCATACGCTTGTGGTGGTTGCTGCGAATTGTGCGCTTGGAGACGGCGTCGAAGGCAAGGGCGCTAATCAAACCACGCCGTGTTTGGCGTCTAATTTCCACCTTCACCATCACTTTCACCATCACTCCATGTCGGCTGCAAATTAGACTCAGAAGGCCTCGAAGAGATTAGCACTCTTGACTACCTAGGTGCACATGTCAGCGTCAGAAAAGAACCTTGGAAGCTTCCCGCGTGCCACAAAGCCCACGCGTGTAAACTGCCGCAGCCCGCAAGCAAAGACGGAAGGCGCGTGGGGGTCACCCCAATTGGGATTAGTGGCCGACTTCCACCTTCGCCCTCAACCAAAGAGGGAACGCTTTAAGCATCAAGAAGTGACTCGAGCACTTGCGACGCGCCGGTGACCCTTGAGAAAGGTGTTGAGTGTTTGGAGATGATCACCCGGTGGGTTATTTAGAGGCTTACGGCACGAAGGCGGTGGTTGAGAATTTCCGATGGACTGTGAATTGATGCTTCACCCTCGCCTGCTTTATCACACCCGACAACCGCCTGAGAGACGGTTTCCCCATCGGACGAATAACGCCTCCGAACCTCTTTCCATGCTACAGTTTCCTCTTACCTCGTGAGACAGCCCTAACCTCAACCCTGCTTCCGAGTCCCAGCCACGTACATGACCGCATCCTGCTTCTTGACCTCACCCTTGATACCATAATAGCCAACATGATAAGACTCAGGTCTCTCAACCCATGGTCGTACACCCGCCGGCCTCGGTCGTGCAGTCAACAATGCTTCCAACAGGTCATCGATGAAGTCCTTATGCGCTTTGCTAGTCGTCTTGTGGACCTCCGCCTTCGTTCCAGAACCTGCCCAAACCTGGTATGAGCAATTAGCGATCCATTGCAGATGTTGTCCCCAGAGTAGCCCCACGTACCATGAGATCCACCATAAGGCGCCGCGCTGGGGAATCCTCCGCCGTCCCGTTGTAGACGACGTTGATAATCGGATAATTCGGAACCACTTTCTGCTCGATGCAGTATGCGATCATGGCGTCGATGATTCTGTCCTGGAACACGGAATCTCCGACACACTCACCAAGCACGTATGCCTGCATCAGGCGACGGCCCTTTCCGTACTTGCCGAAAGTCGGGTTCAGCTCATTGTAGTACAGATACTGTACATACGTCTTGAACGCCGCCGGGTCTTGATCGGGCAGATAGATGGTTGGCGCGTGTCCGTATTCCGCTGTGGCAGGGTCATCCTGGAGAAGAGCGCGGAAGTACTTGGAGTGGGCGCGGAGAAGGCTGCTATGGACGTGAAACGTCTCGTTAGGAGCCGCAATGAAGGTCACATTTCCGTCGTCGTTGACCTGGCGCAGCAGTCCGCCAACTTGGATGACAACAAGAGGTCCCGAGATGCTTCATTATCAGCATGACCCTCCCTAAACAGCGCGACGGTCGTGGGCTTTCACACTTACGCTGGCCATTTGACAGTGGATTCGACGGCGGATTCGCCGAGCGCTGACATACGGAGGCGCTTCGCTGGGGGCGGTGCGGAGGGCGGCGACGAAGGGGACATGCGCAGAAGTGACAACAGTCGCGCCATGTTGAGGCTCGTGGGGAAAGTGATTCGTGGGAAGAGGGTCCGTGAGAAGGCAGCCTACAGACGCAGCAGACCGCGGGCAGGTGAAAGCGCACTGGCCAAGATAGTTACGCGCTAGTCGGGTATGGACGAGTCGCATGCCCAAGTGGATTGCATGCACGTGACGCCCGGGGTACCTTCAAGGGCGGGACGCGAATTGAACAGCTTCTTGGCAGCAATATTTCCATGTTGGCATCTCTTCCTGATGTGCGTCCCGAGCTCCTTCTGGCGTCCATTCCGCATAGCTGGCTGGCTGCTAGAGCGCTGAGACGCGGCACGCTCTCGTCTGCGGGGCACCGAACGTGGCGGCAGGCATTTGCAACCATCGGGGATCGAAGAGGAAGATTCCACGTACATCAGGAATTGTTACTAATTGAAGACCACTGGGATTGGTTCTCTACTATTGGAAGATAGAAGACTGAGGCGTCTTTGGTGGTGAACCGCAACCCACGGACAACGTCCGAAGAGGGCGATTTCTGTCTTTCACAGCGCACAATCGGCATTTGTTTCGCCATGAAGAAGAGCGAGAGGCTTCGAAGTTCTGGGACGGCTACGTAGTGGGGATGTTCGTCCGCGACTGACCGCAGCTGGGTTTGGCCATGGTAATTGCTCCAGCATCCGAAGGGCGTAGAGGGAGATGAAGATAGCAGCAGAAAGTAGTTACCAGGCCCGTATCCAGCATTGAGATCACTGAGCGTGAAAGTGCTTCTATCTTGTCCACGTATCAATCGTCATATATTTGAGGGTTCCCACACGTTTCTAGGTCGTGTGCCATTCGAACACGGGCATGATCTCCAAACAGCGAAGAATGCCTGCGTGGGATGTAAGGGCAGCATTCAATGAGTAGGAAAGCCACTGGCGGTGAGGTACACAGGAGGTAGATGAGCAAAAGCAGAAGAGGGATGAAGAAGACGGTGGACCCCGGGCCAAGCGTCGCGAGGAAGGCGCGCCAGCGACCAAAGAGGAAAGGCTCGCCGGTTTCATCCCCGTCTCGCCTGGACCACACCTGACATCAAGGCCGACACCTCTTTCACGCCAGCACCAATATACGCCGACATCCAGCAATGGCTTCGCCGGGCTCGACGAGTGCGCCCTCTGTGCGAGATGTTCGCGCACTCAGGAGTGAGGCAACGGAGTAAGTCGAAACATGCTTACAACTCAGTTTAGCATGCGTCTTACCGCTCTCAGTTTCGTGCACTCGGTTATCAAAGTCGTCGTAGGACCACATGATGCGTCGCGAACATTCTTCGTGCATGAGAAGCTGGTGGTGGAGCGCGCGCCCTTCTTCGAAAGAGCTCTGAACGGGCAGTGGAAGGAGTCGGACGACAAGCTCGTGGAACTGCCTGATGACGACCCGGACGTCTTTTTCCTCTATTTACAGCTCCTGTACACGACCAAGCTTCACACAAGATCGAACGAGCCGAACAAGACGTCGCGAGAATACAAGAGGCTTGTCAAGCTTTACGTCTTGGCCGAGAAGCTTCAAGATGTCCAAACGAGGAACATCGTAATCGAAGCTATGATAGCGAAGACTCGTGATGAGGAAAGCTTCCCTCCCTCGTCCATTCATCTGATTTATGATGGTACGCCTGAAGGAAGCCCGCTTCGAAAGCTCGTCGTGGATTTGTTCACTGATTTTGCACTGCCGGTGGATATCCAGAGAATCCAGAGAATCAAGGCGAGGGAGAGAATGCCACCACAAGACTTCTTTCTCGATCTGTTGCTGGAATTTTCGCAACGGAGACCTAAGCCTTCTGGGGAGACGATCTTTACTTGTGATCCGACAAAGTACCATGTGAAAGAGCCGGATGCTTAAGACCAAGACTGGTGAAAGAATTGATCAGTAAGATAATGGAACCATTGTGGTTGCCTATACGCCTCCCACTCACCCGGACCGTGTGAAAAAGGCGAAGGCAAAGGAGGTCGAGATCAAGATCAAGACACGCGATTTCATCAACGCTGCTAAGAAAGGCTTAGCCGAGATGCTAGGCATGGGTAGTCCACCACAGTTCATGGAGCACATCGGAGCGCGGGTGCAGAAAGGGAGGGAGGCGCTCCGGAGGTTGATGTGCGGTAAATGGCGTGAGTGAGTGGCACCGAGAGCAAATGCTCGACGAATACTTCATTGCGATGGCTAGTCCTAGAGGCTTTCACCCCATTTGGCTTCATTGTAATGCTAAACATGAAGGTGAACTGTAGGCGTATTGCTCAGCATCTATGACTAATTATAAGCTGCGTCAAAACCCCTGGATTATCAACGCTCAGTTTCATTTCACCGATCTCTTGCTCACGTCATTGGACCCTGATACCCTTCGCATGATGGTAACCGCACATTTTGCTTACATCCTCCTTCCACGCTCATTCTTTCAGGTGATTGACATCAACGCTACGGGCATCATCACCGAGGCGTGCATTGAGTTACAGTGCGGTCAAGAGCTGCTATGCTGCGTAAGGGTCACTTCGCAGGCGTTCAATGGATGTTACGACGTGGGTGGCGGATAGGGTATTAGATCCCGGCTTGCTGATCTACGAAGTATTCGTCAAGAATCAAACTAGCTCTTGAACAGCCAGTTGAGACGCGGATGTGGCCAATCCATGTACTACTCCAGCAACCCCTCCGACCCACACCACGCCACACCTACCACCCGTTTACCAGGAAAGAAGCAATCAATTCTCGTTAAGAAATCTATTCCTACCGTACTCCCGAATATGCTGAACGAAGTGCAAAATGCGATAATCCACTATGGACAAAGAATCTAGAAGAAAGTATCCCAGCATTGACTGGCCAGTAACCGAACAAGCAGAAGCCATCTGCCGCGCTCAATCATGTCCGACCAACCACCATCCGTAAAGCCCAATAACCTTTAGACTTTCTTGTTCGACCACTCCTTCTTCTTATCCTTGCAGAACTGCAGCGCATCCTTGTGGCCCTGGTCCACCGTTCCACCAGCAGACTTGCAAGCATTATTCGCCTTCTTGCGGTTCGATACACACCTACCTCTCATTAGCCTCGCATACCCTTCTCCCATGCCTAGGTATACTTACATCTCATAGCCCTCGACGCAAGCCTTCTTGACGCGCTCCTTGACCTGCTTGTTCTTGGAGCTGATAAAGTCGGCAGGCTTGCACATGCGCTCGCCCGTATGCGCCTTAACGGTCGCCTCGCTCATCTTCCGCATCTCCTCGTTGTACTTCTCCAGGTCATCTGGGTCGGTGGGGATGGGGGCATTGCAGGTGGCTTCGCGGGGGAAGGCGACGATATTTGCGGTCACGGGGGTGGAGAGCTCGACGGCTCCGGCTGGGGTAGCTGTTGGAGCGGCGGCGACGAGGGAGGGGATAGCCAGGAAAATGGCGGCGAGTGCTGGGCTGAGCTTCATGGTTCAGAAATGAAGGGAGTGTGATCAGTAAGGATCGTATAAAATAGTGATAAAAAGCGAGTGGGCTTTCCAGGAAAGATTGAAGAGAAGGCTGTGGATGCTGGTGATGGTGGAGTACGGGGCAATCTCCTCCTCATTATATACTCCAAAGCCTTCTCCCAGTCTTTTCTTCCACGCACAGAAGCCATCATCGCTGGTGCTGAGTACGGAGATGAGGATGTTCGTTTCGCGATGGACGAAACATTCGATCCACTGGTCCATCCTGCTTACCTCCGATAGACTTTCCACTTGGCTACTACAAAGGTTGAATGATGCGCATGCCGAGTGCCACTCATCGGTTAGAGCGTTGCTTAGAAGCATGCCATCGGAGTGGGCCATCCACTTTCTTTTGGGAGTGCAATGACCGCATGCCTTCACGCGTCACTGTATAAAGTGCCGGCAGACGGCAATCCGGCCGTAGGACACGAAGTGTGGAGACGGAATCGGACTTCGATGTTCTGAAAGTGAGAGCGCCCGTAGCCGAACATAGAAGATGCGAAGCATGCTCACTCTGGACTAGGAAACAATTACCAGATGAAACATGTCGAAATTGAATGCTGACGGTGACGTTGCGGAGAGTTGAAGCTTATGACGCCTATGAGCTTATTAAAACACGGTGCATGTGGGGCTGAGTACACCGGTCGCATCCTTGCATGCCGATGCGCACGGTCCAGGGGTGGCGGAGCTTCCACGTGCTCTCAACATCCTCCCGCGAACTGGAATGCAGAGCTCTTTTTTATGAAGCTCTTCTTTCTGTAGCTGTCAAATTCCACCCACAGAGAGAAACCACCTTACGGCCAGCCCCCAATTCTCGACTTCCCGCTCCGAAGGGCGATATCCGCCGCGGCGTCTGGTGCTGTGCCACTTCGGAGTATTACGGACTTCGCTCCTTCGTCTCCGTCTTTATCGCACAAACATCCACAACATTCCCGGCTTATGTGAAACGTTCTCACTCAACTTGTGAGGCGCTTTATCGGACAAGCTAGCGTCATCGTCTCCTGCTTTAAGATTCCCGAAGGTCTGCTCCTGCGAAACCTACGAGAATATCCAATTCTACAACGATGCACCGCGCCCTCCTCCTCCCCGAGGTCGTCGCTACAATCCTGCAAAATGAAGTCTCGACCAAAGGCTTCTTATTCACGGCCCTTTTCATCAACAAGCTCTTCTTCAAAGAGGCGAGTCGGATTCTATGGTATGGATGTGGTACCCGATACGGCAATCCCATCTACCATCTCGCCCGAATTGTCAAGAATGATCAGAGGCGAGCACAACTATACGCAGACTTGATCCGTATGGTCCATTTCGCGTACGAATTCAGCAACGACGAATATACAGAGGAGGCAAAATGGCACGAACAACTCACCAGACTCCAATATCCTCAACTGGAAAGGGTTCACTTCGAGGACGCCCTAGACTCTGTTTCTTTCAACCGCGGAGACATTATAATTCACTACGCACAACCGAATGTCAAAGAGTTTAGATTACGTGGTGGCAGCATGCTGTCTGATTCATTTTTGGAGACGCTGGGCCAACGTTGCCTCAGGCTGAGATCGGTAGAACTTGAGATCCACAAGCAGAACTATATTTCAGTCAAAGGACTAGTCAACTTCCTTGAACGATCTCAGTCTTTGGAGATTGTTCACCTCCGCGAGGGTTTCGAAAACAGCTGGTCTGCCAGAGCATTCGAGGTCATTTCACAATACCCTAGGCTGGAACTACTCAGCATCCCGGATGTCGAAGACACCTGGATCGAATCCCTAGCCGCTGGTTTCCCTGTCCTGACGAGTCTGTGGCGGTTCGGAGCATCTGACCGAGGCCTAGAGCGAATGCATCGAGTGGCCCCAAACCTTACCACACTTCATTTGGATCTCACAAACTTATCTCCGTCGCATCATGCGCTCGCCTCAGCCTCCAACTTCTCTCTCCTGGCTATGTTTTCGGTTAAATTTGCACCGGGAAGTAGCATCAACGGGCAGGAACTAGTGCTCCTCGCACAAAACTGTCCGAACTTGACTTGGGTCCAAGTGGGGGAGGAAGGAGTAGTTCATCCAAAAGCTTTCGATATTACGGACAACCTCATCGACGAACTCGCCCAACGCCTCCCGAGAATACAGTATTTATGCCTCGCCTTCGAGAGCTCGACCCTGCTTACCTTCAGCTCATTACAGTCATTCGCCAAACACTGCCAGGATTTAACACGCTTAACTGTGCCGTGTGCGGTCGATTGGCAAATCATGGCGGACCTTCCGGAACAAACAGTGTTTCGCGAGCTTTGGCTGCTGCAGATTCTACTACCCGCGAACAGAATCCAATGGACCGAAGAGGATGAGGATAGCATGAGATTTGTGGCTGCCAGGATAGGGGCTTTCGCTCCTAAGCTTACGAGCTTTGATTTAAAGGATAGCAATGCAGCAGAGGAGAGGCTGGTAGATTTCGTGATGGACATTTGCTTGGAAAGGGACTGAGAATGCAGCGGCCAACTGCATGCGCGTCGGTTCCGCATTGCTACGTCATTCACTACCGCGCCTACGCTAAATTAAATTGCGCTTGCGCCTCGCACACCAAAATATCTAGACGCGACCAGACAACAACAATTGCACTCACCGAGTCCCAGCTAACTTGCTTCCTAGACATCTGCGGACAATCTTTCGCACCGCACATAGGGGTTCGGCCCGCTCAGCACTCTCGGTCGCTCGCAGTCACAACCAAGATGGCAAACAGGAAGCACCTTCTTAAGTAAGCCATTACATCCCAACAGCTGACCCAGGCTGCCAAAGCTAACGGAGTGCTTAGGCTTGGGTCTGGAGTTATCACTGTCGCCGTTGGAGAGGGCGAGAAGCAAAAAGAGTTCGCCGTCCACGAAGCTCTGATCACCGAACGTTCTCGCTTCTTCCGCAATGCAATCCAAGGAAATTGGAAAGAGGCCGAAGAGCGAATCGTCAACCTCACTGAAGATCACCCGGACGTCTTCGAGCTCTACCTCCAAGCTCTGTACGCTGGCCACGTGGAACTTCCGGACGGACACGCAACCGACACCTTCTACAACATGCTTGGTGGCGTCTTCGTGCTTGCCGAGCGCATCCGCGACGTTAAGACAAAGAACCTGATAGTGGAGGAGATCAAAGCCAAGGCAGACATCCGAGAACACTTTGCGGCATATCTTCAAATGGCCGCGGTGATCTATAATGGCACACCTGGTCCCTGCGGTATCCGGCGACTTCTCGTCGATCTTGTTGCGAGGAGCAATGACTACCACGCCGCTCAGGAGGGGATAGAGAAGTTCACCGCCAAGCTTGAAGGCGTTCCGAAACAGTTTCTGATGGATCTGGTTTTCGGCCTCTACACCAAGCGGCAGACTAATTCGCGCTCAGGTTGGAATAGCTTCAAGTCGGAAAGCGCGGCGACGTACATGGAGGATGAGTCTACTAGTCAGTGAGGCTTGTGCGAAACGTTCCTCTGGCGGAGCCGTGGGTTAGAGCAACGACCTTCTCTTAAGGACGCCGATCAAATTTATCCGGAATGCAATAATATTTGGCTGTCCGTAACAAGCGTCAACCAGTCTGTGAGAGTGTCTTGATCCTCAAGCTTGGTGTTATCAAACTTCACCTGTCTGACAGGCTTACCTTTACTTCAAAGCTCAGTAGCTCACTGGGAGTCTACCTAGGCTACAAACCCGCCTGTTGCGCTCGAGCTCTTCAGTCTCCCATGCCAACCTCAACCTCAACTCCTCGCCCAAAGCAAGCCCGTCACTCCAGGATGGCCGCTCCTGAGAAGATGATCAACAAGTCCGTCACACTTCAAAGAGTTTCCACTAAGCTCTTCTTACTAACGCGGTTTTAGGAAGCTCGGCAACGGAGTCATCAGGAAAGCAGTTAGCTACAGCCCTCCAAACCAAACCTAAGCCTCGATGTCGGAGTTCGTTTCGACTATAAACCTGTATTCGAAGTAGGCGGGGACTAATAACTGGTACATGGAAAGCACCAAGTTCGGCGCTCTCTGACCCCACTGGAACCTCATCTGATCTATTACTATCAGACCCTATGCCACAAGGGTACAGAAGACATTTCGGGACATGGCTCCCTAGATCCGCAGCGGAGTCGCATGAACTCGTCTCTTTGACCTTGAGCTATCTCCGGCTCCTACGCGATGTTATGCGTCCTCCATAACGCCGCATAAGCAGAAATATCTTGAGCCCATAGAATGCCTACTCCGAGCGGCTTCCAAGGCGAGCGGGAACCTCTGGTGTTGGCGGCACTCGATGGACCCGATATTTCGCCCGGCTATTAGACGGAGGAGTCATCGGATGTGGACGGCATGTGATTGAAGGTGGCCATGGAAAGCGGCAAGCTGGCGGCGAGGATTGGGATGTTCTTGCTGGGGAGCGATGGGTGGAGTGGGCAATGGGTTTGAGGCACAGAGTTTTGTTGCTAACATTAGGACGTGGAAGGAATAAGCTTTAATTCATTCACCAGACGGAAAACTGATTATCCCTCCGGACTGCAGAACATGACGCTTGACTCGAAACCTTGCCGCACGCTTCGATATCAGCGCAAGCTAGCAGTATCCCACGCAACGACTGCCTACGCCGGATTAGCAGACATTTAACAAAACAGGTCACTCCTGCCAAACACTACTCAACCTCCTCCTCCTCCTCCTCGGTCGGACACTCCCTGGACTCATACTCCTGTCTCTCAAACCTGCAAAACTATTCTCAAGAATAGCGTCCTCAAGATCGTCCTCCTCTTCGATCTTGTCAAGCACCTCTTGCGGCGGCTCCTCTTCGAACACGGCTTGAATATCGGCGTGCACATTGAAGTTACTCCAGAAGCCCCACTTGACTCTTTTGGAAGGTCCTCCAATAGTCTTCTTCCGCACGGGCTTCCACAGCGCTCTGCGCTCGTACCATCCAAGCGCAATGAGGAGAGGAGCATTCAGGATTCGGACTATGGTTATGTTGATCTTGTGGAACCATCGCGCACTGACGACAAACTTTAACGGTAGCAAGACGACGAATGCAAAGAGGTTGAAGGGGGGAAAGTAGGCGAATAGCGAGTCTGACTTCACCCCTTCGAAAGTCGAGACCGCGCGGCGGAATTGGATCTCAGATGTTGCGTCGGCGGCGATTTTGGAAAAGGTGTTGGAGAGTATCGAGACGAGAACAGTTAGGAACAGGGTGTTCCCTAGAAACGCGTAGATGACCATGAGAGCAGGGCCAAGGATCTCGTGGAAGGCCGGCGCCTCTTGGATTCCAGTGCCGTCCAAACCGAACCAGATCCACAACATCCACTTTGAGATCGTGATTGGACCAGGTGAATCGTTGAAATCGACCTTAGAACTACCCATGCTGAGCCACTTCAGCGCGAGCAGAAACCCACCAAAGCACCATACCGCGATAATCGTTAACGCGGTGAACTCTTTCATCATAGCTCTCAAAGCGATGAAGAGCATGTTCTCGGGCATGAGGTTAAAGGCCAGGCGTGGGAAGAGGATCGGGGCGGCAATGGCGAGAATATCAAGTGCCTGCCTTCCATAGTCGACATCGCCCACTGCCCAGCCAAAGATCCGGACGCCCAAATACACTATATAGACCACCACAAAAGCGACATCCAGAAAAGCCCAAAGCTCTTGCGTGTGGACCTGCCAGCCGTGCTCAAGCATCGACGCGCATTCATCTAACGTCCAGCCTGCCGCATACACAAGGAACAAGGCTTCCGCGGAGGTGAAGACAGCATGGTCTTGTCGCATCATGCAGAGGCAGTACAGGCCTAGAAGGATCAGAAACTGAGTTACTTCGAGGATGTTGCGCGTCCGGGGAACAATGAGACGATACTGGTTGAGCAGCGGCGCTTGACGCGGATCGTATAGCGAGATTGGTTTGTGCTTGTAATGGTCCGGCAAGATATCGAGGAATGATGTTGGCGTATACACTATCCTTCCCCGGTATACGGCATCTATGACCTTTTGAGAGGCGGAGCCGCTGAGGAACATCTTGCTTTCCGAAATAATGGCAACTTCCAGCGCGGTCAATTTGCCCTCGTAGCCGCCCTGGCTCTGATACTGCCAATGACTTCGTTCTGGTTGTATCTCGGGTGGCGCGTTCTGGAAGGGCTGGAAAGGTGCGACCAAGATTTTGGCTAGCAAAAGCAAGCCCGTCTTGCCGACATTCTCCTCATCGTGCTTTCGCAGGACCTTCGTAGCGACGATCTCACATAGATTGGCTCGGGTGAGGTTTACGGTCTGGTGGTGATGCTGCCAATGTTGCTCCCGCAGGAACTGCATCCTATTGACAAGAAGGCAATACACTACATGCGGTTAGCACCTAGACCAACCATATAATGGTTACGGCACGTACCTATGGACACATCTTCCTCGTCGTACAGCCGATCGACAAGTGGTTTCACGATCAACACATTCATGCGGGGCTCCTTGAGCTGATCCACCGTATAAGGATCCTCAATGCTGGCTAGTACGAGCCTCCGTATCCGCTGGATGTTGAAGTAGACATTCAGCCCAGAATGCGGATCCGGACAGAACACCTGCCTCGGCCCAGGCATCCCGCCATCTTCCCTCAGACAGCCGTCTCGGTCCGCGATTTCATCATCGCTTAGCAGCGCATCCTGCTCCTCTCTGCTCCTCACCGCGCGCAACGCATCGCTCAAGCTGCGATGGCTGCCAGTTAGATGCGGCCGCTGAAGATGCTCTGGAATCCGAATATGTTGCGAAGACTTGCGCTTCGGGGAGACGTCGCCACCATTGCCGTTGCTGATCGAGCCGTAGGTCGAGCTGTTGCGATTTGTATTTGATCTCGAGTTCTTCGAGTTCCAGTCCGGAGTGGAGGTCGGGCCGGACATATATAGGAGCTGCAGGAGATCACACGAGCGCACTTAGGTAAGAGGAAAAGGGGCTGCGTTGGCGTGAGGTAACAGGAATCAATGTCTGGGACTCGATGCCGTGAGGTTGGAAAACAAGCTTCGGCACACCCAAATGAGGAAGTACAGGCGAGGCCTGGTGGGGATCCGGGTATGGCTAACTGCTTGGCTGGGAGGCCTAGGGATTTCTCCAACTTCCACAGAGCGGAGAAGAGCAATTGAGGATACGAGTGCGAGTGCATGTAGTCTAGTTGTTCCGAAGGATAGTTGTAAAGCGGTGTGCGGCGCAGGGCGATGATGATAAGGTGGCAAAAGCAAAATGCACGGGCTCCGAGGGGCGATAAGCCAGGGGTAAGGAGGTCTAGCCGGAAGGGGAATAGCCCAAGAATGTTGCCGAGGCAGTCCCGAGGTCTACGGGTTCTCAACTCTAGTCTTCTTCGATCCAGAGGATGATTTCTCCAATGCTGCGTTAGATATGGAGCTTACGTTTCCTTTCTTCAGCAATCAGGCTGTCCGAGGCTCGAACCGGGATGCTGACGGCACGTTTCCCCTCACTGGCATTCTCAAGACGACATACTTCTGCGTCCCTCCGAACCCGAGGCTGGTAGAAACTAAGGAACCTCATCGATGATCGTCTGTACAAAGTCAGAAACAGCAAGACATTAACGGCATGCCGCGGAGCTTGTCATTGCTTGAGCCCCCGATAGACGTAGCGCTCCTCACAAGCGCAGCCGCAAAGAGCATCAGCCTAACGAAATTAATCAATGATACGGTTGGACCGATACCGAACTATCGTCTCGAATATCTGCTCCAAAAGGCCTTCGAGATGGTGGCAGAGCTCAAGAACATGGGGACATTGTCCCTGTCCATCCGGGAAAAGAAGGATGCGGAGGCACTGCAGAATCTACGTGCGCGGCAGGACAACGTGATAGAATCCCTCACGATCGAACTGAAACAACTGACACAGCGCGAGACAGGAAGGCAGTTGGGGTCGCTGGGAGGGACCCGCGAGGGCCAAGTAACACGCTTGCAGTAGTACCTGGCACTTGCTGGAGAGGACTCGAAAGGGGTTCCTGCTGAATTGACCGATTGGGAAGATGTCATTCAACAAATCGAGCAACCAACCACGGATGAGCTTCGTATGACCTCTAACGAGAAGCTAGGGATGGACAGGGCTGACCAAGCCGTGGCGCTGAACCAGAGAGCCGCTCTTGTAGATTTTGGGGCCAGCATCTTGACAGCTATCCCAGATATCGGTGAGCGAGCTGAGCCTCTTAGGGTTGGCATCTCCATTGGCTCAATTACAAAAAACCTTGCTGAGGGCATGAGTCTTGCAGTGAGTGTGATGGGACAGGAGGATTTGATGCAATCCGCCGAAGGAGTGCGAGCTTCGCGCAAAGAGAGCTTCATTCGCCAACTCCAGGAGCGCAGAATGCAAGCCAACGTGGCTGGAAGGGACATCAAAGTGACGGACAAGCAGATCGAGGCCACCAAGGTGCGCTTAGAGATGTGCGAGCGCGACATCAAACTGCAGCAACAGCGAGTAGCTCACATCGTGGAGATGGAAGAGTGGCACAATAACAAATACACGAGCGAGCGGTTGTACGCTTGGATGGACAACAGCGTGCGAAGCCTATTCTACCAAATGCACGTCCTCGCCAACGATCTAGCGAAGAAAGCACAGAAAGCATTCCGCTTCGAACGAGGCGAGCCAGGTATCGAATACATCGGACAGAGCTACTGGGACAACGGGCGCGATGGTCTACTGTCTGGCGAGCCACTCTACCTTGCGCTGAAGCGCCTGGAAGCAGCATACCTGGAAAGGCGTAACCATGACTTCGAGATCGTGAAGAACATCTCGCTCCGCCAAATCCAGCCATGGGCCCTCATCAACCTGCGCGAGACAGGCACCGTCGAATTCAGCATTCTAGAGCCGTTCTTCGACTTTGACTTCCCGGACTAATACTGCAGACGCATCAAATCAATAAGCCTATCTATCCCTTGCACTATCGGACCATATGCCGGCGTCAATGCCACACTGACCCTCCTCTCCCAACAATACTGCATCAACGCTACCGCCAAATTCTCTACCAGATCCGCCGAGCACTTCTACCGGGAATCGGAGTCAGCAGCCGATACCCGCTACCGCACAGACCAGATCCCCATCTCCGGGCGAGCAAGACGCCGCCGTCTTCGCCCTCGACTTCCGCGACGAGCGATACATACCTTCGAGAGCGCCGGCGCAATTAGCAAGTGGCGCATTGAGCCTCCCCCTCGTGAGATCCGCCAATTCGATTACGATACTATCAGTGACGTCGTGCTGCACATGCGGTATACAGCGCTATCTGGTAGCACCGAGTCCCGTAACGCGGCAATTGCTGCAGCCGGCGAGTTCCAGAGGTCGGCGGGCCAGGCCGCGGATACAGAGGGCTTGTTCATGGCGCTGGATCTCAAGAGTGATTATGCGAATGAGTGGTTTCGGTTCGTCAACGGCTCGGATAGGACGCAGCCGGCTACAATCCCGTTGAAGGGTTTGCAGGATCGACTTCCGTTCTTTGCTAGGGGGCGGGATGCGAGGGTGGTGGCAGTGAGTGTGTTAGCCGATACGGAAGGAGGAATAGCGATTGACGTGGGTAAGGAAATCTTGCTTTCGGGCAGAGGAGATATTTCTTTGGAGGCCGGAAGTAAGATTGGGGGCTTTTGTGTGGCTGTGGCGAAAAGCGTGCAGGAAAGGTTGGCCGACGATTGGAAAGTGGACTTCGAGCGAGGCGATGGCGGCAGGCGTGAAAAGGATTGTCATCGTCATTAGGTTACCTACATGATCCCGACGCCGTAGGAGTATAGAATCCTCTGGTTACCCTTTCTAACAGGACCTTAATCCTCTCAAATGCCATAGACCGGGCGAAGTGGCATCCCTACTGCAGCTCGATGACTAAGACTACTCTGAATACCTCCTATGGAGCATGGTTTCTATATCGTGCGTTTTGTGATGCGGTTGAGGATCACCTGGGCAGATCCAGTCCAGAGAAGGAAATCTTTTCGGCCCCATTCCGTTTCTGACTTAGCTCCCGCGCGGCTGCGGTAGCTTCCCCAAAACATCCATGGATCAAAAGAACAGACCATTTATAAAGCTCTTTAACCTATTGAATGCCAACTCAGCCCAGTTGTACCCCCTTCACGCAGAGAGCCCCGTTTGCTTCATCAAACTGTTCTACCGCACCGCGCCGTCTCGGTACATAACAAGAGACTCCGCGGGCGCCTCGGCTATCGAGTATCTTCCCTGACCGGAGCTTCAACGTGCATCGAGGTCTGAGCATCTCGACCGAGACAGGTTGGACAGCCGCGCAGCTTGGGGCAAAGTCGTCGCACCAAACCATCACCATGGACACACACTCCTCATCCAACTACCCATTTCCCACCCAGGTATCGCTCCAAGACCAATACGTTGGCAAGAAACTCGAGGACCTACCCACGCCTGCTGCAGTCATAGACCGGGCTATTGTGAAGGGGAATTGCGATGCCATGCTCGATGTCTGTCAGAAACTCGGCGTAGGATTTCGGGCGCACGTGAAGAGTCACAAGGTAGAGAAAGACCTCTTCTGCCCTGAAATTATGATTATGCGGGACGACGTGGTTTATGTATGGAGTGCTGATCAAAACATCAGACGCTCGAGCTATCCAAACTGCAAGTCGGGGGCTCCGGTCCCGCCGACTTCGTGGTGTCGACACTCATCGAAGCCGAAAACCTCCTCTCGTTGGCGTTAGAATGTCAGGCTGAGGGACGAGGGTGCAGTGTAAGTTAAAATTGAATTCGGGGTATCATTTCTTCATCGTAAGTCGTGCCTCGTTGATCATATACAGATACTCTACGGTGTGCCCATCGCTCCGTCCGCAGTTCCTCGCCTGCTGTGCTTGGCCAGCAAACTTGCTCCAGGCACGCTGGGTATTCTCATCGACAACATTGACGCCTTCCATAGGTATCATGAGCAGGCTAGAGATGCGCATATTGATGTGTATATTAAGATCGATACCGGGTACCACCGCGCAGGCATCCAGACCACATCCCCTCGGTTCCCAGAGCTCGTGAAGACCGTCGCTGAGAAGGTAGGGGAGAGCTTCCGCGGGTTCTATTCACATTATGGGCACTCGTACGGCGGTAACTCAGAAGATGATGCCGCGGATGGACTGACTGAGGAGCTGCTGGGGTTGGAAGAAGCGACAAAGGTGGTACCGAAGGGTTTCGCGGGTAGACTGGTGTTGACAGTAGGTGCGACGCCGACCGCGACAGCAGCGTATAACATGGTCTCGCCTTCGCCAAAGGCTAGAGGATTCCAGGCACTGCTTGGCCGCTTGAAGTCGAAGTGTACTGTCGAGCTGCACGCCGGCGTCTATCCGCTACTCGACCTCCAGCAAGTCGCCACACACGCACGACCACCAATGGGCGACGCCTCGTTGTCGAAAGAGAGCATCGGAATGAAGATGCTCGTTGAAGTATCCTCCGTCTACAACGAACGCTCGAAGCCGGAAGTGCTCATATCAGCCGGGTCGCTGGCGTTGGGCAGAGAACCTTGCAAGAGCTATCCGGGGTGGGGCATTATAGCAGGGGAGCTGGGCAATAAAGGGGGTATCGTCTATGATGAGCGAGATAGCAGGAGCGGCTGGATTGTTGGGAGGATAAGCCAGGAGCATGGGGTAGTGACGTGGGAGGGGACGAGAGAGCAGGCGAAGGAGTTGGCGGTTGGGGATAAGTTGATGGTGTGGCCAAATCATGCGTGTGTGGCTGGGGCTGGGTTTGGATGGTATCTAGTTGTAGATTCCGAGCAGGGAGGCGATACCGTTGTGGACGTGTGGGTCCGATGGAGGGGATGGTGATAGTTGCGGCGCGTGGGTCTGTAAGGGGGGTTATGTGTGTGGGTGTTGGTGGTTGCTTCGTCTCCTCGAACTGGGTGCTCCTCTCCATGCTCGCGGGGTGTGCCACGACTGTTACCTAGGTAGTTTGTATGTCTGCGAGCTGTCTATCTGTCTGTCTGTCTATCCTCGAGCTTGCCATGTCCGCTTGGAGTCGTTGCTGGCTGCGGGTCAATGTTGCCCGGTGTGTGATTGCGCAGTCGTCGGCGGTGGCGGCGACATGGCGGGCGGCGTCGGGAAGGGCGTCTCTCGCTGTGTGAGTTGTGAGTTCCGCTTGGAGACTGCACGTCCGCAGCGTGTTTGGCGTCGAGGGGTGCGGGTGAGGGGTGAGAGGTGAGGGGTGAGAGGTGAGAGAAGTGTGGTGGAGCACGGTGGCTTCGCGCGCCGGGCGCTAGGGGCGCGCCCCATGCCCCAGCGGGTCTGGCGCCGGCCGGGGCATGCAGCTTTCCTGGCGAACAGGCAAAATGCGAGGCACCGCGCTGCCAGACCTGCAGCAGCTGGAGATCGCGCCGTTGGTCTGCTTCCTCCCCGGCTGCCAGCACGCTCGCCCATCCATCCCATCCTCCAGCTTCCGCTGCACCTCCTCACGCTTCTTCTCCTCAGGCGTCGCTCGGCCATCGCTCGCGGCAGCATGCTGCCCACCGCGTCCTCTCCCCCTTCCCCGTACTGAGCCGCCGTTGGGCCACACATTCGGACCATTCTGTCATCCATTGGCGACCTGACCGCCTCCTCGTGCTTATGCACCGCCCGCCGCCGCCCACCACTGCACCGTAGCATCTGCCCGTGTCCGTAGCACCGTAGCCCGCAGCCAATCGACCGCCCGCCTGCACCCTTCGCAGCCCTCGGAAGCCTGCCGCTGCAGCTGTATATATCGTGACCGGCGTCACATCGCCATGGTGCCCTTCCGAAGGGCCTCCCAGAAAACCCGCCGCAGCCCAGACGCCGTCCGCGACCCCCTATCCGACCCCCACCCCTTCGCATGGCACGAGCAGCGCGACAAGTACATCATGACCTTCCCCATCCACCCGCTCCCGTCCATGCAGGGCCCCTTCGAGGAGTCGATGCTCGATGCAACCGGCGAGACGGGCTACATCCCCTTCCAGAACCCGAACAAGTCCATTGAGGCGCGCCAGCAGCAGCTGTGCCGGGACACCGACGCCCCGGAGCTCTCGTGGAATTTCACATACAACTGCCATTGGCGCCACCATCCGAAGGGGAAATACCACCCTCTGCTAAAGACCGTGGCCCAGATCATCTTCGGCGTGCATCTGCTGCATCAGCACCTGGAAAAGTCCGTGGCCGACGTAGCAGACATCTTGCTGAAGCACGTCAACGAGCTGGACAGCTTCCTGCAACGGGCGAACGAAGACATTGAGGGCAGTCTCAAGGACATGCTGTTCCGGAGGAAATGCTTGAAGGTTCCCATGGAGCACGTAAACGAGTTCGACCGCCTGCTCGACGACCGCACGTACCGGGCCCAGCTTTTGGAAGGGAACGTCACCATCGAGCGGACCATCAATCGCATGTCGCAGATGCTCAACGACTACTTGATCGACATGAGCACCTTTCGGGACGCCAACCACGAACTGGATATATATCTACTCAATATCGGCCACGAGTGGGCCGCTATGAATGAAGACGTGGGACGCATCTACTCGGCCATGTGCGGGAATACCGGAGGTTGGGCACAATTTCTGCAGAGCTTGGTCGCCAAAGCTGAAAAGCTCGGTGTTGTGCTTGTGCAGGTCAGCAGCTACTGCAACGAGATCGAGAAACGTTGCGGGGCTGCTAGCCGGCGGAGTTTGGTAGGCGACCCCTTTTCTGTTCTGTCGATCTTCAGCCACCCTCGCACATCAGGTTTCACCATGTTTCCCACATTTGAACTGACACTTTGCCTTGCCTTCAGATTGCCAGCCGATCCTCGTCCCGAAACTCGTCAAATTCACGAGATGCAGCGCGCTCCTTTCGCAACTTTGCAAACAACAAGCCGCTGCCCACGGTGCCGAATGAGCGCCCGCCCTTTATGACACCCCCCTCTGTAGGAGGTGATGTGACCCCTGATTCCCACAGACGACCAAGCAACTATCCAGCGCCTGCACCAGCACCAGCACCAGCATCAGCACCAGCATCAGCACCAGCATCAGCACCAGCATCAGCACCAGCATCAGCACCAGCACCGCATGCCAGGCCTGTTGGCGACCCTGAATCAGACGAGCCCGTCAAGCAACAGGACGACGTAGCGGGCTCTGCTTCTAACGAGACGTTACGGTCTGACGTCTCTGCAACCCATGGCGATATCGACAAGCCACCTGCATATTGCAAGGATCCCTCTAATAGCTATGATCGACATCCAGGAGTTGTGCGGGACGGTTCCGACAGCACCATCCGGAAAGAAGAGTATCGGCCGCTGCATGCCTCACATCCTAGCGACCCCGGCGATGCCGTCGGTCCAAAGCGCGCAGAGACAAGAGCAGGAAAGGAAGAGCACAGCCCGCCGTTGACTGGCAAAGACTCCGCTTACTCGTCCGTGTCCGGCGGATCGTTCGCATCGCCGCTTCCTCGCTCGGCGTCAGCGCAGTCATCGTATCCGCGTGCTCAGTTCGGCTTGTTCCCTAGCAGCGGGCCCAGCACGCCCAAGCATTCGATCTCAGGCCGCTATGGCGCTGCATCGCCTGCTTTGCCGTCGCCGATGGCATCCGAGCAGCCGGTTTATGTACCGCAGCGCGCTCAAACCTCCCTCGATAATTATAATGCGCCCTCTCGCCGTTTGCTGAAAAAGTCCAGTCTCTCGTCGTTGAAGAGGCTGTTCAGCAAGAAGAAGCATGGCTCTGTTGACACCATCGCAGAGTGAGCGGTGTCTTCGTTCCTTTCAGCGGGCATTTGACATGTTTGTTTCACACGTCGTGCGATGATATACCCCCTTGGTTGGCCTCTTTGTTTTCGGCGTAACGTGCATGAGCGCTTGCGTGAACCTTGTATAGTATGCCCCGTTTCGTATCTAATGTTGTTATGACGAGCTCGTACATGGACGTCCCTTTCTTGGTCCCGGATACCGCAGGGGGGAAGACGGGGTAGCAGCAGTTGCGGACGCGGCGGAGCGCACCTCCCATAGGCGAGTGGGGAGGCATACAGGCGGAGTGCGTAAGAGGCTGCTCTGATGGCCAAGGGCCGGGTGGGTAAGAGAGGGCGGGCAGACGGCGCATGGCAGCATCCTGACTGCCCTCGCCGGTGTGCTTCGGATCGGCCCTGGTGGGTGCGGACGCGAAAGGGCGAAGGGACACGCGGTAGGTAGAGAATCTCAATCCTGGCGCCGCTTTCTTCCCTTCTGCCGTACCTTCGCGCTCGGCGTCGACGCTGCGTATGCACTTGCCGGCCCGGCAGACTCTGCGCGGCTCCCGGTCCCGTGAAGAAGGCGCGTCCGCTTGGCTAGCTCACCGTCTCCTCCCTCCTCTCTCCTTCAACACACCCCCTCTCTCCCTCGCCTCCTCTTCTTCCCTCCACCACCCCACCCATACCATTCTTCTCGTCTTTTTGGCAGTGCAGTGCAGTGCGGGACTGCGGCAGCGTGCTATCCGGGCTTTTTGGAGTCGTTTGGATACGCATCCTCTAAGGCAAGCTCGCCGCCTCCTCATTTTCACCCCGCCCATTCCTTCTACTCCGCCAACACGCTGCGACACCCACGGCGACACCCACAGCAACACCCACAGCAGTGCCTCACGGCCTGAGCGGCGTCACAATGCTGCTCGCGGACCGTGACCCGAACGGCAGCGGGCGTACGAGTCGCGCATCGAATCTGTCGATGGGGTCGCACCGTCAACAGCAGGCCGGTGCTGGGCCTGGTGCAAAACAACACGACCTTCTGTCCTCCGCGCCTGGCGTCGCCTCTATGCTCCGGACCTCTACGGAGATGGGCAATCTCGGCGGGCTTGCAGGAGACTCCTCCAGCATGATCCCTCGTGGTTCACGGCGCACCGGTATTACGTCTCGCCTGAGCACGGCATCGTCGCGGTCGAACGCCTCCAACCGCACGTTGACCCATAGCGCCTGGCCCTCTTCAGCCTCTTCGAGGCCGAGACGCTCGCGGGACAACAATGTGCCGCAGTACGTCCCTGACACCCTCTCCCCAACCGTCATGAACATCCCGGGCTCGTCGCCGCTAATCCCACGGGCGCGTGAACCTCGAGACGGTCACCGGTCTCGCTCCATGACAATGGCGAACACTCCAGACCCAACTTTTCGGCTTTCAGCCAACCGGTCGTATGGCAGTCTGCGTACGCATGAACAAGTCCAGCGACCCAAGTCGCCTTACCGGTATGAGAATAGACACCGGGGCTCTGGCTACCGGCCTACTTCACCCGAAGACATCGCGGGCTCACATACTCGACCCATGCATGGCCACGGCCAGATGCCTTCGTACCATGCACCGCCGCACCACCCAGGGCAGATGAGGCGGAGGACGCCGTCTGATATGTCCATGCGTCGTGACGAGCGGGCGCACAACGCGGGCCCTCCTCGTCGATCCCGAACCCCGGTCTACTATGGAGACCCGCATCCAGACATTCCGCCTGTTCCGCCTCTGCTTCCGCACCATCGTCTTGCTGCGCAGCAGTCTCATAAGTCCCGCAAGTCAGCAAAGACATCTGTCTCGAGCGTGTCCATGGGCCGCCGTACAGATTCCGATGGTCCTTCGTCTGAAGCTCCCACCCCACCCACACCCATGGGCGGCGTGTCAACTGGTACGTAGGTCGCGGCACACATTGCACCATGTCTCAGCTCTTGCCTGTAGAAAGCCCTCCCTGAGAGCTTTCCATAGGTAAAGGCCTGAAACATGATATAAGTTCGTTCCCCCAGTCACAGACATCTGCTAATGTACCGCCATCTTTGTAGGTCCGATGTACTATGATTATAGCGAACAGTTCGAAGTCGAGCAGTTTGCCGAACCGGAGCGTGCAGGAGTCCGCACGGGCTTCGTCCACCGCACCAAGACCATTTTCGAAGAGCAGGGGTCGGCTGAACCTAGCCCAAAGACAATCGATGTCGCTGTCGTCGGAAGCATTGTTGCCCCACCAGCAGCCGAACTGCCAGATGTGGCAGAGCTTCCTGCATCCCCAGTTGGACGACGAATCACGCGAGACCTGATCCAGGAAGGCATAGGGCCAGCATCAACTACCGGTGATGTCATGGCGTCGGGAGAATCAGAAGAGACCATCCGCAATGGCATGGAGCAAGTTTCGAAGGGTGATGTCAAGGACCAGCCGACCAGCTCAACCTTGCAGCCTGAGCAAACCAACAAGAACCGGCTCAGTACTCTGTCTGAGGGTGGATCAAGCATCATAGACTCCTCCACGCTGAACTTTGCCGTACAATATTCGATCCCCATGGTAACTGGTAACGGCATCAGGGTGCAAGCGAACAATGACACCGGCCCTGTCAATGGACACGATCCCGGCACGCCCACCGAAGACGGCATGACAGACCTTCTGGCGGGATACCAGCACACTGTCACCAAGCAGGACGACGAAGGACATGGCCAGGAGGGAGGCACGGTCGATGAGTCCGCCGACAAGTGCAGCAACCACGCCCCGAAGTCATCCGATGAACAATCGTTCAAGTCGTGCACGGCCCTTCCGGATCACATAGAGCGCCCATCTAAGGATCTAGATGCCAAGTCATTCAAGTCGTGCAAAGGCTTGCCGGAGCCTGATCCACCTTTCAAGGACTCGGATGCGCGATCTTTCAAGACATGCAAGGATACCGTCACCCCAGAGCGTGCCTTGGACATGCCTCCATTGAGACTTACCAAAATGAACATGGTCACAGGGGAAGTCTCAGTGGAAAAGCTTGAGATGGCGCCGATGGAGCGCAACCAGCAACCCACTACCTCGTCCGAGCCGAATATGTCGAAGATTTCGAACGCGTCCCACGCCAATTCGAAGCCGAGTTCCCAGCATGTGTCCGCCTCGAAATCAATTTCCTCTTCCACTGAGAGCGGTACTCAGCAGCCTCCGTCGGTTCCTCCTAGAGATTCGAGTTCGTCCAAGGAAGCACAGCGTTTTCAAGCCGCAGCGAGCTTCTTGGTGCGTTCTACCAAGCTGCAGCGAATACCCAGGGCAATCTCCAGCTTTGGTAGAAAGTCTGTTAGAGATGAGACCGTTGTCGCGCAGGACACGCGGAACACCGGCGAGAACATCCCGACACCACCGCCAATGCGCGAGCGACCGCTGTCTGGCAATCCCACAGGTCCAGTAGAATCGCTATTCGAGTCTCTCAAGACACCCGAGAAAGCATTGGTGAGGCAGGAGGTGGTGACAAGGCCGCAGCGTGTGGACACCGCCGCGCCTCAGGACAGGATGACACCAAAGAACCGCGCCCTTACGGAGACGCCGGGCCTCAAGGGCGCAGTCGCTGTGCATCAGCGCTCGCTGAGCACTCCCTCGCCGATTGTCCCGGAACCCTCGTCCGTGTATTCTCCCGAAAATATCTCTTCTGCCAAGTCCCGTGTCCATTCTTCGCCCGTTCCAATTCCGAAGACGCCAGAGCATAACCGGCGCGATAGCCAGACCACGACACACTTGGTATGGCGCGGTCGCAATCCCTCGAATATCCCTTCAGCGCACGGTGGGGAGACGCTTGGGATTCGAGGCGGCAACTCCCGGGACGAGACGACAACAGACCTTAGGCTTTCTACGTACAAGCATCCCATGAGCCGTCTTCCCAACGTCGCGGAGGAGCCGCATGAAGACTCGAGTCTAGACATGAGCGCGAGCAACTTCAAGCACTCGAGCGTTGGTTTCCCCGGTGGTGGCCAGTCCGGTGCTCGAGGGTCGGAGGATGATGCGGCGGTGGCCGGAAAGAATGCACCGGTCGAATCGCACCAGAAGGGCGCTCTTGCGCAGACACACGGGTTGCCATCAATGAATTTTAGCCAGCTAAACCTGCTAGAGGGGCTGAATGAGTTCGTTGAGTCTTGTTCGAATCGGTCGTCGCTCAACGGTGCGCTCGACGACGGGGTGGCGCCGTCGCCAGAGGAGATTCGCGAGAGGTGCCAGAGTGTTCTGAAGCGCCTGGAGGAGTTGAAGGAGAGTGGCGACGCCACTGAGTCCGGTGCCATGAACCCACAGGCAATCATAGCGGAGCTCCAGAAGGTACTCATCCCGCATATGGACGATCTCTCGCAACAGCTGTCTGAGCTTCTGTCATCGTATGGATGGAAGGCCATAGTCGCAGAGGCAGAAAAGTTCCCCGAGGAGGAAGCCATTGAGAAGCATGCGATGGCAGAAATCAGTGAGGTCGCGCCAGCAACCAAGCGGTCCTCTGCTCGACTTCGGCCACTGCCAGGCTCTCCGCAACTGCAAGTGGTGGAAGATGCGGTGTACGAGGAGATCACCAGCAAAGAGAAGGGCAAGGCTTCGAGGCCCGGCAATGGTGGTGCGCAATTGACTGAAAAGGACCTGGGTGAAATTGGGGCTGCGAAGGGGAGGAGCTGGAGCGTTGCCCACGCGCGCACAAGTGACAAAGCACCTCTGGCGGAGCTCGAGGCACCGTCCCTCGGCCTCCCGCGTACGCAGTCTTTATCGGTCGGCCACAACAACCTCCGTGACTCGCAAGACACGAGACTGTCCGCCAGATCCCCGCAGTCTCCCGGCAGCACGCAAACGGCGACAGAGACGCGGCCGTGGAACAGCGATAAGAACTACCCCTGGACAGCCACAGACGCCTCTGTCGATATCTCCTTACCCCAAGCAGCTGCCGCCAAACACTCGCCGCGCGCGGGGCCATCACACCTTAGGAACCGGCTCTCCGACGCGTCTAGCGCTTCAGGTACGTTTACGCCCGACGGCACACCGGCCGGCACGATGCCCATGCCCGGCTCCGATGACTCGTTCACACATGCGCGTCGCCAAGGTGACCAGCGATACAGCCTCGAAGCCAGGTCAACCAATCCTCCGGGACTCAACCTCCCGGCCCAACCTGGCTTTGACGCTAGCGGCTACCTGACTGGACCCGTCAACGTGCATGGCGAAGATCGGTCCCACGGTGCTGGCGAACGATATCCTACTTCGGCTCTGACGCTACCCACAGACTCCCATCTGACAGGCGGCACCTCGCTCAGCCACTTGACCGTCAACTCGGACGAAGAGCCCCACCGTCCTCCCCCGCGCAAGTCCCTCTTTGGACTCCGCCGCTGCATAAAAGCTCCGAGCGGCAAGTCGAGATCCGCCTGCGCTCCCGACGACCTCGAGTCCGCCTTTGTCGACGACTCCACGCAGGGCGGTGTGGCGAAAGCCAATCGTCTCACCTTCAGTAACGCTCAGGGAATGACAAAGGTTGAGTATCACCGCAATTTGCTCTGCGACAGGATTAAATCTTGGTGCCACAAGGGTGGCCAGTTCTTTCGCAGCTTATTCGGCCGTAACAGCTCGTCGCCGGCTCAGCAGCAGCGACCGTCCCAGTCCGCCGCCCCGTCGAACGACCGCCCACACGGCGTCACCCACCCCGACAGCCGCTACCACTCCCCTCTTGAAGCCAATGGCTGCTACCGCGAGACCGGCGCGGCCCCGAGCCCAAACGGATTCTAGGAACCCGGGGCGGCAGCACGCCGAGTACTATCAGGTCAACAAGCGCCGTGCGCATTCTTGCTTTGAACGTCTCTGGGATAGGATTCAATCCCTTGGTGTCCCTCGGCTGAAGAAGATCCGCGGTCGACGCCGTCCCATTGATGACATGGACTAGATCTCTCCAGCTCGGCCTGATCCACTTTTTTTTGTACCAACATTTCCGGCTTGTTTTCTCACCACACTAATACTCACGAACCGATCCCTTTTACGCATTGCGACACAGCTGCTTGCCGTATACTATGACTTACGACTTGACAACTTTTCTCACGAACTTTTATTACCACTGTATTATACTAAGCGATGACGGACGTACCATTTCGATCGCTCTTAATCCGCCCCGGACATACACGAGCTCGTTGACCATACTCGTTGGAGCTTCTTGAGAAACGAATCGACTTCCAGACCACGCATGCGTTCTGCTTTTATCATGCGGATGGTAGCGACTTTTGGAACGAACCGGTTTTCTTTCACATTGGACTCGTCTTTTCCCCTCCTACACCAACTCCGTTGGACGTCAATTAGCTTGCCAGCACTGGTCCCGAAGCACAACCACGGATACGATCTTTCGTTTCCCGCACGATAACTTGGCTTACCGTCTTGGTCTTGAGTCAACAATCTTTGCTGGAAGTTCGTCTTGTGCTGCTTTCGAGGTGCTCGACTGCTTCCGCTTTTCCGGCTTGTCTCTCAACTCGGCTTTTCTTGTCTACCATTCACTTGGCGGGCCACTTTCTCGGATATCCTTCTTTTGGTAACCCGCTACTCTTCGGTGGCTTGTCTCTTGGAGCTGGATGATGAGTTTGGAATTGCTGGGTTATGTGGACGGCCGTCTTTAGGATCTATCTTGTCTTAACCTTTACATTTTGACAGAGCATCTGTCTTTCTTCGGATGGACACTGGGCAAGTCAACGGCATCGGTGGATATAAGTGGAACCTTTGTACTTTACTGGGGGGCTTTATGGATGGAGTTACACTGGCGATAGTTTTCGAGATGCGCATGTCTATCTGACTGCATCATAATTCGATCACTGTCGATTAATGGTTTTCGCCTTGACCTTTGTGACCTTTGTGATGTTGCATAAGTCATGCTGTATGTTTACGGTTGCACTTATCGCCTCGCACGCCGAGCTGCGAAAGCGCTCACTCACTCACCCAACTAAGCTATCACACACTAGTGGAGGGTGCGCCTGGCCCACGCCCATACGCACCCTCGCGCGTCCCGGGATCTTCTTTCTTCGTCAGAAATCGCCGATGCCGCGTATGCAGGTGAGGTGCTCGACCGTTGCCGCATCGGTATGAGATCACACGGCCATATCGGTGCCCAGGTGGGTAACATTCTATATGATCTAATCGGCTGCATTAGGGGTCTTCCTTCCGCCATCCATCACATTCATCATCGTTACTCGCCTCCAAGATCACCTACCTTGTTCGGTGATACAGCTCGGTTTCGCTCTCGGCGCAGCTAGCTCCCTTCACACAGACACATCCACAATGATACTATGGAACCATTGAATTGCAACCGGCGCGCGGCTCCCGATCCAGCTGTACGGCGCGACATCCGTCAGCTTGCGTCTTCGCCCGTGGTTCTTTGGCTGAGGCAATACCTTCTGTCGGCGCTGCCGCACCAATGCCATAGCGACCATTACTTTCGCGCCGTCTGTACACCGTCGAGCGGCCCGTCCATAGTCTCCGGCGGGCTGGACCGCTGGATCCTGGGATAATCACGCCGCCTGCCGTTGGTGGCTGCCATAGACGCATGTCGGGAGCTGGTGCAAGACTATTGGGCCCGCACGTGTCGGTAGGCTGGTTCCGAGATCTGGATTCGCAAAGTGAACCGGTGGATGCGAGATGTAGGGTCCGCACGCGATGGTCGGCGAGGAGAGGAAGCTTGGGGACGACGTGGGTACGAGTGTTTTGAAGCTGAGCTGGAGAGAAATGTATATAGCAGGCGGTGTTTCTTGCGCGCTGCGTATGAGCTGCGTATGGTTGACAGTTGGCGTTCCGGTTTGCTTTGATCCCACTGTGATTGTAAGCTCGATTTGAGCTTCGCTGCGAGCTATCTTTCTTCAATGCGTGCAGTCTTCTTCCTTGCTAGCAATAGAGTGCGTTCGAAGAACGCATGTTCTACCGCGCTTCCTCATCACCTATCTTGAAGACGTTCAAGGCAACCGCACCGACACCGGCCACGAGAACCCTAGCATACCAAAATGGCAACCAAAACACACCACTCACCACCGGCAACTCCACGCCTAGCTCCCTTCACCTCCATACCGTTCACAGCCAACACCACACACGCCGTCAACACTCCACCACCTTTGAGCCTCCGCACTTCACAACAATCCTCCAGAGGGTCTACGGCGCCCAATACCTCGCTGAGCCAGCGACGCCGTAGCAACACCCTCTTCAAGACGCCCTTCCACTTCACCGTGCGTCGGCGGGCGTCCAGCACCACCACGCCCTCGCCCACGTCTTCTCCCCACAGAGCCGCTAGCGTCTCCTCCTCTTCTACCTCCAGCCTTCCACGAAGTCCGACAAGCACGACCTTCTTCTCATCGCCTCTCGAAGGCCACCACAACCCCGGAACCGTATTGCTACGCCGCCGCGCTTCGTCACCATCCTCCAAGAGAGGGGAGCTAGACGAGATGGGGTTTCCGTTTGGGAGAGCGGTAAAGGAAGGCAGTCGTCGCGGTCGCGATCTGGGCTCTGCGGGTGAGAATGCGAAGAGTAGGGGGAGTCCGACGACTTCGACGTCGCCGTCGAGCCACGCAACGTTCGACGCGCATCCAGGGACGCTTGTGGACTTTAGCTCGCCGTCTTCTTTTTCGTCCGCCTCGCCGTACCAATCCAGCACAGACACCCCAGTCTCAGCCCGGCAGCAACGCATACCCTCAACCTCCTCTTCAGCAAGCACCACCGGCTCCACGTCAGAGATCAGAGAGAACGCCTTGAGACGTGACGAATACCACAGGTTCCTCCGCATCACTGCTCGCTCAGACTGCGAAGGACGTCGGAGCTCTGCACCGACAGATCGCGAGATGACGACCAGAGGGACGGAGTATGCGAGTTGGGAGGGGCTTAGAGGAGGTCTCCCTTCTTCGCCAGTTCCACCAGCTGTCCAGCACACAGAACAGAGGCAAGGCAGAGAGAGGTTGAAGAGTGGGGTGTATAGGGCGCCGCTACAGACGGCGAGTAAGGATGAGAAGGAGAGGGAGATGGAGAAAGCAGAGAGGGGGCAGAAAGAGAGGTTGGCCAACATCGACTACAAATCCCGCAAACTGGTCCAACGAGAGCGCGCCATGCGAGAGGGGCGCTGGGAGCCCATTCCTCTATCCAGAAGCGCTTCAGTCCCCTTTCCTCCCTCCACCGCCGACGAACGCAAGGCCAGTAGCAGTTCCGGCGGCTCAGTGGAAGGCTTCCTGAAGCACGTCAGGGGAAGTTTTGAGCATCGCCGCTCTGAGAGCTTCAATAAGGGGAAGGCAGACTATAATATCTTTAAGGAGGAGTGGCATGGCGTGTGGTTTCTGGGGCATGGGGATGAGAAGGTGTTGGATTCGAGTAGGAGGGAGGGATAGAAGACCTATCCTCTTCCAATAAGGTTCGGTGGACGAATGGTGGGAGCGCAGGTTCAAGCTAGATAGCTGAACATTACGCAAAGAGCCAGACCATCATGAACGAGCTCCCTTTTGGCATGCGAGGAAGACACGGCTCTTTGGGCGTTGATAGACAGGGAGCTGAAGGCCTTCGGGCTAGAGCGGCCCACGACTTAGCGTAGGGAAGTGTTGCGGCTGGCAAGCAAGAATCTCTCCAGGAGCTTTGGGCCTGGGGGTATCCATGAGGTCCATAGTTCGGTAGAACTCCTATTCGGGCGGCCCATTCGTACCTTATGTCGTCGAGAAGCACGGCATCCAAAGCACGCCGGGCTGCATCATAACCTCATAACCGTTATAAATCATATCTCTTCCATGGGTATCTTGATTCCAAACCAATCCAATCCCTTATTCACACAAACCTAAACTCCACCCACCCCAATACTCTTTACATCTCCGTTCCCCCGCGTCTTGGACACACTCTTGACCCATCTCTAAAATACCGCACCCCCAATAATAAACACCCTCTCCTCCTCCCTCCTCACCCACTGCACAACCTGATTCGCCGCTTGCGCAAGCGCCTGCCTACTTGTCGTTCCCGGCGCCACGCAATATAGCTCGAACAGCGGCGTCGTCCACGCAAGCGCTATATACGTTGTGGCCGTCTCGTGGTGGATTTTCAGACTCGTCGGCTTGGTATGCAAGTTGGCGTGCAATTGGCCGTAAAGGTTCATCAACCTATACACACATGATCAGCATGCACATTCCGCTGCCAGGGGGAAGACGCATGGGCAGCAGAGCAATGTCGAAGGGGATGATGCAACACATCACAACAAGAAGAACAACCTACCGCCTCCTCTCCAACCCTGTTCCAAACCCCGGTTCCCAGCTCGGCATCGTAAACTGCACATTCCCCCGACTCTTGTACAAGAAATGCCTCAACGGACTGCCAGGCACCACATCCGTGCACCTCGGCCGACCCTCTCTGACCGCATTTCGAATCGTCTCGATACTCCCGTTTCGCTGCAATTGCTGTCTATTGCATTAGCCCATGAACTATGCCCAGAAATAACGTTTGTTACGAGTCGAGTCGGCGCGATCGTCGTTGCCTGGGTCGTTGCGTATGTCCGAGGGCGCTGGTCCGCGTCGGCGCGGAGGGACGGAGTTTACCACCGCCCGCGCTCGGGTTTCCGAGCAAGCGGTATGCCGAATAGCACGAGACGGAATAATAAACGGCCTGCAGGAGTTCGGAAAGCCCCAGGTGTCCTGGGGCTAGAGTCGGTCATGTGGAAGATTTGCGTGATTTACGTGTTTGGTGGGGTGAAGCGATCGAGGGCTGAAGGATGAAGCGAAGGGGGTACACGCACCTCGACCAGGGCATCTCTCATGCCCCTCAGCTGAAAGAAACCCTCTTTATTCGCGCTTATGAGCAGTATGGCCACCTCGTCGCTGTTGCCTTCCCTGCTCTTGGGTCGCTCTTGCATCGGCTCGGATGGGTGTTCCAGATCCAGGAAGCTGACGTACATATAAAGGTAGCCGGTGTTGTTGAAGCCGGGGAGGCAGAGCGGGATCCAGTTCTCTCCGCCGCCGGCCTTGACGCTGCCGGCTTCGAAGAGCATGTTGAAGATTAGGTGGAGGTCGCCGGGGTGTAAGCTGTGCTTCTTGGGTCGGACGACGGAGACGAGCTTTCCAGAGGCCGCTATGAGGCCGTAGAGGAGATTCTCTGAGCGTGTCTTGAGGAGCGTGTTGTTGATGATGTGACGGTGTGATTTGCGTAGCTTGAGGCATTCGAGAGCGGATAGCAATGTGGAAGGCGAGCCTCGCGTGAAGCCGTCTGCAAGGGCCGAGAGCAGAGTCTCTGTGCCTTGGAGTGGGCGGCGGAGGTCATAGTTGGCTCGCGCTGCGAACATGCGTTCCATGCTCGGCAGTGTGAGCGTTGAGAGAATCTGCATGTACAATGCGTCCAGCTGGGCACGAAGCTGAGCATCGCTTTCCGGAAGGCGGGTGATGGCAACCAGATTCAGGGGTCCTTTTGACACCACGACGAAGCGCACGTCGCCAGCGGTAAAGCCTCGCAGAGTATCGTTTGTGGACTGGTAGAAGGAGATGATGGTCTGCACGACGCCAATGTAGTTGGTGATCAATTGGTCATCCCCATGCCGGCTGTATATAGGCTTCCCAGCACTCGACAGAATGAGAAAATGTTTCAGCTTGGCGCGCCATTGGAGCATAACAGCTTCTATTGCTACATCAGCTCAGGCCAACCCTGGGTGCAATATGTGCCTCTGACCTTCATTTGCGCCGTCTGCTGTCATCTCTTCAATCTCGTCGAACTCGCTGCGAAAATCGGCGTCGAAGCCGGGATCTGGGAGGAACATGCTCTCCAGCTCTTTGTCCACGGACTTGGGCGCCAGCGCGCGCAGAAGCGACTTCTCGTGGTCTCCGAGCACCTCGCCCAGCATGCTCTCTGCATCTATGCCGGCCGCCATTGACGGGGCGAAGCTCCTGACGCTTGCGCTGTCTTCTACATCGCTGGTGTTGCGGGACGAGGAGGGGAGCCTGAGGCCGAAGTAGGTCCGCGATTTCGAACCGCGCGACGAGGCGGATTGGTCGCCCGCCTCGCTGGCATGGCTCTGCGTGTCTGCGAAAGAGAGCTGCGTGGTCGCTTTCGCCACGAGTTGTGGCCTCATCGGCGCCGTGGCGTGGGACGTGGGCGGCCGGGAATCGAGCAAGCCTGCGTTCTTCGGGCGCGGAGGCAGCGGCGGCGGCGTTCCCTCTCTGGACACGGAAGACAGGCCGCTGGTGGACGTGCTGCGCGACACGCTCTGTATGATGTTGATCGTGGGGTTCACGAAGTCCTGCTGCTCGACCTTGTCGCTGCTCCTCGGCGCCGGCGAGCTTGGGGGAGAAGCGCTTTCGGACGCTGCGCCGGCCACTGCAGGCTCAGCGTTCCCGGTCTCGTCCATGGCGGCGGCGGCGGCGGCGGCTTCTTCTATCTGCCATGGGTCGTGGGTGAGGTCAGGCAGAGCACCGGTGCCGTTGATTGCGCCATGGTGTGTGCAAGTGCTTGAAGCTTGAGCGTCGTGACGCTATCAAGGCGCGCAGCAACATGCCCAGGTGCCAGGTGCCAGGTGCCAGGTGCAAGGCGGCCGTGGGCCAATCACGTCATGCCCGCGGAGCACTATCGCTTTATTCTCCCTAAGCCTAGTACAGCACCCCCGCCGCCGCCAACTCCTCAAACACGCCCTCCAGACTCTCCCACGTATCCACATACCCCGTCCACCCTGCCTTCCTCGCCTTACTCATACTAATAACTAGGTCAAAGTTCCTTCCGAGCACGAACCCCAGGAACCCGAACGTCGCCTTATCAAACGTCTCCTTCTGCAAGCCCTCCCTATCCGCAACCTTGGCCCACGCGCCCTTCACATCCTCCCGCTGACTCCACTTCGCCAGATCAATCTGCTGCTCGACCTTGGACTGGTTCGTGATGCCGTGATTCAGCAGCCCGAGTTCCGCGGCTTGGACGGCGATGGGAGGCTTCTCCATGAGCGGCATGGTGCTGCCGCGCTTGCTGGCGTGCGCGTCGCTGAACTGCTCGGGCTTGACTTCCATCCCGAAGTACTTCGCCACACGGGGCCACAGATTCTGCCAACTCTCCGTGTCGCCATTCACCACGTTGAACGCCTGGTTCGCCGCTGCGGGAGCCGTAGCCGCCCACGCGCAAAACTGCGCATGCAGCTTCGAACTCGTGAAGCAGTCAAACTTGGTGTAAAAATCCGGGCTGCCCGGGAACGACAATCCCCGGCCCAACTCCTTCGACACCACGGCATAGATTCCCAGCGTGAGCGCGAGATTCATAAAGTTGCCGACTGCGTAGCCGATCACGTCGTTGGGGTATGTGACGACCCACTCCTTGCCGCGCTCCTTGCAGAATTTGTGCAGGATGGTTTGCTGGTTGTAGTAGAAGTTCGGGGGCCATTCATCGCCTGTGAGCCAGGGCGCGTCTTCCAACATGGGGTTCTTGGGCACGCCGAGATGGACGCCGTACTGCTTGCATCCGGTCACGAGAACGATCCTCTTCACGTCTTTGATGGCACCGCATTTGGTCAGAGCGATGAGGAAGTTGTCTAGCATGGCGCCGTTGACGTCCCAATTCTCTTGCTCCGAGTCTTTCTGCAGGTAGGCGGCAAAGAAGACGTACTCGCCCCGGACGTTCTTCAAGTCGCTGGCCATGTCATCCGCAGAAGAGGTGAGATCGATGTGGTTGTGGATGACATTTTCGGGATAGTCTTCTTTCTTGCTGCGGGATAGAGCGTGAATGGTGGGCCATTGCTGGGCGTGCTTGCTGAGCTCGAAGACGATCTCCCGTCCCAAGATGCCTAAGTCGTGTGAGCGATGTGGGGAATGCCGCAGCCCAAATTATGGGACTCACCTGTGGCACCGGTTACAATAGCAGAAGGCATAATGAACTAATTAAAAAAGACGGGAGAGGTTTGGAACGGGAAGTGGTTGTTGTTCTCAAACGCATCAACATACGAAGGTATGCTTATTACTCGGGCGAATTGTGACGTCAAATGATGCAAACAACTTCGCATCCTTACGCGCTCATCAAGCAACCCTTTAAACACTCACGTACAAAATATGCGACGTGTAATAGTAGACTTGAGACATCAAAGTCGCATTAAGGTGTGGAGATTAGAATAGAGTGGCGTGTCCGATTGTGTTTGGGGGCTCGTCGTGCAGACACGATTGCTCGCACAGCTAACTATACGTGCTATTGTATGGACCTGTGAAGGCCTCTAAGAGAGGCTGTTACGCACGTCGCTATAGTCCGGAGAAATCCACGCCATGAGAGGTGGTTCTGGCGCCTCTCTTCTTGCTTGGTGCTCCTCTGATCCCTCGTCCATGTTTTGGCGGAAACTCCAAGTGAACCCACTTGGTGATCGGAAGCGATGTTCAACCCATGTCGGCCAGTTGACCGCGAGGCAGTGTGCGGTAAAAGCAAGTCTCCCTACTATAGGCCTGCATTTTCACACCTAGCAATGTCGACCCCGAAGAAGAGCTCATCCTCGGCCACCTCCATGTGCACAGGTAGGCATCTACCTCCATCTCGCAGAGGCCATTACTCTTGTGCCATGTCTATGACGCCACCTGTGTGATTTGGGAGATGTCTCCAATGTTGGAGCAGCATAGCATTTTTTCGTTCGGGCTGTCCTGTGTATCAGACCAGAGTTCGACGGTCTTCTCTCGACGATGATAGCTTCGTACCGTCGGTGCGCCGCGTGCTCTCCATCGCTCGGAGAATGGGGGTGCGTTCCGAGGTGCGAGGGTTCATTGTCTCGGAGGCCGTTTCTGCCAGGTGAGCTCCCTGAACTGGTCCTTCAATTCGTCCTTGAAGTGGTCGAGGGTAGAGGGGCCGGTTCCTACCAAACAGTCAGCGACAATGACGTGAAAATGGCTCCGAAGACTGTGACAGTCGAGACGTACTTCCGCCGCCGTTCTCAGGCCCCATTGGCGGGAGCTTGTTGATCTTCCGATATGCCTTCTGGACGGCGCGGTTGAACATGGGGCTGCGGATGAGCTGTTCGCGGCGTGTCAGCGCTGGCAAGCGTGGAGGAGGCATCGCAATCGCGGAGACGGACGTACTCGTGCAACAGCCCACGCCTGGCATGGAATTGCGTCAGTTTGGGCTTCACGGTGCACGTCTTGGCGGGCGATACGGACCTCGATTAGTGCAAGCCATGGAAGCCTCATCGTCACGCGCGGAGGTTGGAGGTTGGTTGGTGGAGGGGAGGGGAGGAGATGGCGAGGGTGTGGATGCGGAGAGTTGAAGAGGCGGGCGACCGCAGAAGCCAGCTAAGAGAGGCCGCATCAGATGACCGAGGCTGCATCACTCCGTTTGCATAGACTATAGCATAGCTACCGAAAGCGCGTGCAGCCCCTCCACCCCGTCGCGCGGCCTCTCCTGCACACCGTCGCGCAGAGCGCTCTCCAAACCAGGTTCCCGGAGAAGTCGACAGCTCCCCTCCCCCTCCACGCCGCCGCGCAGAGCGCCATCCGTCCCAGGTTTTGCCGCAGCAACACTTTCAAGCTGCATAAACTCCGCGCCTTGCGGCGCAAGGCCAGAGTCAAAGGCGGCCCCAAGGCCGACACCACCATGTCGTCGGCGCCGCTGGCCGTCCCCGCCTCCCCCTCGTCCTCGAAGCGCTCGCGCAGCAGAGACAGCGCCCGCTCCTCCTCCGCCGCCGCCTCGTCCATCAACACGCCCGCCGCGAGCACGCCCTTCTTCACGCCCGCCGGCAGCGCCCCGAGCCTCGTCATCCCCCACAACCCAGACGCCCCGTCCGCCGTCGACGCCTCCCCCGAGGACCCCACGCCATACCCCGCCTTCTTGCGCCTGAGCAGACCAGGCAGGTAGATCCAACCCGTGCGTGCGCCATGCAACGGGCCGCTGACTGGAGCCTGCAGACATCCACAACAAGTTCGTCGACCTCGAGTGGGAGCAGCGGAAACGGCTCCTGCTGAGCGTCCAGCATGCCGACTCCGAGCAGCCGTCGCAGTGGACCAAGTGCGCCGGCGAGGACGTCATGAGCCGCAACAGATACGCCAACGTCGACCCGTACCAGAGCAACCGGGTGCGCTTAAAGGTGCCCGACGGCCACAATGACTACATCAACGCCTCGCCCATTGTGCTGCACTCGACCAAGTCGAAGACGGCCCTCAGGTATATAGCTACACAGGTATGTCTGCTGCCTCAGCAGCGTCGCACGCGCGCGCCCATGCTGATTCGCCCCTTTGTACAGGGCCCAAAGTTCGACAGCTACCACCACCTCTGGAGAATGGTCTGGCACGAGACCAGTTCGCCCGCCGTCATAGTGATGCTCACTCAGACGCACGAGGCGGGGCGCGAAAAGTGCTATCCTTACTTTCCCCGCTCGCCCAGCCAGCCAGACCTCAGGGTAAACGCCCACGACGAGTTCGCAGACGGCTTTATCCATACCCTGAAGCTCACATCTCTCGAGGACCACGAGGAGGCGAGAGCCCAAGTCAGGGAGTTGGACATGACCAGCGATGACGGCAGCGAGACAAAAAAGGTCTGGCATCTGCTCTTCGGGGGCTGGCCAGATTTTCTCGTCCCAGAAGGGGAGGACCGGATAGCTCTGCTCAGGCTGATCGACATGTCGAGAGAAAAGAACGTCGACAACTCCGCAAATCCGCGCATCGTGCACTGCAGCGCAGGCGTTGGTCGCAGCGGCACCTTCATCGCCCTCGATTGGCTACTCCAGGAGCTCGACGAGGGCAGCCTAGACAACCTAGGCCCTGAGGAGGACCCCGTTTCAGCCGTAGTCGATGAGCTCCGCAAGCAGCGCATGATGATGGTTCAGGGTGAAGCACAGCTCGCCTTCATCTACGACGTGGTCCGCGAGCGATGGCGCGAGCGCTGGATAAAGCTGAATCCTGAAGACGCCGAAAGGCTAGGCGTTACGCGCAATGGGCAGGAAGAGCCCAGCCTGAAGAGGCGGAAGTCAGAGAAAAGCGAAGTGAGTATGAGTGAGCAGGAGGAAGGAGACGAGGATGAGCGGGCGCAGCTTGAAGCAGAGCTCATGGATGCCGAGTTTGACTTCGAGAAGGGAAAGACGTAGTTGACGTTTCTTTCCAGGCCCTCGGCAGTTTCCCAACCGCTTGTTGCCCCCCGTCTTCGTTATCCTCATTTTCCTCTCTGTACCTGTACTTTTCAACGTTAGTCTTTGATGGCATAGCGTGCTCTGTTGTTGTATCTCTTTGCATATCCCGCATTCCACCGGCTTGATTTCGCACGGTTTCGTTTAGGGTAGAATAATGGGTACTGCTGGGGGCTGAGATATCCTGGGGCGGTTCATACACGTGTGTCGTATACCACTTGTCAACGCGTTACATTGTGCGCGAGATCGCTTCCTTACCACACGCTTTCTCATCGACGTCCCCTCCACCCTGCCAGGAACTCCTCAATTCGCTGACGTCGTGCACCCCATGTGATACATCCCCCTGCACTACACACACTTCATCCGTCTATGCACCCCGCGTTCATGTGCTACGTTACTCATCCTGCGGAATGCGGACTCTTGATGACAAAATCCCCCGTGGATTTGTGCAGAAATGCAGGTGCTTACCCTATCTTGTTCGCGACGAGAGCACGACTAGCATCAGCATCGGAAGCGGATCCTTTCAGAGCACGCCATCATTACCCTTCACAGGGACTCGCCTGTCGAATTGCGCAGTCCTCTTTTTGGGCTGAACTGTTCGGACGAGAGCCGGTCACGCAGAGAAGAAGCATCAGCATCCGATGTAGATGCGTCTGGAGCACGCCATTTCCGTAGGTATTTAGCTATCAGTGGTCCGGATGTGGCCGCCCGTTACGCTTTTTGTAGTTTGCTGGACTCACGCTTCCATAATGGCTTCCGACACCGCTACTGACGATCCGGGAGTCTCTGTCGTGGCTAGGCGGAAGCAAGTTGTTTTTTTGGCTTTGGCGTTCCCATCAATCTCCCAATCTGCCCTTCTCTCCTCGCAATTCGCTCAACCCCTCTCTTTCGAGTCAGTGCCATATCGCATATCCGCTCTCTATATCACAACGATCTACTCAGCAGCCACACTACCTCTCTTTTGCATCCTCCTCTCTGACCCGGCAAATTCGATACAGCCCATCATCTCCTCATCTCCGCATATCACGGCCGAAAGACTGACATCCCCTCCTTTCTCGTCCGCCCTGCATATTTCCAGGCCCCCACCCGGCGCATGGTCTGCGCTGCACCCCATACCGGTAGCAACAAACCTCGAATGCTTATCTCTGCAGTTTCCACTATAGCGGATGCTGTCTGGTCTTACTTTGCTAGGTCCTGTATGCAGGTTAGCGTACCTGTAAGCTTACGCTACGCTAGGCTAGGACGAGGATCTGATGCCGGTTAAACGAGTGTAGCACAGCATATCGGGCGGGTTGAGTAAATGCCCTGTCGTGAAGTGATGGTGCGACACATGCCGAGGGGGTTGGTGAGGTTTGTGAAAAGCTTGTTGGCAGAAGTTGAGGGCTGACCTGTGTTCGAATCGAGCGTCAGGATGATGAACGCAGGAAAACTTCGTAGGAGCAGAGTAACGCACAGCTCATGGTTCTCGGTCACAGGTGTGGAGAGCAAAAAGGAAGTAGCTTTTGCCCCTTGCAGCGTGCGCCTGCTGCTGTATAGCATATACCAATTCGGGAAAGGAGCTCGCAATATCTACTGTAAATCTCCTTCTCCAGCTGGGGGCTACAGACGCCAATGCCGTGGTAGCGGTCGTTTCCCGTTGACTAAGCTTCGTGCGAGTATCCATGCGCGCTATCCGATTCACTTCTCTTTAACACACCAAGCAAGCATTGCCAGCATTCGGAGCTCGGGCAACGACAGTAATACGGACGTCGTTTCTAGCTATCCCAAGCCCAAGGTGATGGGGCGGATGCTGATGCCCTACTAGCACGGCCTTAGCTCCCGTGGCTGCTGAGTAGACCTAGCTAGTCAACCTCGATTGCTGACTGCCTGATTGATAGCGGCTTGTGGGCCTTTGTGCAACGTGGACGAACGAAGCCTAGGACACAGGTTCAAGCGCAGGTGCAGCGGTCAGCCCTGAAACCGTACGCGAAAGGGGATCGTAAGTCTCGACTAGACTAGTAGGGAGTCGAAGGGCGGAGAGACTCTAGGATCCTAGCTTAGAATGCTAGGGAAGATGGTCGCCCTGGCATGTTTCTTTGGCCTCTTATGAGCGGGACGTTGACAGCTAGTTGCTGACGACCATGTGCGCATTGTCACGGAAGATATAAGGACTGAGAGAGCAAGAGCTGAGAGGTGAATCGAGGCCCGCCATTGCGAGCTGCGAAAGACAAGACGCGCCAGTTCAGTGCGGGGTGAAGAAACTTGTCGAATACGAATTGCCGGGAGAAGTAGGGGAGTTGGGAGGAATAATGGTTCGAGAGACAGCTGAGGCTTGGACGCATGCGAAAGCTCGACCTACCCACCTTTGGGCTCCAAAACCCTCGCTGTCAACGAACAAGACTGCGTGCAGCGCTACGAAGGTGCGAAATCATGTGATCGGAGTCGGAGGCACGCTCAGCCTCATATATCCTCTTGAATCGCGCCTTCGCCGCCAACGCGTCAAAGCCGTATATTATGCAAGGCATATTGCGGGTGAGATCGGTTGCCACAATCTTCGACTATCTCCCCCATGCTGCGCCGTACGAATACCCCCTACACTCGCACGAAACAGTTTGATACGTACCAATACACCTAGACTCGGTGGTGGTAATCTTGGTACCAGGTGCTGTGTTGATTATAGCTCTCAGCAAGCGCCGCAAGAGCGTTTTAATATCAATCCAACAATGAAGTTGGACGGTGAAGATAGACGCACAACTAGAGCTGCGGGGGCGTTAAGCATAGCAAACTCGCCTACGGCGTGCAACGTGGTGCAAATCTATGGTCGATGCGTGCCTCAGGCCCACTCCAGTGTGGCATGACAGGGGTAATCATTGGTATAGAGTCGGTAGATAAAACCGTTGAAAAGTAGTAGGAGATTAAGCAGACGTAGGGTTGCGGCGTGCACGCCTGCGTCATGCGGCTTATGCTGCAGATCTGGATGCTGGCTGGACGAAGAAGATCAGAACGGAGACAAAACGGAGACATATCTGAGGCGTGGAGGTGGATTGAATATCAAAAGCCCGTTCCGCGGCGCAATAGACCTCCCAAGACAGCGGAAGTCGGGAAATTGAAAGTGTTGGAAACGGGAATTGGCGTTGATCGTTGATGTGAGCATGCTCTGTTCTGTCCTTGTGGCGTGGTGCTGCTGTTACGTTCTCAGTCACAGCGGAGTTGACTAAACGTGGAGTCGGCATCGGCTCAAAGACGCCTCCATCTCTTTCTCTTGTGCTCTAGTCTCGAACGCCATTTTCTTAGGGTGTTTTCGCTGGCGTTTGGAATCCACCAGGGCGCTGTAGACTGGAAGGGTCATCGCAGGCACGCGACGCGGTTCTCTATACAGCAGCGGCTGAGCAAATACATATTTTGGACCACTTCTTCTCCATACACATTGCGCCATAGCGGACCTTCCCCAGCCCTTGCAGTCGATTGTTCGATTTAGGCTGCTGATCCGGTTGCGGAATTAGGACAAAGATTGTGCAATTAGGAAAGTAAGCAGAGCTTTGAAATCCACACTGCCGGGATTCGGAGTTCCGCCATTACGGAATGAGCGAGGCGAATGGATTACTGGACAGGATCAGAAAATCTTCAGGATAAGGGCGCCGACAACCTTGGAATGCAAGTTCGCGAGGAAATGATCATGCGCCCTTCTGCATGGCCGTGGATTTGAGATTCGGTGCAAGACGAACGCCGGTGGAAGGAGGGTGCAGGCTGACTGACTAGGTGAAGAATGCGCAGGAGGAATGGATAGCCGTTGGTTAAGTCCTGATCGTGGCTGAAGTGTCGTGGGACGTAGAGGAGGGCTTAGGAAGCGGGGAAGGATCCTAATCGACGAACGGTCATCATCCTACAGGAGCAATCGTTCGCTTCGCGTTCTATGTGGGCTTGATCTGTACGCATGAGCCGAGCTTAAGTCAGCACCCCTTGGTATATCGAAGCCACTCAGCCCTACTGGACCGGTCGCTCTGTCCAACATCGTGATCGCTCTTGTCGTCGAGCGCCAACCCCTATCCGACCAACTCAGGCTGTAATCGGGCGTAGGACGGGCTTGAGGGATTAGTGCTTCCTCCCTTGAAAACATAATGCTCAATTTTCAGAACGCGTCCTGCATGCGGTATTTGCGCTGTAGGCCTACTTTGGTCCCCCCTGAGCTCGCACTTTTTCGATGAACAGGGCGAGGCTGTACATGGATGACGGGTTGTGCATTGATCCGTATTCGGTACGGGCTCACGAGGGTGTAAACGATCCCTGACGGCATGGCGAACCAATTTCGTTGCCGTAGGGGCGCCGGGTGCGAACGTGCAAAACCTCGGACCCGGATATGACTCAAATCGGATCCGAATACGCCCATGATGGTTTTCCTAAGGCTGCCTAGCCCCTGGCGGAAAGCGGGTGGCCAGGTGGCCGAGTGCGCGGTGGGATGCCGAGCGAATTCGTCCAGCTCGCCAAGAGCGGAGGCGGAGACGCACAAGATACTGTGACCCGGTGGTATTTTTCTCGATTACGATGGACGCGCGCTCTTCGAAGGTCAGAGCTTAGAGTTCGGTGAAGCGTGGCGTGAGGCTCAATCCGTGCTTGGGCGTCGTCTCGTCATGAAGCCGGGCATCCTGATGCAGCCAAATCCGTCGAAAAACGCGAAGCGGGGGTGCTATAGCGGCTTCGCTGCCAGCTGGGCAGCTAGGACAAGGCTGAGCGCGGGTAGGGACGATCTTCGATTGCGCGGCCGTTTGCTGGGACGTATCTTGGCTGGTATGATGCAGCCAGGTGTGGAGGGGGAAAGGCGCTCTCTGATTGGCTCATCTCCGCTGTGCACTTGACCACCAGCTGCCACGGTCATGGAGAATAGGGAGGCCGAGTAAATTACGTAGTCGCAGCATATCGAGGCTTCTTGGGATCTCTTGGAAGGTCGAATTCGCATCGCGAACGAACACGGCGTGCCTGATCACAGTTTCCAAATGTCCTCGTCAGCGATCATAGCATTTGAGTAAACATTCGCGGTGTGGCGCGCCGTGGCTGGTGTGGCGTCCGCTATTCTTACCATGGTCATCGAGTCGGTGAGCACGACGTTCTGGCTTCATCAAGCCCACTTTTGCGCTCTCACAGAACCTTCTTCCAAGGCAGTATTTACTTGTTGACGTGGAGGGCCCGGCATCAACGACCGGGAAACCGCCGTGCATTCGGAGCGATACATAGTCGCCCAAAAGGGCAGAAAATGAGGCGTCACAACAACGTGGATGATCATGGAATCGACGGATAATTTGAACTCTGCTCGGCGACATCGCACAACTTTCGGGGAGCCGCCCTAGCGTTGGACAGATGTGGGCACCGTCAAAACACAAGACGAGATGGTTGCCAGTCGCCGTCCGGTCCATGTTTCGAGCAGATTTTCTGTCCAGCTTCCGAGTATCAGTATGCAGCGATGCCTCCCCGCGTGCTGAAGCAGGGGCTCAGGGACAGGGATAATCCGCGCTCAAGGGGGGGGGGAGGGGTGCTGTTGCGAGCAGAGTCAAGCAGAGTCAAATAGAGTCGAGCGAGAAGTTGATGTTTCTCTGCTTGAGACGCGGCCTCGTTGGGCATTATCGGCAGCACGCTTGTCTACTGCCCAATTAGCGTCCATGGCCGCGATCCGGCGTGTGAATAGCAGCTGCTTAAGCTTCCGTCCCGACTCGAAGGTCGTTGGGTTGTAAGCTTGCTGATGTGGCACTTTATCGATCAAGCGCTGGAGCTCAGTATAGTACAAAGGTAGGACGTCCCGCCCGGCACGGAGTTGTGGTCTGGGTTGGGGTCGACGCTGCGGCTAGGGCTTAGTCAATGGGTAATTGGGCGAATACAGGGATTTCGTTCTAGAACTTGAAACTCTCTTTCACCGCAGCATCGCATTTGTTGTGCCCGCATTGGTTCGTTCGCAAGCCATCCTCCTGCAAGGAAAATCACAATGACCATCGCGTGAAGCTGCCACGATTCGAAAGTGCGCAAACATCGGACTTACAGACCCTCACCAGGACGCTTCGATGTAGAGCAGGGGTTGCTCTAACCAGCGGGGTGCATCAAAGGCCTTTGTTTTTGCTCAGGAGAGGCGAACTACCAACTACCGATAGGTATGGATCATGCTGTGTGTTGTGACTTGGTGCGTGGGGCTGCCTATTCGTCCACAACGCTGACTGGCCCTTTGGCAGTGCTGACGTGACACGCGAAGATTTAAGCTTCTTCCGCATTTGACTTTGCACAGCCAGCGGCGTCGCTCATGCCTCGTTTAACAGGCAAGCTGTTGCGAGCGCAGACGCGCCAGAATACGCGCATTCCAAATACGGTGTATACGCGATCTCGCAACGTTATACCGAACGGGTTCTCTGAGCCACGCTGCCTGACGACGACTTCGTCCTCCTTTCCTCGAGCAGAAAGGGAAAGGGGATTCAGAGTACCTACAGTGCGGTTCAGTAATTAAAACGAATGTTTCAAATGGACGGGTTCGGGCGATGCAGGGCGGCTATGTAGTGGTTCATCTGGCGTTGAGGTCAGGGCAAAGTCGCCGCCTCGGAAGCGAAAAATGTCCGTCCTTCAAAGATCAGATGCGCACGGGACGGCACAGAAACGGAGATTCCGTGGAAAATCCGACCGGCCTTGCAGGAACCTTGGAAACTTGTTGATCGAAGATTTGACCGCTGTAGACAAAGTTTTTTGAGTTCTAGCGGTCACACTACCCGGCCTGCAGGACATTGATAAGCAACATGAGGGGCACGGACGGCGATGACCTACATATCAAAGCCCGCGATACTCGCCATTCGTGAGACGCCACTGGCTGCTCGATGAGTCTTTGAAAGCGCAGGCCCTAAAAACAGTCACCCGTAGCGAGCAGTCAGCGACCCGGAAAGTGCAATTGGAATTGGTGGTGATGGAGCGGAGCGGACGCCCTTTCGCTCTTTTCCCAACCCGTTGTAGGAATGCGCCGACATGTGGCTTGAAAGAAGATCATCCAACCGCAGAAATGGTCTGGACTTGTTGGTGCTGCCTGGGTGATGAGTCGTCGCGCTCGGTCTCTCGGCCATCCATGGACTCCACCCGGGCATCACAAAAGTCCAGGATGCCGCCCTTGAAGGGTGCCGTGAGCCATTTCTCGCCCTTCACGAGAAGGCCTTCCCAGGGGAATGTGGCATGTGGACAGCGGGCAGCGGGCAGCGGACAGTGGACAGCGGAGGGTATTCGCACACTTTGCTTCGGCCGAGGCATGGTGCGCGATAAAGTCTGCGAACGGGTTAGAATAACGTTATTAGTGATGAGTGATTATGACGACGCTGGTTTGGGGAAGGGCCTGCACCGCGTGCCTGATGATTGTCTCTTTGCGTCTCGTTGACGCGACAGCAGCTTCGTCCGAGAAGTCGTTCGGGCGGCTTTGGAGTGGTTCCGATATCCGAGCCATTCGATTCGTGAGGGTGATCTCCCGCCCGCCCAGCATTGCCGTCTTGCAGCATCGCGCTTCCGGTTGCCTTCCTGGCTCTTTGAACGTGGTATGATCGCATTGCCAGCGTCTAGTCTAGTGTCTAGTGCTGTGGTGCACTCGACCAGCATGGCCCGGCCTGCTAGGCAGCTCATTCAGCAGCCATTCCACGGTCCGCACGCTGGCCGACTCTGCGCCGCGCGCTTTGTCACCCTCGTGCCTCTCAGCGACGAGCCGCCGTGCCTTCGTAAGGTTGGCGCAGCGGCGCCAATCCGAGCCCCTGCGCGGCCGCCAACTGATCCAACGCTCCGAGTGCTGATGTGCGGCCGCCGAGCGCGCGGTCCGGGAGGTTTAGCAGCGCGGCAGGGGTGGCGCTGGCTCATTATTACATTTTCGTTACCCGCCCCCCTGCCCCGTCCCCATCGACACCGTTAAGGCCGAACGTCCGTTTCCAGCGGCCCTCTGACGTGAATAGATATAATGCCATGCTGCCCACATGGCCCCGTATTTAGGATCGCAGAATTCCACCCCAGTCTTCTTTATTCCACATCATTCCATGAAACAGCATATCACACCACCGCCTTATCCACCTCCACCACCTTTCCGATTTAGATTGGCCAGACCAGTGCTGTCGTCCCCCGTCTAAGCTTACCTTCTCCTCATGTCCTCACAACGAGCAAGCTCAATGGAGGCCTCGCAAGACAACATAAGGAAGCGGGTGTGCAAAGCCTGCGACCGATGCCGCCTAAAGAAGTCCAAGGCAGGTCTGATGCACGCCGTCTCGGTAGTGCGCTTCTAACCTGGAGCAGTGCGACGGCGCTAGTCCATGCAGTCGATGTAAAGCAGACAACGCCATTTGTGTTTTTGGAGAGAGGAAGAAGTCGCAGGACAAGGTGTATCCTAAGGGGTGAGTGCCCGGTACGCCTCCATGATGGGTAATTGCTGCTGACGGTCATAGCTATGTCGAGATGCTCGAACAGCAACAGTCGCAACTTGTAGCTGGCCTGCGAGAGCTCTACAGCCGATTGCAAAAGGGCGAGAGCTGGCCAGGAGCACCATTGCGCGAGGTAGCGGGCGGGCATCCTCTTACCCACGATATCCTCGAACGGCTCGACCTCCTACACTCCTCGAGCGACGGTAGCAGAAATTACGAAGGCTTTGAAGAGGACTGCAATCGCATGCAGCAGAAGCTACTCGAGAGGGGTGCGCCATATACCCGCAGGAGAGGATCTGTGAGCTCAGACTCCGAGCATGGTCACACCTCGTCTGGGTCATCGTATGGTGGGACACCTACCACAAAGTCTATGCCCTTCGTCGACCCGTTCACACGACACGATGCCCCACCAACACCGCCGATGAACAGTCCATTCCCAAGGCAGTCCCAAATTGTGTCGCCCGTTAAGCAGGAAGCTCCCATGGTGTCGTCGACCTTCATGAACACCGCAGCTCTAGATCCGACCTCGCTCTCTCGATCAAATTGGCAGCCAGAGTCAATGATGCTGGATGAGCCCCTGGATTTCGGGAAGCCGATGTACGCATTCGACTCGTACGGCAACTTCGACCAGAACGCGATGATGCTTGACCCGATCGTAGTAAACGACCCTGTCATGCCCACTTGGAACAGCGCGAATGATCTGGACTTCAGTAGTTTCATACATAATCAAGTGGGTGCTTGATCAAACCGGTTCGCCCGCGTTTTCCTATCCGTCCTTCGTTGGGTTCGTGTCTAGCGTTCAAGCGTTTTGGGCTTAGATCCGCACCCGGTTTCCGGATCTAGTACTAGTCCTCGGCGTTTACGGGCATTTGGGAGGGCGTTGGAGTTAATCATCTACCTTGTTCCGACGACCATATCGTGGTGGTGGAGACGGAGGGTTCACTATGACGTTAGCTCATTCGAGCTCCAACGGGCGACCTCCGAGGGCGCTGTCGGAGAGGCAGGCTTTGTTGGTGGCCAGAGACACCATCCGATAGACTACCGAGGGTCAATGATGGTGGTAGATTGAAGAGAGGGTGAATGTTGTATCATACTATTTCCACTCACCTGGATAGTGACAAATCCAGATCCTTTGATGTTCCACGGCTGAAAATCCATCTAGTGCGCGCGGTTTCCGCTTAGTCATCCATCACCGCGCAGCTCGAACTCGGTACTTTGGCACTTTGACACTTTGACACTTCGACACATCTTGCAGCCATGCGATCGACGCCATTGAATGATAGCAGCTATCATCTTTGCACTTCAACGCCTTGCTGGATTGAAGCTATCAGCCGCGTTCACGTGCTCGTCCCACACGGCGGAACAATTAACCTCGCACCACCGACTTGATTAGGCTAATAAACCAACCGATCTTCGCAGTCACTTACAATTACAAGCCCTCCCCCACGAAGTCATTGACTCACCGCTAACCGCTTACACGTATTTCACAGGATCCTTCGAGCAACGCCAACCCAGTTTGACACAGCCTGTATCCGTCCACTTGACCTCAAAGTGAGTTGGACCCGCGCTCCAAGCACCCCGCATTGCGCATACCGTGCGATGGTTCAATCTTGCTTCGGCGACGTCATTGCACGGCAAAGGACATGGGAATAATGGCACATCATGCATGGATCTGTTGTCACGCTAGCTGACGTCCTCGCTGCAGTTTTGCAGCATTCCCAAGGCTTCGGGCCTGATCAAGCGCCTACAACATGTCCGGGGACAAAGCCTTCACCTTCCTTCCGCTAGGAGCCATCATCCAGGAGTTCAAGGTGAATGGAAAGAATATCGTACAGGGCTTTCCCACCGCGAAGCTGTATAAAAAGTACAACTTCCCGTACTTTGGCGAGACTATCGGTCGGATCGCCAACCGCGTCTCCAAAGCAAAGTTCGATTTGAACGGTAAGACTTATCAATTGCCGGTCAACAATGGACCAAACTCGCTCCACGGAGGAAATCTGGGATGGGGCAAGAGGGAATTCGAAGGGGCGGTCGAGGTTGAGCGCAACGGCAAGCAGGCAACTTTCTTCAAGTACCTGAGCGCCGATGGAGAGGAGGGATATCCTGGTACGGTCGAAGTCCGGGTCTGGTATGTGCAAGAGAAGGTGAAAGAGGATGGTGTCGAGAAGGAAGTGCTCCACATCGAGTACGAAGCAGAACTGGTTGGAGATGAGGTACAAGAGACTGCGGTCAATATGACCAATCACAGGTAAGCATGCGTTGTGGCTAGCAAAGGGGCTCTACTAATACCGACACCATAGCTACTTCATCCTCAGCGATTCTCCTTCGATTTCAGGCACCGAGGTCACCTTGATCACGAACAAGTATCAGGTAGTGGATGACGGAGGCATTCCCACAGGCCCCATCGAAGCTTATCCTGGTGTAACCCCAAACAAGGCTTTCACGCTTGGGGAGAAGGAACCAGACATCGACGACTGCTTCGTCGCTAACCCGGACCCATCGAGCGTTCCAATCGATACGCGATCCTCCGCACTGCAGAAAGTGGCATCATTTTATCACCCAGATTCCAAGATCCATCTAGAGATTTTGTCCACGGAGCCGGCCTTCCAGTTCTACACGGGCAAGTACATCGACGTGCCTGCGGTCGAGAATCTACCAGCGAGGGGAGCTCGGTCAGGTTTCTGCGTCGAGCCCAGCCGTTACGTCAACGCCATCAATGTGCCCGAGTATAAGGCGATGATGATCCTCAAAAAGGGGGAGAAGTACGGCAGCAAGATTGCCTATCGCGGATGGCAAGCGTAGGTAATTTCCCATATCGGTAACTGCTCGTATGTGGGCTACAGCAGCTTTGCAAGCCATCATCCGGCCTTTATCGGCCGAGCTAAAATCAATTTTTCGATTCCCATTCATTGCGGGAAGCCTGCGTAAACCGTTTTGTGTCACCGCGTGCGGCACTATATCCGGACATGCTTCCCCGCCTTGCTTGTTCCCATAGCCAAAAATCGCTCACGTCCAGCAACCATCATCACGCGCCAAAGGTATCCAATAATCATTGCATGCAGCTACTTGCGATGCAGAACACCTGGCCTGAGATCGGAGAACTCGGCACCAGCTCGGTGTTACCGGGTTGCCGATTCCGAGCTCCACTGCCCGCCTGGAGGCCGTTTTCCGTTTCCGGTCGCGTTTAGTTCCAAAAATTTCTCCATGTGTTCTCATTTGCTCCTAGGCTCCGCTACCGCGGCTCTAGACATGTTCTAGGCGCTCGCGAATGCGGGAGCCGTTCCCTCTCGATATGATCGACACGTCATGATGCTTTGCGCTTCTGCAAACACACGTCTTCGTCCACACTTCGTCCCATTCGAGTCACCGCAAAGCAGGATCCGTATCCTTCGAGATCGACATCACCAGTGAGGAGCTATACTAGGCGCGGAGGATCAAGAACGAGGCTGGATTGAGGCATTTCTCGGCATCTATCCCCTAAAGCAATCCGCGCGTCCTCTTTTGCGATGTTTTCGAATATCCGATTACTCTGAAGCTTGTGGTGTTCTACTATTCGAAGAGTCATGGGAATAGAGGGACCCTGTCGCCGGAGATAGTGGGCTCGATTGACGTGCGCTTGCAGAATTCTGGACTGATCGAATTTGACGACCAGCGAAGCCTACAAAATAAGCCAGTTGCGACCCAACAGACTTTCTAGCTGCAGCCATACGCGATAACCCACACAGGAGGGCCCAATCGTGTACCTAAATAGCACCCTTCAACGTCGTCAGATCTTCGCCGTCGAGTGCCCGCTTTCGCGCCAACCAGTGTTCGTGGAGACTGCGCCGCTGCGCGCCGTTCCCTGGCCGTTCCATGCTCTTAGAACCATGTTTCTTGGACGTGGTCGGTGTGCCTTCGGCAACGTGTAATAATTATTGTTGTGCCTCGTCACGATGCTAGACTATAGTCGGCTATTGCCCACCTGTTTGGCGTGTCGATGTCCAGATGATCAGGAGAGCAGGTCATCACCGCCCGATATCATCGGTGGATCGAGAGGCGTAGGCATCGCTGACTGGAAATGGATAGTTTGGAATGTCGAATCTTGTGCGGCAATGCAAACCTAGACTGGGCCAGCTCTATTCACCAAATTCTAACCCAAGTTGCATGGATGGCGAGGTCGAAACTGTACCGTGTAGTCTAAGGGGACAGTCAACTGCTCGTCTATGTTGCCATCATCACTGCACTTCTCCTCCCCTACCGAATCATCATTCCTTGAGATGACTACGAGATGTGTGGTTACGGATCCCAAGGTCGAACTCCTATCTCGACGTCGAAAAGGGAGCAAAGCGTAAGATATCGACACGTCAGGGATCACTCGGGGATACGAAGCCGTGGAGATGTGTAAACCCATTGGGGAGCTGAGCTTTCGTCGGACTTCGTGTCGGACAGTCGTCTTTCACATACCGCGCTGCCGGCTACATACTGCCAGCGGAAGTATCCGAGTGAGCTTCTCTGCACGAGATAGGACGGAGAGGACAGAGAAGCATTAGCTAGGCTACCTAGCGAAGTACTACTTACGAGCTCTCAGCCATCGCTGAACGAAAGCGCATTCCGCGCACTGTTGCTAACGCTCCCCGCCACACTCTTTGCAAGTACCATAGGAATGGATAGCTGACCCAGGTGTCGGTACATGCCAAGACGATTCCCGAAGCCGTAAGTATGTCAGCATACATGCTGGGATATAGCAATGAATAATCCGCCGACTTGCATCTTGCATACCGGGAATATGCTTACAATATCGCCTAAACGCTCAGTGATTCCTGAATCAGGTGATACGACAAAGTGTCCACGGGTGGCCCACGATTTACGACGTCATGGTGGTGATCTGTAAGGCTGCTTCTTCGTTGACATAGTCGTTCCTGCAGCGCACGTTCCACGAAGGTTCTCTTAGTGAGCATATCACGGCGTTTTCTCTCCACGCTCCTACTATTTATCATTTGTCAAAATACCTATAGTCGTATTTTTCAAGTCGCCTCTTCGATGCGTCGCGCAGTGGCAGAAACCAGATAACTAGCACGCTGGATCCGCACCGTCGTGCCTCTGCGGCAAGCCTAAACAGCTCGCTCATCAACTGTAAAGTTCCTCATCGCAGGGGCCCCATAAACTGCACGCCGCGCGCCGGATCAGTCGCCGAGTACTTCCCAGGTGGTTCTCGAGCTTAATCAGTGGATTTACCTATCGCCAGCGTATGAGTTGAGGAAATACCTGCTCAACACCAGCGGACAGATCAGGCTAGTGTCTTTTTCCTTTTCCGCCAACTTTTCTTCCTATTCGGTACGCTTTCCGAAATACTTCGGGGCACGCTATGCTGTCGCTCAGCGCAGTGGTCTCTGATCCATCCTGCCTCGTACGAGCGAAGAAAGCTACATATTCGAACGTGCTGCGATGCAAGCGGGTCCCCACAACGTCATAGCACCCAAGTAGCATTGCAGCATGCCATAGCCTCGACCGCTTCAAACATTAATAGCGAATGCGGCGGCGCGAGGATGGTTCGAGGAGCCTGCACCATGCATCCTGATCAGGAAGCAAAACCCAAAAGAGCAACCAGACGGTCTGAATGAAGAAAAGCGCCGTTAACGATGATGTCCCCATGGATCCCTTTGTCGGCCTGCGGTCCGATTCGCCCTGAGTTATATCCTACTCTCCAATCCAATAATTAATAATTAATGTGTGTGCGTGATGACGTGTATGACTCCAGCCTGTGCCCCTCACTTTCTTGGCGTCCAACTCAGGCATTAATCATCATTCGGAGAGATATGATTTTTTGCAATATAAACTGACTAGTGAAATTTTTTTGGATAATGAAGCTCAAAACGACACGATGGCCGAGCGGTCTAAGGCGGTAGATTTAAGTTAATCTAAGTTAAATCTCTACTGGGGAAACCCGCGTGAGTTCGAACCTCACTCGTGTCAGTATTTCTTTTTGAAGTGTCTGGGAATGTGTGGACGAGGTTGGTTTTTTGGGGGTGGGGACGGTGTCGGTGAGATGAATGGGTGAGGTAAAACACTAACAGCAACAGCAACAGCTACGTGTAAACACAATGTCTAGGAAACCTCGCGAACTTTCTTTTTTTATCTGATTCTGCGAAGTTCCACGCAGGCAATACAGGTCATGACTCCTTCAGCCCCTTGTTTCACCCTGTATGCGTAGGGCGGGCTTCGTCCCCCGCGACGTACTCATGCCCGTGGTTTAGGGGCTGGTCGACTTCCTCAAGAGTAGAGAATTCCTCCACATCACGCCCCGGTGTCTCTTCCTCCTCCTCATCCCCGTCTTGCGCCTCGCTCTTCAATACACCCCCTTTCCGCTTAGGAATGACCCCCATAAACGCCTTGCCCCAGTCACCAAACTCTAACCACTTGAGCATGATCTCCAGAACATGGTTCGTAACTAACACCTGCCGGCTCTTCATCTGCAAGAACTCGCCAATGGGTAGTTTCGCCGTCTTGACACCCCGGTTCATGGCTCGTTTGTAGCAGAGGCCTTTGTGGCGGTTCTTGTCGACGAGACCGCCGATGATGTACGTGCTGTTGGGTTTGAGCCGCTCGAGAGTGACGTCGCTTTCGGCCGATAGATAGACGACTTCGCCCTCCTCTTCTGCGTTTTGGTGGTCGGTCTCTTGCTCTCCATTCACGTCCTCTCCTGTTTTGAGAGCACCAGCAACAATTCCACCCTTCATCCACTCCTTCGCCTGGTCAGCCGCATGCACAAAATCCTCCTCGAAGAACCTAAACCCTTTCCAAGATGTATACTGCTTCGCCAAAATCCCATCAAATCGCTCCTTCAGCTTTCCTCCAAAGGATGACACGGCAAGATGGCATCGAAACGGCGCTTTGCGGTTATCAGAATAGCACCTCGTGATTTGCAGTCCCAGGCTCTTTAGTTCATTATCGAACATCAGGTCCTCAAAGTCGCAGTCGAAGATGACACTAATTGGCACTTGGGTCCCTGGAGGTTCTCCTCGTCGTGGAGCCTTTGTTTGGAGAGTTTGAGGCTCCTCGCCGTTGGCTCGACTCTCTTGCCATGCTTCGCGTTTTCGCTCTTTCTTCGCTTTCGTTTTCTCTTTGCGTTTGATTTTACGGTCCTCGCGGCCAGCTTCCCAGCGCTCGAGGCGCTTTTGCTTTTTCAATTGGTTCTTTGACAGCTTTGGTGCAGCGTCCTCGCCGTCCGCTGCTTGATCTGGAGTTTCGGTGTTTTCCGCACTTTCCAGCCCGTCCAGTAGGCCAGCATCCGCAATGTCAGCATGCTCATCCTCCACAGAATGCTCCAACTTGCGCATCTTCGCAGGCCGCTCTTCCGACTCCATGTTAAGTGTGTTGTGCGGGAGCAGAAGCACGACCGGATACCCACTCACCTTCCAGAAAATAACGCTCTTACATAACCGCCAAGCCCGACCCCAGCTGTCCGAGCGTCGCCAGCAGCTCCGACCGCACGCTTCCGCATCACCACCCCGACGAACGAATTGATCCTCCTCCCCACGCCCTCAAGATGCCGCAGGATATGCCGCCTACGGGCGGCTACGGCCCCGTCCAGTACAAGCGAAACCTCCCTGCTCGCGGCTTCCGGCCCGCTGTTTACATCCTCGGCACCGCCGCGCTCATGACATATGGCTTTTGGAGAGTTGGGCAGGGCATCAGGGAGCACAAGTGCGTATCTCACTCGCTTGGGGCGGCATGCCGGGATCTTGGCGAGATTGCGGTGTGGAGGAAGTGCGCTGACGAGGAAACAGCGAACTCGCTCGCGAGAAGATGTGGGCGCGGATATACCTCATTCCCGCACTACAAGCCGAAGAAGACCGCGACCAGGTGCGACGATATTTGGCGGATAAGGCGAGGGAGAAGGAGCTGCTGGGCACAGAGACAAAGGTTTACCACAGCGACAGGTATGAAGGGCCTTCGAGCAGACGCCGCCCGGGCTAATTCACGATTCTAGGTTCGTGCGGCCGACGTTCGCGGTCACGCCGGAGAACACGACGAAGTAGGCAAAATGGTGAGATTCGGGAAGGATGGAGGTGCAGTTGTATATATAAAGGGCGGGCCGTGTATATGGCCGGAGAGACCCCGCGCAGCTGTATTGCATACGAGGAGACCTCCCTCGCTTTTGCCAGCTGGAATTCCTTGAAACTATCACGACCGCCTTCCGTTCCCCGGTTCTGTGCTCATGTTGAATCTTCTCTGCTTCTTTTGGTGGGGAATGAGACTAATTCGCTCCAGAGAGTGTGTCACTAAACGAAATCCCTTACCATCTGCGTGACTCTTACCTCCCTACGCACGGGCCTAGTAATCCACAGCGCCTCACGGGCTATGGTGGACCGAATCACTTTCACTTTGACGAAAAGCAAGTACGAAAGGAAGCTTTTTCTCTCTTCATCGGCTTCCTATTGCGCCCTGGCACCAAATCAACCCACTTTCATCGGGCCCAGGTCAACTCATGTCATTCCTCAGCAGCATATTATCCAACGCCACAGCTGAAGCAAAACACGAGGCGAGTTTTGCGTCCTGCACTCATAAAGCTCGTGCTGGCAACATCCAAAACCCTGCGCCACCCTCATCCCTCGAAGCATCCTACATCATGGTGCCTCGCCCACCCACCGAAACAGAGCTCGATGCCGAATACGACATGATCTCTCCCGCAGAAGCCGACGAATACTGTGATGCGCGTCGCCTACGTCAAGAAACCGGCGAGGATCGCATCCACAATGAGTGGCTCGGCCGTTACCTCGTCCGCAAGAAAGACCGCATTGTCGTCGAATTGGGGCCGCACACGATCTACAAGGAGTTCCGCATTGAAACCATTCCACCAACGTCTAAACTGCTAGTTGCGTTAGGCAAGCGACCTCCGTTCCACAGACATGTATGGATTCCCGAGATCGACGAGCAGATGTTTCGGAGCTATTCGTTCTTGCAGGATGCCGATGCCATGGCAGTCACGGGGTCCTGGATCGATGCGTTTAAGTTGTGGGTCACGGCTAAGTTGCTTGAGGATGAGGCTGTGGAGAAACAAGCACTTTCTTCGATCTGGAGGAAAGCGCAGCTCGGACAATACAAGCTTGACCGGATGTTCAGCCCGGAGGAGGTTGACTGGGTGTTTGGGCATACCGGGAAGGGAACTGCGCTGAGGAAGACTGTGGTCGGGATAACAGTGCGCAGTGAGGGGTTGGTGAGTAGATTGAAGGGACCTGCGGAGTTTGTTAAAGAGGTTGAGGGATATTTGCAGGTGTTGGGAGGGCATGAAGTGGTGGATATGCGGAAGGGAGTGGAGGATGTGTGGCCGGGTATGAGCTTGGACGAGCATGACCTCCCGAAAATATGGCAGCTTAGTCCTTTCGAAGGGGCAATTCCAGCTCCAGCTCCGAAACTCCCGCGATCCTCTCCATCGAAGCAGGGTTTGGCCACTCCAAAATCTCCATCCCTTCCGCAACAGGCCTGTCCCGTCCCCACGAGAGCAACGTCAACCCTAAAACCAGCGGTCCCTCCATCAATACCGTTACCCCGACATACCCCACTATCATCGTCTTCCCTCCAGCAATCTACAACCCCGAAATCCTCCTCCAACCCCTCAAATCTAGCTCCACCCACATCTCGCATACCCATGGCAACCCATCAAGTCGTCCCTCGCATTCAATCTCGGGTAGCAGTCCAACATCTCGAAAACATCTCACGAGATATCCCTTCGATGTTAGTATCGAAGCCACCGTTACCCAGCCCACGCCAGTCGCGATTTGTAGCAACCAGATCACCAATCCCCGGAGTAAACCAAGGTAAATCAAGGCAGCCGTTGAAATATGCGAACAGCGTTCTATGCGGGAAATTCAATAGCCAGCCAGGGAAGGGAGCGCTGCCTTCGGTAGACATCAAGGAGCAACCGGTGAGACAACCAATTAATCCGCCGAATGTAGAGTTATTGGTCAAGAATATGGGGGTGAATTTTGCCGCGAGGCGGAGGGACGAGTGGTGTGAGCAGGGGAAACGGCATTCAGGTGGGCTTAGCGGTGGATACAGGGCAAGTTAAAGATTTGGTGCCCATACAGAGCATCTGTGTACAGGCATGGGCGATATTAGGTTTGGTCGCTGCGCGCGCTGTTGTCCCTAGGACTCGGGACCTACCTATGCACGTAGAGCTACTTGGTCACGTGTTCCCACCTTCGCTCACTAATACAACCCTTCTCTGTCTCCCGAACTAGCAAGCCCCAACTATATAACATCACATTTCCACTCTTCCAGATCTCTTTCAACTAATAAAAATCTGGGCTAAGCGTACCTTGGGAAATATGGGGAACCAGAGCGGTTTTGGTTTTCCGGCCCATGCGGGAAGGCTTTTCCCCAGATTGGGTAGCCATCATGAGACCGATTGGTAGATAACAGGCTAGCGGTAACCATGCAAGTCTATTAGAACATTCATTCTGCTTTATTTGGTATATGTTCTTAGTGCCGTGCTTTTTCTCTTCTCTGATTATCTACTTTCTGCCTGTGAACGAAATGACAGATAAGAAGGTTGCACTGATTACAGGAGGCGGTATGTATACTTTACAAGCTTAAATCATAGAATGCTAGCGCGACTCTGCGCCCTGATCCTCGGTTGTGGTGCCGGTGAAGGCATTTTGTCGGTCCACGATATCACATCCAACCACAACTTGCAAACGATGACCCCAATCCACGCCAATTCCATACATACAGCCGACTAACACCCAGTCCAGCATCCGGGATGGGCCTCGCCGTCGCAACTTCCCTCTCCACCCGCCCCGACTGGTCGGTCCAGATCCTCGATCTCCACGCCGAGCGCGGCCACCAAGCCGCCTCTAGCCTGAACGCCACGTTCCACCAATCCAACGTCACAAACGACACCTCTCTGGCCGCTATCTTCAAAACCGTTTACGCCAAGCACAACAGACTAGACTTCGTCTTTGCAAACGCCGGGATCGCTGAGCACGCTAATTTCTTCGAGCCGCAGGAAGTGGACGACGACCCTGTACTGCCCGTGAAGGGATTACATGCTATTGTGGATATCAATTTGAAAAGCGTGATCACCACGAGCTACCTCGCGCTGCACTATATGCGCAAATCCCCAGGGAAGGACAAGAGTTTGGTGATGACAGCATCCTGTGGTGGTCTTTACCCAAGTTACTACAGCCCCATCTACACTGCGACCAAACACGCCGTTGTCGGGTTCACTCGCAGCGTCGCGCCTTACTACCACACCAATGCCGGGATTCGCGTCAACGCCATATGCCCAGGGACCGTGAAAACGAATCTGCTCAGCTCGAAAGAGTGGGAGAATTTCCCGGAGGAGTATTTCACGCCCGTGGAGAAGATCGCGGAGGTGGTATGTATGCTGGTTGATGGGGAGGATGATGGAACGGGGAAGGTTGGGGAGGAGGTGAAGGGTGGAATGGAGAGTATCACCAAGGGCGCGTTGAATGGCCGCGCTGTTGAAGTAAGCGGGAGAAATCATTATTATAGGGAGATGGTGGGGTACTGTGACGAGGGCATGAGAGCGGTTATGGGGGCGACGAATATAGAGGTGTTGGAGAATGCAGAGGACGTTTGAGGATGATGGGGACGAGAGGCAGTCCACGGTTGTGACATGATAGACTAGAATGAAAATGGGAAGGTAGAGAGTTGATGAGGCGCATAAACAGGGTGGGCCTGGTATATGTGAGAGGAAAAGAACAGAAAGTACCAAATTTTTTTTTGACGTCCCACCAGAGGTTTGGTTTGACAAACCAGGGTTCCTCAAACGTCGAATTTCTAAACGGGTGCACTAAAGTGCAATGCGCGATCAGTGACCGTTGGCTTGTGCAGGTTAAACACGCAATGATGTGGATTCCGAACCCCAGATACTTTCCCCTTGTAGCAACAAGAAGCCCCCAGGCTAGAGAGTCAAACCGTTGGAAATAATATCCTACTCCTTCGAGAGGGGATTGGGGTGCACCTTCTCGGTGGGATTCGAAACACTTTTCAACATCGAGCTGGCAACGGCGTTAGGTTGGGTGGTTTGACCATGCGGGGCCCTACGGGGGCGACATAGAGTAATCAGGAGGCTCAAAGTGGAGTACGCGCCTTAATCTGCTTGGCTGCAGCAAGTTGCGGAGCAGGCGACGTCCCGCAATAGATGATGGCGATAACCTGGAGTTCGTCCTGCTCGTGCTTTCGGCCGATCCGAAACTCCGCGCGTCCGACTAGCAGGATTCGATCCTGATCCTTCGCATGCTCGCGAGAAGCGCATGCGAGACACGCACGTCGTGTGGCACGTTGACTGCCGTCGTACTTCGATGTCCACCAGTTACGCCCGCTCTATTTACGGTTGTCTACCGGTACACCTGTCAGCGTCGTTCACCCAGCTATACCCAGAATATCTTCCGTCTCGACCGCTCTTCTTGAGATGACTGACGAGTGTCGCTAAATATCCAAAGAAACTAAAAGCAGGCTCCAGATGGAAGTAATATATGTGAGGTTGCGGCCAGTGGTTGCGGCACAGCTGTCTTCTGACCGCGGAGCTGAAACGAGAGCTGAGAGCAGTTATCCACTTGTCTCGATGCCGTTGGCGACGGTGCATGGTTGTGGGGTTCGGTTGACGTAAGCAGGCATTGCCGCCCTCCACGAGCTTAGGGCTGAGATGATGAGTCTAAACGACCCGATTCGCGGCAAGTGCAGGGGTGGCATTTTAAGCTTTTAGTCACCTCGTTCCTTCCTGCTCTTTGCAAGTGTCGTACACTGGATGACTGTACCACATGTTCAAACGTCAAGTGCTGAGGTAATAGACCTTGGGCGCCGCAGTGGAACACCATCTCGGGCGACACCACGTGCGGCGGGGCGTAAAGGCGTAAAGGCGTATACCGGACGTTTGTAGCGTGTCTCATACGGTCTGAGCTGGACCGTCGGACCGAGGGATTGCATTTGTGGCTGGTGATGCCGAAGGATTGCTCGCCACAGACGTTGTCCTGAAGGATGAATAGACGTGCATAACCGGGCACGGTTACTCAGCCGCAATGCGGCAGGGCTGCGGCGTGGCGGGGGTCGCTTGTAGGAGGAATGTTTTCTCGGAGTCTGTGAGCGGCCGCTGAGTGGGCCGGAATCCGCTGTGTTTGAGACTGGTGGTATCGCACGAGTGAAAGCGCGCGGCGAAGACGAATGGAAGCGGCCCCCGTTTCGCAGCACCGCAGGAGCTCTTTCGCAAGCAAGGCGATGCAGAGGCCATGTGAAACTCGGGCTCTGACTCGCGCCCGCTCGCTGGCCCGCTGTTTCAAGGACTGGGAATCTGCCTTGCGCTGCCGTCTTTCGACAACCGGGACCGCGTACTCGTGCTCTGGCAGAGGCGTCGTCTGGGCGTGGAAGGGCGAAGAGGACGGTGGAGTGACGTCGAAAGAACGCTGGCGGGCCGGAAAAACTCCGCCGGCGTGACTTCTGGTTGAGGAAGCGGCGACCTCGGGACAGGAGACCAAAATACAGTCTCGCGAGGTCGGCGACGATGGCTTCGCCCGCCTCTCTTCCTCTCCCTCCTCCTCTTTTCCTCCTCTTTCTCGCCCACGCCGCTGGGTAGCACGCTCTCGGTGCCCGGCCGACGAACATGAGCAGGCGTTGCACGAGAGACACCCGAAGTCGACTCTGAACGCCTCCCCCGCCTAGAGATGTCGAATGCCGAAGACGAGCCTTGACGGACGGTGGAGCAGAGCGGAAACAGAGGACGGCTGGAGACTGCGACAAAGCTGCAACGTCATGAGAGGGAGACCGGTCAAACGTGCTTTCGCGTGTCGCTTCGAAGCCGTGAAGCAGACGAGCGACTGCCGCACTGGGTTGGAATGCAGCTTTGGGGAGCCCGGGCTGACCCAAACGCACTGCATGCTCGAATCGGACGCGGAGGCGCGCTCGAGGAGAAGGGGGTTTGTTGGTAGGCGGCCTGGGGCTCATGCCGACCCGCTGTTGGCCAAGTTTCTGCTGAGGTAGTCTCCATGCCGCGAGCCTCGACAACGCTCCCCGACTGCTGCCCGGCCTGCCAGCGCGCAAGAGACGTCCAACGGCTTCGAGCACCTGACTAGAGGAGCCAGGAGCACAGGAGCACAGGAGCAGGGGCGCACGGAGCAAGCAGCAGGGAGCACAGCAGGGCGTCGGGTTCGCTTGTCGGACCATTCATTACTAATAATACATGCGTCGGCAAATCTTGGCCCGATTTGGCCCCCCCGCGTGCCCGCCCACTCCCTCGACGAACACCGTCCGGCTACACGCTCCCGGAGCTACATATGTGCGCCTTCGACCGGCGTCAGACTAGCACGTCCCAAGAGTAAGCCAGCCCGCACACCGACACTACGTACTGTACCCTCCATGCCCTGCTGCGATCGACGAGCCCATCACGGCCCACGCCTTGCAGTGGCTCTCTGGGGAACCGCTTTTTGCCTCCCTGCGCGACCGCCTCTGATGCCGTCTTACACCAAGCGCCGTCGGCGTCGCCAGAAGCTGCCCATGAGCAACGCGCCACATGCAGCTCCGGGGAAGCGTCGACCGTCTGCGTGACCTTCTGGAAAGCTTCCATCACTGATGCGCCCTTGTCCGGTCGCGGAGGCACAGCACGAGGTGCCGCAAGCCCGCCGCGACCTCGTGGATTTCCGTTTGATTGCATGGCCCTTGGGAACCCGCCCTAGCCCGGCCCCGTCAGAGGGCAGGGCTGGAGCCAGAGCTTGGTCTCTCCCGCCATGGCGGTTCCTGTACCCATCATGGTGCAGGGTTCAACTAGTTCGACCAAGGCTCACTCAAGCGCCCACCGCATTTGTGAACACTTATGCACTCGCGCTCAAGTGGGAGCCAGCAGCCATGATGCGGTATCCAAACAGGAACCCAAACGACGACCAGCATGAACCAGCCCTGCCCGCTTTCAAGCTTCCTCTAGTCTGCTGCTATTATTTATCGAGCTAGCTCCCTGAGTGAGATGCTTCTTACTTCACTTCTGAGAAGACCATAAGCTCTTCTTCAGCCTGCGCCCCGGATCTACAAAGTCTGCGCTCCTCCACGGGTCCACTCGCCTGGACTTCTACCTCAGTTTCTAACTTGGTACCCTTCAGGCCCAACCCCACGGGCCAATCACCCTGCATCAGGGACTGCGAGACATCACGACTCCGCCACGGTCCGCCACACTGGTTTCCACGAGCCCACGGGCCTCAGCCTTATTCTTCTGCGGAAACACAATCCTAGACGTCGCGGGACTAAACTTATACACCCCGGACTTACAGCCTACTTTGCCCTAACCATCTACGGTCTGGTCTACGACTGTTGTCATCTCACTTGAGCCTCCCGCTGGCGCGCTTTGACCCCTCATCGCACGATATACGACCACCTCCCCCCCGCGAGCCGTGAGCGATCCTCTGATCTGATATAACACCGCTCCTCCAAAGTCCCAATCCTGATTACGATTTTTACATACCCCTCTTTGACTGCTTCGCACTTGAACCTCCCACCATGACAAACTTCTTCTCTCCCGAGCCAGAAGTGGCCCTCATGGGACCGGACGACACCATGGGCCATTTGTTTCCTTCGAGTTCATGCCAGTCGCCTCCTAGCATCATGTATTCGCCACCGCTACACCAAATGACACACCGACCACCAACGACGCAATTTGGAACTGGCCAGATTTACCCGCCAGCGCACGACTACAGACCGGTGGTGAGCTCGCCATACCCGCCGCATTCGTTCTGGACATCGCAGCCCTCGCCGATGCCTCCGACTCATGTAACCTACTCTACCTACCCGCCCCTCTCTGCGATGAGCTCTGCACAAGTCCTGGCGCCTGATCCGGCGTTGCTTGCTCATTCCATCGGCGGGACTCGACCCTCGAGGTCGCACTCAGCCTCCTCGTCTTTGGGCATTCCCTCTAGTGGCGCTGCTGATCGATCGCCGCCTTCGTTGTCGCGATCCTTATCACCAAGCTCTCCAGATCTCCGGGCTTATGGGTTTCCCAATAAGAATGGCACCTGGAGTTGCGCTTATCCCGGTTGCACGTCAAGGGCAGTCTTTACACGGGGTTGCGACCTTAGGAAACACCACAAGCGGCACACAAAGTCTTTCTTTTGCCGTCATGAAGGGTGTCCACAGGCAACTGGTGGAGGCTTCTCTAGTAAGAAGGATCTCGCGAGGCATGAAGCAAAGCACAACCCGGGCGTTCTGTGCGACTGGGAAGGTTGCGACAGAGTGTTTAGCCGAGTAGACAACATGGTAAAGATCCTGCATTTGCCCCAGCGAGAAAGGTGACATAAGGCTAATGCAACACGCAGCGAGACCACGTAAAGAGAATACACCTGAAAGCATCACGGAACGGGTCGGCTTCGAAGTCGGCATCCTCGTCGTAACGTAGCTCGAGTATTCGTTTCGAGCGCGCAAGTGCCGGTCGAAATGGCTGGGGGTATGCGCTCCCGGCGTACGACGAGGCCCGACGGCATCGAACCGACCACATCACTCTATTGTCGGACCTCTTCGGCGGCCGAGGCAATTCGGCCTACGACATCTGGGAAAACAGAGATCACTCGGTGTACAGATAGCTTCGCCAAACCATTTCCTCTTCAGCCGTCGTTTACGATACCCAACTCTCGCGTTTTGTAGACTTTCGCTTCAAAGATCCCCGCAGCAGTGGGCGCTGACGTTACGCTGGTTTTCGATTTTGCATCGCCATGGCGTTTAGCTCGTTGGAAGCTTGATTATTAGAAGGCGCTGTTTGCCTTCGGGCTACAGCACTAGCAGTACAAAGTCAAAGACATTAGGACAAGTGCTTCGTCCGCCTGCATGGCTTGCACGAATCCATTAGAAGCATTTTTAGCTAAGAATTATCTGCCTGCATAGCTTTCTTTTTCGTTTACGCCTCTCCTCCCCGCTTTCAGCTTCATTTGAGACCGCGACCCCCTACTACAGAACATCACTGACAAACGACTCTACATTGCGCAAAACAATCACTCTCAGATTTCTGTCTTTCCTTTTCGGAGTTGGCGAGCTAGAACGGCATGTCATGTCCTTGGTGGGCAACCGCTTCGCTCTGAAACGTCCGCAGCTAGTGGGTGGCCTTATTTTCTCGACAAGGCTGACTTGACAGGCCCTGACAAATTGGCACAGGATCGGAACCCGCGCGAGAGGCGAATGACACCCTGACACCCCACAGATACACCGGCTTAGGAGCTGAGCATCAAGCGCTTCACAAAGTCCCTGCCATGTGGACTGATGTCACCCTAGTTCGCTGTGTGGCATCCCTAGATTTTGGGCTTGTTGGGCATAGGGCGGTGCCAGGCTAATTGTTGGTGGCTATGGCTTTCGAGCTCGCCCCTCAACCTCGCCAACAGGGGTTAGTTTAAGCATATTGCACAGTCAGACCGCGTGGTGGAGGATCGATAGAGACCATGGCGGCTGATCAGAGGTTCAATCAACCCGCATTCTGGTGAGTAAGTGGCCGGAACTTTCACGGCTACCGCTCCAATCCGCAAAACGAAGCATGGTGAGCTTGCGTTCATCTTTTCGAAACCTGACCGTGGCTGCAAAGCAGGGCAGACGACCGCACCTACATAACAGAGACCCTGGATACGACGCTGCACGGGATCATGCGCGTGGACGTCACCGGCGGTAACTCGTCCAACGGCCGGCCAAAAGGGACCAGCTAGAGTTTCGTCTTCATCTTCCCGTGCAGGCGCTAAAGCATCCCATCAGACGACAGCGCCCTACACTTCCCGCTGGTACATATGACTGGGCCCACGAAGAACGCCCTCATCAATGTTCCCTCATTCGGACCCCAAGACGTCTCACGATGCGCAAACATTCGGTTAGCCGGTATGCGGTAAGGACCGGTTGGGAATACGTGCCGGGTCTCTAAAGAAATTGCACTCAGCCTGACTCTCCAGCATCTCCTGGCTTTGGAGAGGGCAATTGCGAGAGCAATTGCGAGGGCGATTGATCCAACGCGGTTACTGAGATCACAATCATCGAATGCGTCCACGCTTCCTCTAATCTAACGTCCAGTGCCTTTCACGCCCGTTTTCAGGCCGCTCACCATCTATTCATAGATTTAAGCATACCGGTACCTCCCTCCCAGCGGAATCCTACCATGGGCACCACCATTCGGCACTCTTCCACCGATGACGGGAGAGGCCCAACACCACGGTGCAGCGGCCGCACCCGTCATCGGACTATCTAGACGTATGCATGAAGGCAGCGACTTGGCCCGCGTGGCTCCAATCCTTCAGTGCAACAGCAGTCCGCCGTTTGTAAAACGAGCAGTCCAATCAGCAGTGAAGCGTTTAAGCAGGGGCGCAACTTCCCCCCAAGCGTCTGGCCGAGTCGTTCAATCGTTCAGTCCAACAGCACGGAACTGGGAGCTGGTCGTGTTGCGAAGTTTCAGAGAATATGGGCGTTGCGCTCAGCTCCCCCTGTTGGAACTTGGGGCGAGCAGCTAGTCCACCATTCGTCTGGTAACCGAGCGTACACCAAACCGCTTATGATTAGGCTGCATTAGCGCATGTCGCTAGGCTCGCCCTGTGGTCAAATCGTCATCTGGTTTTTAAGAGTCCCTTCGAATCGAACAAACCCATCTTGCATCTCTTCACCATCCACGCGAGCGCGCAACCGGCCCCTATAGCCGCAACCCCAACAGCCCAACAATGCCCCCGTCTCTGAAAGCATCGAGCTTGCTGCCTACTCCATTCGTCAGCGCCGGTCGTTGCTCGAGGATGGGATTGGGACAAAAGTCTCTGGTTTCCGCAAGGCGCAGCTGTCACCCCGAGCTTTGACGGCGGAGTTTAGCACAAGGCCAAATAGCGACCATCCGAAGTACAGCAAATCGCGACATCCCTATAATTACCTACACCAGACGTAGCACGCTCCATGATGGAGGTGGCTATGTAGATGGTCGAGTTTCAGATGCTTGCACTACCGTTAAACATTCCACTTCGCTGGCCGATGACGCAAGCAGCGGTCGCGGACGGCAAGCTGCCACCCTTACTGTACTTCGGCCACATGCCACGATCATGGAGATACGCGACTACCGACTCGCCGAGGTTCATCCTTGAAGGTTAAGGCTTGCAAGCTCTGAGACTCTCCATTACTGTAAACCTCGGGATGACTCCAACACCATGAGGTTTCTCTCCTGGACAGCGCCACGCTGCGCGACAAAGGAGATTTCGATTGCTGCTTCCGGCCGGAGTATGCTATCCTAGGGATCATCTTCGACATGTCCTCGCTCGCTCGCTCGCATGCCTGCATTCTATACTGCAGGGTTGATCTGATGCCCCAAGTCTGCACCAGCTTCGACCTACATGGCGTATTGCGTCATCTCAGATGGTACAACACGAGACAGGTAAATACACAAACCGGATTTGAGACCTACTGACCCGCAATCCGCTCTTTTGCATACTGCGAGCTACGATCACTATACACACAGCACACCCCTCACAACGCTTCTCTCGCTGCATCCTACCGCAAACGGCAGCCAAGCCACGTATTGCTAAACGCCAACAACGGGATGCGAAGTTACATTCCGGCAGCCTCGCGCGGTTGGAACTTGCCCACTTGGTGGCTTGCAACATTAGCCGAGAGTGACCCTGACGCACGAGCACTTGTCGACACAGTACCACCACAGGATCAGATAACACTGATGCTCTGTGCCACGTGTTTTTGAACGCTGCGGCCTCAGGCACCAACTACTTCTCTGCTTTCGATGATGTGCGAAGCCGAGGGGGTAAGTTGGCCAATAAGGAGACGAGATGTTATCGCGCGATCAAGCGATACCGATCTCGGCCTCGTCGTCCGACCTCATCAATGGGACGCGTAACACAGCGCCCGAAAGAGGACATCGTGAAGAACTAACGAGAAAATCATGAAATCGGCTCCAGTTTGCTTCGCAAGCTCGCTGTCTCCCTCGTGGTCTTGCTCTCCTCCCTCTACTTCGCCAGTGCCTGGGCGAAGAGAGTAAATGCCCGCCAGCCAGCCAGTTTCAGCGTCAGCTCGCAATCGCATGCGATCGAAATAGATTCAATATGCATCTCAGCGCTCTCATTTCTGCTCTTTCTTTTGTTGTCTGTCTTCCTCCAGCGCTCGCGAAGTCCGAAGATCCAACAGTCCAGAATGCGAATCACATCTTCAACGCAATCCACTCTTCCATGCGCCAATGGGGTTCATCACTCAACCACAATGGCATGTCTTTCTTCCTCGCCACAGTTCCAGCAGGCACGCAATTGTACCATGGTACCTCACAGAAAGAATCAATCAAGGGCATGGAATGGCTTGCTTTCGAGCCTGAGCATGCCTTGATCTTTGCAAGACCAAGAGGAAGGGGGCCTCCGGGAAGAGGACCTCCGCCTGGAGAAGGAGATGGAGACAGCGATGGAGAGCGTAAGATGGGGAGTGGGTTATTAGCTGATGGACAGGAGTGGGAGTGGGAGCACTATCCGCCGCCCCCTCCAGGGCCCCATCATCCTCACGAACCACCTGAGCATCACGGACAGCCTCTACCTACGCGCCACGATTGCCCTCCTCCACCGCCGGGGCCTTCTCATGGCCCGCCTCCGGAGCACTATCTACCGCCTCCACCTCGTCCACCGCCAACGCATAACAGAGGCCCTCCACCTCCGGCACTGCACCGAAAACGCGACCGCCAACAACCTCTCTTCATCCCCAACTCAGAGGAGCCCTCCGAAGAGCCAACCCAACCCGGCTACCTCCACACTTACACGCCCCTCCATCCCCTTACGCTCCTCTACATAGACGGCATGTCCGCCGGCAAAACCTCCAATGGCACCCTCGACACACAAGACATGCTCTTGCTCAACCTCTCTCTCCCCTCCCACTCCCCCATGGGCGGCGAATTCGAGCGAGCGCGCCGCCTGTGCAACCTGTCATCCACGCTCTGGCAGCGCAAAATCGACGGCGTGCTGCGCATGGAAGGCGGTTTTGAAATAATCCTCTGTGATTTCGAACGGGATTTGGAGGTCAAAGACGTGATGCCGGTGGTGAATAGCGGACGCGGAGGAGGGGGAGGGATGGGCAGGGGAATGGGAGGAATGAAGTATTTGAAAGCGATTACGGATCGGTACCATGGGATTGGCGGGGGGAGAGTGGTGCTGAACTATGAGAAGTTTGTTAGTGTGTTTGGATATACGGGCTTGGAGCTGTGGAAGAACGATGTTGTGAGTGATACGCCGCAGCCAAGGCTGCAACATGTTTCTCCTACGCAGCTGCAGGAGATCAAGAGTGCGGTTACTGAGATGATATTGACTCGAGAGGAGAACGATAAGGACGGAAGGAATTGGCAACAAGTCGCTGATATGGCAGTGAAGCGGTACAGCGCGCCATTGCACTATCTAAACACAGACGAAGCCGTCCGCTCCAGCAAAGAGGACTTCGGGGATTACCTCTTTATGCTGCTACGCCCGTTCATCGACTACACATCTCGCAACACCACACTCGAAACAGCGCGCTGCGTCTCGCAGATTGTTCCGCCTCTGCCACTTCCGCCTTCGTCTGCTCCCTCCCTCGCACATACAGCCTTGCATACCGTAACCCGCGAAGTATGCTCCGCTCTCCTGTCCGCACTCGACATTACAACCTTGTCGCTCTCGCGCTCGCTAGCAGCTACAAGTCCGCCACCGTCCCATGCCCTCGACCTCATCGACACGCTGGTATCCTACCTCCAGTGGACGAGCTGGAAGGACTGTGGTCCTTGCGCGGATGATGAGGTGTGTCTTGTGCCAATCTGGCCAATGGGTACGCTGGAGGACCATAGGAGTCCGCGATGTACGCGTGAGGGAGAAGTCGGCTCAGGGTATTGGGGACGATTCGGGAGGAGGCCGGGAGGGGGTGGTCCTTCTGGAGGGGAGGACCCACCTCAGCGGAAGGAAGGATTAGGTCAGGAGGAACAGGGTTGGGGCCATGGTGGGCATAGGTCTCAGAAGGGTGGCCGCAGAGTTGGGAAGAAGCACTGTGGTGCTCGCGGGCATGGGCGCGGCCGCGGACGAGGCATTTGGGGGCATGTAGAGCGAGCTGCGAGGTGGATAGGGAGTTGGTTGAGGCCAAAACACGGACCACGAGATGCTGGCTGGAGATGCTAAGTTGCATGGGGAGGATGTGGCGAGCTTGCAATAGTAGTCGTAATAGGGCGGTAGAAACGGCATGGCGTGTTGCATGCATGGGAGAAAAGCGCCAGGGCTGCTGGTCCCCGCGGGGGGCCTGGATGCTTACAGGCTGTATCCGACAAGAATGGAGGAGTTGTTGATTGGACTACCGACCGTTTTGATTTCCTTTGTTATTTACTTCGAATTCCCCTTTTACGCCCTGTTTGACAGCCCTGTCGCCCTAGTGGTGGGCATAGCCGTGGGCATGTGGGCGGCTAGGGCCTTCATGGTCGAAAGTCTTTCTGCAGAGGCTTGCAGCTAACAATCCGTTCCATACCAATGAGATGCTTGGGCTCTTGTTGAGACCTCCCTCGCGGGCTGCTGACCGGTTGTTTCACCCCGAAGGCTAACTGAAGGGGAAGTCATTATTGGGCGGGGGCTTTTTACTATATGTGCGGCATGCATGATTCCACGAAGGACCCGTGTTCAGGTTGCGAGCCCTGGCTTCGTGGGGCCGTGTTGTAGAGTGGTTTGTACCACACAAGCTTTCAGAAGGCGTACCAACCACTCTTCGATACAACCGGGGTCGTTAGAGAAGCGCCGAGTAGTCCAATGAGAGACCCATACGTTCATGTGCGTGATATATTACTGGCTTCAGGAAGCCCGTGGATGGCGGTGGTGCGATCCTTCCAGTCCTGTCGCTATAAGGAAGTCTAAACAGGTGTAGACTGTGTCAAAATACTAGCCCTCGGTGTGGAAACGGAGCCGTAGGCCGATATGCACGTGCTGCATCCCATATGAGGCTGAAGCCGATGCTCTCCCGCTCACCTTAGCAGACTCAGCGTTATGCAATCATGAAACGCCAGGGTCTCCTCTTTGACCTCTTTCTTGGCCATCGCCTCAGCGCCATGAAGCACCGCCGAATTTACTGTATGGGGTAGGCGATCGTGATACCCAGAATAAAGCAATGGGCGGCCAAGCCATGCTCGAGGAGCAGCATCTTTAGCCGGAGTGAATCAGATAAGCTCTAACCTCGAGACGAGCACGAGACGGACGCAAGCCCCGCATTTAACTGGAGCGTTTAGTGGAGTTAGGACCGAGCAGGCCTCGCACTGGCGAATCCGGTCGCGTCGGAGGCCCGTGGCACAGATCGGCCGCGTCGAGGTTGGACCCTGCCATGAGCGGATTGAGGTAGTGATGTGCGCTCTGTCGGTGTGAACGATGGCGCGACGCTTGTTACACCGGTCACGATGGAGGGATTTCGAAGACATGGTGATGGCACTTGCGCTAGGCAAGGTTGAGTCGATGTTGATCCTGCGGAGAAGGCTGGCGCGTGATTGGCTGCGAGCGGTGATGGACACATAGGGCTGATGGTGGCAAGATACTAAATAAAAGCCACCGGTCTCGGCACACGACGAGGCGGTGGATGCTTTTCGGACGCCTGCTTTCACGTGCGATGATGCGCCAACTGGCACAGCACGAAACGTCGGTGAGGGACAGAGAAAGACGCGGGACGAACACAGTCGCAAACGATCATCGTAGCATCGTACTGCGGGGACTTGGATTACTTGGTACGGGGACGGAGATGCCGGCCGACTTAGACTACAGTGTTCGTTCGCATCGAACGAGAATAGCCTGGTTGAGTATCGCCCCCGATCAAAGGGTTGAAGCGATTAAAGCTGAATACGTGAAAGCCAGGCGTAGTCGTCTCCATTACGCGCATTATTGTCTCCGCAGGTGATGCTTTCCCGTTACTCAACGATACACGGCTTGCTCTTCAGCCGCAGGGCGGTCCAGTCTCTTCTTGGTCTTTCTATCGCTGTCTGTCTTCTCTTAAAATTGGCATCTGATGCGCAGTGGAGGGATGGATGCCAGCGTCCGTGGGCGCAACGTCGGCAGGCGCAACCGGCCAGAAGGGATGCTGGCTCGAATCATCGAAAAAGGTGGTCTCGCAGTAGACGAGTGGCCTTCAGCCAGGAAATCCGTCCAAGCCATCAGGGTCATTGACGAGCTTCCAGAAGCCGTATATGATGCCGATGAACACTATAACCACGAGTGCCTGGCCGACCCATTCCGGGAGCGACCTATCCGTGCTCTCGATCTCGCTGCTGGCGACGGACGATTCAGCAGGCTCGGCGTACGCTTGGTCGGTGCCGTAGTTCGGAGGCGGGCCGACGAGGAGAGGGGAGCTCGAGGAGTGTGTGGCATCATCGTAGGACGGCGGGGGCTCGTCTGGAGGGGGCGGCGGCGGGAACTGATATGCGGCGTGCTGGTTCCATGGCGGCGGGGGCGGCTGGCCGTGGGCGTTCTGCGTTTGTTAGTCACGCGAGCATGCGGCTGGTGTCTGCCTGGGTAATACATGCCGGCGAAGGGTTGCTCATTGCTGCTGTAGCATGTCTGTCCCGGACGGCTCTGGGGCGAGCTGGTGCAGTCACATCGACCCGTGCTTCGCCCTCGGCGGTGGGCTGATGGCTGGTGGCTGGTGGCTGCCCAGGCGGTGGCTGGTGGCGTGGCGTTCCACAAATGGCAGCGAGGGCCGGAGTTTCGTTTTGCCGATCAGATGTGGCTGTGGCTTGCAACGTCTCCCCGACGTCGTTCACTCACGCGCAGGCACAAGTCAAGCAACACTCCCACAAACAAGCATGTCCTGTGCTGCGCGTTCCACACACAGCTATGCCTTCTTCTGCGCGGCCCAGCATGTCCCATGAGCCCACGGCTAACCTGCACATCCTCTCGCCCACGGGCTCCGGCCGTGCATCGCCGTCTCCTCGAGTAACGCGCAACACCGCGGAAGACGCGTCGAAGAAAGACAAAAACTTCCGCCGCTATGCCGCCGCTATTGAGCGTGCGCTCGTTCTCTGGGACACCGCACAGCAGGAATGGGCCGACTATATATCCTTTCTGGGACGGCTATTGAAGGTCAATACTCCCTTCCTTTGGGCTATCGCGGAACTGTGCTCATGCGGAAATTGCTCCAGGCTCTCCAATCGCATCCGGCCGAGACGCCAGTGATACCCCATAGTGATGCAGTCGCACTCCGATTAGCGCAGTGCTTGAATCCAACATTGCCCTCGGGCGTCCACCAGAAGACCCTTGAAGTCTACGGCTACATTTTCTCGACGATTGGAGTATGCCACCGCCCCACGCATGGCCCGCGACTCGCTGACCCAGCGCCCAGAGAGACGCGCTCGCTCGTGACTTGAACATCTACTTCCCAGGCCTTGCCTTTGTGCTCTCTTTCGCCTCTCTCTCCGTCCGCCCGCTGTTTCTCTCCATCTTCGAGAGCCACATCCTGAAGTTGGATGGAGCCGCGCTCCGACCCGCCCTGAAAGCCGTGATACTCTCCATTCTCCCTGGCCTAGAGGACGAGACGAGCGAAGACTTTGAGCGCATCGTCTCAGCGCTTGACAAGCTCCGCGATGCCGTCAAGACCCACACCGACGACATCACGGATGCGAAGAGCGAGAGCAGTTCATCGCATTTCTGGCAGTGCTTCTTTTTGGCCATTATCACTAATTCCTCTCGTCGCCAGGGTGCTCTTGCCTACCTTGCGCGCCGTCTGCCCAAGTTCAGACTGTCGTCTCGGCGCGGCTCTATGACACCAGATGCAATAGCGTCAACCGACAGCCTGCCAGCAGAAGCCGAGGCAGCTGTATCACCAGAACCTGGACTGCTAATCCGTTGCTTTGAGTCTGGCCTCGCCGACTCCCAGCTACTTATACAACGAGGCTTCCTCGACTTACTCGTGAGCAATCTACCTTTGGACTCGCCGGTTCTACAGCAGCGGATCAGCAAGGCAGACCTTGAGCGACTGGTTACCGCCGCCGCTGGTGTTGTCTCCCGGAGAGATATGAGCCTCAATCGAAGGCTGTGGGCTTGGTTCCTTGGGCCCGAACCTTCGCCTGCCACTGAGGGCGGGGAGACTTTGTCTACACCCACCCAGGATATCCATAGCTTCACGACCGACCCGACAGCGTACCACGCCGCGTACTTTTCTCACTATGGCCTCCAAGCATTGACACGCAGTGTCATGAAAATGATCAAGCGGCCAAGCCAGCTTCCCTCCGAACGCGCCAGGCCGTTCCGCGTATGTCTGTCGCTGATGGACCGTTGGGAGGTTGGCGGCTTAATCGTCCCAGAAGTCTTTCTACCCGCGTTGCAAAGTATACAATCATATAGCGAAGTCGCCACGAGAGATCAAGTTGACGAGGTCATGAGAAGCGCGAGCACCTTCTTCGACGGCGTCGATAGCGGCTTGATCTGGGGAAAGCTCATCCATTTGGTCACGTCTTCGCTCGAGCCGGACACAAATCAAGATGAGGCTCTACGGAGAATAAAGCTAGCCAAGTTTATCCTTTTGCGATTCAACCTAAAGGAAGAAGAGATGCTGCTCAATCACATGCCCTTGATGATAGCCTCGACCTTAGCGGCGCTCAATGTAGCCCTGGACCCGACAACCAGCATGACTTCGTTGGATAAAGGGGTTGCAGACCTCGCCTTTGAGATTGCAGACTCTCTTATACAAGTCACGCCCGACCGAGCGATCAAGGCTGAACGTGTCAGCCAGAAAGACCTAAGTTCGGCTCTAAGCATCCTGCGGGAGACCGCCTTGCAGAAGATTAGAGGGTTCTACGACGAGTGCCAAGGGAGCCTTGACGTATCAGAAAAACCTTTTTCAGCTACTGAGCTCGGGCAGTTCATGCTGCGGGAAGCATCACATATGTTCGCAGAGTCCATTGGTTCATCGACAGCTGTTATTTCGGCGGAAATGCCCTCCAGGATACTTGCGAACCTTATATTCAAAGTCCAGCAACTTGCGGCACTGGACGAGGTTGATCTCCTTACCATCTTCCAGCACGTCCTCTCCCCGGAACCAGAACTGCCGAGCCACTCCCTCCCGTTCTCCCATCTGAGTGCTCTAACAACCGTCCTCTCAGCCTTGCAGACTGCAAGGCCACATGACCCATACATCAGCGCCTCTCAAATCTCAGATATCATTCAACCACTTGTGGCCTCGTTCTGGCAGTACCTGTCGCCACTGATGCCAAAATATCATGTGGAAGCAACACGATGCATATTACAGCTGCATACAATAGCACCTACGAATCGAATGGTAGAAGCAGCCGTCTCCTCAATCATTGTTCAGGAATCATCTCCCTCAGGATCCAGCTCGCGCGACGCCGGTCGTCGCTTTACAATTCTTTGGACACATACTATGCACGAGCTTAGTCTACAATCGGAGAAACGCGGCAGCTTGTCACGGCGCACGAGTGGAACCGGTCCGCCTTCATCTCAGTCAATAAGCTTTCAGTCGATCTTGAGGAGACCTTTACTTCTCCTGCTCGACTCACTCGCGGATGAAGCCACAGACATTGCCGCATTTGTGAGAACGTGGCTGCAGGATCTACCGAGCTTGAACAGAGTCTTTGAGGTACTTGCTATTCAATTGCAATCTCTTCGTTGCTTCGTAGCTAGCGATAGCTTGGCGCCGGACACGGTTTCCTACCCTCACCATGCCGCGCTTCAGCCAGATGATACGAAGGAGTGCCTGTACTATCTCAGGCACATCTACCACATCTTAAAGCAGCCCTCGCACTATACTTGGGTCACACTCGCCGAAGAGCCGACCCCGCAGGCTAATGGATCTGCTTCCAAGACCCCGTTGCAAGAGTGGCTTATGCGGATATGCATGAAGACGCTTTGGGTCAACATCAGTGCAGCGGAATCTGATGGAAGGCCCCACCTCCAAGGGCTCTACCAGGTCTCTGTTAGCATCATTTCGCAAATCTACCACAGTCCGTTTGCGACGCCGCTTAGAGCTCTAGAGCTTGAAGTATCACTAATGGCTCGCTTACGGACACCCAGTCCCTCTTTACAGAGCCTTCTACTCGATGCTACCCTCTTAGCGCTCAAGCTGCGTCTCGTCCCTCCGCCTGGAGAGCGAGCGCCGGAGCAAAAAGTACAGAATCACACTCCCCAGCGATCCAGGGTGTCTCTAGCCATGAGCAGGGACTCTGACGACATCGAGTCTGCGCCTATTCCGCCACCGCATCAATTAGTGGACACCCTCAAATATGGATTCTCTTCTCCCTCGAGCCGGTTCGTATTGGATGACTGGGTCCGTTTCTTGGTGGAAGTGCTCCCACTCTTTGCGGATGCCATTTTCCAGAATCTGTTACCGCTTGTGGAATGCCTGTGCAAGCAGATAAACCAGACATTCGAGCAGTTAAAGACCATCTTCGCCAGCCCGAAGATAGGGGCCGATATCTCCCCGGAGTCTACGCTAATCTCGCTCATCAACGGCCTGGAGCAGATTCTTGCTAGGGCACATGACCGCTTGACTATTCAGGAAACGAAGACCGCGGCTAACAAGTCCCCGGAGGTGCAACAGGGCTTCTTTGGCAATATGGTCTCTGGTGTTTTCTCGTCCGAAACAAATCAGGCGCGTACGCCCACGGCAAACACTAGGCTCACAGTTCTGCTGTGTTTCCAAGACACGGTTCGGATCTGCTTCGCCATCTGGTCTTGGGGAGGCTACGGACCTAAAGACGGACAACAAGACCCGACCTCAGTATCATCGTTTGGATACACATCGCTGAGGATGCGTAATCGTGCCCGGCGAATCCTGGAGCACCTCTTTGCTGCGGAGGCTTTAGAGTGCTTGGAGACTTTAGTGGTTCTGTGGGCGCAATACCCGAAGGACGACATTCAAGCAACGGCCATTATGGGATTGCTCAACGTACTGAACGGATCTAAGCCAAAACATACGATTCCTGCCATTTTCAACGCGGTATACAGTCGTACCAACCCGAATGCGCTAGACCCGCTCCGGATGTCCACCTTGACTTCAGATCTAACCGATACCGATTTAGTTGCTTTTCTCGTTGACTATACCAAGTCGCTAGAGGACGATGCGATGGATGAGATATGGCAGGACTGCACCCTCTTCTTGCGCGATGTCCTTGCGAATCCACTTCCTCATCGACAAATATTGCCGACTCTGCTTGAGTTCACCGCGGTGATCGGACAGAAGGTTGACAACACTAACTTCGGCGAGCAACGGAAGATGAGGAGAGAGCTCGCAGTACGTAACATTTGCCGCAGACATCGGGATACCACTGATTAATTGTTTAGGACATTTTCACCCGAATACTCACAGCGGTCTTCACCACCCGCTCCATGGGCTTCCTACAAGACCCTAACCAAGTCATGGCCGCGGAGAAGTCGTCCACGCCTACGAACGGCAGCCTCGGCCACAAGAGAGCGACAGATGTAATCTCAATCCTTAACTCCATCGTCCCATATCTCCCCACCGTCCTCGCGGACAGCGAGCGCGTGACCACCGTCGTAACGAACATGTCTACCTCGGTCATAGGGCCTACTTTCCGCGCCAAAGCGTTCCCAGAGAATGTCTCCAAGGGCATTCTAGATCTACTCCAAGGTTTGGCGAAGGTATCCCAGGCGAACAAGTTCTGGAAGAAAGATCTTTACGATGCATTCAACGATGCGAGATTCTTTAGCACGCCACTATTTTTGCTGAAAGAGTCATGGCTACCCATCCTTGCGCAATGGATGCACTCGGACAAGGAACGACTCCCCGAGCTCCTCGCCCGGCTGTCGGCGCCCACGACAGCAGGAATAATGTTCGGCGTGGGCGCTACGTCTGCTAGACAGGAAGCCGACCGGAAAACGCAGCTTACGCTTCGCCGAATTGCGCTGCTCCTCCTCGCCAGCCCGCAAGACACGTTCACAGCCAACATGCCACTGATGATGGAGAAAATCGTCGAACTTCTAAGTGCCACACCGGCCTCATCTCCATCGTCGATAACCCGCTCTGAAGTCCTTATTCTCCTGCGCGCCCTCATCCTCAAGACGTCCTCGATCCATCTCGCACCTCTCTGGCCGGTCATCAACACCGAACTCACATCCGCGCTCTCCTCGCTGCTCCCCGACGCAGACAACAAAGAAGACTACAGCAACACGGGCATAATCCAAGCCTGCAAGCTGCTCGACGAGCTCATCACGCTTGATCCCGACGACTTCCAACTCATGCAATGGCTCTACATATCCGACACCATCGACGCTGTATATAAGCCCGCCAACTCGACCTACCCAGCCTCGCTCACGGACGAGATATCGGACACGCTTAGCCGAACGGCTACGCCGTCTGCGCGCTCTATTCCTCGGCCTCCCACGACCGCCGCGTCCGACAGTGGCGATCCGAAGCGAAGGCTGTTCTTGGATCCACTGATTGAAGCGCTGGAGAAGGAGGAAGGCGCCGAGGTGACGGATATGGCGAGAGGCGAGCTGGTGGATAGAGTGGTGAGGCCGTTTTTGGGGAATCTGGCGATGGTGGCTTTTGAGAGTACGTATCAGGGGGGTGAAAGGGACTGGGAAGGGGTTTGGGCGAGCGTGGTGAGGGATGCTAGGGGTGTAGATTAGCCTCTGAAGCGAAGTAGTGATGTCTTTTCTCTGGGAGCGGTCCGATGTGTATCTCTCGCGTGCTCATTCACAGCCACAGCCCTGCTGTGTCCGGACGCTAGCGGAAAACAAGCTTTCTGGGGCGGCGCTAAGCACTGCTGAAGCGGCACCTCGATGGCGCTGCCCCAGGGGGAGAAAAAGCAAAGGCGGCAGAAATTCGAGGTTCAGGAACTGTTTCCAATCCTGCTGACTGTTTTCAATCCTGCTGACTGTTTTCAATCCCGCCAACAATTTCAATCCTGCTAACCATTTCCAAACCTGCATCATCATTCGAGGCTTGGCGGGCAGCGCGGAGGCTGAAGCCATACACATGTCAGCCCACGCGGGGCTTTCACAAGTGCATTGCGACCCACCGGCAACAGGCCCACGACCAGCACCAGCACCAGCACCAGCAACAGCAGCACCCACAACAACACAGCGGCATTCTTCACTCCCCAGAACAGGCACCACGGAGTTCCGACGCCACACCATCCAGATCGGCCCGGCCCACATCGCGCCGCCCATGCCGACAGCGGACTCGCCGCACTCGTCCCTCTCCTCCACGCCGACCACGCGCTCCTCGTCCTACTTTACATACCCCGTCACATATGCGGTGAATGGCCTGCTCCGGCGCTTGTCGACCGAGCCGACGCCGAGATCCTCGCCCGCCAACACGAGCAGCAACTCGGGCGCCAACTCGCTGAGCCAGAGCGTGCAGAGCATCGACAGCATGGACTCGGTCTTCGCGCCGCCGCGCAGGACCGCGAGCCCCTTCCAGCCGCCGCCGCTGACGCCACTCACGCTGAGGGGATACACGCCGAGCACGGCCCAGAGCGCAAAGCTGCTGAGCAGAGCGCTGGCCGAGGAGATTCGCCTGCTGGTGCCGCCGAGGCTGCAGCTTGTGGATGAGTGGAAGCTGGCGTACAGCTTGGCGCAGAACGGCGTCAGTCTCGCGACGCTGTACCAGAAGTGCGAGGACTACCGGGGGAAGAGAGGCGGGTTTGTGCTGGTGGTGCAGGATGGCTCTGGCGGCGTACGGCCTACCTGCAGCAAAACAAATGGCGGACAACGATAGCTGACACGGCGCACAGGTCTTCGGCGCATACCTCTCCGATGCTCCGCACCCTTCGTCTCACTTCTTTGGCAACGGCGAATGCTTCCTGTGGCGCGCACACGTGCTCCCTGCTCTCCCCGACTTCTCCAACCTTCCGCCTCCTCCCTCCGCCGACACGACGAATGCCGTGCGGATGACGACCATTGCGCATTCAACCAAGTCGGGTACGCTGAGCCCGCCACACTCCCAGCAGGCGAGTCGGAGCGGATCGAGCACGCCCGAGCGGATACGGTTCAAGGCCTTCCCATATAGCGGCGTCAATGATTACATGATTTTCTGCGAGCAGGGATATTTGAGCGTTGGCGGAGGGTGAGTCCACGCCAGGATGCAGCGCAATGGCGCAAGAGAGTAGCTAACACATCCGCAGCGACGGCCACTACGGTCTCTGGCTAGACGACAACCTCGAGAACGGCGTCTCGAGCACGTGTCCCACATTCGGCAACGAGCCGTTAAGCGACGAAGGAAAGAAGTTCGAAGTGCTAGGAGTCGAGCTCTGGTACATTGGCGCATAATTACATCTCGCGAATAATTCTTCCCAAAAGCATACAATCATTTACAAGGGTATCCGGCGTTTTTAAGGCCATGGCGGCGACCATCCTAATGGGCTTCAGCGGAGATACCTGAGAGTGGCGACGGAACATTGGGCAGCCGTGGGTTTCTAGGTTCTAGCATGGTTCGGATTTGCGCGGTGCGCATGATATCCTCTCTGAACAGTATCTTTACTCTTCCGCATGTTTCCTCTTCGCTCCCTTCCCTACCTCATAGCTTCTCTTACGCGTCTTAGCACTCTATCTACTACACTACCTACTCCTGCCAACTCTCAGGCCTTGGAGCTATCAGTCTTCGTCTCACGCTTTTGGCACATGCGCGTCAACCAAGCGTTCTCCTCTCACCTTAGCGACTTTTAAGGTAACCGAACCAAAGAAAAGAGTGATTTAGATAGGGGCAATTAAGGCGGTGAACGAAGCCGTCTCGGCGAGAATGAGCGGGTCCTCGGGGAAAACACATCTACCTGATCACTCACTCGAACTTCCTATACGACCGGTATCTTGGATTTGGCAACCAGGACAAGACTACTACTAAAGTTCCAAGAAGAGCCCTCCATAAGATCCTTATCTTAAGCCTAGACCGCATTAATGCGTTGTATAACCCAAAGCTTCGGTTACAACCTAGATACTAGAACGCTACTCGGGGGAAGAGAAGCTGGAATACCTCCGAGAATGTCTGGATATCGCTACGCAATGTGTAGGTTGAACACCCAAAGGCTCTCCGAATCTCCGAGCCTACCGGAACTCTTGAAGCAGTTGACTACGAGGCAGCTATTTCTCGCCACTTTAATGCATAGCGCGAAAGACGAGGAGCTCATGGGCCAGATGAGGCCGGCTGCGTCTACATTTGAGCGGGTTTACAAGTAGTAGTAAAAGGAAAAGGCTTGTGCAATGCTCGCAGGGGGCGTGGGCCTGTTTCGGCGCGTGAGTCCACTCTCCTTGGATGACAAACGACTATCAAAGACAACTTTAAAGGGTGCCTGACATCCCATCGCTCGCATGCGCGCGTTTCGTTGCATTGGGGAAGCCGGAGAAGGGACTCGAGACCCCTGAGGCCGGCCTCGTCATCATGGCCAATATCACCATGGGCCACCATGCTGATTTCTTGAACGTGCGAGAGGCTGATGAGCAATTACACGACCAATGCATTGCTCTTCGTGATCGGGTTTTCACAACCTCCGCCGGAAAGACAGGGCAAATCATCGCACGGCGAAGATTTGGTGGCAGAGCGGAATGCGGATCTCGCCGAGTTTGATGGCTCTTGAGCTGGGTACCCGTGGCTTGCCAGTTCATAGTATAGCAGCCGAATGTCATGGCTATGGCGAAGTCCAATCTAGCCTAGCACCTTGCAGGTCCCTATCTCTTGGATGACCCGGGTCGGGGTTTGATTCGGGGTTGCCAGCGCCGACATGACAGTGCAAACAGGATAATCGTCGGATCCATGGAACCGCGCTTCCCCTCATAGAAATCGTGGTCTCGACACGAGCCCGAATCTGCGGAGCGGGGCACCCATGGGGACCCTATTGCCCGAACCCTCCACGCCAGCCACCTCGCCCTCATCGGTCATGAAAACGAATTGTTCAGTCGCTTCCACCAGCTTGGCACAAGCCAAGAATGCCAAATACACGAGTTATGGCACATCGGAGCAGATTGGACGGGCCCTGGGCTATGTTGAGTGCGCATCGCCTGATGGCCTCTCGGGTTATTCGAGCTCCTAGTTGCTCTTAGCGTTCCCTTGAGCGATGTCTATATTCCCACGCATTCGGTGAAACATGGACGAATGTTCGACGCCAGAAGGGTTTGGATGTAAAGTCCCGAGCTTGGCTCCAACCTTCCCTGCAATTCTATTAGCACTAGCAAAGCCCGTGCTTTTAATAGTAGAATGTAGTGCTGTCGACTGACCAAATTCCCATGGTAGCATGTTGCCGTAAATGGTCTCCCAAGAGCCCTTGGGAGCGTGAAATGTTTCATGAAAGATACTAATATACGCATTTTCCGCTTATTGAAGGCAGTCTCATCGGCGCGGTATGAGGCCGAAGTCGAGAACTTCTGGAGGAGTTTTATGTCGTCTCAATACGACAGTCAGGTTATGTTCATTCCTTCTGTATCCGAGGTATCGTGCAAGGTTGCGGTTCTGCCCAAATCCGACCCGCGCCCAAATGTTAGACATAAAGCATGATAAATGGCATTAATACTGTACACACAGCCCCATTTTCCTCAGTTCTTCGATGCTTCAGCCCACCCCCTTTCGAAAGCCGTGCCAAAGTCTTTAGCTCCAGGAGCGAGCGGACCGAGAGGACGGTCGAGTATCAGCATTACCGGGATAGAACGGGCCAAGAAAGATACGGACTGGTTGATCCGCGCGCCGGGTACAAACATGACGATTCCCCCTTCAGCACTACTGGAGCCTTCAGGCTTGGGAAGTTCTGCTGTCCATCTCCCATGGTTTCCTGTCATGAATGAGCTATTGAATAGGCATTTGCAGCCTATACTCGCTTTGAAAATGCGGTAGCTCAGGTAAAGAAGCGGGAGGTTGCTTAGCTTAAGCGGCAGGTATGCCAGGCTTAGCGTCTGCAGGATGGCCCCAATGGCAAGTCATGTCGGAGTAGAAAGTGGATTAACGTCAAGAATATCGTTGAAAGCGTTTTACCACGCCCTTCCAAAGCTTCCAAAAACCCGTGGCTGGCACTCCCGGGGTCGCTGTGCGGTTGCAGGCTGGGCGTGCGAGGATGGTAGTCCTGAAGTGCTCTGGTGCAGGAGGATATCGTGAACGGCGGAAGGAGCTATTTTGACTCAGCGCAGAGTCGAGAGGTCGTCAGGATCAATGGAGCGTAGGTGGCAGGGCGCAGAGATGACAGCAACTCGCAGGTCGCCTTGCGGAGGCTAACGCGACTTGGACTAGCCCCGATATTATGCAGGTGCCCCGGGTCACCCCTCTGAGCTTCACCGTTCCATGTTCAACAGGCTCACATCGAACAGTAAGCGCGATCCCAATATTCTGAGAAGGACCCGTGACGGTTTAATACCATACCCAACCAACCCACCTGGTTGGCCTGCAGGCTGTTAGATGCGCAACCCAAGACCGAAAGGTCCAGTGTGCTGGAGGTCTTCAGGACCTAGGATGTGCAACGGGTCTCCCTCTTATTTCCCAAAGCATGCCCCCCACCCCCAAATGCGAGTTCCAAGTCTGAAAGAGGCAAATCGCACAATGGTATGCAAGTAAGGATATTGCTTACCCGGTCCTGGTCGAGGCTGACTTGCATGGTGCTAACCTGTAACTCGCTCACACAGGTCATATGTACGCTTGCGTAGTTGTCTCCAGAGGTTTAATATAAAACCCGGTCTATTTCTCGTCCATGCTAAAGATTTCATTCAAATCCGTTTGAGTATGCTACCGCAGCAAGCTCCAGGACAATGGCGTCCGGTCCACAAACCTCAAAGCGCATCTTCCTCGTCGATGCTCCACGCACCTACTCCCAAGTCTTCAACAAGCTCTTCCTCGCCCATCCGGATCTCGGACATATATTCCACCCCATGATCTGCGCCATGTATGGCCGCGAAAGAGTAGGACTTAATCTGAAACATTGCGAGGCTGCTGAAGAAGCCGGAAAGGCTCTGTCGCTTAAGACGGGGATGACAGAATCCTTAGAAGAAGCAGCAAAGAGAATGGAGAAGTATATTCTCCAGATTGAGGAACAGGTACGGTTGTTCAACCGATTCAGGCTTACTTAACGTGTGGAAGTATTGAAGCGTCGTACAGTGCAAAATCCCCTGGATCAAAGACCACACATGCTGCCACATTCGCCGTGACATCGCTATTTCGGTCGCCAAGTCTCCCACCTACCCGGACCTAGACCTTCGGTCTTCGCACAATCCAACAGTCTTCTCGGATGAGCTCTTCAACACTTTCACGCCCGTGATCCTCATCCGTCATCCCATACTTATAATTCGCTCGTGCTACCGCACGCAAGCGTCAGTCTTCCATCTTGAAGCCCACGGCGAGGACTTCAAGCTCATGACGACCCTCCAGTACTCGAAGATGTGGTTCGATGCGAAGCGGGGAGATGGCCAGGTACCGATCGTGGTCGACGCCGAGGATGTCGTGCACAACACCGAAGCTACGATTTCACTGCTTTGCAGTCATCTTGGAATTGACGCCAATGGTGCACAGTATACCTGGGATCCTGCACCGAGAGAAGAGTGGCCGGATGACCCGATTATGCAAGGTTTCTTTGTGGATATGCTGAACTCTTCCTCAGTTAAGCGCGGGAAACAGGTACGGCGAGTGGCTCAATAATCGAGCGTGGAGCCATGCTGACGGAATATGATAGGCGGTCCAGAACGCACTGGATATTGACAATGAGCTGGATATGTGGAAGGTGGAGTTCGGAGGGGACGTCGCGGCTGTCTTGAAGAAGCGAGTCGAAGAGGAGATGCCAGTGTATAACTTCTTGAAGGGTTTCAAAGTCGACATAAAGGCTCAATAATGATACTGTACATGTGGATCAGAGCATTTCAGAAAGAACTCAAACAGGCCATCCTTCGGCGTGAAGTGCGCGAGACGTCCAAACAGGTCCCTTTCCAAACTGGCGAGACACGGCTCATTAGTCCAGTTCGATAAAGCGTGAAATGCCTGCAATCGATCACAGTCATCAACGCTGTATTCACGCTCAGCCCCGTTACTCCCGCACAGGACCCGTTTGTTGTGCATCGTCCCAATATAATCATAGATGTTGCTTAAGTCGAACTTCTTCCCGCAAGGCCAACAACCAAAGACCCCGCAGTGGCGAACAGTTCGGGTCATATTATCGCAACCATACGTCTTCTGAGTAAGTGTCCTCCACCCCCAGACACTCCTTCACAGGGTACTCAACTCCTTCCTTAATCGCTTTGCGCGCTGCAACGTGGGTTCCGTCTCGGCCCGCTCGTCGGCTTCCAAACAAAGTTGCTACTTCGACCGCCCAGCGCGCTTTTCCCTCGGCAATGCCAGCCCGCTTCAGGGCAGATAGTTGGCATTCTTCAGGGCTCCACCACTCCACAGCCTCGGGCGCCCTCGCGCTCCATGCACCGCCTCGCTCTTGCGCAGTTGTAGCACCACGTATGTACCCGTTTCGTCGACAGCCGTCTTCAAGTCGCCAACCTCTTGTATCCCCATCCCGTACGTGGCTAGCGTACGTGCAGCCAGAGGTCGACGACAAAAAGAACTGAACAAGGCCGCGGTATATATATATAATGCTCATAGAGCTACTAAGGCTGAACCAGCCGTTGAGTTACGTTTCATGGAGAAATCCATTTGAAAGAGGGTGGTCGTGGTAGGCTGACTGCATGCGTTTTGACCCTCGCTGCCGCAGCGATCGACGTGGTCGCTGACCAGACGGACCCTGAAGGCGTGGGTTGTGCTGCGCCGCAAATTTTGATTTGTCCCGTCGGCTGTGTATTCCTGGCTAATTTCTCGACGCACCATCTGCGGGGTACGGATGCTGAGGCATAAATTGGCTTCGGCGACGATGTATGTGAGCATGGGTAATGTATGTATTGACAGTAGTGCCGGGTTCACGGCGTTCTGCAATGAACCCACGCATTCCAAACCGGCGCTCCAGGCCGAACTACCTTCTCTTCACACACCCACACCAGTCGACAGTCGAATTGCGCGATGGTAGCCATGGACGGGCTTGCTGTACCCCTCACGCTAACGGCTCTTGCCAGCTTCTTCGGCCTCTTCTTCGTGAGACTTTATCAGAAACAAGGTTTCGTAAGTCCATCTTCAGTACTCTACTTAGCCAAAAAGCTCATTGATATCTTTTATCAGCCTATGCCGCCGCATAGTTTCCTCTTCGGTCATCTCAAATTCGTCGCGAGCGTGGTGGGCAAGTTATCACCGCATGTCCATGGCGTCTACATTGCCGATCAGATCCGCCAGAAATATCCGGAGATGGACACGGCCTTCTACCTCGACATTTAACCTGTTGGAAAGCCATACTTAATATTAATAAAACTAGACCTTATCTACTGTAACGGTCCAGCTTAGTATTGCCAGAGTTACATGACCTCGCCTAGCGCCTTGGCGCTCGGCCTCTTTGTATATAGAGCCTCTTAGAGCCTTTCTTTGCTTCTTACCTTTAGATAGCTAAATTTAACCTAACCTACTCTACTTATTACTCTTATTCTTATAGCTTATAGAGATAGTACTATCTATAGCTAACTTATCTAGCTAGATATTCTAGAGTAACGTATAGCTAGTAGAGACTAGAAGCTAGCTCTTATATTATTTAAAGATTATTATCTCTTTAGCTAGAGATAGTAGTATAATATTAGACTAAACTAAGTAGTCTTATAAGAAGCGTTTACTAATAACTACTCTAAGAATTAGAGCTATAAAAGCTCTAGTTACTTACTTCTCTATACTATATAAGACTACTAGTAAATCTAGTTAGTAGTAGAAAGATATATCTAGTAGTAAGCTAAAGAGAGCTATAAAAGCTCTATATATAGAAACTTTCTTTATTTAAAAACTAATAACTTTCTACTCTACTAGTAGAGCTAATAATTCTTTACTTTACTAGTAGAGCTAATAATTAGCTAATCTACTAGTAGTATATACTCTTACTTCTTAAATAAAAAGTAATATATAAGTTAAATAGCTTAAATTAACGTACTTTACTACTAAACGCTCTACACTACTAAACGCTCTACACTACTAAACGCTCCACGATTTCTTAGTAAGAAAAATTAACGAAAATTAACAGGTTTTTCTTAAATAACTAAGCGAAACCTTAATATTTTTCTATAGAACTTTATATATATATTCTTTATAGTATATTACACCTTATACTAAAGTTATACTAAGATAAATTACGTAATTAAAAAGCTATATATATTTAACTAACTTTTAAAAAATATCTAGTTTACTTCTAGTTAGTAGTATTATATCTCTATAATAATATATAAAACTTATAGTATATAGTATTTATAACGTAATAAAGATTTCTAGAAAACTTCTATAGTACTAGCTCTTCTAGATATAGCGTAATAAAAGATAGAACTTTAAAAAAATCTTTCTAGAGTTTTCTTCTCTAACTATAAATATATATAAATAATCTAGCTATATAAAGTTATATACTATAAGATTATATATACTATAAGTCTTCTATATACTTAGAAGTAATAATTTTAAAATAGTTTTAGTATATTTCTATTTTTATATAACGTACTTTATTATTAAACTCTCTATATTATTAAACTCTCTAAAAATACTAAGCCTTTACTAAAAAGCCGCTATCTTATTTAGATTTCTCTAACTTTAAGCTACTTAAGATAAATCTAGATAAGCTATCTAACTTATCTATATCGTCTTTAACTACCTAGCACGTTCGCGCGTTATACTCTAGCTTACCGCAGCGTCTATAGCGTCGCTAAGCTAGCTAGCTATTGCGTGCTACTACCTCTTCGCGCTACTTCTTACTCTTATTCTAATCTACAGCCTCTCTTTAAGCAACTAGCTATAAGCTAGCTTTAATTATAAGAGTATTCTCTTTCTAAATTTACTTTCTTTTACGCGAATTACGCTTCTTTTTCTGTACGTTAGCCGCTTAAAGCTAGGCGACTTTAGACTCTACTAGTACTAGCTAATACGCTATTAGCTTATTACCTTTCTTAAGCTAATTAACGTACTTTATTATCGAAAGCCTTATATTATCGAAAGCCTTATATTATTAAAAGCCTTATATTATCGAAAGCCTTATATTATCGAAAGCCCTACGATTTCTTAGCAACGAAAATTAACGAAAATTAACTCGTTTTTCTTAAATAACTAAGCAAAACCTTAATATTTTTCTATAAAAATTTATATATATTCTTTATAGTATATTATACCTTATACTAAAGTTATACTAAGATATATTATATAATTAAAAGGCTATACGTATTTAACTAACTTTTAGAAAAAATCTAGTTTACTTCTAGTTAGTACTATTATATCTATATAATAATCTATAAAACTTATAGTATATAGTATTTATAACCTAATAAAGGTTTCTAGAAAACTTCTATAGCGCTAGCTCTTCTAAGTATAGCGTAATAAGAGGTAGAAGTTAGAAAAATATCTTCTTTAGAGTTTTCTCTTCTAACTATATATATATATAGTTAATCTAGCTATATAAACTTATTATTATATAAATTATAGTAGACTTTAACTATATAGAGCTTATTGCCTAATAATATAGTAGCTTTAAGTAGTTATTTAAAAGTAAAGTGTTTTTAGTACTATAGTAGAGAAAGATAGAAAGATACTAAAACTATTTTAAAATTATTACTTCTAAATATATAGAAGGCTTATAGTATATATAATCTTATAATATATAACTTTATATAGCTAGATTATTAATATATATATATAGTTAGAGAAGAAAACTCTAGAAAGACTTTTTATAAACTTCTATCTCTTATTACGCTATACCTAGAAGAGCTAGCTCTATAGAAGTTTTCTAGAAATCTTTATTAGGTTATAGATACTATATACTATAAGTTTTATAGATTATTATAGAGATATAATAGTACTTACTAGAAGAAAAGTAGATTTTTTCTTAAAAGTTACTTAAATATGTATAGCTTTTTAATTACGTAATATATCTTAGTGTAACTTTAGTAGCAGGTGTAATATACTATAAAGAATATATGTATAAATTTTTATAGAACAATATTAAAGTTTCGCTTAGTTATTTAAGAAAAACAAGTTAATTTTTGTTAATTTTTCTTGCTAAGAAATCGTGGGGGGTTTGCCTATGTAGGGCTTTTACCTATAAAGTACGTTATAGTTTTATATAGTAATATAGCTTATACCTAATCTATATAGAGTAGAAGGTCTAACTAATTATTCTAGTAGTAGTTAATAAATAGACATAGACGCTAATTAAGATATTAATTAATAATCTCTATATTTCTATTAGTTTATAAGTAGTACGTAGTAGAGAGCTTCTACTTAATTTCTATAAGCTAGTAGAGCTTATTTATAAAGGTAAAGGTAAACTATAGACTATAATTTAATATAATAGACTTAGAAGAACTATATATACGCTAGATATATTAGTTATAAAGGCTAGGTTTATAGTCTTTACTACTATAAGCGTCTCTAGAATACCTAGCTAGGTAAGTTAGCTATAGGCAGTACTGTCTCTATAAGCTATAAGAATAAGAGGTGCTAGTAGAGTAGGTTAGGTTAAATTTAGCTATCTAAAGGTAAGAAGTTAAGAAAAGGCTCTAAGAGGCTCTATATATAGAGATGCTAAGCGCTAAGACGCTAGGTTAGGTTACGTAATAGAATTACGTAACCTAAGGTTATATAACTTAAGGTAAATCTCTAAACTAGACTATTATATTACCTCTTCTTATAGAGAGAGCTTATCTCTAAGCTCTAAAATACGCCTTCTAGGTTTCTTTTCTTCTAAAACTTCTACGTTATACTCTTAACTATCTCTTTTTAGCTTATAGTAAGTGTATTTATATTAGTTTTAAACTAGAAGCGCTTTTATAGCTACTACCTTCTCTCTAGTTACTCTATTCTCTATAGAGCTCTTAACTATTAGAAGAAAAGAGGCTTGTAGAGATTTAAACTAGAAGGCTTATTTCTACGTCTATAGAGCGACTTTGTTATAGACTCTCTTCTTAAATAATACTCTAAGCTTAGTAGAGTCTTAAATTACTTAGTAGCGCCTTTGCGTTACTCTAGTGTCTTCTACTCTTATAGGTTTTAAATTCTTTGCTATCTTCTCTAGAGTCTTCTCTTTTTTATACGCCTTAATCTAAGTATCTAATTATAAGAGTAGCTCTAGCTTATCTAGGTATACTATATAAAAGTCTCTTACCTTATAGAGAGCGTTAATAAAGCCTATAGTATTATACTAGGTAGAGTTAGAATTATAAGTAATCTATATAGCACGGTATTAAAGATAATTTTAATAAAGATAACTATTTAGAATTTTATATACAGGCTATTCTAGATTACTATTAACTTTAATAGATAGCTACTTAGGCTCTACCTACTCTAGTAATAGCTCTAAGGCTTTTTATAACTAATTAGTATAAAAGACGTTATATATACGTATATACGTAGATAGCTAGAGCTAAAAGAAGTAACTCTTTATAGTAATAATTAGGTAAGAGCTATATATCTATTAATCTAGCTTTATACTAGGCTAATTTATTAAAAAGCTATAAGGTTTAATATAGACAAGATTACCTATAGCAAAATTAGGTTCTTAGCGTTTTTTATTTACTTAAAGCGCCTACCTAGCTTGCGCTTTTACGATATTACCTTATGTAATTTTAGTAGCTTTTTTTATAGCGTTGTATTACTCTCTAGTAAAATTCTAAGCTTTCTAGTGTAAGAGATACTTACGTAGAGTAGAGGCTTTTATTATACGCTTTTTCTAATTCTAGTAGTATACTAGCTAATATCTAAATTTAATTTTATATACTATTAGTCTTATAGTTTTATATAGTAACGTAGCTTATATCTAATCTATATAGAGTAGAAGGTCTAACTAATTATTCTAGTAGTAGTTAATAAATAGACGTAGACGCTAATTAAGATATTAATTAACTATCTCTATATTTCTATTAGTTTACGAGTAGTACGTAGTAGAGAGCTTCTACTTAATTTCTATAAGCTAATAGAGCTTATCTATAAAGGTAGAGGTAAACTATAGACTATAATTTAATATAATAGACCTAGAAGAACTATATATACGCTAGATATATTAGTAATATAGCTCTACTATACGCTAAGCTATAATTTTCTTATAGTAGAGAAGAGAGAAGCTCTACTTACTTAGCTAATCTATAATAACGTATATATAGTTAAATTCTTTCTTATTAGAGAGAAAGCTCTTAAAATCTATAAAGACGTTCTACTAAGCTCTCTTAGAGATAGGTAGAGGCTTTAGAAGATCTAGCGTCTTATTCTAT